CGGACGGTTTGTACCACAGCGTTCCGAACATCGGCAGTCTGATGAATAAGATGGAAGTTCTTGCCTCCGGTTTCACCGACGACACGAGGATAACCCTTGTACTTGCCCTCGGCAACACCGGTAGCAATCTTTCCGTAAAGAGACCGGAATACGGATGTGCTGCCTGTGAAGTGGAGAGCTGCAAAGTCCGGATGATTAAGCACGCCGCTCGTCACCTCCTCGGCATCGCCTGGTACGAATTGAATGACTCCTCGGGGAAGGCCAGCCTCGAGCAGAATTTGGTGCACTAAATGATTCGACGCGATGGCGGATGGTGAGGGCTTCCAGACCACGACATTGCCCATCAAAGCCGGTGCTCCAGCCAAGTTCCCTCCGATGGCTGTAAAGTTGAACGGACTAATAGCATAGACGAAACCCTCGAGAGGACGGTATTCGAGGCGGCTACAGGAAGGACTTGTAAGTAATCATTCGTCACATGAACCTGCTGGCAACACTTACTTCCATACTCCGGGAGAGTTGTGAACCGGTTGTTGCGAGTAGACTTCCTCCGCATATTTTACACCAAATCTGAAGAAGTCACAGAGCTCTGCCGCTGAATCAATTTCAGCTTGCCAAGCATTCTTTCCCTGACCAGCCATGGTCAATGCCATGATCTCATATCGGTATTTTGTGGAGATGAGATCGGCAGCCTTGAGAAAAATACTTGCACGGTCTGACCACGGCATAGAAGCCCAGTCACCGCGCGCAGTAAGAGCGGCTTCAATGGCCGCCTCGACATTGGCTTTGGATGCGTTGGAGTAATATGCGACTGGTTTGTGCGTTGCTGGGTTCAATTGTTGAGAAGTATTGGTGGTTGTAATCTGACTGCAAGTTCAGTATACTAACAAATTTCATATCATCAATGAATACATGTTATCATACCTCTTGGCCCCCAACAAATAATGGAATATTTCGCACGTTGGATTCGTTCACATGGGCAAGTGCCAGTTCTAGTCCCCTACGGTCTGGGGACCCAGGAATATAATGTTTCTGATTGATAGGAAGCCACGATTAGCGTCGTATAATGGAGTCAATAATTTCGAAAAATAAACCTACATTTGGCTCATTGTTGATGGTTGGAACCTTGAAGTTGGCATAGCTACCAACACCCCGCACGCCGAACGGTGTTACAGATGGCAATCTGTGTAAGCTCGTCGGCCGCATTGGAAGACTTGTAACAAAGCGCATTGTATATAGCTATTTCGACTACACACTCGATGGCAAGGTGTGAAGAAAATGAATGAAAACTTCGTCCTGGAGAGAAGAAACGACAAAATAAAAGTGACCGGAATTGTAAGCTTAATGGTAACCGGTGGGTGACGCAGCGATAAGCTCTTATCGGCAGGAGAGCCCCACCATAGCTTGCGTTGATGCCTGAGTCCTCAGGCTGCAACAGTTACCGGCCCGGTGCTCGACCGGCTAGAATCGTCTCATTTATTCCTTCTATCTATGGGGTATGAATCCCCCGACAATGTTCTTATAAACAGGGCCCTCAGCCAACAACTGCTGAGATCCAACTGCCTTGGCTATTGCAGTCTCAATATCATTCTCGCCTCCCAGAACACCATATCGCCCGTTGGTATCTGACCTGGCCAGTAACTGATCAATCACTTCAGCGACATCCTGCCTCGATACCTCTCCTTCGAAAGATACCGGCTCCGGATGTAGGCTTATCTTGCCTCTTCCCGGTAAATCTGACAAGCCACCTGTCATGACATGTATCGACTGGAACTGGGCCGGCAGATGGGCCTGTCTTCTACGCCATGCAGTCATCGCATCTAGAAACTCTTCTGCCTCAATTTTCTCCTTTTCGTATATAGGTATTTGTCCTTCGTCCGCATTCGCAATGTCATTCCACTGTCTGTCAGTCATTCCCGGCTCTGGTTTCTTGCCTCGACTGCTCAGGTAAGATACCATGAGAAACTTGGAGATTTTGGAAGACGAAAATGTCGCTATTATCATTTGCTTAACGGCAAATCTTAATTCTTCACAGTCGAGCGATCGCTGAAAGCCACTTCCGCATCCCGTTCCTCGCCTAAGAGTTAGCTGCCACAGCCTCATTTCGCACCATGCAGAAGTACATACCAGCCATCCAAATAACATAATTTGCATCGACGCGATCTAGCAAAGCGCGAGCCGCGTAGGCTGTGTCAATGTGCTCTAGATCTGTAACAAGTACCTCCACATTTCCCTCCCTATTGCTCTGGCGAAGATTTAGTATGTCGCTTCGGTGCTCTGGATTGTTGGTAAGACTGATAACGCCACATCCTCGGGCAATCAAAAGAGACGTAAGAAGCAAAGCTACTTTAGAATGGCCTCCGAGTATAAGGACTTTGGGTGGAAGCTTCATTGTAAGGCCGTAGACCGTGTTCTCAAGTACGTAACACGAGTATGTTTGAAAAGTCCAAACGTGACAGAAAGTGACGGCCGTAAAACATCCCAAAACGATTATATCAAGACTGATGACATGCCATAACGTCAGGTGACGTACAACTCAACTTGTTTGAAGTCAAAATAAGCTTAAATTGTATTGGCGAGGAAATCGCGATTGTAGCCCGATATCCCGAAACCCTAAAACGCTCGGGACACATGTCACAAATTACCATAATAGGAAATAATTCAAATCAAGTTGAACCACGAAACAAGCAAAGAACAGAACATGTTTGTAACACAAAGGTTGTGTAAGGAAATCTAACATATGTCTCATCTTCCAGTAAGAGAGAACTTCACGTATATGGAGACCTCTTTTCCCATCTCACACCCCCACACGTGGGATGTGTTAACCGCAATTCTAGACTGTCATCTCGTTGAAGTATCAGTGTTCGCCAACGGCCGGCCAAAAGGCCCAAGCTACAGCCATACAAGCCTTGATAAAGCCGGAAATCCACAAAGCACTCTGCATTTCAGCCTCGCTATGACACAGCCAACCGCCGATAATAGCACCAACGACTATCGCCACGACAGAGCCTATTCTTCTGTTGCGCTTTAAGTTCGTAGTAATACCAGATGTGAGTGCTGGATCCGAGGCGATGTCGAAATAAACTGATGTCAAAACGACGGTTGGCAATTCATTGAAACCCATGCCACGGCTGGCAGTTATCTGGCCACCGAATTGAAATGCGAGAATGACCAGTGGAATGAGCTCTAGGAAAAGAGGGCCGCTTGTAGGTGGATTATTCAAAGAGTGTGGGATGGCATCCCCTTGGAAGAGAGCAGCGGCGGCCAGGACAAAGAGTGACTGAACAGCGAACGATATTGTTAAGGTCGCCCTCCGGCGATTGCCAGCGGCTCGCGAGATGGTCGCAAAGACGAACGAACCAATTATGAAGCCGGAAATTGATGTAAGGGACTTCAGCCAACCGTATGGTTTGCTTTCTGGGATTCCAGACGTTCCCAGCCCTAGGAAAATCGTGTTTCCGGTCTGCATGCTAATGAAGCAGCCAAATGAGGCGTAGATAACCCCATCGCAGAGACCAGTCGTCAAGGAGCAAAGAATAAAAATTAGATCTGCATTTTGTGTGCTGACTGTTTCTGTCCATTTATTTTGTAGCTTTTTCTCGTCAGTCGCTTCCTCTGGGTCTGGGCTAGCAGACGTTAGAGGAAGTACGCTTTTCTCAACTTCAGAGACTTCTGTCATGGTGTTATTGATTCTTTGATACAAATAAGGAGAGGCTATCAAACTCAAAGGCATGAGACTCTCTTAACAGTTATTCGGTTTGATAATCGATGAACATACAACTTGGATTTTAGAGGAATCGTCCAAAAGTAAACAGTTGTACAAACCCACCCCTGTTTCTGCAGAAAGATAGCCCCCATCGGCGACAAAAAGAATCGCCGTTACTAAAGGCTTGGGACAAACAATATGTAACTGCAACAAATCTTAGCTTAATCATACATCATCTAAACGTGTCTCTTACGGGTTGACCTCGGTATCCGATCTTTAGTAAACATTGATTTTCGGGCAGATGTCACCCGAGAGCAACATGGACTTGCAGAAAACGGGTCAGTTCTGCATGAATGTTTTCTGTTTGTGTCCGCAAACGAGCCTTCAGGGTCGGCCGTTCTAGGCGCTTCTGTGCTCACCGCGGAAAACTGTTGGATTATCACGGTTTAAGATTTGCATCTGCATTAATATATCCGTTCGCCCGTCTTATACATGCTTGGCGCCCCGGCGAGATATCAATTCCGTAGATTCTATTCGATAACCACCTCTTGGGTATTGACAAATCCTCACCGGTTAATGTGTCGCGAATCTTTTTATCCCTTAGTTCGATATCTCGTAAAACTTGCTGTCAGTTGACTCACACCTCATCCTGGTAAATGCAATATAAAGCAAGTTAAGGAAGGACGATTATCAGATCATTTTCCGACGAGCGTCGCCAAGAAGGCATTCCTGGTCCCTTTTGACGATAACTCCCGTGCCGAGCAACTGGGCACCTGTGCCGAGCGCTGCTGTGTTCCAGTCGTTTTATTTTCCCGTTGGTTGGACGGGTTGCCTCCTCTTGCTACATGAAGAATCAACTGGTCTATCTGCCATTATCTGTTGTCGGAATATGCATGGACAAGACTCTACAAGACACGACTAAGACCCTACTATGCCTGTGATTGTCGCATTATACCTTATCTACCAGGGTCACCAGTCACCAGTTTATCCGGCGTCTGTGAGGATAATGCTGCAGAAATCCAAATTCTGCTGTTACTCAATTCTGTATCTGCCTTGTCGATGCCATGAACCAAAGTGATTGTCGAGATGACTGATATTTCGGGGATAATCGGCAATCATTGAGCGCTGTTTTACACAGATATCAAGTAATTCCTTAGTAAGGATGCATATAAACAGTTCCCGAGTAATCTGAGTCTTGGAATATCTCAATGAACCAAGGCGTAGGCCTACAATATTGGCAGACATTTGATAGAAGATTTATCAGATAACCAAAGGTCAGTAATCAGTATCTGCCGAAGTGAGCTGACGGGCTCGCAATCAGTTTCTAAGGTCATAGACATAGTGGTATTACTCGCTCCTTTTTTAATGCCTGCAAAGGGTAGAACGACCTAGTCCTATGCCCTAGTTTGCTCTCAACCCTCCAGCATCAGCACAGCCACGATTAGTCTCATCAGAACTGCATTGAAGGAGGGGAAATGTCCGAGTTAGTGTTGCATTGATGTAAATGAAACTCTTCAAGGAGGTGCGGGCTGCGGAAGATGCAAGAAAATATCCCGACCACAGGTCGTGAAGACTTCATGGACTTTGAAATGTTGTTCTCTTCGTTCTTGAGGATATTCCTTCAGAGCGCCGAGGTATAAAGATGGGCATCTCGCCATCAGTTCGAAACGATGTCCTGATGTACAAGCTCGACTTTTTGGTATTATCTTCCTCAGTTCTAAAGACTTTGATGCCCCTTCATCTTTCAGTGCCCTTTCTTCTATACCATAATGGCTATCACCATCACCCTCGGTCCCAATGGCCAATATCAAGTCAACGGTGATGCAAATCAACTTGACCCAAACCTAGACTTGGTGCCCATTACTGGAGCTACAAAGCTCCGTAGAATGCTGAATGAGACGGACGAGTTGATTGTCTGTCCAGGAGTCTATGATGGCTTGTCGGCTCGTATCGCTTTGCAACTGGGCTTCAGTGCCATGTACATGGTATGTCTATTCTAACTGCTTGACGACGCATCCAAGACTAAGTGGGTATGCACTAACTATGAACGTAGACTGGTGCAGGTACCACCGCTTCACGACTGGGCATGGCCGACTTGGGTCTTGCTCAGCTTCATGATATGAAGACCAACGCCGAGATGATTGCGAATCTTGACCCATACGGCCCACCCCTCATTGCTGATATGGATACTGGCTATGGTGGTATGTATACGTAACTTCTAATTACTACCTAAGCCGCCAACTAACTTCGAGGTTACATAGGGCCCCTCATGGTTGCCAAGTCTGTCCAACAATACATCCAAGCTGGTGTGGCCGGATTTCATATCGAAGACCAAGTCCTCAGCAAACGTTGCGGCCATCTCGCTGGGAAAAAAGTCGTCAACAGAGAGGAATACCTCATGCGTATCCGTGCCGCAAAGTCCACCATCAACCGTCTGCACTCAGATATCGTTCTCATTGCTCGCACAGACGCCCTACAACAACATGGTTACGAAGAGTGTATTGCTCGTCTCAAAGCAGCGCGTGACCTGGGAGCTGATGTAGGTCTGTTGGAAGGCTTCACCTCCAAGGAGCAGGCGCGTCAGGCTGTTCAAGACCTAGCTCCTTGGCCATTGCTACTCAATATGGTTGAGAATGGTGCAGGTCCCGTCATCACGACCTTCGAGGCTAAAGAAATGGGATTCAGAATTAACATCTTCTCTTTTGCCTCCTTAGCTCCGGCTTATCTTGGCATTAAGGCTGCCCTGGAGAGGCTTAAGACAGATGGTGTCGTTGGAACACCGGAAGGTCTAGGACCCAGGAAATTGTTTGAAGTTTGTGGACTTTCCGAGTCTATGAAGATTGATGCCGAGGCTGGTAATTCGGCTTTTGTGAATGGTGTTTGATTGCTTATACCTACGATTGGAAATACCAACGACGGCCAAAGATTAGGGCTGACTAGCATACGAAGTACTACATAGTTGTCACTGTTGTGTCTGTCTTTATTTGTTTTTCAGCAGTTCTTTATCTCTTTTATTCTCAATTCAAGATTTTTTTATTCGCTCAAGGCTCAAAAAAATCCTTTTAACCCAGCATTCTGCTCAATATATTCAGGGGCGAAGTTGTATGTGTCCTCTTTAATATGCTCCACTTAGTGACCTGTCCCAGGTATTACAGGCCCGCGGGCGTGGCAGCCATGGTTCTACCTTGGAGATTCAAGAGAAGCGATATCATCATTGCTGAACCGACGGCCACAAAGAAAGTATTAGCAAGGGCTGTTCTTGTGTTCTAGAATGTTCTAGAATGTTCTCTCGCTATCGACTGCTGAATATAACCTGCAGTAGCTCGACAGGGAGCAAGACGACAAGGATCACATATCCTTCCAGATTCCTGCTCATGGAATAAAGCCCAATAATACTTCTACCAATATTTCAGCATCTTTGATCATATTTGGCTACTGATTATTATGTAAAGACTATGCTCCTCTCCTACACTTGATTTTGCTGGGATCACGAATCCCTGCTCTCAATGGAGAAATTCCAAACTTGAGATTGATAATCTGTTACATCCATGATAAGAATTTCAATTCTATAGAGTAAGCCGAATAAGGAGATGAGAGGGACATCATGGGAGTATAGGGTTACATGATCGCCCTACACTACTATGCGGCCACCTTCATTTAACCAGATATTCTAAGCCACTAGATCTTTCCACTCGTTCCAGTATTGCTAAAACTCATATACTCGAGGGTGCTATTGGGCCCTGTGATACCCTTGTACAACAGCTTTCCGCATTGGCTCATGTACTTCTTTCAGATAATACTCCGTGTCGACATTCCACCCATATCAAATACAGTGATCTCCTATTGTTTTTTCCTTCCTGACACTTTGACGTGCTTCGCCACTCCTAGTTACATATGCATCATGCATGCATGTATACTAAACAGGAAAAGCTTAAACTACACCTCGTATTCTACGGTCTTGTCCCTCAGATACCCCTGTTTTCAGGGTTTGCACTGAAGAAGCCTGCTTTCCTCAAGTGGAATTTTTCTTTTCAGCTCCAGAAAGCCCATTCCAGGCGTCTCTGGCATCGCACACACGTGGAGCTTTTACTTCTCTCGATGCTGACAGTGCTGCTATTTCGCGACAGTTTCTATATAGAGCGCAAGCTGCCTTGAAGTACAAGGGACGGGGAAAGGTACACAGGAGCCTACAGTTATATGGATTATGAATCGACCCGGCTCCATATAGCTCCGCCTAGATCAGCATCGGAGCATTGTATCTCATCCATAGAGTTTGAAACACTGGTATGGATGTATTACACTATCGACGGTGGGTTACTGTTGCCCTATTTAAGTTGTCTCTTCTATAGGCATATAAAGATGCGGCTTCCAGCACTTTCCCTCATACCAGTCGCGTGCGACTAACAATGTGTCTCTAAGAATTCGGGTTTAGACTTCTACTCGGCCTATATGACTACTACATGTAGTAATAGGAAATATCATCGAGAGAGGAAAGTTAGTGAGGCGGCGATAAGAGTGAATAGGTCGTGCTGGAACCAACCTGATAATATATTAACCCTACCGAAATTTCTTTGCAATTAGAATAGGCTAAAATACCTAGGTAATGATATTCTCCTCGGTGCCATCATATTTATCTAGGTAGTAATAGCATGTGAAGTTAGGCGTATCCTATTTACTTAAGAGTATATAGGGAATATCTGTAGTGTAATCAAATTCATAACGAGATAAGCCTGTGCCCTATTCACGGTACTGTATGCCTTAACCGAAGGTTTACGTCCAGAATTTGTCATGATGTATAGCTTGGGGAAAAAAAAAAAACTTATATATTCTGGTATTACTAGGCCAGTTGAGATAATAGGGCACAGGCAAAAAATTATGTTCAAATATCTTGTGGAAAATTAGTAGATATATCGGTTATAGATAGTGAGCATGACTGCTTGAAAGCAGATTGCATGATAGAAATTTAATTACTTTAGTTCTTGACCTAGATTCTTTCTAGCTGACAAGTAAACTTGGAATATTCCCTGAATGGCGTCCTAGCATTACGTGCTGCCATGCCCTAGTACGACTATTCAGACGGCTGACTTCACCATGGTTGTTACTGCTGTATGTTAGCAAGAACTTGCGAATATTTGTCTCGGCATTATATACCAATAGACACCAGATCATCTAGAAATGTTCCGTTCAACCGTAGAATTATCTCCGCGGCGGCATTGCCATCGGTGGCATCGGACAGACAACCGAAAGCGGTACTGTTTTCGCAGCAACATCGACACCGTCCATCGCATATCGTCTCATATTCCCATCTTTGTCAACAGTGACTCTTCCGGCACACTCCTCTATTGGTGAGAAGTAGAACACAATTGTCTTCGCGCACAGCCTACAATTCGAGGTGGCATTGTGGTTCTTTATATCATGATCCGGATATCGCTCCTGCCCCTGTCTTTCGGCATCGGCGGATTCATTAACGCGTCCGGAGAAAGATATTATTCTACCTACAGAATCGGGTACCGACGCGGCTTCCAGATTCTGATAGCGGTATTCATGGTACGGACAGACGGAGTTATTATGCTGAACTTCTTGTAACGACAGCTCAGATTTAAGACAGGGTTTGTAGTCTCGCGTATCTTCGCATAAATGTATCATGCTGCGACGACATTTGCATGATTCGTGAAAGTACACCTGGGTTTGACACATCTGAATGGCATCAGTCTTCTGCCTTGTGTCCAACTGCGCTTGAAGCTACCATGGTTTCATGCATACCCCTGATTCTAAGACTTACTATGAGAACATGCAAATGGCGCGAGTCGAAATCTTCTCGCAACCTTTGAATTAAGTGTTGATAATAGATTCCAGATTAACGGGTTATAATAAGATCTTGATCATCATTTCTCGGGCTTGAATCACTCCCATCCCTGTCACTCATACTGTCATTGTGAGTCATCTCAGATGATGTGACCATCAGAACACCTCGGTCCTTGAAACTAATTTAATAAATTTAGATTAGCCGAATCGGCTCTCTGTGCTGTTGCAAAGACATCTATGTTTTGGCTTCCTGTTTTATTTGTGTTGAATATCTTTGTGAGATCTCTGTGAAAGAGCTTTGTCTTAGTTTGCTACGTTTGCCTGGACTGCAATCAGGATCCCAAACGTAAATATTTATGATTTCTGCCAGAATTAAATCGTATTCAAGTATTCTACGATTTATGCAGCTCATTCCTAACTAGGAAGTTAAGTAACTAAGTGCAAACACTGATTCGGGCAGACATACATGTACCCATTGCGGACCTTGGAAATTTCATGTACGGGTTTTATCAAAACAATGGTTCGTATACGTTGGCGTACGCACCAGAAATTTAGCTAATATAACTATCCTAACTTGCCTGAACCGCATTACCTTATTCACCAAGTCAATCTTTCTTGGCTTGATCCCAAATGCTTTGCACCGTAATCTCCTTCACCACCTTTTCCGTCAACGAGCCCTCTTGCACTGTAAAACCGACTTCCTTGGGATGTCCAGGAACCAAAACAAATGAATTCTTATCAAAGTATCCAACTATACCGGCAGGATAGTCCAGCCATGTATACAGTGATACGCCATTTGTAGCTTCAACTGTAAACTTTCCTGTGGATTTATTATATGACAGCTTGAGTTCCGGATCGACCAGCTGGGCCTCATTCATGAAAACGGGTGTAAAGTAATTCTCGTGCGAGAATTGTGCTTTTGTGTTGCTGTTTGGTAGGCGGCCTGTAGCAGAAAGCGAAAGTACCAGCACTGCATCCTTGAGGGTTGGAATTGATAAATTCTTGATATTTGTTGTCAGAACATCAGTGATATTTAGTGGCCCGACATCAAATGCAACAGAAGAAGGCACCCCTGCATTCTTTTCCAATGGCTTTCCCTTGAAGTCATACCATGTCATATTCACAATCCCAGATACAGATTCCCAAAGATCAGAGGTAACTGTAACGTTCAAGTCCCCAGTCGAAGAGTCCCAATACGGCGCGACGATGACGGGATCATATATATTCTTAGCCACATAATGCAACACCTTCCATCGACCACCATACTCAATACCAGCCCACGTAGGCGCCTGCCAAATATCCTCTAATTGCCAATACAACGAACCCAACTGCCGCTCAGGACGTCCACTACCGCGCCGGTAGAACTGAATCTCAGATTTGTACATATCAGCCTGAAAACGCTGTGTTGCGAGACACCAAGCGCTAAAGTTGACAATCGGGTCTAACTTTAATGGAATCGGATAATACAGTTCCACGGCAATGGTCATTTCACCCATCCCTGCAGCACTCCGTGTCGTGTCTGTTGACAGTCCTCCGGGAGGATAATGATGATTTCTATGTAGGATCACAGAACTGTTGAAGATCAGGTCCTCATCGGAAACGGCTTGTCGCCATGTTTGCAGACTGGGCATACTGTGAAACCCAAACTCATTCGCGAATCGATCAACGGGATAATGGCTCATATCAAATGCTTCAGCGCTGATGTAGTTGTAATAATCGCTATCACCGTAATACTCGCCAGGCGTCACGTTCTGGTACCGTTCTACCATGGGAACTGGTAATGAGAAATCGATCTTTGTATACCCATTCCCCGTTGATGTTGGCGTGTAACTGATCGAACGACTGTTGTCATAGACCAACGGAAAGATCAAACTGATAAACAATTTTTCGTACTCGCCGACATATCGAGGGTATTCTGCGGGATCATTTTGATATACTTCTTGTAATTCAAGACTTTCCAACTCATTGCCGCCAGACCAGAGAGCTAATGAAGGATGGTGGTTCACTCGACGAACATTGTAGGTGACTTCTTCTACGACGTTGTCAAGAAAGGCCTGATTCACAGGGTAAAGTGCATCACTGAACTCGAATTCGCTCCACAGAAGGACCCCTTTTTCATCCGCGATATCGTATATAAATTCCGGAAGATAGGCACCCGATGCCCATACTCTAAGCATATTCTGATTTCCCTTGACGATAGAGTCAAACAATCTTTTCATGCGATCCTCAGTGACGCGCGGCCAAAATGCATCTGGTGGAATGAAATTTGAACCCTTAGCATAAAATTCGTGACCATTTATTTCAAAATGCCAGTTTGCTCCTGGTGCGATCCCTAGTGCAATTTGAGCGTCAGTGATATTAGTCTGATTGAGGACGATTGTTCTGAATCCAGTTCTTTTGGTTACTGTGGCCAGTGTTTTGTTACTGCCGTCGACGACGTTGATAGTGATATAATAGAGATTTTGCTCCCCCATGTTAGTCGGCCACCATAGTTTGGGCACGTCGCCACCCACGGTGGTGATTCCGGATATACTATTCCCAGAAATTGTCAAATTTGTCAACGAACCAGAAGCAATTGTTGTCTTATTCTGAGAATCCTTAATCTCAACAGTCAACGAGACCCCTTTTGGCAGAGTACCCAAATAGTCTATGCTTGCATTGACAACCCACGGCTTGCTTTGGTCTGGAGGCAGCCAATTAACCTGTCCTTCTCGGTGGATGTCAATATCCGTATTTAGCACGTAGACGCCATTATCAGGTTTGAATTGAACCAAGTAAGCCGGCTGCCACGGCCCTGTTGGTGAGAAAGCTGGACCCCAATCCCACCCAAAATCAGATTGCTCCTTTCGAATGAACCATCTATTCTCGAATTCGAAGACACCTTGGACTCCAGCCGGCCAGGCTGTAAATCGTCAGTCATGCCTTCCACCTCGCTAAATAATGAGTTTGAATGCTACGAATATTGGTCGATACTCACTTTCTTGGCCTGGCTCATTGGCGATAGCGTTCGCAATCTTCGGCGCACTACTAAAGCTGATACTAATGACCGGGTGACCTTTGCATGACTTTAACGCATGCGATACATCGAACTTCCACTGACGAAACTGATTGTTTGCCGTGCCTACGGTCTGATTGCATAGCTCGATCGTAGCGAATGTGTCCAGACCGTTGAATACAAGCCAGGAACTCGAAGCGCCGTCGATTCTGAATTTATTAATGAATGCACATTTGTCCTCTTTGATCTGACATGACATACAGGCCCTTGACTGGCGGACTGGTATATGTCCAGTTAGACCAGGCGATCCACCGAAGATCGATTTCATTTGTGCCAGCGTATCTAATCACGAATGTAAATATATGCTTGCTCATTGAAAGCATAAATTGAGAATATCTCTAACTTACGGATCAGCTAAAAACGCGCATCGTTAGACTTCCATTAAGTTTCAGGTGTCATCAGTTATATGGAGTTCACTTACGAATGGCTCCAGCAGCGAACAAGTCCAAATGAACCTGCGATGGCAAAGATGCAGGCGCCGACACATTACCTTCTGCATTCTTCACCGTCCAGTCATTCCCAGTCAGATCAATAACATGTTGCGCAAAAGTCGGCAGTAACAGCCCTGAGCCCAGCAATATTTTCATCAACATATCGGCAATGATATCCAAGAAATAATATAATATTCCCGATTGCAATAACTCATTGCATGACGTTCCACAGGAAATTTCCTCCGTTGCGTAACCTGAACCTGAACCTGAGAGAGGTATTTAAGCATAACGACCGGCATGGAATGTAGCAGCCCTAGACACTGGGAACAACAAAATGATCGACATACAATCACAGCGTGGCGCATCCATTTGGGTCTTCTGAGCTCAATTAGACGTTCTTTGTAATGTTACATGGCTTGCTTTTCTGCATGAGATATACGCATTAGCTTGTGTGCATCACGGACATGAATCCGGCCTTCCTAGAACGGAAATTCCTGTTTATGTCAAAAACACAAGAAAAGAATATACCGTAGATTGAATGACATCAAGTCTCGGCCCACTCATCGAGTTCACGGAGTTGCTGTATGCTTGACTTGCGTGGAGTTGTTGTATGTTTAGCGTGAGATGGGTTGGGGGACAAAATGCGGGGATAGGTATTGGGATGTTGCATCATATTCCCCCGGAAAAATGAGCAAGCGTCTTTGGTACCCAGGTGGCTTCAACTACTTACAGATCTTGGTGACAATAGCGGTTAAAGCCTGGATATAATTGATATGGTTGTACGACATTGGAAGTAGTGTCTACCTAAGTAAGTATTTTAGCAAATATATTGTTTCTATACAAGAACAGACCAACTCCTCCTTCATTTGATTAGATACATCACTTAAACGCCATCAAAAACGGAAAAAATAGAGGCAAAGAGATCTCTGTTATAGCCCCTTAATACCATGCTCATGGTCATTAATATTATACTCATCTGGATATTTTTCCAGGTGTTTCCTCAACGCCTCACGTTGCATCTCTTGTTCCTCAGTAAGACTCTCATAAACATCGTTGAACATCTCTTTCAATGCAGGCTTCTTTTCACGCTCAGCAGCGTTGAACTCCTTCAAAATGGCTGCGCGAAGATCTGTTCGGGCCTGCTGTTCAAGTTCTTCATTCCACGCTCCTTTACTCTCGAGCCATTTCCGTAGTCGAATGATGGGATTGTCTCGACGTTTCCAGTCTTCTACCTCAACTCGGGCGCGATACGTGAAGCTGTCATCACTGGTACTGTGGTGAGAGACACGATAACTCATCGCCTCAATCAGAATGGGCCGGCCGCCATTCTCGAGGGCCATGCGCCGTGCTTCCTTGGTTGCCTCACGAACAGCAAAGATGTCGTTTCCATCGACACGGATAGTGTCAATACCATAACCAATACCTCGGCTCGCGATACCATCACCACGATATTGTTCTAGCGTGGGCGTGGAGATCGCGAAACCGTTATTTCTGCAAATGAAGACGATAGGGCAAGAGCGAGTCGCAGCCATGTTCAGTGCTGCATGGAAATCACCCTCGCTAGCGGCACCTTCTCCAAAGTAACATGCAACGACACCAGCTGGATTATTCGGGTTTTGTAGAGCTTGTATTTTCATGGCATACGCAGCACCAGCGGCCTGTGGAAGTTGCGTCGCTAGTGGAGAGGAAATTGTAAACTATCAAAAAATCATCAGTACTTCGTCAAATTGTGCTCGGCGAATGCTACTTACGATACGAGGATATTCAAGTCCATAATGAACGGGCATATTTCTCCCTTGACCTGAATCATGTCTATTCGCGAATAACTGCGCCATGAACTGTTTCATCGTAAATCCGCGTTGCTGGAATACACCAGATTCCCGATACTGACAAAATACAACATCGTGGTCTTCCAAGGCAGAGGCAGATCCAACAGCGATACCTTCTTCTCCGGCTGAGACCTATATATACTAATGAGCAGTGCTCTACAAACGTTATGGGGAAGTGTATATACCATATAAAAACTCAAGCGACCCTGTCTTTGAGCCTCGAACATGATGACATCCATTATATTCACAGTCAACATATTCTTGTACCACGTTATTATCTCCTCAGTCGAGACATCAGTCGGCTCATGCTTTTTATCCACGATAACACCATCAGAATCCATCACACGATACGTAGGCATAGCAGGCGACGATGACGGTCGGGAAAATGCCATTTCGGATGTGAATTTGCTATCGACAGCGCCAGGGAATCGGACTCTAGAAATAAATTAGTTTGGTCATTAAATCCGATTTCGACTCTTTTTATATGATTGACATACGTAGCCGACCCTGGCCGTTGCGAAATAGAGCTGTTCCATCGTACTGCGCTATGTCTGAGTTGTACATGTCGGTTTACTGAGCGAACTGCGAGTCGACCGCCGAAGAGTAAAGAAGCCATTGATGATGTATCAGGGCTCGCGGATTTTCATTAATAACATAGGTTAAACATGTAGTAGAGTGAGTGTGATTTTCCGTAATGTTTGTAAATAAAGAGAGAAGAAAAACAAGGTGAAGAGAATAATGAAGGACCAGAGGAGAGAAAGAGGAGGGCTCGGTTGACGTCGGCGCTCCGATAAGCTGATAACGGCGGGCATTGGCCGACGCTTGCCGAGTCTGCCCTTTTACTAAGGAAAAATGTTTCCGCTGAACACCAACTCGTTTTGTTAAGATGTTAGTTATATTCATGACAATAACTGTACTTGGCCATCCTAGAGATGCTCGCTACTTCTAACAAAGACAAAGAGAATGATCTCAATCCCTAAAAGTACATAACTGCACATGTAATCCTATCCAATCTGAATCGCCTTGCTTAAAATAAACAATAAACCTTTCAGAACCAAACATGCAACTGCAAAGAGCTATTTCCCAACTTCAACAACCGAACTGAGAGCCTGCTGAGCAAGCTTCTTGTTTCGCTTCACGAGAGCCGCCAGTTTCTTATCAATAGCATCAAACTCCTTCCGAGAACTCTCCAACTCACGCTGAGACTGTTCGATGAAGCCGCGCAACTCCTTATTTGACATGCCAAAAACATTGTCCATTTCTGGCATGATAGGATACCGCACCGATTCGGGGATTTTACGAGCATGATCCACTTCCGCCATGGTTGAAACATTTGGACCGGATTCCGAAGGGGGATCAAGCGCAAACTGATCTTCAGCGCTGACAACTGCTCCGGCAGCAGCAAGGGACATCCTGGGACTTGCTGGTTCAGACAGAGCGACATTAAATCTTCCCGGTGTCAAGAACAGCGCATCCAGTCCTCCATTCATATTGGTAGTATCAAGACCCGGCACAGTCGTCGAAGGATATTCACTCCACGTATCCGGATCCATACGACTCTCCAACTCAAGGTAACGGTCCTCTTCCTCGTCCGTGAGATGGCGCAGCACTCGGCCCTTGGGCGTAATCATGAATCGAACCTTCAATAAATCACTGCCGTGATTGATCCTTAGTGGCTTACCGCTGAGAAGAGTTTTCTTATCCTCTTCCGAAATGTACAAGTGTAATTTCAAACACTCATAATCCTCTGCGTCACATTTCATGTCGGTGCGTTGATTGAGAGGCGGAGGATTGAAAAGCGGATGACTAGTGAGATCAATCTCGCCTTTACTTTGCATTTGAGCCAAAAGAACATGGAGAGGCGCTGTCCGTTCCAAGAACAGGTCCTTAATGGAAGACCCCGTAGCCTTGGCATCCTCGACCAGCTGAGCAATGGTGTTGTTAGCCCTCCACGGTTCTTCAGCCTGAGGCTCAGGCACATCCGCATCTGAAACAGACTTGCTGGCATCGGGCGCCTTCTCTGGCGAGGATTTCGGTTTCCGGGTGCCTACAGCGGCTTTTGCTTCAGTCTTTTGTGTGGTAGCGTTTTCTGCATCAGAAACCTCCTTCGTAGATACAGATGAAGCTGGCTCAGAGGAAGCAGTAGGTGGCTTCTTAGTCTTGCGTTTTCGTCCGATGATCGGGGCCTGCACAGGTTCCTCAGGGATGGCTGTCGCTATCTCTTCTTTGATAGCCTCTTCTGCCTGCTTTGCCTTTAATCTCCGTTCTTTTTTGACTTGATTCTTTGTCATGGCACGCACAGGAGCAGAGCCTATTTTAGATGGAGGAGGTGAATTGGCCCGCGACACAGATGCGGAAGTCGTTATGTCAAAGTCGGAACCCACGTCGCCAGGCGTGTCAGGGCGGCCCGCTGATGAAAGACTAGGCCGTCTGGAGCGGATTTTGGCCTGGACAACCGAAGATAATGACGGCACCGCAGACACCGGAGGCGGCGTCCCTGTCTTCGGTGTGTCTACAACTCGCAGTACTCTTGGTTGACGCGGTCCAGAGGAATCAGAGTTCCGCGAGATCCCTGTTAACGGCGTCCCGGGTCGTGAGCTAGCTGCAACTGATTGTGGCAGGTGTGCAGGTGCAGCATTACTAGAAGCCGGGCTTTCCTTTACAGGTGACGGCGTCTGCAAGTCATCCAGTGGCATAGAAAGGTCAAGTTTAATAGGCTTGGGTTTCTTGCTATGTGCACCTTTGGCCACTGACGGTTGTTTGTTTCCAGCCGGTTGTTCCTTTAGTGCTGTAACATTGAGCTTCCTTGCCGATCGGGCCTTTGGGGAACCTAAGGAGATATCTCCGAAGTTGCGAGTCTTGTCGGTTAGTGCATTTTCATCGAATACATCTTGAGCCGCTGGTGTTTGTCGCCGAGACTCAGTATCAAACGACTTCTGCAGAGGAGTCCCGCGTCGGGATACCGGAAGACCGGGAGGGCCGTGAGTAGGAGGATTAATAGGAAAATCCTGGCTCTCCGAGCTCTTCTTTTCTGAAAAGAAGCGTGAAGGTGGATGACCGTGTGGAAGTGGGAGGCCAGGAGGAAGAGTAGGAGTGCCAGAGCGAGAATGCTCTCGCGAGTCATGGTTTAATGTCGTTCGAAATGCATGTTCCAACTTGCTCTTCTGTCCAATATTCAGAGGAGGAAACTCATCATCATCGACTATTGAAAGTTAGTGCAAGTCCCGAAAGTAGTCTTCAAAGCACGACAAAGGCAAAATAAAAGGCAAAAAAAGCAATCGGCTGCCATCGTCTGGGTGGTGATTGAGAACAGAAAACACAGTCACGATATACAATGCAGTAGTAAGGTGACTACAAGAACATCATGACTAAATTAAATCAAATACTCGGCCAGTGACACAGCAGCAGGAGGTCTAAGCACATTATTTAGTGAGAATTTGGTTTCAGCGTATTGACTCGTCTTGTATTCAAGACAGGACAGGGAGATCTTAACGTACATAAGCGCTTTGATCACCAGCAACTCAGGATGCTGAAAGTAGAACAAGCCAATGCAAAAGAGCTTGCAGTGGCTGGTATGAAAATATAGCCGAGAACATGCAAGTCACCAATGGGGGAATGCAGTGACGCGAAATCAAAACACCATAAACAAGACGAAAGTATATGTTAACCCGATCGAAACGCCAATAACACATCCAGGCCGTTTCTTTTTTACGGCCGTTTTGACAAATGCCGGCTGTTGTAGAAAGAGCAAGAAGCCATAATGTTGAAAGAGTAACAGAACAGAAGGGAATTGAAATCAAAGAACCACACAACGGCCTGCTAGCAGCCAAGACACGCGAGAAAGAAACGAACTGTCATGATAAATCGAGGAAGAAAGAGTCATACAAAAGGGGATATTTGAATATGCAATGCAAAAGGAAGTTGAGATAATCTCGAAAACGAGAAACGATGGCAAGCCGATACCTTTCGCCAGGAAGGGAGAAAGTACAAACTTATGATGACAATCACCAACGGTTGAACCCAGCACCGTACACCATAGAAGGGTTGTACCCACCTTGCCCCTGACTTCCGTATAGCACTTGCCCAGTCGAACCAACACCGACTTGATGCATCCTCGCCTGCAGAATGCTCGGGTCCGCAAGATCTACTACACCGCCTCCACCGGAGGAAGTGTTAGCGTGTCTGTGCTTCTTCCCCTTCTTCTTTTGCTTCTGTGGTCCAAAATCGGCAAGAGCACCGTTCTGGGAGCCATAGAATGCGCTGAGAAGGCCAGTAGCGGGAGTCAGGGGAGGGGGGGTAGGGTGCTGTTGAATGAAGGGAAGTAAGAACTCACGCTTAGCAGATTCATGACCTTGTAATCCACCTGTTCCGGCCGAGGCACCACGACCACGAAGTAACTCGCGCATGAAGTCTGGATTCGCCTCTTGCTTTCCGACATTTGCACCAAGACCAAGATTTGTGTTCGACGTAAACCCGTGACCCTGTGCAAACATGCCACCACCACTGATGGGCGGAGTACCTGCAGTTTTCAATCCTGGAGGAGGGCCTTGGACGCTACTGGTATAGAATTGGTTCGAAATGCCCTGTTGCGGAGCAGGAGCGACGAGTTGGCTAGGATTTCCAGACTGCATCAAATTTTGTTGACCGAATAGTCTCGTATTGGAAGTCTGTTATACAGGGTTAATAATGAACGAAAGAAGAAAATAATACGGTTAACTACCACTTACCCCTGCTTGAGAGATGCCTCCTTGGAACAGACTTGATCGAGACTGGGAAGCTTGATCGAATGAAGGATTTAAAGAATCCACAAGCGCACCTTGCTGACCGGTACCTGATTTCAGCAGCATAAGTTGTTGCTGCTGAAGCGGAGTCAAGCTTCGATTGTTTATGTTCAGGTTGTGGAATTGCTGCGATATGGATGCAGGAGAACCGACTAATGAATTGGTGTTCGTGTTTTGCTGCGAGGGAGGTTGAATCGCGCCGTGGCCATCGCGATTACGGGAAACCGTACCTCTCGATGGGTGTGCATCGTCCGGTTCGCCACCCAATTGCAAGCTACCACTCTCGCGGTTTTCCTCCTCCGCAGCTGCCGACTGTAACAATGACTGGGTTTCGGCTTCCTGCTTTGCGCGCTCCTGCTCGACTTTCTCTCGCATTGCTCGGCGTTTGGCCCCGCCGTAAGGATCAATGAGAGAGGGGCCGTTCTCTATGTATTTGAGATCATCGTCGGATAAGCCATCTGTCGAGAAGACGAAGCGAAATCCCGGAGAGTTAACTGCATTGAGAAGCGACTCTAGCAAAGAATCTTTGACTGGCGCCGGTTTAGTTGAAGGGACGTTTTGAGCAGCTGGTTGAACAGGTGCTGGAGCTGGAGTGGAAGCGGGAGCCGGAGTGGACCGTCGGGATTCTTGAGCGGTTGGAAAATTTCTCTTCACTTCTTCACTCTTAGCCATTGGAACATTTGCAGGCTTCGGGCTCGGGGATGAGCGGCTACCAGTGCCACTGAGCCGCCTAGCACGATTTATAGGTGCATCCTTGTTTGCCCAACTCGCGGAGGATGGGAGGGCAGGGCCATCTGGTAGCCCTTTCGCGCCATCATCTTTGCTGCCCTGTCTACGCATAGGCTGAGATTGCGGAGGCTGGGTGAAAGGTCGACTGCCAGCAGTTGTCGCACCATTTGCATAATGTTGTCTTTGCGCTGTATTCATGGAAGACAAATCCTGCCTGCTATAACTCTCATTATCGTCTCCAGTCTCGTGAAGAAATGTACAATTTCGGTTATTGCACTGTTCGTTTCGAAGGAAAGACGAGCAATATTTAGTGGTTCCGTATTGTGCTCTATAAGCCGATTAGTCCGTTTGCGCAAGCGACAAAGAAGGAAAATAACAAACCTGAGTAATCTATCACCATTTGTCGATCCGTCTACAGCCGCAATACAGGTGGCTGCATCGACTTTTCGTGCAAAAGTCACGTAGACGCCGATTCCTTGATTGGGGTTACCGCCCGGTTTGGCCTTACTGACGACAATCTTGTCGATCTCGCCATATTGGCCAAAATACTCCGGGCCACGCAGCGCCTGCAGAAGCTGTCCTTCGTCCCGTATAGTGGGGTTCAAACCAATAACGTAAACTAGGTTCTTTTGAACGACCCTGACACCAGCGAGGTTTTTTCGACTGGAAGCCTCTATTTCTCGTTTTTCAGCTTCCTTTTTCTTCGCGGCAGCCGCTTTTCGATGTTTCAGCGCCAGATCAGCTTTAAACCTATCGGAAAAGAGCGAATAAGTAACAATGCTCGCTTCAAAAGTGTAACGGACAGGAGTCACATACTCGTCTGCATCAGGAACCTTGTATTGTATAGTGCTTTCGTCGTAGACACGTCTGCAGTTGGGACATCGGCCTTCTTCGCTATGAGTTTTGATGTTGTTATAGCAAAACTGACAGATCTAAACAGGTCAAAGTATTAGCGCAAAGCCAGGATGGGATGTAGACCAGGATTTAGAGACAGCGAGAAAAGAAAAACGTACTTGATAACCGCAAGGACAAGGTTTGAAATTTTTGTCTGAAAGATCAAATTCTTCGATACAGAGTGGGCTGTTGCAAGGGTCAGTTGCCAATCTTCGCGAGTCATCGGGGGTGTGATCTTACCAAAACTCGTCATCATCGTCGATGACAGAGTCGATCTGATTGCGATTCGACATGATAGGTGATGTGTTGGGAGTTACGACGAAAAACAATTTCGCACCAAGTTGATTCGGGCGTTTGGAAGTTGAGAAATGAAGGGGAGCCGTCGCGGTAAACCCAAGAAAAAAAAAAACGACCGGGGATTGAGAGACAGAGGAGGTATATGAAAACAGATTATTACAAGAAGGAGAAGAAGAAGAAACTCGTAATACAACACGTCGAGAAGATCGAGTGGGAGAAAGAAGACTTGAGACTTGGTGAAAAGGAACAGAAGGTTCATTCTTGGTTTGCCGCGCTGGCAGGTGGTTCCCTCTCGCATTGGCTGAGCGGCGATGTAGGTCACGTGGAGTGGCTTACGTAACACAGTCAGGTGACCTGCTTTCCGCGGCTCGCTTCAACATCATCGGACGTCGCTCTTGCTAGTCTTCCAGCTTCATCCGCAAGATCTTCACTCAATTGCCTCGTCACAATGGCGGCAACGCGGTCTTTGTTGCGCTTGGGAAGCGGTCGGTCTCTCGGCGCTGCTTCAAGATCAGCAGTATGCGTTCGTACCTTTTCTTCGACTCAATTTCGCCAACTCGATAAGGAGGATCCTGTTCCAAATATGAGACACGCAGCACGTCCTCGTAAGTGATTATACAATAATGATGCGGGCCAATGGCTCTAAATTGTTCTGCTGCTAAATATCCATCGCTCGTATAGCCCAAGGAGAGCTCCGTGCTCCCGTGGTCAACCCTGCCGACAAGTACAAAGATCAGGCCGACGCCATGCACAAATACGGCCAATACATCATGTCCTGCCTTCCCAAATACGTCCAGCAGTTTTCGGTTTGGAAGGACGAGCTTACTATTTTTGTTCCTCCCTCCGGCTTGGTCCCTGTCATGACATTCCTCAAGTACCACACTGCCGCCGAGTTCACACAAATTTCCGACATAACTGCGGTCGACTATCCTACCCGCGACCAACGATTCGAGGTTGTTTACAACCTGCTCAGCGTCCGCCATAACTCTCGTATCCGCGTCAAAACGTATTGCGACGAGGCTCAACCCGTTCCTAGTATGACCAGTCTATATGACGGAGCCTTGTGGTACGAACGTGAAGTTTACGACATGTTCGGCGTTTTCTTCTCCGGCCACCCCGATCTTCGCCGTATGCTGACTGACTACGGCTTTGATGGGCATCCTCTCCGCAAGGACTTCCCGTTAACCGGTTATACCGAGATCCGATACGATGAGGAGAAGAAGCGCATTGTGTACGAGCCTCTTGAGCTTACTCAGGCATTCCGTAACTTTGAGGGAGGCACCTCTTCCTGGGAACAGGTTGGCAGTGGAACAGACCGTGCTCCAGACACTGTAAGTTGTCTGCATGCTATTTGCAATCTCTGTCAAGTTACTAACGTGTAACCTCTCATTTTTAGTTTAAACTTCCTACTCCCAAGCCAGAGGAGAAGCCAGCAGAAAAGAAGTAGGCTGGAAGAAGCCTTTTGTAAACCTAACCTTTCATTATTTTTCAGTTTTCGTGCCATGTCTACTTTGTATATAGAGACCCGTCGCGTTACCGTTCAAGATTATGGTTGAATGGATATTAGAAAACAGAAAAACAAGATTCATTTAGTTTACGTTTGGATTGCTTGCAGCGTACGTTGCAATTTCCCTAACACAGAAGTCAATCGACCTACGATGGTCACCACCATTACGCCTGATTTTCTACAGTTGACCAAAAGTGGAAGGTTTGGAGAAGATGAATGAGTTGGGAAGCAGCAACCAATCAGAGCACGTGCTGAAGACTTCCCCACTAAAATTTTCCATGCGACAACGGCTCACTCGTAAACCAACAACTCCCATACTCAACGGTAAACTGAGTTCAGCAGACTACAACTACGACCTGGTGTTGTATTTGTTGATTCTACCCTACAGTAATTTCACAATGCCAAAGCGAAAGCATTCCGAAGTCGACCTGTCTGGAGATGGTGACGAAAAGCTCAACCGAGTAAAAGCGACTCGACTGGGACACAAATTTGAACGGGGATCGCAACTACTTTTTCGCGCATTGAAAACAGCTCGAGGATTCGAAAGGCAGAAATTAGGTAGACGGCAGAAAACAGCTAAGGGAGATGGTGACTCGAAGACACTGGAGCGCTTGGAGAAAGAGGTGCACGCTTTGAAGGTTCGTCATCTATCTCTTGCAACCATTCAACAATCCGTCTTGCTGACTAGATGATCTTCACAGGCCCTTGATCTCGAAGAGATAGCGCAGCGATACCTCCTCAAACAATTGAACAAGACGAAGCGGATAGCCGAGTCTCCTGAATTTGTGCGACTAGAAAAAAGCATAAACGCTTCATTTGACGTCGGCCCTGGACCGCGCGATCCTGCTGAAGCAAACGTTACTGCGAGATTGTTTAAATCGAATCCTGTCCAGACTGCGCTGCCTGATATTTTGACTGACATTCGAACTCTACTGGGTGTTGACGAGATTCCTACAAGAAAGCAACAGCAAAAGCATGTGAAAAAGGAAGCAACTCAAAATGAAGAGACCGCTAAAGAGCCGGATGAACCTCAAATAGAGACGGATATGCGCTCTCATAAAATGGAGGGTCGCAATTCAAGGGCCGAAGACTACTTGAATGATGTCAATATGGATGATGTATCAGATGACGGTGATAGCCTAGATCTCTCTCAATTTGATGCACGCCTCGCATCGGCATCAGAGGGTTCGAATTCTGAGGAAGAAGAATTTGGCTATTCCCGCATCAAAATAACCTCGCCATCCAACAGAGACAACCACGAAATACCAGATGATATTTCAATATCTTCCTCCCCAGCATCCTCTATCATATCCCAGAACCCATCTGAATCTCCTCTACCAACTTCCGTCTCACCACCCAAAACCCACAAAAAGGAAAAGAGTGACGAACAACGTCCAAAAAATACCACATTCCTCCCTTCATTAATGATGGGCGGTTACTGGTCAGGCTCTGAATCAGATCCTGAAGAAGACGAAGTCGCTGCTGCTGCTGCAGGCAGTAGACCGCAACGGAAGAATCGAATGGGCCAACAGGCACGGCGGGCTCTATGGGAGAAGAAATACGGTGCTAGAGCAAAACATCTCCAGGAACAAGAGAAAAATAGCAAGAAAAGCAAGAATAAGGATAGTGGCTGGGATGCGCGGCGTGGCGCTACGGATGAGAATGATAAACCGAAATGGGCTGCCGGTGCTGGTAAGCGAGGGATATCTTCGCTTGGGAAGCGGGATAATCATGCAAGGGATAGCGGGAATGGAAAAGCTACAATGACAAACAATAAAAGCTCTTCGTCAGCTGCCACAGCCGGGTTGCATCCATCGTGGGAGGCAGCCAGGAAAGCTAAGCAGCAAAAGGCTCAGGCTTCTTTTCAGGGGAAGAAGATCACTTTCGATTAGTGTTAAATATGATTATACGTAGGTACATGTATGTGTGGATGAGTCAATGGCTTGAGCATTTTGCAAGGCCAGCCTTCGTTTCATTTCTGTCTGTGTATCTAACATGTATGGTGATAGACAAGGCGTGTCACCTTCTGAGGTCATTTGTTATGATGTAAATAACTAGTCTAATAGTCTATATCCAAAAATCTGCCCCTTCAATGGTGATCTTGAAGATGATCTAGCGGCAGTACACTGGGTTCTCTGCAAAGTGACTCTTCCAATCTTGAAAGGTTGCCTTGGGCTAACTGACAGTCCTCTGCAAGCATAAAACGCTAGAGACATTGCCAGTCCAAAACGTCTCCTCTGAGATGGGCAGGTGGGTCAGAAAATTTGACGATGAATTCTTCCCATAAATCATTTATATCAATGTCTTCAAAAAAGAAGCGGTTTGATGATGAGTGTCCTTCTGGAGTATATGATTCTGGACCATTTCCGTCAGCGCCAGTCAAATATGGCTGTACTCTTGAACTTCCGGTATCAAATCCCACATAAGTCGGTATACTATGCACAATGCCAGGAGATATCGCTCCAGGATCGGAATGTTTATTAGGGATGAGTTGCACACCCCCTGTTGCTTGATTCGGCAACGAACGCTGAAACCTCTCATCTCTTCTCAAGATTTCTATCAATCTTTGGATAGCTCTGGTGGTACCGTTCCCTCATGAACTCAGTGTTCTCTGCTTTTCTTCAAGTTTTGTACATGTCTTGAAAGTTTCCTTCCATACGGATTTGGGCCCTTACCTCATCCTGCTCGGCCATGACATCGATCACTTGTATAAGCAACACGCTAAACAAATGCTGGTCCATGCTGTACGAGTGAACATATGGGAAAAGTCCTTCCGACTCACTCGTTGCGTGCAGTTCGAGCAATTTCTGAGCACAACTGACTGCCGTCTTGCGGGAAAAGGAATATTCCTCATTGTGTAACCCTCGTAGAAAGTATGGTCGATGCAGTCGACCAAGCCTAGCGTACAATGCATAGAGTAATGCTGATCTCTGTCGAGCGATATACGGATACCGATCCGTAAGTAGATCAGCTTCTCGTCCTTTTCCAGCGTCAAATTGGAAGAACCACGGTAGTTGGGTGTTGAAGGATTCGAATTTTTCACTCAATTGAAGGATATGTTCATATTCAGGTACATTTCTCATGAACCTCGAATTTTGAGTTAAATCCATAACCTCCCGACAGATCCCAGCAAACTTGGCTCGTTGTATGAAAAAAGACATTGACGTCGGGCTATTTGATTCTTCAATTCGTGAATCTAAGTCCTTTGCATTTTCACTGTCCACGTCCGTCGGGTATTCCACTGAAATGTGCTGCGGATTAATGGCATATATCCCTTCATATGGGCCAGGCAGGCTACCGACAATCCTATCGAAAAATTCAGCCTAACCCCTGAACAACATTGAACTAGGAACACTAACCAGTCCGTCGATGCTAAGTGCCACCACAAGCGCCTTTTGATGTCTAATTCGATAGTGGAACGAGCTCCTAGTTCAGTGTCTGAATGCGAATCTACTCTGTGAAGTTTCATCTGTATTGCCTTTGTTGTGGCAACGCTCCTCAGGAGAATGAATACAGGCGATTGACCTTCTGAGTCCCAGATGAGGCCAAACATAATGCAAACGGACTGTAATAAAATGAGAGACAAGGAAAGCATTGCATCTCCTATAAGGACCAGATCTAAGGCTATTTCTTTCCAGGAGTTGTACGAGGACCGTGCCTCCATAAGCTCCCTCGGAAGGGAATTGGGATTATTCCGAATGATATAGAAACAGCTTGATGAGAATATGCAAAAAAGAAAATCCAGATCTTTTTTTGAGTTCTTCTCAGGGTGGTGTAACTTGGTGTATGTTGTCTCCAATAGAGATCGTGAGAAGCTTATGTCAATTTCGTGATGGAAGTTATTGACCATTCGAGCGTAATAGTCGAACAACATCCAAGCAAGTTGTATGCCTGGAAGTTTTTGGATTAGCTCTGCAGTTTTCTTAGTTTCTTCTCCACATTTACTACAGGGGGTCTCGGCATTGGGAATGTTGTGAGGTGTAAGGATTTGCTTTGACGGGTCACCGAGCGCATTCAAGGCATCATCTTGGCTTGCACTCGATTCTGAGAGTTGGGCCTCAATTTCAGAGTCATAAAACCCCGGAGTTGCAGCAATGGCCTCCAATTTGTCCCATGTCTTGATACTTTGTCTTTGCTCGTTATCGTTGGAAGAGCTGCAACGTGCAGAAACGGTTGTTGGACGCTCGTGAGATTGCAAAGTATCTGTCATTTTTGGAATGAGGTATGTCTCCAGTCGTTGTAATCGAAGGTTTATCTCAAGCATGTTTCTTTTATAGAGCATTAGTAAGTGAAGAATAGGACAGAGGGGACTGCACTTGCTGTTCCAGAGATCTAAGACTATCGGACAGGGAATGAAAAGCATCTCCACTGTCCTTTTCTGGTGATGGAGCTATGAAACACGTATAGGTTAATTGCGGCTATTATATTGATTTGCAGGTCTCTTCACAGAACGTAAATCCTTCGACCATTGACTGTAAGATGACCCTCAATGGAAGGAGAACAGAGACATCGTGAAATCAATCAACAAGGAAGAGTTACCGCATCACTTACAGGAGGCATATCTGCATCTAATGTCTCTTGAGATACAGTTGTTGCAGGGTCGATTCTTGTCACATCTGATCTTTCTAGAACGGCAAAACTCGCATGAAACAGGCTGTTGCCAGACGCTTCGCTTTGGACTGCACGAGGATTCCGGGCGGGTTCTCTTCATTGCTGTGATGCTATAATTCGGATCAAAAAGCTGCCATGTAGTGCAACTTAGCAAATAAAACAAATTATTCAATGTTGGAGGTCGACGTCGTGCGTATTTGGAGTGTCAAGATGAGTCACGCTCTCTAGAATGAAATCCATCGGTCCTCCGCGGACGTCCGAATTTTTTTTTTCGATTGCACTTGGAACACATACAGCCAATCGCTTGCTTAAATTCGAAGCTACTTAGAAATACCAATACAAGTCCTCGCTAATAATGGTGCTTCATGTGGAAAAATTACGAAGGTATGCTCCACAAACTTCGATGGTAGGTCCGGCGAGATATAAATTAGGGCAGCAGCCCAGCTCATGGAGGACTGTTGGAAATTATTTTTGACTAACATGCAATTACAGCAACCTTGATATTATTTCTTCCAATATTGACCTGTTTTCCATTTTTTAGCTTGGATTTCCAGCTCCTGAAGTTATTTCACACACTATGACCCTTCCGCATGCAGAAGTCCCTCCTTCCCAACCTGATGATGAAGAAGAGGGACGAGAAAGGATTGAAAACCCAAAGCAAGTTGCCGACGATACAAAGACCAATGATCCCAGAACATTCCCCGACGGTGGACCGAGTGCATGGTTGGTGGTGTTTGGGGCATCCTTTGGTCTATTCGTTAGTTTTGGATGGATAAACTGTAAGAGATAATCTTACCTTCCACAGGCTTCGTCTATAACATTTCAATTACTTCCATACAGGTGTAGGAGTTTTTCAGGCGTATTACGAGTCCCATCAATTGCAGTCCGAATCACCAAGTACAGTCTCCTGGATCCCCTCGGTGTCTATGTTCATGATGTTTATTACAGTAAGTCGCTACTTAGCAGAATAAAGTAGTTTCCACTATTTGACGCACTGTTAAAGCTAAGTTTATCTTGATAGGGTCCTTTTGTTGGCAGACTTTTCGACAATTTCGGACCTAGATATCTGCTTCTTACAGGAACAGCCCTCCACATATTCGGCTTGATGATGGCGTCTCTGTCCTCTCAACTCTACCAATTCATTCTTTCCCAGGCCATCTGCAGTCCCGTCGGCGCAAGTATGGTTCTCTACTCTTCTTTCAATTGTGTCACAAGTTGGTTTATACAAAGACGTGCTTTGGCCATGGGAATCACAGCCAGCGGATCTAGTCTCGGAGGAGTTATTTTCCCTATTCTTGTTGATCACTTGATACCACGGATCGGATTTGGCTGGACCATGCGCACTTGTGCTTTCATGATGCTGGGCTTGCTCATAGTCACAAATCTCACAGTTCGATCAAGGCTCTCCCCCAAACCAAAGAACGTTGAATTCATTGACTTCCTCAAGCCTCTTGTTGATCCTCCGTTTTTACTTACGGCACTTGCTGGGTTCTTTTACTCGATGGGTATGTTTATTCCGATCACCTTCTTGGCAACGTATGGAGAACATGTGGGCATGTCTCCCAAAATGGCTGGATATCTTGTATCGATCTTCAATGGAGCGAGGTAAGAGAACGAACAGCTCCCCTCCCTTGTAGTTCGAGTACAATGTCTAACGCTGCGTAATTCAATAGTGCCATCGGTCGTATCCTTCCCGGATATGCGGCAGACAAGGCAGGGAACTTCAATGTATCCCTCACAGCAGCATGTCTTTCCACCATCCTGGTCTTCGGCCTCTGGCTTCCCGGCCACTCAAACGCAGCCGCCATTGCATTTGCGGCGTCCTTCGGTTTCAGTTCTGGCACGTATACTGCCATGAGCCCTGCCCTTGTAGCCCAGATTTCTGACATTCATGAAATCGGTACCCGATCAGGGACAATGTATGCTTTTATGTCAGTGGCAGCGTTGACCGGCAGCCCTATCGGAGGCGCTTTGATTTCGGCAACAGGGGGTAATTATTGGAAGTTGCAGGTGTTTGCTGGGAGTATGCTTGCTACTGGTAGTTGTTTCTATATCGCCGCTCGCATGTACTTGGCCAAGGGTAGAATTAGAGGGAAGATTTAGGTGTTCTAAAGATGCTAATGTATGTTTGTGACAAGGGGTCCTACATCGGAAGGACATAGTTACATATTTCCCGGTTTTGTTCAGCTACTGTACATTTCCAAGAATGTTTCGGGTTCAAGAGGAGGGATTGGGATATCTTAGCATTAGTTATATGAAGGTAACAACAACATGTACAAGAATACATAAAACAGAAACAAGGTACTCGAGGTATAATAAACAACACAGGGTATCCAAAAAAGCAGCATAGAAGATAATAGAGAACCTAAGTTTTTGACATAGTTTATATACAGCTCCATTTACCGTTTCGCATCGGGGATAGAATAGATAGATGAAATAGAATAGATAAGCGTTGTATCTCTTTCTGCAGGGTGTTAGAACTACTTTAGGCGGTTTCCTCTTCTGGATGGTGATCAGTGGTTGGTGTTGTTGTTGTTTGACTGAGAGACATCGGGGATTTCAAGCTCGTCTCTTTGGAGGAGGGGTCTGGCGTTGTTTTGCGAGAAGCCTGTACGAGTTCACCGACAATTCTATCATTGAAAATTCGATGTTAGAAAAGTTCTAGACTTCGTCGGATGAAGATTCATACCTGCGATGTTCATCGTACCAATCATCGTTTGCCGCTCGAATCTGTTTAATCTGTTCCTGAATGCTCGCCATCTACTTCAATCAGCCTCCGTTCCGACACTGTACACAATCCAAGAAAGAGGTATCAATAACGGGGCGTCCCCACCGTTCCCTCTATGGAAGAACCAAGTTCCTCACCTTCCGCAGATGCAACCCCCTTTTCTTCCGTTTCTCCCTCAGTTGTGGCCCATCTGCTAGCAAGTAGATTGCTCGTAGTTGGTGTCTTTGCATTGGTAGAAGTTCCCTTGAGAGTCTCTAGTTCTGCTTCCAACTCACGAATGCGCTTGCGACTTTGGGAGATATTCGAGTCGACGTCACCCAATTGTGTCAACAGAGACATGTTTTTCTCGATTTGCTCATTTAGTTCCTTTTCATTCCTGGCGATTTGCTCTTCGATAGACTTGTTCCGGCTAATGGCTAACTCCAAGGCGCCGCTGTTCTCCTCATAAGTTTTCTTCAGAGCATCCAACTCGTCCCGAACGGCAGTGAGTTCTACGGTAGAAGTCGAAGACTTCTCTTCTGCTGCACTGAGTTTGGTCGTGAGCTCAGTAACTTGCTCTTTCAGTTTATCAACAACTGAGGTATCGGCAACAGCTTGATTAGCCTTGTTAAGCTGTTCGCTGACATTAGCCAAGACAGTATCATGAGACTTCTGCAAAGAATCGAGCTTCTCTTGGTATGATGACTCAAGCTCATTGCGCAAGCTGGTTAACTTGGCCTCGTGAGCGGTCAATAGCTCTTCAATGACTCGGCTGTGGTCAGAGTCCGTTTCAGCAGCTTTTGAAGCCTGAGCGGTTTCCCATTCCGTTTTCAGAGAAGCATGCTTCTCCTCATATTCCTTCTTCAACGCATCAATCTCTGCCTGGTGAGCTTCAGCTTGGCCAGCAGACTTGGTAGATGTCTCCTCTTGAACAGCAGTGAGCTGGTTTTCAAGGGCCTGTAGCTTCTCCTCATATTGCTTTTTCAAGGCATCAATTTCTGCCTGATGAGATTCGAGAGTAGCGGACTTGGTAGACGTCTCTTCTTGTGCAGCAGTGAGTTGGGTTTCAAGATTCTGTAGCTTGTCTTCATACTCCTTCTTCAAGGCATCAATTTCTGCTTGATGAGTTTCGAGTTGAGAGGCGGATTTAGAAGAAGTCTCTTGCTGAGCGGCAGTGAGCTGATTGTCAAGAGCCTGCAACTTCTCCTCATGTTCCTTCTTCAAGGCCTCAATCTCAGCTTGATGAGCTTGGAGCTGAGTAGAGGACTGGGAAGAACTCTCTTGCTGAACAGCGGCCAGCTGACTCTCGAGAATTTGCAGCTTCTCGGCATGACCGGATTCGAGTGCTTCCTTAGACTTGAGTAGTTCGTCATAGCTAGACTGGAGGGACTGAAGGGTTTCCGCATGAGTGGATGTCAACTTTTCCAATTCAGAAGAATGGCCAGATTTTAGGGTTTCAATAGCACGTGCGTGTTTTTCAGAAAGCTTGCTAGACTCCTGGGCCAGCTCCTGTGCGGATCGCGAAGCAGCTGCAGCTTCTTCCTGCAACTTATTTTGCAGCAAGCTGAGTTCTTCCTGCTTAGCACTCAGATCTGTTTCAAGAGCTTTGATCTTGTCGGCATCAAGTTTCAACGATTCCTCCATTGAAGTCACCTTCTCCTTCAGGGACTCAATCTCCTGTGCAGCGTCATTGTTGGCGGAGCTGATGTTCTGTTCAAATTCCTGTTTGAGGTTGTCAATTGTGGAGTTAGCTTCCGTGAGTTTTGATTCGAGCTCGGTCTGGAGCGCTTTGGAAGCCTCAAGCTCCTGTCGCAGCTGACGCTGCTCGGCTTCAGAGGCCTTAGACTTCTCAGAGAGCGCTTGCTCATGGTTGGCGATGAGTGTGGTAACATTTGATTCGTGCTCTGCCTTGAGCTCGGCAACGTTACGCGCGTGGGAAGCCTCAAGATCCTTCGTCTGCGTCTCCGCATCTCCCGAAGCTGCTTTCAAGGACTCAATTTCTGCGGTTAGGGACTCCGTGGTGGCCCTGTACTGATCAATCTCAGCTTTCAATGCCTTTATGACCTCGGTCTGTTCAGCAATTTCAGATTCCTTTTCGGCTAGAGCTTTGCCAGCTTTTTCAGAGTCCGTCAGGGACGACTGTGCCTCAGCTAGTTTGCCTTCAAGTTCCGCAATCTTCGCTTCCAATGATGATACTTTCTCAGTCGACGATTCCTTCTCAGAGGCGATCTCCTTCTCCTTGCTTTCAGAGAGTTTCTTTAATTCTATTTCCAGGTTCTCAACCACTTGGTCCCGTCCCTTCAGCTCCCTTTCAAGCTGCTCAACAACACTCGAGTGTCTTTCATGGGCAGCAGCTTCCTTTTCATCGGCTGCTTTCGAAGCTGCTTCAGCCGCAGACTTTTGTGCTTCAAGCTCTTCAATCAAACGACTGATCTGTGATGCAGTCTCTGCTGCAGACGCCTTCTCGTTTTCTAGATCAGTCTGGAGGCGCTGAAGCTCGGCCAGATGAGTTGCCTTCAGCTCCTCCAGCATCGATGTCGTCTGGGAGCCATTTTGGTCTAACGCGGACTTCTTGGCTTCCTCCAAATCCTGTAACGATTTGACTTCCAAGTTCTTGTGCTTCGTCTCGGCTGCTTCGAGTTTCTCTTGTAGTTGTTGAATCTCCTGCGCATGGTCCAAAGCGAGTTTGTCGATCTTGGCGACATGCTCAGCTCGAATTGCCTCCACAGCACCGTCAACCTTTGGGGATTCTGCTTCGGCAGATTGGGCGAAGGTGGCCATCTTCTCTTGAGCAGCCTCCAACTCTGCTTTCAAGCTTGCAATACTGCTCTCGCTCTCGGATAATTTCTCCTGGAGTTCTGCGAGCTTCACCGCATCGGTAGAAGCAGTCTTGGCATCCGGTGCGGTGCTCAAACGCTTAGTGGCGGTGGTTGGTGGCCTGGCGGCTGCTGTGGTAGTGGGACGAACTGCCGTACGGGTGGTTGCTGTGGTAGAGGTACGAGGTGCCGTAGTGGCCGTGGATGGTCTGCTTGTAGTACTCGTTCTACTAGCTGTAGTCGAGGAAGCTGGCTTTTTGTCAGCAGTGGACCCAATCACACTTGCTCGGCGATTCGCAGTAGAAGTTGTAGTCTTCGCTGGTGCTCGTGAAGACGGGGTGCCTGCGAGAGACATGCGCTTCGCAGCGCTGGATATACCCTTCTTCTCATCGCCGGAACTAGCCACCTTGGAGGATTTTTCATCTGCGGAGCTGCTGATAGAAGCTCGCGACCGATGGGTAGCAGTAGTGCTGACACTTGGTGGCCTACGCACTGTACTCGAAGAGGTTGTGGTCGGACGTGTGGGTGGCTTGCTCAATGTGTTACCACCAGTTGAAGTCCGAGATGCTGGTTTGGTACCAGCGGCAGTAATCGAGCCAGTGGTCCGCTTCGTCGCCGTCGAGCTTGTAACAGGTCGTTTGGTGGTTGTAGTTGGCTTCTTTGCGGGCGACGCATTCGTTTTTCCAACTTCAGGACTGGTCACAGCTTCCGACTTGGATTCTTCCCCGGACATAAAATCGGCCTCTACCGGTGTTTGCGGAGGAGGTATTTCAGTTGTCTCCGCGCCAGACTCGGCACGCTCCTCAGCGACAGGTTCAGCTGCAGCAGGCTCGGAAGTGGGAGCCTCGACATCTTCAGGAGCTGTAGCAACAGGGTCTTCCGTGGTAGACATTGCTCAAGGTAGTAGAAGTTCGAGTACGGACGGTGGATGAGAGATTGAGTAACTCTAACAAAAGCAGGAATGTTAGCTAAATCTTTTTTTTTTCCAAAACATATTTGCAATAATCATGTAAGTTGAATTGAGATGGGCATCTTAATTGACAACACCATTGAATGATACAGGTCTGGCTGTACGTGGCAGCCTCGGTGTCACCGCATGCAAGGGCATCCTCGCATTTGTGCCAGATGGTCCGCGTTGGGCCCAAATAGCTATGCCAACGTCACTGGCTGGAAATAACCAGTAGCAATTCTGAAACACGGGCATTTTCAATGCTGTACCCCAGATTGACATCATTATCGAATCTCAGACGCGGATTGCAAGGTTGTCCTTCCATGTGCAACATGCCGTCCCTCCTTTTCTTGCTTGTTTTTTCCTTTCCCTTTCCGACATGAAACGTTTCAATTTATCCACATACCTTAAATGCAGTCCCAAATCTGATCTCTTCCTTCCAGCAGTACCGCGTGTCGCAGCCTCTGGTAGGTAGTAGTTCGGCTTTCAATTGCTGACTATGAAATCTCGACGAAGAGCGAAAGAGCAATGAAAAGCTAGGAGTAATTAACTTCTCCTTGACTCTTCTAGCTAGATACGCACGGACGTCCGGTCGGCAAAACAAATTGTCCAGCGACCTAAGAGCTTTAGTGTTGGCTTAGCTTGCGGTTTTAAGGGGCCTCACGGGCTGGACGGATCACCGAGGGACAAGCTAGTGCCAACAGAGGAACGGTCGACAACAATGAGATAGGTGATGATTTTGTGAGTTCGACAAGGACAACCAATACCAAACAAGATTATCAGAAGATAGAACACCTGATACAGCTGCAAGTACAATGAGGATCCTTCCTCGATATCTGTGTGTTGTTGCAAAAAAGAAAGAGGGGAATTCTTTCTCTGTGTTTTGACAGCGCAAACAAATACACCACGAAGAAAACCGAGCTAAGCCATCACAGGACTAGCGTGACGCGAACCATACCCCCCACCTTGGCCCAATCAGAGTGAGTCCTTCTCAGTGCAAAATCAGGGGATATCTTCTTGTTGGCAGTTTTCCTAGACGTTACCGGAGAATTATATGCTTAAAGACATGCTTTGAGGATTGGCAATTCTGTGCTGGCCGGCATATTACTGAATGTTGCTAAGGCATGCAAGCGAGCACTGGAGCCACGCTGTCAGGCACCGCCAATATTCGTTACATGGCCCTGAGTGACAACTCACTACTCCGTACAAGGCCAACAACATTTCTGCCAATACCTACGTGGTCGATTTTCGACGTTTCGGTTATAAACAAGGAACATATACAGTAATATTTCAAAGTGGTATCAAAAAAATCAGAAGTAAAATGAGAAACTCCATGATCGCCATCACTGAGAACGCTCGCAGTTGAAATTGTCCTTTAGCTGCTTGTAGTGAGCAGCTTTCTATCCCTACACCTGTCACCATAACGGTTGAATCACGAGATCACGAGTTGCCTGTCCGCGTCTTTCATCGCCCTCGCCTTTTCTCATACGCTTCGGCATCAGCTAGCGATTGTTGGATAAGCCGCAGTTCAATCCGTATATGCCGGCCGGGGTCAGGAGACAGCACGACTAATCCGCAATTATGCAACGACGTCAACGTAGTGTTGATTCGACCTGCAATTTCCAGTATGTTCAGAACGGCTGTAAACCCTCCTGCCAAAAGCCATTCGTCTTCTTCGGAGTAGTATGCTTTCAAGCACTCCAGGGCCAGTTCGCTCAACCCCGTCATCACGTCCTTGTAAATCAGCTTTGCATAATCTACCACGTCCACTTGAAGTTCCAAGTCATTCTTCTCTTTGCCTTCTTCTGCACGCATTTGGGCGACTTTCCGAATTTTATCGGCGTCTTTCCCAATACCTTTCACTTCCTCCTCCGTATGTTCCCAGGCATTGGGATCAATAGCGCGGCCTCTAGAACGCCTCTTCTGTATTCGCTTGTAGTCCTTGATCAAGTCCGATATGCGTTCTTCAATCGCCTCAAGTCTAACGTATTTCCGCGTTTCATAAGACTCCGTAGCCCTGAGTTCCTCGCAATTTTGCATCAAACGTTTCCAGCTCCTTTGTAGATCTTTAATTTTTGTGGCTTCGTCGTATGCTGTATGCTGGACCACTACTGCCGCTTCGTCCCGAGCTTCATCTTCTGATACGCCGGCTTCCCAGTCCCCAGCCGCCGTAGACGCAGAGGCTACTGGTAACGCACCGCTGACCGCAATCTCGATGTTCTCATTCCGTGATTCCCTGCGTCTGCGACGGCTCTCAGGCCCATCTGCAGTCGTATTTGATACTCGTTTCCTTTTGCGGGTTGCTAATTTACCGGTTTCTGGAGGTTGCGGCTGCAGTCTATCGACTATTCTTGTTCTTTGTGCGGGTTCAGGCGGTTGCTCGGCATCCCAGTCAAAGAGCCCTCTCATAGCGGAGCCCATGTCATCTTCTGATTCGTCTACGTTCGGATTTTCGTCCGATGCGTACTCGTTGTAATCATCTTCCTCTTGCTGTGACTCCGCATCTTCAATATCATTGAGTTCTGCAGAGTTGTCGACATGATTAATTTCAGCAGGCGGAGACTCATTTTCCATAGCCCCGGGTATAGAAGTTTTCCTGTTTCTCGTCCTATCTTTCTCTCCATTAATTATCACGGCAAAAGGACTGGCAATCCTAGAGACAATCGCTTGCTCTTGCTCTAGTTGAAGCTGATATTTGGGGCCAGATATCGGGATATCGTCTTCCGAGCTAATAGATTCCCCGTCCTCCTCCGGCTCCCTTTCAGCTTCACCTTCTTCGGCCTCGTCCGCTTCCTCAGCCTCCTCATCTCCACCCTCATCGTCCTGGACTTCAATATTCGCTTCTTGTGATACAAATATCGAACTGTCTGAATTTTGTGTATTGTTTTCCTCGATCACAGGGGTAACTTCACCCGCTTTGCCTTTATTCAAACGAGCTGATCGCCTTGTTCGCCTCTGATCGCTGTCGCGTCCTGTTATGTGATCATTCTCCGCGTCGTCGTGGTCAGCCGATTCCGCTTGCATATTCTGTTTATTTATCGCGTGAGTATCGTCGTCATCAACATCTTGGTTTGCTGACATATTATTCAAATAATCGAGAACTTTTTTGCTCCTTCCGGACGCCTTTCGGCGTTTCGTCGCACGCGCCATTTCTGACGCCTAGGATGGTTTCAAGTCGGCTGAGAACATCGGGCTTTCACACGAATGACTTTGATAGAAGTATGAATCACGAAATTCGCGAAACGGACGTCCAGCACAACATGCGACGACGCAAGTTTCCTAATTGACAGACTATTTCGCAGAATAATTCTTTTCTCGAAGCGCGTAACTAACTGGGGAGCTAAGCTTAGCCTGCATCTTCCCGTAGTGCGCCCCACCAGCTTTTATCAATGACGAGCTTTCCCCACGCAACCATCAACACTCCATCTGTTCCATGTCTCATTTCCTTTTTTTTCTGATAGAAACATCTTCCATGCTCCAACTTCATCATGCCTTACCAAGTCCTAGAGCGCATAGACAAGGCACATCATGTCTTCGTCGTACCCTCCAAAAAGATACACGACGGCAATGATGTCCAAACTTTCTTCACTACAAAGGCATACAGAGACATCATGGCATTCCTTCTACAGCTGAATCGAGCAATATTTCCGCGCAAAATCGACAATACAGTACAGACATGGCAATTGAACTCTCTTGAAGTCGAATATTCCGAACCCACTCGTCGCATACAGCTATTGTTATCAAGACTGGAAAGCATCATAGACGAGGTACCGCCAGACACCGGCCCGAGACGTTTTGGGAACATCAGCTTTCGGAAATGGCATCAGATTGTCGAGGAACGATTAGCAGGTTTTCTCGATGAAGCTCTCGGGACAGAGGTCCTTGAAAACTCACAGGATTCTTCCGCTCAGAACGTCACTTCACGGCAAGAGCTACAAGCCTACCTCCTTGGAAGCTTTGGCAGCGCGCAAAGATTGGACTATGGCACGGGTCACGAATTGAGCTTCCTAGCTTTCTTGGCTTGTCTCTGGAAATTAAGCGTATTTCCTGAGACTGGTCCAGGTGTGGAAGAGAGAGGTATAGTCATTGGGATTATCGAACCGTACGTATGGACTCATGCCATTCCCTCATTCGTGCTGACAATTCCCTACACAGTTACTTGGATCTCGTTCGGAATTTGATCAAGACATATACTTTGGAACCGGCAGGAACTCATGGGGTATGGGGACTCGATGATCATTTCTTCCTTCCGTACATATTTGGATCCGCCCAATACTCGCCTGCCATCGCCGAGACGGATGAGACGCCAGTTGAAGGATCCTTATCCGATGCTCCCGCTCCAACCTCGGTGGTCAAAAACAATATTGTGGAAAGAGAACGCAGAAAAAACATGTATTTTTCTGCGATTGGGTTCATATACGATGTAAAGAAGGGGCCATTCTGGGAGCACAGCCCGATGCTTTTTGATATATCTGGTGTGACAGGTGGTTGGGGGAAGATCAACAAGGCAGGCATCTGACTTAAAATCATGTTTGAATTGAGTTTCTAACGTATCGTAACCAGGGCATGATCAAAATGTACAATGCCGAAGTACTCTCCAAGTTCCCTGTGGTGCAACACTTTCCATTCGGTTCGCTATTCAGCTGGGATCGAGACCCCAGTGCAATCTCATCTCTGCCTTCAATATATTCCCAGCAGGCAAATACATCGACAATCTCACCATCCGTTACCAGCCAACCTGCAAGTACGCGTGCCCCATGGAGTCAGCCCAGCACGTCATTACCAGGAGCTACTGCTGTTCCATGGGCAACAAATACGGCACGGAATCCCCAGGTTTCTACCAATGATACTCCTTCAGCCACTCGGACACCCTTTCAAAATACATTACCCGCCACTTCGAGAAATCCTCCGGACTTAATGGCTCCAACTCGCGCGCCATGGGCTAAGCCTTCATAAAGAGGCTATTAAGCAATTATGATTATGAGCTAAATAATGAATGACACGCTCGACAAGCATAAAAGATCAATTGTGGGTATCATGTTAGAAATATCATTAATATACAAACAGTTGCAGTCTATCTGCAAGATCCAATCACTCCGAATCCGATCCATATGTAACCAGAGGAATAGACGCCGGCGTCTTCCCAGCCGTAGGATCTGGGTTCGTAGCCATCACTGACTTTTCTTCTTCCGACTTTGTCTCCCGGTCGGTAACTGCATCAACGCCATTGGACTTTTCTTCACGCGCCTTCCGCGTCTTCAATATAGTTGGCTGCCATATTTTCGCACCCTCGTTCAAAAACGGATCTATGACGGCGCGGGTATTCCCTCGCAACTCCTTGCTTAAGAGAGCCTTTCGTTTCGCTGTGGCTATCTCTGCTTTCAATTTCCCTTTATGTTCTTTCCCGTTTCTTTGCGTGTCCGCGGACTGCTTCACCAAGGTACTATCGCTGTTATTATCGAACATCGGCCGGCTCCGACTCATCGCTCCCAGCGCATGATTATACTCAGAACCAGGACCAAAATCAATAAGTCCAGCCCGCAGACGATCTTCCTCAGTTTCTTCCAACAATTCAATCCCCAAACTCATTTTATCTTTAAGCGCTTCAGTCGCTTGTCCAACTTCCTCAAGCCGTTTCCGCTCCGTTCGAAACGTCCTCCGTAACCGTCTAGATTGTTCGTATGGATCATCCCAATCCCGATCCTGTCGTTTTCGTAATTCACTTATCCTAGTTGCAGCTGTGTCGAATTGTCGTTTATCTTCGACTTTCCCTTCTAATCTTGCAAATGCGTCTTTTTGCTCTGCTGTTTCGTCACCCGGGTGTGATTTAATCCGAATCTCGCCCGGTTCACCTTCTTTATCTTCACCCGTATCCCTCTTCCTCCCACCTTCCGTAACAATATAGGCCGTATTCTTAGGATCAGTTCTAATTTCAATCCACCCTCCACAAACTGTATGTTTCATCCGAAAACTATATATAGGCGTAGAATAATAATTCCCGACTTTTTTCTTCTCTGCATTGAAACGCACTCCCTGACCGATTATGGTCTCGTGCGGTTTACAATTTGTGCACCACACGGCAAAGGGCATTTCGAAGCGGACTATGAGGGCGCCTTTGGTTTGAAGGTGGCGTGCGCGAGAGCCGAGGGGGTGTTTGCCGGCGAGCTTGTTGAAGGATGTCACGCCTTCTTGGTCCGGGGGGACGTAACGTCCCATGTCTGTTAAGAAGTACTGGTTAGCTAAATGTGTCTTTATTGCTGTAGAGGAAGCGACGAAATGCGACAGCTTGGATCGAGGGAAAAGAACGTACTGAAGCCTTGCATGGTGACGGCTCAGTCAAAGACTGCGGGCTCTAAGCGATCAACTAGAAGAAGTATATAGATAGGCAAGTCAGCATCTGCCGTCGTTGTGCGTCGTATTCTGAACACGGAGATGAGAAAGGTTGATGTTTAAGTTGAAGCGATAACACATTGTTATCGATGTCATTTACCTACGTACCGGGTTTCCTTTTGACGCTTCCCGACTTTCTCGATCCGTTTTAGTGCTCACCCTCTTGCCGCTTTTACCTACTGAGTAGAACTAAGCACGCTCCTGAGCGCGCTGACCAGATCAGCGAGCTTCACATGCTATTTATATGTATGCTGAGAAACATGCCAAAGCAGAGCAGATCCGCTCACTGAACTAAGAAGCTAATTCACCCCCATGGCGGCCTCACTAAAAAGTCTATCTATACCTTTCGACTAGATCAACCAACGTAATGAATTTTCCCTTCAAGAACGTATTTCACCCAATGCTAAACCCTAGACCAACAACATGCTTTATCTTACGATGATGTATCATCCAGTCTTTAATGATATTCAATCACAGGTTCAACTATATACAACCTTTATCATACAGTGTTTAGTCTAATTTGTTGTTGTTATTCTTATTCTTCATCATTTCATATCCCACATGTAAGCCCTCAAGTCTACTAGTAAGGTGCTATCCAATGATCTAAAGAACATGTGTGCCATCTTATTAAGAGAGCAGGTAAAGCTACAATACCATCCAGTATCATAACGATGCTAAGTACTCGCAATGCTATAGTTTAAAGGCGTTGTTGAAGGTGAGACAGTCAAAGCTAGCAACTCGGTCGAAGAGACAGACACGTCTGCTAATTTTGGCTGGTGCTCACGATGGTGGCAGAAGACGGTGTTTCGATCGTAGTTCGACGTCAGTCAGCCGTCTGGTGGATATGTGGAAGTCATCCCTCCATCAAAAAAAGGTGCGGTTACCATCACGAGAAGGGAACCTGGTGTGAATGATATTCAAGGCCCATAATATGTGAGGATCACGTAGACGATGAGGGATGCCGATGGAATTTGAGTTCCTACAGTGTTGTGCAACGAAGACAATCAGCCGCCTTGTACTGTGAGTCTGGGAGAAAGGGCATATCAAGACTTCCTAACGAGGGCTCCTCTCTCCCAAGAGACAGGTATCAGTTAGGAAGCAATACATAGAGAATTCCTTGCTTCCATCTCTCAAGAGTTTATCATAGATCCGGTGACTAGGCGATAATAGATGACTTAGGCACACATTCGTACGAATAGCTTCAATTCTTTCTATAGAAAAAATCAAAAACGAGCTTTCTTCAGTAACTTTGACAGCGCAGATCATGAGCTTTTCGATCTGGCTTGGATGAGCTCTACTACTTCAACAGCTTTGCTCAGTGAGGTTCCATCTTTCGTACGAGCAAGAATCTCATCGATAATAAGCTTTCTTCTTCCAAACATAACACGTTCCTTGGGCTCAGATCTCCATGATGTCCCATACTCACTCTCAAGAGATTGAACAGATGGGTGGCCATTCAAGCCAACAAACCATTCTTCCCAGAGCTCTCGTACGGTGGTTATCGTACGAGAGAGCTGATATGAAGGCATCTCTGTTGACTGAACTAAAGATGCTGACTGGGCCTGTTCCGGGATCGTGTTAGAGATCTCTGGCTGAATCCCCTCAACTGAAGTTGACTGTATAGAATCTTCCACTAGAGCTGGCTGCTCTGAACTTGATTCAGAGCCATTGGCTCGTACGGTAAAGGATATTCAGCCAGAGATAAGGTCATTTAACTGGCCAGAGAGCATCCGAAGAGAGTTCTGCAATTCTTGATGATTTGAGCTCAAATTCTGCAGTATATTATTTTCGACGCTTGAGATCTGGTCAACTATAATCGGCAGGGTTTGCCGAAGCTGTATCTCGCACGGTGTTGAGGATGTACAAACAGATTGTATGAGCTGTTGAGAAAACTGCTTATAATCTGACCTCTGGAAAAGAGGATGACTCCATAGTGAATGGGAGGGAATCTCTAATTAAAGAAATACCGAATCTTGAAGGATGACCGTACGGAACTGTTGAAGGAGTTTCAAGAATCCTTGAGCTGCCAGATCTTCTTGGTCATACTTTTGGCTTCCCTCTTGTATCAGAGGCGGTGGAGAAGGTAGTTCCAGTGCTAAATCTATATTCTGTACAGAGGAGTCATGTATTCGGAACCAAGTTAGCCATGTATCGACCCATGGCCAGAGGGCTCGTACGAGGCTTTCCGGGGGCGATACTGTAGCTCTAGGGAGATAGTAATTCCCTTGATCTGTAGGGTTGAAGCCAGCCAACCTATGAAGAAAAGGCCGAGGCAATTCAGAAAGATAGCGGTTGCTCATACTATCTTGATTCCAATGGCTTGCTCTTCGTATCGAATTCTCATCTACACCACTCAATTCAGCAAGGCGAGCTCCCCCTGATCGTCCGGAATGAGACTTTTTGTTGATCGACAACCCAACACCTTTGAACACCCTACTGGTCCAATCCAGCTGAATCTCATAAGATAGGGGCTTGGTGACCTTGGAGCCTTTAAAAAAGTGCCAATCGTACCACTGTTGCCGTTGATAGAATTGGGGAATTGGCTCCTGCATGATCTCCCACCGATAGAATAGATAGAATGCTGCTTGACCAATCGTACAGAGCAAAGGCTCTCTGTGTCGCATAACACCCATATACTCAATCCGTCCGAACTGGTTGATTTTACCATGGAATTTCATCATAATCATGGGCCAACAAGGAGTTGGCCTTTCCTCTATCCGAATAGTGAATAGATCTGGGAATTGAAGCCCCCGTCTATCTTGTCCTCGCAGAAGCATGTTATGACTGAATAGGAAATCAACAGCCGTACGAAGATAGGATAGCGAGACCGGATCGGATGGTGAAGGACAACTTCAGGAACAACAACATCTTTCCCTCTGTAATAAGCTCACCGTCCTGAAATCCCTGCTTTTGACACCAGGTTCTCCATTCTTTCTGTGGCCTTCCGTACGCCTGGCTGGTTGCTTTGGGCCGGCCTTGTTGGAAGTTATGTGCTAGTTTCCGGCTATGCAAATCTACCCGCGCCTGGAGCTCAAGCTGTCGATTCTGCTCCTGAACGATATCACCGGCAATCGGGGCTTCGGAATCCATTATTTTCAATACTTAGCTGCCGTACGAGTCATGCTGCAAGTCTGCTCATATCCCAGTGCGGCCGGATCCTGTCGGCCGCAGAATGACATCAAACCCCTAAGATCTAAAATACTGTCCGCCTTCCTGACCGCTTCCCTACGAGTTATAGCGCCATATCGTCCGGTAATGGATCCGGAGGATGAAAGTGGATTTTTCTGTAACTCGTCTGATAACTCACCTATTAATAATCTGGTGCAAGGTAACTAAGTTATTATTAAGGGTCAGATCGGAATCTGAGAACATATAACCGGGTTACAGGGGGTTTCGGGTTCGTAACACGGCTTGCAACCTGACCCTTGGTAAACTGCAGTTGAATGTCGGTACACATTAATTACCGTCCTTCACCGCCTGGTACCCGTTATCACCTGATGCCCAATTCTGCTTCAAAACACGAAAAATCGCGTCTATTTCAAAGCGCGATAGATCAACCAATATGGATAAATACGCGCTCGCACTTGAAGCTCTACATTCCTTAAAGCCAGAAGAAAAGCGCAATGTTTCTTTGATTGCAAGAACATATGATGTTGAGCATACAACCTGATTCAATGATGAGATAAACAATTCTTTCTTAGTCCTGGTTCTGTAGGACTCCCAATCCGACCGAACACTATTAAGGTTTTACACTCTAGCTCTCTTAGATATTTCTTGAGACCTTAAATGTTTATTACCTAGGAGCGATTGGATTATAATTACCAACTCATAGAGCTATCATTAATCCCAATTAGATTACTCGTACTTTCACTTTTAGACAGTCTTTGAGATGTAAATGGGGAAATCGCCACTCTGAAGTTTCGCCCATATGATGCACTAAGCAGTATATGAGTCACTCCATAATAGGAGATTTTGAGAGCACCGTCATCCCTAAGTTTCCCAATTCGTACCGAGCATCCAAATGCTGGCTTCTTCGTACATCTTCACGGAGACAGACACAAAGCCCAAGTGAAGTTAGGGCTCGGCAGCTCAGCTGACAGGATGATCTTCATTGGTTCGGGTGCTCGGCCGAGGTGAGGAATTGAGCAGGGGTTGGACCTTCGGCGAAGTCCAACTAACTTTCACTAAGCACATAGGTTCCGGTACTGGTATTCAGTGACTTGCTTGTCTTGGATTAGCATATATCTACCTTTCACTTCTTTGGATGCATCGCTGAGCATGTCGAAGCGAAGCCAGTATATCGAATTACAGACTATATGATCTGCTGGCCCCGGATTTCCCAAACTAAGTGGGTTTATATAGCCTTTCGTCTTCTTTTCTTCAGAACTACTACACGAATTATCCATCAACCTTGTTCGGTGACTAAAATTATGTCTGTAATCAGTTCTCGTGATGCGCCCTTCGGCCAAATCTGTCGAGTGGTCTTAGGCCCTCACTTATTCCGATATCCAGATGAGAAAGAAGGGTTTCAATATCAGTCGCCCAAGCCAGTAGCTGGAGCACCGTCTACACAGGAATCAGAAAGTAAAACACTGACGCCAGAGGAGAGGAGGAGCGAGGTAACAGATAGCGATGGCAACGTGGAAAAGGCTGAGCCAACTCCTGCGCCAGCAATATCGCAGTCAGGGTACGAGTCGGTTAGTTGGTACAGCGACAATGATCTCGAGAATCCACAGATGTGGTTGTTGGCAAAGAAGACGGTAACCTTTTTCCAGATCTGTCTTCTTACATTCTCAGGTCAGTTTTGAGCCCAGGTTTATTGGTTCTGTCAGCTCATCAGTTAACAGTGTACTCGGGATCTGCCATCATCACCCCAGCCGAGCCGGATTATGTTGAGATATTTGGTGTTTCAACTCAGGTGTCTTCTCTAGTGTTGTCGATGTATGTTTTAGGATATGTAAGTTCCTAGTGGGGCTCTAACAACATAGACATGGAAGGGAGAACTCACAAGCGGGTTAATAGGGGGTTGGACCGTTAATCTTTAGTCCAATGTCAGAAGTCCCTCGACTTGGACGGAATATCCCTTACTTCGTATCCTTCTCCCTTTTTATTATCATCACCGCTATCGCTTCTCGAGTTTCGAACTTTCCTGGCCTTGTCATACTACGCTTCCTGCAAGGTTTCCTCGGCGGTCCTGTCCTCGCGACTGGAGGTGCATCCGGTGCAGACATACTATCATTCCCAAAGATCCCATATGGTCTTACATTCTGGGGGTGCGCCACATTGGCCGGAGCAGCTCTCGGGCCACTTTTGGCTGGGTTTTCCGTGCCACTAAGCTCCTGGAGATGGTCCATGTATGAACTCCTCATTCTATGCGGCTTCACTTGGATTCTTTTATTCTTTTTCCTACCGGAAACAAATGCAGATTTTATTCTCTTGTATCGAGCCCGGCGTCTGCGAAAATTAACTGGTAATGAAAACCTGAGATCGGAGTCGGAGATCAAGCAAGGCAACATCCACCTCCTGGCGCTTCTAGGTAATTATTTGACTACACCATTCATGGTCACTCTGAGGGATCCGTCGGTTGCTTTTATCAATCTCTACACAGGTCTGATTTATGGTATATTTGTGAGTTCCTCTCTGAATTACTACAGGCAATACAGGACATTCCGCAGTGAACTAACCAACAATGACTGCATAGTACTCTTATTTTGAGTCTTTCCCGATTGTTTATACTCAAATTCATGGCTACTCTATAGGCATAATGGGGGTCATCTTCCTCAGCGTCATTGTTGCTTGCTTCTTCGGAGCTGGTACCTATCTCGCTCTAGTCAAATTTCACTACGAGCCGTATACTATGAAGTTTGGAATTGGTTCTCCAGAGCATAGACTTCTACCTGGTGTCATTGCTGGGCTTATAGCTCCTTGTGGAATTCTTATCTTCGCATGGACATCACGGGAATGGATAAGCTGGGTTGGGCCTACCGTTGGCATTGTTCTTTACATGTCATGCGTGTTTGTGGTCAGTTTTATATTATTATTTTACTTTTGGTTCATCCTACTAAGCCACTGCTAGCTTACGATGTGTATTTTCATCTACCTACTGATGAGTTACCCTCGGTATGCCGCGAGTCTGTTCGCTGCTAATTGTAAGTGGAACTACTGGGCCTGGTGATTGCTTTTAATGAGAAGGTCGTCTAACAAAAATTGAAATAGCGTTCCTTCACAGCGCATTGGCTTGTGGTGCTATTCACTTTTCACAACCCCTTTTCAATAATCTCGGCGTTGCAAAGGGATGCACAGTCCTCGCTGGATTAACGTTTGCTTGCCTCTTTGGTATTTTGGTGCTATGGAAGTGTGGGGACAAACTGAGAGCAAGAAGTACATTTGCCCAGGTTTACTAAATGTTTAGCTGTAGAGGGTTTTGGAAATGGGGTTCCCCTAGCTAGCTTTCCTCCTTTCTGCATGCTTAGTTATCAGGTCGTACAGCTACCCAATGGGATATTGGATTGAGCACCTTCACAAGCTCCGTGCCGGCTACGTCCTACAGTTAGGGCTTTGCGCTCCTTTGCCGCATGAAAGCTCCCCTCGACTTGGCACGTTGGTTGAAATATTCCCGTTATCCTCTCTGTATGTAGTTTACTATATTGTGGAGTTCTCCAGTGTATTCCTACTTAGCTCTAGGTGTTGGATGTCTATGTATGGCTCCAATTGGCAATTCCCCTCGTTAGCACTAGTTACTCTAGTACTTTTCTCCATGCTTAGTTATCTAGTTGACAAGACACCTATCAATTGGATTCCTGATTCCTGAGATTCTTATTATTAAGCATACAGTCCAGAGGCAACTACGAGGAGTCCCATGCATCGCCAGTTCTCTTGTCGATAGGATTTAGTTAGTGGGTCTCTACATAGTACAACGGAAACCATTCAATCTTATAATGATACATATGAGATCACAAGCAAGTACGCATACTAGGGTTAGGGCTATTATCTTATCGGCGATTGCGCCATCCCACGATAAGACGGGTCAGGCACCGATAAGAAAGAAAAAAAGAAGGTACCCCGCCAGCCCACCAATGACAGCCAAACGACAACTCTGGGATGATTGCACGTGCTGAATCTTCTTACAAATCCTATGCGCTTCTCCCCTTTGTGCCTGACTCCATCGGTTTCCACAAAGTCCATATACCGAACCATTGAATCACCGAAGCAGAGGGCAAGAAGGATGGCTGCTCTTCCCAGCGAATACAAGGGTACGTACTTCACGGTTCACTACTTCCCTCAGTACTAATCTGAGTTTGATGGTAGACAAGGTCCGCATCGCGGTTATTGGGGGTACCGGGCTCCAAGACCTCCCCGGCTTCACCAAGGTTGCCTCCCTCGATATTGAGACACCCTGGGGAAAGCCTTCCTCCCCTATCACAATCCTGCACCACCAATGCAGCGTCTCCGGCAAGGATGTCCCCGTCGCATTCCTCAGTCGTCACGGCACACACCACCAAATTGCGCCTCATGAGGTACCCAACCGAGCCAATATCGCTGCTTTGAGAAGCATCGGTGTCAGAACAGTCATCGCATTCTCGGCTGTCGGCAGTTTACAAGAAGCTATTAAGCCGAGAGATTTCGTCGTGCCGGATCAGATTATTGACCGTACCAAGGGCGTCCGACCATTTACTTTCTTCGAAAGCGGAGTTGTAGCCCATGTGCCATTTGGTGATCCATTTGATGAGAATGTAGCCAAGATTGTGCGGGAGTGTGGACACAGTCTTGAGGGCGATGGTGTTATATTACACGACCGTGGAACATTAGTCTGCATGGGTACGTTTTTCAGTCTAAACTATTAGACCCTTTTGACTAACAGAAATTACAGAGGGCCCTCAGTTCTCCACTCGCGCTGAAAGCAACATGTATCGCTCCTTCGGCGGTTCCGTCATCAACATGTCCGCTCTCCCCGAAGCCAAACTGCTCGCGAAGCGAACTTGCATATCAAATGATTTGCATGTCGACGACTACGACTGTTGGCACGAGGCTACTGCCGACGTTACCGTTGAGATGGTAATGGGTAACATGAAGGCTAATGCAGTTAATGCCCGACGATTTGTCGGCGCCGTGCTTGATGCGTTGGCTCTTGACTCTCATGCTGATACCGTCAATGCTAAACATCTTGAAGGAGGAGTTAAGTTTGGCATTAGTACCCCGCAGACTGCCTGGAGTGAGGATGCGAAGAAGAAGATGGATTTTTTGTTTCCTGGCTACTTTTAGTGATGCCGACTTGTGCATAAGACTCTCTACTAGGTACATTTACAACACGGTCCGTGAAAATATATATATATATATATATATATATATACCTTCATCATGACTTCTGGGTATAATGCGCTGAGTAAGCTGCCGGTGCTGGGTTGTAAAAACGCATGTTTGTAAGTGATATAGTAGAGTAAAAGCTCTCCGTTGATGGCGCAAAGCCATTCTATATAGGTAAACTTTGAATGAACTTGTTCGAATCCGCGCGAGGCTCGACCACATAATAGAATAGACACTAATCCATTTTAATCTTAGTTTGTACTTAGGTGCCTATACGTGTAACATATTTCCTTGCTGAGTTGGGCAGATCCTAGCTACTACTCCGTACGAGGGATTTTTCGAGACGGGATCCAAGCTGCCTGAGATCTGGAGGAAAACCTTTTCGGAGTATTACTCAGCTCTAGGAGCTAAGCTGGTGATGGCGGACGCGATGGTGGAGGAGCCGGCGACAACAACGCGTTCAGGACGCATTATAACACCCTCAACGAGGGCCCGAGAGGCCATGGGCAGCACCGATAACACCAGCACCGTTAAAACATCTAAATCAATAACTCAAACAGAACTGACAGCGGTAAAGAAGGCAGCTAGCCTCATCGATAAGAAATAAAGCACTAAAGATGGAAGCAAAGACATGCTTAAAACGATATGCCAATACCTAGAAAGCACCTATCAAGAGGTCAAAGAGCTAAAAGATGTCCTTATTAAACAAGAGAAAATAATCAAGGAATAATTAGCAATGATCTAGGAGCAGAGTAGTACAATTAAAGACCTACAGACCCAGCTGGAGGCAGTCCAAAGCTAGTCTATAGAAGAATGCAAGCAACTCTGAGAACAGCTAGAGACTATAGCGAATACTCCAATTAACGCAGCTCTCATACAGACCAAATCACAGCTGCCATTTGCAGATATGATTAGCAGCCAATCTAGTCACCAGCAGGATACACATCTAGGCCCTCTAGCGCCTCCTACAGTGGCTAATATACTATTCTGCACAATCGACATGTCTCGTGTTGAAGAAGAAGATAAAGCTAAAGCCCAGATAGCTAATATTAGATAATAGATTGAAAACGAGATACAAGGAAGTAAAGAAACAAAGAATTGGCGCTATGTAGCAATGATCAAAGACCTAAAAAAAATGCAGACCAAGTCAAAGTGATTTATAGGCATGAACATAAGATCCAGCAGGTTAAAGAAGCTGCCTAAAAGATTAATATACTAGGAATAAGAGTCTTATGAGACCAGTTATACCTAGTCAAAATCGACAATACTAACCGGACAGCAGTCCTGGATGCAGATAGGAACATCCTACTAGGGGAAGTCGAGGCCTTGGGAAAAGAGAATAATGTCAACATTGCTAAGACCTCCTAGTTCAGTAAGAAGGACTCCAACAAAGCATATAGATCTATAGTGGTATATATCACAAAAGGGACCGATGCCAAATAGTTAATAGATAGTAACTACTTCGATATAGCAGGAGAATCTACGTACACTCAAATTTTTAAATAACGGATGGGAGTCACTGGGATGATCTCGGGTTGTGTAGACTTCTACTTAGTGCAAAGTGGTGACCGCTGTTACGACATTGCTACTAGCCAAGGGATCACCCTTGCCCAGTTCTACTCGTATAATCCGGCTGTGGGGGATAGCTGTAGCAGCTTGTGGCCGGGTTATTATGTTTGTATGGGTATATAATATATACATCTATATGGAATAGTACCGTGAGTCAGTAATGATATATTCTCGCTCTACTACCCTGTACTATTGCCTAGATTTTCCAGAGTCATTTCTAGGTCACTACATACGCCGAGCTGGTGGCGGCCAAATGCCGCCCGGCTTTCCCTAGTTATTCCGAGAGTATCGCGCCGCCTGGTGCAGCATCGTCAGCTCTGACGTATACCGATATGGCCATCGTTTCGCGTCGCCCGAGAGATCGCGCTGAACCAGCCGGGCAAATAGCGTCGGTGCGATATGCTTGATGTCCACCTTGAGCGGGCGTATTTCTTCCCCAATTTTCCCTATCTCTGTCGCCTTCTCTATATCTAGTCCTGGTCCAAGGCTAGGCTAACCAGAGGTATGGTTTAATCGAGCGTAGACCCTCCTCATCCATATACAGGAAACAATCCGATCGCAGGCCGACAGGGAACTCGTGATTCGCAATCATGGTCTGGAATTTGCTCCGCAGTGCACTCAACTTGACTGTATTATCATCATTAGAATCTAGAGCTGGAAACTCCACCCAATATAGAGTGAACCTTGCAATGGCCTTGTCATCCATGGACATCGGGTGATAATGTAATCCATTGCAAACTGCTTTTTCAACAGAACTTTTATACTCCGCTGTCCGTTCAGGGTCGTAAAACACCACCAGGCCAGAGATAGAAGGAGAGCCATCTGTAGAGGTAGAATGAATAACCCGCTCCTGCCATGGCACCGGCATCGCAAAGAGAATATTCCGAACATCATCGTCATTCAGGCTCTCGATTGCCGCGCCCTGTGCAATCCGCCATCGCCGCTGAACCTCCTGCGCCGTCTCTCGCGCGACTTTCATTTCTTCAGTCACAGCGGCGGCGGCAGCTCTATGTGACAGATCGCGATCTGCCTCGCTAAGTCGAGCCCGTTCAGACAGGAGACGCCCGGGTTGCCCAGGCACCACCCCCGCTGTTAGAAGATGGGCTTCGCTATAGGTGAGGATGAGATTTTCATCATCACTGCCATTGTCGTTGTTGGCTATGGCTATGGCTTTGGCAACCCGTTCGATTATGCTCAGCCCACATGCTTGTCTACAGAGGGCGTCTTCTTCCTCTGCGGGTGGGCGATGAGTGATCCTTCTTCGTTGTACGTCTGTTAGGGATGCGGGCTCTGTGATGGCGCGGTTGTACAGAGCACGTGTCTCCTCGTCTAGGGAGAGGGGTCGAGTGTCTCTTCTAATTGTGACAGCTCCATCAAACAGGGAAATCATGGTGTATAAAGGAATGAATAATAAATAAATAGATCAATATATAAGTGCGCTGATGATGAAAACAGGAATAACTAGTTTAGAAGCAATTTCTCTGCATTAGATCGAAGCGGGTATTATGGTATGGAAAACCAGCCTGCTTAATACTAGGTTAAAATTGAAAACCGTTTAACAGATGGCTGAGGATGAATAGTGTACAAAAATAGAAGCGAGAGCTGATTCTTCTGTTCTAAGCTGTTCCCGAAGACGAAAACTCAGCTCTGTCTCCTTCAAGTAGATACTTGGTTATGGCCATCTGCTGTGCACAGAATATATGAAAAATATTAAGCTCCAGGCTTAACTTTACGAATATCCTTATCCTCAGTGCACAGCCTCTATCAAATCTTGTTTGGATTGCCTTCCTAATTTGGTAGAATTATAGCTTCACTTGCTTGGAGATAGAAATATTTTCTCTCTTTAGTGCGGACAACTGGAAGAAGAAACATTCGATTATGGAGTATATATGTGTTAGGTAATTCAAGAATGCATCCGACTATGGGCTGCGAGGTTACTCGGCATCCAAACAGAAGGATCCAGAGGCTTTATGATATGAAACCTTCCGAGCTGTGTTTGTTTTGTACCTAATATTTACTATGGTAGGGAGATGTCTGGCGTTTTCCATGAACGTTCATGTATGGCGTCTACTTATATGGCTCCAATCTACCAATATGATTTGATTGGGCACCTCCACAATCTACACATCTTTCAAATTGTTAGACCAATACACCTGAATCGACCCTGCCGTCCTCCCAGGAAACTGTTCCGTAAACGGCTTCACCACATCCGGCCATGGCAACTTTTCTACTCTCCTCAGCTGAACCAAAAAGTCGATTTCCTTCGACTCCGAAGGAAATCGACTCCCATGGCATACCTTTCCGACTTTTCACCAAGGACGGGGCACTTTTGGAAGCCGTCGGAACAAGTTTTCGTGCTTGACGGCGCCCAGTCCCTTTGGTCCGGGCTTTGTTCAATGAGGGCTCCAGAGTGGTTGGAAATCCGGACATGCACTGTAAAAGCGCACCCTCGAACAGCCAAGAAAGAAATTCCATACGGTCGTCCACAGGCGCTGTCAAGAAATGAGAATAAAGCGCAGGAAGGACGGGCGGGTTCACATTCTCGCTTGGCGTGGTGCGAGTGCAAACTCTGTTGGATAGCTGTCCTGAATCGTACTCCGGCGCGGTCTGTCTCTTATTAAATGATAGCTCTTGGCTACTGTCACCACAAATGGGTTGCACCGCGCCGGTGCCCGTTTCTACTTCGGTTATATGAGCATCTGAAAGATGAGTCTGTTGATCAGGAGGATCGTACGAGGGAGCAGCCCCTGATATGGTTCTCTGTCATCCAGGGTGAGGATCGGGAGTACTTGCAAAGCGGTCCCGTGTAGAGTCCGATTCTTGTGATAGCTCATCGGGGAATACAGAACCGCTAACACCACTATCTTGCCAGTCGTATGCCAATGCGCATGGAGTCTCGTCATCGAGAATTGCCGGGTCGATTGGAAGAATTGTTTCCGGTCTGGTGGGATATGTATTATACAGGAATATAATCAGTTACGCAGTGCGGCGTGATTTCATTATTTGAGTAGTCATCGAGAACTGAGAGCCAGCTGGTGGAAGGATCAGTGTCATGCTGATCGGGATGGGGTGGTGACCGAGGCGGAGATGGAGACTGCTCTTCTTGTGGTCCCAGTGTAATAGGCGTCGGCTCCGACACCGGTGTGATGTGAGATCCCGCAGAGGCACTGGAAAGTTCCTCAGGAGACTCTGCATAACGATTGTGAGAGAGTCTGGAAAAAGACTGTGGCAGGCGTGGGTGTGTGCATATCTCCGCTGGTGGACGGGCCGGAGGTGGGTGAACAAGGGCTTGGACACGGGTATGGGAACGTGTCTTGGCAAATGAAATCTGTGCATTTAGAGAGGGTGGACAAGCAGAAGTCGGGGAAAGGGGGAATTCAGTGATGGATGTTGGGGTTGGGAATCGCGAGTCAGGCTTTTGATGGTGCAAAGATGGGGCTTTTCTGTTATGTGATCTCTCATAGGGCCGGAAATTATCCACGTGAAATCGAGAGTTGGCCATGTTCAGGGTCAGAATCTTGAGCCTTGTGTTCAATGAGTAGGAACTGAGGATGGTTGCGAATGCGAGTGTCAATGGCCTTTTTATGTCGAGAGAAGAGAGAACTGAGAAGACCAGACTCAGACCTTGGTTCCGATCTTCTAGCCTAAGACAGCTCACGCACCGATTTCCAAAACCACCCACCGCCCCCCGTGCATATAATTTGATGAAGTCGTGACCCAACAGCCCCTGTCGAATTTCCCATTCTCCCAATAAGATGGCTCAGCGACCGAACGTAACCTGGATCATGCCTTCTGAATGAGTCTATATGGCCCTTACAGAGTGTTCGAGACTCGAATCCAACACCGCCATTGTCTGGTCTCATTACCACTGTGGATCAAAATGAAAGTCGTCGCCCCATTGACGCTAGCGCTGCAGCGGTTTGTGATGCGACGATGGTAAACGCTCAATTTCTGGCAATATAGGACCCTAAATTGGAAAGACTGGCTGGCGTAAGCTTCAGCCCCGCGCGATGCATTTTTGCCATTGGCTGCTACGTCGAGAGCATTGTCGTTGAAAGGAAGGAAACCCCGTTATCAGCTGAAAATCGACTCTTGTTAACGTTACAAGGTCACAAGATGCGGAAAGCGCGGCCCCTGTAAGTTGGGCGAAGGGTTGCTGTTGTTGCGTATTGTCAGACGCATTGTTTTTCGAAGTAGGATCAGCACAACGCTCTCCAGTGCAGTGTTGCAACAACATATCTGTACACGTCTTTCCTCGTTCTCTCCGTCTTGCGTTCTCTCTTTTTCCTTTTTTCCTGACTCATTCGGCTCGCGAATTCAGTCTGGGGTCCTGGCGAGGCTGAAGTGATCCTAGGCAGCGGCATTGTTCAGCAGACAAGAGCAGCGATCACATCGCTCTCGTTCTTGCTCCACCAGGAGCAGGGATACGGCGGTTGTTGACAGTCTCAAAATTCAGACTTGACAAATATGGTTGAACCAGAGTCCAATCATCTGCGCTGGCCAGGTTGGGTGGCAGCGATTCTAGAGGAGCTAAGACATTGCTGACGTGGCTGGCGCGAGGTCCATGCAACGCTGTGCCGTTCAGCCGCGGGTGTGACTGAGAAAGAAATTGAGAAAAACGAAGAGAGAAAGGAGAGGACGAGGTAAAGCCGTTCGAGGGACGCACGCACCTGGGTTTATATAGACACCGCGCACGGCTCTCGGGCCCGCTATTCCAGAACGGGACGGGCTGGCACCGCTAGGCCCGGTCGGGTAACCTCACGACCACAAGCGGCAGGCGGTGGGCAGCGGCAGAGGAACGGGTGGCCAGGAGCGGTTCTCGGCGCCCCGCTTGCCGTCGTGTAGAATACTTTATATCTTTTTTATTTTAATATGGCTTACACTTCTTCATACGAGGGAATTCCCTGTGCTGAGGAATACCCGCGCCACAGAGGGCAGAAGCTCAAATTTGTACAGCAAACGATATTTTCTCCAGCTTATTTCTCACTTTCCAATGCGGATTAGAGGGTAAGAGTTCAGCCGTTTACCGAGCTCGACGAGCTTTATAAAGTGATGCCAATAAAATGGGGTAAACCGCCCTTTGGGGGTGGTTCGGTTCCGAGCGCTTTTTTGTTGTCATTAGATCTATTTAATGAAACATTCTGATGATCAATTTTTTAGCCTTTGCATTTGCACTAGAACTGAGGAAAACCATGAAGAACTACTATACAAGTAACTTTATGGAAAAAACCTCAATCAAGACCTAGCCAACCGCCGAAAACTCGACTATGAATCAGAGTAATAGTTCTAACCACACATTCCTCAAAAATAGTCTTGTCAACATCAGTCCTATTTTTTCGTTATAATAAATTGGTTTTGAGGAACTACTTTTGACAAAGAGCCAAATTCGACGATGGATATTGTATAACCGCTCAAGGTGGCTAAATTTTCCAGTTTAGTATGCTTACTAGTCGTCTCAAAAGGAATGAATGAAAGGTAGGTACTAACGATAATATATGCTGCACAAGCCATCAAGCAGTTCGTACCAGTAGGAGTGTGTAGTATCTGAGTAACATATGCCAGACCATAGCAGCATGTAGAGTCGTCCACGCACATACATCCCAACGGGTAATCACACTTGCCGGTGAAGGGGTCGACACAGGGATTCGCCTCCACGACGCCGCAGCTCACATTCTCAAAAATCTCCCCAATACCGTAAGTACATGCTTTTCTCTCAGCCAAGTCGATCTCAGCAACTGGCGAAGCCGCTGCTAAGCCAATAGCTGATAGAAGGCTGAGGGCGAAGAGTGTAACCTTCATGTTTGAGAGCTTGTTTGCGAGTAGGAATAAGAGTGATAGTAGAGCTTGATCCTATCCTTGGATTTGAAAGTTGGGAAGTAGCTACATATCTAGGTATTTATACCTTCTCCTAGGAATAGAATGTCTAACATTATGTCACTGACATTAGTTAAACAGATATGTGCCGAGATACATTAGGAATTGAATTAGTGTGGTATGACTTGAGTCTTGGTGTAACCCAGGTCTAGTGCTTATACAAGTAAGAATGCCATGCTGACTCTTACTGCTATGTTTAAAACAACTACTTATATATATTATGTTGGGAATATCACCTCACATCACATAATCACCTTTGCCAGCTATTTACATCCATACTAGATCATCTAGTATGCGCGCAGCTTTTTGGTCTAGTTGGTCAAAAGCCCAACATATTATATCTCTACTCCCCGGGCGAGGTGAAGGGAATTGCTGGGACGAGTAATGCCATTTGCTAAGGCGTTTACATCTATTATTGGAAGCAGCGAAGGTCGCGGAGACGGATGAGTTTCGATTCCCGTGCCGCGATCCTTTGTGTTAGACTAAGGCGCTTACACCTATTACTGTAAGCAGCGAAGGTCTCGGAGATGGATGAGCTTCGATTCCCGTGCCGCGATCCATCAGATGGTATATTAAATGGTATATAATTATATGACTTCTAGTTAAGCCCATATCTTTAATTACCGCCTGCATATATAGCCATAGAAACAACTGGGCGTAAGCTTAACTATTCTGCTATAAATCTTCTCTTAATAGTACTGGTTCCTTCTAGCGTCATGCAGGTTAGTTTCGTAGCACATTAACATGACAACTACACAAAAAGGAAGCTGTCCGAGGAATCGGAGGATTTATACAGAGGGGAGCAATCTTTCTTATTATCGAAATACGATCCGCGTGATTAAAGGAGAGATTCCTGGGTAGCTGGGTTGAAGACGAAGAGGGCCGGAGGCGAGATGGAGAAAGATCCGGTCGTAACGACGCGTGTAGGACGCGTCGTAGTGCCGTCAACTAGAGCTCGAGAAGCTCTGGAAGGCGCTGACAGCACCGACGTCAAAAGCAAAGCCAACTGCAGTGAGGAAGGCTGCTAGCCAGATTGAGGAGAGACAGTGCGCCCAGGACGAAAACCAAGCAATGCTTAGAAAGATGTGTTAGTACTTGGAGGGCACCTATTGGAAGTTCAAAAGTTTGAAAGAAACGCTCAGTAAACAGGAAAAAATTATCTAGGAACAAAATGATATGATCAAGGGACTGCAGGCCCAAATGGGAGCAATCTAAAGCCAATCTGCGGAAGACTGCAAGCAACTCCGGAAGCAGCTGGATACTATCGCAAAGGCGGCAGTCAACGCAGCTCCCATGTAGATCAAATCACAGCTGTTATTCGCAGATATAACCAATAGCCAATCTAGTCACTAGCAGGGTACATATCTAGGCCCACTAGTGCCTCCTACATTGGCTAATACATTATTTTGCACGATTAACATATCTCGTGTCAGAGAAGAAGACAAAGCCAAGGCGTAGATAGTTAACGTCAGATGTTACGGGCTAGTCCCGTCTAATGCTCACTATAAGGGCATTTTCGAATAGAAAACGTAACATGAGGAAAGGAAAGAGAAAGAAAACAACAAGTTTTTCACGCGCATACAATCTTATATAGGCAAGGGGAATTGGGAGCTTCCGACGGGCCTCTCTCTAGGAATAGCCTCATGTCCGGGGTTGCTGAGATTGTCGGGGCTGCCTGGGATCGGCAGCCCCGCGCTATTGTCAATATCCGGCCGGGTATTGGGTGTCCGTTCGTAATCTGGGAATAGCTTCATGTTCGGGGTTGCCGAACAATAATCTAGCAAAACTCTATATGTCAATATCCGTGAGGGCTTCGCCCGAACATGGTCATGAGGTCAGCTCATAACATCAGACAAATGATCGAAAAAGAGATACAGGGAAATAAAGGAATAGAGACCTGGCGCTGTACAGCAGTGATTAAGGATTAAAAGAATGCTAACTAAGTCAATTATTTGTAGATAGAAGGATGAGATCCTACGTATTAAAGAGGCTACTCAAAAGTTAAATATACCGGGATAGAGAGTGTTACAAGACCAGCTGTACCCAGTCAAAATCAACAGTACTAACTGGACAGCGATCCTGGATATGGATAGTAATATCCTACCAGGAGCAGCTGAGGCCCTAGGAAAAGAGAACAATGTTAATACTTATCAAGATAACCTGGCTTAGCAAGAGGGACTCTTATAAAGCGTATGGATGTGACGTTGCCAAATCTGCTTGGTTTGAGTACGCTATCCTAGCTAGCTATCTCGTACAAGAGGTGCCTATCGACAGGTAATATTAAGCATAAAGGGAAAAGGGAAGAAATGAAGTAAAAGCTCTGGTTCTCGCTTCTCATGTAAATCTCTGTGCAAGGCGCCTTTCCCTATCCAGCTCCGACGTCTGATGTTGATGTCACTTCCCAATACGGCGCGGATAGGGTTACACGGCTCCTAGCCCTATCCGTGAACTGAGACGGGAACGCAGAGCCATGCCCAGCCGTCACATGAATCTATGGTGGTATATATCACTAAAGCAACAAATACTAAACGCCTGCTAGAAAGCAACTACTTCGATATAGTAGGAGAATCTGCATACACTTGAGCCTTTAAACCATGCATAGGATCATTGTCATGTTACCACTGTTAAGAGATAGGATATAAGGCTGTTGGTTTAGCTACGTCCCGTATCACGAAGCGTAGGATATCGTAAGCTAGGGCGATCCAACTGCCCTACGTGGTGAGCCTTGCTATATAGCACGAAATGTAATATTATAAAAGACTGACCCCCGAAACTAGGGGGGGGGGCGGGGTGCCTAGATACATTATATGGTGTTGGTCGCTCTAGCGCACGGAGAATAGTAATCCCGACCAGTTCGCGTACGAATCGACGGCGTGCTACAGCGCCGTATAGTGATTCGTAAGATCGCTATTCAAACAAAGGCTTTTTCATATGAAAAGACTCAGACATGTGGTAAGTATGCAAAGAAGGGGCACTATCATAGCACTTGCAAGGCTCTAGTCCTAAAACGTATTCCTTATGGAGGATCTCATGAGTCATTTAGTAGAAACTGTTGAGTTCGCCTCTTATAGTATGCATAAATCACTTCGCAGCCTACAACTAAATGTTAGCAAATGAGACGCAGAACATACATAGTACGTCCTCCATATTGCTTACCAGCTAAGTTAGACCGTCGCGCTTGCCTAAGTTGGTATAGCTTAGTATTTAGCCTATCTGTTGGAACTCAGAATGAGCTAAGCCAATTTGGGATAGGAATTGGGAATAGGACAAGATTTGCGTATCAAGAAATTTCGAGAATTGGCATCACATATCGACGCGATATTGAGCATTACAAATCAATTTTACTGCCTATCTCTAGAAAGTTCGATTTGCACAAGTGTCGACTTTTGGTGATATCACATCTCTGGAAACTTGTATATAAAAACAGGTTCAAGACTCCTAGATAGTTGCTTAGAGAGGCTAGACAAATAGACCTAGTTCCATAACGTGTTTCACGGGTAAACGGCGCACCCGGGTAAGTGGCACAGCCGCATCCCACTTGGTTCAAAGAACTCGTACAATTTATATGCAAACAGTGAATAAATTAATATTTACCTATGTAGATATATTTGGACAGCGATTGCGTTTATGCCCTATTTCCCAGCAATTACTACACCTTGGTAGGGCCCGTTGAGCTGGCTGCAAAGGCGCGCTCCCGTTGGGTGGAGGAGGGGGTTGAGCCTCTTCAGGAAGCTCCTGAGCAAGCTCTCGGCCTTCAGCGACTGTCAAAATACCATCGGCTTGTAGGGCTTTTGTACGGCGAGTGCGGCGCTTCTGTAAAATATCATTTGCTTCGCGTAGGTTATGGTTCTCCCTAGCTAAAATGGCAGCTTGGTGCATCACTACAAGGGATCCCTTGATCAACTGGTTAAAAGCCGGACACGATGGCGAATTGCTGTCTAAATCTCCCATATTGAGAGATCTCTTGACAGATTTGGCCTGTTTTTCTAGCGTACGGGCATTGTAAGGCGTTTTTGGGCTCCAGGTGCTGCTGCTTGACGTGCTAGGGCGAATTGAGGCTGGAGTAGCCTCCCGGACAGCAATTTGCAACTGAGATAGGACTTTTTGTGGATTATATGGCACAATCCCAGTGTGTGAAAAGCCGCTCTTAATATTTTGTGTGGTATAAGTTTGGATCCGTACGCTGTAAAGCATATCTAAGAAATCCAGCTTATCAACATGGTAAATCCCAATCCGAATCCGGCTCTCAACGGCGGCCCCGTACAAGCGCTTCAACACTGAAAACACCCCTACATCTAGAGGCTGAAGAAGATGAGATGAATGAGGAGGCATGCAACATGCAATAATATTATTATTTTTACATGCCTGATCAAATCCCGGTGTTAAATGGCTGCTATGGCCATCAAGTATCAAAAGCCGATAGGTACCAACTGTGAGAGGCCTCGTTTTTGGCTCAAATATCCTTTCTAGCCACTGTAAGCCGATTTCATCAGATGTCCAGCCATTTGGAGAGTGCGTAATTGACCAATCAGGGGGAAGCTTTGGGCTTGTATAACACTCAGCTCTGTTGGTGCCGGATTTGAATATAATCAGGGGAGGCACCACAGTGCCGGTGCTTCCAACGCACTCAACAATAGTAACCCATTCACGATTTCCTGGCTGAATGAGGCTAGGTTTTCCTGAACGATCTGAGCTGCATATAACTTTTGCTGTAGAAGAGATCCCCATGGCGAACCCTGTCTCGTCAAAGTTGTATATATCTTCATCGGCAATCCCATATTCCTCTTTGAGCTGCTTAATCTCCTCAAAAAAGCCACCAATAACGACTGGATCTTCACAAAGAGCTCTAGAATAGGATAATCGGCGTGCGAATTTAGCCTTGAGATCCGGTTGTCGCTTAAGAAAGGTTGTTACCTAATTCTTACCAACCTTCTCAGGTATTTTGGTAGGATCTCTTTGAGCTAGCAAAATATTTGCCATTTCATGGAGCATATGCTGCCTAGGCGGAACGCCACGGCGCTCTAGTGAGAAGACCCAACCCCGGAGTACAGCTTCTTCTGTAGGGGTCATCTTTCTGCGTGTAATACTGGCATTATGCGCTGGAACTGAGCCCTTCAGGCGCCTTCGCAGTGTTGTTAAAGATACGTCAAAAGTGCGTGCGGCGTCGCGTAATTTCGTGATTTTTTCGTTATTTAGCGCATCAATAGCAAGAGAAAGCCTCCCTTCATAGCTAGGATCATTTTTTGTACGCGATTTAACCATTTTTTAATGCTGTTGGTTCTGCGGAAAGTTGTTGCTAGAAATCCGGATGGAATTTTGATGTGGTGTGCCACTTACCCGGGTGCGCCGCTTACCCGTGAAACACGTTATATCTACAGTGTTTAGTAATCGCCTTCGATTAATCATCTAGCCTACCAACGTTCCGACAATTATGAGCCCGGGATCCCTGCGAACATAAAGCACAAGAATCGTACTGGAGTATTGGACCGAGACTTGAAGCTATTCACAGAATTGAACTCTGATTATCGACGACCGTTGGTTTTTGTGAATATGTACGATCGCACCGCGTCCATTCGTTCCTGGTGCTCTTCATACCTCGCTTTTTCATCCTTATACCGTTGATAGTGCTGCTCATACAACTGCAATTCCATTTGGAAACGCATCAATGCAAGCTTCTCAACTTCCGGATCCTCGTTCGGATTCGGCATTACACTATCTAGAAAAGGAGGTTTAACTGGTTTCTCAGGTGCCGGTTCCACCTCGTGGGTTCGCAACGGGGATGGATTCACATAATCCCAGACTCGTCGCCTTCGTCCTCAATTGCTCTAACCATCTCCTCCATTCGTTCGACGACTTCAAGATAACGGTTCCCTTATTCTCATCCATTGCTGACGAGTTCACTCGTTCCTCCTGGGCACGGATAGCTTCAAGGGTTCGTTCCAACACGGTCGTTCGTCGAATGTATACAAAAACCAACGGTCGTCGATAATCAGAGTTCAATTCTGCGAATAGCTTCAAGTCTCGGTCCAATACTCCAGTACGATTCTTGTGCTTATGTTCGCAGGGATCCCGGGCTCATAATTGTCGGAACGTTGGTAGGCTAGATGACTAATCGAAGGCGATTACTAAACACTGTAGATATATGGAACTAGGTCTATTTGTCTAGCCTCTCTAAGCAACTATCTAGGAGTCTTGAACCTGTTTTTATATACAAGTTTCCAGAGATGTGATATCACCAAAAGTCGACACTTGTGCAAATCGAACTTTCTAGAGATAGGCAGTAAAATTGATTTGTAATGCTCAATATCGCGTCGATATGTGATGCCAATTCTCGAAATTTCTTGATATGCAAATCTTGTCCTATTCCCAATTCCTATCCCAAATCGGCTTAGCTCATTCTGAGTTCCAACACCGGGATAACGTGAAGCTAGGAACCGAACTAGGACAAGTTAGGGTTAGGGACTAATCAGTGATTTTTTAGAAATTGGGTTGATTATAAACCGCTAGATCAAGCGCGTTAGCCGGAGTGACTCACGGATGCCAAGCTGTGTTCCAACAAGTAGATTCTCTAACAACTAGCTAGCGACTGTACCTTGTTCTGTACTGTTAGAAATTCTAGAACACGATGTTTGTCGAGTTTTTTCCCTTTGTGCTAACCACATTGGGATGGCGTGTTCCTATGTGTAGCAGTGTAGTAGGGATTTGTCATGTCAAGTGGGTCTGTCGACGCGACGGTAAATTTTTGTCAGAATTGACAAAATTGCTTGTCAGCTGCAGTGGAGCACTTTACATACTAGTAACTTATTTCACAGCATGTAGCTTATATTATTGGTTAACCAATTTTATTACTCAATTTTATTGGTTAATAAATTACAATTATGTAATCTTAAAATTCTTGGCGGTATTGTCAAAGTTGACATGACACTAAATTTTTGTAATCTTCCAACACCCTACTTGATATCCGCTGACTAAGCGGCGGTTTATTCATCCCTCGTCAGCACTACAATTCATCTGTTTCCGCAATTCTTGATCAAAAATTGTCCTATGACAGTATGAACATAGCTCTAAATAGGTGTCCCCAATTCATACCCGCTGACTGCTGCCTTTTACGTTGATTGTCGGCCAGACATGCCATCTACTAGCCAGGCCTCCATGTCCAGTGGCAGCGGACCAATCCCGCGGGCATGCGACTCGTGTCATAAGAAGAAGGTAAGAGTCAGATGATGATAGTATTTCCTCTATAAAACTTTCCTTTATTATTTTCTGACCACACGTGAAATGATGCAATTGCTTACCACCTTGCAGATTCATTGTGATAGACGCTTACCGAAATGTGACTGGTGCCTTCATCATGATCTATCATGTACTTTCAATCGTGTTCATAAAAATATCCGAATGAAAAGGTAAGTATGGCGTCTGTAACTATAGGTTGTTGGTACCTCCAGCTACTCGGGGTTACTTGCCTTCTCTCAATTAGCTGTCCATCACTGACTGCAATTAATGAACCATCAAAGGTCAAAGCTAAATCCTCGGAAACAGTCAAAAGGCGGGAATGACCATCTGAAAAGGTTCGAGGGATCAGGTATGGTATTTTGAATATATCGCTCCAGCGTCGATCTAACTCACACAACAAAGATTCCTCGGTCACTTCGGAACGCCTGGAAGTAAATGTTCCAGGACCCATCTTCACAGATACGAGGTTGTCTTTAGGCAAGCCATACCTGCCCGATGGATTCATGCTGTCATCACCCGCACTGAGAAAGCTAATCGCATCCTGTGCGGGTAGAATGGACCTAGACCTTGATAGTCTGAGAAGATTTGGCCTTCCATGGCAATATTCTCATCCTCAAAACTCAGAAACTGTAAATCAGGTTGCCAACGGAGCCACGAAACTTCCAAGCAGATCGACTATGGAGCATTACGCTCGAATATATTGTTCTTCAATACACTTCCTAGTGTTTCCTGTTGTCACTTTTGACCTCTTTCAGCGGACTCTTGACCTTGTTTATGGTTCCAAGAGTATCAAAGATTATACTGGTTCAGCCAGCGCAAAAGCAGCAATTTATTCGTTCTTATCCATTCTAACAATTGTTGGGTTCACGAAAGGAAATGCATCCGAGGGTCCCAGCTGTGAGTTTTACGCAGCTAAAGCCCAATCGTACCTGGTTGATATCATTCAAGAGGTGACCATGGACGGCCTTCAAACTCTTACAACTCTGGTAAGTCTTATACGTATCATTTTCCGTATGACTGCTTACTGACCATATCATTCATTCGGAAGATCCTATCTACAATATTTTCTGGAGATTACAAAAAAGCGGCAATGTTCGTTACAATGGCTTCTCGGATTGCATACTCCTTGGGTGGCCATAAGAATCCCTTTGAATCACAGCACAATGAAGCCCAGGCGCATCCCCGTATCCATGATACAAGTCGCCCTGAATGCCATATACGTAACTTATTCTGGCTTTGCTATACTTTTGATAAAGAACTGGCGCTGCGAACCGGTCAGCCACCATCAATAAGTGACGACAACTGCGACCTTACTCTACCTCCGGGCTATATTGAACTACAAAATTCCAATATATGTTGCCCTGATGTCGTCATTGATAACACCACAGTGCCCCTATACCCATGGGATCCTCGACTCTCAGTTATCAAATCTAGAACCTACAAATTACTCTACTCCGAGAGTGCAATGCGGAAATCAAAGTCAGAAATAATACAGCATATTCGAGAACTAGACCACGCTCTTGAGCAATGGCGAATGTCTCTAAGTCGTGAATTTCGACCAACACTCACATTTTCCGAAGATACACTTTTCCCTTCGGCGCTGGCTACGCAACCGGTAATGCTTCGTTTGGCATATCACCATTGTATGATTATTATTCATAGTGCTAGCAATAGATGTCGCGCCTCTTTGGTGAAGGGTCTTGATCTGCAAGAGGTTGGCGTCGCATCGAGCTTGGGACTGAGCGTTGAGGCGTCGAGGTCATCCCTCTTATACCTCCAAGCGGCTTTGCCAAATATTGCTGGAGAATGTTTCTGGTATGTTTATTTTTCTCCTCTCTATCATTGTAACTGCCCCATCTTACTGAGACATATTTACAACATAGGGTGATTTTGTTTTACGTTGTCTCCTCTATTGTCACCATTTTGGGACATATGATCTCCAAGCCCCGTGATCCTAAATCAGCTTCCGATTTCAAATTGTTGATGCAGGTGTCGGATATGGTGCAGAGCTTTCCTGTAACAGAACTGTCAGCCGCCGAACTGATCCAGATGCAGCTGGTAAAGGACTTTTCTCAGGAATTGGGAAGCGTTCCCTTACAATAAATGATGTGTAATAGCACCATTGAAAGATTGATAGTTTTACTCAGGTAGAAGCCTTTCTTCCTCTCCCAGTTTCACTACTTCGAGAGCGTTTTGTATGCAAGATGTCCTACTCCCACCATGAATATCTCTAATCTTACCCGTCTCGTGGTTTCCCCCCACCCTGATCGGTTGTGGTCTGCCAGGGCTCAACGCCCAAAATATTCAAATCCTTAACTCCATATTTTCCAACGTCCAAGACACCGCCAAAATGACCGCCGAGGAATACGAAAAGGGGGAGGAAATAAAAAATATCTCACGTTTAGCACGTGAATTTGGAGTCCCTCAAAAACAACTCTCCCGACGGATCAACGGCACACCCTCTCGCTCAACACGGCCACCAACGAACTGATTATTATCGCTTGATCAAGAAAAAGCGCTTTTGCTGTGGATTCAACATCTAGATAAGATGGGTGCAGCGCCTACAAACCAATTGAGGTAAATGCAAAATATTTAATCCTCAGATTTTACTGGTTAGGGAACGCCACGGAGAGCCGGCAAAGATTGAATATACGATCATCTCAAACATCTACCAGAAAATTAGCAACGGATTGTTCAACGACCTCAAGAAATTGATTGTACAACTACTGAGCACTATAGCTAGGTTGAACGATGGTTTATTGATCTCAAAATTGTTATGGATGACCTTAAAATCACCCTCAAGAATCTTTACAACTTTGACGAGACCGGATTCATTGTTGGACAGGGAGAAAAGGAAGCAGTGGTTACAGCATACCCAAAAACGTTACAAAGGATTTCTAGCCTGTCTTCTCGAGAATCTCTTACTGTTGTTGAGTGTATAAACGCTGAAGGAAAGATTATACCACCTTTAATCATCCCATAAGGTGAGAAGCACATGGAGGAATGGTATAAGCACATAAAAGATGAGGAATGGCCTGTTGCACCGGCTTCAAGCGGATTTATAACTGACGTGATCACATTCGAATGGATGCAGCATTTTAATCGGTTTACGGATGATAGGAGCGGTTAGCGATTACTTATTGTGGACAATCATACCACCCGACTTACTATACCGTTTATTGAGTATTGTGAACTATGTCGCATTCGACCATTCACTTTTCCTCCACATTCAACACATCTTTTGAAACAAAAACTTCGTCACTACGTCAATAAGTTCGAGAAATCAATTGACAGTATAAGGGATATATTGGATGAGGCAAGCCCGGGTCTTGCACGCCGTATAAAAACGGTTATTCAATGTAGTCTCATAATGGCCGATTTGGTCGAGCTACACCGTGAGACCTTCACAAAGATTCGTGACACCGCTGAACACAAGAATAAAAAAAAAATCTGGCGGCAAGCCAAGACCATTGGTGCTCTTTATGTAAACGATGCGAATCGCCTCATAAAACGCCGTCATGATGGGGATTTGTTGAAGATCCATAAGCAGCCTTAGTGAGCGGCGGCCGGAGGAGGAAGAGGCGCCACTAGCGCCTCAAAACTTGGTTTTCTTCTTTGATTCTACGGGTAATAGGTGAATCGTATGTGTATTATCAATTTTTTAGTTTTTATACATAAATTGTATGGCGTTGTGGGACTACAAAACATTTTACACGACGTATCCAATTTTTGGACGTTGAGCCCCGGCAGACTACAACCCAGTCAGGGTGGAGGGAAGCGACAGACAGGTAGGGCCAAGTCTCCAATGCCCTAACCCTAGGTTCAGATTGATTGCCATTGTATCCAGAACTGTGACTATGACATCTTTGTTTCAGACAGGGCAGATTTGAACCCCCTTTAAAGATCGGAGGTTTGCAATGTTGCATGCTCCAAAGATCCGCCGAGACCACCGATTGTAGATGGCAGATGCGGCCACAGTTCGAAAGCAAAGGGACCACTCTCACGCGAGTGCGGAGCCGTGAGATTTGTAGGAGTCTAGAATATGAAAATCGAGGAGCCTCTGTTTTATTTAAGACGTGATGGCACTATCGGTTTAGCGTACTACGGACTTCACATCGAGGTACCATTGGTGTCAGGGCTCCGAATAGCTAGGGCGAGGCTCTTAAATCCGGACCTAAACGACCATTTTCTCATGACCAAATTTGGAACTTGGCATCATCCTGAAAATAGAAGTCAGTACGGGGTACGGAGAACGGAATCCTGACAACGTTCTTTAGGCGCATGATAATACATTGTCCGATCAACTGGTGGTTTGTGGAAATCGCCTACATATAGCTCAACCGACGACGGGGAAATTCTGCGATTCAAAGAACTCACAAAAAGCTCACTGTAATGATCATGACCTTGGCACTTGAAAGACCAAAGAATTGACCAGCGTCTTAACCACAGTCTGACAATGAGTTGAACGATTGAACGAGCTCTGATCCACAGTCGCATTTAAAGTTTTCTTCCCCCCTATTTTTATCCATCGCTTGCGGCTGAAGCATGTCCAAGCCTTTTAACGTGCCGCTAAAGAGAGCCTAAGTACGTAGCTGATCAATAGGAGCACAGGGGATTTCGAACAGCCACAATTATGGTTAGAACAGCCCCATAGCCTAGCTTGTCAAGGGAAGTGAGTTGCTTCACAAGCAGTTTCAGGCTTTCAGCTGTACTAAAATATCCATGCAATAGCCAACCACCGCTCATATTGTACGAAGCTAAGCATGGATCGCGCCGGTCTAGAGGCAAGGCGTGGACCTCCATCATGCGCTAATATGATAAGTTCGAAAATTAGCTTCAGAATAGCCTAACTACTACGTGGTAAGTGGCCAGCAATCAGGATCTTACGGAATCAACTTGAGCATTGATGATTGAAATTGGACTGACACTGCTTTGCTGGCCATAAGATTGTTGGTATAACAAGGTCAAATAAGGCACGGACTAAATTGAGCGAGGCTCTCGATGGTGTTGCATTAAGTAAGTTATGCTTGTTAGTTCTATCATGTCTTATATCAACACATAGTACTCTCAATTGAATCCAATACGAGTTTTCTTCCCTTAAAATCCCATCAAATTTTCTCTGCGACATACAGACTCATCAGTGCGATATGTATTGTTAACCAACTAGAAGAAAACGACTTGAATGAAAGCAAAAGGTCGAGATCGCCATGGTTCAAACCTTTACCAATTGTGATACTGGAGAATGGTACGGCTTCGGAAACTCTTCGCAATTCAATATTGGCCAGACGGTGCAAGTTCAGTTTGGAGCTTTCGATGAGGGCACAACGAAACTGAATATTTATCTCACAAGACCGGGCGGTAGTCTGGTCAAATCGCTCGTCCGTCAGTGAAACCCTTCGATGAAAAGGAAAAAAGCAGGATCATTGGAGAAACTAACATCTGTTCCAGTCAACGCTGGTTTCGGCCGAGGTAGCTCGGTATACCGTTTATATAATTCTTCTTCAACATGTGAACTGGATCAACTCAACTTGACCATCCCGAACGATGCGGGGGTCGCTACAAACTCCTTTGATACGTTCCAATTCGGCATTTTCAACTCATCGACTAGTCTGGGCGAAAATGGAAACCCTCTCTCTGGCTTTTTATCGTGGTCACCCAACTTCGAGGTGTGGAATAACGCCACTACAACCGCACCAGCTTCCGGAACGACGTCTGCGACATCCAAAACATCCGCAACAATTACATCAGCGCCAAATCAGAGTACAACAACTACGTTGATACCTGAAAATAATAGTTCTGGAGGACTGTCGTTAGGGGCCAAGGCTGGGATAGGTGTTGGTGTTGCTGTTGGAGGCGTGTTGCTGGCAGTTTTGATAGTGGGTGTATGGTTATGGAATCGTAAGAGGCGGAATGCGTTACCGAGAGAAACAGATGCGCAGATGGAGTCATTCTCAAAACCGCCAGGGCCTGGAGGCAACATACAGAGCGAGGACTTGCATGAACTACCGCCTGCTGCTAATCAGCAAACAGACGTGAAAGGGCATTATCAACCCATTCCCCAGCAGCCTGTGGTGCATGAGATGCCCTCGACCAATCAAACGTACGAGATGCCATGATAGCGACACTTTGACCACACCAAATAATTAAGCAACATACACGATGGGGATATGGTTCTCAGCATTTAAGGAGCGGTATCAATCTTTGACTTCTTTTCTTCATGTCAGTTGTTGTAGCATAGCAATGTAATAATAGGATTTCCACGTACGTAGATATTTGTAACATTCGATGTCGTAACAAAAGCAGGAACATGAATGCAAACCGCTTGGACTGGTTACAACGAATTCTGTAGTAACGAGATTCTCATTATAACGAAGATTCCCCAATTAATTAAAAGCTGTTAGGGTGCTGTGCCTAAAAAGTCGTCTTGTTGTAACGGACTTTAAGTTACGCTATAACGAAATAAAGTGGGAGTCAAAATCAGTTCGTTATAACCAGGCCTACTGTACTTCTACACAACACGCTCAGCTATGTATTCGACTTTCAAGGAGTCTCACCAATTCTCATTCCAAATCGCATTAAGTACTAGATACGGACTCGGACCGGGGGATGGCTCCGTAAATAAGCAATATCTTGATTTAGGAGATCTCCTAATGTAACAGCCTCCTATTCATTTGTGCGAAATACCTTTGTGGGATTTCCATGAAAAGTCTTTCTGTTAGTTCATTTCAATTGAATGTACTGGCAGCAGAATCTCAAGCAAAAATAGCTTGGGATTTTCCCAAAGTTACATATTATTCCAACAAGCAAACGTTTCAATTTTCATCTCCATCTTCATTTGCATTTTTTCATTCTACACAGTACATGAAGTCGTCGATGAAGTAAAATAGGGAATTACATTTTGCATTATCAATCCATTCGCTTCATATCAGACAGTCAGCCGGCCAGTACAAAAATACTTTCCTAGCAGTACAGTGTGAACGGTTATACTGATGATCGACTAGACAAGAATTAATATAAGCAACTAGATTTGCATCTTTGACTTGCTAAATATACGAGTAAATTGACACCATTCCAGTTTACTCTCAACAACAGTCCCCTATATTCGGGTCCGATGTACTTCAAGATAGTCCTTATTCCTCTAATCAGAGTCAGAACCGGGATATTTTATTGAGTGTGCCGTATCCGGTATCCTGAAGAGTACCCGCGTGAAATTCAGAAAACATAAAAAAAATTTAACGTATGAGACAAAGCCTGTTGGCACATATTTGTCGAAATTGATCATGATCTGTATACGCCATTATTTTCAAGGATCCTGAATTAATCTTTTTACTCCGCAGCTGCAACTGCTTCAGTCGCTTGATCGTTTCGGCTGTCGTCCACATCGCATTCGCCATGAATCGGTAGTTGACCATTGCAGCTGTGTAGCCATCTCCCTCTTCGTTCTGCCCAGCAGCAATTGCATCACGTACGACTGCAATTTCAAAGCCAGCTTCCAGTATGTCCCACATGTGATTTTCCAGGCATAGATTTCCTACAGGTCCCGCTATGATTACTTTCTCGATCCGTCGCATACGTAGTTGCTTGATCAAGTCATTTGAAAGGCATGAAAGACCTCTGTGAGGCGATGTATTCACTGTTTTTCCATCCATAAGGTATCTCTTGAGCCGCTCGGGGTAGTCAGCACCCGATCCAACGAAGCCTTCAAGGTCGACTGGATCCTTGCGGCCGACAAAGCCTTTGGGCAAGTTTGCGAGATAGTCAGCGATTGCACCACCGCGAGTAACCCACTGGCGATCGGTGGGATAGTAATAATGTGGTGAGTGGATCACAAAGAAGCCTTCATATTGTGCGCATTTTAGGAGTTCCTCAATGTGATCGAAGACGTTGAGTTCCTTCAACTTGTCTGCGATCATCGGATAGTAGCTCCCCGTTTCGACAAGAAACTCTTTTTGGAGATCTGCAAACACGAGTGCCGTATGCTTCTTATCCAGCTGCATCTCCGGGTTTTGGTGAGTAAATGTGAAAGGCATCTTTGCGGAGGGAAGAAGTTTGGTTTGGTACCCGGCAAGTATCGAAGCGTTCAAGGCGAGTTTAGAGGAAATTCTAAGGTTGTCTGAGGAAAGGAACTTTGAAGAGTGTTCGGGAAATAGGTACTGTAAGTGAGGCATGAGCTGAAGTAACAATACCTAGGTAGCCTACCTGCTACCATATATGGCAGGTTCCAGAAGAGATATTATAAATCCGTCTGCTTACTCACTATGATTACAAATAACAATACAAAATTCATCTATGGATGATCGTGGGTATAAATCCCCAAGCCCAAGCCCAACCAACTAATCAGTCTCAGCCAGGCTGACAAAAAGATATATAGCTGCTGTAGTACCTCCTCTATTCATATATCAGCGTGCAACTCCTAGCAACAGTCTCCACCATGATGTGGAAATCAGTGTCTCTTCTAACCTTCACGCTAGTTGCGTGCTCGAGCACTCAGGTCGTCGGTCCTCCACTGGAGGTAAACCCGGCTTATGATCCGGTTCCAGCTTTTGCTGTTAGCCCCCCTCTCAACAGTGAAGGCTATCGTGTTGAAGGGTTTAGCAAAGGGGCGTATATGATTACAAACGGCTATTATCAAGCAATGGCTCTGGTCTCAACGGAAGGAGTCATTATGGTTGATGCACCGCCATCAATCGGACAGAATCTGCTCTATGCAGTCGGAAACCTCACCCACCTTCCCATCACACATCAAGTTTACAGTCATTCCCATGCCGATCACAACGGTGCTGCATTCCTGTATGGTAACGTGACTCGAATCGGACATCGCCTCACTCGCGAATATCTCGCATTGGATAATGACCCTAATCGCCCGTTGCCAGAAAATACGTTCTCGGATGAAATGACATTAACCGTGGGAAATCAGACACTCACCTAAAAAACAGGGGTCCTAATCATACCCCGGATAACTGCTTTATCTACGCTCCAGCACAAAAAGTGTTGGTGTTTATCGATAGTAAGTTGCCTGTATTCCCTAATCTGAAAGAATATCTGCTAACACATACTGTACAGTTATCTTTCCGAAATGGTCGCCATATCTGTTCCTAGGCAAGGCCGACTACATCCCGGGCTATATCTAAGCACATAAGTACGCCTTGGAGTATGACTTTGAGCACTTAGTCGCGGGTCATTTGACTCTGTCGGGCACTAGACAGGATGTTGAAGATAGTTATGGCTATGTATCAGATCTGAATGCGAATTTCCGTGAAGCGTATCTGTTGGGAATCTCTCCGGCGAATGCTACCAACAACCTCACAGCGGCAACTCTACAAGCGGAGGCGCTTGCTGCCAATCCAAATAATCCGTATGCAGCACTTTCAATCGTAATCAACGCCTTCTCCAACTATTGTAATGAGGTGACGAACAATAAATGGAGCTCAAAATTGGCAGGAACGGATATGTATGGGCGGAGTCATGCGTACGCGATCACTGATGAGTTGAGGTTCGAGCAAGACGTTCCTGGGCCATACTCAGCGGTCACTGACTGAAATGTGAGGAACGATCAAATATTTACAAGAGGTCAGAATCAAGAACCATTCCACATGATGCCTATTCTTAGCCGAGATAGTTCGAATTGATAAAGAAATACCGAGGTCTATTATGACCACTGTGCACTTCCAAAGGTAGCTAGATACCTACTAGTTCATCTTCCTCTTAGCCAAGATATTAGTTCGTCTCTCAACCTCTAACTTAATGTCCTTCTGAGTCATCACCGCCTTAAGAATGCTTTTAGCCTGACTACCCTGACAACTGTCACGGTGGGCTCCATCTGTTGCGCTAGCTGCAACATCCTCCCCATTCCTCTTCTTGAAGTTAATCCCCGGAGACACAGTAACACAGTTGTACTGTGACTGAGCGGCTCTTAATTGACAAATCTCATTGGAAACACAATCACCTGGACATGTTCCAACGTTATAGCCACGAGACTTGCGAGTGTGGTACTCATCGAATGCGGACTGATTAGAGCTAAGCACCACGGTCAGGTTGTGCCAGAAGGCTGGTGTTAGCTCTGCAGAACTATCGGTGAGTGGCGGATTCACTAGTGGACCATAGGCCTCCTTGACACTGTAATACCTCGTCCACTTTGGGCCGGACGCTTGGTAAGTTGGATCTGACATATTGGCTATGTATGTCGTCATGTCAAGAATCCCAAATGTTTCAGGATCGACTGAATACACACGAAAAGCAGGCATGCCACTGGTTGGTGTCATGGCCGGGGCAATATAGGACATCTCTACGGCGTTAGAGAACGTCTGCGCGGTGTAATCGCTGTAACTAATTTCGAATTCATCTTTGTGCGTATGGCCTAGGTCTTGTAAGTTTGCTACCCGTCGGCAAAAGGGAAGATGAAGAGAACTAACCGAAGAATAAGGCCGCAATAGTCGCATCATAGCGATTCACTATCTGGTCGAAATAGTTCGACCCATCATAGAAAGTGTCTCCAGAACCCATGGGCATATGTCCAATGATATAAACCCGTTCTCCAGCATCTTCGGCAGCTTGGAGCTCATTCACTAACCAGGCAAGCTGACCGCTTGGGTCTGTTTCCATTGACGACTCGTACAGCCAGAAGTTTTCTTTGTAGTACATATTTGTGTTGATTGAAATAATTCGCAGGTTTCCTCCTGGGTAGAGGACAGAGTATGATCCGGGATTCGTGTCAGCTGTTGCTGCTGCTGCGGAACCAATCCATGTCTCCCATAAGCTGGATAGGGTGTCGTATACCCATTGGCTGGTGATCGTTGTATCTACGGCTGTAGGAGGGAAAGAGTTGACAGGTGCGGCATCATGGTTCCTTGTCTTATCAGTTACTCCGAATTTGTTCAAAAGCAAGCGAGTGAACAAACTCACCCGACAGTACCGTAGACCTTACCCAACGATGACATTTTACCATAAGCATTTTGAAGATCGTTAGTAACCTCAGTCTCGTTGACTAGCCACACCGCTCCCTCGACAACGTCCCCAGTAAATAGTGCAAAAGCCGCATTAGGGGCGATCTCCTTAATGGCAGCGTACATGCTCTCTTCAAGAGTAACCGGGGAGTCACAAGCATGATTTCCGTAGGGCCCTGCGGGAAACGTCGTATTTCCCGGAGCATCTGCACTTGTATAAGGCCGACAGCAAATGTTCTTCGTGCAATTATAACTACTCCCAGTTTCATAGGAAAGGTCAACATGGATGTCGCTATAATGCACAACTTCGATAGGAGTCTTCCCACTGATAGCCGGCCGAGTTTTTGCTGGTTTAGGCGATGGAAAAGTAACGTTATAGGGAGTGACGGAGGGGAACGGGCAAAGCCCGAAGATTGTATTACAGAATAATTGAGCAGTGTGAGACCCAACGCTCATTTGGCGTAAGTCGTGAGCCAAAATGGGCCCTTCACGGGATATCACTCCTGTACAAACATCCGAATCTTCGACCTAGATATACTTATTAGACCGAGTCCGGTGAAATCTTGACCTTCATGATCACTAACACCAGCCAGAATGCACACTTCAGTTATGACATTACTGAAGGCATCATTGCCTAGATGGGCCAAAGCCTGCAAAGTAACTAGAAGAGCCTATCATATTTCATGATGGTGGTCAGCCGTCCGGCGCGTATGAAAGAACATTAAGCAGGACAAGAAGATCTTGCAGTAGAAGGATGATTTCAAGAGAACATCCTCACCTCGCAACCAGTACATGTGGTGATATTTTCAATATCTTTCCAAATCGTGGCAGCTGTATCTCTCTTGGCGGGGGTTGTAGCGCCCGCAAGCAGAATCAGCGCCAACCCAACTCCGAAGAAAGACGGGATGCGCATGGTGCCAAAAGAATTCCGGTCGTTTACCTAAATACTCAAGTATTTACTGGCTTCAACTTTTAACCTACCAAATTCCGGCCTTTTATTGCTACTTAAATACTGCGATTTTATTAATTGACTGCAGAGGACGTGCCCTGGTTACATGCGGGTCTTAGTTACCTGCAGTAGGGCTAACTTCTCGGAAGCGAAGGGAGATGATACCGTTAATGGAGATATTTATCCATAAGAATAGGCTAGTAATCAGCAGCAAAGCTTATTTTTTATGACCCCTCTCCTAGGGTAGATATTATGGGCTTTTGAGCCGGTCTAAATTAAGACAAGATAGGGCCATTCCAACAGCTGATCTGAGCACGTTGTCGACTTCTTCGTCATCTATGCCGGACAGAACTACCTAATCTATCCCGCGTACCGATTTGGCTTTGATCGAGCTCATTAACAACCAACCTTATTGCTTGATCTTAGCTTACTTGAGGGATGATCTCCGGAGCTATATTATCTTCGTGTTTTACCACCAATCGGCGGCTACTTTGTGGTCGATAATGAGAGAACCCAGGTCTATAGTGGATTCATGCTATAGTTAGGTGATAAGACTAAATACTATGTACGTGGTATGGGCTCGAAATATGATTATTTAATAAATAGAGGAAGTTCAATTGCTCATAAGACTTTTAGCATTTACGGGGTTCTTTTTTTCAAAGGATTATTGTGACAGATTTGGATAGAGCAGACCGTGCCATAAGACTTTATATTATGTCAAATGCTAAGAAAAATGAACCTAGATACATCACGCTGGCTTCCACTCATAATGATGTGTTCCTTTCTTAACAGGCCCAGGATCCTCACCCGGCTTACCAGACTTGTTGTATCCGTGGGCGCCAAAATAGTCCATCTCGGCTTCCATGAATTTGGTAGGCAACTTGGTGTTGCTCTCATACTTCAAGTATTCCAATGAGGCGGACAATGAAGGAATGCATGCATCAGACTCGGTGCCTTTGAGGACAACCTCTCTCAAAGCATCAAAATTGTCATGAAGATCTCTGGATACCTCGTCAATCAGCTTGATATTCATTATCTGAACATCTTGCGCTAAGATTGGCTGCAACATGTCAGCTATGGCTTCCGATTGTATGATGCAGCCTGCTCGCCAGATCTGAATGCATTTTCCGAGATCCACGCCCCAGCCCTCATCGGCGGACGCTCGCGCGATGAGTTCTAGGCCTTGACAGTATGAACAGAGGAATGAAGCGTAGACAGCGCGACGAAGTTTCTCAAGGAAATCTTTTCTATCCTTGACATCAATCGCCTTCGGATCCGGTACGTCAAGTTTCTTAGCGACTCGTACTCGTTGATTTCTGTTCCCACTAGCGATACGCAAGTAGTGTGCAGTGGCTAGGGTCGGACTCGAAACGTGTCGAAGCGCAGACTCCATCAAGGCCCACAGCGGAGTCCCTTCAGTATTATCATCGTCTTGAACTACCTTGTCAAGGACATCATCTAGCACGGGTCTTCCAGCGGGATCAACTCCTTCTCCTTTTCCATCCCCTCGTTCTGACTTCTTTCTATGACAAATGTCGGCGCCAATGTCTAGAAGAAAGTTGTTTCTCAATTCACCTTGTCTCGACCATTCCTTAAATACGTCTCCGATCTCGTCGTAACTCATACCAAGGCCCTTGTGCATGATGTCCCATGCCTCACACGTCGTCGATAAGAGACCTCCCTCGATACCGTTGTGGCACATCTTCACATAATGGCCGGAGCCACCCGGCCCAATGTAGGTCACGTACGGCTTGCCAGTCTTTTTATCTTTGGCGGAATAAAGTTCCAGAAAAGGAAGAACTTGCTCAATAGCTTGTTTGTCACCACCAGGAGATAAACTTGGACCCCGTCGAGCAGATTGGTAGCCGCCAGATACACCCATACCAATCCAACTGACCCCGAGAGGCTTGAGCTCTTCCTGTCGTCGCTCGGTTCGCCGATAGTTTTCATTCCCGCCGTCCAAGATAATGTCACCATTCTTCAATTTCCCCTTAATCTGGCCCAAAACAGAATCTGCAGGTTCTCCGTGTGTGATAGAAAAGATGAATAGCTTTCGCTCCCCCTTGCCTTCGAGGCTGGCCATGAACTCATCGATCTTCTTGAAGCCGGTAATCTTGCCCTTAAGCTGTTCTTTCGATTTCTCGACGTTCTCCATTAGAGTATCAACATTCTTTCCTACCACGTCCCAAATGGATACATCCAGCCCCAGTTCCGCAAATGCGAATGCCATCATGGAGCCCATATTACCGGCACCCACGACACCGATTGCCTTCCATTCTTGAATAGGATCTGTCTGTGGCATTTTTGCTGAATGGGTGACACCTGCCAGAATAAACAGAATATAATATTCCCGTGCTTGTCTCAATGTTCACAGTAGCAATGTATGGACTATGTTCATTCTCAGGAAATGTAGATACTTACTTATACCAGTGCTTCGTCATTCAGTAAAAATTCTTACCTCACGGCGACAAAGTCGTTACGTCAGTTTCCCATTCATCTTAACAAGTAGAATTCTGTTCGCAGAATAATAGCAAATAACATGTCAATATTCGATATTATATATATATAACGAGTTGACCAGTTATTGTGATCAATTGAGGAGAGAAATATGGAGTTGCAGAACATGATGTGGGCATTACATCACAGATAACGATCCACAGAAAAGCATCAATTCAACATCATCTCAGCAACAATTGCTGTTTGGTATGCTCAAGTTTCGATTTACAAATACATTTTATACAAGAAATTCTTTCATTGACTTCGACCAGGAACATACATCTTTTGAATTGCTGAACTCGAGCCTACCGATCCGGATGTTATATGGCGGTTGAGAGAATAAGTCGGAGAAATGGCCAAATCACCACGAATAACTTTAAGTTCTTTGCGCAAGATTCCTCTTTCATTTGCGAGCTGCTCAATTGGCAAAACTACCGATTCACTCACCCAAAGACTCGAAGCAATCTCAAGCGCAGGGTTCACAGCAATCGAACTATCATTTCCGGACATCAAGCAATATGCCGAACAGCTTTTGAATAAACAGGTCAGGCGTGACGATTATCCAGATCTATGTAGGGCGGCACAAGAAATTGGAAAGCTATGTCAGCAATTGGGTCTCGAGATTATGATGCTACAGCCGTTTGCGAACTTTGAGGGATGGCCAAAAGGATCGAGAGAAAGAGAAGAAGCATTTACAAGAGCGAAGAAGTGGATTGAATTAATGAAAGCGTGTGGGGCGGATTTGTTGCAGGTACTGATATACTCTCCCATGTGCTTCCTTTTTCGTCTACTCCAGGGCCGGAGGATTCGATCTCCTTTAAATTGTCAGTAACGTTTATTAACATATTTGACTCCAGGTCGGATCAACGGACAGTTCAGACGACAGAATAACAACCGATCGCAGTGAAATTGTGAAGGACCTTCAGGAACTCGCAGATATGCTCGCCAAGGAGAACTTTTGCTTGGCCTACGAGGATTGGTGCTGGTCCACGCATGCACCGACATGGAAGGATGTATGGGAAATTGTTCATCAAGTCGACAGACCAAATGTTGGACTGTGTCTCGATACTTTCCAAATAGCAGGCAGCGAATGGGCAGATCCAGCAACAGCTTCGGGATTGATTGAAGAGATACCGAAATCCGAAGTTGAGAAGCGATGGAAAGCTAGTATGGAGGAATTGGCATCCTCGGTTCCCGCTGAAAAGATTTATCTTTTACAAATATCAGATGCATATAAACCGACGACTCCCATTGAAAGAAAGATAAAGAATGGCTTACTACCTCGAGGACAATGGAGCCATGACTTTCGTCCGATGCCATATGAAGGCGGTTACTTGCCAATAGAAGATGTAACTAAAGCGGTTCTCAGGACGGGGTTCCGAGGGTACTTTTCCATGGAGATATTTGATAATGGTCCAGATGGCACTGGGAAGGAGTACAATGTGGGGAAATTCGCAAAGAGTGCCATGGAGAATATGCAGAGGCTGTTCAAGAATGTTGCCGATACAAGTACCTAATTGCAGCTAGATCTTCGTATTAAGGAACGGATATACAATAGTTATGTTTACAGTGAAGCAAGCATCAAAATCAAATATCACAACGATCCAAGATTGTAAGGGATGGTTGGCTGAATCTCGGGTTGCTTGGAAAGTCCTGGTTCTACTCCAGTAAATTCAAGAATGGAAAGTTTGATATGATATCTGGGCATTATCAACGCGTATTCAAATACAAGAGGCGCCTGCTCATACACTAAGAATAATATAGTAATGCTAAAACCGTCGGTGAAGTTATAGAAACACTGGGGTATGAACCAATCTGATATTATTTCAATTGACATGCATGTACCAGTTGGCAAACCAAAGAACCATACTACCCCAGAATGATTTCCCAAAACTGAAATTAGGGCTTCGATCGTGATCTTGCCTTGTTTTCCAGGCCAGCAAACGCTCATTGATCCACATATGGCCCGTCCCGTCCCTGACCCAAACCCTAAGAGCCTAAAGAGACTACACACCGAATCTGCTCGATAGAGACAGATAACTCCACTGCTGCAGCAGGATGCGACGTCAGTCGTGCCGTGGTTACATTCAAGGCTTTTAGCTTCTGGGCATCATGCAGTGTGGGCCTCCGAAGCATTAGCCAAACGGGAAGTAGGAAGGGGGAGCATAGTAATTGGTTCTCGCGGCCGCCAAACGCATTATTATTTAATGCCTCGATGAGTGCTAGTTAGCTATAAGATATAGCACTCACCTTGCATATGCTGCTGGAGTTTGATCTCTATTATCGTGTAGAGCAATCGAGAACGAAAACGAACCTAGAAGTCCGAGAGATGAGAAAATTTAGCTCATAGACCCATTTGCAGGATAACAATCGATGAATACGTGCACCAAGACGGATTGGACAGACCCGACGAGACGAGCCTCACAGGAGCGGGTATTGTATTTGGAGACGAGTCCGGTGGTCATAGAATCAAAGATTTCTAGACAGCACACGTATCGACAGAGTCCTTGTACAACGAGTCCACCCGTAGGTTTGTCCTACAGGCTAATCAGCGCTGAGCGTTTTCTCCTGTTCTCGCAGCATAATCTTGCTAGCGGTGAACCCAAGTCTGGTAACCAATCAACCAGATCAAATATCTGCTAGATGCATTTCAGTGCAGATATAGGGTATATCAGAAGTATCAAGTAAAGTATTTAATATGGACCATCTCTAATGAAAATCGCTGATATTGAATCTATATCTCTATCAATGAATCTTAGCAAAGAACTTTTCCAACTTTTGACTGCACATCGATGGATAAAGGAAAAATCAAACCCCGGAATTGTTTAACTCTTTTCTCTGAAATGGAAAACGCCCTAGAATCTTAACGTGGAACAGACAACTTTTACCTGGTAAGCCAAACCAACAGAAATGCGATCTTCAAAATCTTCCATTTCCTTTGCATTTATTTTAATTTCTCCTCACCGGACTTGTCTCCTCATGAAAACACCAAAAACCACCTGACCAGTGGTCCTAATGATATGTCAGATAGAACTCCAAGACACGATAGCCCAGTACCACCCAGACGGATGTTGGGCAGGTAAATACCAGCAAAGTCTTCAGTTGACTGTCGCTGGCTGGGCATCACTCCAACGACGGTTTTGTCTCTCTTGTCTATTTCTTGCTCGACTTTTGCTTTTTCGCTAATCGGTTTATAGGGATTGCATCGTTAGGCAGTTGTCTCCCCGGTTTTTTAGCCTTTGGCTGTTTCGGCGCTGTTGCCGATACGGGAGTCGTTTGAGATGATTGTGTCTGTTCTGTGCGTGGTAGACAGTGCCTGAATCAGCGAACTTCCTTAGTGAACAGGTTCCTATTCCTCGCATCTTACCTTGCTCGTTGTTATTGGTTTCTTGTGTGACTGCGAAAGAGGCGAGCCTTTCACCGGGCGGCTTCCCCTTGAACAGTGATTTATACAGAACTGCTAAGGACGACATTTCCGAAGCAGAGAAAGTATTCGAATTTCCAGGCTTGAAGCAAAGGATTTCAGGAAGATGAGGTACAGCGACGATATCCTGAATAAATGTGTGGACCTTGGGCTCTTGTATCGCTGTTCGATCTTGACGTCCCCCTGACATCAAAGTTCGCAAGTCGAGAATCGCGGTGTCTTGAATCAATCGTGACTATGATGAAACAAAAAGTCTTCTCAAGAGTTCTCAAAGTACTGTCGTTCGATCGATATGCGAGTGCTGGGAGCAAGGTTGGGAGGGTGTAAACAACTTTCTTACCAAGTGTCCTGCAGCGACTACCGAGCCCACAACATAGAGACAAGAGATCCACCGCTAGTCCTATCATCTGAGTGAGCCTCACTGGCATTGGCATATGCCATCAAAAACGAGAAGTACGCCAGCATTTGTTGTGCGTTGACGACTTAGTGCGAATTACGCGAAGCCTGGGTGTTCTCGCACAGGCCCAAAGAGGGTTTAACTGCTCACCTAGGCGAGGGCATAAAACAGTTTTTGGAAAACCAAGCAATTTTGTGAGGATTATGCTTCTCGCGCTAGTACTGATTCGCGTCCTTTAGGATCCCCCATCTTTTGGTTTTCCAGCATCAAAACGACTTTTAAGGCTGATATGAATCTATCCCGTTTACGGAAGTAACGGTTTCTTCAATTTTCACGCACCGGTTTCAGCATGAGTCCCCCGGTTCGACCTTAAATAGGTTGAAGAAAGACTATCCTCTCTCAAGTTAGCTACCGGGGGATTCACGGAAGTTGGAAGCTGCAACCCACAGGAATTCACGCTAATTTTGTTGACCGAGAAACAAGCGTCGTCCCTAATTTCCTTCTACGCTGATCTATCTCAAAATAGCACCGCCCTGGCAAGACAGACTGCATTAGACAGTCATTTTTTAGGTTGTCTTCGTGCACAATTGCTCTATGTCGAGAAAACCCGCGTTCGTACGACTACATCGGGTTAACTGAAAAGCACTCAATTGCTTAGGGCTACTATGACTTGGAAGATTGAAACGGAAATGGCGAATGCCCGTGTTACATGTACTTTAAGTCAAAAGTCGAAAGTCAAAAGCCTAATATTTAACGAGCGATTTAGTGGGACGAGCGACACGCCGGAAAGCTGGAATCAATTCCCCGAGGACTAGAACCTTCGCTTTATCGCGTGGTGGATCGTAATTGTTGTCCCAACTAGTACCTTTTACCCTTTGTGGACAACACAGGAATCAGAACGTATTGCTTAGAAGCAGGGAGATGGACGGTGCGTTGCTGATACTTTTGGATTCAAGTGTGGTCTGTGGTACTTTATGTAGATTTTAGGATGACAGAAGTCCATTCATTACTCCTATTACTAAATGGACTGTACCTAGACGTTGGTCAGAGCCCCAAGAATAAGGCTATCAGGCGAACCCAACGGAATGAACCCTCCCGGAATCTCAGAGATCGGCAACCTATCACCCTATGTTGAGTGGATCAGGCAACTAGCTATCTCATTAAGTCTAATAATAGTCCCTACTGAAGCTTAAACCTCGACCTAAAAAGTCTTGTTTGTTGTTACTGCGATTTCTTTTCTACTGCAGCAACAGATACGACTACGTGATTACGTTAACACGCTGAGTCTTGAATGCCATATTCGATCATCTAAATTTCAACATCTGCCGGGTTTTCATCCTAAAAGCCTAGATATACAATTCTTGCCAGATGAAATTCTACCGCTGCATAAGTTGTTAGTCGAGGTACGCAGATATAGACATCATCACGAACACTCATCACACATCCACACATACTCTTTTCTAGTACGGATTCGCTTCCATATCGTTTGACTGACATACATACTACTTAAGGATGCCACCTTGCCAAGCCGAACCGTATTCTGGACCACGTACGGAGACGATAACATAACAAAAGACATGCATCAACTTCCAGATCTGCGTTCAAGGGCTAGATAGGCGCCCTGCCTAGGCACAGTGATAGCTTTCGATTTACTACTTTAAAGTCACATACGGGTACGATTTTCGCTCGAGATGGATGTTATATTCTGAAAGCATGAACCAGATTCACCGAGTGACCTTGTCTTGCTGGTAGCGCCACTCGTTGTGACTCAAGGCGTGAGTCAGCAAGTTGGGGAAGTTAGGGCTAAATGACTCATGAGTTCCAATGCTAGCCGGGGCCTTGTTACGCGGAAATAGTGTTTATGGATGCCGAAAGTGAACTACCATTTTCTCATTGAGTCACAATTTACAGTATTGGTCCATAAGATTTTCATTCAGTGAGAAGAAGATTCTATGGAGTATTATGGAAAGGAGGACTCCGTGATGCTAACAAAGCTACCCGTGAGCGTTCGGCAATCTCGGCAAATTCAGAGACAAGTCTGCTCTACAGAGATCTCGGTGCGTCTTGATACAGGACGTCTTAGTCAACTCCCAGACTCTCGAACCAAATATATTTGCATGTTTCGAGTATATTTCATGCAGTGGACGTTGACACCGGATTTTCCATGGGTCACCTACATGGTTCATCACGGCACTTGTTTGTTTTGCACTAACATACTGAACAATGTCTAAACACTCAACATCTGCCTAACTATTGGGCACTACATGTGCTTTTTTGATCTTCACATGTTTTGGCGTCATGAAATTCCAAATCAATCGAACGATTGATGGAGGATTCTTTACTATGTCTGATGATGACTACTTACTCAAACGCCCAGGCAAGACCTATCTACATTTTGGCGCCGAGGAAGAACCAATCATCAAGCAAAAGTGACTGATAGTGAAAAAAATTCGAGAAAAAAGCGCCATGTGCACAACGATAAATATGCGCCGGTACCATCATACATGCGTACAACCATACCTCAGGGTGGGATCGATATACCTGCGCCGCAAATTCTGTTTCAATCGCACACATGGCTCGTTTTTGACAGGTTTTCATGGGGCGCTTGTCATATCAGATCGCTACGTTGTCAAGTTAGTGGCTTTTCCATGAGGAGGGAGCCAACAAAAAGTAGTTCCGCTACACCACATCGGATATCGACATGCATGCCATATTCGTTCTGCCTTTGTATGTTGTGTTGTGCATGAACTCTGAGACTGATTTAAAAAAAATAGAATTTTCATGAGGCTCAAAGATGTAATGGTTGATGAATTGGGTATAAAAGGGGCTATCATCGACCTGTGTTGATATGGAAGGGGAAGCAGAGAACAATTGTATCTTGTGTCTACACTGACAGCTCTAATCATAATACAATTATTCCAGTTTGTCACAGAACTCACACCATGCAGTCTTCCTCACCAGAAGGGGCGTTGGCCACTCCGAGCGACTCCGATATAATAGTCGAATTACTTGAGAAACCTAGCATTGCTCTATTACGCAAGTTTAGGTACTTGGGATATTCACTGCTTCTTCGATTCCAGTCAGAAATTACTGTAATAGAGGAAGAGAGCCTCCAAGCTCTTAAGTCGCGTATCCGTTTCAAGAGACATGCAGCAACAGAGTCGTCTCTTCTCCCAGAAGTCACCCAGGAGCAGCACAGGCTAATTCAAGAGTTACAGGATAAGCTAACGAACTACTGTAAGCACTGGTCTAGTTTTGTGCAGCGAAAGACAACTAATCACCAGGATAACATCAGACATCTTTCTTGAACTTTTCGAAAAGACTCAATCATACAAGGAACCTCCCACGGCTGTTCTCGGAACCTTCACCGAATCTATTGCAAAGCAACTCAATGCTGAAATTAAGGACACTCCTTGGGTTGATGAAAACGATCTCATGGCTCCATTTGCGAATCATTTTCAGGAACGTGGTCTTCTCACAATGTCGCTGGTTAATTTTTTTTATAACAAAAGGACATCATATGGGTTCGGAAAAATATTCGATGTGAGTTTCCATGTCTGCGAGCCGCCTACTTTTCCTAGGCAAATCACAATCGCTAACAATATGAATTACGACGGTTTCTAATACCGAAGATCCTACCTTCTTGCATCAAACGCCATTTCGAACATCCCAGTCATCCAAATTTGTTTGTCTTGTACCTCGAGAAGATGTCATGCTTCTTCTCCTGGCTTTCCGTAATCATTGCTCCAACCATCATTGTGGCACCCATGTTTGCGCTGTATGCAATACCTTCAATATGGGGACGAATGGCCATTTTATGGGTATTTGCGATTATATTCGCACTCATGACGGGCTTACTGGCTAGTAACAATTCGGACCTTATATTTGCCACTAATGCTGCGTATGTTGGATCATATCTTTAAGTACTATTTTATTTGGCGGTTGTCTGACATTATTCTTTGTAGATTTTGCGCGGTTCTTGTCGTCTTTGTGGGAAGTGCTGTGTCTTGAAGAATGTATAGAGGTCTTGAATGTGGTTACGACGCTTGCGTGGGTGAGTTGTAGGACTGCTGTTGTTGTGTCTTTATATGAAACTTCTCATCTTTCGATTCCTGATGTCTTGTGTTCGCTCTTTTGATTTCACTTGAGAGTTTGGTCTGCCCAGCTGTGTTTGCGTAGCTTCTATTGTTTTATTCCATAGTACGAACGTGACAGGTCATGTTCTGAGGACTATCATCATTGTAGAATCATATATTCCTTTGGAGACATTACCATATCATTGAGATTCGTCATCTGTGATTACGTACAAACATATTTGAATAAGACCATCGATGAATTCACTTTCTTACAGGCCAGAGTTAGTAGTACATAAACGATTGTCAAGCTTCTCAGAGTACATATATCATCGGTATTAAGCGGCCAAGATCTTCTCAACAGATTGAACCTCCGTGTCCAATCCCTGTGGCTTATCCGTCCTATTAATTCGATATGCATCAATCTTCCTGGATCGGTTCCTTTCAAGGGTATAGTACTCACCTTGTCGAAACTCGGACATCGGACTGTATCCTGCCAGTCCCCTGTCGATGGACCAGAGAATGAGCACAGCCAATGACCTGGTGGACTTGATCCCAAGGGCCCTCTGCTCATGACATTCATTAGAGCTCTTTCCGAATACCAAAAAGAATAGTCCTGCATACCAAGCGTAGTACCTGTCGCATGCATGGTGTGTTTCACACCGGACTTCTCACACAATCGCTGGATTGCAGCAATCTGCGCAGCATAGGAGGTCGAGCCATCTCCGATCTGAAAAGAAATTTTGCCTGTTAACTTAGGTGATGCAGCTGTTTTTTTCGTTAGACATTTACCGGAACCAGCGAGAAATCTGCCAAACATTTTCCTGGGGTGACGAGATCTCCCAAATTAGCAGCGTCCTGCATCTTGGAAAACGTTCGATTATGTTCCCTTGACCGGCGAAGCTGGATTCAATGTGTTTAAAGGTCGTTTTTATTCTGCTCCGAGCTATAAAGAAATAGAGAGGCGACAGATTTGAATAATAATCTGTAGAAATATCTCTCAAGGAGCCTTATTCTCAATTAGAGTTGATTACAGGTAAAAATGACGTTTCGTCTACCTATCCAATACGACAATAAAACTCTGGGCAAAATGAGAATATCACCATAGAATCTCCTACCAGACACATCGGAACTCACTTGCGAAAGCATACATGCCTAAACTGGCCGGAGTGGAGGTTGAATTAGGGTTACGTAGTTAGGGCGAAAGGGAAGAGCGACAACATTTCATCCGGAACTCAACGCCGATCTTATGAATAGCTTTGGAAAGTTCAAAGAGCCAAAATATATATATATATAATAGATTTAATCATATTGGAAACGAATACCCAAACTTCCCTTTGGTCCTTATTGTTGATTATTGCCATGATCCGGGTGTGCGGTGATTCAGCAAATATTCAGAACAGGCAGCCTTTTACGTACAACCACCACCTAAGCAACTAAATAAATTACAGCAAATTCCATATTACAAACATTAATAAGAACAAACCATTCATATATTCATTCAGCAATCTGATATTAGTAAAAGAGCGTTTCTGACTCGTTATTGCTATACAGCTATTAACATATCGACGAATCATATTGCTTGCAAAGATCAGTGATAAGATAATCGGAAAAGCTTTAACCCGTTCTGGCCTTCCGGTGGCAACTGACGCCTGAAAACTGAGGCAGCAGGCGGGGTCTGTAACTTTTTCCATCACCGACTTCGGCTCAGGGTTGGTAATCAGCAATTCCTCAAGAACATCCTTTTATTTCTTGTTCTGCGCTTGTGATTCTTTTCTTTCGTTGTTTAATCACTACCAGCATAAGAGAATAAAAAGAAAAACAGTCAAAATGCCGTCCTTGCCCGTCCTCATCGACACAACTACCGAGTTTGATGTTTCATCTCCTCAAAATGTGACTCAGAAGCGCAGTCTGCTCCTAGCACCCCCTTCGATCGCTGCCCACGAAGAGAAATTGCGAGATATATTCACGACATTCGATCGTTCCGTCACTGATTTACAGATGCTGGACCGCTTATCAGCCGGATTCGTCACACTCCCGGCATCCACTTATGACCTTGTCCTCGTTCTCACAGATACCAATGGCGCTCGGCGAAATGAGGCACTTGAACTGTTGACGCGGGATATTTTTAATATCCTTACACCCTCTATGAAGCCTTCGGCACAATTGCAGTTGCAAGATGGTCCGTTCCAAGCAAACGAGGGTCGCGAGGCGATTTTGGCTGGTTTGGTTGAGAAGCATGGCGCATTCGAGAAACCTCAATATCAGGAAGCCGCTGTACCTCTTCGATTTGGCGCCAATAAAAGGAAGAATAAGATTTCTCCCGAGCCGGTTAAGATCGAGAGTGTTGGATTCGTGGATAATTATGATGATGACGAATTGATTAACGAAGACGATTTACTGGACGAGGAGGACTTGGGTAAACCTGTGCAGCAACGTGAGTCTTTTTGCCCCCAAATAAAACTTTATCTGCCAGTCGATACTAATAGACATCACAGCTGCTGAATGTCAACCAGAGACCGCTAAAAAGCGACGACGGGCTTGTAAGGATTGCACCTGTGGTCTTGCTGCTCAGCTAGAAGCAGAAGATGCAGAGCGCCGCGAAAAGGCCAACGCAGACCTCAATGTCCTCAAATTGAAGACCGACGAACTCAACGATGAAGTCGACTTTACGGTGCAAGGAAAGACTGGCTCCTGTAATAGCTGTTCTCTAGGAGATGCATTCCGTTGTGCAAGCTGCCCGTTCATCGGATTGCCTGCCTTCAAACCCGGTGAGGAAGTTAGAATCATGAACGATATGGCCCAGCTTTGAGCACGCACAATATTTGTCTTGGTTTTCATTTGAAGCATCGCGGCGCGGAATCTTTTGGCCGGTAAATACCCTATGCGAACCGGACTCGACGATGGCTTTCACGATATAATATTTTTTTTCTGGAGTTCTTCGGTTAGTGTATAGCTCTTGATTGCATTTCTAGATCAATTTTTTATATAATGGAATTTGTTCATATCTACCCAGGTAATCCTAGTTGTTGTTACTGGCGAATTTCTTGATCTTAAGAAACTTCCTCAGTATTCTGTAACGTCTGAATTTTGAACATGGTAGGAGTCAATTAAAATTCAATCCAATGAGTTTTATGGTCTCAGAGCCTATGTGAAATAAAGTGTCTTGTATGAACGACAGTGGGGATATGGTGCTGATAAGAGTCATAAGATAGTGATAAGATAACGATAAGCGGATTAGATCGAGGCACAATCAAAATTTTTTTGCGGTGGGATACACCACTCCTAAATACCCTTCGACCAAATAACTTCAAATTGACTTATCGCCTATACTATAGGAGATTTACCATCAATCGTGACTTGTATTTATGCTTGATTAAAGAATCTTTAAATTTCACCCACAATTTTATTCAATATTACAAACCCAACGTCATACCAGCGACCAATACACAAGGCGACAATCACTTCAACCTCAAGCCCAATCTAGAATTATTCTTCAGGAACATCTACTAATTCGACGGAGGCAACATAAAAATGGCATCCACATCCCAGAATACCACAACAGAACGCTTAGAAGAACAACAACAAAAACTCGATCTCGCAATCACCCTCGCTCTCAACACATGGCCCGCCCTAACTCTCGCTGTCCAATCCTCCTGGGGAGGCCAAAATTCCTCTGACAAACGCGACTGGCTCTGTGGCGCAATCTCTGATATCATATCCACACGTCCGGAGACCGATTCTTACGATATTGAAGATATTCTGGTACAAGTCATGACTGATGAATTCGATGTTGCGGTTGACGACGGTTCGGCGGGTATTGTTGCAGATCAGATCATGAATCTCAAAGCAAGGATTGATCTTGGTGATTATGCGGATGTGGATAGGATGTGGGCTGAGTATAAGGATAAGATGGAGAGGAAGGGAGTTGAACAACAGAATTTATTTAGGCATGTTGATACGAAAGATGAGGATCAGGAGACGGATGAAGATGTTGATGACGACGAGGATGAAGATGAAGAGATGAATGATGCGCCTACCTTGGTATCGAGACCTCCCAGGCAAAGGGCTGAGCCTGAGGTTGACGAGGAGGGATTTACCAAGGTTGTTGGTAAGAAGAAGCGATGATTGAGTCGCTCTTTGGTGTTTAGTATATATGGAGCGATCCTTGATCTGGTATCACATATTATGAATGATGATGGTGCTTCATGGCTATGACTCTTTAAGTTCTTTACGGTATACTTGTCGAGACATGTTCATTTGGTTGATAAGTATCTAGATCACAAAATGCATTCATTAACCCCAAGTCCACAACCTACCCCGGTCCACCTTACATATAGTCATGTTGAGTACCTAGGTATGTGATTGCGTACCCACATATATGAATATCAAAATACGATATTTCAGAATACTTATATAAATCTATAATTAGACATAGCCCCGCTTGACTATTTTACGAGGCTGAAGACGACCCTTGGCATTCGAAATGGTGACCAGGGACCTTTTCAGAAAACTACATAGGTACGTGTTCTCACGAAGGTTTGGGAGACAGGAGCTGTTTTTCCCCCGGCATATCTGGCACCCGATGTGGTTGTGCGAGTCGAGACCTTTGGCCTGGGGGGTGGGGGGAGGAGGGTCAATCAGGGTGTAGTCAAGCTCCAGGGACGGTTTTCTAGTGACAGAGACAACCTAGCGCAAGCTTGGTACATTACAAAGGAGTTGGAGACGAGGTTTTATATTGAAGGTGGGAAGGATAGGAGTAGTGATGACGGCTTGGCTGCAGTTATGGTCTATGGAAAGATCGACCAAGAGTCCTAAATTCTATGTCATTTTGTAACCTGAAATTGTTTCCAAGATGACCGGGACCATCATTCTTGTAAGCCAGTGTAATTGTCTTCCAGTGCCCACGTGAAGATCACCTCACACTTGGGCGCCATTAAAGGCAAGGATGCGCTGAAGAGGTCCAACAGCACCCATACCTGTATAACACAGGTATTTCTATCAGAACACAGCTCATCAACTGCTAGGTTCGCAATACCAAGTCCTCGAGTGTATTGTTTTAGCTAGCATGGGCAAGCAATGCAAGAATCTAAACCGGAAAAACATGCCATTTTCATAATCATCACAAAATCGAGTGTACTACATAAAAACAAAAGGAAAAAAAGACCCTGGGCCAATCCGGATGCTTATCTTATAGGACTTCATGCATATACGTCACTCCTTTTAGGCGGTTGGTTCGTTAAGGATCAGCTTTGTGATCATGCCAATGGCAATGGTTTGTCCCTGGAATGGTAAGTGATGTTAGAAATGGAATCTTAATAATCCAAAAAAACAAAAAGAAGAAACCTTGGGAAAAATCTTACCTGGTCACGCAATGTGAATCGACCCAGTTGGTCGTAATCTTCGTACTTCTCCACACACACTGCACCCGCCGAACCAGTAACTTCCAAACGAGCAATGATGGTTTGACCCCTGCTAGCAAAAGCAGGTGGTTTTTTGCTCTTTCGGCCCGTGCCGGGCTCGAGCTTATGCAGCAATGCGGCAATCGTAACTTCTTCAATGGCAGAATGCACGTGCAAGACACAGTTATAACCAGCAGAAAGAATGCTCTTCAACTCCAAAATTCTGATCTTAGCTTCAAAGGCAGAAACACAGTGGACTGGTCGCTTGGGAGAGCAAAGGACGAATCCGGGAAGAATATCTTCTTCTTCAATACCGCGCAAACGGATTCGGACCTGGTCACCACAAGTGGCAGTGGAGATTTCATCCTCAGTCTCACCATATAACGCGGCAATCCCTACTTCTTCTCTGTTCGGCATCATGAGATATGTGTTACTCTTCTTCATGACACCAGATTCGATACGACCTTCGACCATAGTACCCATATCACGGTATTTGGTACTGATGGGCATCATGAAAGGTGCATTGATCTTACGCTCAGGCATCTTCATGTCGGTCAGATATTCCAGCAGGGAAGGCCCATCATACCATGGGCAAATGTCCTTGGGGATACGGTCTTTGATACCAAGAGTGCGTTGGGCGGAGATTGGCATGAAGAACAGATCTGCCTTCTTGTAACCCAAATTCTCAAGGAACTTGGCGATCTTCACTGTACATTCATCAAAACGGGCTTTGCTCCACTCGACAGTAGGGTCGTCCATCTTATTGACCGCCACAATGAGTTTCTTGACACCAGTGTTTCTGGCCAAAAGGGCGTGTTCTCGGGTCTGGCCGCCCTTCTCGAAACCGGTCTCATACTCGCCCTTACGAGCCGAAACAACTAGCACACCAACATCTGCTTGCGAGGCCCCTCCGATCATGTGTGGCACAAAAGACTTGTGGCCCGGAGCGTCGAGAATGGTGAAATGGCGCTCCACCTCACCGTCAGGACCTTGATAAGTAACCTTGAAGAAAGCACGGCCGACTTCGACGGTTTTACCCTTGGCACGCTCCTCGTTTGTCAAATCCAATGCCCATGACAAATACCACGTCTCACGACCGGCGTCCTTTGCATCACGCTTGTATTTTTCCATGGTACGTTCATCAACCATACCAGTAGCATACAGGATAGATCCTCCGAGAGTCGATTTTCCGGCATCGACGTGACCGATGAATACGAGGTTGACATGTTCACGCTTCTCACCGTAGATTTCCTTCAACGTGGCTTCGTCGACGTCGGCTTTCTGTTCACGAGCAACTGCATCGGCGTCACGAACAGCCTTAGCAGCCTCGCCTCGGGAAGGGCTGCTGCGTCCGGGACTATTGCGACCAGATGAGGGGGCCGGCGAAGCCTTTCCGCTGCTTGCAGCTTTGGCCTCTGCCTTTTTCTCTGTTTTCTCAATTGCCTTGGAAGCAGTTACTTTGTTAGCAGCCTCTGCGGCTGCGGCGCCCTTACTATCTCCAGGTGTAGCGGATTCATCCTTGGTGGTCTTTGTAGCAGCGGGAGTACCGAGAGAAAGGACCTTAGTTTTCGGAGCGCTTGCACCTGAATCTCCCAGCGATAAAACTTTTGCCTTTGGCGCACCTGTAGTTGCGGGTTTGGGAGCTTGCGCAGCTGGGGCGGCTGGTTGTTCAGCGGCGGGAGTCTTTTGGGCAGCAGGAGCCTGACGGAACTGCGACTGCTGTTGCTGTTGCTGCTGTGAGTACTGGTTGTAACCACCGCTACCGTACTGGTTGTTATAGATCTGATTGTAATTTCCGGGCTGTTGTCCATAGCCACCGTATTGATTGTAAGCTTGCTGTTGGTTGTAGGCAGGATAATAGCCTTGGCCTTGCTGCTGGTATTGGGGGTATCCGTATTGCTGGTATTGCTGGCCTGGAACGAACGAGGCAGCACCAGGTTGAAAAGATGCTGCACCGGGTTGGAACAAGGGAGCCTGAGCTTGGAAGTTGGCGTTGCCGTTATTCAAATTCATGTTGTCTGTTTGTCTGGAGAGGTCTTCCTCCCAGTTGTCGGGAGTCTGGTCAGCCATGAGTGATGATATGGGCTTCTATGAAACAAATAAAAATTAAAATATGAAACAACGAGAAATTTGAACGAAGACAACTGCTGATGATGCGATAGAAGGAATGACGTCTCGTCGAGTGTATGTTAAGACTTCTTCGTTGAAAAGACAAAACAAGCAAGAAGTGGAGGGGCCTGGGACAATTTTGCACTGGATCGCTGACTCAGCTGTGCGGGGCCTGCGGGACAGTACGCATATTATTGGTTGACTGAACCGCGCGTCAAAGTATTCGGACAGTGGCTGTCGGCTATTCTGAATAGGCGCCAAATAAGGCATTAAGGCATTAAGGCACGATCAACGTTCAGTCCAAAGCGTCAATCACAATGAAGATTCTTGTACATAACCAACATCAGTGATTTTCAGGCAATAAGAGACTTTTCAATATATTGCATGTGAAAAATTGCAAACTCTACGCCATGCTACTAGACCGCTCAATTTGTTTTCTTCTCCAAACGTAGAGAAAGACTCGACTTTTCCCCTCACGCACTCATTTCTTAGCGAAATAGGGGTATCTTTTCTCTTCATACAGCTTTCAAGACTTCCCTCTACACTCAAACATCTTTCCATCTTCAGGAGTATACTTGGCTTTTGCTTTTCTTCGCCCTCCGAGATGGAGGTCTTTCTTTCCAAGGTGCGGGTCTCATCAATTGCTTATTTGTTGATTGTCCACTGATCGTCTGTACAGATCACCAACCAGGCCATGAACTATGCGATTCGGTAAGATTACTCTAATGAATTTTAATTTCTTTGTCTAATCCATTCCATAGGTCTGGCATTAGTATCACCGCGACATATGCAATCCAGCAAACTACTAGACTACTCAAAGTATCACTTCCTGCCTTTATCATACACAAGTATATAGAGCTGACTCATAGCAAAAATAGAATGTTGGTGGTACTGAAAGAACAGAACTTCTCGCTCTACAGCAGAGACTCCAGAGCAAGATTACGGTAAGCTATTTATGGGCTTCTACTGGTCCAGAAGACTAACGCTGTACGCTATAGGTCATCTCACCTGCGATTGATATGATAGAATTGATAGCTGCAAGAGGAAACACATCGCTCGAATCCGCAGTATCTCTTACCAAAGCGATCAGGCATGACATACAGTCACTTGCGCGCCGACTTGAAAAAGCTGCGTCTGCCGAGGAGCTAGCTCACAAAGGGGCATTATCGTCTAAAGCACGAGCCCAAAACGAAATCGAGATCAAATTGATCATCTCTGATATCCGAAAAGTGCTAGAGAAGATTGAAGATGCGGTGCCGTTAATGAATCTCGCAATTACGACATCGGGTGCCCGACTGTCCACTACTCTACCATCTACGGTCTCACCGTCTCGTCTACTACAAGCTAGCACATTTCTATCGGCATGCGACACACAATATTCGATCCAACCTTCAAGAGCAGTACAAGTTGGTCCTACTTTCACACTATCGATGTATATGCTTTTTAGCGGTCATATAAGACATTTTGACGAGGAGAACGTCCGGGAGACGACATGGAAGGAAGTCATGCACAAAGCTCGAGTGAAATTACGAAGAGTTCCGATGGAGGTCTTTGCCAATCGACCAAATCAGAAATTGAGCGACTCCGATCTTCCTGCCACTGCAAGGGGAGACGAATTCGCCTATCAGATTTTGATTGTGGAGGATCTAGATGATGGCAGAGTACACAACTTTGAGGATGGTGAACCACAACCTGAACCTTATGAAGGAGTCAAGCTTGCTGGTCTTCGAGAAATCATTCCCGTCCACCAAATCTCCAAGATTTTCTACGCTGATACCGGTAAGATGCTTAACATTGGGAGCGAAGGTGAGACAAACAGTCCAGTGCTCTTGCTCAAGCGAGATATCAATGCTATTCCGCCACGTCGAATGATCGATAGAAACGAGACAATGTATGGCGAACTAAGTGAAGAAACGTCAGAGGAGGAAAATGAGAAACAGGAAGGACAACGGGATGAACTTCAGGCACAACTTGATGCGCAATTAAACGGTAAGGAACCGGAGGAGGAGGAGTTGAGTTACCTTAAGTCATTATCAGAGCGCCATATACATGCAGCTTGGCGTCTTCCACCTGGCTTGGACCCGGAATGGGTTGCTTTTGAGGTTCATCAGGAAGAAGAGAAAGATGACGAGACGGATATTGACGATGAAGAGGAAACACCAGACACCCGTGACGCCAAGTCGCATATGGCGAATTTGAGACTTGAAGACGACAAAGTTTCTTCATCACAGCAGATATCATTTTCATCTTCTCGTGATGTGTCTACATCCACCGCCTCCAACCCACTTTTCAACAATATTCGCACTTCCCTGTCACTACTCGAAACCCTTCTTCGCCTCACATCCCTCCAACAATTCCAACAACAATCTCACCTTTCAATTACCGATGAACTACTCAACTTCTTCTTAGAAGAATCTTCCAGCACCGGCGCAGGAGGCGATGAACAACACCGCCAACGCGTCCGCGCAGAAGCCCGTCGGAAGGTAGGCTGGGACCCATACGATGAGTCACCGCTAAAGCGTCGCGGTGAGGATTACCAATACCAGTACAACAACGAGGGACATTGGACACCAACGGGGACACCAGCCCGATATCAGTATCGAGTGACTAGCGTCGACCCTGCGTCACCTGGTGGTGGAGCGCCGGAAGACCGATTCCAAGCACGATCTTATCGAGAACAAACTCCCCCGCTATCGTCGCCTGGTCTGCCCCGGCAAATGGCCAGACAAGCAGCAGCGCCTGCTGGTGGGAAAGGGGGCAGTTTGTCTAGGGTATCGCCATTGTCTAAGCGGCTTACTACGGCGCTCACAGATGAGGGATTGGGGACAAGTCCTGGAATTTTCCGGGGACCTGAATCAAAGTAGTTTGATAATCAGTATCGAATGACGATTTAATTAGGGACTTACCCACATCTCGTAACCTATAGATTTAAGGAGTAGACCTCATGTCCAATTCGGATCGATAATCGTTAAGCTAAGGGAGAGGGGAATAAACGCCACAGCAACAAAGAAAATATGAGAAGCATTGTGAGAGAGCAATGCACGTCAAGACGCGTTAGATTATTTACACCCAAACTCCCGTAACTCCCGCTCGGCGCAAGTATCAGAAAAGCATAATACCACAACCCCCAAAAACAAAAAGTTAGACAACTACCTTATTCCCAATCTTCGTCACTATCTTCAGATGTATTTGCAGCGGGCTTTTCGCGAGGACTGGCAGGAGTCTGACTGGTAGCACCGCTCACAACGTCGTAGCTTGATTCACTATCGGGTTGTGAATGCTGGTCATTGGATCGACGTGGTTCGCTCAATAGATTGGAGTCGTCAACAACGGTAAGGTTTTGGGACGATGCGGCGCTTGGCTTGGACTTTACGTGAGGAGTTGATGGTGACTCGGAGTCTGAGTCTTCGTCCCAGCCGACTTCTTCTTCGTCGGCGGCTGTGTTGGCGCCTATAATCAGAATATGATGATCAATATGAGGTATGGAAATAGGATTATAGTCGTGAAAAGGTTACCTTTAAGTAGTTCCTTGCGCTTTTGCTCCTCTGTCTCAACAGCTAGACGGAGAAAGTAATACCGCGACCAGAATCCACTATAGTCAACCGTCTCTGGGACGAGCTTCTCCATAGCCCGGCGAAGCTCAGGGTATTGTTCAAGGTCCTTAGTTATATCATCCGTCTTGCTCTCCACATTGAAATCTTTCTTGAAGGCAGTCCACTGCTCACTATCCGGATCCTTCTTTAGTCCTTCTAAATTGGTGTGAATAGCGTGTAATTGAGCTTCGAGGCGAGTAGCATGAAACACGCGTTTCCCTTCCGAATCCTTACTCTCGAAAAGTACCTTGTCGGACCCTTGTTCCGGTGGAGCGATACTGACAGCATCTCGCAGGAAGCTACGAATGTTCGTACCGAATCGAACCAGGGCTTCGTCAGCTGCGTCTTCCGCCCTTTCGATTTCCTTCAGTCTCTTCGCAGCTTCGGCCCGAAATCGTGAAATGAAACTTTCGCCTTCTTCGGTCTGTGCTTGGTCCTTCAACTCACCTTCTTCCTTGTTCTCCTTATCTGCGGCCTTGGGTATAGATTCGTCCGTGGTTGTTTCATTACTTGGAGCAATTGCTGATAGAGCGCCGCCTAGCGAAATCCCTTTGGTCCTATCGACGATACTATCGCGAAGATCGGAGAAGCCTTTGGTAGCTTCCTCGCTCACTGCAGCGTATTCCTGTCTAGCACCTTCGTAGTAACTCTCGCCTTGTTTCCGTACATTACTCCATAGACCGCCAATTTTGGCACCCCAGGGACTGTTGGAGAAGGCTCGAAAAGTCTCTTCGAATTCAGCGCCGAGATTAATGTTCTGTGACTCGGTTTGTTGGGTTCCGTCTTCGTTCTTCTCGGCTTGTCTGGAAGCTAGGATCTCCTCCTGAATATGATCGTATGCGAAATCCATCTTGATGAAACAGATATAATCGGAGGTGGCTATTTGACTGGGCTGGTCGCTTATCGAGAAGACAGGCAAGCAACCTTGCTGGTGTCGTTGAGCAGTCGGAGACAAGGTGACATCCGGTTGCTGTTGCTACGGACTACCACAGGCCCCACACATGCTAATCTTGTGGCTTACCGTTTTCGGGATTGTATTCTCCTTTTACAACTATCAGAAACATCGATATTATGCTCATATTCATAGATCTCAAGTTTGTCTTCTGATTTAACACGCTACATAATCAAAAACTGGTCGTATCCACCGAGAAGACTGGTCCATCGAATATTCAGTCCAGTCTGCCACATGTTGCGAATCGTTTCTACGCCTCGAAGAGCACTCCGATAACCAGTAGCCTCATACAAGAGCCGCAGCTCATTGAGGAAGAACTCTCTATCCTCCAGAGTTGAGCTCTCAGCTGCCATGACAAAAAACGGCCATGCAAGCAAATTCTGGCCCACAACATTGCCATAACTCTTCACCCGCTCAACAAGCTGGCGGAAATTTTCGATCAGGTGAGCTGCCTTGAACGACGGGGGATCAAAACATGCCCGTCGAACATAAACCTCACAGGCTAAAGTAACAGCCGCGAATAAGAGGTCCATCAGCTCCTCGTATTCCGGGTGGAGACTTTGACAGAAACGCAAGAATTCGAAGCATCTTGTACGATGGAGCGATAGGTATTGCTTTCCATCTGCCTCATCGAAGAGTGGCTCGGCGAAAAGACGAAGTCTATAGTAGGTGAGCATGAATGATGAATCATACAGGTTCGAAGTGCTTACCTCAGGATTTGTATATTGACAAACCGTGTCAATTCATTCAACTGACCCGCCAAGTTACTTTGTATTGTCATATCTGGCAATGCTTTCAAAGAACCGTAAAGGTACTTGAATCCATTGCCTCCGCTGATAGTCTCCCTATAATGCAGAAGCAGGAGCACTATCAAACTAGAGATATCCTGATTCGGGGCGGACATTTTTGATCTTGCTACCAATTCTATAATGAGAGAATTATATTCCCGAATATCAGAGACTACGTCACCCCCGAATCGTAGAATTATATGCTGTCTAGACACTGCTGCAATCGCTCCTCTAACAAACGGGTCCGTTTCAGCATACGGTAAGAGTAAATCTCGGAAACCGTTGAAGCCTCTGTTGATTACCGTAGCGGCCGGGGCGATATGTTCAGCAACTGTTAGGAAGCTGGTCAGCTCGGTATGGACATCAATGACAACTCCAAGTCAATCGAGGATTGTCATACAATACTGCATCAAATATTGTGTCTTTCCATCGACGTGGCTGAGAGCTATTCCAATCTGTACAGCTGGGCTGTCGTTTCCCTCCCTTTGCTGGTCGTTATTCCTAACGGTGATTGAGAGCAAATGCCGAGTCATGCGGGGACTTCTTGACTGGGTTCTGAGTTTATCTCCTTTACGAGGAGTATATGTCTCCTGTAAGTCGTGCCTTTCACCTTCTTGACGAGAATGTCTCGACTTTACTTCAATTGAGGAAGATTCGGCCACAGGAGAAGCCTCCCCACCATACGAAAGTATAGTAGGAATGCTTTTACCCACGAGTTTGCCTCGAGATGCTAAGCCGCCGTTGAATCGATATCGAATATCTAATCCACTGCATGCTAATCCCTTTGTCTCACATTTTTGACAGGTTGGTTGTTGGCGATCGCAGTCGATTCTCCGGCGTGAGCACTCATAACAACCTGCGACAAAGTATGAGCTTGGTATGCCCCTCCCTACAGCTATAGTTTATAGATAGGATGGGAAACACCTTTTACTTTTGGTCTTTTTTTTGCAACTGACATTCTGAGGATGCCATACCATGAATATCAACTTTGAAGGTATTGAGGAGAGATGGATGTGGATGACAATCGAGATAAGCATATATACATGTGGGCATCTAGTTCCTCCAATCATATCCACTGCCCATTCTAGTACCAGTCAGTACGTCTTACAATCAGCACCAAAAGCATTTTGGTGCTACATGTTTAAAGATCAATCTCAACCTGATTTGAATTCTTTACAGCTGACCACGTCATGAGCTATAACTCGAGTATTGTTAAGATTCTTGAGGAAGATCTGGTTGCCGAGGATTATGAGCAGTAGTGGAGATATCAGTTGTACGTTCCCCTTTGGGGATTGATAGATTCTTGATGGAGCGTTCTCAACGTTCTTGTCCTTGTCTCTCTTTCTTGTTATCTAGGAAACTATCAAAGGAGTGAGGTGTTCTATCCCGTACGGATAAATATCGGCCCGAAGGCTGTATAATCTTTACAAGTATCAAGTATAATCCTCAAAGACGTCGCTCACGACCTCCGCGATCGTATTAACTATATGTTTAACATCCGCGGAAGAGACAGTGTATGGCGGTGCAATAAGAATAATATCTCCATCTTTGCCATCTACAATGCCAGGTCCTGGCATGAGCGAGATGGAATACTTCGGTTCGAGCCCTTTTAGATGAATTTTTTGTCCGATTTGTTCTTGGGCTGGAAACGGTTCTTTTGTTGTTTTGTCCTTTACGAATTCGATCTGGGAGATGAAGCAGTCAGTATATAGCTGCTCCAATTCATATTGCTTGGAAGAAAGCAAGGAGATGTGAAATAATCGACTTACTCCCCAGAGTAGCCCCCGACCACGAATGTCTCCGACACGTTTATGCCCACTTAAGCGTTCCTGCAGCAGTTTCCCAAGTAATTCGCCTTGCAATTTGACATTGTCAAGTAAACCATCCCTCGCCACTATATTTTGCACTGCCAAAGCCGCAGCACAAGCAACTGGATGTCCTTGATAAGTCTGGCTATGGACAAAAGCCTTGGAGCCCCTCGACAGGACCTCAACCACCCTCTTATTAAGCATAAGAGCACCAATAGGTACAAATCCGGCTCCAAGTCCTTTAGCAATCGTCTGAAGATCGGGAACAACCCCTTCTTGTTGCCAGGCGTGCAACGTGCCAGTCCGACCCATTCCAGACATGACTTCATCTAGGATCAGTAGTGCACCGTGGCGGTCGCAGACTTCTCTCATTGCTTTGAAATATCCGGGAACGGGAGGCACGCAACCAAGAGTCTGCGGCTTCATTAGACCTGGTTCATGATCCATGTTTGAAGGACTCACCGTTCCAGAAACTGTCTCTGCTATAAATGCACAGACCGTATCCGGACCTTGAGACTGAAACTCATCTTCAAGCTCCTTCGCTAGCCGATTGACATACTCCTCATCGCTCTCTCCGGATTTACAGCCTCTATATGCATAACAGGGAGACACATGCGAAACATTCGCTGCAAGTATGGGCTCATAAATGGCTCTCCTCCCTTTGTGAAAACCGGTAGCTAGAGATCCCAGTGTATTACCATGATATGATTGCTTTCGAGCAATGAATTTTGTCCGTGGAAGTTGTCCTAGCTCAACGAAATATTGCCGAGCCATCTTTAAGGAAGCTTCTACCGCTTCTGTCCCTGTTCAATCAGTCAGTATCGTACTTACACCCTTGTCGACTTTGACAGAAAACATACCCGAGCTCACAATAAACACCTTCGACATCTCCCCGCCAGTCGACTCCGTCAAAAACGAGCAAATCTTCTCCGCTGCCGCAGAAGTGAAAAACGGCAAGTAACAATAATCCAAAGTCTCCAATTGCTCCACGATGGCTGCCTTGATTTCTGGATTATTATGCCCTAGTGCAGCAACGGCTGCACCGCTGGTAGCGTCGAATAATTTGAGCCCATCTTCGGTCAGAAGATAGTGGCCTTCGCCTTTGATTATTTGGGTTGGAGGGTTGCCAATGTTTGAGTACAGGACTGAGGATGCCATTATTTCTGGTGCGCTGGATTGATTTCTGGGAATTCACCAAGTTATGTGAGCAGAAATAAAGGGATGTATGTTCAGCCCTCGCGCTGGAGGAGTCGTAGGGTATAAATAATAGCTACAATAGTGTCTTGCATCTCTATCAATCGTATCCACTCAGAAAAAAGATACGTTATTCTATTAATTCTGTGATGAATAGGACAACCCAGGCGTTGTGTTATCAGACATCGTGGTACCTATCGGTCCGCCCCATAGCAAACGTGTCCCCAAAGTGGAAGCTTGATGGAGACCATTATTAGAAAGAGAGAACAAATGGGAACCATCGCAGGGTCGACACGTGCTTATCGTGACCAAAGATTGAGAAGTCTCCATTTACCTTCCACTTTTGGATTTAGCCCTAAGTGCGTGATCCTATCGGCGATTCTGTCCAATGAAAGGAAGTGCCAGCAGGAGGACAGTTCATAGTCCATTATAGACAGATAACCGCCCGAGATACGTAGTTGCTGAAAGACAGAAGTCATGTATGATATATTGGATATAATTACTCACGTATATATTCTAATTTGATTCTACCTAGATGTTAACACTATCCGGCGCGTTCACGGCCGTCCTTATCCGGATACGGCTCTCCAATACTATCCTGACTTGCCATCCACGGAGGGGCCGGGACACTTTCCATAACACTATCCGTAAGAAAATCTTTCGTCGAAAATAGCTTCCTCAAAGATTTGCCAGTGTCCATGTTGCTCTCATTTTGGCGATTAAGTCTGTCCACTAGCTGTGACGATTCTACCAAAACTATTGACTCGCGCGCCGGAGGTCCCATCGTATTTTGTACCGATCTGGTCTCGTAATTTCGCGTTATTGGTGAAGATTCTGGGATCATTTGGATGGATCGACTGAGACAGTCATCCTGTGTTGGGGTTGCTGTTTCGGAGCCAAAGGCATCGGATCGATCGTGAACCGAAGAAGCAGGGGGTTCTTTCGTGGATGAGACCGATGTTTGTATCGTCGAATTTGGGTCATCATTGTCTTCGATCACCGGGAAGAGTTCTGCTATTTTCTGCGTATTCAGGATCGGCACGGGCTCGTTTGGATACTGAGTATACCGAGCAGGTCGGCGATAGTACACTGATGACTCCGAAGGCAATGCAGCATCGGACAAGATATTGCCAGTTATTTCCAGATCGGTCCCAGAATTAGGTATGGGAGGAAGGTTATCTGAAAAATCGCAGTTCTGAGAATTATGATCTTCACTCGAGCTATCAATCTGTTCGGCCCATTCTTCTAAGGCCTTTGCTCCGATAGACACTTCCGGTAGATTGTCGTCTTCTAGATCGTCGTAGTCCGTATCCTCATCAGTGTCATAAACAATGGTCTTTTTTGGTATCGTCGATGGTGGTGGCTCTGGTGGTGGCTCTGGTGGTTGTAAAGTAGGTTGTATGGCGTCAGATTCGGAAAGTGCGACTTGGTTGTCAGTGCTTGCTTGCTGTAATTGTGAACTTGGAGTCATCGTCGATGCCACTATGTCACCATCGGGGAAATCTGAAGCTTGAGACTTTGAGTTTTCCGGTTGCATTGTTTCTTCTGGCACCTGTTCGGCAGTGTTCTGAAGGTCATTTGCAGCATCGGTGGCTTTCCTTGCACTTGAGGAGGAAACTTCTATCGGGAACTGACGCACTCGGTGAATGTTCGGAGTAGGAACAAACATTTGCTGAGGAGATTCAGGAGTTTGTGACGATGGTATCTCGAATCGCCGCCCTTTTTGTGGTGTCATCGGCTGAACGCTAGGATCATTCAGCGGCCGAATTTTCTTCTCATCGGGAGATGTTTTGCTTTTGATAGCAGGCGACTCATTCATCGTTTCATCGTTAAATTTCCTTCTTTTTCTCGGAGTCAAATCTTCGAACTCATTTTTACTCTTATTCTCCCCTAGGGGCTTGATAGTCGCCTCCCTAGTAGCGTTTGATTTCTCATCGTATAAATTCAGATCGCCATCATCTGAATCAGGAAGAGGAATAAACCGCCGAACAAAATCCATCTGCGTAAGGGTCTTATTCCCACCTATGCCTTTCCGCCCAAGACCTTTGTTATTCTTGTCTCTTGTAAATTTGCTGATTTTCGGTCCTCCACTAATCAAAACGCTTGAGCTTCGAGATTTGAATGTAGTGCTCGGGATACTATTAGGGGAGTGAGAGCTGCCGGTAGACTGTCTTTTGGTCAGTCGTCTATTCGAAGGTCTCCATGATTGATCATTCTCGTCTGCATCATCCACCAGATCGATCACCTCAGCGGATTTTCTTTCAGTCCCATCTTCGTCATATCCCACCAACCCTGATCCCGCATCTGATGCTTCTGTCTTGGGAACAAATTGCGTCAAAGTTATTTGACTGTCCCAGTCAGGCGAACTAGGATATTTGCGTCTTTTCGAGTTCGTAAGGACCGATGATTTTCGGCTAGCCTTCGTGGTGGTCGCTACGCGTCTTGCATTTGGGGCGTGTCTCGTTGTGTTTTCAACAGGAGTGGTCGGTAATTCATTTCCTTCGTGAGAATGGATTCGATGATATATTTTCGAACTCATTTCCACAAGCAATCAGATGGAGATATCGACATTCCGTGCATGTTTGATGAGGTTTTAATTTTTAGTCTCGCTGTATGATTCGGGGAGACGCGTCTAGACGCGTCTTGCCACGCTAGCCGATTTCAATGACACACCTTTCCATTTTAGGATATATTGCTTATTTACAGATCGATAGCAGGAGTCTGGGCGATTTACAAAAAATTTCATTCATGCATATTATTAAATGTATATATTGATACACCTCAGCTTAATCAGACATGAGCCAGTCAGGCTCGGCATCTTCATCCTCAGGATCGTGGGATAACAGTGACACTTTCTCCAAGTCAGAATCAGACTCGCTCTGTTCCGGCTCCGCAGGTTTTTCCGGTGAATTGAGGTCATCTGGCCCTTGGAAATTATGATCCACGCTGACAGGAGTAGATGGATGACCACTTGAAAAATCAACTTTGATGGGAGCAGCTTCAGATGACCGGTCACCTTGGATCACGTCGGACATATTCACGTCTGACTGTGCAACATTGTCCTCTTGTGGTTTTCTCTGTGCTGAATTGACTAGTGGGTCCGATGGACTTTCAATACTAGTTGTGTTGGGTATCACAATTAGCTTGTAGCGCGGTACGCTCTTTTTTAGCTTCACAGGAGTTGGCACCTTGCGCCCAGGGACTGTTGCTTCCTGAACAGCGTTTGTTTCCTGGGTGGGTTTGTCTTCGGTGAACTCTTCTCGACTCTCCACCATATCCTCATCCACAATAAAGCCACTACCAGCACCGTCTTCTGGATCTCCATCATACCCAATATGGCCACTCGTCGGCGGTGGGTGGTTTTCATCATCCTCCGGAATGAACCCACCCCCTTCTGCAAAGTCCGGATCATCTAATGCATCATCACTCACGTGTCTTTCATTATCTGTTACTTCAGAAGCTTCCCCTTCGATTGCGTAATTCTTTACTCTTTCCGCGATGCGTAACTTCAACAAGAGATGCTTCCAAAGACGTAGCGCTTCCTCTGTTCTTCGGTCAAGTTCTTCCTGCATCCTTTCATCCTCAATACACCTAACGACTTCTTCCAAAGCTTCGCGATATTCAGATGCCGCAATCACACCGTTGAACACGGCAGTTCCATGGCGACCTTTGAATTCAAACCCGGTCACGGCAGGAGCGTAGTCAACGTCAAGTATACGAGCCGCTCGAGCTGCTTCGGGATGTTTGAGGTGGAACCCGCCGGGAGGAATCATAGTAGGAACGTAGACATCCAGATTCCCATATGCGTTTTTGGGGACCTTGCCATTGACAACCGGCGGTGATTTGTATAGCTCAGTTTGATGTAATGCGTACAGCGTTCTCTCAGCGCCATAGACACCATCCTTTTCATCATCACTCTCATTCCTTTTCTGCGAAGCTGCAACGCGTTTCAGGGGTTGTTCTCCAATCTTAATGTCTCTTCCAAGTCTATACCAGCCGTCGGCGCTTCTTACCAAGTGCACGTCTGCCCGACGATAAACGGGTTCTACCACGGAACCTTTCTTGGAGCCTGGTTTACCAACTTCAACCTGGCCGATCTTCCTTTTCGGATGAATCACTTCATTCTGCCGAAGGTGTCTTTCCAAGGCATAGACAGGATGACCTTTGAAGTCCTGGATATTCCGAGGCATCGGTTCAGCCGCTGACTTTGCCGTAAATTCACTGAATTCCAGCTGATCTCGATCTTCCAGAAAAGGCTTCTCGTAGTAATTCATGACGTTTGTCCACCACGTCTCTCCATCCTTGGTGCTTTCCACGCGCGTCCTCTGCGTCTTTGCATTGTAGGCTTTTGCGTAGCGTCTCGTAACGTCTCGAGCAGAGTCATCTTCTTCAAATGCTACCACATAGGACATATTGTTATGTCTATCACTAGCAGGAGGCTCAAATTTAGAAGCTCGTGCCACAGATTTTGTGACCAAAGGATCGACGGGAATCCACTTTTGAACAGCCTCGTTGAAGACTTCAACCCAAAAGACCGGAAATGGAGAGCCGGAAAAATTGCGTGGATGTCCTATAAAGAGTCAGTTGATTGAACCCCTGTTAGTTCGGAATAGACGCACGTAGATAGTTTGAGGCGGACTGCCGCACTGGCATTTTGAAAGAGGGCTGCCCAAGTCTTCGTCCCTTGGCAGGCGTACCAGCACTTTGAGCAACAATTTTGTCATCGCTAGAGCTAAGATTATCATCGGAGGATATAACGATATACTCTCGCTTCGGTTTCTCAGGACTCGTGCCTTTAGCGACTCCGGAGAAAGGTAGCACTTGCAGTGAACAAACCAGTCGTGCCTCGACCGCAGCTGACCGTAACAAAGCACAGAATAACTGGGCACCGAAATCTCGTGACCCTTGAAGCTTTCTCGCTTGTTCGCGAAATTCTTCCCTAGTCGAGATAATTTCTCCATCGTGCATGATCGATGCCGCTCTGTCCTTGCACTCTTGTGCACCTTCTGCCCAATATGGCCGTCTCAGGCCAGGTGCCGTAACTTTGAACCGTCGCGCAAAAGCTTCACTCGCCTGTTTTATGCCGTCGATAAAGGTAGTTGATCGAGTAAACTGAGGTAAAGATTCCCTAGGGTTCAAGAGAGATATCGTTTGTTTCGGCAACGTCTGTTTGAGGTACTTCTGAACTTCATCGTCATTACACCACAGATTACGCGTAGATACGTGAGCGAGTAAGCATAACACGTGAGTCTTGTGAACATCAAGTCGAAGTTTCTTCTCAGCTCCAGATACCGGTTTACGTCTTGTCACAATCGTCCTTTGAACGTTGGAGGGTTCGTCAAGCGTGATATCCAATGATTCATCACCTCGGGCTTGTACCATATTCTGAATATTTGTGCTCGACTGCTGTACAATAACCTCCTCCCACTCCATATCCGATTCATCTTCCGTCGCCTGTTCGGCATCAAGGTCATAAATAGTTTGGGTTTGTGTCAAATCGATCACATTATTTGCATTCGGCGAAACTTGAGGTACGGTATTTGTCTGTACATGATGCGAATTTCCTGCCCTCTCCCCTACTCGACGACGTTTTAAGGGCCTTTCCTGGTGTGGTTCAGCAGCAGCGCGTGCATCTGCTTCGGCCAGAAGTTCGTGGTACACTTGGGGGATCTCTTCCTCGCGCTCCCGCTCGTCTCGATTTTTTGGGGCATTCTGGGGTCGAACCCTACCTCTGCGGGGTAATGGGGCCCGCGGCATGGTCATATAAAGTCACCAGGAGCTATTTCTAACCCCGTGAAGAGCTATGTTCCTAGCATCCTTCAAAATCGTAACAACGACCGCAAAAACAGTCATCTGTCTGTGATACTGGTGAGCAAGCCCTCTCAATATAGATAAAAATATCACTAGCACCTTGCGAGACACACCTGTTCTGTACACCGATGAAAGACTGCTTTCCGAAGCTGGGCTAATGCCATTGCAATGATATTTGAGTCATGGAAGGATGATGAGAAGGAACGCGATAAGATTAAGCAGGCACCGGATAAATAGATTTTCCGGCTCCAATGTTCCTCTATACATGAACCAATCAGGTTCCAGTATCTGTTAACCTCAGAATGACATAATGTAGACATTGTCACAACATCTTCCGTTCATTATCTAGAAAATAAACACGCCATTTTTTGAAAAATGTGCAGATGTATACAGTCTGTCAGCATGTCATACCACGTCGTTCGTCCAAGAGCCGGCAGACTTCCGGTTCGATCGTTATGGGCATACTCAACTCAGTGCCGACATATGATGGCAAGAGCGGCAGGAGGAAGTCATCAGTCTTCGGTATGTTCAATTTGAGATACTTATAAACTATCTATGAGATTGCCAACATGCGAATGCTGTAGGGAGATGACAAGCCAATCACTATAACCATTCCCAAAGACTCGTTTGAAACCTATAAAATTGACCCGCCTCCATACAGCTTGGAAACGTCCAAAAAAGAGCTACGGCAATTATATAAAGACATGGCAACTATTCGGTGAGCACCCTGGGTCGTATCTTTATCAGCCTAACGGTGCTCTAGGAGATTAGAGCTCCTCTCAGACCAGCTTTATAAGGAACAAAAAATCCGAGGCTTCTGTCACCTTTCGACGGGTCAAGAAGCTGTAGCTGTTGGAATAGAGCACGCCATTACCAAGTCTGATCCCTTGATCACAGCATATCGCAGCCATGGATTTACGTACATGCGAGGCGGAAGTATTCGGTCAATCATTGGCGAATTACTCGGCAAACAACAGGGAATCTCATACGGCAAGGGCGGGTCAATGCATATGTTTACAAAAGGGTTTTATGGAGGTAACGGAATTGTTGGTGCACATGTTCCGGTGGGCACTGGAATATCATTTGCTCAGCAGTATTCGGAACAGAGTAATATGACAGTGGACTTATATGGGGATGGTGCGGCAAATCAGGGGCAGGTTCATGAGGCATTTAATATGGCCAAGTTGTGGAATCTGCCCGTTCTGTACGGTTGCGAGAGTAGGTTTGTCCCATTCAAAGCGTGATTATCTAGTATCTGTGAACTGAGACCGACGCCAGATAATCAATATGGAATGGGAACATCCGCTGAAAGAGCATCCGCTGAGACAAACTACTATAAACGCGGGTTCTATTTTCCTGGCATTCGTGTCAACGGCATGGATGTTCTTGCTATCATGTCAGCAGTCAAATATGCTCGTCGACTCATTACAGGCGAAGAAGGCAATCACGAAGGACCAATACTTTACGAATTTGTCACCTACAGATTCGCCGGACATAGCATGTCAGACCCCGGCATAGCGTACCGATCTCGCGAAGAACTAAAAGACGCAAGAAAGCAAGATCCCTTGACTGTACTCAAGCAGCGAATGTTAGAACTGAAAATCAACACGGAAGATGAATTAAAGGCTATGGAAAAGGGGATTAAGAGTTTTGTCAATTCTGAGGCGGAGATAGCGCAGAAAATGGACGACCCGTCTCCGGCAGAGGATACTCTGTTTCAAGATATATTCGTGAGAGGAGCAGAGCCTGCATATATGAGGGGTACGACGGTCAATAATACGTACTATTATAAGCATTGATTTGATGTTTTGATTCCTAGATATTGCCGAGGTTATGATTGCAACATGCTTAGATGTGGTACTTATGGTAGAATAATGTCTAATTCGAGTCCGCCTTCCGAGCCCATCTGGGCACTTCCAGGTTAGTAAGTACATTGGATATTAGAAGAGCATTATATGGTCTTCAGTGTCTGAAGCTCTTGTCCTACGTACTTGGTAGCTCCCCCTTGTCGGCAATAGCAAATGTCGAGAGTCTCCGCTTTACGGCTATTCGGCAAGCATGGAACATGCCTAAGTGATACATTAAGACACAACTTTGCATTTCATAGAGAAACAAGTTGTGATATCACTGATTTTCAACTCATTTGACGGCATATACATCCATGGATGGCATAGTGGTCGGTTGGAACTTGGTGAGGGGTTGTAATACATGGATACATACATCAATAAATCAACGGGACTGTGGCTGCGTTATTTCTCCACCTTTTTCCCAAGTGTGACTGGATGACAGAGACCAAAGACGTGCCCTTTGAGACATCAAGGCAGTTGACATGGATGCTTACAAGTATGTCATCCAATAGTTATGGCGATAGTCATCAGATGGAGACCGTTGGAACCCGGTCACCCAGTACTTTAGTAAGCTATGCAAAGCACCGCCGACAAATGATAGAAATCGAGATGCTGGTCCTATGTCATATGCATGTTTCTGTAGGAGGAGGTGCACCAGGTCTCTATTCATCATATTTGTCACACAGGTGCGAAGGAAAGGGGACAATGACAGGCTTAAGTCCGTCGACGACGAATTGGCCAGGGAGTGGATTCTTCTTTCAGTTAGAAGCCAGCCTTCCGGACATTATGCATCGTTGTCGTGCTCCTCACACAGTAGGTGTGGATGTGATGTCGAAAGAATTGCGGTTACATGTTGATCATCATCCTTGTCCCTTGGGTAGGCTCTCGAACAGCGAGGCGCGAATATCGAAAGTGACGGTTGTACGCATTTAACTCCACTTCTCTCTTTTTCAGGCTATGAAAAGATACCAATCGGCCATTGAGCACATAAGTACAAATAGAAGGGTACGGCCTCATTGTAGTTCTTTCAATCATCTCTCCTCCCCTTCATACCTCACTTTCTTCACCAGACTTGTGCCGCTTGTTCAAATCCTCCAACATCAACATCTTACTTCGCGGTAAAGGTTCGGAGAATTTGTTGAGCTTCCTCGACGTCTTCATCATTCCAGGGTTTGAGTCCAAAGCTGATAAGAAATCGGGTCCAACCACCGTAGCTCTTTACTTTTTCTCGCTCGGCGGGGGAAAGTGGAGGCTCTAAGGTAGGGTCAGTAACGAAACACTGTCCAGTACGATAACACAGACGAGGTTGTTAGAAGGAATTAGGGACTTACGAAGTGCGTCAGATGCAAGGCATATTGACTGATTATTGACGGTTGTGACGTTGATTTGAAGGTATCTGATTGAAGTTCTCATTGTCCGAAGACGCGTTTACGTGAGTTGTCAAAGGAAAGAAGTTGTTGGGGTCTGATGAGCCCTGGCTCTTATATAGTCACAGTGGTAACCCTAACCCTATATAGAACGCCTACCATTTATTCAACATGATCGTTCTTCCAGAGGTTGCTCAAAACCTTCCTTTCCCTCATCTGCTACTGGTAAGCCTACTATCCTGTAATTGTAAACAATTAATTACTAATAAATATTAAATCAGGCAATTTTATCTGTTATTGTTACAGCTACAGCTGCCAGAATCATCTATAACCTCTACTTTCATCCACTACACTCGTATCCAGGCCCTTTACTTGGCCGCGCGACTATACTATATCCAATTCTTTGCGAGTTGAGGGGTAGCCTCCATCTCAAAGTGAAAGAATGGCACGACGAGTACGGCGAAGTTGTACGCGTTGCGCCAAATCAGCTATTGTACAATTCTGGACGGGCATGGGAGAAGATATGTGGTAAGTCAGTTGCATCTCGTGAACATGATTCAATCAGTACGCTAATGTCATTTATTTACGACAGGACATCGAACAAGCAGTAACCAGTCACTCTTTGATAAAGATCAGACGTTCTTCTTTGAATCCCCTCAAGGAAAACATACCATGGTGCTTGTCTACTTTCTTTGCTGCGACATTCCTCTTTAAAAGCTGATATAAGAAGTAGATCGGTGAGAATGGCGAGAAACATCGTCGCCTCCGCCGTCTGTTGGCCCACGCGTTCTCTGATAGAGCTTTAAGAGCACAAGAAGACATTCTCCAGAGCTATGTCGAATCTCTTATATCGCAGCTTCGCAAACGCGCGGCCACCTTCGATACCAACACTGTTGATATGATGCGCTGGTTCAACTATATTACCTTCGACATTATTGGCGATCTTTCATTTGGTGATTCCTTTGGATTGTTGGAAAAGGGTATATGGCAAAGATACCTCTCGTCGATCTTTGGACTGCTACAGTTTGGCGTCCGATACCGTGCTATCAAACGTACTTTTCCATTATCATGGAGATTCTTCTTGGCTAGATGGATTACACCTAAAGACATGCGGGAGGATCGGCTATATCAACACGATCTTGCGCAAAGCAAGCTTACCAAACGTGTCTCTGTTGATACTGGGAGACAAGATTTTGGTACGTTCCTCGCCAGCCTCCGGCGTCCCCCTGCAATGATAATGCTAATAAAAAAAAGTGCATTACATGCTCAAAGGATCGAAAGATGCCATCGGTCCAGATGGTCTTAGCATGGATGAGATAGTTAACCTTAGCGAATTCCTCATGCTTGCCGGCAGTGAAACGACGGCAACCGTATTATCCGGGATGCTATATCATTTGCTGCAAAACCCCCAGTGTCTATCACGTCTAACCAGTGAAATTCGATCCTCATTCAAAAGTGAGAACGACATCAACTTGAACAGTGCAGCTCAGCTTCGATATCTTCATGCCGTACTGGAAGAATCTATGCGAATTTATCCCCCAGTTCCCAATTCCCTGCCGCGGGTGACTCCAGAACCAGGACAGATTATCTGTGACAAATTCGTTCCTGCTGGTACCTCTGTTGGATTACATCATTACTCGTCTTACCATTCCAGTGATAATTTCTTTGAGCCGGATGCCTTTCACCCAGAACGATGGCTTGAGGGGGAGGATCCACGATTCAGGAGTGATCGCAAGGACGCATTCCATCCATTTTCACATGGGCCTAGGAATTGTTTAGGGAAGAAGTAAACTTATTCTATTTTCCTTTTACTCTGTCGATAGTAGATAACTAACGAGTCTATTTCCAGTCTTGCTTATGCCGAGATGAGATTGATAGCGAGCAGGTTCTTTTGGAATTTTGATGTGGAACTTCAGCCTGAAAGTTACAATTGGACTGATCAGCGTACCACTACATTGTGGCTGAAGAAGCCTCTTATGGTAAAATTAGTCCCGCGAGAGATGAGTATCAGTTGAGCTACTGGGAGAGTCAAGAGAAAAGATTAAGTGTTAAGAAACAAGCCGCTTTCTTTCAATTATTGATCATTCCTGGATAGTGTCAAAACCCGAATCATAAGAATATTCCCACAGTATTCATTCGAGCATAGTAATAACGAAAGGTGAAATTGCTAAGTAACAAAACGTAGAGTATGCGAACAGCCAACATAGCCCTAGATATACGATTCCAGATCATTATACTGCATGAGTAAACGACTTACCATTATCAATCCATCCTCCTATTCGCGCCTGGTTCACAAGTTGGGTGTCATTCATCAAATAATATCCTCCACGTCCTTTAACTGGAACTGTACATTAACGACAATCCCTAATTTGGATGCCCCTCGTGCCAACAATTCTCGAATCCTGCTTTCTAAATCCGCCCAATCTGTCACAGTTCCCGGGGGTACGTCAATGAAAACTGTCGGCATAACCTCGATCCCTCCCACGTAGGCCCAGTCAAAATAGGCATCCAGCGCAGTTGGATCCCCGAGAGACGACTGAATTAATTCTAAGATAGCGGGGAGCGACGGTTCAAAGAAAGTTGTGATGTAGAAGGTGGTTTTAATGTCGTATGGGTAAGATTCTATATCGACGCAGCTGCACAGTAATATTGTCGGTTTACGGACAGACAAGTACATCTCGATGGGGATGATGAATGGGTGGTCGATCTCGAACAGCTCGGATTCGTCTTCCTCACAGGCAGCATCTTTGGAGCATGACTTCTTGGCTAGCGCCTGATTGTTTCCTTGTATGTCTTGTAGAGGATGGCGGATAGGTGCCATTCTGGCTTGCTTTGTGGTGTTCGAGATATAGGTAGAGGTGTGAATTATATAGAGAAAGAGCGTTCAGAGAGAGAAATAAGATGGTATATGTCCACCTGAATGATATATGAGGACGGAATGAAGACAGTATAAGAGCTCAGAGGCTCCCAGTGAGCTAAAGGTGAGCATGGCTATCCTGAGGCTTCCTTCTGTTTTGCTTTGCGCCCTGCTCTTTCCTATTTGGGAAATATCATCACATGCCCCTTCACCCTTTTGTTCGGCACACAATCTGAACATTTTCTGAGATCTCACTCTTCACTTTCAAAACTTCTGAAGTCACCACCTTCATAGTGTCTGCTAGGTATGTGAATATCCTTTGTTGGGGAGTTTCCTGCCAATTTGGGCCACCGTTTTGCTGAGTTTCCTATCTGTTATTAAATCTCCCTACCTATTCTTTGGCTGCAAACTTCACTTCTTCTAACCTCGCCTTTAGCTAGACAGAGTTGTCACTCCATCGTCAATCCTTCGCTCGTATGGACTTCTATCCTTGAGCCTCAATCCACAAGATGGTAGTTCCATCACAACCTGTCATCCGCAGGAAAGCAGTCAAATCTGTAAAGCCACGTCCAAAACCCCCTGGACAGTCTCGACGTCTACCATGCGCGATTGATTCCATCGAGAACATGCATTCATCTTTTCATGACGCGCCGCCTACAAAAAAGCTATCTTCTGCCGCAGGCATTACAATCGAGGAATACGTGTCGAAAAAGCCTCAGTACGACTTCGACAACTTCGTTCCACGTTCAATTCAGTGTCCAGTTGCGACAAGTCAAGCATTCGATGATGCATACGATTACCTTTTCAAACATCTTTCAGGAGGATGCAACGGTCTAAACATCATTCCGTATCCAGGTCTTCGCGAAGATGATGATGAATCAGAAGAGAAAGTGTCCAATTCAGCGTTTGCAGCACTTGTCTATGTTGAGCCAGGAGTATCGGGTCGCTGGGAAAAAATCGAAAAGGGGTTGAAGCGCATCTTCAACGCAGCGGCTATAGAGGATGGGGAGGAGCCAAAGTGGTTGTGTGAGGGGATTATCTTTCGGTTGTGCGCGGCGAACTCATCCAGATATTGGCAGAATGGTTCGAATGAATATTGATTGGGTACTTTAATCCTTCTATTTGCATATGTGGATGGCACAAGCTCATGATTTGTTGTTATATGGATTCGATTGAGCTAGGGACTGTCATGGTCATTTCTGATTGACAATAAACTCAGTGAATATCTAGGTCCTGATTGGGCTTTACTAAATGAAATTGACCTACGTACTCAGGTACCCCTCGAGCCTTGATAAGCCTTTCCATGAACCAGTCTAAAAGTTATACGATGCCATACTAGGAGGTAGATCCTCAGCTTTCGTCCCCCAATCACTCTCACTCTCCCCCGTCATAATCTCCAGCACACCCCCATTCTCAAAAAAGTCATGCTGAATCCAATTCTTCGTCCATTCTTTCCCGTCTCTCGTCACATTCTGAATATATATGTTGGTGTAGCTCGGATCAAAGTCAACATTCCGTATCGTAGCAACTTTTCCGGTAATCCCATGCGTAATATTGACCTCCCTGAAAAACGGCGCGTTAATGAGATACACATCCTGTCCATGGACAGGCCAAAGACCCATCATACTCAGAGTTGAGAAAGAGCCCATTGAACCACTATCGTCATTCCCCGGGATACCGTTTATGCTCGTATTGAATTGAGAGGGGATATATGCGTGGGTCTGTTTCGTTGATAGACCCGGTCTTCCACCGTAATGGAATTGGTTAACCGTCAGGAAGGCCTGTTCGTCGCCAACGTAGAGTAGGCCGGAGTTATGGAAATAGGTTAGTCGTTCAATGAATGCATCTCGTCCACCCAGTGCTGTGATCAATGAGGCCATATCTTGAGGGACGTAAAAGGTGTAAAGCCACGTACTGCCTTCGTACGTTTCGTGGCCGTCAGGATTCAGATAGCAGCTTGTGAAGTTCATGAGTGGTGTACAGAATTGCGGATCTTGATATCCCCGTGTTCCATTCGAGTACCTTATTTGCAAAAATCCTGTATATCCAAGCGAGGTGGTATTGGCATCAAACATGTTATACCAATTCGTTCCGCGTTTGATGTATTTCTCATAATCATCGGATTTACCCAGAGCTTTGGCAAGCAGCGCAATACAGTAATCGTCATACGCATACTCAACTGTCCGCGAAATACTTCTGGTCAAAGGCCCCTGTCCATATGGATCAAAATCGTCTGTTGGAATATAACCAAGATTCTTCCAACTCTTCAACCCGCCTCGACCTTCAATGGCCCAGTTCGGAGGCTCTACTTCGGCATCTTTGATAACAGCTTCGTATGCAGTATCCCAGTCAATGTCGGTGACGTTTTTGAGATATGCTTCGGCTATCAACACGTCGGCATTTGATCCTCCCTGTGTAAATCCTTTGCATAGAGACATGCGGCAATCTGGCAGATATCCTTCGTGTCTATATGTGTCGATCAGACTTCGGATCATGCGAGATTGTGAGAGGGGGTCGACAAGTGTGATCAGTTGGTGGATGGCTCGGTATGAGTCCCAAATACTATGTCCGCGTCAGTTCCAGTCTTGTGATTGGGATAAGATGACATACCAGTAGTAACTATCATAATAGGGCTCCGTACTCTCCCATAAAGGATTTTCTCCGGTATAATCCTGAGGACTCAGCAGAGCTCTGTAAGCACCACTCCAGAAAACAGTCTGCAAATCCGTCGAGACACCAGTGGCATCAATGCTAATCACACTTAATTTTTCCTTCCATATATCTTGTGCTGACTGTTTTGTCCCATCAAAGTCAAAGTTCGGAATTTCCTTTTTACCATTTGAGCATGCCTGATCGACGCTGATAAAACTCATGCCAACTCTTGCTATGACAGATGTAGTACCGGTCTTGAAACGAGTGAAAGCGCCGGCTGAATAGGACTGATCATTATTGACACCATCAGAAGTGGTTAATACAGTTTTTGGTTCATTCCCGGCACGATCATTCACGAAAACGCCCGTGTCAAAGATCTCCGCTCCCGAGAAATCAGCACAAAAATGAAGATCATAACTACCGATTCCAAAACTGGGGTTGAACGTCCCTGAACCGAAGATACGACCAGTAGTATCATTGACAGAAGCACTCCCATTGCTTCTAGACTGTGGCAGGTCAATCAAGTCGGCAAATATCATGGGCGCAACTGATGTATAGGGTGGGAAGGTGAATCGATACAAAGCTGTATGGTTAGTGACGGTAATCTCGCCTTTAATTCCGCTGTCGAGATCAATGCTAAAATAACCTGCCTGTGCGATCAAGGTCGCGTTGCTAAAACCTACTGACCGGTTTTGGTAGCGGTATACACATCGGTTGAGGTCGTCATCAGGGCATCCAGGATTGGGAAAGATGGGGAAATTTCCAAGTGATGCGCCCTATGGAGGATCAGTCTTGTAGTCTTTTTCAACATTTTTCCGTCTCTATTTTTTAAAACATACACCGCCAGTTCCAGAGTCATGCATGTGCGAGAATCCACTTATACTTGGACTATCTGAGGCAAATCCTCCTTGGTTGTCCACCGAAGAGTCTGCGACTGCCTTTGCCATACCTAGATACATCAGCAGTAAAATCAATATAGTAGAAATGTGAACCCACCAAAAGGCAACGAAGCACCAGCAAAAACATGACCTGTAGGTTTTGGTTTTATTATTTTCCCCGAACGCACAACCTCGACATTGACTAACCTCCATTTGCCGTCCCAATCAGTGGATCAACATAATCCAATACATTGAACTCGGAATTGATTGTACTCGAACCCCGTCGACCATGTATTCGCGCGTCAATGCATCCCTGCAAGATTGTAGCAAGGGTAAGCGTAGAGAACTTCATGTCGATGATAAATGACTGAAACCCCGTAGATTGTAATTGTAGTCTCGTACGACCAGGACAATTCGCTAGAGGCGTTGCAACGCACAGCTATTTATTGCCTCCCGGGTAAATACTACCTTGTCACTCTTCGCATCCCAACCCAAACAACAATTGATCAACATTCTGGCTTATTATACAATGTGGAGAACCCCGCGCTATAGTTAGTAATCGCGGAGAGGAATGAATACAACATTCCACAACGGGCACGCGCATGCTGTCATTCCGATTGGACGGTTTGGAATAGAAAAGTGCACTATGCGATGTCACACTGCTGCGGTGAGATTTTTGGCTGGTTTTCGCAGTGGATTGTCTGGATAGAAGAGCGTTTGGAAGTCATTGTCTCTGCACACTGCTGACTGCATAATAACCGGTTCTATAACTGCTGGGAAAGTGAACCCTGGTACTTATCTATGCGTCATTGTCTGGACTGTGTTCTTTCATTAATATCCTGTTGCGTTGTATATGTTGAATCTGATTTATTCTTCCTGGCAGAGATAAAACAGAAGAGCACTAGGGTAGGCGAAGGCCGAGAATGACGACAAGTTAGCCAACCCTAACCCCAATAAATACCACTCTATCTCGCTGGATGTGAGGTTAGATACGAGAACCTCCACTAAGGTGTTCTTTCCATACACGTAATCATTAATCTCTGTGTACACGGCCTTTATCATTTTTCAATCAACATCGTCTTTTCATATCTTTCGCTTACTACCAGCCCCTTCGAAAAGATTCCATTGACCCACGCTAGGGAAGAAGCAGTCTAAAAGCAAGGAGTAGCAAATACAGGTACCACATTGACCACATTCAAAGGACGCTGTACCAAATGCAAATCCCCTTTGCTCGCTACATTACGGTAAGATCAAAATCCTTCTTACTAGTGTACTGGAACCCTTGTCTAATTATCTATCCGTTAGCCAGACGTGATGGGATAACAAAGGTGTGGAAGAACGATATAGCTGATTGCCATGATAATATTCACAGCTTCTTTATGAAGACAGTCACTAATGTACTAAATATCCAATATCCGCAAAAATGTCGCAACCTCAGAAGTGAGCACTTTTGAAGTTAGGGTTATCAGAGACATGTCAGCGGTGGCTCAATTGGATGCCAATTCATTGCAAAAAGGGGGCTTCGGCAAGCTTCACTACGTATCAGACAACCTAAAAATAAAATGAAAACGTTTTAACCTAGTTAACTATTACTCCTATACTTATGTAATTCTCGATATCTCGGATGTTATGGAAGTCTATCGGTGAAATCTCATTTTAGGCCAGGGTTACCCGATCCTGGTTCAAATCCTTATTCCAGTGGGGACTGCGATCCACTTAAAGGGGCAATATGATTGGCAAGATTGTTAATTCAGGTACTATGATTGGTCAAACCTTATATAAACCTTATATTGCCCCCATAGTTGTATGATGGAAGTATTTTCTCAATGCGCTTCCTACCATCATTCAGGACATGTTAATATCACTACTTGGGACTATACTATGTTGAAACATTTCCGGTGCCTCTGGTATTACGGCATACCGAGGGTGGGAAACTTCGAATTTATTAGTCTCACACATTAGGAAAGTGAGATAAGGATTAGGGCCCCCGGCCTTGAGGGTGATACTGTTGATTAAATGTCCAGGATCATCTATATTTGTTTCCCAGTCCAGTCGACGATGCAGTAGGAAAAGATGTTACTTACAATAAGTGAATAGTCTCATTAGACAGATATCGGACTATTTTCGACCCCAGAGTCCCCTAACCTAGATGTCCACAGCATCAAAACTCTGGATGAGTAAAACCCGAGTCCATATTTCTTTTGACGTATGCATAGACTTGTAGAAATAGCAGATTTGTTCCTCATGCGGCATACCTGGTAGACTAAATATAAGCTAGTCGATGAGTAAGCGTGACTATGAGTACGCATCTAGATAGTTACGTTAGTTACAAGTTAGTTGAAGTGCTAGTCACTTAAGCCAAGTAGTTTAGTGCTTAGATTATTAATTGGTTTAATTACGAAGGTCTTTTGAAGACTCTTTGAAAATATAAAAGAGGAGTATGTCCCTGGAAGTACTTAAGTGGCATTCCGGTAGTTAAGTAGAAGTAACTAAATGCTCAAAGGCTGTAACCTAGGCAAATATGCGCATGTATTTAGGAATCTAAGTTTTATCAGCCATGTCTGAGATACTATATCCTTTTTCGACGTAGGCAAATTGACATAAGTCATGCCATTCATTATCATCGGTATGTAATGCATTTATTAACTTCGTATCACTTTCCATCTCTGGGTATCTTGCATAAAAAACCAAATGTATTATCGTAGAAGATCTTGGCCCAGATAGCCTTAATCGGCTCCATATTAAAAAGCCTCGCTTATTATACGGTCCCAAGACTTGTCTGTCACATCCAACTTCGAGATCTCATTCCTGCTGGGAGGGTAAGACGGGGTTGCAGAAGTCCCATGTTGTGAATTGTATGCTGGACTGAGCTGAGACTGAGGAGACAATTGGGATCCTGAGCGGGCTCGATTGCTGATAAGCTCTTCCATGAGCTGAGAGTTCTCGTGACGCAACTTCAACAGTTCTGATTCTTTTTGGGATGCAAGTTCGGCCTTCACGATTAATTGTTGCAGGTCGTCTAGAAAATCTGAGGTGATGGCTTGGTTGTTGGCAAGTCCGTGATTGGCAAGAAATTTCTTTGCCATGGCGTATGCAGGGCCAGAGAAAGAAGAGCCTGATATATTACTGCCAGAAGTAGGGTCTCCGTTTCCGCTTGGCAACGACTTATATTCAAAATTCAGAGCTGCCTGGCGTTCCTGACAGGAAGGGCATAACCACGATGCTGCGACATCAACCGAAGGTGGTGACACCAAACACACAAAATGATAAGAACGAGAGCAAGTCGAGCACCATAGTAAGTTTCCCGGCTTAAGGCACTGGGAACAGATAATGTTGTGCGGTCTTCCAGCACCTTTATCAGAATTCACATTAGCCATGTGTCGATTCGTTATTCGGCAAGCATTCCAACATTCAGAAACACTTACGAATCCATTCTTTCTCAATGAAGCTTTTCATGTGTTCATTAAACATAGCTTCGCGCGCCGGGATATGATTATTGGTATTGTTCATCGGGGGCGTTTTAAATGCATCATTCGCTTGTGATAATCATACTCTATTGCATCCGTTTGATTATTCTCCGGGGTAAAAATGCCACCAAATTCTTCTTCACACAATGTCCGGCACCTCGGTAGATGGAGCGGATGAGGCTTTTGCCCTCTTTCCTATGACGCAGCCACGGAGACAATCCGTACGCCGTATGTTTTCTATTCCCAGACGCTTTTGGAATTCAGGCAATGAATTTGCCCAAAGAAATGCCACATGCAATCGCAAGAAACATCAAGGAGTCTCGACTCGGGCTGGGGGCTAAGAGCGAAAGAGATCCACAATTCGATGACAGAATCCTGATACCGGATGGCGCTAACCTCTTTCGGAACTCGACGTTTTGACTCTTTTCGGAAGTGGACCTTCCCCTTCGTGAACAGTGAACTTCTCTTTCCTTTTCTTTCTCGTCCACCCCCAATTACTTCCTTTTCACCCCCGGTTCTCAACTACATCCCGGGTGGATGATAATCGCGTTCAGTCTCTATTAGTACGAGTGCATATCTCAAAGTACTACTCCTTTCTTTTCCTTAGATTCCCAGGGCTGGCGTTCCCATAGAAATTATCTGAATTGCCGGTCTCGGTCCCACTCCGCGGAAGGTATCATCACCAGTCGGCCACCTATTATGAGATATGCATTTGTGAGGCAGCTGTGATACTTGGTTGAGTTCATATTTGGCCCGGCCTTTAATTTCACCTACACTCCCTCTCACCTTCTCCGTCATGCCTGGGGTCCCGTCAAACAAGGCGTGCGATCGATGTAAGAAACGTCACGTCAAGGTAGGTTTGAGTTTTTCGTTTCCGTCAATATCACCACGATCTCACTAACGATCAATTTAGTGTGATGAGGGGCGCCCTGAGTGTCAGCGATGTGTTACCGCAGGCGTAAAATGCCCAGGCTATTCTCAAGATCGCAAATTTATTGATCAGGGTGCTACTGTGCGCCGAAGATATGCTCCTTATCAAAGGGAGGATTCTCGGAGCCAGTCATCGCAGCGTTCAGTACGAGCAGGCACTGATGAAGAAAGCCGCAGTGTTCAGCCTGACAGGTCCCAGCAAGAAGTAGATCAGAGAGAGGTACCGGGTCAAAACCCAGTACTTCGTAGCTCCAGATCCTCTACAACTGATGATCAAGTCAATCCTTCTGCCTCGGGGAACCCTGACGGCGTGTCCGGGAATACTATGGCTCTCGATCAGGAGCCTACCATAGCCACTACGGCTCCATATACAAACATTGCTCTTCCAGCAAACTTTCTCGATAGCACTCAACAGCCTCTTTCAGAAATTCCGAACACCGAAACTCTAGCTTATACCACCAACTTTAATCTACTTAATCCGCTGCAATCTCCGATGTTTTTTAGCAATGGTTCCGCAACATCGGGAAATTTGAACTCCGCAACGACTTCCAACTACGCGTACACCATGCCGGACATGCGGAACGTCAATGCATTCGGAGATCTCTACTCAGAGCTTATGATCAACAGTGACCGTGAGATAGCGTTTCTCAAGAGACACTACGTCGAATTTATATCCCCATGGTACGTTCCATTCTCACCGGACTGTAATATCATAACACTAATTGACGTAGGCTTGATTTGCATGACTCGGAGAAGTTCTTCATGTTCAACATTCCTAAGAGGTCCCTTCAGGTTCCATTCATACAATACGCTATATTAGCGATAGCTGCAAAGCACCTTGCTCGCGTTAACGGTGTCAGGCCTGGTCTCACATCAACATTGAACCTAGCAACCACGGAATCATACCCTAATGCTGGGCAAGTCGATTGGCTCTTCAAAGCCACCAACTACTACTACCAAGCACTATTCCATTTGAAGCAACTACTCTTTGGTCATGCAGATTTTCAGCAACTAGATACCACAATTTCGCCAATTCAGATTCTATGCCAGGACTTGGAAATTGACCTAATGTCCGAAGGATCTAGACGGGTCATCCTTCCCCCGAGCTTCATCTCCTACATCGATGACATTTTACCCGGTGTGGTGATATTGACAGTATTTGATATTCTTGACAAACCTGGCACGGAATGGGAAAAGTGAGCTATATCTCTCTGGTTTTTGAATCAAATGGATGCCCTCTGACTTTGATACCCAGACGATTACTCGGCTTAAGGCATCTCATGCAGGCTATGCTTACGCTACCTATTTCTCCCAACCGGAACTTTACCATGTCGCGTGCGCTTCAGGTGTCCTTCTGGAATCTTGCATATTTGGATAGTTTTGCGTCGTATGCTAACCGTCGGCGCACCCGCATGGATGCTTACAATTTTGACCTCTTCCGTGCTGCTGGCCTTTCCATCGATGATTGTGGTAAATTATATCCAAAGACACCCTCACCACCGACATCCATTCAGCGTGACGATTTTTTCTTACGCGGGATAACGTTTATTGTTCTCAAACTTATGAATTTCATCGCCGAGTTTAAAGAGATTCAACAGTCAGCCACCGCCACGTCTTCACCAGTCCCGGATTTTTTATCAAATATCTCGGTACCACAGACAAGTGGTCTTGGAGTCACCTGGAATCAGTTGGTGCAGGAAGTCAATAACTGGCATGATTCTTTGCCTGACACATTCGAACCATATATCCGTCTGGAAAACCCACACGATCTCGTCTCCCCTACTTCTTCCTCGATATCTTTACCGTTTCCGGAAATAGTATTTAGCAATGCGACACACGCGGCTACAGTTGCACTTTTTGACTTTGCACGCATCATCCTCCTTCTCAACCGACCTCATGAAAGTCAAAGCGTAGCTCGCGATAGACTAGTCGAATACAGAGAGATAACAAAAGAGGTCGATACGCGTGTCCGTGAAATCGCTGGAATTGCGATGGGCAGAACTTCAACTGCTGTTCAGATTCATCTGGTTCAGCCACTCTATGTGGTTGGGTTGTGTGACGATCGAACTGAAGCCCGTCAGAAAGTTGTCGAGTTGATGCGTGTTATTCGGGCAGAGTCGGGTTGGGAGACCGACTATAAAATTGCTCAGTTGCATGAGCTTTGGAAGAAGACTTAATAGTCACGATTACATAGCAAGTTATCACAGTTGCTGTAATAGCAATGTCCACTCCGTGGCGCAGTACCCAGCCCAACAGACCGATGGTAGAAACTCTCGTCTAGACTCGCCTTCAATATCAGACCAGGCTACTACTCTCTTCCCGCAAAGAACATGCGATGCGTATCTTCCGAGTCAAAACCTGCCAGAAAGATAGCCAAAGGAGAAAGTATCCATTGATTGTCGTCACTCTCCCTTACCACTCAGAACTGGGTGCAAACATCTCCGTCCATTATGGGCACTTTACCTCTGGGGCATCGAAGGTTGAAAGTGAGAGTTTCCGCCGACATGTCATCCCAAGTTCCTAGAGAACGATAAGCAGGGGAAGTGGGACGAGACTCATACCGGGATGGATTGATCTCAGCAGTAGCACATTACCTACTGTCATATTCTAAGAATTATCAACGTAGCTAGATTCTTCCAGTCTCGAGACGCCTTCATACCTCGTTTACACGTAATGAATTAGTCCTAACCCTAAACCCGGATATGCTTATATTAACTCTGTCTCCTTCCAGACAATAAATCAATTCTTTTTTGTTTGCTGACGTAAATTGATGAAACGGAGCACAGAACTTTCGTCAGCTTCATTATAGCGCTATAATTTAGAGTCTAGACTTGATAGGCGCATAGAGGATATCATCAACCAAGTTCACAGCAGCCTTTGCCACGCCGAAGCTGAAATACATAACCACCACCACCCGTTCCATATGCATGCACAACCTTCTGATCACCCAATTGCTCAAATTCTACCCGTACGCCGGAAGGTCTCCCGGGGCGAATTAACGTTATCACGGATGATTTCGTAGTCATTTGCATTCGCGCTAGGGAAGGACTCTGGTACATTCTCGTTCACTCGTCGTAGAATCTAGAGAAGCCATTAGTCAGTAACACGGGCTTACCCAGGATCTGGGAAGCAGATCTTACATCTTTCTTAATTTCCTCGTCGACGTGTGTATAGCTGTTGGATACGTCAGAATGCAAATCTAACAGGGAAGGTATGTGATAAGGCTTCTTACGTTTCGCCAACCTGCTTGATTCCTCCCAATATCGCAGTTCCGTCGAGTCGCGGGATAATATACGTATAGTCCTGCCCATGACGCATGAAGATCTTGTTGTGATCGGTCTTTACCAAATGAGTCTGGCCGCGGATCAACTGAACATCATTGTCTGCGACGTCGTGCAAAAATTTGGAGCCGAAGCCCGTGGCATTGACGAGGACGTCATGACCTTCATCTCGTAGTTCGGAAAGAGAGTTTATTTCTCTTCTGACGAACTTGACGCCGCTATCTTCAATATTTTTGCGGAGCCAGAGAAGGAATACATGGGGATTGAGGACTAGTGACTTGTCTTATAGACGAGACAGAAGGAAATTAGCTCTTTAGGCTTACCATTGAATATCCAAGGGGCTCGGAAGTGACTTTAGCGCATTCACAACTTTGCTCCTGATGGAAGTTCGCTGGCGTTCCATGACTTGAAACTGCTGAAACATTTAGCACATGTTCCTTTAATTCCTCTAATCCCAGGAGAGGAGGTTACTCACGTCGGGCATGAGACCGCGATACCAAATCTTCTCTAAAGGAGTCTCATCTTGGATATCCACCATCTCAATAACCTGCATATCTTCAAGTCAGATTATGCACTGCTGAGTCAAAACTAATGGCAACGTCGGTGACCAACCCTCACGCTTGATTCTGGGTTATTATGTGCAATACTCCAGAGATATGCAAAAGCTTCTGCTTGCATGGCCTACTCTCTCACTGATGATCCATCAAATCCAAGAAAACAAGCCCCGGCCCAAGGACTCGCCCATTGGCGTGAGTCTGTATCTTCCCAGGGAAGGTCACGCGCAATTATGGTGATCTTGTGGTGCCTTGAAAGCACACTTGCGATCGCCAGTCCGACGATTCTAGAGATAACAAGTCAGTCCTCTCGTTCTTGCCTGTGGAGGTAAAAAGATCGTTACCCGGCACCGACAATCGTTATTTTGGCGATTTGGAAGACAAGGAATGCTGGAAATTGGTTGCTCCTTGTGACTATGCTGAGTTCTAGTAGGAAGCAATTGATGTCTTCTCTCTAGATTGACATAGCCTTCTTGTAGTCCATAAGCATACTCCTCTGGCGAGCATCCTCAGTCAAGAATATTGATGACTCCGAAAATGTCGTCAACGCCGCACCATAGGCCAATAACGTCCAGAGTCAACTATCACAATCAGAATAAGCGAAGCCTCATGTCCTATCAACTATCGATAAGCCAAGATTGAAGTCAGTTTGAATCTTTTCTTGATTGGTCAACGAGATGATAAAGTGGACGCATTTCAGCATCTAAGGGGCGGATCTCCGATATATTCGGCCGCTAAGACACCCAAGGCCGCGGTATATCAGCGCTTTTGTGGCCCCAGAGATAGCCATTTTGTGGAGGTCTCCACAGTGGTTATATCACCCTCAAAATCTAAATCCAAGGTCCAATATGAGTGAACCGAGTAACGAACCGGTTTATCTTGATGCTCGTGACCACACATGGCTGATATCGCTGTAGCGCTCTCTGTTATAAAGGCTGTGTTGTGTCCGGATGTCGAGGAGCAAGCCCTCCTGTTAACTCACTGGGATTGTCCCTATTGACTTAAAATTTCCAGCACAAACCACAGATATGAGCCAGTTTTCAAAGGACACGACGGTCAACGAAGTTGATGAGAAGATAGTGACCCCTCTTGAGAGAGATAGGACCTTGTCCGTGAGTAAGGGGACCCTGCATAACATTCAGAGCCCCGAGTACATGAGATACCTTGAACTACGAGAGATTTCCACGACAAAAGACTAAAGAAATTGATCCGCAAAGTCGAGTGAGTGCTTCCTTCGTGACCTTTCAGGGGTAGCAGCATAGCTAACCAGAGGAACAGTCTTCGTGTCCTACCACAGTTGATCATCATTTATCTTATGTCCTACGTCGATCGGTCCAATGTCTGTATGTTATTGCAAGCCCGCTTTTCCCCATGCCCGTGATTGAGGCTGTTATGCTAATAAGTGGTTATTATAGCGAATGCGAAGCTCTTCGGCATGCTAGGTGACTTGGGGCTGTCTTACCTTTGGGCCTAAGATCTGGCTCCCCACACTTTTGGCTCTGGTGTCCCTAACGCTGATCGGTACCGGTCTCGTGAACAATTATGCGGGAATGGCCGCTCTGAGACTTCTACTCAGTCTTTTTGAGGCCGGTGTGTTCCCTGGTTGTTCTTTTGTCCTTACTTCTTGGTATGAGCCCGGAGAACTTTATCGCCGAATGGCCATTTTCTATTCGGGAGCTTCTGCTGCGGTGCATTCTCTGTTCTTCTTGCCTATGGTATCGGTCAGCTCGACGGCACTTGGGGATACCGTGGATGGAGGTTCATCTATGTTATCGAAGGTGTATTCACATTTCTGTGTGCTTTGACCGGCTTCTACTTCATCTACGACACACCAGCCAAAGTCAAATGGTTGAGTGACGAGGAACAGGAATTTCTCCTCCTACGTGCCAAATTCTCCGCGGGAGGTGAATCAGGTGTAACGGAAGAAACTCGCTTCTCGTGGAAGCCTGCTTCTGCGGCCATGAAATCTTCCCACATTTATGCCACTGCCCTTATAGAGTTCACATGTTGTGTGGGGGTCTATGGATACAGCTTTGTGCTACCCACAATTATCAATAACTTGGGGTACACCGCAGCCAATGCTCAAGCCATGTCCGTGCCACCATATGTCTTCGCCTGCATTTGTTACTATCCTCCCTGGCTGGATTGGTGATAGATATCGAAAGCGGATGCTTTTAGTTCTAGGTCTCAATGTGATGGCACTTGTTGGCTTGGTCATCATCATGGTCAGTGTGAGGTATACTAATCTTGTCGGGGTGACGCTGTTTGGTGTCTTCATTACGACGGCTGGCTTGTACCCTATTTCGCCTGCGGCGGCTGCCTGGGTCTCACTCAATTGTGCAGGATCCATGAAGAGAGCCGTAGGAATTGGGGCCATATCAGCTTCTCCCAACTCGGCGGAGTAAGCCTACATTCTTTTCCTATTCCCGTATTGTATTTGGCTAACATCGGATTAGATTGTTGGTTCCAATATCTATATCGGGGACCAAGCCCCCAGGTACCCTGTGGGTTTTGGAGTCAGCATCGGCATGCTGGCAATGTTTGGGTGCATATGGCCTATTACATACTACTTCATACTCAAGCGCACCAATGCTAAGCGAGACGCTATAAGTCTTGAAGAGATAAGGGCCAAATATACCGAAGAACAGTTGGCAGATATGAGCGATTTGAGCCCTACATTCCGATACTCAACTTAAACTTGGAAGTGACGGCTGTCAGCGGGGTTATTTCGCCTTGTATTTGTTGGCCAGTATCTTAGGTTCATCATCCATGGATCGGCGAAGGTTTCTTGTCTTGAATTATTCACGATTGTGAATCGGGTATATCACTAGTGACTCGTAGTCTCTTCAACGTTATAACTCAGTCAACACAATATTCCAATCAATTAAGCCACGACATAGCTTATCACGTCCATAGAATAAATTTTTTTTCAAGGCTAAAATAATATGTCTGCTTCGCATACGCGTTTATATATTCAGCTCTGAAACCGTGTGCAGTTGTGTCAATCAACTACAGCCTGCGAACCGTTGGAATTTGAGCCCGGTCTACGGCTCAGCAGATTTAAATTATAAATGAAACTTCGACTTGCGGGATCATTATAGATTGTATCAGTAGAATTGGCCACTCGTTGGCTAAATCCTATAGGGTTAGGGTTCGATATGTCGAAAGACTGTTATCAGTTAGAACTCGAGCATCTGATTCATCCACTCATCAACATCCAAAGAATCAAACTCCTGAACGGCACCATGTGTGTCAAAAAGTATGTCGCTGAAAGACTCCACTTCCCTCAACATGTTCCGTTATTCTTTTGAGGCCAGGTTTCCCGCAGCTTTCATTTCTTCGAGTAGGCTTCTCTCAGTGTTATAAATGATTGTGTCGTCAGGGTTTTCATCGAAGGTGTCTGGCCACCGTGCATTAACGGATTTGGCTCGGGAGAGTATCATAAGGGCAGCGAAAAGGTGAAGTCTTTCCCAGAAGCCAAATTTAGCTACTCATCATCAGTTCACAGCTCAATCATGTATCTTGTCCTCGACATGAATACAGTAGACTTACTCATTCTGTCGCAATGTTTAAGTCCAATTATGAATGTCAGATTCGATCTTGCTGCGCGTAGGCATGCGTTCGTGGGTACGGCAAGATCACTTTGAACAGCACTTGCCATCAAGTTAGGTCGATTAGATAATAGGTGACTGATTTGCTTAAGGAACAGCGGCCGTAGTAAAAGAATAAAGCACTATGTATAATCAGCAATTACTTTCACTATAACGCAAATTAAAAACCAGAAGTTTGGATCTCACTTGATGGTAGCGTTGATATAGAGAAGCCAGAGCTCGATGGCGCATTTGCTCCATGGCCCGAGGAAATCCATACTCGAAATCAAAAGACAGATGAGGAGGCAACCGTGCCTTGACGGCCTCCAACCGATCCATAGTGGATCTGGTGAGTTTGCCAATGTTTGTTTCATCCTCTGCATTTAGGCTCTTCATATTTCACAGATATCAGAATGTATGAAGGCCAGTTGTATCTGAACGGTAAGGATAGAAGCATCCGCAAATTCTCTATCCATGCCGGGGTCTGTTTCCATCCCTACAGGGTATTCTAACTCAGTATCAGAGGCATTAAAAGCCGGTGCAAGACCTAATTCAGTACTAGCCATGCGATCTAGACAATATGTCGTCCACCAAAGACGTTTCCGGTGCTCGGCTTCGACAGTAGATAAAAAGGGCGCCGCGGGTTTATTGAGTCTCAATATATTAGACATCCTTGCATTTATGCCGGCATACATATAAGAGTCCCTTTTCCGGTTAAGACTGTAGGAGTAAAGGACCTATTTGCTTGAGTTAGCCAATTCAACCCAACTAGCATCCAGAAAAATTCCGAACCCATACAATCAAGTTTAAAGTTTCAATCTGATCCACGGTTGGATCCTCGTACCGGGGCCTGAATAAGGACAGTGCTTGTTCAAGAACATTGTTCCTGGTGTTTGTAATTGAGTAGAAGATATTCCAGTCCTGTTCTCAGAATCAAGGGCGTCATTTACTAGTCCTATCGGGTAGAGATTTATCTCCGGTGCTTGTGCCATAATGTACGATTCACCCAATGCACAAACCACCAGAAACTTGCATAGCCACATTTTGTCTCTGGCATTGGCTGAGGAGGGATTTTGATAAAGTTTATCCACTCTTTCTCGGAAAGTCCACCGCAGAAATCAGTACCAGTCATGACCAAGGAATATATCAAAATGCTGCAATAAGACAAGAACATAGGGGTATGGTGGTAGTTTCAACGTTGTCGGGGAATCTCAATGTGGCTATCAGCACAAGAATAGCAGACCCGAGTCTTAGGAGATGCAACATACAATAGTGGTCGATGCTCAGCTGGACATATTCTGGCGAAGTATCTGATGCTAACCGGCCAGAATGATGAGGCTGAAAATCTTGCTTGGGCAGGTCTTTTAGTTTCGAAACGAAGACTTCAGATGTCGAGTCTTCCACAAGGGACGTTGACAGTCTTGGTGTAGTCTCGGCATCGAAGCCGGCTGCCCTATGAGGACGGTGCTCAGAGAATGCATCAGGCCGCCATTGTGCTCTGGCTTCTAAGTCGCAAAAATAATTTTCAGGCACGGCAAATATCTTTTCACGAACAGAATACTTGCACTCATGATTGGCCGTTGAACAGTTGCAACATGGTAATTCTGGGGATCATGCTTAACAATAACAATCTTGATAGGTGGGAAACGTCCAACTAACCTCGAGAGCACTTCACTTTTCTTCGGTGGTAACGGAGACAAGCCGTGTTGTTACGACCACTTTTTTGGAACCGCATTGCTTAGAGCTCATTTGGAGTCGCAGTCACAGATTTAGACAATCGGTGACTGATGGTTACATGAGAGAAATGGATATCCTGAAAGAGAGGCTGAATGTGTAGAAAGAATGGAAAGTAATCATCCAATCATTCTCAAGCTGACTAAGTTCATGCGCTTAGTTAAGCCGAATAGTACGAAGCTCTAATACCCTAAAAATAACCCTAAAAGCGAAGTTCTATTCAGGTAGCGAAATATCTTGGATACATTTGCAGACAATTATTTCCATTACATCTTACTAACATTGAAGGAAATGAGAGCGGCATACTTTCATGTAATCACATTAAAGTGAGCGGGAGAGCGGAAAACGAACTATTCCAAGGTTACCCTTGACATTTCTCTTTGAATCAACCTTCTACCTATGACAGACTAATGCAGTATTGACATCTAGTATTATCTATGTCTATGCTAAGCAAGCTCCAAATTTTGCGCTATTATCACTTTAGCCGCGCTTTCTTCTCCCAAGTCCTGGTTGAAACCAGGCCTGATTTCCTTCACGCCTTGGCAGGAGCTTTCTTCCAGTATCCCTTTGTCACAAAGAGAAGACTCTGAGCAAGTCCTAATCCTGCCAGTCCAACTCCGAACCACAACGCACCACAGTATCCAAGCAGTTTATCTTCATCTGTCATGCCGCCATGGTTGATATTAGTCTCCAGTGTACCAGCAATCCCGAGGCCGAGAGAGATACTATAATTGACAATTGTCATAACGATACTCGCGCCCATACCCTGATATTCCTGGGGTACCGCATCCGAAAAGATGATTGTCGCAGCCGGGAATGAAGTATCCATCCCAACACAGATGATGAGGACGCTGAAAAAGAAATAGGTCCAATAAGTCGAATGTAGGACTCGAGTTGCTGCGAGAATGGAACCAACGAGATAGGCGATTTGTCCGACGACCATGATGCAGGATGCAGGTACCTTCCTAATTAATTTGCCCACAGCGAGTGCTGAGAGGAGACCAGATGGGATGACAGGAATGTACCACGCTGCCATTTGCACGGCTGTAGCTCCGTCAAGGTTCATTGTTACTTGTGTCATGTAAAATACCTTGCGGAAATTGTCAGTACGCACGATCTACGATGGAGTCGAGAATAGATAAACTCACCCAGACACCAAAACAAGCCCACCCTGCTGCCGTGCATCCAAACACGAATGCTATATCGGAGTTGAAAGCCGCTAGAGGTAAAATCGGGGTCTTTGCGTGATACACTTCGATATAGAAGAACAATGCCCCGAAAAGTACTCCAAGGATCAGACAAACATATACATATGGTTCTTGCCAGCCGACAACAACAGCCTGATTCCACGCAAAATTAAACAACACTAGGGCAGTGAACCCGGCAAGCCCACCTGGAACATCCAAATCCTCAGATAGTTGCGACAGAGACCGAGTCTGACGGGTCCTTCGAGCAGGCTGAGGCGGAATAACCCACACAGCAAAAGCAGTAACTCCAGCAAGCGCAATAGCTTGACTGAAGTAAATCCATGGCCACCACGCTAGAGCAAAGAGACCTCCAAACAAGAAACCACCAATAGCCCCAAACGGAGCCGATCCACCAAACCATGCAAAGGACATATTCTTCCGTGGACCAGGTGAATATGATTGACCCAATATCGCGAGACCATTCGGTAAAGTAAGCGCCGGACCCATACCTTGAAAAACACGCGCAAAGATGAAGAGGACATCAGAAGAATAGACAGATAAACCAGCCACAAGAGACCAAATCGAAAACCATGCCATCCCCAAGACGAACATCCTCTTGCTACCGAATTCATCGCCCAACCGTCCGCCAATGAGAATGAAAGTTCCAATTGTTAAACTGTACCCAGCAATAAGCCAGGACAACTGACCGGTGTTATTAATAGCGAAGGACTCGCCGATTATGCATACTGTTCCTATAGTGTTTCCTAAACCGGCCTGGTTGGTGAACATGGCCGTGCATACGGTTCCCACGAAGAGGATCTGTCGAGGTGTCGAGAGGGCATCGGCGGGATAGATGGGAGTTTCCTCTACTCTAAGCGAAGCTTTGGCTTCCACATCTGGTAAATCGTTAGGTTCGTCTTTATTTTCAAAGCAAAACTTTTGACCAACCTTCTTGTCGCTCTGATGCCGATGACATTGGTGTATTTGACATACTTCGGTTGTCAAATCGAGCAATGTTCTGAATAGATTCTTGTGTCCGCTGAAGGAAAAAATCAAAGCCCAACAACAACAGAAAACACCCTTTTATGCACCCATCCTGAATATCGCATCTGCGCTATGCGGGCCAGATTGATTAATAAAACTCATCGCCGCTTCAAACCCAGATATGTAATTCCAGGCCCCTGAGATAAAATAGCGAAGAAATAAGGATATCTTCCATATAATTTTCTGAGACCGGGATTCTAGAGTCAGTTCAAGCACAAAAATATCCTTTCCATTTCCCTAAACTTCTACAATTATGTGGAGCGGATCCAATCAGGTAAAAGAAAGTGTTAGCTTTATACGTCAAGGAGATAAAGCGGCATGATGAGATTATATATTGTGTACGTGTTGATGAACTGCTCGTTGTTGTTATTGGTTATCTACTACGGTCATACAGCTGCGCTGCGCCGCTGACCCCTTTACGGAGGTCACATGACTCTCGAAACATAGTTGATCCGTGCCGAAGGGAGATCCATGTGTAGCAAGCTGACAATACGGATACGTACTTAGGAGTGGTCATTAACGTAATCGGTAAGCGAACCGGCCATGTAAGCGAACCGGCCACCTCTCCAGAAAATAACTCTCTATATTGATTTACCATATTACAACGCGTCAAAATGCCACCAATTCGCAAAAAAGGCCCCCTAAAATCCACTCAGGATGAGGGAAAGATCGAATTAGCTATTTCCGATTTAAAAAATGGAAGAATTCGCAGTATTCGTGAAGCTGCAAGAATCTATATGGTTGCTCGTACAACTCTTCAAGATCGAATGAAAGGAGTGCCGTATCGACAAATAACACGCGCCAACAACCATAAATTGAGTCAATCTGAGGAGGATTCGCTTGTCAAATGGGTGCTTGATTTAACTAAACGTGGATTACCGCCCCGGCACTTTCTCGTACGAGATATGGCTAATTATCTTCTCTCACAACATGGAGATCAACGGGTTGGAAATAAATGGGTATATAATCTTGTTCAACGTCGCCCAGAGATTGAATCCAAATTCTCACGAAAATACAACTACGAACGTGCCAAATGTGAAGATCCAAAGATTATACAAGGCCATTTTGACCGCGTACGAGATATAATATCTGAGTACGGCATCTTACCAGAAGATATCTATAATTTTGATGAGACGGGCTTTGCTATGGGACTCTGCGCAACTGCAAAGGTTATTACTGGAAGCGATCGATATGCTCAGCCAAAGCTTCTACAGCCTGGAAATCGAGAATGGGTGACTGCAATTGAGGCAACAAATTCAACCGGATGGGCTCTGCCTTCGTACGTGATTTTCAAAGCAAAGAAAAACGTACGATTAGGCTGGTTTGATGAGCTTCCGGATGATTGGAGAATCAATATTAGCGATAATGGCTGGACTACAGATCAGATAGGATTAGAATGGCTTAAAACCCATTTTATTCCTCTTACTAGTGGTCGTACATTGGGAACATATAGTATGTTGATTCTTGATGGCCATGGAAGCCATTTGACTGCAGAATTTGACCGTACATGTACGGATCATAAGATTATTCCAGTCTGTATGCCTCCTCATTCTTCACATCTCTTACAGCCTCTTGATGTTGGCTGTTTTGCAGTTCTAAAGCGATATTATGGGCAGCTTGTTGAACAACGAATGAGGCTTGGTTTTAATCATATTGACAAAATCGACTTCTTAACAGCATTTCCACAGGCTCGTACAGTGGCATATAAAGCTCAAACTATTCGGAATAGCTTCGCAGCCACCGGATTAGTGCCTTTCAATCCAGATCGAGTTCTTCAACATCTCAATATTCAATTGAAGACTCCAACCCCCCCTCCAAGTCGATCAAGCAATACAGCATCATCCTGCTTACAAACACCTCAAAATATACGCCAATTTGTACGCCAGTCAACTACAATCAATAAGCGTATAAATAAGCGTACAGGAAGCCTGAATCAGAATGAAGAAATCAATCAGGCAGTTATACGGTTATCAAAAGCCTACGAAATACTAGCGAATGATGCTTTACTCGTACGGAAAGAAAACCGTGATTTACGAGCTGCGCATGAAAAAGAGAAGCAAAAGCGCAAAAGATCTAATAAACAGATATCTATTGAGCAAGGGATTACTAGAGAGGAAGCTCAGGCGCTCGTACAAGGTCAGGTTGAGGCATCTCATGCTGTTACTACTACTCTGGCTGAGCCGGAGCTCCCAGCTTCTCAAGCAGTCGTACGCCGCCAATTTCGCTGCAGTGGTTGTAACGTTATGGGGCATAGAATAAATCAATGTCCTAGTCGTACTAGTAGTTAGATTTTTGTATATAATTTGTACGTGATTGAGAAATTGGGATTTGAAATCAATATAGAGAGTTATTTTCCGGAGAGGTGGCCGGTTCGCTTACATGGCCGGTTCGCTTACCGATTACGTTATCTTATCGTCCAAGGGTTGCTGATTAATTTTATTCGATAGAGCCTGTGATTGGTCAACATATTAAACACTAGTTCTTTTTCAGGATTAGGGCTCGGCATTGGGAATGCTAATAGAGAGGGTTATATTAGAGTCGTTGGGGCAGAATAATACCACTGCGGAAGGACTAGCAACGAGAGTGTATAGACTTAGAGGACTAAAAAGATATATAGAGATCTTTTGAATGAAGACTTTTAAGGACTAATTGGTTGATTGTTTCATAATGTAGGGGCGATCATTGTCCTAGTTCTTTGTAAACAAGTTTAACGCTAACAGTATCCCATGACAGAGGCAGAAGACATGAAGATACTGTGCAGTGACACAGTAAACACTCTCCGAAGTCACCATGACCCGAACAGTGAAGTCTCGGAAATAGAATGTCACATTCATCTATAACCGAGATTTTGGACTTTGAACCTGGACTAAGGCTTGCTTGGAGCAAATCCAGGTGAAGACGTAACGCTATGTGACTTTAAGTCAGTAAATTCGTCTTCGTTTACCCCCTCCGGGGTTATGCATGTCGTCCAGCCTTTTATTCCCCCCTCATTTTGATTTCGATTAATGATGGTCGAGCCTCATGGTGTCAAGAACTGCGACCTAAGTATAGCTGCGTATTTCGCAACTGTGTAACCACGCTACTTATATGACGACGGGGGAGATTGATGGTGACTCCTCGCCAATTAAAACTTTTGAAAGAGTGCCCGTATGAGAGGTCGTTGCTACCGAGAGTGAGCGAGAGGAGCGAGCGTCGGCTTGATCATCCCTATCCCCCTCGATAGATGGTTGAACCTCCTCTGAATCTCTAAGATCATCCGCTTCAACCCAACGCGCTACGTGCGGACTGAAATTATGAAAACGGTGGCCCATTTTGCAGGGCTTCTCGCCGGCACAACCGTCGATCTGACAATGATGTCCGTAAGGGCATTTGAGCACCCTGCAACCGCGACCCCGAAGACACTGGCGCCGCTTTGCTTGCCATCTCATAACGTCCACAAGCTCCGGTTCCACGTACCCGTGGTCAAATTTGCAATCAACATCGTTGCATTCACCCAACAGATGATGCTTGTTGCAAGGACGCGGTGATAAGCTTTCTTGTTCGTGTATCAGATCGTCAGGCGGTAGAGGCGTATATACATCAATACGACCTCCATCTTTATCAACCGGAATGCGGCTTGTCGTATTTCCGCTCGCTTTAGGGAGCAGTTTAGAATAGCTTTGTTTCCGACTGAAATATCCCGATGACTCCTTCGATAATGGTCTGCTCCGATCGTCATTGAATTTATTTTTTGGCCCGTCTGCCACGTGTGACTTTGTACACGCGGCACCAAATTTACAAATCCCCTAGAAAATGTAAGCTTAAGCACAGGCTCAGTTTCGGGTGGGCTTACCTTGAGGAAGTGTTTACAGACTGGTTTATCCGGTGCCGTTGGCGGTGGTGCACTGCTACCTCCAATAACAGTAGACATGAAAACTGAAGGAAGTTCTTTGATAAATAGATCGAGGCTTTCATATTCGGGACTCATATTGGCGGCCCTGAGAAGAGTGATGCGGTTTGTCTCGCCGCGATATGGAGTCAACATGGACAGATATCCCACATCATGACACCCTCCAAAGAATATGTGCTTGCATTGATAATTGTCGGCAAATAGGCGAAACATTTCTATATGCTATCAGCTCAGTGGCCATGGTATACGAAAACTGAAGTAGTTGCAGCAGTGGGGCGGGATTCATCAATTCTCTATTACCTCTAATCTTATAGTCTGCGCCTTCCTTCTGTGTCCCGGCATCAACGAAATCAAACAAGTCCTGCGCCCGAGTGAAAGATGAGGTGAACCCTGAGTATGACCGCGCCTCTTGACCGACAAGTTGAGCCCGTGCTAGAGTATGGCTCAATCCCAGAATATTGGCATAGATACGGACCATAATACGACAATTATCGGGCAGATCGGGTGGTAAAAGAGCTTTTATCGAATCGCTCAAAAGACGGGCAGCTTTCACTCCTCCTTCTGTACCAGCCTTTATGAGATGTTCTTTGAACTACTTCGATTAGAGCTTGTATCGTTGGTTGTTTGAGTTATAGAAACTTGCCATGTAACCATCTCCATCGATAAGTACCAGCACGAATGGGTTACGGTCCTACTCTCGGCGAATCAGAAATTGCTTATCCCATGTCCCAATGTGAAATCATCCATCCTTACACGAGCTTTTGCTTGTCGCTTGTACCTCTCACGCCCTTCTTTCTCCTCCTCATAGTCACTCTTCAGGGAATTGTAGCGCTCGAGGAGGTCTTTGAAGCTTTCTAGAACATTTTGCAGGTCATTTTGGTACGCTTTGCTGGTTTGGGTGATTGTCGTCAAATCCTTGCTGAGTTTTTCGAGGTCAATGTCGTTCAGCATGTTGCTATGAACGTGCTGGCTCTCAGAACCAGAGACATGTGTGGGTTTCGTGATTCGAGGATCAAAATTTTGAACAAAATTATCTTGGAATTGACAGCCACGCGTCGATTGCCAGCTCTTGGACAGAGCAAATGCTTTCAGTCTCGTACTTTTCCACTTGGTCAGTCAGTAACAACAAAAAGTTCTGGTGGAGGAAAATAAAGTGCGGGAACAGCTCACGTGAGGTCATAGTTTGTAGCCAATCAGAGGTCGTGCAACTTGCCTTCCTCGGGATTTTCATTTTCAACTCCATCTCTTCATCTTCTTGATGATCGGGAGGGATCACACGCAATAAGGGAACAAGATCGCGCACCGGGCATTGTATCACTAAATAACACCAGATCACACCTTGGCCAACGATTTCGAGTTGTTCTTTTTTGATACAGAGGCTTGTCCGAGCAGATTAGTACCGTACTTCACCGCCTCGTGCACGGAACCACCTCATGCACGGTATAGCCTCAAAACGCGAAAAACAACACGACTTTCAAAGCGCGATAAATCAGTCAAAATGGGCGCAATTGAGGAGGCAATTGCATATTTGGATTCCCTAGATGAAGACGAAAATATTAATTTTACTTTGGTTGCAAAAATCTACGTGTTGATCGCACTACGCTTTCGAGAAGATATCGAGGCATTACAGGCTCAAGAGAGGCGCATTACGATAATCAACGCTTACTCAACAACCAACAGTCCAAAAAGCTTATACAATGGATAGAAATGCTCTGCGAGAAAGGCTTGCCACCTACACCTTATATGATTGCAAATTTTGCGCATGAGATAACCGGTAAAAGGCCAGGGAAAAACTAGGCTTCTCACTAGTTAAAGAAACATCCAAATGCGTTGATATCTCGCTATTCTACAGGAATTGACCGCGACCGAAAAAGGGCAGATTACGCATGGAGTTATGCTCTTTATTTTAAGCTTATAAACCGCAAGATTGAGCAATATAATCTACAGCCAGATCAAATTTACAATATGGATGAGAAGGGCTTCGCGATTGGCACTATGACCACATAAAAAAGAGTATTCTCTCAGCATTTATATGATAAGAAGTTCAAGCAATTTCTTCAAGATGGAAATCGGGAGTGGATCACTACAATTGCTTGTATTTGCGCGGATGGAGCTCTTATTCCCCCGGCTTTGATCTATATGGCCAAATCCGGTAATCTACAAGATTCCTGGCTTCAAGATCTTACAACACAAAGATGCCACTTTGCAGCTTCAGAAACAGGATGGACGAATAGTGAGATTAGCTATCATTGGCTCCAGGAAGTTTTTAATAAAGAAACCAAATCTCAAGCAAGCCGGGGATGGCGCCTTCTGATTCTTGATGGTCACAATTCTCATGTAAATATGAGATTTATTGAATATTGTGATAAAAACAGAATCTTATTAGCAATATTCCCAGAGCATGCAACGCATACTTTACAGCCTCTTGACGTTGGTTTATTTGCTCCTCTTGCCGCCAATTATTCCAAAGCTTTATATCAATTTCTTGATGAAACTCAGGGAATAAGCCGTCTTACAAAACGTGACTTTTTTCGGCTTTTTTGGATGAGCTAGGAGCTATCTTTTACAAAAAAGAATATCTGCTCTAGCTTCAAAAGTACGGGCCTCGTTCCTTTCAATCCGGAGATAATTTTACAGCGTTTTAATGAAAAATCCGAAAGCCGGCCATCTTCAGCTGGCTCTACAGCTTCAATTCTCTCGCCTGAAGAGTGGAGGGATATTCGCAAACTTATGCAGAAGATTGGGGTAAAAATCCTAGCAAAGACTTCAAAAAGCTAAGCAATACAGTCATGGAGCTTACTACGGAGGTTGTGCTGCTTAGATTACGTCTTGCAAGCGCAGAAAAGGCTCTATTACATGAGAAAAGGCGCCAGATTCGAAAAAAGCCATTATTACTGGATTTGCCCAATAAACAAGAAGGTGGTGCCATTTTTTTTAGTCCTTCAAAGATTCAGCAAGCCCGAGAACTTTTTCAACAAAAGGAGGATCACGCCACGCAGGAAAAAGCTAGGAAAGATGATAAAAAGCTTCAACAACAACTTGCAAAGGAGGCTAAAGAGCAAGAAAAGCAAGAACGGGCTCAAATCCGTCAAAAAAAGCGAGACGAACGGGAGAAACAGGCCGCTGAAAAAGAACGCCAAAAGCTTGAGCAAAAACTAGCTAAGCAAGCAGATTTACAGCTTCAAAAAGATGCCCTAGCTAAAGCAAAGCAGCCTACGAGTCGAACAAATCCAAATTCAAAGAAATTGAAGCACAAACAACGCAGTGAAATCGAGGACGAGGTTATTGATGAGGTTATTACTACAAATCGCAGAGGCCGCGAGATTCGGCTCCCAACACGTTTTCGTTAGGTAAAAGTTAGTTCATTAGATTCGTCGTCATTTATTTACTAGTACTCCAAATTGGTATTATTATTTCATTATTTTATGGTGCTGTAAAGCTTCCAAATAGTCTATATTACATATCGCGAAAATCGTGCATGAGGTGGTTCCGTGCACGAGGCGGTGAAGCACGGTAATGATCTTCTGTCTCACCTCGGAAGATAAAGTCATAGAAACTAGATTACTAACCTGGTGAGGTTGTTTGATACTGACCACTTCTTTGTCGGGGTCGCCCCGACAATTGACTAAGTTAATATTCCATGACGTGATGACTTTAGCTTCTCTCCCTGCAGGTGGCTTAAGCCAAAAATTAGGCCGATGGACGAAGAGACGGACGTACACGGACGAAATGACATAGGTATGTACCTCAGTAGCACGTAAAAGCAAGGTTTATAAGAATGGACAAATCCTCCAAGAGTCAAGACAAATTCATCTACGCGGTCCCACCGGTCAATCATGTCTACTTTGAAGAGACCAACTACCCTCCACCCCGGGGAGCGAGTCCTAGTCACCGGCGCAAACAGCTATCTTGCTTCAAACATCATTGATCTTCTTTTATCCCTAGGATATCATGTACGAGGCACAATCCGTGCTGAGAAACCCTGGCTTGATGAGTACTTTACTTCAAAATATGGAACTGGCAAGTTTGAAAGCGTTATCGTCCCTGATGTTACTCACAAAGAATCCTTGGTGAAGGTATTGGGTGATATTAGCGGGGTGTTGCATGTGGTATGGAATAGCCCTAACTTGGACAAATAACAATATCACTCCAAATACATATGATAAACTAACATCTTTCATCTAGGCTTCGGATTTGTCTTTTAGTGCAGACGCAGACAAGGTCATCAATGGTGTTGTCAAGGCTACCCAGTCTGTTTTAGAAGCAGCTGCTGAGCAGAAATCCGTCAAAAGATTCGTTCTTACTTCATCTTCCACGGCTGCTACTCTTCCAAAAGTTAATGTGGAGGGTAACATCGTCGATGAGGGTGAGTCCCACATGTTCTCTCACTACTACACCACGTTGCTTAACAGAAAATGCAGATTCCTTGAACGACGAAGTTGTCAAACTCGCCTGGGATGAGAAGCCCGACCCTCACAAACCTTTCTACATTTACGGCGCTTCCAAGACAGAAGGTGAGCGATTCGCCTTCAAATGGGTCAAAGAGCACAATCCCCATTTCACTCTGAACACTGTTCTCCCAAACTTCTCCGTAAGCACAGTGCTATACTACTATCTATCTATCTACCCATGCCAATTCGCATCAACCCCTTCCCCATGGTTACATAGGGGCTGGTGCGAGTTGGCACGGGCATCTTTTTCTGTTTCTAACGGGAGTAGATGGGACCTTTCCTTTCTCCTGATTTCAACGGCTCCTCCGGAAAACTTGTCGTTGATCTACTGCGTGGTAATTATAGGGCGATGCTTCCTCGTAAATCTCCCGAAATCTCTCAGTTTTTGGACGTATGTTAACTGACGACCTCCAGAATACTATGTCAACGTTCAAGACGTAGCACGTCTCCATGCCATAGCTCTTCTTGATCCAGAACTCAAGTCTGACCGATTATTCGCGTTCGCCGGTACTTTCAACTGGACTGAAATTATTGATATTTTACGCAAACTTCGTCCCAATGGCAAACTCCCAACGCCCCCTGAAAATGAAGGTCGGGATCTAAGTGTGATCAAACCTGCAAAAAGAGCAGAGGAGTTGATTAAGACGTGGTTTGGCCGACCTGGTTGGGTTTCGTTGGAGCAAACTCTCAAGGAAGCGGTTGATAGTGCTGGGCTTTAGACTCAGCGATAGCCCTGGTGGATATATTTGCTCTTGTATGAAAACCTTTGGTGAGTGTTACAGGTTGAAAGTGTCTTGCTAAATGCACCTTCTTTGGAAGGATATTGCATATACTGTGAGTTGGGTGCAAGGGTTTCATTGCCGATATAATTGCCAATTGTGGGCCATTCGAGGATACATCGTTCCTCTACATAGGTGTCAATACGATAAAGTATATTCTGAGTCCTCTTTTTGTGCGTAAGTCATCGATCAGGTCCACCCGAGTACTTCACTACATAGGGGCCAATGTCCATGGATAATATGTACACATTGTCTAGGCACATAGCTACATCAATCCACAACAATCAATCCTTCCTCTTTTGTCGCTTTCTCTCTCCACTCAAACCAGCTCCCATCATAAAGCCTCTTCTCCATGTGATAACCACACGCACCTAATGCCAGTCCCAGTGAAGTGGCTGTCGTGCCTGAGTTACACGTCAAAATCACGGGCATTGTTTCATGGACGCCCTTTTCTTGAAACAGTTCCTTCAGTTGCGGGGCAGGAAGAAGTCTTTTGTCTGAACCTAGCAGGGAACTGAGTGGTATATTTAGCGCAGTGGGCATATGTCCTGTAATGGCTCCGCTATCCATCCCAGAAAATTGGCTCTCTGGTCTAGAGTCGAGGATCTGATATGAGTTACAAGTTTGGTCCTGAGTTTTGTCGGCAGAAAGTAATTGATGTAACTCATCGAACTCAATAACATCTTTCGACACTGGTGGGTTTTGCACGGGGTATCTCTCCCCAGCTACGAGTCCCTCAGGTTGATGGCCCTCGAGCACTTCGTATCCCTGGTCGACATACTGCGGGAAATTATTCAGAACATGAACATCACCATGTCCAAAATGGCGACATATCCATGCTACACGTGGTGAAAAATAGAATTCGGTTTCAATCGTATCGTATATTACAAGTATGTCATCTGCACGAAGCCCAAGTTCGGTCATACAGACGCTAAAGTGGGTTGGCGAGGGGAGCATAAATGGGTATGGAGACTCAGTATCGCGGATCTGGTCTACATTGAAGAACCTACCCTTATGTTAGCTGAATCTTTGAACAGTAATTTTTGGGTGGTTTTCGAAGGAGTTTCATACACAGAACCTGGAATATGTTTGGCTTCATAAGCCTTCAAGGCTGATTCGCGCCCCGCTGCCACTGGGACGATCCGGCGGGGTGAAGACGACCCATTGGAAAGGGCTGAATGAAGCTCTGAGGGAGAGACAAGCGAAGAACGGAAAGGATTCCACCTGAATTCGCACATGACATGTCGCTTCGGTCTAATCCAGCTGCTCCGGTGGTATCGGTTCAATTTGTATCGCATCAGTATCGGCTCTAGATAAATGACCGGAGATGCCAGGGACCTCGGAAGCAAACGCTTCACCAAGTGACACAAGGCACCAAATTACTAGCGTGCTTAACTTTTTAGGGCTTTTCTCTCTAACCCTAAATCTGTATAAATCCGATAGCTGCACATAGCTATGTAGTTAACCATGATTGTGTCCCGGTGGTACGAAGAGTCGAAGTAACTGTAATCCAAAAGTCACATCAAGCAGCTCGGAAATTTTATAGAAATCCTGAGCAAATCGTCTGCGCGTAGGTTAAAAGGTCAGCTCAGGACCCAATGAAGCCAGCCATTTATGTGCAGTGAGAGAAATGCACAGGGGTATAAGTTATAAAATGCGCTGCTCTGCGAATAGTTGTTAAATACACGAAAGTGTCACGCAGAGAACAAATCTCGCGATAACGACTGAGCCACTTGCTGAGATATAGATGCATTGTGAGAGGCAGCCATTTTCGACGATTTCTTTCCGACAGCACTCGCTAGGATCGAGTCGGGAAACCTTTCTGAGATCTCCTAGGTTTATTTAACCTCGCAGCTTGGAGCGATCCAGGTGTCCTGGAAATCTACAGTAACTCGGTCGGGAAAGCCGGCCGAAATGCACTTGGTTCCATCCATTCGCGTGGCAATTCGGCCGGAAGATGCGTTTGAAGTCAATTCCTCAATGATCTACGGGTATAAAGTAAACAATGGCCTTGAGAAAACGTCGCATCCGAAAAAAGACAATGATCGCAGCAGGTTCATGTGTCGCGCTACCATTTCAGTTACAGGGACTTAGGAGGTTGGTAAGGCCCAAGCGGTAGACTCCCGGAAAGACATGGCTTTTAGGCTTGGATTGGCCACTAAGCCGCCCGGCCGAGAAAGAATTCTTTATTTTCGGCGCTAAATTTCTGTTTATTATTATTCCAAGCTTTCTCCACAACGTCATTCTTGTACCTCAACAAGTTTCAAAAAAAAATACTCTACGCATTAAACATCTTTTCTCCAGTCAGATTATACCGAATACAAAGGCGCCAATAGTTCCAATTGAAGATGGGAATAACCAGCCGTCTCCGCCAACTAATCTTCCCCAAACCCGTCCTCAATAACGGTTCTCAACTCCGTGACCATCTAGCTAACGAGCGCACATTCTTATCATGGACTCGCATGGGACTGGCCTTTGCCGCAATGGCACTTGCCCTTGGACGTCTAGGGATGATTGATCAAGTGTTCAACACGGCACAGATACAGCTGGGCAGCGACACCAACAACAACATCTCCAAAGAGACAACAACAAAAACAAACCCTAACACGGTGTCAAATCAAGCGCAAGATCCCACTACCACCAGGGTAAATATCAAGTCACTCTCTGCAGGGAAAAGTGACATCCTAGCTAGTCAATTATGCTGGACAATTAGCATCGGTTCATTCGGATATGGAATTCTTCGGTATGTTTCTGTCAGAAGGACTTTGATGCAAGGACGCTTTGTGCCCGCTATTTGGGGACCGGTATTGATGACGACTTGTTCGTTGGGGTCTCTTGCTACTTTATTGCATTCTGGCAGTGGGTTTCAGCGTCATGAGTCAGAAAGCTAGGAAGGAGGGAAAGTTGTTTTTCATTTCGGAGTCTGTTTTTCTAGATTTGCATGTTGCACTTTTTAGATCATGGAAGTAGAGAGCACATTATTACTCATCTGTAGATACTTATAGAGTTTGTAAAAGAAGAAGATATTGTATTATTAGGGCAATTTGAAGTTACTTATCCACGCCATCCATCTCGCCCACTTCGGATCTTTTGCGACACACTATGAAAGTACACCTTGTCTGTGAACCCTCACCGTCTTCAAATATTCATGCTGGGTAAGCTTGAGAAGCATAGCTACTACTCATGCAGGACATGAAGAGGCGGATCCGCGAGTGCCACGTAGAGAGCCTGTATGAGCATTCTCTGGGCCCAAATAAACAGCCTCCGCACCTTGAGTTTGCGAACCGCAGCGGACAGCTCTTTCGCCCTTGGCTCGGCGATCGCTCGCGAGCACCTGAGCAAACTTGGACCTTTCTCTGATAGTCGGACCGTACCAATAAAATATGTAAATTGGACCAGTGATGAAAATACAAAGAATAGCCAGCAAAGTTGTCGGCCATTCTAAGTGATATTTGTGGCCCATGTGCTCATACACTACCATCCGTCAGATATGGTCTCTTTGTCTGGTGAAGCACTGTCATATATCACTTACTAGGGTTTGAATACATTGCAGCAATACCAGCAAGGAAATCTCGAGCCAATGCGTTTCCACCTGTAGCCGAAGCGGAATACGGTCCATAAGCGGCGACCATATAATCGATTGTAGCCATGTAGATTGCATACTAGAAGGTATCGGTTAGCTATCAAGAACCTTCTGGCATGGTGGCCTACTTACGTTAGCTATAGCGATGCAGCAGGAGAATATCATCGGCGCTATCCAGTGGACATGAGGCGGGCCTAAACTGGTCCAAGCGAATCCGAACAGGCCTATAGTCTCCAGTGGCGCAGCTTACATTCCGCGTCAGCAAATTATTCTATGATTCGTGCCATGACTTACTCCACAACAGCCAGTATAGGCGAGACTCCGGTTGAAGCGCATCTGGGTCTCGTTTTCGAATCTTTGTGTGTTTGTAGATCCATGGTAAGAACGAGAGATACGCGAGGAAGTATCCGACGATGATTCTGTTCGAGGATAAGTCATTGTTATATCAGACGTACAAGTTAAACTCACGTAACAAAGCATAAGCCTAGACGGACATCTCCAAAGCCCCATTGCTGGTAGACCGGTGTGTAGGCTTGAAGAAAAGTGAAGATCAGAGAATCGGAGAACCCAGATAGCAAAGATAGCCACAGCACAATTGGTTCTCGCGCAAACATAAGGAAAGGGCGAAGCCACACTGTGATGATTGGTCTCCAGGCAAATTTTGTGTTACTGACTTCGCTGTAGCTGTAAACGTTTTCACCCTTCTTGCGACGCTTCTGGGCTTCCCGAGTCACGAGAATGCTGCAACGTGTCTCAGGAACCCAAAAGTGAATGGCTTGAACAGTACCGCCGATAATCAGCTGGATCCAAAAGTTCCAATGCCAACTTAGCCACTCAGTAACAGGACCACCTGCAATAGGCGCAAATGCTGATCCCGCGACCGAAGACAGCACAATAAATGCGACGGCATATTGCTGATTATCCGGCTCCCACATATCAGCAACCATACCAAGAGTGACAGAGCCACCAGCAGAAGAAAGACCACCAAGAGCTCGGCACACGACAATAGTGCCAAAATTTGGCGCCAGGGCACAAGGTATCTGCCAGATGTTCACGAAAAACAAACTGAGCTGCATGATCGGCCACCGGCCCATTTCTTCACTCCATGGAGCCCATAGTTCACTGCCAAAGCCGTAGCAGACTAGAAAAATCATCTGCCCAACACGTGCAGCTTGCTTGGAAATATGGAAGTGAGTCGACAATCCGCCCACAGCACCAGCATAAAAGCTAGCATTCCAGTTCATTGATACTTGAACAAGAAAAATCACACTAAGGATCCCCCATTTCTTCCAGAAGGGGAAGGTGAAACCCAACTTATCATACACATCTTGCTCTGTGAGTATCACTCCGCCATCTGAGGTACGCTTTTCACTAGCCACTCTTCGGCTTGCGCCGTCTAATCCATCCTCGGATTCTTGTTTTTCAACGTCACCGTCAGCGACATGAGCACTGGTTGTCCCATCGGGAACGCCATCATGTAATGGATGAGGCATATTGCGATCTTAATTTAGGAATATGGTCGTACTGGCAAATTTGAGTCAGAACTCCAGAGTAGAAGACCATACCTAGTCGAAGTTTTGACCCGAGCATGGAAAATGGACGGTCCATCTGGGGATGAGAGTCGATAATAAAGTAATTGAGCAACATCAACTGCCTCCATCTGGGGATGTACACGTTTTGCCATTCCCCAGGGATTATATTGTGGGCAATGTCATGATTTGTGCGCATTGCAGTCCCGACAGGGTTTGACGTCAGATCCGTAGCTCATAAAGTTTTTCGGTTAACTCCTAAGGACGGAAGGATATCCGGCGAAAGCAATAATGACCATTCAGATACAGTAGGTACTACTCTCCCTTTCTCCCATTGCTGGAATGTCACCTCCGGGAGGCTCCTATCGTGTTCAGGCGCTGGAAAACCCGATCCAATTATGTAGCGACTATAAGCATCACCAGATGGTCATATAAAAGCCATCGGGGATGATTTTATCCTAGAGGTCACATAGGAAGACCATGGGCATCACTGGACACGACGAGGTAGAAAAATATTGGCGGCCACCTGGATTGAATGGGCCATGGTGGACCGCTGTGATGCAAGTCACAGAGGTCGGATATCTCAAGCACTATTCTGGTAGGTCGAGGGTATAAACCATGTAGAGAAGAGACAGAAAGCAAAGAGTAATAGATTCGAAGAATGTTTTATACATGTTGACGAAGAAAAGTTCCGAAGTGTATCGCGATGCCTCGAAATGGAAGGAAGGACCTACACGTGATAGATGTGTATTTCGGAAGGTGCCGCCTTCCTTTGTAGGTTAGGCAAGCGTCCTAATAGATGTAGCAACCTCATCCAAAACGAAACTTCTTCTTTTTCAGAAAACAGTCCTGCTTCTCGTGGACGCTGAGGTGCTCTATCCGTGGAGACTAGCTGTATCCGGCAGAACCAATTTGAGAAGTAAGAGTCTATTGAGTACTATCCATCGCGATCATGGTAGACGAGTCGCTTACCATGACTCTCTAATCAGAAGGATCGGTCATCTCCATGTTCAAACTTCTAATCCCCGAACCCCCTCCTGTGCCCAGAGACTATCCTTTCGAGCGAAGACGAAAGCCTCTTTGCATTCGCTTTCAGACGATATTTGACTCTCTGAAAAGTTCATTATCCGAAGCCACACGAAGCTTTAAACAGCTTACCTTATAGTACCTTGGAGGGATTACGAACACATAGTGCATCTCCCGGTCGAGGTCTTGGACCCCCGGGAGATGCACTGTGGGTTCACCGACCGGTAGAGACTGACGTCCACCACGTTTTTAGACTGGAGACAGAATCTTAGTTGTCATAGTCGACCGAAATCGGTATCTGCATGAAACAAGGCCATACTTCGAAGGACCTTTGGAAGAACAAAAGGTGATTGGGCCAGGGAAGCTCGGTATATCGGTGTTCCTCACTTTGATATACGAAATACGAGTTGAAAAATGCCGATTCCTCTAGCCGAAAATCGAGGCTTGGGAAAGCTGACCAATACCCTAGCGCTCAGACAATATATGACTATGCAAGCTTCACCAGACTGGGATACTGCAGCAGAGATAGAGCTAAGCAACAATGGTGGGTGTGAATCTGGGGAAGAATTGGCGGAAATGAGGAGAAAAAGTGGAGCGGTTCTTTGGGGTAACCGGACTAGGACTACTCCGGGATGTCAAAATATGGGGCCCTGGGGGCTATCACTAACAAGACAGGCGTGCAAATCCATGCTAGTATAGCCTATATACGGAAGATACGCGCTGCAAGCTATATAATACACCACCTTTCCCTTGACGTGAGAATTCGGAAAGTCGACTGCATATAGCTGGGATTCTAGCTGTTAGGGAGTATCTCGATACTTTCAACACATAGTCTGCAGATCTGTGTCCTCCTTATTTGAGCATCGGTTCAAGAGTACATCTTTCTGTCGAAATGGGGACAAATTACGATGGAGGTGTAAGTCCCACGCAATCCAAATCTTTGCTAAATCATTCAGATCAGTCCGCTAATCACGATTCCAGGTACTTCACCAGTACGTTTCGCCCCGGAAAAGACCACCAGGAGATATGCGTTCGCTGACAATTTCCCCCTAGCCTCGAGGAGGAGCTACACACCAAAATCTACCCCGGAACGGAGATTATGGCTGATGTCGGATCGCATCATTTTGTGAAATCTTCGGCCCACTCTAAGAACGTCCTTGTACCACAACCGTCGAATGACAAGCATGATCCGCTCGTACGTTTGCTCTAGAAATATCAATGTTACAGCAGAATAGAGCTGACCGTTAATCTCATAAGAATTGGAATCGGCGTTGGAAATTCGCAGTCATATCGCTTTCGACAGCTTTGAGTTTTATGCAGGGTCTAGGACCTCTTGCTCTTGCGCCGATGTTTGGAGAACTCATGAAATCATTTCATAGCGATCTAGCTTCGGTTGTGCGGTTCACAGGAATATGCATCTTAGTCCTAGGATTCAGTAACTTCATTTGGTACCTCACAACCTCCCCTCTTCCCAAGCCTTACTCATCATAACTGGGATGGCTAATGATAAACATAACAGGGTGCCCGTGTCACAAACTATTGGTAGACGTCCGGTAGCAATTCTGTCATCTCTGATCTGTCTAGCTTCCATGATCTGGCGAGCTAAGGCTACCACATACTCGAGTTTTATGGGTGCCTGTGTTTTGAACGGCATCGGAGCTGGCCCTTCTGAGGTGAGAAAGGATGATCCGCTAGGATTCCAAATTGGTCTCGCATTCTGATCTTTGCACAGTCCCTTCAACCTCAAGTCATTGCAGACACTCAATTCCTCCATGACCGTGGAGCATACAACACACTTTATTTCACATTTTATTTCGGATCATTGATGGTAAGCTTCCTCCAGGTCTAAAATCACACGATCACAACTAAGAAACCAGGTCGGGCCAATCATCTCAGGCCCAATGGCTTATCATGTCGGATGGGAAAACTTTTGGTGGCTCAATGTAGCCTTGTTCGCAGTTCTAATTGTTTTTTTGGTATTCTTCTTCCCCGAGACCAAGTGGCATCGAGAGCAACCACTGGACATGGAAACCATATCTCCCGCAGAACAGCAACAAGCGCCTGTCAACCCAAAAGACGAGGTAGCTCCCCAGCCCACTGAGATTGAAAGCTCAAAGAACGAAATTGAACCCGTGGATGAGTGGTTGCACCGAGGCTCTCCATCCAAATCTCAATTCCGCTTTTGGAAGCTTTCTCCAGAACCTCTGAAGACAATGGCTATCACAATATGGATCCCTTGGAAATTGCATTTCTACCCCATCGTCGAATTCGCCGCCTTTGTGGTTTCATGGTCTGCCTCGGCGTTCTTGACGGTGAACTTGACGCAGACTCAGGCATTTGCTGCTCCACCGTATAATTGGTCAAGTCAGTCTATTGGATTCACCAACTTTGCAACGTTTATCGGCGCCCTTATCGGTTTAGCGACAAATGGGCCTTTGTCGGACTGGATCTCCATGCGCGCAACACGGAAGAATAACGGAGTTCGTGAACCCGAGATGCGTCTGCCTGCCATGATTCCGTATGTTCTTATTTCGATTCTGGGAAATTTTATCGTGGCTTTCGGATATCAGCACAGCTGGGACTGGAGGGTGAGTACTTCCCATAGATGGCATAAGGTTGTATGGATTTTCTGACGATTGATACAGGTCATTGTCATCATCGGTTACACCTGTGCCGGTATTCAAGTTGCTGCTCTTCCCGCTATCGCTAGCACCTATGCCGTCGATAGCTACAAACCCATCGCCGGATCTCTTTTCGTGAACATCACGATCAATAAGAACCTGTGGGGTTACGGTTTTAGTGAGTTCATCACCGATTGGATTGAAAAGAGTGGGTATATCAAACCAATCATGATGAATATGTGTCTGCTTGTCTTGTGGTGTTCCTTTGGAATCGTGTTTTACTTTTATGGAAAGCAATGTAGGAAGTGGACTGCAAAGTCGAGTGTGCACCACATGAGTGATATCTAATGGGTCGAAGAAGGATTGGTGTCTTTAGAGGTGGGATCTTCCATCAAGAAACATAGTTGTTAGGCAATGAGAGTCACCTGTGCTTCAATTCATAAGCTTGTAAAGTGGTATCATATTGAAAACAGTATAACCGAAAATCGTGCGTAACATCAATCATCATCTTCAGGATCGTAAAGGTCCAAATTCAAAGCTGGCCTAGGCTGAGCAGGCGGCGGCGCCCCTCTTGCTGAAGGTCTCGTTGCATCCCGCGCTCCGGCATTCATAGCTGCCTTCCCGGCTTCTTCAGCAAGTGCCTCAGGGCGAGCCTGGGCATCCCCAAGACCACTTGCGACACCACCAGAAATACCTTCAGCCTCCTGCACCAAACGCTCCGCCTCTTTCTCAGGATCAATATTCCCATCCACCGCAGCGAGCTGTAACTGACCCATTAACCCCATGCGTATACGATCCTCGTTCGGATAGGGAATCATGAAAGACTGCCGATCTGCATCAGCGGATTCTTCAAGCCAGCTTGTAGCTTCTTTCGTCACGGTTCCAACAGTGACTTCTTGTTCACCATTCTGCTGCTGTCGGTCAATTGTCGCATCTAGACCGTTGGCATCGATCATCTTGGCATCTTCACTTTGCTTCCTCTGTAGTTTCTTTGTCGTTGAGCCATTTGTTCCCATAACTCCAGTCGTTGCATCCGCCGCTGCTTGAGCGTTGTATTTACTAATTCGCCGCGCGAATTCGAGCAGGAGTTTATAGTCCACCTCTTTCCTTCTGCCCTTCTTAGATTTCTTTTGCTGTTGTGTAATCGACTCTGTATTTTCGCTTTCCCTATCCGTCTCAGACTCGTCATCGTCATCGTCATTTTCTGTATCAATTTCGTAGTCATCATCGTCATCATCCCCAGTAGCTTGAGCTATTTCCTTCCCAGCGCCTGAGATATCGCGTACAATGGTCTGGATACGCTCTTCGAGGTTATATGCTTCGCTGCGTAGGTGTAGTACCTTGGCGTAGTTGGCTTGGTGCATTCGTAGGGTATCGAGGGCAGAAGAGATGACATCATCGGATTCAAGGAGTGCAGTAGCTGCAGCGGGGGCCCCTACGGCAGCTGGAGTGGTGAGAGATGTCAATAGAGAGTTGAGTTTATTTTCGAGCCCATCAAGGGCGGATGAGAGCTGCGCATTCATTTCTAGCTCGACTTGAAAGTCCAGATGAGTTTTATCAATCTTGTGAGATCGTCTCAGTTAGAAACAAGACAGCGCTCAAGGATAAGTCAATCTTCAACCCAATGCTTAAGTTCTTTGAGGTCTTTCATCGGAGATGTTTGGTTGCAATGCCAGCTAGTCCGTTTGGGCGATTAGCTTACGCAGCTATGGTCACGTGCTGTTGGCTGGTACCAAGACTTAGGGATTTCTATACACAAGTAACCAGAAAGAAAGAATAGGAGCATCAGTTAATTATATTCTATTCAGTCATTTTTCAGTCCAGCCTCTTGTTACCAAAAATGTCAGCGTAGCGAGCTATACACCAAAACTACTAACTCGATCCGGAAACCGCACGTGATCGCTTGGCCCAAATAGTAACTAGCGCAATTCAAGCGAAGCCCTTTCCAGCACCATACCCAACTCGGCTAGTCCGCACTACATCCCACAACCGCCATTGAAAGCGTCCACACCTCAAAGGTCTTCCTTTACTTCCCCTTCTTCGCACTTAGCCGTCGACAATTTCGCAACATCAACATCCGGCTACCGCGGAGCGCCATTGCCCATCATGTGTACGTGTTCAACCTTTTCCTTTGTGTTGTTTTCGACTTGATATGAGATGTGCTTGAGAAGGGGATGGAGTAGATGCAATGGTGATGGAGAAGACGACGAGGAAAAAAATGCTATTTTTGATGAATGATCGCGCAAACGTCTTGAAATACTAGGCGAGAAGGATGTCTCACTGCACGAAAACTCATATCACGATGGATAATGTGGGAATTATACACAAATTATGGTACTGATTTTTTCTCGTTTTACAGCGCTCGTATCCGGCGAGAAGTCGAACTTCCAGTACATTATCCGTCTGCTCAACACCAACGTCGATGGCAAGCAGAAGATTATGTATGCTTTGACCAAGATCAAGGGTGTTGGCCGTCGTTACTCCAACTTGGTCTGCAAGAAGGCCGATGTTGATCTCAGCAAGCGGTGCGTTTTCACCCTACGTCCGATAGAAGACTACACCAAATCAAAATAAAAGAGTTATCACTGACGGGATTTATTGAATAGTGCTGGTGATATCACCTCCGAAGAACTCGAGCGTATCGTCACCATCATCCAGAACCCTACCCAGTACAAGATTCCCTCCTGGTTCCTCAACAGACAGCGCGATATCGTTGATGGCAAGGACAGCCAGGTCATCTCCAACGGTGTCGACTCCAAGCTCCGTGAGGATCTTGAGCGCTTGAAGAAGATCCGCTCTCACCGTGGTCTTCGTCACTACTGGGGTCTCCGTGTGCGTGGTCAACACACCAAGACCACCGGTCGCCGTGGCCGCACTGTCGGTGTCAGCAAGAAGAAGGGCTAACGAATTATGGAGACAAACGGAGTTCACAACAAAAAAGAGATTCTTTTTTTTTTACTTTTACAGTACTTTTGCATTGTGTTTCCCTCTACCATATGCGGTGTTTTATTCTTGGTTGTATGTTGCTCTGCTGGGGGTCAAACAAATGGCAAATTTATCATGATATAAAAATTTAAAAGGCCAAGGATTCTCGGTGTTTACATGTGATTTGGTAACACCACAAATAAAATACAACCAAACTAAGTCTCTCAAACAACTTAGACCTTATCTACCTACCTACGGTTAGGAGGACGTGGTGTTGAAGGAATATTTACCCTGTTCTAATAAGTTATACCTGACCCAACACGAAGAAATATCGCCATGATTACAGTATGTACCAGTTATCTCAACCTTTTCATCATTCAGGTCGAGGAAATTAAAGCATCAAGTTGAAACCTTCAGCACAGTAGATTCGAGTACTCTCAAAAATATATTGTTCTCGTATCTGACAAATATCACGAGCAAGAGAGATTTGCGTTCACTGCAACCTGACATGATCCAGTCTATGTTCCATCATCACCGAAAACAGGTTGCATACATATATTTCAGACGCAGGCAAAATCAACAAATGCAAAGACATAAACTAAGCGATGCTAGCTATATAAATGGTAGGCAACAACTTTCCAGATAATCAAACCACACCTGCAGCTCGCTTACTTGGTCCACTCACCACCGATCCAGCGGTTGAAGAACTCAAGACTGGCCTCGGGCTGGTCGTAGGGAACCATGTGGCCACCGCCAAACAGACGCATGAAAGTGAGGTTACCAGAGGACTTGACTTGACCGATCTTCTTGCCCTTGTGCTTGTTGTCGACGATTTCAAGGTCCTCGAGCTCAGTGGCGGCATACTCTTCGTGGCCAGCCCATTCGAGAGCGTCAGTCCAGGCCTTGTTGCCGAGCCAGTTGCAAATGAAGTCGGCATCGCCGGCATAGATCAAAACAGGAATCTCCTCGAGAAGACCTGGAACAAGTTTGTGGAAAGGCTTCATCCAATCACCCTTGAAAAGGAAATTGCGGTTGATGTCAAAGTTGCAAGAATCAAAGCTGTCAACCTCGGCTCCAAGGGCCTTCATCACTTCGGCTTGGTTAAGATAGGTGCTGACATATTCGAGATCGGCGTAGCAGAGGCTGCTGTCCTCACAGGGCTTGCGGACATCGTAAACGTTCTGGCCAGTGCGCTGGTAAGGACCCAAGAGGGCATTGTTGCAGTAGATAGAAGCAGGAACGCAAGTCCAGGCACTTTCACTGTCATAGCAAGATTGGATCATGGACTGGCAGCGACCAAGAGCGTTGTCCATGGATCGGCACGTGGTTTCATCGAGAACAGCAGGATAGCCACCATCACCGCAGGCCATAGGACGGTAGTATTCATATTGAGTGAGGCCATCAGTGAGACCGTTGCCGATCAACACAGATTTCAGGTTGATGTTGCGCTTCTTGTGGGAAAGGATTTCAGAGGCAAATGATGGAATATAGTGACCGGCGTAGGATTCACCGGCGATGTGGAAGTCTTGGCTGGAATATTCGGGAAATTGCTTAAAAAAAAGGGTGAGGAGAGCATAAACATCCTTTGCGGCAGCGCTTGTCTCACTGACGGAGTTGCCACTGTAGGAGAAACCGACGTTGACGGGCTGGTCAAGGAAGATAACGGAAGTATTTGAGTTCCAGGAGTACGGGTTGTAGATAGGCTTGATGTTCTTGCCAATAGAGCTAGGTCCGAGCTCGAAGAAAAGACCAGTCAAGGAAGAGCATCCTGGTCCACCGTTCAACCAGAGAACGACGGGGTCAGTCTTTGGGTCATTTCGGGACTCGAAGAACCCTGGGATTGGTTAGTTTAATCTGTGAGATCTAGATGGGGTGTACACATACAATAAAACAAATGCTTATCATTCTCGTTATCGTCAAGGTAGCCACTGTACTGCTTGACATCGGGGTCGATCCCAAGGGAGCTTGGGTCAACGGCCTTGACACGGAGGTCAAAAGCTTCGAGCCTACCGCCAACCTCACGTTCCTTCTCGCCATTCTCATTCTCGACCCAGATGTTCTGGACATCGGAACCTCGAATAATATGGTCCCAGTGTGAGTCAGGTCGACGAGTGTGTTTCTTAGCAGAAGAGAAGAAAATGTTGTCCAAAGCACCGGGGAATATGTTGGAAACCTCTTCCCAGACTTCCTCGACTTCGTTGGTAAGCAACTTGAGCTCTTCCTTGAGCTCACGGAGAGGCTGTGACAGAGACTCGGCTAGCGAGGGGGAGGACTTGTGAGTGTTTTCCACAGCCTCCTCGGGAGCCTGGAGGACCTGCTGGGGAGGAGACACAGCTGCAGCTGCAGCTCCAATGAGGAGCGTGGTAGATAGAACTCTCATGTTGATGGCACGAGGTGAATCTGGAGTAATGACGTCGTTATCAGAAGCGGCCACTCCACGATAGCTGGGGATTGGGGTTGTTGTTACAGTATGTTTACTGTATTCGATTCACAGTACTTCAACAAGTGAATCCCAGATATAGAACAGCTTTCTGGGGGATCGGAACGAGATGAAATACGAAGATGTGAAGTTGAGGATGGATGGATGGATGACTGGGAGTACCTTGGTCTGACGAGATGTTCGGCGCTAAGCCGGACGTGGACAATACATCGAGGCAGCCAACCAAGACGGACGATGCTATCGTTGCTGCCCCGTTCTCCAGGCAACCTCGAATCCGCTTTAGGCAGGAGAGGGCTTGGCAGGGACCTGGCCAATGAGACTGCGGCACATGACTGCCGGTAAGGCACGTGAGCAGCAATATCTCGACACCTGGCTTTTAAGGCATAACTCATGGCGGCTTAACTTTCAGTCTTTCTGTCTACCCCACTGGCGTCATTTTTCAGATAAGATTTGCAGGGCCTCATACATACTGCTTTCAGATCCGGCGCTTGGAGCAATCGATATTGGTGTATGCAGATAGTTGATTCTCAAAATGCCTATTAATCAACCATCAAATCAGATCAAGTTCACAAATGTCTCCATCGTACGGTTGAAAAAAGGTATGTGAAGACCAGCGATCCTACAACAATGTCGCTCACTCTAGAATTTGTTTAGGAAAAAAGCGCTTCGAACTAGCATGCTATAAGAACAAGCTTCTAGAATACCGTTCCGGGGTCGAGAAGGATCTAGACAATGTCCTCCAAATCCATACCGTCTTCCTATCCGTGAACAAAGCCCAGACTGCTCCCTCAGCAGAATTAGCCAAAGCGTTTGGCGCCGGTGTCTCCCAAGATGAGATTATTCAGGAGATTTTACGCAAGGGAGAGGTTCAAGTAGGAGAACGCGAGCGCAAAGATATACTGGAACGGGTGCAGAAGGAAGTTGTGGATATTGTGTCCGGACGATTGGTCGACCCTACGACTAAACGAGTATATACCCCGACTATGATTGAGAAAGCTCTGGATCAGTTGAGTGCGGCAAGTGGACACCAACAACAGCAACAGAATGGAGAAGAGACGCCAGAACACGGTGCGACAACTGGAGAGCAACGGAAGCCGTTGTGGAAAGGCGTATCAGCGACCAAGTCAGCAAAGAGTCAAGCACTCGAGGCTATGAAAGCTCTCATTGCTTGGCAGCCCATTCCTGTGATGCGAGCCCGCATGCGTTTACGAGTAACCTGTCCTGTATCATTATTGAAACAGTCCGTCAAAGGTGCCTCGTCAGGTGCACCCAAGGAAGAATCTAAGCCATCCAAAGGCAACAATAAAAAGGGTCAAAAGGGCAAAGGCAAGAAACATCAAGATTCGGAAGACGAAGATGAAACCGAAGACCAGGAAGCCTCTCCAAAGGCACCTTCTAATGTGAAGGAGAAGATTCTGAGCTTTATTGAGTCTGTTGAGTCGCAAGAGATTGTGGGCGAAGAATGGGAAACCGTAGGCTTTGCCGAGCCTGGGGCTTTCAAAGGATTGAGTGAGTTTGTGACTAGTGAGACGCGTGGTCGTGGAAGGGTGGAGGTCCTCGACATGGCTGTGACGCATGAAGACTAGATTAGATCTTCCTTAACGAATTGCAAGTTGTCTGGCATATGGGCAAGTTATATGGGCAAGTTATACCCGCACGATTTACGAATGTATATATGTTTGATAAAAATTGGCTACCAGTTTTCATTCTTTCAGTTACCCAGCTAAAACCTGGAACTCTTCGATATGAATACAAGGATGTTAATAACCTTGAAATCAAACAACAAGCATGATCAGAACGGAGTCACTCACAGAGACTTGGTGAATTGTCTCCCATTCCACATAGGCGGCGTCATACCAAGCCAATAATCCCTCCCCTTGATCAACCATACAAAAAAGCTCGGTACTCTCCATCCAAGAGCCATGCCAACACCTTTCTTTCCAATAACCACCAACTGGGTAATAGTGGACTCTGGTTCATATACGCGATAAGCCGCTTCTCCATCTTTAACTTTGTCTTCTGCGGATAGTAGGCCTTGCTTCAGGTTCTCCCCAACCACCGGAGCCTGTTTCATGATAGCGTGGATTGCACGTGGTGTTGAGGAGCATACATGGCCAAGGGCATAGACTCGGGGGCCAGCACTTTCCACACGAAGCGATGAAGAATTGACATTCACATAACCTTCGTTGTCGAGTAGTTGACGGTGTAAGAAACCGGTATTTGGCGAAACACCGGTCGCTGGAATGTACAAGTCTGCTTGAAGAGTCTCGTCGTCACTCAGATGCACTACTACTGTATCAGTGAGCCGCTCAAGACTTTTGCCTGCAGTATCCACTGCATCAAAGTTGATCGAGATGACTTTCTCCACACTTTTGTCCTTGATAACGGATACCCCGAGCTTGGACAACTGAGCTTCAGCCTTTTGAGAAACTGAAAGAGGGAAATACGGAAGCAAGCGCCTGCTTCTCGTCACGAGAGTAATGGAAACATTTGGCTTTCCGCCTGCAGTACCATTCAGATATTGCCCTAATTCACCAGCTGTCTCTACACCGGTGGGTCCGCCTCCAGTAATGACGATACTCTTGGCAGATGACAGCTTCTTTCGAAATAAAGTCCAGGCTTCTATTGTATTCCGGTGATCCCCCCGAAGACCCATCAGCGGAGATTCTGCGGTTACTCCAGTGGCGATTATGAGAGCGTGATACTTGAGGTTGATATCAGCGGTCCCTTCGTTGGCCGGGATAATCGTGACTATACGCGCCAAATGATCAAGCTTAATCACAGTAGCATGGTATAGGGTTATGGAAGGACTGGTATATTGGTCGAACGCTTCAGTCAGGGGTACAAATAGTGACTTCTCCTTTGGAAAAGCGGTCTCAGAGACCAGGGCACGTGGAGAGGTTGGTCGACAGAAGAAATGAGAGGAACTGCTGACGAAGGCAACCCGATAGTCGTCTTTGTTTGGTAGAGTAGGAATGACATGTTTGAGGATGTAGTGTGCAGTTGAGATACCGGCGTAGGAACCTCCAAGGATCAAGATGGTCTTTGTGTTTGGTTCCATGTCGGTGATGTTAGGGTCTACCGGCCTCGTCCCGATTAGGCAATTTCCGAGGATAGGAATTTTTGCAAAGCAATTCGAGCTTCGAAGTGTTATACAGTCAATCAAGCAGGAGAAAACTTAAACTACACTTTATATTACTTAAATGGAATCGAGTACTCTTATTTATAGATCAATTTCTCGAAAATCTACTTGCAGCCGCGTCCTTGTCCCTCGTTGAAGCTATTTTGATCAATTGTCCCGACGGAAGCCAGACGTGTCCGATGGTCTGTGCATCACAACAAACTGGGTTTAGTAAGCTGAAATACTGACTGTTAATTGGCATATAAAGTACGCGCTAGGAAACAAAGATTTCCGACCCCCTTAAATTCATCCGAAGCGCTCAACTCCTTATTCACCTCTCCGAATAACAGTTGAATGATGATAGATTGGGTCTGTAGTATGTCTGACAGCTCGAGAATCCCATCTGCTACGTCGACTGCCGTTAGTTTTGATCCAATGTCTGGACTCACTGCCGTCCAGTGACACTAACTAGTCGTTCTTTATGAGCAGTGTGACCGATGTCATAGCAGGAAGGTAGGATCCCTGAAATTGAGCCTCCGAGATGATGTTTGTATATTGACTGAGATATTTACTTATGTAGGTAAAATGTGATAAACAAGATCCATGCAAAACCTGCGTTGCAGCCAATACCGTATGTAGTCGGTTACGACGACAGAGCATCCAACGGAGACCACGACCGCAAGTGATCATCTTAGAGCCCTGAATATACCTCGATCTGACTACATCTACAGGACCGAAAGGATTCGTTCCTTGACTTCGCGTGTGCATCAGCTTGAGAACACGCTTCATGATCTAGGACACAGTGACCTCGATGAGGAGTTACCTGAGGTCTCTAATCTCTCCGTACGGGGTTCGGTACGCCAGGCTGGTAAAGACGATGGATCTGAAGCTGTGGATAAGGGTGAAGGCACTACTCAACAGTCTCTTCAGAGTTCGTGGCGGCTTATGACTGACTTGGAATCACAAGCCTCACACTCCGCACGGCCAAGGTCTACCCCTTCGAGCACGACGCCCTCAGGGACGTCACAGGTCGGGATCTCCGCGGTGCAGCGAGAGGCTTTGAACAAAGTACTATCCGCGTTAGATGAATTCGGTAAAAGTCCATCTCTTCAAGATTGGAGCACTGCTAGCCGTAAACCATGGGATGACGAGGAGCTCGGCGACTACGACCTGACAGCAAGCGAGATAATCAATATCTTTGCTACACCAGATACGCCATTATCGGGCCTTAACTGGTCCAATACGAAGTTTGCATCGTATCCATCCACGGAACTGCTGGGCAAGACTTTGCTTGAGGGCAAAATTCAAGATGATCAAAAAACACTGCTATATAAAATCATTCTGAACTTTCAGGCTGGTATGATCCTTGCCCACCGAGAAAAGCACCTGAGACATAAATATACGGTGAAAGGTCATATTGAACATATCAGGGCGCAAAAGTTTCGTGATGTGCTATCGAAACTAGACCAGATTACTTTCCGAACTCCACCATCGTTACATCTGCTTCGGGCTCAATGTATAGGAGTAGTGATACTTCAGTATTTTGGGAATTTGCCAGAGGCATGGAGTATGATGGCTGCTGCCTCACGTACCTTTATTTCGTTGGGCTACGATCGAATAATTTACACCAAGAAAATTGCTACGACATCAGACTTTACGCAAGAAGATGTTGATGGATGCGTTGTATGGTGCTACCAGCTCGATCGATCGTTGAGTTTGCTCCTGCGACGGCAGCCACTGTTACCAAGAATGTCAACATCGCCGCAACTACGGGTTGTCGGGTCTGGTTTACCTGAAGGGGTGGGCTATCCACGGCGGGCTTTTATTCCAATGAATATACACTTTGCGCATATACAAGGGGAGATAGCGTTCTTGATGGACACTTCGAAAAACGCTGTTCAATGGAAAGATCTTGAATCACTGCGTGTAAAAATGAAAGCATTTTGGGAAAAATTTTGCGAGGTAAGAACCTCCGCGATCAAGGATGCAAATCGATGAAGGATACACGCTAATTACAGGGTTTCTGATAGTGGCAGGCAGAAGCTCCCAACAGCGTACGTGAGCAGCTTCGGCGTGATATCCGATATCTTGAGTTTAAATACCATGCCACAGAGACTCTCCTATTGCAGCTACCATCTGAGCTAGCCACGAGTAGCCAATTGCGAAAACAAGCGGTGGAGTTCGCTCGAAAGACTTTTCAGAGATTTGAGTATATGGTCCGAGACTGGGATAAGATTGAGATGATGGATTTGGGCTGGTTAGTTTTCTGTCCCATCGTAAGAAGGAGCGACTTATTGACAATGGCGCTTTCAGGGACCTCATGCTTTACTGCCTCTCTCCATTATGTGTGCTCACCTATGATATTATTAACACTCGCGACGATGAAGACCTTATGCTTGTATCGCACTACGGCAAGTTCATCTGTGACCGAATTTACGCAACCTCGACAAACAATCCCCTCGCTAAACGGATCAGCGATCTATTTATGGTGGTTTTGGGTATATGCGACACACTCAATGCATCCGCTTCTACAGGCGCTACTGAAACCACGGCAGCACAAGCGTACCCTACAAACCACACACCACGAAGGAAAAACTTTATGAACTTCGAGACCTTTTTTGGTACTAATGGTGCGGCAACGGACTCGTCGAGCAATGCTCACGGGACGAATCTGAGCGAGAATGGGGGTGGTGGCAGCACAATGGATGCAACTGGGGCCCGAGCTGGTAACGTTGAAAATCCGAAGGAGTCAGAAGAGCAGTTTTTGAAACTGCTTACATATAAGGTGAAGTTGGGTTGGAGTGGAGAGAGTCTTGTCTATGCACGTTCGTTATGGTAGTTGTCACTGCTATTTCTCATAGGAGAGTTTATCCTTTGCTGTTATCTGGATAGGCACCGTGCGTAAAGTGTTCAGAGTTGATTATCATAAATAGAAAACCCCATTCTACCTGAAACTGACCACTTTACTCAGCTTCGGGATGATATACCACGCAGTTATCAGAATGGAATATTGCACGTCAGAAGAGTGGTGGCCACGTGCTTCACCAAGCCCTATCCGGCCGGCATATACATAGAAATCTAACGTCGCGTTTCCACATTCCCAACCACCGATCCCAGCCTCCAACAGTACAGTAAATACCAAAGATCTGGCCCATACGTAGTACGCATCATCAGATCGTATTGTATATGTGCACATTCTCTCGGATTTACCGGCTTCGTGGTTTGCCACATACTCGGTCGTCATTTACGACATCAATCGACTCAGATCCGTATCCATGATATGAGATCATTTCGAGAAGGACCATAACCACACTCTCTTCACTACGTATATAAATCTCGTTGGTTATCAGTCGCTAAGACATCATCGACGAGGGCCGTTCTTTCATTATTGTCAGACATCAGCACGAAAATGACATCAGTCAAGGTGTGAAGCTATCCAAAAACAATCGAGACAGCTGAACGGAATTACATCACCGCGTAATATATTCTGAATAGCCGTGTATCGTTTCTCGTATGTATCGTTCGTATTGATACTTGTGCCGAATGCCGAGTTGACTCAACGGAGTTTTACTCATCTGTCAATCCTTTGATTCATTCAGTGTGAGTCTGACTGTACTGAATGAATATCGATTTACCGATTTCTCTAGACTTGAAATCATATCTTTAAAGACATAACTTATGTCCATTCTATCAATCCATATCAAATCCGATCCTAACCGATCAATCCAAACCCTAGCTTAACTCTCCCGTGTACTCCGTACATTCGTAACTTAATTTATCTTGAGTCGATCCACCTAGGACTAGCTGCAGCTATAATACAACTGTGATAAAATCGCTCATCTAACAGACTTTCCCTTTAAGAGTTTAGAGATAGCGCCAAACAGCCTAAACACCCTGCACCAAGTCGCTGAATTGGTTTAGTTTCATTAAACTGGTTCATGTACGGCATGGACTGTTGGCTTGCAGGGTTAGTCGCTTATCGCGGAATTAGTGTTGATTTCGAGCCACGACGAGATCCTTTTTTCTTTCTTTGATATTGAATTAGATTGCATTCGTTACTGCATGTACAGGAACAAGTACCGAAGTCATAGCAAAGATCTATCAATCTAATTTGCAATGAGTTTAGAAAAGTTCAGACAGCCTCTCCCGTGTAAAGAATCAAAACGCCGCGCTAAATCCATGCTCTTTCCCTTGGGCTCGTGTAATATGCAAGTTCGTAAGTCAGACAATGTAGGAAACGCCTTGAATCCTATGCAGTTGTGTCATGTCAGATCACTGAAATGGGCGTATGTCAAGTGGTTGTAGATGAAGTCGGTAGTAGAATGAGATTCGTGTCATGTCATGTCAATCGATTATAGGGAGAAGGCCGTTACGACACAATGCTAACGGCATTCAATGCTATGGTCAATTCGCTCGGATCAAACGGCAGACGCTTTTCCGGTGCCGATATACGACGAGGTATAGGATCCATCCACGTAAATGTATCCTTCAAAGAACCAAGCGCATCTCGCTTGGTCACAGGCCAGTCCCAGCTTTCTTTTAATGTTAATGAAGACGAATAGCAACTGGAGCCGACGGCCGTGGATTGATCAGAGTTGGTATCGAATGATCCCGAGAGCGCTACTGAGTGATGCGTAAGGGTAATCGAATCTGAACCTGAAAACGAAGAATTAGCCTATGCACAATGCCATACAGACAGTAAAAAAAACATACCGATAATCTGAATCTGTTGTGCCCGGACTACTTCCGGTTCAGATTCCGACACGTCATCCAGCGTGGATTCATCACTCTCACTCTCATGAGGTCGATCCGGCAGACTCGTACAGGGCGATAGATCTAGCTCGAAAGAACGCGGCCGATCAGCAGTGGCCGCCTCGAAGTTCCAATCGTACAACTTTCGTCTATGTTCCGGATCAACAGGCCCACGATACTTGGAGCGCGGACATTCCCCTCGACGGTAGTATTCGATCTTTGGCTTGCCGTTGTTCTTGTCCTTGTCTGAATTGCGTCGGAAGGCTTTTTTGACTTTTTCACGGAACGTCATTTTGAATGAGAGCAATATATGTGTAGTCCCTCTATTCTATATTGGTTCGCTTGGTTCGAAGATGCGTCTACAGCGGGTAGTAACAACTGATGGCGGCTGGATTGAACGCGAGCGAGCCTTGTATGGGTGTCGACCGTGGTACCATTGTATGCTGTAGACGTAGTAAAGACCGAAGGAGTGAAGATGTCGAAAGCATAGAATCAGATATGTAGCAGAAGGAGAAAAGAAACGGATAGGGAAGGAGGGGGAAGCGGGAGTAAATAATGGTACCTATCAAAGATTAACATTACTATCTGCGATGGCGAAACGCCATGAACCAACCATTCCAGTACGTACTACGTATGTAGTCGCTGGATTTGGTGCTGCTTTCGAAGCGGCGATGCCGCCGGAACCATGGCCAATTCATGTATTGGTATTACGCACAATACGGCTAATAACAGTCTTATGTACGCCCTACATACAGCATACATACACATGTAACAGTGCCATTCGCCGCCGACTGGAATGAAGATTTTTCTTGCATCTGCTCTAATCTCGTCTATATGATCGTATTAATTGACTGCTACTCTGGATTCCTCGAAGTATTCGGTTACGAATGTATCCCACTTTTCATCTCACTTGGCCGTCTGTGTTATCGCATCGCCAAATTCTACCTTTTCCCAACGATCCTCTAATCCCAGCCAGTAATTCATGTGGATCAAGTGGACCAGGGTAAATTTCAAAAGGGTCTCACCGGACTGTCTGTCTTACACAAGTCGTACAGCTAGCTTAATTCTCCATGGGGGAGAGAAAAAGAAAAGAACTGAAAAATGGAGAAGCCAAAGGATTCAAGATTTCGTACAGTCGGAGGAGTGAGGAGCAGATACGTAATTACACATCGTGAATTGATCTGGATTGACTCCCTACCTACACAGAAGAGTAGCTGAGCCTTTTATTAACATTTTGTCGCATCGCGCGGCTACAGCAGTTACAGTAAAGGTACGCTGTATTTTAACAGAATTTTTAAGATTAACGAATTTGTATCCATGGTACGATTGATTCATTGCTGCCACCACCACCACCAAGGAGATAAGTTCCGAATATCCCATCACACTGCACAGATTTCCAATGATTCAGTTCTATCTCTTCAATCTGCGATAACTCCGTACTCCTTGCACCAACTCTAGATACACAACTCACGATATCTTCCGGGATAGAGTCGGTCCATTGGCGTCATGATTGGCCACGTCTTGCCTCCACTCGGCAATTTTATTCCGATCTATCCTCTACTACGCTGTAGGATATGACTACGTAAATAGCCGAGTGCCAGAGAATAAAAGGCAGAGATTGGTATTGTCTGCCGCTGATTGGACATGTAATTCTGCAATACAACAGCCAGCCATCTCGCGTACAGCCGTCAACAAGGTCAAGCATCGTGGCCCGAGCACCTTGCAGGGTTCTTTGCAGCATCTAACTAACCAATCGAGATATGCACGCACGCGACATCGATACGGAGTACTACTTACTTCGTAGATAGTTACACACATAGCGAGTAGAATCATGATACTTTCGGTGTCTTGGAATTGCATCGCCAAGTCACGGTGGTTCCGAACATGTATGATCTATGCAAGGGGCAGGGTTTAGCCCTAACTCCGTCTCTCCATCGCCGTGTCTACATGGAAGGCTGGCTCAAGAGAAGACAAGCTTTACTACAAGCTGATCATGAGGCATTTATTCTTTCTAGAATATCCAGCTCGTACGCTTAACCCCGGTTAGTACGTGCGTACAAAATAAATATAGCCACTGATTATGTCCGAACCTGACAGGATCCGCAGCCTTCCATGCCTGCACTCCACGTCACACCGCGTTTCTGATTCCAACTGCTTTGAATAATACATCTCTCATTTCTTTTCTTTTCTTATCTTTTTCTTTTCGATTTCTACTGGAAAATCCCTCGTATTTGCCTCACGCGACTCGCTTTCGATTCTATTTTTTACTTGATTGGACTTCATCGAAACTAAATTTCCCCGTATTTTCGCTTGTTTAGTGTGCTGTATATAGATCCGGGGTTATGCAACTACGCGTGTATTCAGAGTAGGTCCATGCGATCTAGCATGCGTAGCAATACTACTGGAATAGTTGCATAGAGTTCAAGCAACCGCCAGGGCCGCCAAATGCGCTTGCTACTTTTTACTCTTTGTGTATTGCAGATTGGTTCGTGGAGAGTCTCGACACGTCTATGGGCTTTATGCAGTACATCTAGGAAAGGATATAGTTACTATAGGGAGTCAATCGTTCTAGAACGAACTGGCCTGGGTTCAATGCAATACCCTTGAAAGGTGTCACGGACTCATTCCAACGGTGGGTTTATTCTACTACCTGGGTGTTGAGTGTCACTCAGAGCTACCAATACTAGTTACCAAATTCCCTAAAAGGTATGTACCTGCTAAGCTGATTGAGTGAAGTCGGTGAGGCATTTTCTCCTGTGGCCGCAGTGTGGGATATTGCCACCGACAAATGGACATGGATGTGGATATAGATGACAAGCATGCCCGACCTCGAGCCTATACGTACCATTCGACTGAAAGCTTTTAATGCTGGTAAACAGGATCGAGTCACTTCATGCAGTATGTTGATCTGCTCTAAACCAGGAAGGTCGATTCCATCCTTGAACCTTTCGGTCAAGAGGTCTCGTGTCTCCTGTCCTGTCAGTCAAAACGGATATTCAGCTTTTGCTGTGTTACCTGGCAAAATTAAGTCTTTGAGACCTTGGAAAGTAATCAATATGTGCAATTAGGTCTTGACAAAGGTATATCCAAATATATCATATGTACAGCGCATATTCTCCAGACTCATGGTCCAAAATCACCAGAGGTAACTGCAAGGTATCATAAAAAAAAATTACTCCAAGAATAAATCTCAAGAGACAAGACAAGTCATTATACATATATATACGCCAAGTGATCACTTCTCCGTTACACCGGCTGTTGACGCACTTCTTCTCCCCCAGCCAAAAAATCCACCCCCGGTTGGGGCCGCCTTGACTGTTTCGGGCATTAATTTGGTAGCTGTTGCTGAAAAATTCAGCTCCCCAGTCGACGTCTTGACTCGAGAGTGTCCATTCATCAACCTCCGAAGAGAGTCCAGCTTGGCTTTCACCTCTTCTAATTCTTGCTTGGCTACTGCTTCTGCCGTCTTGGCAGTGACAAGCTCTAGTAATAGCGAGTCCTCTGATCCGGACGTAGTAGACGCCCTATTATCGGGTTCTATCGTTGATCCGACCAGACTTTGTACGCCCAAGCTGCTAGACCGTTTGGGGAATCTTGTCGTTTCTGTTTTTGAATTGGTCCGCCCTAGTTTGAATTCACGTAGACCACTAGATGGAGTAGGCCATGATTCATTTTCACTAGTCGTGCCCGAGCTGTCTTGGCTACTGTGGTCGCCAGATGTGCTTTTGCGTGAACGAAGATCTTGAACTACTCGTTCCAATCTTTGTTTCTCCCGGTATCCATCCTGAATGCGTGATCGGGCTTCCCGCAATTCCTCTTTCAAACGAGAATTTTCGTGTTCGTGCTCGTCAAGTTGTCTACTAAGATCAATGCATCGAGCCACTTCCATCTCATGCTTTTCTTTCCATCTGCCCACCTCGTCTCTGAGCTGATGTTTCGTCTGTAAGATCGAGTCTCGTTTGCTAGCTGTCGAGAACCGCTCCTCAGCTTTGCTAACAAGCTCTTCGGCATCCTCCGTCGTCTCTGATTGCTTGAGATGGTTTAACAACGCTCTCGAGATCTCTCGGTCTTCCTCTCGTTCTTCTCGTTCTCGCTGCAAATCTCTAACCAGATCTGCTTGTTCACGCTGCATGTCGCTCAAAGCTGTAAGAAGGTCTTCAATTTGGCTATGCAAGTCTCGATCTCTATGTGATATCGCCGACTTTGCACGCACTTTCTGATCTCCGCCTATAGAAACTTCTGTAGGAGCAGTGCTGGCGTCGGAAACGGACGTCTCCATCGAGTTCAATGTGGATGCCATACTCTGCTTGGACGGCGAGCGTCTAATTGTACTTTCGGGCCGTCCAGATGGGAGATTCAGTGATTTGTGTGAGCCAGCCCACAGTCGACCGAGAAACCGAGAAGCTGTAGCTTGCATCTGAGGGAACGAGATTCCCGTTGGCACACCCTGAGATTGGCTATAGCTTGCCTCTAAGGCTCGGAGACTTTCTCTAGAGACAAGAGGCGTCAAAGAAACAAAGTCATTGACCAGGTCATCAGCATTGAACGCATAGGTATCCCATAAGCTTCGAGACAATAGGAACTGCAACACATCCTCGAACTCGGTAAACCCCATGATCTTCTTTTCATTACGCTGCATGAGTGACAGTGCAACTCTCATCAATGTCTCGGAAGCTCCTTCCAATAGCAGCACATCGTATATACGAAGCAGCATCGGTAGTGGGCATGTGACTGCGAAGAATGAAAGGAACCATTGCGAGACATAGATCGGCTCGATGTTCAGAGACTGAAGGTGGGCGAACAACGCTGGTAGATGGCGCGAGAGGAGGTTCTGGAATTGGTAGATGCGCAAATGTAGACCTGAAAGGTCCGGTAAGAAGCATGAGCGCAAGTCGTAGTGTTCCATGAGCCTATCACAGATTAGCAAATGTTGATTCCTGCGGGGGGCAAAATTGACAAACCTAATCAGGACGCAAAAAGACTCTGCATCCGTCATGTGCATCAACAGAGGGCCAACCACAAATCCAAGTCCTTGGCAGTACCCTATCTTCGTATCGTACAGACTGAAGCATTTCAGAACTCTACCCAACATCTGTTGGCCTTCCCCATTAGGATCACGAAACATCTCGACATTCGGAAAGCTGCGACCAATATCCTTGCCGATCAGACCTTCGTAGGGGCTCGTTTCACCACATAACCGTCCAAACTCTTCGATCAATAGTGTATCCCTAGCTCCAGCAATACTAGGCCAGACTACTCCACGTAGTGGCGGAGGAACTCCAGCGCGAATCTTGTGCGATGTTAATGTAGGCAATCTTTGCGCCGTCGAAGGGTAATCGGCGACCAAAGCAGCCCAGAATTCAAGCTCAGTCATGGGTGGCGGCTGTAATTGAGAGTACCGCAGAGATGCTCGTGGGTCATTGACGAGTCTTCTCAATTGCTGAATTGAAGGTGGGCGGGATTGTCGTTGGGCTTTCTTTGCAAGCCCTGATTTCGGATTCGTGGCAAGAGCATTATTCTCTTGCTCTAGACGGGCCAGTAACAACGCCGTGGACTATTAAAGTGAGAGTCAGTTTCTTCCTATCATAAAACATAGATGCGAACAATGCAAACCTCATCTGTCCCTTGTGTCCGCGGTTGTTGCTCCTCCGATTTATCCAATTTTTCCCAGTCGACTTCTCCGGCGCTTTCCGTAGAGGATGACGATTCATATCCTTCTTGTGTATTTGGCGCTGCTTCAATCGATGTAGTCGACTGACGTTTCATCTCTCTGGGTGCAGATGATGTCTCGTCCGCCTTACCAGCAAGCTCGCTCTTTGGTGTCAGATCCACTTCTCTTGCATTTTCCATGATAGAAGCTTCGTCCGCCCTCTCGTCGACCGGTGTTGTAGGACTATTGAACTCGATAGATGTGCCTTCGAAAAACGATTGTCGATCTGATAGCGGCACCGTTACCATTGAATCTGTTGTCACTGGAGAGATAAGCTCCTCTGCCAGCGAGGGCGAGGATACATCCTCGGGATGCACAATTACACTCGACGGAATGCTCATATTCGACGGAATCTGGAATATAGACAGTGTAAAGGAATGGAATCGCTGCAAAAAGCTGAATGTGCGTTGTGTCTCACGGCGTTAACAATGTGTATTGTCAAGGTTGACAAAAGGAGTAAAGTATACAACGCCGAGTACTCAAACAATTCGTTCAGTTGCCGCCTGCGACATCTGACTGCATTCCGAAGGACCGTAGTGAGGAAATCCTTGAAGTGAATCATTCAATGACTGACCACACAATCATAATCACAAAAGGCAAAAGCGAGGGAGAAGGGAATAAGGGATGGTCGTTTCATCCTTCTTTTTGGCGATATTTAGCTAAGGCGTTAGTCAATAAGAGGAAACCGCGCTAATGGGCTCCGCGTCACGATTGGTTGGCGAATAGGAGTCCACGCAGGTACCAATTCTGGGTCGCTCCTTCCCAAGTTCGGCTGAGCCGGCGGGCGGCGCTTGCCCCTCTTTACGCCTTCCTTGCCAGTCACTCCCTCCACCCCCTGAATGACTTGGCTCTCTCCTACTCTTACTGACGATGAACATCGAAGCAGGAGATACCACCGTGTTCAGTGTTGGAATACACTGCTGCGCCGTCAGCATTAGCCTGTTAGGTGCCATCGCGTTTAGCAAGCACCACGGGCTAGCCCCTTGGCGCCCCTCTAGTGGCTCCCTAGTGCATTTGACCGACACTTGAGATCCGCTTTCTAGATGCTGACTTTGAGCAGGTTACAACATGACCGACGACCAGTCAAGGGATGATTCTATGAATAAGAGGCATGGAATACAAGATGGTTCATGATTTGGATTCTAGCCAGATCTCATCCTCAGTGGGCACCAATATATATCGGATAAGAGGTTTATATTACGTGGAGAGTGCTATCATAGAGCTTCGATAAGGTGCACATAGGAGTATTCAACGGACAACAAACTCAAGGACATGTCGAAGACACATAACTAAATATACATCTAGTCGATATCTGATGGACGCTATCGTAGGGTTCCTAGTACACATAATGCCAGATCCCGTCGTAGCCATACACATCATTCTCATGGGCTTGACTACCCAGGTGGATGACTCAAGCCCATCACTGTAGATGACGCAAAACTGAGTCTGAGGTGACTTTGGCCGAGAGCGTAGTGGCGTACAAAGATTTTTTTTTCACGAAGTCGGTCTTTTTGGTTGTCCTGTATGACGAAGCAGTCTTGAACCGGTAGATGTTGCAAAGTGATACATCGCGGGTGATATATATCTCTCCTTGCACGTGCCTCCGCTAGCTCGTGAATTTGACTCACATACACATCTGATTGAAGAAGATACCTGTCGAGTTAGCGCAGTGTCTCCAGTAGAAATGATAAAGTATCGTCCACTACCGACCGAAAATATCCAAGAATGATGAACAACTATTCAGCTCGTGAAGGGAAGACTCGATATCGGAGGCTCTGAGAAAGTGGAGTAGTGGGACAACAAGCCTCGTGCTTATTGGCTGGGGCTGATTTGTTTTGGCATTTCAGTTTTGGGACTAGCGTCGGCCTCATGTGCCACTGGAACAAGTTATTTCCGAGTCGCTAATCTCAAAAAAGGAAGCCGCGACTGCAATTTCAGCGTGTTTTCCACGTCAACAGAGCACATGGTATGCCACTTTCTTTGAACGACATCCTCCCCATACCATGGGCATTCACTTCTTTTCCCCTCGCATCTACTTCTGAAATCACATCTACTCCTGAAACAGTCATTCGCTTTGGTATCTCCTTGTTTTTCCCCTACTGTGAATCCTCGTTGAAAACGCGGCCAGGGCAGGCCACTCGACAAGATGGATTCATTCTTGGACGACTCTTTCAACGAAGATGAAGTCTCTGACTTCGTACCTGATGAGGCTCCAGTAAGTAAACCGTACACTCGAAGTGCGATCATTGTAACGGCATTAACTAACTTCTGTCATCAGAAGCCGAAGGCTAAGGCGAAAGCAGCTGCCAAACCCAAGAAATTAACACAAACCACTCTCAAAACAAAGCCAGCGGCCAAGGCTACGAAGAAAAAGGCAAAGGCCGATTTTGAGGACGAAGCATCAGATCGCGACGACATCGACGACTTCATAGACTCGGTCATGTCCACGACACCTCCCAATAAACCGAAGCCAAAGAAAGCACCGACCAAAAAGGCCGGCTCCAAACCATTGGCAAATGTGGCTAATGAGTCCTTCGGCGGTGACGGTGCCGATGACTTGGATGCATCTGAGGCTCCTACACAGACAGGTGCCGCCGATAAATATCAGAAGGTAAGTTGACTTCCAGCTTGCATGGCATTTAATGCATTGTCGGGATTAGTGAGCTAACGTTTATATGCAGCTCACCCAACTAGAACACATCATCAAACGTCCCGACACATATATCGGTTCAATTGAAAAGACCACGCAACAGATGTGGGTTTACGATTCTGCGACCGAGTCGATGGAGTTCCGAGAAGTCACTTACGTTCCTGGTTTGTACAAAATCTTCGACGAAATCGTTGTCAATGCCGCCGATAATAAGCAGAATGACGAGAATATGGATGAGATACGAATTACCGTTGATCGGGAATCTGGTGTGATCAGCGTCTGGAACAATGGACGTGGTATCCCCATAGAGGTTCACTCCAAAGAGCAAATCTTCGTCCCTGAGCTCATTTTTGGTCACCTTTTAACCTCCTCGAATTATGACGACGGACAGATGAAAGTGACAGGTGGTCGTAATGGTTTCGGTGCCAAGTTATGTAACGTCTTCTCGACGGAATTCACCATTGAAACCTGTGATTCGCGTCAAGGCAAGAAGTATCAGCAGACATGGACGGAAAACATGAGCAAAATGGGTAAAGCCAAGATAACGGCCTCTAAAGTCGATGATTACACGAAAGTCACCTTCAAACCTGATTACAAAAAGTTTGGCATGGAAGGGATGGATGACGACTTCGAAGCCCTTGTGAAGCGCCGTGTTTACGACTTGGCTGGAACAGCCAAAGTTGCAGTCAAGTTGAACGGCAGTCGCATTCCAATTCGCAACTTTAAGAAATACATGGAAATGTACACCAAGGCTATCAAAAAAGAGCGTGGCGAAGAAGCAACAAATGATAAGAGCGAGATAGTTACCGCCAGTCCTGATCCTCGATGGGAGGTCGGGTTCACGGTATCAGATGGATCGTTCCAGCAAGTATCATTTGTCAACTCTATTGCGACTACTTCTGGTGGTACCCATGTGAACTATATCGCTGATCAGATCTGCAATCGACTTGCAGAGGCCGTGAAGAAGAAGAACAAGCAAGGCGCTACTCTGAAAGCCTCACAGATTCGCAACCATATCTTTATTTTCGTGAACGCCCTGATTGTGAATCCTGCTTTTACATCCCAGACCAAGGAACAACTGACTACTAAACCTAGTCAATTCGGCAGCAAGTGCATCTTGGACGAGGATTTTTACAAGAAAGTCTTGAAGACTGAGGTGATGACAAACATCCTTCATTTTGCTGAGAAGAAAGCGGATCAGATACTTAAAAAGACTGATGGAGGACGTCGGTCACGGATGAATAACCCGAAACTCACTGATGCCAACAAAGCTGGTACCAAGGATGGTCATCATTGTACTCTGATCTTGACCGAAGGTGACTCGGCCAAAGGCCTAGCAATGGCTGGTCGTGCTGTTGTTGGTCCTGACCTGTTCGGTGTTTTCCCTCTTCGCGGAAAGCTCCTCAATGTTCGCGACGCATCAATTGACCAAATTTCTAAGAACGCGGAAATTCAAAATATCAAGAGTTTCATAGGCCTACAGCACAAGAAAGAATATACCGACACTAGGGGTCTCCGTTACGGTCATCTCATGATCATGACTGATCAGGATCATGACGGTAGCCACATCAAGGGTCTATTGATCAACTTTCTTCAAGTGCAATTCCCTAGCTTGCTCAAGATCCCCGAGTTCTTGATCGAATTCATTACTCCAATCGTCAAAGTGTGGAAGGGCGACCCCAAAAATCCTACTAAGTCGAAATCCTTTTTCACCATGCCCGAATATGAACAATGGAAGGAAGAACATAAGTACGATCGTACTTGGCAACACAAATATTACAAGGGTTTGGGTACTAGTACCACAGAGGATGCTCAAATTTACTTTAGAGATCTAGACCGCCATTTGAAGGAGTTCCACACAATGCAGGATCACGAAGCTCAGCTTATAGACCTGGCTTTCTCCAAAAAGAAGGCAGACGAGCGAAAGGAATGGCTTCGGCAGTACAAGCCAGGCACTTTCCTGGATCATTCCACCAAGCAGATTACATACACAGACTTTATCAACAAAGAGCTGATCCTCTTCAGTATGGCCGACAATCAGCGATCTATCCCTTCAGTTGTGGATGGTCTCAAGCCTGGTCAGCGCAAAGTCTTGTACACCTGCTTCAAACGAAACGTCAAGAAGGATATGAAGGTTGTTGAGTTGGCAGGTCACGTTTCTGGTATGACCGCTTATCAACATGGTGATACATCATTGCAACAGACGATTGTTGGCCTAGCTCAGACATTCGTTGGATCTAACAACTTGAATTGTTTGGAGCCCAGTGGTAACTTCGGTAGTCGTCTCCAAGGTGGTGCCGATTGTGCTAGTGCTCGTTACATTTACACTCGCCTGTCACCATTTGCACGACGTGTCTTCCACCAAGCCGATGAGCCGCTTCTCACTTACAATGAGGATGACGGAGAAAAGATTGAACCAGAGCTCTATGTTCCTGTGGTTCCTTTGATCCTGATCAATGGTGCTGACGGTATTGGTACTGGATGGAGTTCGTCTATTCCCAACTATAACCCTGAGGAAGTTGTCGCCAACCTCAAGCGCATGATGGATGGAGAAGAACCCGAACCCATGCAGCCTTGGTTCCGTGGCTTCAAGGGTGAAGTCACTCAGCAGGGTCCTGATCGATACAAGTTTAGTGGTCTGATCAAGGAAGTGAGCGATAAGGAGGTGGAAATTACTGAACTCCCCATTCGCACTTGGACTCAGGACTTCAAAGACAAGCTGGAGGATATCATCAAAGCCGAAAAGACACCGTCGTTCATCAAGGACTACAAGGATTACAACACCCACACCAAGGTCCATTTTGTGATCCAGATGGATGAAAAGCACCTGAAAGCTGCAGTATCGGAAGGCCTGGAAGAAAAGTTCAAGCTTTCAAGGACCATTGCAACTAGCAACTTGGTGGCATTTGATCCAGAAGGTCGCATTACCAAGTACGCGACAGTCAGCGACATTTTGAAGGAGTTTTACGCTGTACGCCTTAAATACTACGAAAGACGCAAGCAACACCAGCTATCAGAACTACAGAAGGAATTGGACAAGTTTACAAACCAAGCACGTTTCGTGCAAATGATTATTGACGGAAAGCTTGTCATTTCTAAGAAGAAGAAGCCTGTCCTCATTGCTGAATTGAAGGAGAAAGGATTCAAGCCTTTTCCTAAAGTCTCCGAAGCTGTTAAAGCCGGTGAGACTGAACAAGTTGTGGAAGAGGACGAAAGTTCTGAAGAAGCAAATGTTGAGGTGGCTTCGAATGCCTACGATTATTTGCTCGGGGTACGTGAATCAAATTCGAAGATTGTGGATGTAATATAACTGACGATTATCTTTTATAGATGGCTATCTGGTCTTTGACGCAGGAGCGTGTCGAAAAGCTTCTCCGCCAGATTGGGGAGAAAGAGACTGAAATTGATGAACTGATCAAGCTTAGCAAGGAAGACATATGGCGTCGCGATCTTGACGATTTTATCAACGAATGGCGCTTCCAACTCGAAGAAGAGCAGCGCCGTGAACGTAAAGTAGCAGGCATGGGTCGGCGCCAATCGTCTAAGCTGATGACTGCGGCCTCCAAGGGTCCAGGCAGGAAGCGCAAGAATGACGACGATGATGACGACTATGCTGCTCCAAAGAGTAAGAAGGTTGCGACAAGCAAGAAGGCTGAGGCAAAGGGAGGCCTAATGAGTTACTTGAAGACCTCTCCCAAGCCTAAGAAGACAGCTCAACAGGGTGGCGCTGACGACGATATGGATCTCGACGATGACTTTGAAGCAGAAGTTCTTCCTAAGAAGAGCCGTGCAGCCGCAAAACCTAAAGCTGCACCGAAGGAAGAAGAAGAAGATGACGATGATTCTGACATTGAAATCATTCCCAAGAAGAGCCGCGCAGCTTCAAAGCCTCCAGCGCCTCCGAAAGAGGGGGAAAACGACGACGATGATGATGATTTGATTGAGGTGACAGCTGCAAAGACTGCATCCAAACCTACTTCAAAGCCCGCCGCAAAATCAGCAGCAGCAAAGGAAACAAAGGGTCGTCCCACAGCCAAGAAACCGGTTAAATACACGGTGTCGAGCGATTCAGAAAGCGAATTTGGAGATGACCTCTTGGATGACGTGAGCAGAATGGTGAAAGGAATTGGAGATTCCAACGGAAAAGCTATGATCTCAGAGTTTTCTAAACCTGGAACGAGTGCAGCTCTGAAGAAGTCTGGTGCCAGGGCTTCTAAGATCAGCAGCGAATTCGATCCTGATGAGACGGATTACAGCAAGCTTGTCCCACAGCAGTCACCTCGTCGCTCACTCCTTGTCAAACAAAAGGAGAAAGTGATAGATGATGACGATGCTGATGAGTCTCCTAAACCAGCCGCGAAAGCAAAGCCCGCAGCGAAGCCCAAGCCAGCTGCAACCACTACGGGAGTGAAGTCTCGCGGAGGCCCTAAGAAGGATCCTGCTGCTGTTCCTGCTACTAAGAAGGCCCAACCCGCTGCTAAGGGAAGGGGCAAGAAGAAAGTTGTGGAAGACCTATCTGATGATGATATCGACGCCATGGCAAATGATATCCTTGATTCCGATGGCGGAGCTGATTTGGACGACGAACCAGTCAAGGCTCGTCCATCACGCCGAGCTGCTACTACCAAGACTAAGAAGTATGTGATCGACGATGATAGTGAGATGGATGACCCTGCCGATGAGGATTCGGCGGATGCTTTTGATGACGATGATGATTCCGAGTGATAAATGCAAGTGACCTGACTCTGTATTTATTTCCGTAGCATTCGTTACTCGCTTTTCAGTTCGCATTATTCTCATATGTATCTAGGGTGGAGAAAACGGTCTTCTTTAATGACAGGGGCATACCCCCATTCTTTTACAAGGAACTGAGGGCGCGGATAGGGATCGGTGAGCAAAGTTACAATAGTATTTGTTTTTCTTGCAGTAACATGGCTTCTCGTACGACGATTCTCTTGGATTGTTTATGGATAGTCAAGACTATATATCATGAGATTCGAGTAACTTGCGCTACACCACCAGTAAATGATACACACGTCTAAATTAAGAGGTACACAAGGGCCACCATTGGAACATGATCAATCAAATACCTTGATTTCTACTATCTAGAGGTCTGTAGAAGGTACCACAGCGGTACGCCAGTGACAAATCTGGATGGCTTATCATGTGAGGCAGTATGGTATTACCTGAAGTACTGACCAGGTACTAGGAACTCCAAGGTTCTACCGAGGTGATTCCTCACCTGGTGACGGGATAAGGAGTGATACGGTCAGTGGCATGATGAGAATAGTAAAGACCGCCATCCTGGGATCTGGCGGATATAGTACAACCAAGCAAGCGAATCAAACAACCTCTCTCTTTCTATCTTTCTTCTTTTCATCTTCGCCCCTTTGCTTCTTCAGTCTTCCAGAATGTCTGCCTCAAAAGAGAAGCAAAAGAAGCTCGGAAGAATTCATTTCTTGAGTTGCACCAAACTTCGTCTTTCCGGGTTACCACGTTGCTTTTTTGGTGGTTGACGGCTAGATGCGCCAGGACGAAAGAAAGAGATGAGACATTTTGAAGGGCAAGAAAAAGAGAGCATTGACAATCTGACACCAAGTGGTCAGACCATGCCCAGGCCCCAATAGTTGGGTAACTCATCGGTTTGTGTCACAGTACTTTGCGCGGTTAGGGCTTAGGTAAACGGAGGGAATAGAGCTTTTGGGAAGCTGTCGCCGGTTGTTGGGTGACCGTTTTTTTTCTCTTTTTTTTTTTCGTTCTCTTGCTGCTCACCCTCCCCACAATTTTTCCTGGTGGATATCACATGATATGACATGCTTCTCTCTCTCTATTTTTTGTCCATCTTCCTTTCTGGGATGTTTACATCCGGACCAATATGCTAGTTAAATCGTTCCGATCTGGTTCCAAGGGGTTTTTTGGGGATGGACCCTAGACGAAACTGAAAGGGCTCCATCAATAACTTCCTGCAGCTTGCCGGCTTGATAGTTGCATTACGTCCACTTGTTGTGCCTCATAAACTTCTTTTTTCCCTTCTTGGTCCAGGCTGTGGGATCTGGTTTTTTGGTCTCTTCTCTGTAGTCCCAAAAGGATCTGATGATGGATACATATATAAGCAAAACATTTGGATCGGAATTTCAATTTGTGGTTTTGGTTAGCGTCAAAAAAGACCCAAGAAAAGAAACCAGAACGCGTCGAGGAAGAGGGAGATTCGGTGAGATCCATGTTCCAATTGGAAACGAGTGTTGAGTTGATACGAGGCTACCCTAAATTACCTGCTACGACGCTGTGCACTACTCTGTGTACCCCAGATTCACTTCTGCATGCAACGCAAGGTAGCTACGACGACAACAAAGCTACGACCCGAAAGATGAAGACAACAACAAGAAGATTGCTATCCACGGATGAATTGACTGTCACATGGTCTCGGATCAATCCCCCCAAAGGGTATGATTCCCATATGGTTGAGAAGGAGAAGAAGATAGAACTGATGGATGAGTACACGAACAAACCAAGTACCTTGTTCCCCGTTTATATGGAAAAGGTAAATGGCCCGAGGGTATTCGTTTCCATGCAGGGAAACGGGACTTGTGGACATAGACATCCATGCTTTCTTTTCTTTTGCCTCTATCCGGTTTATCGGGTCACCTCTCCCTCTTTGGTCTTGAGGAAACACAAACCCTCGAATTTTTTAGCCCAAAAAAAAAGACCCGTGGACGTACACTTTTGTACAGGCATTATATGCAGCGTCATGGGCCAATGGCAAATCCATAGGTTGATTTCATTCGTCTCTCTCTCCACCCCGGTTCCCTGCGAAGTAGGTCGAGGGCTTCTTGGGGGGGGGGGGGAGGGCGCAAGCGAGGCAAGTCATAGCTTCTTCCTTTTGCTTTACTTTACCCTACTGTACCCTCCGGCTGGGTTTCGCTTGTGGATCCAAGCTCGCTGCTCCCAATAACTGGAACAAGTGTGGGACGTTACTGAACGGTTCCCCTACCTAGCCCTGCCTACCTTGTCTCGTGTGTATGTCTAGGTACACTAGGATGGCCGTTGGTGTCGAGGCACTCTGCAGGAATGGGAGATTGTCTTGTTACCACCATTGCCTCCAAGGAGAAACGACAGACCGTCCATAAGGAAAGGAGCCCGTTTTTCTATCACGCTACCCTTGCCGGAAGTACAATCCTTTTTGTACCTCTTACTATTTGATTCCTTAGAATATAACGTCTCCGTTTCAAGATGTTCTTCAGCCAAGCTTTGTATTAGAATCCACCCACTCGTTTTCTTTGAGGCTCAGAAGGACAAACAGAAATATGACAGCTCCTCCAGCTGGAAGGACCACCGTCTAGAAGGACCCAATGTTTGAAGAAGAGATCCATACTATCTTATCTATCTAGATCATTCGTCATCAACTCATATGTTTGAAAGGAACTTTGGGTATTGTATGCATACATTCTATGTCCTTGTTGTCCATTACCTGCTTTCTCTTTTGATATACTACTACTACATACGTCCATATCTGCGTTTTCCGTTGTTGTTTTGTTTCGACTTTTATGTATGCCATATCCGCTATATCACTCGCATATTTTCTTTATAAAAATTGGGCGATCCAGGAAAAAAGACCTTTTGTGAATTCATCCACGTCTTCAACATGCTTGATTTGATCAAGAAAGCTGACTCTGTATAAAAGGTCCTCCACCACCCTCGTGTGATCACACTGGAAAAGGAAGATTCTTGTTCTCTACCTGAAATCAGAATCTCGAACAGACCGCGCCCAGACATCTACCTCTTCTTCCCTTTCCAAATCAAGGTATACCTCCATTTCTCTTGTTTTGAACCTGAAGGAGAACACGAGCATCTCAAATGGCCTCCATCGAATCACTCCTGAACCCCCTACCATTCCCAGACGGCCGAACCGGGTCAAAACATCACTATGAAGACTCATATTTCCATCCCATTCTTTCATCCTTCTCAGACCATCAAAGGAGCAGCAGCAACAACTTCTGTCAACAGAACCAACCCAACAAAAAGCCAAGGGTAGCAAAAGATGCCCCCGTCTTCATCCCGGGAGACGTTAGAGGCGAAGTCCGCTATCCACCTTGTGAAGATCAATCCGAAGGGTTGGCGGAAGAGCATGCGAAATTCAACATTTTCCCCAAGGTGGAAGAGATAGCCGACTATCCGAGACATATTCCGTACAGTAGTGAGAAGAAGAGTTTGATGGAGAAGACGGGGAGAGAGAGTTTTGAGGGTATGTCCCTATTGTACCGGTTTCTGTGTGGGATTGTTAGACTAATGGAATTGTTGTTGCAGTGTTCCAATATACGTTCAAGCTACCTGGAGATGAGAAGATTTGGACAATAATGTGGGATTACAATATTGGACTTGTTCGAACGACTCATTTGTTCAAGTGCCTTGATTATCCGAAGGTATGTTCATCTTACCTACGGACGCTTTAGGACTTTGGACGAGAATGCTGACAGAGATGGTAGACCACACCGGCGAAAATGTTGAATGCCAACGAGGGCCTTCGAGATATCTGTCACAGTATCACAGGAGGCGCATTAGCTGCACAAGGTGAGTGAATACCATTCCTTCATACTCGTCAAGAACTACCCAATCTGACTTGACAAACAAGGATACTGGATGCCCTTCGAAACAGCCAAAGCAGTCGCAGCAACCTTTTGCTACAGTATCCGCTACGCATTAACACCTGTCTTCGGCGCCGATTTCCCATCTCAATGTCTACAGCCACCCGACCGGTTATTTGGCAAGATGACTATTGACCCGGAGGTCATCAAGAGAGCGACTGAGCTTTCCAGAAAATATTGCCAGTTAGAGTTTGAGTCGAAGAGGCTTATGCATGCTCAGAATCGGTTGATGTCGCCTGAGGATATGTCGAGGGGACCTGCCGCTGTCTGGACTGCCCACAGTACGGAGGGATACGGCATTTTCGGGGCTACTGGGCGAGTAGACGAAAGCAGCAACAACGCATTCACACCCATCAACCTATCAAGGACTGCTGTCCCATCGGATTGCAGAGACTCTCGTATTCACTGTCATTCTGCTCAATCCAAATTACCGACACCAGACACGCTTCCATCAATCAAGGAAGCGTTGGGTGTCGAGAGCTTTGAGTATCTCTGCTCCAATCCTCTCAAACGGCGATTATTGAATGAAACTTACGAACATGACGTGAAAAGAGCGCAGAAACCTCTCATCAACATTGCAAGATTACCTGTCTCGTTACGAAAACTTTGTGTTGAGAATGGAGTTGATAGTGGCGACGATCATGGTAATGTCACTGATGAACTGAACTTGGACGTCGACGACGCATCATCGATCCATTCTGATTCCGACTTCGACTTGGGTTCAGATGCTGTATCTGAGTCGGACATTGATAGTTCGGCATCATACCTTTCGAGTAGTGAGGATGACCGGAAGACTAGTCAATCACGGCGCAGGGCCGAGCAGCGGATAAGACAGCGTGTGAGAGATCTCAGAAGCCGGAACGGAGCAACAAGGCCATCAAGACTGACAAGAGGAACCCTCGGCACGAGGCAATCATCTCGCACATCTCCACGATACAATTCCTCCTTACGCAACAAACAGGAGCAACGCAGACAGATATCCCCCTTTTCCCCCCCGCCGACAGCACCACTGTCGTCCTCATCATCGCCAACATCGATCAAACACCCAAAGACGAAGAGGAAGCATGATAACACTCGGGGTGACGACCTGACCGCTGCTGAAACACTTCTGGCTCTTCGCAGTGCATCAAGTACCCTAAGCGAAGATGATGACGAATCATCAGACGGAAAGAACAATCTTTCAAACCCAACAAATCCAGCAGTCGAAGAACAAGACGGACGTGAGAGAAAAGTATCCCTGAAACTTGCGCGAAGAAGGAGAAAACGCAGCGTCCATCGCCATCATCATCACTACCGGCAGCAGAATCACCTGAAACGACAACAAAAGTATGGTGCGAAAAGGAAGTTGGAACGGTTTAGTCTTGCTGTCAACTCCAAGTCGGAATTACTTGGGCGGATGGCTAAGAGATTACGCAGGGCGAGTTTTTGATATCTCCCCCGATGTAGTACTAGAATCGAAAGAGTCTCTCATGTTGCAAGGGAACAGAAAGATGGGAAGAGTTAGGAGTTGGAAAATTCTTTTGGACTTTCATTCGTTTTATTTTCTTTTGTATGTATGTACCTAATGACACTTGGAAGAATCATTGATACAAATGTGACTTTGGCTTCATGATACATAACTTGAAAATATGTAAGATATTGATGCTTTAGACAAACTGTTGCGACTGATTGAAAAGTATAACCAATGTATCCTTAAAACATACACACTTGCAGAATGAACATGTCGATTAACAAATCGGTACACTGTATGAATGCACAAAAGCGCAGGGAAAGATCCCATCGACCTGGAATCGATCCCTGCTCTGCTTGGAAAATAGAAATAGAAGAAATCGCACAAGCACCGAAACCACGTAAGAAAAGAATTATAGTCGTCACACAAACCACTTTATCGACATCACCTTCCCCACAAACTTGTTCCTTTACACAATCTTTGGCAGCATAGTCGTAATCATCGTCGAAAACGTGGATACATACAGGAAAAGAACAGTAACAAGGTCAAGGCTTCGGGTCCGCTTGTTCATAGTTCACGTGAATATCGAAATATTTTGACACGAGAGAACTTTTCGAATCCAAAGAAATCCGTTATTTATTCGGATTAGAAAGACCTTTGCCCTTTGCAGTCAAGAGCAAGGTAAAGGATAAACTAAGCCTCATTGGTCGTAGGACATGAAGTCGTCTTACAGAGCCAATAATGGCTCCTGCTTGTTCTCGGTGGATGCAGCAGGCTCAGGCTCTGGGGCGTCCACCAAGGGTTCAGTCTTAGGAGCTTCGGGGAAGTCAGTGGTCTCAAACTTCGTAGGACTGACTGGCTCAGTCTTGACAACTGGAGCTGGAGCTGAAACTGGGGCCTTGGCGACCTCTGGAGACGCAGAGCGACGGTTGCCGATGTACTCGTGGGCCTTGGAGCTGTAGTCATTGGCATACTGCTTCATTAATCCGGTAGCACGAGCAGTCTGTTGGTTGGCAAGCTCCTTGGCATGGTTGGCCTGGGCATTAATAAGCTGTTGAATCTGAGCAACTTGCTCATCGATGATTTCGCGGTTGCTAATATAGAACAAGGGACCGAGGTAAGCGATACTTGTTCCGAGCAAGGCAAGGCCCCAAACAGGGACAATCTTGATGAGCCAGTAGGATAGGAAGGCAGCAACGAAGGCCTGTAATATGCCATATGTTAGTCCGTCTATTCTATTCATCTCCAAATTTCGAGGAAAACGCTTACAGCAGAAGTGTGCAAAACATTCTCTGCGAAGAGAATGCGCTGGAATTCAATCAGGAAGAAATCAGCGAGTTGCTCCAAATCTTCCAAGATCCCCTCAACGGTTTCCTTTGGCAGGGTGTAGTATTTGCGAGGACGGAAAGAGCTTGTCAAGCCTTGATTGAGAACAAGTCTGCCAGCTCCCTCAGCGGCGGCGGTTACTGGACGAAATCTCATGTTAGTAACAGAACCTGAATCACGAACTGCCTATTAAATTGAAAAACTCACCTCCGAGTGAAATGTACAAGAACTTGAACACCCATCGAAGAAGGGGCAAAAATCGAGCAGCAAGAATGAAGAAGACGACGCTGGCGAAAGAAATGGCGGTAGCTCGGGGACGTTCCCACTATTCAATTATTAGCCGGACTGTACTGCAATCAAGGTCGGGGCCACTCACGCTCAAAAGGCTGTACACAAGAGAATGGTAGTCTTTTGAAAGTCAGCCATTTTTCTTGTTTTGGTAGCAGTACACTCCTGGAATACGTACGAGTCAATTGTTGACCATTTTTGGCTGTGGTGGAAGGTGTGACTTTGGCGTCCTTGAGTCCGCGAAGCTCGGCGCCTGTCTTGGAAGCTTCGGCTGCGACACTGTCTGCGACAGAGGCTATTGTAAGTATTAGTATTTATTGTTTAATATTTTGTTTCTGTCCGTTGAGCGAAATCGTCGGAATATATGTTTTGGTTGCAGCTCCTCGCCTGAATTGCAACTATCGTCGTGCAGTGGAATCAAAACAAACGGCAAAAGAGAATGGCGAGAAAAGCATCACTGTACGTCATACCGAACGATGAGCATTCTGGCTGATAGACACGTCAATGCAGAGGAGAAAATGAATTTAACATACCTTACCAGGTCCGTTGACAGCAGGATACTTGACGTCGCCGGAAGAAGCCATTCTTGACCGATAATTGGCGTTGGGCGATGTCCGATGTGGTCTGAGGTGATAAAGGGGTGTAGGAACGCAATAATAAGCCGTGGGGGCCGACCAGAAAACTGAAGCAGGTGAGAAAACTGTAAATACCCTGGACTGGCGAAGTTCGATTAGAGATGAGAAGATTGAAAGTTGATGAATGAGAGAATATGCGTCGACAGGGAGTTGTGAGAGATGAAAAGAAAGCAAGGTGTGATTTCTAGTGATGCAATCGATGCAATCATTTATTTTTTTTGCCTGGAACCGTCGAGCCGAGACGCACTAGTTACGGCCTTATCAATAAGGCATCAAGGCATTGCTCCAGCCAATTTCATTGCGGACTTTTGACTACCTGGCATTTACCCAGAACAATACAGTTAATTGGCCAAAATAGCTGAAGATTAACTAAGTATTTTATCACGCGACACAACTATGACCGAGCAGAACATATTCGCAACATCATCACCTTTTGCATGTGATCGAGTAGTTTAACTTCATGATTCTCATGGAGGTTGTCAGTAGAGTAGCAACCTAAGTTTGCTTGCTGTAAAACTGCTATAATCCGACAGTCTAGATTCTAGCATATCGTGAAATTACGTGTCGTATTATTCGTTGATGCAGTAGCAAGTTTCAGAGAGCTAAGCTAAGCTAGAGTTGTGCCTTGATGCCTGAGAATTGACCAAAATCACGTGACCAAGCGTGTTGGCGCGTCGTCCCTTCCCGGCTGGGATGTTTTGAATCTAGCACGACCGCGACCTCAACTACTTCGACAACGACAACACCGCCACCACAGTCAGCTTCGCGCCATGTATCGCTCGCAAATGTACTTCAGTATGACTGTTGACTCTAATTGAAATTCCTCGCCACTATTCGAATCTCCCGTCTTGCGCGATTATATTGACGTGACTTGTAGTCGACTCCTCACTCAGCCCACCTCATCGTTATTACGCAGTCATGGCCGCCAGCGGGACAAAAACAATTGGCTCTGCCGCCTGGATTGCGGCAGAGAAGGAGAATGTTATGCGTTTACTGGAGCAGGAAATGGAAGAAGTCGAGTTTCCAGTTCGTCACGAGATGGACTGGCTGAATGAGCATATGGCTGAGATCTTCTCGAGCAATCAATTGTACGTGGCCGTATACTCCAGCGCTATATCGTGCTTTGTACTAATGGCAAATTACAGTAATATGACCGAGTTATTCAAGACACCTGGAAAATTACGTGGCAAAACTCCGTATACTGCCCGCAAGCGCAATCCAGATGAAGCGCGAGTGGTACGTCCCCAAGCTTCGCTCTAATACATTATGTTCTAACCTGGAAATAGCCACTCAGCAATATTTTCTCGACCGCGAACCAAAACCTCAAATTGCCCTCTAAATTTGTAAAATCGCCCTCAAAGCCAGAGGCTCCGCGAGTGGAAGCTGCCCTAGCAGCTGAATTAGTACCACCGGGCGAGCCTGTTCACGATAAACCCCAGGAAAAGAAACCTGAGGATCCAAGCGAAACAGCTGAGGACCCATTCGGCACTGCTTCTGAAAAATCAATCTCTTATCCAGAGCCGATTTCCTATCCGGAACTCACCACCACCGATGTTAAAGGAAAACAGCCTGTCAGAGACCTACCGCCAAATAAAGCTCTTAATTCATTTTCGACATACAATACTGACTCGGGCTATCATGGCTTGGGCGACGATGACGATGAGCTTGTACTACCCAGTACTCAGCCGTTGTCCGATACCCACTTACAAGCTGCACCATCGATGCCGCCCCTCGACGCTGATATGAACACCAGAAAAAGTCTATCCGTGGATAGACGTACAACTGAGGGTTCTTTTGTCTCCGCTCAAGAAAATATTGTTTCCCGTGGTGAGCCCATGGATACGGAAGAGGATAGACAGGACAAAGCTGATGAAGATACACCACGTCCACTCGTCAAATCCGTTCGTATGGCATCAGCCTCTCCGGAGAAACCCAATGAGCACCAGGCAGTAGCTCCAGTTAAAGATGACATTCTTGACAAAGATGGCGACATGTTGATCGAAGACAATTTCGACGACATCGGTTCTCCCTCTGATGGATCAACACCAGCTCAACCTCCACCGAGAAAAAAGAGTAAGAGCAGCTTGAGCTTTGCATCACTACCTCCGCGCGATCCAGTAGTGGGAAAGAAAAGTATGGGTGCACGACTTTCTCGTACAAGCCATGTTGAGACTATCAAGCCCGCGGCTCTGGGACGCCAGAGCTATTTCACCGGCCATATGGAAGGACCGAAACCAGCCCTTAACAACGCGTCTACGGGCAAGGACGATTTGTATCAGGATAATGCTAAAGGAAAACAGTTGCAGCAGAGCGAGACTGAGCAAGCATACGATACATCTATGCTACATACGAAGTTGAATACCCAGCGTCTTCATGATAAGATCAGCATGCTCGGTAAAACCCAGGCTCCAAGAGCGACAAAATCTATTGCACCTTTGCCCAACACAGCAGCAATACCTCAGGCTAGTTACCCCGAGTTACCGGGTATCAAGAATAACAGTGTGGACACGGAGCGCAATCCAACCTCAGCTGCAACTGCCCAAGAAGATTGGATTAAGCCTCTGGGCTCTCCGCAGAAGCCTGCAATGCCGAAGAGTCAAACTGCAGATGTTATGGAACTGGTATCGGGCAATGAGACGAATGGAAAATTGGAAAAGGGCAAAATCACGCGCACGGAGACTTTCCACGATTTATCTGATAATCGCTCGCCCACGTCTAAACGCTTGATCTTTTCTAACTTTGATCAGCATAGACCTGCATCTGCCTCTACGCCTCCTTCATCCCGTCGGATGGAGTCAGTACCCGACACAGGGGCTGAATCTACCACACCACTTACATCTCCAAGGCGAATTGATGGCACACCGAAGTCGCGACTTCATTCAATCATTCAATCCGCGAAGAGTCTCTTTTCGAGCAGTGCTAGTCTTTCGGCGGCGGCCAAGTTGGAGACGTTGTCATCTCCAAGCGCTTCTCGTCCACACGTAAATTCTCAGCAGGTGAAAACTAGTCCCGAGCGGCCTTCCCCTAGTCCCGAAAGGTTACCTGCACGGGTCCATACTTTCAATGATTCGAAGAGCAAGTTGACCACGAAACCAATTCAGTTAGAAGATCCTTTCGAGAGAGGAGACCAGACTCGTCCAGCGGTAAAAGTCGCCGAACCCGGTGCCAAATTAGAGCGAGCCCAGAAAACAGAGTCTAAAGAACGTGACATTCCCGTACCATCGACCCGGGCCAATGCAAAGGCAGCTCAGCCGCCCCAGCCTCATTCACGGAAAGACCCAGGAGGTGAAGCCGATTCAGAACCCAAATTTCCTCTTCCACCTACAACGAACCATGGCCAATCTCAGTCAGCAAGAGCGAGGCCAGTCAAACCCACAAGAGAAGTGGCCCAGAAGCCGAAACCTCAACCTATGTCTATTCGTGTTGGCAGCACGATTACTCGCATGCCCATACATTCTGCGGCTTCTTATAACCAGGAGTCTAGCACGTTGCCGGCACCAGTCCCTGCTACAAAGAAACCTAGTAACTCTTCCTTACATGCGGCATCGTCAAACGCAAGTTTTAAGAGCTCGGTCTCCACCCAGTCCCAGCGTCGGGCACAAGCGGTAGCAGCAGCAGAAGCCAAAAAACAGGTATGAATTGTGGTGAAGTCAAAAATCTCATTCGTTTTACTAAATTTGTTTGTTTTAGGAGGACCGGGACACGATGTTACGGAAGGAAGAGCAAAAGAAAGGGGCAGCCTTACTGAAGCAGCAACAAGAAGAAGCACGACGCCAGGAACGCGAGCGCTCTGTTGCAGAGGAGAACAAGAAAGCAGCGCAGCGTAGACCTGAAAACACACGCTTGAGACAAGGAAGCCAGCCGCCAAAACCAGCAAATGACTTGGTAAGTCTCTAAAGACAGCTACGCAGAACTAAACAATTAATGATTTATTGCACAGGGATCCACACTCCAGCAAGAAAAGGCCACCCACAGAACTGACATGGGACCGGCACGACCACCTTCGCGGTTGGGCTCGTCCATGCAGACTCTAGGTCGATCTATTAATCAGCCCCCAACGAATCCGGCAAAGCCAGCAAAGAGACCGCTGGATGAGGAACCCCAGCATCGGTCTCAGGTATCTGTGTCACAAGCTAAAAGCCAGCCAGTCGAACCAAAGAGGAGAAAGACCGAGGATGATCACAACCAACAACAGTATAATCAAGCTCCTTCATTGAAGCAGAACCCTATACGAAAGGTATGAATACTGTATAAATCGCACTTAATTGTACAGGAAATGCGGGGACGTTCCCGCATGACTGACAGTGACTAGGAAAATGGGAAGCTCTCGCTTTTGGCACATGCCTATCCACAGGCTCCTCCACCTGCAGCGCATCATCACACAGGTGCAATGTATAAGACTGGGCCCGTGCCACTAACTGGCCAGCCACCGAAGCATGCAGCATCGATGGACATGGCGCAGTACACTAGTGGAAAGATTCCATTCGCATCAAACCAGGCTGCACAGTTGGGCACTGCACACAAGACACCCAGTCATAAGACCCCTAAGCCTGGTCCTAGCGCTCAACGTGTACCTGCAAAACCATCCCCGCAATACCCACCAAGCGAAAGTATCCATCTTCCCGAACCGCCGACTGATAGCGAAGAGGAAGACTCTGATGCGGACATTATGCCGGTAGCGAACTGGACGCAGGGCGATACGCTATTACAGCTACTGAGCCAACAGGAGTCATGGCAAGCGGATAGGATTTTTGGGCCTATACCTGAATTTGAGCTGGAAGATGTATTCAAAAACGACAGGAAGATTAAGAAATTCCGCGAGCGTACAAGTAGTGCTAACTGGGGAGGGCCGGATGGCTTGACTCAAGAAGAGGTCGCTCGGGACTTGGCAGCACGTCGGGCAATGCGTGCAAATGGCGGGTGGTCATTAAACTTACCGTGACGGCATCAGCCGACAATGTTGTACATGGCTATGTCAGCCGGTAATTCCCAAAGTGTGTGGGTATGCTGTTGCTATAATTATCCCTGGTTGAACGTTTCTTTCAGCTATTATCTGCATTGACATGGGTGAATGTATATTTGGTTTCTGGGCTGAACGGCGTTTGGCGTTAGCGTGGGCGAAGCAGGTTCTTTCTTATTGGAGAACGAGAAATCGATTCAGTTGGGAGTTGGTACAGATCCCAACCAACTTGCCACGATGATCTTATTGTTGTTTCACTTACCGCTGATTGAGTATTAAATATCTTACAAGAAAGATGAATATGTACAGTACGTACATATCAGTTTTCAAAATTCGTTGAAGCCCATTTGAATACTGTTTATTACACATGTAATGCTCAAAAGATACAATGCACAGAAAACGTCTAGAAAAGCTGAAAGCAGATGGCGGCCACGAGGAACCACAAACTTTGATCTACAGAGTTAGTGTTACGTTATCCATGGTTGCTTGCTAGCAGCTGCAGCCCTCCATATCTTTCGTTTTGGGGGACAAAATTGTGCATGAAAAATACGATGCTAAAATTAGGTGTGTTATTGTATTTCAGTTGTATGATTCCTACCTCGTCATGGTACGTACTGCTCAGGTGCTGTATTTCTCTGGCATACATTGAAAGTGCTTTCATAATGGGAATGATTCCTTGTAATTGATGTGGCCTCCTGATTTCGAGGATGAAGCCGCCAGAAATCATATTCACCTATAGACCACCTGGGCAAAGTCCATGCAGTTAGCGATGCTGACTCGGCATCATGAGTTTGCATGGTTGGAATTCAAATCCGTTTCATACATACGAGGGCTCAGACGGATACATACATACGTACAACGTCCCATCACATACTGTACGCCCCGTACGTACATACATCCTGTCGCTCTGCAAGCTAACTAAGCCTTACTCTCACTCACTCTGAAACGCCTAGACACACACGTTCGTACTTGGGTAAACGTAGCTGCATGAGTAAACTAGGCATTGTCATACCCAATCGTTTGTGGAGTTGTGCAGAATGATCCCTTTTACGGGTTATGCTAAGTTGAAGACTAGCTAGCATCTCTTGGTTGCCGATATTTCCTATTCGCTTTGACTTCTATACGAAGAGTTAGCTTGATAGATAAGTGGATGGCTTGGCTGTTGGGTCAGTTGATTGTTGGTTCGCATGATCTCAGTCTATCGGACTAGGAAGAAGTTTTCCGGAGGTTAGGATCACGTCGGCGAATTTGGTCCTTGCATTTAACTGTATTTTCCTAGGTATGTATGGAGGTAAGTCAATCTGCACACTACACTGCCCAAGGTGCTGGAATGGGAAGGGTAAGGGCGGCAGTTATGAATAACAACAACAAGCGATCCATCCCTGCGAATGTAGACAGGACATACATAGATAGCTGGCATGCAAGTTTTTAAGGCTTGAAGAAATCTGGTCTGATGATTAGCAAAGATACGTTTGCACACATCTGCATGATCAAAGCCACACTAAGGAGTTAGTAAGACGCAGTAGTAAGCCCTTCGGGCAAAGGCACCAGATCCGTTTCGACCCGATCTGCCATCCCTAATGCAATGGGATGATCCATTGTGCCAGAATAGGATATACGTGTGTGTGCATTGTTGCCCCCGGGGTATATAGTTAGCACCTAACTTTGACTGTAATACAGGCCAGATTGGCATGGTAATTTCGGTACTTGTTGGTGAAAGTGCCCGGCGTTATGCTCGGTACCTAATCTGACCAGTAGTCTAACAGCTGGGTTAATCATAACGAGATTTACTCACATACGGTAAGTATTGCGAGGTATGAGCCATATAGATACGAGAGGAAACAAAATCACTACACTTGGGCCCCGGAACTTAATGCTTAGCCGACCAGTTACTCAATCCTATCAGGTGATTCCAAGTCATTTATTTTGTTGCTTAACTACCCTCTAACTACGTACGTGCATTTGCACCCTACCCACCTTCTCCCTTGCATCAAGCGAGAAAGCGATGGGATGCGGTGAGATCCTTAGCGGTGATGCATCGAACGATGAAGGCCTTATTCTCGGAGAACTCTCCGTGAGACATGATTCCATGAAGCAGAGGAATAGTCACATATGACTACTCTTTTTCCACTCTTTACTCTTCTTAATCCCCTTCTAAGCCAGAACAATTTTGAACACTTCCTGCTGAGAGAGAACTCAAAGGTTTTTCGTGATTGGAAACTCAGAGCATGACACTTTGTCCCCGTTGAAAGGATTCACTTCCCTACACTCTAGCTCCGTACCTTTATTTTTCTATTTCGTCCAACTTTCTCACCAACACCAGACTGATCATCCCTTCGACCCATTTTCGAAGTACTTTGACCGCATGACTCTATTTGTTCTGGGGGTAGAACTAACAGACACGCGAGAGGAAGGTTCGTTGAAATGTCGACCACCGCGATTAACGAGGATGAGCTTCCTGTCTCGAGACCCTGTGACAGGCAAATTGGAGATAGATACCCTCGTACAAAGAGGCCAATGGAAGGAGGCCGAGAGCATTCTTCTACAGTTGCTGGCAGACGCAGATGCATCCACAGATCAGGTTTCACCAACCACGAGGCCGACGCCAGTTGACGATAGCCTTGAAGTCCAGAAAATCAAGTTGATGTTGGCGCATATATTTCGTCATATTGGACGACCTCAAGATGCTGAAACCATAGACCGGGAGGTTTTGGAGACCCGGCAGCGTTCGCTCGGACCAGATGCTCAGGATACGTTGATGGTTCTGTACCATCTAGCAACTGATATAAGGTTACAGCCTAATCGGTTATTGGAAGGGTTAGCTCTTGAAGAACGTGTTCTCGAGGCTGTCGCTCGGATCTACTGGTCAGATGCATTTGTGAATCACAGTTCCAATAGAAGCCACAGAAGAGGTGCTGCTGATATCTCAGGACCCATTATCGACGGTTCGCCGGGCATGGACATCCTCATTCGCATGTGCCATGTAGCCGATATGTTATTTATGCAGAACCAAGCAGAGCAAGCCGCTAAATTACACGAGACCGTATTACGCTTGTGCACCACAGCTCTTGGACCAGGCCACCCTTATACAATCGCAGTCATGGATAGCACTGGCAGAGATTACGTCTCTCAAGGCCGGTTAGTAGAAGCAGTACGTCTACTACAGGACGCCGCGGAGGCCGGAAAAGTACACCTAGGATCTCGAGATTCCACTACACGCCGTTGCATTGTTCACCTAGCAGAAGCACTCGGCCGCATGACCGCGGAGGGCGATGGTAAAGTCCCCGACGCTAAGACGATTGCTATTCTAGAACAGGCAATTGAGATACTCGAAGAGACTCTTGGAAACGATGAAACCGATACTATCTCGCTAAAGTACTATCTAGCCGTTGCCTATGCGAGACTAGATGGCCGATTCAGAGAGTCAGAGACCTTACAGAACCAGGTGTTGCATTGGTGCTGTCGCCAAATGGGAAATCGAACCGTGACGGCGGATTTGATGGTACGTAATTTGGTCTTGATGTATCGTCAGCTAGGCAGGATGGACAAGGCGCGAGAGATTGAGAATGAATTCGGACGGGTCCGGCGATCAATATCGTGATGAAAAAATCCCTGCCGGCTTTGTTCTGTCAAGTTTGAAGCCAGTCATCCTTCTAGACCCTCTTCGAAAACAATCAACTCATGCTTTGACGGGGGCGTTGCTAGCCGAGCATGTGCATTAGCTCCGGTGGATGGATCTTTGAGATCCTTCGGCATATCCCTCGCTGTTCTAGATCCGGAGTCCGTCCGGGCAAAGATCCTTCGTCTCCTACATAAGCTGGACGTTACAGTATCACAAATTCGGCCGAATGACCTATACACGCTTCCTTTTACGATAGGAGCAAATCGATAACAGAAAGAAGGGGCCGGGCCGGGCCGGGCTCGTGTTCGGACCTGGACAACTGCGGAAAATGTGTTCCTGGCATGGATGTCGCTAGAGAACAAACTCCGGTGTATGTTCGATAACACTCAATACGACCATGGGTTTATCCGAGCACCGACTCGGGAGTTCACCGAGGCCTTACGAGTGCATATATGATAGTCAACATGGATTTCTCTCAATTTCCTTGAAACAGTGGTTATTTCCAGGTGGCCATGGATTGCAATAAGACCTTGCGTTTTACCAATCTTCAAGGACGAGCGTGAGCGACACATGCTTTTGTACAAATGTAGACTGATGTTATCTACATATTCGAACTCTTGATATAGAACAAGAAGAAATATGTGATTAGAGAAAACGAGTATGTATCAACGAGGAACTAGTTGGTGTAGTAGCTCTCAACTGGCCGTTACCAGCCAGAACCCACCGGGATCGGGGTAATATCAGCTACTGTATGCCATCAGTTCCAGCCCCAATTACTAGTTCGTATCCTTGACGTACAATGGCTGAAAAGAAACTTATCCTGGTTGCAATGTATTCCAGTACTGAAATGAACTGCAAGGATATAAATCGCCTATTTCCTGCTCTCCTCAGTAATTGCTGTAGACTTTTTTCAACACTTCTAACATTGTGCACCAAAATTTCCAGATTAGGCAAGTCCGGATACAACTGGCCGAATTAGGGCATGTCTGGGTGCCCTCACTCCCAGAGCTTGATTGCTTGACCTGAATGAAGCGTTTTGCAGATTACCTATGCTGCAGCTAGACTGGATCCAGGTCAGAGTAAACTCTGAGCTTTAGGAGATGAATATTGACTCACGGACCGTCATCGCTTCTTCCGAGTAGGTAAGTCTGTAGTCGCAACTTACACGTGACCTACCTTCGTTGTTGGAACTCAGAATGAGCTAAACCAATTTGGGAATAGGACAAGATTTGCGTATCAAGAAATTTCGAGAATTGGCATCACATTCTGACGCGATATTGAACATTACAAATCAACTTTACAGCCTATCTCTAGAAAGTTCGATTTGCACAAGTGTCGACTTTTGGTGATATCACTTCTATGGAATCTTGTATATAAAAACAGGTTCAATACTCCTAGATAGTGGTTTTAGAGAGTGCCGGAAAATAGACCTAGTTCCTTATACGTATTGTTTAGTAGTGCTCGCCTTCGCTTAGTCATCGCTCTAGTAAACCAACGTTCCGACATTCGTAGTGACTTGTGAAGACAGCGATCTAATTAAGTAGCTTAGGTATCTAGCCGACATTCACCCCGCTATCCACTTCTCATTCTCCTCCACTTCTAGTGCTAGATAGACAGATTTTGAAATGGCAGGCCCCACACTACTTGTACTATTACCTAAATGGTGTATTACACCCAGTTAACGTAATCCACAAGCGAGCCGCCATCACAAGCGAGCCGCCACCTTTTCCCGAACCCGTACACGATATTGATTCCAAATCTCGATTTCTAACCCACATACAAATTATATACAAAAAATTAATTACTAGTACGATTAGGACATCTAGTTATTTTATGTCCTTCAACACCACAGCCACTGCAGCGAAATTGGCGGCGTACGACTGGTTGAGAAGCTGGGAGCTCAGGCTCACCTGGAGTAGTAGTAACGGCTTGGGATGCCTCAGCCTGGCTTTGTACGAGTGCTTGGGCTTCCTCTCTAGTAATAACTTGCTTAGTAGATATCTGTTTCTTAGATATTTGACGTTTTTCCTTCTCTTTTTCATGCGCAGCTCGTAAATCATGGTTTTCTTTCCGTACGAGTAAAAGATCATTCACAGTCAGTTCATAGGCCTTTGATATCCGCATAATTGCTTCATCAGTATCCTGAGATGGACTTCTCGTACGCCGGCTCATTCGCTCCTTAATTGTAGTCATTTAGCGCTTGAATTGACGTGGATTTTGAGGGGTTTGTAAGCAGGATGATTGTGTATTGCTTGATTGACTTGGAGGAGGTGTTGGTGTCTTTAATTGAATATTAAGTTGTTGAAGAGCTCGATCTGGATTAAATGGCACTAATCCAGTTGCTGCAAAGCTATTTCGGATAGTTTGAGCTTTGTATGCCATCGTACGAGCCTTTGGGAATGCAGTAAGGAAGTCGATTTTATCAATATGGTTGAATCCAAGCCTCATTCGCTGCTCAACAAGCTGCCCATAATGTCGCTTTAAAACAGCAAAACAGCCAACATCAAGAGGCTGTAAAAGATGTGAGGAATGAGGAGGCATACGGACTGGAATAATCTTATTCTCAGTACATGTACGATCAAATTCAGCAGTTAAATGACTTCCATGGCCGTCAAGAATCAACATTCGATAGTTTCCCATTGTACGGCCATTTGTAAGAGGAATAAAATGGATTTTAAGCCATTCTAATCCAATCTTATCTGTAGTCCATCCATTCTCACTAATATTGATTCTCCAATCGCTTGGAAGATTCTCAAACCAGCCTAATCGAGTATATTGCTTCGCCTTGAAAATAACGTACGAAGGCAGAGCCCAACCAGTTGAATTAGTTGCCTCGATTGCAGTCACCCATTCTCGATTTCCAGGCTGTAAAAGCTTTGGCCGAGCATATCGATCGCTTCCGGTAATAACCTTTGCAGTTGCACAGAGTCCCATAGCAAAGCCAGTCTCATCAAAATTATAGATATCTTCCGGTAAGATTCCATACTCAGATATAACCTCTCGTACGCGATCAAAATGCTCCTGGATTATCTTTGGATCTTCGCATTTAGCACGTTCATAATTATATTTCCGTGAAAAGTTTGATTCGATCTCTGGGCGACGTTTGACAAGATTGTATACCCAATTTTCTCCAACCTGTTGATTGCCGCGTTGTAAGAGAAGATGATTAGCCATTTCTCGTACGAGAGAGTGCCGGGGAGGTAATCCACGTCTATCTAAGTCAAGGACCATTTAACAAGTGATTACTCTTCAAATTGAGTCAATTTATGGTTGTTGGTGCGTACGAGAGATCTTTGTTGAGTGCCATGTAGTCGATTTTGGAGAGTCGTACGAGGGATATTGTAAATCCTAGCAGCTTGTGCAATTGTAGAGATTTTGCCATTCTGCAAATCGGAAATGACTAATAAGATTCGGCCTTTTTGCTCAACTAAATCTTTTGGGTTTTTATTGCGAATTGGTGGCATATTGACGTGTTGAATTATTTGAAATCAATATCGTGTACGGGTTCGGGAAAAGGTGGCGGCTCGCTTGTGGATTACGTTATGTGTTTTTGATGTCTCCTCTACTCAAAATATGAAATTGGCCAAGTTCAAGTCTCCCAATATTGATTAAGATACTTGTAGGTTGAATAACAGCATATTCATCCTGGTTTAAGCTCATACATTTTCTGTACCTGGCAAGAGACTGGTTTATTAATGAGATTCGAGAGTCTCGCTGTGAATCCCGGTTTGAAAACGAAAAGCCCTAACTCTCCATATCCGCCGCTAGAAGCCTCGGTACTTCAAAGTCTCTCCGGATCACTAATCAGTGTGCTTGTTATCGAATTATTGCTTATTCCTCAGACCCGTCCTATTTGTTTTTGAATGACTAACTAGCTAGTTAGGGGAATAAGTCATGCTGATTTAATTCTCCTGCAGAGGAATATTGGCAGTGATTGACCAATTCTAACCTTAGAAGGAAATTCGTATAATACTAGTAGCTTGCTTCAGCTGTGCTCCAACTTATGTAATACCAAAAACTTAGTAACGTAATCCACAAGCGAGTTGGCCACACAAGCAAGTTGGCCACTTTTCCCGAAAACGCGCTCTCTATTGATTCTACACAATTCAACACGTCAATATGCCGCCAATTCGCAATAAAAATTCAAAAAATTCAGTTGAACAAGAGGGACGAATCTTGTTAGCTATCTACGATTTAAAAAATGAAAAAATACACTCTATACGAAAAGCAGCAGAGATCTATAATGTCTCACGGTCAACACTTCAAAACAGACTACATGGCATGGCATATCGAGCTGAAACACGCGCCAATGGCCATAAATTAACTCAATCTGAGGAGGAATCGCTTGTTAGATGGATCTTAGATCTAGATAAACGTGGATTACCTCCTCGACACTCTCTTGTACGGGATATGGCTAATTGTCTTCTTTCACAACGCGGAAACCAACATGTTGGAGAAAACTGGGTATACAATCTTGTCAAACGTCGCCCAGAGATTGAATCAAAATTCTCACGGAAATATAACTATGAACGCGCCAAATGTGAAGATCCAAAAATAATCCAAGAATATTTTGATCGCGTACGAGAGGTTATATTAGAGTATGGGATCTTGCCAGAAGATATCTACAATTTTGATGAGACTGGCTTTGCTATGGGACTCTGTGCGACTACAAAGGTTATCACTGGAAGCGATCGATATGCTCGGCCAAAGCTATTACAGCCTGGTGACCGAGAATGGGTAACTGCAATTGAGGCAGTTAATTCGATTGGGTGGGCATTGCCTTCGTACATTATTTTTAAGGCAAAGAAATACACTCGACTAGGCTGGTTTGAGGATCTTCCAGACGACTGGAAAATCAATATTAGCGATAATGGATGGACGACAGATAAGATTGGATTAGAATGGCTTAAAACTCATTTTATCCCTCTTATTGATGGCCGTACATTGGGGAAATATCGGATGTTGATTCTTGATGGCCATGGAAGCCATTTAACTGCTGAATTTGACCGTACATGCACTGAGAATAATATTATTCCGGTTTGTATGCCTCCTCATTCTTCACATCTTTTACAGCCTCTTGATGTTGGCTGTTTTGCTGTTTTAAAGCGACATTATGGACAGCTTGTTGAGCAGCGAATGAGGCTTGGATTCAACCATATTGATAAACTCGACTTTCTTACTGCATTCCCAAAGGCTCGTACGATGGCATACAAAGCTCAAACTGTTCGGAATAGCTTTACAGTAACTGGATTAGTACCATTCAATCCAGATCGAGTTTATCAACAGCTTACTGTTCGATTGAAGACTCCAACACCCCCTCCAAGTCGATCAAGTGATACACAATCATCCTGCTTGCAAACCCCTCAAAACGCACGTCAATTTAAGCGCCAAATGACTACAACCAAGAAGAGAATAAGCCGGCATACAAGAAGTTCATCTGAGGCTATTGGTGAAGTGTTTACACGGGCATCAAAGGCTTATGAGATGAGTATTAATAAGCTTACAATTGCACAGAAGGAACTCCATGATCTACGGGCTGCACATGAGAAGGAGAAGCAAAAACGCCAAAAATCTAAAAAGCAAATATCCCATGATCATGGAATTACCAGAGAGGAAGCTCAGGCACTTGTACAAGGTCAGATTGAGGCATCTCAAGCTGTTTCTACTGCTCCGGCCGAGCCTGAGCTCCCAGTCTCTCATCCACCTGTACGGCGTCATTTCCGCTGCAGTGGTTGCGGTATTGAAGGACATAAAATAACTGGATGTCCAAATCGTACTAGTAGTTAATTCTTTTGTATATAATTTGTATGTGGTTAGAAATTGAGATTTGAAATCAATAATAGAGCGCGTTTTCGGGAAAAGTGGCCAACTCGCTTGTGTGGCCAACTCGCTTGTGGATTACGTTAACTAGTTAATTAAACTATAATGCACAGAGTAAATGTCATTAACTGAATCACGAGTCAAGAGAGCAAAGGTAGTGTGTTAAAGTGTACTGGCAACTTGATCTACATTCAGCTTATTTATGATACGCTTCTTGAGCATTTCAATACCAAATATACGGCAGTGTCACCATTATGTTTCATTATTTCAACGTTGGAATAATACACACTTTTTGCGTACTCGGTGCGTTTGGGCTTTGCATATGTTACATGGGATAGGCTGTAGCCGAGCAACTTTGGGGGCCGAATTCAGGCCGAGACTAAAGATTGATTCAAGACAGAGTGATAGTCAATCATAGATATGAAATGTTGCGTTGTGAATAAAAGGGGATGTATGATTAATATAGATATCTACTGTTCATATCGATGTGTGGCTACTTTGGATTTAAGAGGTACTTTTACAAACTACTGTCAACAGACTCAAAAACTCGCATGGCCGCACTACAAATATCTAACGAGTGTCAATCCTACAAATTACTTACACGAGCTGAGGAGTTACCGGTACGCATGCATATCAGCAATTTAACAGTACTGAGAAATGTACTAGGGACTCAGTAGAATTATACGCTCTCACACATCCATCGCGGCATTGACGTGTCGTTTTCCACATAACAAATGCAAGGTCTAGACACAACTCTTCGTGTTCCAAATTTTATAATTTTCGTATCGTTTCACTCAGTCAAGAGCCGAGACTTCCAGGTGGTTGGTCCATTCAAAGGAAACCGATTCGGGCTCCGAACATCTAGCAAGCTGAGCAACAAATTTAGATTTCTAAACTAATGTATGGATCCGAATGAAGATAGCCATTACACAGTCACCTCTATTACAAATATGCCTAGGTAGTTAACTAATTTGTTGAAGTTTCAGAGAATAACAGTTTTGTGCGTAACTAGGCGTACGCAAAAGCATGCTCTGACCCTTAGTGACAAGAGATACAAAACACTCTTATTCCCTGGTCCGGATATTAACCGTTTGCTTGCGTCAAATTCTTGTTCCTCCTAAATGGATCTTTCTCTTGTGGAATCTCATGTAAATGAAGTCATCCATCCGTCCTTCCAACTGAAAGATCTGACTAAACAAGTTCAAAAGACCTTTTAGAATCAGTTTCTAGCTTTCATACAGTACAGTAGTACCATCAGAGTGATGACTAAGATATCCATGTCTATGATGACAGACGGTGACAGAACAATCAAAAGTACATCATATCTCTTCAATTATTAGACCTGCATTCCGAAAATGTCCTTTTGCACTTTACTCCCTTGCACCCGCCTTTTCAGTGCACCACTCAAGAAAGTTATCAAGTCCTTGATCAGAGTTATCCTCGTACGATTGCCAATGACGCCGTATGAAGGTTTTCAGCTCAGCAGAAAGCTCCTCGATTGGGTTCAAATCCGGAGAGTATGGGGGTAAATATACAAGTTTGACACCAGCTTTTGAATACATCGCTTTAGAATGGTGGAAAGAAGCGCTATCCATAACAATAACCAACTTTGGTTCCGGCGATTTTCCACATTTGTAGGAGGTGGCATAGGTATTTCTTTGTGATACCAGAACAGCTGGATAGAAGACATCTGCAATCACGTGTTTCCCATAGCCCTAGCCAACCCTCCCAACAAGCAGGAATACCAGTTTTAACCATAGCTGGTTTCCCTCTGCTTAATGCGCTTGCTTATGCTTCAAGAATTCTGTATGAGCGCATTGGTGATCCTCTTAGAAGGAGAACCGAGTGTAAGAGTGGCTTCTGCCAATTAAACCTAGAGTATGCCCTCCTGCACAACGTTTCGGCATTGGAAAAGGATGTAATATGCAGTAGAGTAAGAGCTATATCCATGGATTATATCCAAATCGATTACTAGTGTACTTGGCCTATTGAGACTCATCTATCATCGTAATGAAACTAATCTCAGAAATTTTAGAAGTATATAGAAGCCACCAAGTTACAGACGAGAAGCAAGATGCCTTGTGAGAGCTTTAAGATTGGCCTCTTCTATATACTGCCTTAAACTCAGGTTCTTTGGAGGACTAGTACTGTAACCCTCTAAGTATTCTTGACGAACATTTTCATTACCTATTCTTCAATTTCGAAAATGGTACACCTTGCTGAGCCCTGATGCTAAGACTGACTGTCTCCTCAATCATAATTGCATGAGTGGTATTCATCTTTGAAACTTGAATAGCCTGAACTACACGCGTGTTGACATAGCTAGTGCTTGTCTACTGATGCTGCATTAATCCTTGAGGTTATGTTGTTGCATCGACTATCTGTACAAGATTATTGAATCAAGCACCCCTTGCCCAAACCACGTTCAATATAGTCCCTTACCTGTCCCTGAAGCAGAAAAATCTCTTTCTAAATACCTACTGGATACCGTATCCTCATTCCAACCCACGGCCCCTTGCACTTGCGAAACTCTGGGAGAAACAGGCGCCCCGTACTCTCAACATGTCTTCGACCAAACTATATGTCGCTATCCACAGCGACAGCGGAGTCTACAAGCATTGGAGTCTATTTTTCGATGAACCGACATATGGGCAAAAAGTTATCTTCCAAATCATGGGTTCGTCTACTTGATATCCACTCGAGACAGCGAAGTCGAACGCTCGAAGTCAGAGACACTGGTGGAGCTCCATGAGCTCTGTAGCATTGACACCTCTACTCTCAGCAACATTACGGCTCTAGTGGAAAACGCATCTGTCCAGAACGAATTTCCAGGGTATAACTGTCAGGACTACGTTCTCGAGCTGTTGGATATTCTCGAATCAAGAAGATCATCGATGGCAGCGACGTGGATTACCAAATACAAAAGGTGGATTTGAAGTCGAAACAGGAAGGGCTATATTGATGTGGTCCCGATGGCTTTCTGATTTAAAGTAGTACGTGTACGCTCGGGTGATTTCTGCCTGGGTGCTCACATCACCTACCTACATACCTGCGCCCAGTTTTTGTCTCTAAATTCTTGCTGTACCTTCTAGGGTCGCCCAGCTGCTTTACGATACAATCAATTTAAATTTTATGGCAAAGCCTTGTCTAGCTACACACTTCAGCCATGCTCCATCGCATGATTGTTGATTACCTTGCCCCGTATGTCGTTGAATAATATTTAACGAGAAGCAATTCTAAACTCATAATAATATCTGTCATTCACAGGTATAGGAACATCCATTTTGAACTGTAGTAGAACCTGGCTATAACTTACAGAACGCCTATCAAAGCCCAAGTCAATATATCCAGGAGACAGTTCGATTTACTTAGGTAAGGATAAAGGGCACTATACCTAGGTATTGATCTGTTCTAGTATGAACAAATTGGATGCTCTTCAGTCCCATACCGAAGTTATCCAAGCTGATATTAGTGGACATATAGAGCGGCCTCCTTTTTTATAGCTAGATTTCACTTCATTGAATATTTTTCAGACTATAAATAGGTAGATTATTCGATTTTGGGCAGGGCCTTTGGCATGACTGGGAGCCTGGGATCCTGTCCCAGAAAAAACAAAGGTCATTGATAAAACTAATCAAGGTCACTGGAGAGAATGCAACTACTACTAAGAACATTGAAGCATTATTTATCACAGAAGATTGTAGAATGTTTGTATAAATCACAGTCAAATTTCCCCCCAAAGTGAAATCCCTATCTTATTTTTCAATGGATGAGACGATATATCTATCTCCTACTCAAGAGGCAAAATAAGAAAAATATAATATTTCCCACAATCCTGTTTCTCCTCGATATTCGCTTACTGATCATTCTTTACTAAACACCTCGCTGCACGAACTAAGCACCGAGCCCTAAACCCTAACCCACTACCTGAACGTATAACATGGTGAAGTGCAGTACGCATGAATGAAGTCTACTATTCGAATACTAACAGTAAAGCTTTGACTCATTTAGATTGGTAAACGTTGCTACCGAAGTAGATCTAATTGTCTGACTAGCAATTACCAACTTGATATGTACATAAACGAGTCAAACGAGCAGCCCTAATTCCATCCTATCCTTCGTAAATCAATTCCTCATCACGAACCCTTTGGCAATCATCGACAATATTTCTTCATTGACTCATAATAACAACGATTAATTGCTTTGATTCGCTATTGTTTTAATGTCTAGGAGTTTAGACGTAGGTGACAACAACCTCAGAAGAGCTAGGAATAGACACAGAGGTCAAGACCTTGCCATTCTGTTCAATGTCAATAATGTCCGCACCAGTGGTACCAACAGATTTCCCATTGGACAAACCAGCAGATGCCCCGGTGAAAGTAACAGTGCCAAAGTTGTCGAGAGTGACGAGGCTGCCACCAGACTCAAAGTCCTCAACAATCCATTCGGCGTTCTGACCACCGAGCTTGGCAGAGGAGTTGGGAGCAGTAAGCTTCTTGCTTACTTTTTGGCCATTGGTGAGGTTCTCAATAACAGCGGTTCCAGAAGTTGAAGAGCTAGAAACAACAGAGACGGAGATCTTGTCACCACCTTTGATGGAGATGCCGGAGAAATCATAGGCGTAGTCGGGGTACCACTCGTACCAGGCATCGTAGGAAACGGCACCGCTGGCAGTGACACTGAAGTCAATACCAGTCTGAAGAATGGCGTTGCCGTAGGTATCACCATCAATACCGACCCAGGCGGAAGAAGATCCAGCCTTGCCGTTAACGGGCTTGGGGGTAGGGACGGTGAACTGGGCAGACACAGAGGTGAAAGTTGCTCCGGCGGGGGGCGAGGTCAAGACAGCTCCGGACCAGTTGGAGGAGTAGTCGACATGAGTGGCATTTGTGGCCTCGGTGGAGAGATCACCGTTCAAAGCTCCAGTGGCAGGTTGCTTAGGACGAGTGAGACGGCTACGGCCAGCAGCGCGTGCCTCGGTACGGGCAGCAAGACCGTGGCCTGAGGGAGCAGCCAAGGCGCCGGCCGCGAAGAGGGCAATGATAGTTGCGGATAACTTCATCTTGATAGAGGATTAAACAGAAATTTTCTACTGGAACTGCTTGAGCTTGTAGAGGACTGAGAAGTGAATTGTGATTGCGATGGATGATTACAAGTCTTGGGGGAGATATCAAGCTCTTTATATAGTTTTTGTGATGCCAGTCTAAAGGTTACATCTGTGTATCTCGATCATGTCTTTTACAGTAGATAATCGAGCAAATGCCTATGTAGGGCGCTAAGTGTGCTGTAAACTTTGGATAGTAGTGAGCAAGATTGTTCTCGAAGTCGTTATCTTGATTGTCTATTATCTCATACCCCTTGTAATCATAATTAGTGTTTATCGTTCAGCATCTAGCTCGTTTCCTGATATGTTGATGGTATCTACCGAACGCATTAGGGATGATTGCGCCAAAACGATAGCAGATATGGTCATCTAATTCGCTGTAAACGAAGGGCCTGGACTATCTTCAGTACCTTTGTACACTGTACAACCACCACAGACGCATTAGATTCAATGACCGTACGCCAATCACCCCTCACTAAGAGAGCCGAGAGGTTTCATTTGGTCTGTAGCACATGACAACGGTCAATTAGACACGCGGCCAAGGGTGGACGCCACTCACGTTGTTCCTGACCGTGGCTGTAGAAGCGCTCAACTATCGCAAGACTAAGATGCAGCGAAATGGGACATTGCTCATACAATCGTACCTGAATAAAGCGCCAAGGGACAGAGCATAACGGACCTTCCTAAAAGGGGTACCTTGACTCTACTAACAGTATGCCCGGGCCAATGATACGGTTATTTTGGAGTTGGAAAACAAGTACCATCATGCGCATGAGCCCTTTGGCACGATTGCCCTAATGATGCTTAACAGTAGCCTAATACTCCTATCTCTCCACAGCGGGCATTTGCTGACCACTCCTGTGTCTCTTGGCGGGGATAAGGACTCGAATTCGTCTAATTTGTGGCACCAGTAGATGCTGATCATTTTTGATTAAGCTTCTTCACCTGCCTAAATGATACTGATCTCAAAAGCCGAGAACTTTACTTTTTGATACCATCTCTTGGGGGTTTGAAGACAAAATATGGCCTAAAAGCACATCACTTAGACGGTCATAACGACAGAGTCAGGGATTAATTAGTGATCTCTTGCTCACTCCGGGGGCCTGGAGGAAGGTGTTATAGTAGCCTTGTCCTTAAACTTGTGCCCTAATTGACCTAAAGCACGACATAACTGCACTAACTTAGATTTGTTCAGGCTTCTGAATGGCTGTTATCATCGGCAGATAGCTTCAAAAGGTGGACTTACCCCGATCAATGAAACATCGTTCCTCTGCCAAGGTTCCTGATGCTACATACCTATGTACGTTTTGATTCTATAATTTTAGCACCAGCGCATATATTTCTCCCGTCAATGACAGTTTATGATTGGGACAATGTTTTTAAGATTATGCAGTTATCTCTCTGACTTCCCCACGCTTTAAAACCGTGTACATGGGCAATATCGAATCGATTGGTCGAGTATCTACCTAAATCAAGCCGGCCATCGGCCTACATGTATAATTGCTTATTTAAATTTGCCGCGTATCTCGTCCCGAGTTATCCTGTTTATCCGAGTACTATTCAATAGTCACAGAACAACAAACGTCCCTAAAATCAGAAGAATCATCGGATGCAACGTGGGCGCCAGCCATGCCCGCTTAGCTGCGGTTCTAGACAGACAAGTATCGTCTGAAGAGTTGATCACGGCAAAGAGCAGATTGCAACATACCAGCGTTGAATGATAGATTTTATGCATGAAGATGCTAGCTGGAGGATTGAGATAGCATCAGAATGAGTTTGTATTGCAATGAATCGGCGACGTCCGAATAGTAAAGCACGTTTCTAGAGGTTGAGGAGTATACATCCTCCTTCCGAATCACGTTATGATGCATTGAGAAGATTTGATATTTCGCGATCTTCCGGCAAGTAGGCGAGTACACCTGGAAGCTTAGCCTTCGTAGTGTGATCTTCGGAGTGCTTCTACATGTGGAAAACGGTCTATAATGAACACATTGATATAGATACAAAAATATTCCATACATGATGACGCTAAACAGACATATTCATTGCAATGGCTTTGTGAGGATCGTATCCCTTGACCACAAAGTCCTCCGCTTTCCATCCATCTATACTTCCACCCTTTTCATGTGTGATTTCCAACTCAGGGAATGGTCGTGGCTCTCGCTCCAACTGTACTTTCAGAGCATCGACGTGATCAAGGTAAACGTGCGCATCTCCCATGACATGCGTAAGACTGCCCGGGACAAGGTCACAAGCATGAGCAAGCATATGCGTAAGCAGCGCATAACTAGCGATGTTGAATGGAACCCCAAGCCCCATATCGCAAGATCGTTGATATAATTGACAATGCAAGTGACCCTTTGGTTTATTTTCAGTCGTCCCATTCTTCGCCAGCCCTTGTCCGGGAAACGAGACATAAAACTGAGCAAACATATGGCAAGGCGGGAGAACCATCAAACGCAAATCCTTCGGATTCCAAGCCGTAAGAATCATTCGACGGTCATACGGGTTCGTGCGCAATTTATGTATAATATCCGCAATCTGATCAACCCCTTGTCCCGTATAATCCGCTTTTGCATCTATATAACCTGCGCCAAAGTGTCGCCATTGAAAACCGTAGACGGGCCCAAGATCACCAACTTCACGGTGAGTTAGACCTAGATTGTCTAGAAACTCGCGAGAGCCGTTGCCGTCCCAGATCTTGACCCCGACTTCATTGAGTGCGATTGATGATGTGTTCCCTTCGATGAACCAGAGGAGTTCGGCGATGACGGCGCGGAGGAAGACTCGTTTTGTGGTGAGAAGAGGTAAGATTGGCCGTCCGTTATCGTTGAGTTTGAATTTGAATGGTCGCGGTGCGAAGATGGATAATGTTCCTGTGCCTGTCCTGTTCTATGTTAGTGTTCAATCTCCTGTGCTATTATTTTTCACCACTTACCGATCTGGTCGTTGCTCTCCGTGATCGAAGATGTCTCGAATAAGGTCGAGGTATTGATTTTCTTCGTGCGGAGTAGTCATTATTGCTATCTAGTGTATTGAACAAAAGAGCGTTCAATATGTGCGAGGTGGATGCTATGCAGTATTTACTAAGACAACGCCGAAGCCCTTGGGTAATTGAACGCGAAGAACAAAAGACGCGACGAGACGCGATGTGGAGTAATAACCCCAACCCCAACCCATAACCCTCATTTGACGGGAAACAACCCTAACCCTAATTATGCCCTAACATGACCCAGGTGACTGTAACGCAATCGCATCTCTCAATGGCAACATGCTTAACGTTGTTCATATTAAAAGATCACTATTGGATGCCTATCAACGGCAATAATGTATACAGACAGGCCATTTTCTTCGCTCAACACCCCTAAAAGCACGCAATCTGCTGTCTGAGAAAGACTTATTGGTCGCATGAGCTGTATGAATGTATTTCGCCAAGTCTGATATAATTGCACTTTTATTATTTTGTCGTGGTTGCGCGGAGATGTACATTGATAATGATATAAATTCATATCAATTTTGACACTCTGCTAATGAGAGGTGGACTTGGTTTGCTTGGCTTTGGAGTATTTAAACGAGTCAACAAGATGAGCTTTTGGGCAAGACGGACAAGGAGGAAACCTGCATCTGAAATAGCACCCCTCTTGGATATTCAGGAACCAGACGTGATAGTAGATATAATGGCCGGGAAATCCGATCCCAAATACGACACTTTCGTCTCTAGTCCTCTCGAGTCGGACGACGAGAGTGTCAATAACAGACGAAAGAATCCATTCGAGGATCCTGCAATTGCCGAGCACTGGCGTCTGACGTATGAAAAGTCGCAGTATGAATGTCGGCATGTGTTTGATCCGACGGTGACCTGGACGGAGGATGAGGAGAAGCGGTTGATTCGAAAACTGGATTGGAGGATTTGTCTGTGGGCTGTATGAGTTCATCTATCTTTTTGTGTATATGGGTAACTGATTGGATCAAGTGTGTCATGTTTTTTGGCCTACAAGTTGATCGAGGCAACCTCATCCAAGCAGTCTCTGGCACATTTCTAAAGGATCTGAAGTTGAACACCAACGGTAAGCCATCTCCCCCGATTCCGGTAATCCGTCACTAACTCCCTGATAGACTATAACTGGGGCAACATAACATTCAGAGTTTCCTTTCTCTGTGCTGAACTCCCATCTCAGCTCATCTCCAAAAAGATTGGTCCAGACCGCTGGATCCCGATCCAGATTACTTTGTGGTCCGTCGTTGCTATTTCGCAGTGCGCTATACATACCAGGGCGGCGTTTCTTGCTACGAGGTCATTACTCGGACTTTTGGAGGTGACGTCTCTTTCCAGAAATTGAGAATGACAGTGCTGATATAGTGTAGGGAGGATTCATTCCAGATATCGTTCTCTGGCTGTCGTACTTCTACACCTCCAAAGAACTCCCAATCCGACTTAGGCAAGTGGCCCCCTTTCCCAAGGGAAAAAAGACTGCCAACAACACTAACAAATTTGATAGCTTCTTCTGGGCAACCCTCTCTATAACATCAATAATAACCTCCCTTCTCGCCTTCGCCATCTTCCACCTCGACGGCGTAAACGGCTGGGCCGGCTGGCGCTGGCTCTTCCTCATCGAGGGCCTCATAACCCTCACCGTCGGCCTAATCTCATTCTTCATGATGCCCGCCTCCGCCGTACAAACAAAAGCCTGGTTCCGTCCCAACGGCTGGTTCACAGATCGGGAGATCTCCATCGTCGTAAACCGCGTGTTACGGGATGACCCTTCAAAGGGTGATATGCATAATCGACAAGCCATTACACCCCGACGGCTATGGAATGCATTGATGGATTACCATCTCTGGCCAATTTATGTTATTGGGTTCTTGGCGTATATCCCTCAATCACCACCCAGCACGTATCTAACCTTGACTCTGCGGTCTGTTGGGTTCAGTACGTTTACGACTAATTTACTCACGATCCCTTCGAGTGTGTTTCATATCGGGACGTTGTTGTTACTTACCCGACTTTCGGAATGGTTGAATGAGAGGTCCCTGGTAGCTATGTTGCAGGCTGTGTGGACATTACCGTGTATCATTGCATTGAGGTTTTGGCCAGGTATTATTAAGAATGCATGGGGAACGTATGCTTTGGTCACTGTTTTGTTGAGTTATCCTTATTGTCACGGTAGTCCTTCCCAATATGCTTCTGCGAAACTCGCTCAAGACTAACTATGACAGCAATCGCTGTGGGATGGATATCTCGCAACTCCAACAACGTCGGCACTCGCTCCGTCTCAGCTGCTCTATACAACGTTCGTCCCCTCCTTCCCCTTCCATTCCATCGGCACTAATACCATAAAATAGATGTCCGTCCAAATAGGCGACATAGGAGCCTTCTTCATCTACCGCGAAGACGATAAGCCCAAATATCACCGCGGAAACACAAACCTCCTAATCATCAACCTCGTCGTCATTGTCGTGTTCATCTCCACCAAGATATACTATGTATATCAGAACCGGAGACGGGATAGGATTTGGAATGCGATGAATGAAGAGGAGAGGAGTTGGTATATTAAGAATACGGCGTTGCAGGGGAGTAAGAGGTTAGATTTTAGGTTTGCACATTAGTCTAACCCCCCCGGCTTGGAAGGTAGCTTAGGATATAGATTAACAGATACATTTTCCTATTTACATGATTTACTCAATGGCTATACAATACACCAAGCCCGGAATTAATTATCTCTATTGTACAATTCTTCACAACAAGCAACCTAACAATCAGGCTCGGCGTCACTCCCACCATCCTCAGCCCCTTCGTCCATAGCATCAGCAGTGAGATTACCCTGATCCGCAGACGCTTCATCTCTCTTTGGATAATTGATTACCTTCCAACCAGCTGGCGCCGAGGGATCTTTTACATACTCTGACATAGCAAACTACATTCTTATCAGACGATGTTGATTAGATATAAAGGAGAAGGGGGAAACTCACGTAATGATCATTCTTTTTCATGGTCACCACCCACGGCACATTATCAAACGTAACCGCTCGAAGACGGAAGTACGTATTATCCGGGATCTTCTTGACTTCTTGCACAAAACTATCGAGATCGTGGGTTTGGACGCCGTTGACGGCAGTGATGAAATTTGTAGGCGATAATCCGTATTGATACGCGGGTGAACCACGGCTCTGTACAGGTTAGTTGTTGCAAATCATGATTTCTGAGAGAAAGGAGGGAGGCGTACCCGTGCACTGATATAAATCTCACTGTGTAGCTTCGAAATCTGCTGGCGTACAGCATGGTGTGGTTTCTGTAGTACAGCGCCACAGAATACAACAGCTCGATCCGTCTCTAGATCTTCGGTTGGAACTGTATGAACTTTGACGTGCATTTCTTGCCCGTTCCGAACAATCAATGCATCAAGAACTTCATTGTCGTACATGATATCAAACTCCGAGACTCGTGTGATGAGTTTTCCGTTCAAAGTAAGAATGATATCCCCCTCTTTCAAAGCATCGGCCTCATGCGTAAATGATGGAGGCGGACTGTCCAATTTCCTCACCATGAATAACTGATGTCTAGAAGGATTCGCTTCTGCGACTTTATTAATCCATTCCTCTGATACGCCCATAATCCGCGCTTGACTCATTTGAATGACGTAGCTCTCCATACTCAAAATTCGGAGTTTGGGGATTTCGCCCTGTTGGATCTTGCTGATTATCGGGAGAAGAGACGGCGTCGCTAAACCGAGATGATACTCAACATCCTTGTGTGAGTTTCCCGTCCGCTCACCCAAGTAATTCAGCCAAAGGGCTTGCACAATTCCGTCTTCTCGTAGCAGAACGCCATTCGTGCATTGACTGCTCAGTCCCGTGTCCACTGTGATGGCATCAAGATTAATAGCACGATAACGTGGAGCTGAGGCATTGGCTGGAATAGCGACGGTCGTAATATCAGTCACAGTGGTCTTGGCAACGACAATCCGTAAATTTTGGTTAAATCCGACAAAGATCGTATCTTGGCCTTGCTTTATGTTTTCCGTACTCAATCGCGCACTTCGAACAGGTGCTAGGACGAGACTTGGATCGTATTGCACAATAGTATAGTTTTGTAGCGGGTGCATAAAAACCACTTTCCCAGTAACGATTATCGAATCCGCGACTGTAATGTTGATATCGCACAAATCATACGGAACAATAGCTCGCGATACAACGACAAAGCCTTTCTCTGCATCAATGACCAATCCGTAACCAGTTTTCTTAGCCTGAGGGAACCCATCCAATTTCAAAGGCATCGTACAAGACACACGGACAAAACTGCGAACAATTTCAGCGGCCGCCGTTTGACTAATCCCATCTAACTGGATAAAGTCTGCTTTCCGAGGAACCGGCGGTTCGGCGGGTATTGGACCGGCGATATCTGAAAAATCCCATAGACCAGTCTCATCGTTGCGGATGGCAAGAGACATCTTTGGATGCCAGTGACGGTCAAGATAGATAATGCTTGTCCCTCGGGTATGGAGATCTCGGATATGTCGGTAGGAGATGACGATTTTTGATCGATCTGGGATCGCCTTCATTACTTCGATAAACTCCTGCAAGTTTCTAGTTGATCGTTTGTCGACAGAATCAATAATCCAGCCTGACAGAGTATTTTCAATCTTGAATGACCCCGCTGCCTCACAGACATAGACGCCGCGACATGCAATAGCATAAAGACGAGCTTGCTGATAAGACAAATCATGAAACGTCCCTCCAGCAACACTGACAAACCGATCTGGCGTAATCGCATGCAAGTCTCCAACAGTGCAATCTACTTCCAGATCCTCACCACCACGCTGAATCAAAAGCCGAATCGACTGGTCAACATTCGAGTCTAGAATATCATCCAGTCGCACAAACTGAGTGAGTAACTCCCCATTGACCTTCAGCAAAACATCCCCTTCTTGAAGTTTGCCATCAGCTGGACCCTCTGGCAGGACAATCTCCGCCACCAACATCCCCGTCTCTTTAGGCGCCATTTTCCGGACGTATGCTTCCCATTCCGGCGTCAAACCGAGACGCCGACATTCGTCAAACGGTTTAATCATCCATTGTGTCTGAATAGTTCCACGTGTAACAGGCCTGCCTTCTTGAATACACTGCAGCGCACGCAGTGGACGACCAAGCGGTAAAAAGTAATCCGTAGCCGCACCATCTGCACGCCCACCCGCCTGCAGCGCAACAACATGTCCAGCAACATTGACAACGGGACTACCGGAACTCCCACCACTGGCAGCAGCAGCAGCTTGGATGTAATTTGTGTTGAAATCGCTGTACCCTTCACCGTATTCCGGCGCGTTTCGATCAAGTCGACTAATAACACCGGAAAGAATACTGAGTTTCTCTCCGGCATCATTACCAACCACTCTGATTTCAACGCCCACTTGTGCTCCGTCGGGATTCAATTTCAGCTCTGTGATATCCATGTACTTGATCGCGTTTGGGTCGAATTTCAAAATACCAAAATCGTGCACGGGATCTCGGTAAACGGGACGAACATCGCACTGCATAGTTAGCTTACCATCTTTCACTTCAGAATTGGTGTAGGTACCTCTTCATGATTATCAAAAATACAATACCCCCAAAACGGCCCGGCACAAACGACATGCCTATTCGTAAGTATATACCCCCTTTCCGCATCAACCACAAACCCCGTCGCTTGACTACACATGGAAAGATCCGTATCAAACGAGCAGGTTTGACAAAAATGAATCGAAACCACACTCTTCACCACCGATTCGATTGTTGCCTGCCACTCTGGTGAATCCGCCTGTGTTGCGCCTAGGGCAACGATGGGCGTAATATCCTCACCATTCTCGACATCGTACACGGTGCCGTTTGCGGGTGTTTCGTCTCCCGGGGTGAGGACGGTGGATTCAGGTTTGAGGTGTTTGGATGGTCTGTCCGAGGCGGATACGGAGCTGTGTTTCCGCTTGGGGCGGGATTCGCCGGTCATGTTTGTGGATGGAACTGAGGATGTGCTATATCTATGAGACTGTAGATATTGTCGGGTTTGTAAGAAGACCAATTTGTGAGCATGCGCGTATGTCGATGGTGTATAAGAGGACCTCTTCCACGGCCGCAAGAAATCTGTTGAACTCTTTTTTATCGGCGCAAAACCAAGCCTATCACTTGACCAACACAAAAAAGAAGTAGTGGAAAAACCGGCTTTTATCAATTTCAAAGCCCTGATGGGTGGCGCAACAGACAATAGTCCTGATGGTGCAGCAGCAATCAATGCAGGAGCAGAAAAGATGCTCGTCGCCGTCCCGCGCGTCGTCCTCAATGAAGCGGGGGACATCCACCACAAAAGTGATGCAATAAAATAGAGTCCGTTCAGATTGAAATTGAGACGGATCGATCAGTTTCTGACTATCGTGGAGGAGGGTGCGCGTGGTCAGGGTCACCAGAGCCACCACTGTAAGCTAGTGGGCCGGCAAAAAAACAGATGGATGATCTCCCGCCTTGGGTCGGGCATTTTGATTGGTTGTTGATGTACTTTCTGGTGTTCATCTACGCTTGCTTGAGTCTTAGCCTTGGATGAATTGATGAGAGAAGAAACTGAGCGATATGCTACTGTAGATCTTACGATAGATCGATACGGTGAGGGGCCGCGCACATATCCCTGATTATGACCAATAACTAGGCAGATGCAAATTTAATTCCACATACTTAACCCTCAGGGTATCTCTGTTAACTACATATTGTACATTATAGAAACTGAATAAGGAAAGATGCAAAGCAGTCCGGATCTGGCTAGTGAAACATGACCATGTCCCACTTTGACATTTGTGACACATAGACACACTGGTCCATTCTTCAATATACCGGCACTGCCTTTGACTTGGTAGACGACTTAGAAGTTGGTCGACTCTTATGAAGACATGCAGTGTCGTGTTCCGTCGGAGGGAACTGTGATGTCGTCGCAGGTACGAACTGAGCACGACGGCTCCGAATCGAAGTAGATTGTAGTGGTGAAGTAGGCATTCCCTGCTGTCACACTGCAGCCTCGGCAGCTATAGCTGACTGGCTAGGTCTTTGCTGGTGTACTGCAGCAGGCCGAGGGACTCCAGCAAAAAGCTCATTTAATTTCGAATATTGTTCGTTCAGCGTGCCCATATGTGGGGGAGGGCTCATGATGGCCGGAGCGGGTGAGACTGGTTTCTTATTACGGTCTGTAACAGAGGCAAGATAAATCAGGTTGCTTTGTAGACGCTTTAAGCACTCTACATACTCTGGACTCGGCTTCTTCGGAGCTTCATTCGAGGCGCTTGCCGGTTCACTGGCAGAGTTTGGCGAGGACGACTGCTCAGGAGTTGTAGTGGTGGCTGCTGGCGGGGGAGCACCAGATTTGCCGGCTGCTTGTAAGTTGAGTAGTTCCTGCAAAAGGGCAGCATTGATGTCAAGAAGAGCAGTGACGCGAGCCCGTTCACGAGCAGTTGTAGCAGGAGATTGAGGGGCAGCTTGCGGTTGTTGCGGCTGCTGAGTCTGTTGAGATTGTTGGGGCTGTTGTCCTGGCGGTGTCTGGTTAGTCGGTGTCTGTCTCTGCTGCTGTTGTTGCTGTAGTTGGAGTTGAAGTTGTTGTTGTTGTTGTTGCTGTTGCTGCTGCGCAAGTAACATCGCAGGATTGGAAACAGCAGTCATATTCTGTGACGGCATCTGCATTGACACGGTAGCTGCTGTGGCAGGACTCTGAGAGAGCGACGGTGAGGCAGAGGTCGTCGGTATGGAAGTTGGATGGTACGGGGAAGGCGAAGAGTAAGCCATGTTGGCATGCGGAGCTGTGGTGGATGGTGTTCCGTTAGTTTGCGCGTCCTGGGCCACGAGGCACTTGGTGGATACACTGGATACAGGAGGTGGATACAGGCCGGGATGATATTGAGGTAGCGTCGCCCACGGTTACTTGGACGACGCTTCTCATCATGTGCATAGATTGATTGGCCAATAGAATAGACAAGTAGGACAAGCCAAGCCGTCCTTTTCAAGAGGCTGAAGTGTGTATACATGCAAGTCACAGAAAGAGACGAATCAAGGAGACAGGAAGGACTAAAAATGAAAGAAGGAATCTTGACTTACCACCCATATTACCGGCCATCATAGCTCCACCAGGCCCGGAAGTTTGGATCTGCATGGGGTTAAAGGAATGTTGTTGCATACGTGCCTGTTGTATCTGAGGCGGATAGGCCGCCATTGGGTTGGCAGCAGCATAGAAAGGGAATTGTTGATTGCCTGGACTGGGGGACTGGATAGGATAGCCTGCAGCAGCAGCCAGCATGGGATTAGCATGCTGCTGCATGGTCGTAGGATAACCAGTGGGGTTGGGATTCATTGCTGAGTCTGGTCTGTATAGAGCGGGACGATCTGAGGGAACCGTGTGACTGCTATCTTTGTTTTGTTTCGGCGTATGGGGTTAGAGTAGATAGATATGCTCAGGAACCGGTACCGGTTACGATCAGAGTTTGAGGCTGTGGCAACACAAAGCGAGAGCCGGAAGTACGGCAACTGACTCGTTGAGAGTGGACAGATTGGAGCATATAATAATAGGGGAAGTAAGAATTGGGAGAAACGAGGGGATGTGATTGGCGGAGACAGAGAGCAAGGATTGTCGGGGAGTATTTCGTTTATCTGAGAGAGATTTGTGGTGATGCAGTCAGGTAGTTCAGGCGAGAAGAAGAAGAGTAGTCGAGCCGCTAGGTTGTTTTGGGCAGCTGCGACGCCTAGTCACGTTACCTGTGCTGTGATTGGGCGACAAAAAGTGCCAAGAGTATACCACTATTCTCCGTCTCTCCACTCTCCTCTTTTCTTAAGAGCCATGTATCTCAGATCCATACACCTCTATTCTTCTAGGACTATTCAAGGACTATCTCGCTCTTGGTTTCATTGCAAAGTGTTGACAGAGGTCTAGACCGGCTGGCTGGACCAATGTCATCTTGGGACTGTTGCCTAAACCTTAGGTCGGAGAGTATTCTCACTACGAGCAAGATGAACAATACAGATGACACTTGTATCCCAGACCACGGCTCGAGAATGCTGCCTGGAGACAACTCAATTGATCCAGTCAATTGACTTCATGAAGACAGATTAAGAATGAACAAGCTCCGGGCAATAGCACCACCATTCTACCCATGGATCCGACACCTATGCGTACAAAATATGGCATCGGTGCCTGCGCCATGGACCGTGAATCATCAACCATCATTGTCATCATTGTCGGCAGCCTAGGATCAACGTCTATGAGAAGAGAGAAAATGTCTCTTTGGGAGATTGCTTTTCTTCTTCACACGCAGTCTTGTTATCTCGAGGAAATCTATACACGTTTCCGCTTGAGCTTTGACACAATTCTAACCATCCGAATAGTTTCCAAATTCAAATCAACTTCTGACTGTGCCAAGGCCAAATAAATGAGCCCAAACAAAAACAAAATAGTCTCAGAAGAACTCGCGACGCATCCTGTTATCACTTTCTCTGTCAACATGGCTCGTGTCTCTCGATTCACTGAAGAATTCGATCTGACCTCTTTCCCTCCTCTCGAACGCCAAACTGCAATGGCGGAGAAAGCCGCCCTGATGGATATCAAATCAGTGGCCGAAACCAAGAAGACTTCTTCCATCTCCCCCATTAAAGGTTTCCGGCGCCTCGCTACCTACTACAAGCGCCATTTCAATCAACTCGTGATATGCAACCTCCGCCAAATCAGCAACCATCATGATAATGAAAACATTGAAGCCGGCTCGATGTTTTCAACATATGGGGCCCGCATGGCATCTGAAGCAGAACTCAAACGACAATCTGAACGAAACCATCTCGACTATATTTTCTACCTTGGTCCTGACGACGAGTCGTCAATTTGCAATTCAACTGCATTCAAAGCAAACAAATCCACCAGTGCAGTCACAAAAGCTCATGCTACCGCTGAGCCGCGATGTCCTGATGCCCCAACTGTATGGGCTCAGGTTTATGTTATTACGGGATATGAATCTGAAATTGAACGGATTAAAGAGAATACCAAGGCTACTTTGGAAGCATTCGGTATTGAAACGGATGAGGAATGAACGCGTCTTGGGGACTACATGCATGCACGGGTTTTTTATTTGAATATGTTTCCGGAACATTTACTCCTGCACTAAAATCATGTCCATTTGATGCGCATCAATCATGTTTATGAATGACCTGTTAGAGAGAGATACCCCCGTCAACTAGATTTGACATGTTGTTTTAATACTGTATATTTAGATAGACTGACCTCAGGCGAGGTTTCATCCAGGGTCCAACACAAGAACCACTCGGTTTCCCTCGCTATGTGCCTGGTATGCACGCCTGAACAGGCAGGCCACAGAATTGAATCTCATGATTCTTCACTCATTCCCCGTAAATCAACCCTCCGGCGTAGAAATAATCAATCCTTCCCCTTCCTCGCCTTAAACTCCTCTATAAACCTCTTCTCCTTCCCCTTCGGCACAACAACAATCTTTACCAACTCATCCACAACCTCCACTTTCCCACCAGACAACACCTGCAACAACGGCAGCTTCTTACCTACTTTGATCAATCCCCCCGTTATAGTCTCCATATAGCAATTCACAGTCTCCAACTGATACTCCTGCTTCATATCCCACGGCAACGGTAACAAATACTCCAAATGATCATTAATACAATCCATCTCCCCAAACGCCTTAATAAAATCCGTCTGCGCATCCATCGGATACAAAAACATAACCGGAAACACCAACGTACTCTCCGGTGATAACGGGTCCGGCGTCAAGGCGATTTTGGCATCCTCCATATCTGGTTTTGCATCTGTGCGTCGGACACGGATTGTTCGTGCTTGTAGTGCTGTGGATAGTAATTGTTTCTCTTTTCGTTTTGTTTCTTCTTCTGCCGCTTTGCGAGCGGCGATTTTGTCGAGGATGGACTTCCGAGCGCATATCTTTTCGGACACTTGGTGTAATGATTTGTTGTCGGGGTCGATTGCTAAGCCTCGCGTGACTGTATCTGTAGCTTCGGCGAGTTTGTCAAGGGCTAGTAATGCCATTGAAGAACGGTAGTGGGCCTTGACGTTTCGCGGGTTTACTTTCAGTGCTTGTGCACAGTCTAATGTCGTCGATCTATAATTCTCTGCCCCCATCGTCATGTCAGTCCAATTCACCACAAGTCCACGAGGGGGACTCACTCAACTCCAAATTACACAATGCCCTATTCGCATAACACGCCTCCCTCGCCTCTCTCAAGATCTTCTCCTCCTTCTCCAAATCCGTCGGTTTCTCCCATTTATCGTCTTCTTTTTTCACATTCAACACCGCTATGGCCTTTGTATAAAATTCCTTTGCGTCAACCCAATTCTTGGCCTTGGCTGCTTCGTTGCCTTGTTCACGAAAACTGAGCGCGACTTCGCCTCGGGTTCCTTCGTATTGTAGCGCACGAATGGCTTCTAGCATGACGTTTTCACCTTCTACACCTAATCAGCATTCTATGAAGAAGAATAGGTAGTAGAAGTAGAGATACCCTCATCACCAGCATTGTCCAAATCCGTCATAAACAACGGCGTCTTATTCATCATATCCGCCAATTGATCCGGTGTATACGATCGAATCGATGCCATTGCAGGCGGTAATTCCGGCGCCAATGGGTCTGCATTTTGCACCTTTTCTGGTTTTATGGGAAACGGCACGTTTTGGTCGGAGAGGAGGGATGATGGAATTGCTTCGGAAGCAGCTTTAGCTGCTGATGATGGAGCGGGAGTCGGCGGAGGTTGGGACTCGTCATAGTCATCGGGGAGTTCTTCTATTTGACCCATTTCTATATTATTTCTACTGTCGAAAGGTATAGGTAGATTCTCAGTAAAAAATATTTGATAAGGATGCCCAAAGGATGCAAACATGACAAACATGTGGCACTATCGAGACAGAAGTTCTGATTGGCTGAATCGATCTATATACACTCTATATGCACTGAAGCAGCAAACTAGTCAATCTTCTCTTCCTCCCTTTCAGACGATCGACTAATAACATGAAACGAAAAGTCTAATTCTCCAACCAAACCCCTCACATTCCTGGACATGTTAGCATCAGCCATGGATTGAGTCTAGAAAAGGACGTACTCAATCAACCTCTCCAAATCACCCACAATACATCTACTAGCAAGATGCAGTACACTAAACGCCGCATACCCCGGCTCAGCCGCATGACATATATTCAGTATATCTTTATCGACTTCTTTGAGTCGATCGCTGAACGTATCTGGTGAGGGCACTTGGAGATATGGAGGTAAAGGTTGCGCGTTCATGATACTTGCCGAGAGTAGAGCGAGGATGGACGTGATTTGATGCGAGGTTGCGTGTGTTGTGGTTATTAATTTCGTGAAATCGGTGTACCATCCACTTCTTTGCGAGGCTGCTGGGATTGAAGTAGAAGAGGAGAATGTTCTGGATGCGTATTCGGCGAGGTTGATATAATTCACGATACTTTTCAGTCAGTATTCCATCCACAGGACTGGGGGAGGGGAAGGACATACTTTTGTATACAGTCAATGATCCTCGCGTACTGTCCCCTCGGAAACCGTCCTCCGACCTGAATCTCCCATTTGATTGAATCTGCATACGAGCGTAACCCATTAATAGCCATCGACTGATTCGCATACGCTTTATGTCTCGCCTTTTCCAATCGTCTCCCTGCAGAGGTTTTCAACGTCATATCACCTTCATCACCCCTCGCACGCGCAATCAGCGTCTCATGGGTTAGCGAATAATACTTAGCCAACAAATACAACGAATCACCCAAGTCCCGTCGCAGCACAGAATGATCGGATATCGGGTACGGGAATATAGTCCAAAGAAATGCAACCGCAACTCCACCCACCACGACCGCCAGACGGAATGTCGCTAATAGATATGTAGGGTAATACGGCTGACCGCCGGCTTCGACGGCCCGTTCACCGAGTTTCGCGACTTCCATTTCGCTGGCTATTATCACGATTGTGGTCAGCATGCCCACGACACCGGCTTGTTGTAAGACCGGTCGTTTTAGGGGTATCCACCAGATGGCGGTGGTGTACACGAAGAATAATACGATGACACCTGCAATGTGCCCGTTTGGTATGTACCAGACGACCATAGCGGCAATCATGCCAATCACTGTACCGCTAGACCGTAGGACAAAATTAAATACGGTTTGGCCGGAGGTCGGACCCATGCTGATAGTCTGCATGACCATAGCCCAGACGAGACGTTGCCGTACAAAGAAAGCGTGCGAGTCTTTAACATAAGCGATAATACCAATCGATAAAGCTGCACACGCAACCCGAAACCCATACAATGACCTCGACGACCGCAAAAAACTCGGTATCACGCGCAGCCACTCGCCCATCGACTGCACTATATTCTCGGGAGGTAGATGTTCCGGATCTTTGCGTCGATGATATGCTTCCCCCAAATCCAGAATGATTCGTCGACGATAGGCATCCTCGCCGGTATTTTCATTTTGTTCATTTCGATAAAGAGTTCTGATGAATTCACGGAATTGCTTGCTACCAGGGACGACGAGTCGGTTATGAGAGTATTTCCCGCTTGCGACGCGTTGATCGGCGAAGAGGACGAAGGCGAGGATAGAGAGACTGGAAGAATATAACATGTGTTCGACCTATTCTTATTAGTACGTAGTGAATAAGCTAGTTAGTATGACAGACATACATATAGTAGAATGTATAACTGACGCTCGGTTCGATCCCGAGGCAACGCTCCCGGCACATCTTCAGGAAGTTCTATAGGCTGATCTCTTGTAGTACGATAGAAGTAATCTTCTGGAAGCTCGATCCCCTTTTGTTCGCACCACTCCCGGAGAGTGATCAATCTCGCCTTGTAGAATGCTTCACATTTACCTTCCAAATACTTGGCGAATCCTTCCTCTCCTGGTCTCACATCCGGAGAAGCCTCAATATCCTTACGTTTTCTCGGCCGTTTGACCAGATTCAATTGATATGCCACATGCTCCAAACCATCATGCATGGCATCAAAAATCTGCGCAAAATGGTCATGAGTTGATGCCATAATCGCATTCCAATCATGCACCATTCTCGCATGCACCGCATCCCTCTGGGGATCGACTCCTCCCTCTTCAACGGGTTTTATCCAATTATTCCACTCCATTATACGATCAAAGACATCCACGACCGTACTCAATCCAATAATAGGCACCATCGTCGCCCTCAACTGTCGAAAAATCATACCGAATTCACCTACCCCAGGTTTTCCATAAGCAACCTCCCTCTTGGCATAAGGTAATTCATTGCTGAGCGACGCATGAATCTGCGAAACCCGCCGAGCCGCATTTTTAATCGCATCCGCTTTCGCTCTATACAATATTTTCTCTTCCGTCGGATTCCGTGTTTGGATCCGTACAAACATATCCAACCGCTCCATAGACTGGAAATACGACTCATGGACTCTGAGCGCCTCCTGCAACGCGGAGATATACCGTCCCATCATTTGCAATACAGCCTCTCGACACGTATCCGGGAAAATAAGTATATGCGTCGCAGTCGCAAGAGCCATACCCGTCAACATGGCCAGTAGAAGCCTCTTGACAAAGGCAAATCCAGAGGATACGCTGACATAATCCGGTGCCTGAGTAGCAGCCACAAAGAAGAGCATGCAATGCATTTGCACGGGTATTCCGAGCTGGGGATCTTCGCCCCGTAACGTATTCACAATATATGTCTGAAAGAACAGCCAAATAGCAGCCACAACAGAAGCAGCGGTATTATACGGCACGGAGAGAATATCCTCTGTCGACACGTTGCTGAGTTCTGCAGGTTGGGACGTATTCTGTCGCGCTTTCACGCAGCAATAAACCATTAACAGACTACTCGTTGCGCCGAAACAGACCAGAACCAAACCCTGGATGAGGAAATGGAAGTATTTCCCTCGAGGAGCACTGCAGCGACTGAACATGGCGGCCACGGGCATTAAGTAGGCCATTGTGGTGTATTCCTTAGCCACGATGTCGGATTGATACATTGCCAGTGCGATTGTAGCTGGTAGAGCGGCTTTCACCATCCTCAACAAAGTGCGTAGATCGACATCCCACCGTGAAAAGAGTCGCCTGATAGAATTGGCTGGCGCCATTGTTTCTGACCTTCCCACCAAACAGAAGAGAATATGGTCGAACAATAGTTGCAATAAATCAACAACTTCATTTTAGAATCTCTTGTCCGGACAGAAAATTCTCGCAATTCAGTTGCACCGGAGCTTCCGCGCAGTTACATATAAGTGTCTGTTATGCACGAGATGTCGTAAGTGCATGTAACGAAATGGTATGCCATTGTATATTGTCTTGTCACTGTATAGATCGCATCAAGAGAAAATAATTGGATGCTTCGTCATCAAGACCAGCAACTTGACTGGTGGGGAAGTTGACGTTGATTGTGGAGCATTCATTTAGAGCCTGAGAATTCAGGACACAAACTACTTATATCTAGGGTTAGGGTTTACTCAGAGAAGCCCTAACTATTTTGCGTCTAATGAAATACGGTATGAGGACGGATTAAAAGTTGGTACCAAGTCTCGTCGATGATATGCTAGAAAAATACTTCCAGATGGTTCCTGACCAAGCCGTAGCATTTCCTAGCGATTTGCCCTTGATGTATTTCTAACCTTACGGCTTAAAGACTGAAGGATATCCAGGTATCCATGAAGCTGTATCAGAAAGGAGTTAATAAGGATAAAAGCAGGTCCTAACCATAGATGTCCACCCTACACACAGAGCTCTGATAAACGCCATGACTTCAAACTCACAGAGTCTTAGATATACACCGAAATCTGACCAAAATTCCATAAAGGAAAGACTAGAAAAATATTATTCGATGGTATATACCGGTGCCTGAATAAGCACATTATTCGGCCCTCTACCCTTAACCTCCACCATCATAAACGTCGAAAACCGTACTCGCCCACGTTTATCTTGTTGCTGTAATTGCTCATCTCGTTCTTTGTTATTTGTCGTTTTCTCAGGTGATGAGGTCGTTCCCTGATTCTGGCTCTGTTGTGGCTGTGTTGGTGTCGAAGATTTCTTACTCATCAAACTTCCAAATGGATATTTCTTTCTCTGTTCACGGCTTTGCGGGATATGTGCTGCATTTTTACTCTGGTCAGATTGTGATGCTGCTGTCTCCTTCGTATCTGTCTCCATCTCATCGTTCTCTCCGCTCGTCGCGATATTATTATCATCTCTCCCCGCAGCAGCGACTGGACGCGTCAACGGCGGTAACCCGGTCTCAACCTTCATATTTATCTCCGACACAAGACTTCCCGGCACAATGTAATCAACCACAATATCCCTTGCTTCTTGTGGGATCTTTTCGGCAATATTAATCGCATTCTCAACAATCATGCGCGTATAATGCGCAAGTTCAGGTGGAGCCGGATCCTGCAAATCGCACTGCAACATGGCCGATAGCTTCTCGACCAGATACTCCACCAACTGATCCATATTTTCTTGAGTAGACTTAGATTGTATCTGATCCGTTAATCCGTCTAGTGTAGTTCGTCTCCAGTTCGAGATGCGAGCGACCTGATTCTCTTTATCGTCTTCATTGAAAACTTGCACTTGTTGACGGCGCAGATTCATTTCAACGGTTTTCAGGCGTTCGCTGAACCCGCGTTCCAGGCCAGGATGGAAATATCGATTGAACACGTCTTCGACGACCCATCGAGAAAGGACTGCGCGACCGACGCCGGTCATCTCTTTCTGGCCGAGGGAAACTGCATCTTCGTTGATAAATGGGTGTAACCAATCGGGGATGGTTCGCCAATTCTTTCGTATAGAAAATGCCAAATCTTTGATTGCGCCGTCAAGACGATTGAAGCGTGCCGTGTATTCGTTATCGTCCAAGACGGTACGAGAAACGGCCATTCGCTGATGAGCCACCGTATTCTGGAGCTGTGTGACCTGCGCATCTTTCTCGAAATAATACCTCTTAACTTTTTGATATTTGACTTCTATCATTACCGTTAGAATAATTCTTGATAGGTGTATGCGGGGAACGTACGAAGTTCTTCATGCCTCTTAATCAAAGCCGCAACATCCAGCGCCTCCGACTGTGTTGACGTCGGCGTCTCACGACCCTGCGTATCCTGCTGTGAGGCATCACCCTTGAATGATGACCCTGACGTATTCTGTTGATACACGACCGAATCCTTACGAACGGGGTTCTGGGACTGTGGATCCGTCGGTCGTGTACCTGTTTGTTGTGCGGTAGCCATGTCGTTTACTGATTGATCAAGACTTTGATGAATAGAAGGTCGACGAGAGGATGTCTTAAATACCATATTAGACTGAGTATGAATGTAGACAGGATATTGACTTACCTGACTAGGAATTGACTCAAAACTCTCGGATCGCCTATGCTGCCACCCGGAATGAGTGCTATCCACCCCCAACCGTTGCGTACTATCAATCGGGGTATGCGGTTGACTTATCCGCCCCGGACTAACAGGCGTATCTGCCGTTGGAGGCCGTAACGATGCCGTCTCCGACTCAAACTGCTGGCTTTGACTCAACGTCGACTGACTCTGACTATGCCCTGATTGTCCACCTGTCGTCGTCGTCGTCACTATCCTCCCATAATCCGATCCCGCCGACGGATGCACAAAACTCTCCCGTCCAAACGAATGCTTAATCGACGCCGAGCGACCAAGCGATCTCTCCTTCTTTCCTCCTGTCGAATGTTGTTTCGTTGCTGTTGGCGGACTACCCGACGCAACGCTCTGATTCCGACTGAAAAATCCCTTTTTCTTCTTTTGTAGTTTCTGCCCGCCGGTAGCAGCAGAAGTATCCTGAAGTAAATCCGGGGACGAATTATTGTGTACACTTGTAGACCAGTGTTGTTGATCAATTGAATTTCTCGCCCGATCAGGACTGGCCTGATAATCGGATTGATTGGTGAATTGTTGTTGCTGCTGAGGAGGAGACACCAAGCTGATCGTCGGTCGTTCGAGAGATAGTTGACTTGGATTGTGGTGCGCAGGGTGACGATATTGTTGTTGTTGTTGATTGTCTGGTTGTACGTACCTTAACTCTGAATACGGAACGTTGTGCGGGGAATGACTACCACCAACATGAAACCGATGGGCGGCAAACGGCTCGGAAGGACGACGCGTCAAATCAAATCTTCTATCGGAGTAATCTTCTTGTAAGGATTGCTGTTGCTGTTGTTGTTGTTGAAGGAGAAGAAGCTGGTATGAGTCGTCGGGTAGTAGTGGTCGTCCTGAAGGAAGAGATGTTGAGCCCGATGGAGACTCGCCCGCAGCCTGCTGGGAGCGGGTCTTTTTACTGAAGAATGAGGGCATGGATGGAGAGATTCCTCTCCTGAGTGAATTAGAACAAGGAGTGCAAATCAGAACAGAAAGAAAAATCGCATTGATTTCTCATAGAAAATCTCTTTCGAAGGGAGGTGCAAGTGTCATCTCAGAAGTGAGGGAGGCTCAGCCTTGTTGCACAAACAGACTAGTGAGAGTGGCCTGCAGATAGCCATCTTTACTCTTGTTAGTATGTTTACCCCCTCCAGCTAGTTCTTCGTATTATTGTTTAAGCAGCGCTTACATTGGCCAAGGACAGTCATTACTGATCAGTAGAATATTCCTCTACCATAGCCTCATAGATAGTCAGAAAGCAGGCAGAACAACCGTCGAACGAATCTATAAATAGAAGTCGCGTACCACGTCAGCTTATCCCTGACTCCGTCTATCTACTTGTTACGCAAACTCAGGGGAAATAAATCAATTGGTAGAATAACTGCTGAGCGGACTCGCAAAGCTGAATCAGATTGGCCTGGGTCTGTTTACCTACAACTGTGGATGCGGGGCTGTGTTGCCAACCAACAAAACGAAACAACTGGCGATAGCGCCAACAAATTGCATTCAGTGTTCATAAATCATAGCTATATCCATATCATAGATCTACATCAATAGACAGACAACCTAGCAAACAGCATGAGTCTTCCCATGCTTTCCCTGCAAGGAGTGCTTCTCCTTCTTGTACGCCGGATGATTATGATGCGACTTGTGCGAGTTAACAACATGATTCTTGACATGTTGTTGGTACTTGTCAATCATACTCTTGTCCATATTCTCCAGTGTCTGGAGCGCAAGTCTGATATCATTGGCAAGGTTATCCGCGCGCGGGATACTGAAATCCTCGCGAACGACGATTCGCATCAGTTTCAACCTCTCGCTGTGTGGTGCCATGGTGTACGCTGGGACCACCCAGCCGCGTTCGCGCAGCTGGTGCGCAATGGCGAATTCGTCGTAAAAGTAGTCCCGGTCAGGGTTGAGACGGAATGCGACAAGAGGAAGACCGTGACCACGGCCTTGGCTCATAATGATGAAGCCGAGCTCTTCGAGCTTGCGGGACAGATAATCAGCGGTGCGGGTGAGGTTGAGCATAATGGAGCGGTAACCCCGTTTACCGAGACGGATCATCTGGTAGTATTGCCCAATGACCTGCGATGCACCCTTGGAGAAGTTGAGGGTGAAACTGGCCTGGTCAGCTCCGAGATAGTTGATGTTGAAGACGAGTTCCTGAGGGAGGTACTCGGGTGATCGCCACACAACCCAGCCAACACCGGGATACACCTATATTCATTAACAGCTGGTTTCGTCTTGCTAAGGAGCTGACCTACCAAACCGTATTTGTGACCGGAAACATTGATCGAAACGACCTTCTCCAGTCTAAAATCCCACTCCAAGGTAGGATTCACAAACGGAGCCACGAATCCACCACTAGCAGCGTCAATATGAATCGGGACATCAAGTCCCCTTTCAACCAAGAGATCGTTAATCGTCTTGGCATCCTCGTATTCACCCGTATAGGTAGTCCCCAAAATCACACAGATACCAATAGTATTCTCATCCACCAGATCCACAGCCTGCTCAGGATCAATAACGTATCGATCATCAGTACAATAAACATACTTCTCCTCCACATCAAAGTACCTCGCAGCCTTTTCCCAACAGACCTGAACAGCACTGTTCATGACGATATTGGGCCTAGTCCAGTCCTTACCCTCGGCCTTGCGCCTGTTTTGCCAGCGCTTCTTCATGGCCAAAGTAGCGAGCATGATGGCTTCGGAGGAGCCAATGGTCGAAGTACCCATGGCATTCTCGCTGTTCGGGTCCGTGGGCGCATTGAACAGGCGCGCAATCATATTGACGCATCTGTTCTGAATATCGGCGGATTGGGGGTACTCCTCGTAATCGATGAAATTCTTGCTAAAGGCTTCGGTCATGAGTTTTTCGGCTTCGTCTTCCTACTATGAATTAGAAAGCACTTGACCCTTCCCCAGTAGACTTACCATATAAGTCGTCACAAACGAAGCAAGACTACGACGTCAGCCTTTTTTTCTTCTCTTTACTACTAAAAGGATAAGAATACACACTTGAGCATCGGATTCCCATCCAGACTCAAATCATCCTTGATCATCCGATAAGCAACTTCCCGCGGCATCTCCTTCTCTGGCATTTCCAGCGCAGGAAGCGACTCGGCCGCATACCGAGTTCCGTAGACACTGGTCGAGAAATCATCGTCTCCGTGGGCATTGAGATCCAAAGTCTCGACGGGTGGGAGATCACTGACGGAGGAATTGGGAACTTGATTGTTTTTCTTGACGCTTGCTAGATGGACCATTTTGGCTGCAGTGGAAAAGAGTAAAGAATGAGAATGTGCTGACAATCAGGGGAGAGAGGACGACGGAAGAGCAGCGCTTTTATAGAAAAGGTGAAACACTCTTTGCTTTTTCGTCGGCCTCGGGCCTTTATGATCGCTTCACGTTTTGCACGACAGCGACATCATTGATTTGATTGGGATCATAAAGCTCGAGAGAGTGGCTTGCGAGTGGAGAAGGAATCCCACGTCAGTTCCGACTATCATCGGCGCTAATACGGAATATTACCCCTAATGAAACTAAATCCTATTGTAATAAATGTATTTATGGTTATTATAGTACGGCTCCTCCACTAAGCAGGCACTAAGGCAAACAGTGGCTGATGGAGATTCCTGAATCTCCGGTCTCTGCCACTCTATGGCGCCACGAATCTATATCCTCATCTTATTAATATGATTAATATAACTCATATCTAGCTGCCACGTATCTTATATATACGTGCAGTAGATATGTATGTACTATCAGACGGTGTGCGCGAGAAAAGCTTAGCCTCGACGATCTCAGGCCCTCGGCGGGGTAAATTGATAGTTACATACCGCTTCATCGATTGTCTTGGAGTGAGGCATTTTTATATATTGCGGTCAGGAAGCGACTGTTATACGTATGGATATTGATTAATGATTATCGATCTATCCTTGCACTCCAAGGTTACGTACTTTGAACAAACAATCCTCCCACTGTACCGCCGCCGGCCTATCATACAGTCCATCCATCCTGGAAACGCCCCAGATCCGAAACCACTCGTCTCGCGCACGAGGAGCACTAATGTACATGTTACAACTAGACCGTACCGATTAACGACTATGCAGTGTTGCTCTTTTCTCCTTTGAATTTGCGTTTGATCCACGTGAAGAATCCTCCCTTTTTGGCCTCTTTTTGAGCTGGTGTTGGTTCAGCGGCCTTTGTAGCAGCAACTTGTTGTTTCTGCTGCTGCTCCGCTGTTGGCCGTGTCTCGACAGCAGCAGCAGCTTGATTGGCCGGTTTAGCCGTGGTATCTACTTTTTGAGAAGTGGCCGGTAGAACAGGCTCTTTCTGCGCTGAAATTTCTCCGGCGGGCGGCTCAGCAGATACAGCAGCGGCCGTGCTTGTTTCGTCGACTGTCTTTGCTCCAGGTTTAGCTGCCGGTGCGGCGATGGCTGCCTCTGTCGGGCCTTTTGGACCGGTTGGCTGAATGCTTGTACCAGCAGTTACAGTGCCGACTGTTTCAGGCTTTTCTGCAACCGTTTCTCCTTTGCTGATATTTTGTGCGTCTGCAACGGCGCTGTCTGTTCCAGATGCCGTCGACCCAGCCACTGAAGGTGATGGGAAACGGCCGGGAATTGCCAAGTTTGGCTGAGCTTCGGTCGGCTCATTGACGCGCGGTTTCTTCGACGGTTGGTCTCGCTCTTGGGTGACAAACGCTGGCACCTCGTGGGCGCGCTTAATGTGAGGTGCGACGGGAGGAGCAGCCGTAGCAACCTCGACACTGTCTGGTAGTCTTTCTGCGGGAAGCTTCGCTGGTGCATCCTTTGGAGTCTCTTTCTTTTCCAAGCCAGCTGCGACGGCGTCGAGTCAGTTGATTCTTCAGCCACGAATGAAACACATACCTGGTTGTGCTCGGTCCTCTTCAGTCTTTCTCCCCAATGCCGTCCCAGCTACTCCAGCAGTGACAACGCCAGCAGTCTCTCCCGGAGCCCGATCCTTGGGAACGTCCGGTATAGCCTCTGAAACACCAGTTGCCGCAGGAGCGGCAGGCTCTTCCTTGCCATGTGTATCCGCCACCAAATCTGCTCGTTCTGATGTAACGGGACGTTCGGGTACGGGTTCGGCGATCTTGGTTTCCTTTGCTACTTCCTTTTCAACCTGTTTCTTCGAGTCGGTCGGCGCAGCAGCAGCCAGTGCCTCTGTTCGCTCGTCGCCGCGTCGTTTGGTCTTGTCGGTTGAAACAACACCTGCGCATCCGGTTAGCCGTGTTGCCCGCATAACAAAGCAGAAAGAAACATACCCTGTTCGCGCGCTGGTAGTTGCTTAGCTTCCTCCTCCGGCACTGCCGCAGCCGATGGTGTCTCGGTGGTATCTTGCGACACAACTTCTTCTGTCTTCGGAGCTGTTTCGACTACTGGCGCAGTTTCGGCAGATCCGGTTGCCGTTGCTGGTGTGACCTCTTCGGCGGCTGTCGCTTCAGCCGCGCTTCCTTCGCCGCATAGGAGCTTATCCTCTTCTTTATGACCGGGGCTTCTACTAATCATTAGACAAGCGGTTCCCGGACAATGTGATCGATCCTGGATTGTTGCGACTTACATGACGTTCTTGACATCCGGGACTTTTGCTCCGCCGGCTCCCTTATTCTTGTTTTTGTTATGCTTTTTCCCTCCTTTCTTCGGCATGATGTCGGTCGGCGGATTGATAATGGTTATAGTCGATGTGATGTTGAGTATCAGGGATAATTGAACTGTGTCGTGAGCAAATTGTTTGCAAAGTGGCTAGATCAGTGGATTATTAGCTGCGACATCCAATAATATAACAAGGGATAGCAGTGGGATGTGGATCCTGACGTTCTCGGTGATCAGCACACACACACACACACATATACATACACACAGTAGAATTTGAAAGCAGTTCTAGTAGATGTATTGAGTGATAAATGAATCCAGGATCAGCAAGATGGATGTTTGTTTTCACTCGTTTACTTCTTCCCTTGCTGGTCTCCGTGTGCAGGGCTACTCCTTCCAAAACTGCTCCGGAAGTGCTTTTTTCCTTTCCTTCAGTCCGGCTGTTCCCATATGTGAATACACTCACTATACGGGCACGTCCAGACTATATGCTCCAGTCTGGACAGCATACCAGTCACACTGTAAGGAATGTCATCATCAAGGGATCTGACTCTAAGAGAAAAAAGCTGACGTCAACCCTCGGCCGGAAATGGAAATGTGTCTTCCGACCAATCATGCCAGCTGAGATAGCCCTAACTTGAGTCTGCATACCCTAGATATTCATTTCGGCCCCTGATATTATATGGCTAACGATACCTTATCAAGGGATAGGAGGTGAATAATATGTCGCTTATCCTGTTCTGTATATGCTTTTGGTTCAAAGATTGATTTGCCTTTTATTAGGAGGTTAGCTTACCAGACGACAGGGTACGGATATGTACGAATCTCGCTCTATTTTCTTTTCTTCTATTTTCTTTTCTCCTCTTTTCTCCTCTTTTCTACTGTGATGCTTCAATATTGAAGGTTGCCCGGCGCAAAGATTGGAATTTACAGTCAATTTATAGTATTGGTATCAGGAGCACTCGTTCCAGACGCGGTCTCTTCTTTCCCCCATTTGCAGTTATTCGGACTCGTCAAGTCTCACCATTTACTGTCAGATTGATCAATTTCTAATTATTTCACCAACTTAATGAAGAACTTTTGATTATCGTTCCCAGTGGGTGTCCATGTCAGAATCGGAGTAAAGTTATCCTTCTGGTATCCCGAAACGTCTAGGATTTGGTTCGTTGAGGACATACTTTCGATGCTGGGGTTGATAGAATGTGAGTGAAGATAATGAAAGAAACAAGACAAAAAAATTAAAAAAAGAAAAACACCTACAAGTAGTCGCCCTCTCTACCATTAACAGGAGCAAGCTTCCATCTCACACGGGGGTCGGTGGCTCGAACCATACTCGCAGTGACAGGTTTATTATCACCTAGAGATTCATTCAATGTTATGAGCACTTGGATCCCACCTGAAGGGTTCCTCTAATTACCTCCAAAAGTAAGGTATGCCCCCGTCTGACCACTAAGAATATGATACTGACCATTTCCAGCATCTGAGAGGTACCAATACTGGTTCAGATTTCCGCTTTGCCATTCACTTCAGTATGTATCAGTACCTGCCAATATTGGTAGAACATTGAACGATGAACATACTAGATCTGTATCTTGGTCCCATCGTCTCGTTTCCCGGCACTCAGATCAATTGCCTTTTGACTATTGCGATCTATGAGCGAGTATACTCCAGGACCAGTAAAATCAACAGGTGGTTGTTTGGTCTGTTCTGCTTCGAGAATGTTGCGAACTTTTTCTGGAATATCTTCATATCCAGGGATTTGTCCGATGACGTTGATTAAGGGTTGCACATCATCTTGCTAATAATCAAGAGGTTGACTGATTAGAATGAGACTGAACTTGCTCGGTCAATACGTACCTTGACAACGCGCCAATTGTAGAAGGAAGCGACAGTAGGACACCACATCGGTGGACTATATGGGGGGTTTTTTTTGTCAGGTGTAAGACTATACATCATATCTGAAGATAAACCTCACTTGTTAGAAAGCAATGTGTCCCCTCCCTGTGCCTGCCATTCAATGGATATATTCAAATCGGCAGCCTTCTCCGATGCCTTTGAAGCACCTCCCTGTTCATAACTAGCACTAGCAGATCCAGTCGCAAACGCAGATGAAAAAGATGCACTTGCAGCAGCCTTGAATGCAGCAGTTCTTTCTGTCTCGCTGGCTTGTCCACTCGACTCTTTAGCGTTTGAGCAGTATAAGCGACCGCCTAGTTGGACACGTCTTGAGTAGAATGTCCCTGTTCATTCCAGTTTAGCCTCTGGTCTTGCTTTGGTTTATTATCCAGAGTGTAACTTACCGTATTTCTTAACAAAACGGTCTATCTGATTGATATCACTGATGTTTTCGAGGTCTTTTTTGCATTCGTTTGATAGATCTAGTGAATCACTGTCGAATGTCATACGGACTCGTGGGAACTGAGACTGTATTAGCTGACCGAACCCCTTGCTCGAGTCAAAAAAATCAAGCTTACATTATACGTCATGGTCAAATTCTCTTTGTCGGTGGTCATGTCTTTTGCACTGCCTTGAGAGTTGGAAAGCTTCACTCCTGCCTTTGCCCCGATGGAGGCGCCGAAAGCACCGCCCCCTCTGTTCAACGAGACCATAGGTATTAGAGCACTCGTTCCTTTAAGTGAAAGAGGAAAGTTGGGAAGGCTCACACAGCTGCTTCAACATCTGTCGCAGAAAATGAACTTTCAGCCATAGATAATTGTAGCGAGGTTTTCGTTTCGATTTGTTTCACATATGCATCATCGTCTACCTGGAAACGAGGAATTCGATAGGATTGCTATATACAGTTGCTGTTGGTTAGTCCTTATGGTTGAGCTTGAAGATCTGGAATTATTATCAATGCTTACCACAACACCATCCCCTGTATCTGCAATTCCGAGATCATACGGTTGAAACTCGCGAGGCTTAAGCACAAAGGCTAATACATAACCCCAATCAGCAAAAACACACAACAATCACAATTGTAGAATGAAATGAATCAACTCACCAGGGTACTCAGCCCGTTCGATACTAACAGCAACTGTGCTCGCTGAGCCATCCGTATTGACCTCACCAGTTACTATACTGTGGCCACAGAGAAGGGCATTGTCCCTAATGACAATTCCCCACTGTTGTTCTGACATATCTGCCGGGTGTCTGTAATACATAAACATATCAGGATGGCTACGAAATTTGGGCAGTATTGAAGGGGAGAGCACACTTACGTTGATTCTCCCATACCTCCCATCGCAGCGTAGTTGTTCATGTCAAACGATGGCTGTATAGTCGGTGCTTGAGTGTTTAAAAGTTGGGGGTTGTTTTGCTAGTCACATTAGTTCCAATCCATCAGACAACAAGAAAGGAGATACTATACAGTCATATTCATATTGAGGTCTTGATTAAAGTTCGTTTTGAGGGAATCTTGAAAGTTCTGATCAACAGTGCTTGTGACTTTGATAGTTTTCAGATAAACCGGATATGGTATACTATTGCCCTCTGACTGGTTTGTCTGTTTCGGAATTGTTAAAAATATGATATCTTCTGACGTCCTTCTGTACTTACACTATTACTCATTGTAAAATAATCACTGAGTTTCACTGTATCATTGACTTCTGATCCAATTTTTGTGCAAAACGGCGCATTTTGCCTGCATATCATGTAATCGATTAGCATAAATACTCAAGTCTTTTGTTCAATTTTATTCCTACGCATTTTTCATCGCTTTCTGATCCTTCACCATGGCTCTAATCTCACCAAGTGTCACTGTTCTCGGATCTGTAGTAGCCCCCATCTGTTGAATGAACAGGGCTTTGGGCATCTCCGATGTACTTCCATCGGGACCAGTTTCGCATTGATAGAATTCGAGGAAGTAATCAGACGCGCTAGTTCCTGTGCCTACTTTAGTCACTTCATCTTCAATATGAAGTTGGCCTCAACATACCAGTTGGGTCCTTTGTCTCCGTTTCAGTGACTTTGGTCGAGGTGTCGTTGCCATTAGGCTTCTCCATGGATTGTGACATGATTCAATCGAAAATAAATTTGTAGTTTGAGCCAACTGTGTTAATTGATAGTAATTGCTGATTTGTCCCGCTCAGTTAGGGGTTACTGAAGGAAGATAGAATAGATAGTGGTTCGTTCAAGTCCTTTGCTTCGTATAATAACATGACAAATAAAACAAACAAGCAAGTAGGCACTGTACTTATGTATACGGAGTAGGTTGAAGAAGGTTTCAAGTTCCGGAGTCCATTGATTTTCAATGTATACTTATGTTGTCAGGATTACTTCCAAGGTTCCCATCAGTTCTAATAATATCGTGGAGGATTAGTCCGGATTTTGTCAGGATTACTTCCCATAGGTTCTAGGTTCTAATAATATCCTGGAGGTAAGTCCGTATGTTTTCATTATTACCTTCCACAAGCTCTACTGCTTTCCTCGAGGATCTGTCAGTAAGTTGCCCCCCAGATAGTGCTTGGTACACATAATTTCAGTAAGATCACGCCTCCTCCGGCTGGTAATGCCGTTATCATTCATCATGATGTTCAATTCCTGACGGGTCCTAGGCTATAGTGACGTATAGAGATTGTTCATAAAGTCGCTGAAAGTAGAAGTAGTCCAATTGTTGACATCCCAGTCTGCATATTCAAGTTGATACCGGAGCATATCATCACCGGCTCTAATCTTTTGAGGTCCGACACAAGAATCAATCTCATTGAAAACTGGACAAGACATATCAGTTTCAGAAGGCTATATACATCAATTCATCTGGTGACCTCTATAAGTAGTTCGGGGTACACATGCAAAATGGACAGCACTCCTCCCCAACTCCCCACCAATGCAGTCACAAACCACCACCCAAACGTTGGTCAAGCATGCCTCGAAGCCTTCAACAACGTTGTGTTCCCCAAAATGCGAAACGAACAATGATTTGATGAGGCTTATTTTCAGGACAACGTTGCCAAAGAACTTCCTCGCCGCACTCAACTCGCACACTTGCCCTTCGAGGTAAATCGTAGCCAACCCGTTTATCAAACCATTGGAAACGTCGATATATGGCTCTTTGGTGGACCAAATGGACCGAATGCAAGCATTGAGATTAAATATAAGCAGAATACTGAGTCGGGGAATGATTTTGTGACGAGGATTACTGGGCTTTATTCAAGTAAAATTCGTCCTGGGCCCCGAGATCTATATTGGCACGGCATGTCAACCTTTTGGGGAATTGCGTTTACCAATCAAATAGATGATGTTCACCAGATACTGGCTAAGATGCAGATATTGGGTGCGGCAACACAGACGACTGGGTTTTACAGACAGGGTTATGAAAGCATTGAAAGGGCAGAGGGGAATATGTACATGATTTGGTATTGTCAGTGGTATCCTTGAGCAGATTCGATGTAAAAGGGGCCTTTGTACGTTGGCTTTGAAACAGGTTCCATTAGACGAACGTACAATCTACTAGATACATGCACTTTGGTGCTGTTTTTGTGGTCATCAAAATATGATGAGGCTCTAGAAAGATGTCATGTGTGCTCTAGTTAAGTGGTGAAGTCGAGGGTTGATATCAACACCTCGCCTCAAACGGGCTAGTCCCAATATTGCACCAAGGCAGGTATCTACGTGAGTCAGGTGATGTCCTGTCAAAATACGATGAATAGGCTAGTGTTAAGGGCTAAACGTTAAGGTCTACTCAACACTCCTCTCGGGCACTTTAGGCCCATATTCTACTGCACCCTACCACTGTATATGCTTGATATCTTGTAAGGAGCTCTATCTAGCAGAAGAGAATGTAGGAATGTACATAAATTAAAGGTGGTGATCTAGCACCCCTCTAGTTCCAACGACACCCCCCTGGAACTTGTCGGATAACCCGGATATCCGGCGAGGCAGAAGAGAGGCTATTCGATCACGAAGGTCAACCAGTGGCAGTCACCTCAGGCCATGTATCTGGCTACCTACAATTCAGCAAATAAGAAGCCATCTTCTTCTTATCAGGGCTCAGTGCCCCTCGTGATAGCTCACAAATCACCCCAGCCAAAAATGTTTATAAAACCCGGCTTTTGGACCTGACGTATTCTAGAAGAGACAGAGACAACACAATAAATACAATCCTGCTAGTTACTTCTTCTTTTTCTTCATCCTAGTAGACCACTATTCAGGATTGGCCTGGAATAAACCCAGCAATCTGACAGAACTTAGTAGTTCTGATTGGACAATTTCAGGAATCTCGTGGACAGAAAAACACAAGAGCCGAATAAATTAGTTCAATTCTATATTTGCATATATAACACAAGTCCATAAACTATGTACTGTAATTATTAACTCAAATTGACACCTGAAGAAGCCCACCAAAGGTTTATGTCCACAACACCGAGGGCTTATCAACAGCATGATGGGCATTCCCATAGTCAGAATAGTTTGCATTTCGCATGATGTTGACGGCTTTATTCACTTCAAGATGTATGCAATTATACTCGTCTAGTTCAGAGGTTAGCGCCCCAAATATATAATTTAAATCAGCTAACTGCCAACCACACCTAGGAGTTCTTGAAAATAGATACGTTGCATTGTTGTACGACTCCGTACTGGCTAGTGCAAGCCCTTGTGGAATCATACCGGTCAGCTTAGGGCACCCAGTGCACAAACTCCCCTGTCGAACATACTTGCGGCTGATAAAACCGTCGTGTTAATGTACAGGGCTTAGACTATCGAACCAACAACCAATCAGCCCGTCAGTGTAAGTGTCTCCGACAAGGCTTGCAATTATTCCTCGTGGGCCATGGCGAGAGAACTTATTAGATGGAGTAGTAAAAGATCCGGTATGCCACACTTCGTATAGTAGATAGCGGAAAAAGTAAAAGAGGAATAGATTAGCGAAATTACGTGAAGGTATCAAGCCCTCGGTTTGTCTGAATATACGAGGTTGAAACGCGACCTCGGAAGGTTTAAATAGGCATTGGTGAGCTGATTCGTATAAATGCAGGGCAGATTTGATTTGTCATTTATGAGCTGTCGTGAGGATAAAAATTGGGGCTATTATTGATATCAATATGGTTGTTGCTGGCTATTTATCTGGCCCATTCCCAGACTCTGCCCAGGTGATTAAGTAAAACCTAGGCGACTGGTGGCCTTCTAGGTATACGCATTCAATCCTAATATATTTATTGTACAGTGCACCCGAGTTAATACCGAATGACTTTGGCAATCTCTCCCTTCATTATAGCTATAGGTAGGTAGTAATGTGCACTTAGTGCAGCCCCGAATCGATCCTGGTTCAGTAATTTCCAACATCCATAGACAAGAGTAAAAGGCTGATGGCAACAGGAAATGTGTCTGCTGACAATGATCCTCCTTCCTTTGCTGAGATATTCATAACCCGAGGCTCTCAAGATCATGTAGGGCTATATAAACACATATGGGATATTATGTACGGAGCAGTCACTGCCAAGATTACTCAATCGGTCCTCTGATGCATATTATATAATGGAGGCCGATCCCTTAGGTAGCAAAAGCTAACTTTGTCCCTCTTCTATTCAGAGATGTTGGAAATAATATGAGCCCTAATATGAACATTGGAACACTCATAAACCACTTACCAAATAGCCCCACTAAATGGACCTCTTTGGTAGAATGGTATAAAATTTCGTTCTAATAGAGATCATGGCTACTACTCTGAAAATTGTACAGTATGAATTAGGACATGAACCTCTGGAAGCATTTGAATGAGTTGTTAACCCCGTACTGTGGTCTATGTTGTTAGGTTCTTCCCCCGGATATCCCTTTTCAGAAGCAATCCTCTTCCAGGTTTTGGAGTACCAAGTGAATTGGTATTTCAGGGACAGAGGCATTGGTTATATCCTTCACTATGAAACAGTTGATCAACGTATACAGCTAGATAGTTCTATCCGGCATAAAAGGCAGAGAACGAACAATCAGGCTGAATTAGGAAAGCTACCAACATTTCCCAAAATGGAACGGAATTGTTCCCCGCACTCTCCGCACACGATTACTCATCTCGATGATGAGATCAACGCCATAATCACAGTCTTCATTCCTGATTTTAACCTATGCCACTGACTTAACCACAACTAAAAAGAAAAGAAGAAATCAAAATGCCGAAACCCCTCACCCTCGCCGTCGCCCAATCCCGCACCCTCTCAACTACACCCCTCACTCTCGCCGCCCTCGAACGAACAACCCGCCACGCGTCCCATCGCGGCGTCAACATCCTTCTCTTCCCCGAAGCCTACCTCGGCGGCTATCCACGCACATGCTCCTTTGGCACCGCTGTGGGCCACCGCGAACCCCAGGGACGAGACCAATTCTTGAAATATTTTAATTCCGCGATTGATCTAGGTGATACACCACTTGGTGCTGGGGATGATTGGGTTGACAGAAAACTGCCCGTAGCGAAAGGGAGAGAGTATCGTGGCGATGGGACGAGAGAATCTTTGGAAAAAGTTGCGAGGGAGACGGATGTGTTTATCGCGGTGGGATTGATTGAGAAGGCTGGTGGGAGTTTGTATTGTGCTGTTGTATATGTTGATCCGAAACGGGGTGTGTTGGGGAAGAGGCGGAAAGTGATGCCTGTAAGTCCGTCCCTTCTCTATCCATGAACATTCTAAGAAAACTGACGGTAGCAGACAGCAACAGAGCGCTTAATATGGGCTCAAGGATCCCCCTCAACCCTCAAAGCGGTGACAACCGAAATCAACGGCGTACAATTAACTATCGGAGCAGCAATTTGTTGGGAGAATTACATGCCCCTTCTTCGTCAGAGTCTGTATTCACAAAACGTCAATTTGTATCTTGCGCCGACGGCGGATGGACGCGATACTTGGCTTCCGCTTATGCGGACAGTGGCGTGTGAAGGTCGTGCTGTGGTGTTATCTGCTAATCAATGCGTGCGAAAGAGTGAGCTGCCGGATTGGATCACGGGTGTTTCGTCTACTTCAGTCGTCCGCGGGAAGAAGGATGGAGAGACGAAACAGAAAGATCCGCAGGAAATCACATGGCCGCAATCAGCGGGTGAACAGTTACATCCTGACAAGAAGAGAGATCAGATGTATGCCAGTTTGGCGGTTGAAGATGACGAGACTGCTATACGCGACTTGCGCAAGGATTTTTCAAAGCAGTCTATCTCAAACTCATCTTCAAAGAAAGGTCCCCAGCCCCTCCCCTAACTACCTATGATCTACACAAACTGACAACTACACAGACCCATCATCAGAAGAATACATCTCCCACGGCGGCTCCTGTATAATCGGACCCCTAGGCGAAATCTGCGCCGGTCCAATCTGGGACGTCTGCACAGACGACAACGATCCAACCTCCACCAACTCAAATGCAATAGGAGACGGTCTAGTCATCGCCACAATCGATTTTGAGGATTGCGAAAGGGGGAGATTGGATCTTGATGTTGCGGGGAGTTATTCCCGGAATGATTCTTTTAAGCTTACGGTTGAAGGGTTGGATTTGAATCCGCCTCCTTTTTAAACTGCTTTTAGCAGAAAAGAGGAAGGTTGATTTATTATAAGCTGATAGGTGTACCGATTGATAAATTACGATGAAGATCTGTAGGGCAATACTCAGATAGAACCGTACTCAAAGATCATCGGTAGGGTTATTCTTGTCTCGTACTACCGTTTCCCAGAGGAAGATGGTGTATCCAGCTCAAGATTAGATGATGAATAACATCTGATCGAGCGAGGCAAGAGACGTCTTACATATAATATTGTGAAAAAAGGATGAATTCAATTAGTCATTGATTGACATCATAACGTTAGTAGAATTAAAGCGCTCACATCCCCTGCAACGCCTCCGAGACTCCGCTAGATGTACAAGTAAACAACAGTAAACGATGAATGGACTCAGTAAGCCACACGGGTTCTCATGTCCTAGAATATGTTAGCATGTATCAAATTCAAGACATCGATCAAACCTACCGAGATCTTGCGCTCAATTTCCCGAACACTCCGGTCCAACTCCCCAGCAATCATGAGCTTTTTATCATTCGGAAGAAGGAAGTAGCTTTCGCACAAATCACCGTCAATCACGCCCTTGACAGGAACGTAATAACTTCGGTATATGAGATGTTCCCGTCCAGCTAAAGGCGGATTCTGAGAGGCAAGTTGCATCTCCAGGTTTTGAAAGAAATCGACATCCTCACGGCTGATAAACGGAATCATCATACCGATTGTACCCTGCAAACCAGTCCACACGAGAATGTCTCTTCCTCCGACAACCAGGTTAGTCTTGTGGAGGCTTGTAGGAATATCTTGGGTATAGAAATGGACCATCAGATCCAATCGGTTTGGTGTCCCTTGTAGATATGAACGTTCATGAATGAGATGCGCGCCAGAACCATCTTCATCGGATTCCTCAGACACCTTTTTCGGGCAACGAACAAGCCACAAGTTACCGAATTTATCACCTCCGGCTGTTGTTTCGTAATCCACCATTGTCGTGGCCGTAGTCCAGCGTGCAATAACGTCATCAACGAAAGGTATCAGTTGGTTTTCTTGGTACTTATACACCACATAAGTAACACTCTCTTGCACATCGCTGACAATGATACGGCTGCCTTGAGTTTGTAAGCCCACAATAAGATTTGGAGAAGCTTCAACTTGGCACTTTCGAAGCATCTGCTTCATACCAAGATCGTAGACCCTTAGATTTTTACCGATACCGGCAACCAGACGTCCTTGAAAGGCGAGAAGGGCAAGGGGCGGCTCCTCAATCTTGGTCTTGTGAATGAATTCTAATTCTCTACCGTCCTCTTGGAATCGATAGATATGAATGAAACCTGCGGAGAAAGATCTCGGATACGTCACAACATCTTTACCGGTACCGACAACCAAGAAAGTCTCGTTATCTTGACTTGCAAATGAGACAGCTGCAACGCTGACAGCAGACTCATTCTCTTCCAGTTCCAGGCGTGACAGAACCGACTTGGAATTGATAGGGTCAACGACTTCAATGCAAGAAGCCCAATGGCCGGTAGCTCGTGGAAAACCGAAAGTTTCTGCCGGAGGAATGACAGCTTCCCCATTTTGCAATTTGGAGTCTTCCAGTAAACGAGTTTGTGTAGCTGGAGCGAGGACATTGTTTTCTGACTCAATAACGTAAAACAGAGGTTGCTCTGGATGTTTCACAAAATGTCGTGGCGTATATGCCAGAGGAATTGACTCTTGCAAAACGTTGTTGTCCAGTTTTTCAATGGAGAAGATCCTATGATCGTCAATTAGCGAAAGCAATCACACATTCGTCAAGGCAGTAGATCAATAAATGACAGTATCTCAGTAGGAACAATTGGATATAAAGATTTATAGTTTTTCTTCCACACGAAAGTTCGGACTCGCGTCTCATCATGATATGGGAGTGATGTGCAAAATCAGGAGATTGTCTTACCGTAAATTTTGACCCTGAATTCCGACCATGCCCTCCAAGCACTGCTCACTGGAAAAGTTCCATCCCCATTCTAAACCAACATAGTCCAAGGGAGTAAGCATGAAGCTCTTGGTTTGTATGTCAGAATACCCAAGCCACGGGCGAGAGCTAAGAGCAAGAACCGCAGACTGGCCCTTCACGGAAACTCCAAACAGCTTTACTGGCTTGGCGCCTAGGAATCGTGTTCGAGTATCGGAAAGCTCGCCAGTAACTTCGTCAAGCACCGTTCGGAGATAGACACCAGAGTACAGTCCGATGTGCAGATACAGCGTTGAACCGCCAGAGGTCGAATCGGCCATCGACATGATGTTTAAGGCAGACGGCGCAGACGTCAGAGCTTGCACGGACTTGTTCTCTAAAGTCGAGTCCGGATCCAGGCTCAAAATTCGAACAGTCGAGTCATCACAGCCGACAGCTAGGAAAGAGCTTCGTACACGACCCTCAGGAACTTCACCCAAGCTCAGGGATGTGACTGTGCCTGACATTTGACGCTTTTCATCGTACTCGGCCAGCGAGCCATCCGTGTCCATCTCAAAGTACACAATCTCACCAGAACTCAAGGCAACTGCGACTTGGCGCTCGTTGGTAGCGGCAGCAACAATCGTTCGATGCTGAGGCGCAGGCCATTCATTGACGCGATGATCGGCAAGAATATGTCTGATTCCTTTGGGATGAACTTGGATCAAAGAGTCTTCGCCAAGTTGTTGAACGGCCAAGGTAGGTGCCGTAGACAGAAATCCAGTATCTGTGACTTCCTCAACTGTTTCGCCGATACTGAGAACCAGAGTTCCATTCGTAAAGGACAGAACAATATATGCGTCAAACTCATCCTTACGGGTCAGCTTTGTGGTCCAGACAGCTGACGGGACGCTAGGAAGTTCAGACTCGACAATCTCAGAGACATCAAGCCCATGCTTGAGAGTTCTGAAAGTACTCCTAGCACCCGTACCACATATGGTGTAAATTTGCGGGGCATCTTCTGCTAACAAATCTGTGATTTTGCAATCCATGATGGGGTTCAGAGAATTGACACTTTCAACCAGGTTCAGATTCTCGGCGTCTCTCACATTGAAGTAAACTGGAATTATGGGGTCGGCTAAATCGGCGGAGACATCATCACTTGGGAATTCGGTTTCTTCATCATCGTCACCGAGCTTCTCGAACTGATAGAAGTGATGATTGCCTGTTTCGCTCGCAACAAACAAGAAACCACTCTTCAAGATCAGCAGGTTTGTGGCGATGGGAACAGTGTCAAAGTATTTAATTTTGAGTCGCTTGACCTCACCGGTAAGCTGGCCGTTGTCATCTTCGACCATGTCGATGGTCAATTTGAACAGATCACCGTCCTCGGTTTGCAGCAAAAAGAAGAAGGCACCCCTCATCTTGTGCATGACACCAGCTGTGATAGATCGCTTCCGCTCGGGGTTTTCTGTGGGACCTCTGCGGCGAGGAATTGGGACACGGAATGCATCTTGGTTCGAGTGTCGATATGTGATACTGTCTTCAGCGCACACAAGCACACCACTCGGACCATCGGCACCTCCAGGAACTTGAAATAATATATTCGAAGTTCTGTCTATGACATCCGACCATCTGCGAACCACATGGTTCAAACCAAGATCAAGCTCATAGTATACAAGTTGTTTTTCAACTTCCTCGTATGCTCGACCGGTGGGATCCTGGTCACACTCGGAATAATCTACTTCAATGGCGGCGAAGATAGGATTGTCATATCCCACATCTAGAGCAGTAAGAGCAAAAACAAGTGTCTGTGCCTTGTGTGCCTCGAGAGGGGAGGAGATTGTTAATTCTGCTTGGGAGTTACGGTTGAGAACATAAACAAGCTTGTTCTTTTCGACCGACGCAATGAGGCAAGCTCGTCCTTTGGGGTCCACTGCAAGATACTGGCCAGGAATCACGCGTCGCACACCCGACTTTCCAAATGTCTCCAGATGGATGCGGTTGAATCTATTCTGTGACGGTACGTACTCAATAATGGTAATACGACCCGAATCCGATCCAATGATGATGTAATCTGTACAATTTTCAGCACGGATCCAAGCTATTATTGAAGAGCTTCAACGCTTCCGACCGAGGCACATCTGACAATAGTGGCTGGTTCCCGGGAGCTTCACGAATCACTAAAATGACTCTTCCGAGGGGAAAGAGAGTGACACATACCTTTGTTACTTCCGGCCAGCCGGAAAGCGGCAAGAGATCTGATTATACCAAAGACATCCTGCGTATATATCGGGGTGACTTTGCCTTGAGCGGCGTCCGGGCGATGAATTGTAAGCTTGGATCCCGACGCCGTCACGATCTGTTGTTCCTTTGTTCCCGCAAATTGGCCAAGTATAGCTTGCGTTACAGCAGTCGGATTCTGTATCGTCAATGAGTACATGAACATGTTCGAAGTGGTCGCCATGGTGGGCAGCTCTGGGCTCTGTCGAGCGCTGCAGGGTGTTTGGTCGCGTTGCCGAAGACAAGGATTGGTCAGAGATCAGGTTTCCATCTCCGAATTAAGAAAAAGAAGAATAGTCCCAGAGACCACACCTTTTTGTGCCGCTGACTTCCTAAAGGCTGGCTTGATCAAGGACGATGCGTCCTGTCGTCGAAGTAAGAAGAGATTGCAGACAGGGAAGCTTGCAAAACTTGCACGAAAATAAGCTGTGGCTTTAGCGTGCCAAGAGCCAAGACAAAGTTGGTGCCTTGAATATAAGGCACCAAGCGGGACGGCACATCCATTGGTTTCTGCCAGCTTCCGAACGGCATGACATTATCCCGTTGGCTGTCCTACTAATCACTCATCTCCCACCAGGAGCTGTCGGGTTGTGACAAGTAGATTAATTCGCATATCTATTGCAAATACCAGGACTTGATTCTATCTTAGATTTCGTGCTTTACTTGGACGTGCTGGCGATTGGTCTTTCGCAGTCAACTGAACTCTACCCCTCTCAGCGATATCATGGCGGACGACGCTCCGGCAGCGGAACCTGCCTCCATCACGTTCAGCGTTAAGGCATCAAACGACGCCAAGTATACCTTCACATTGCCAGATTCGACGAGTGTCGCCGATTTGAAAGAGAAGCTGTCCAGCTCTGAGTACGCAGAAACGCCTGCCGATCGCCAACGATTGATTTACTCTGGTCGGGTGCTTAAAGATAACGAGACTCTGTCATCCTACAAGATCAAAGATGGGCACACCATTCATCTAGTCAAGAGTGCGGCTAGCAATCAACGACAGAACCCACCTCCCCAATCTTCCAGCAGTGGTGCTGGCACGGCGCCTTCATCTATACCTGGAGTACCTACAAATATTGCCGCAGGAACTGGAAACAACCCTTTAGCTGGCCTGACTGGAGCACGGTACGCAGGCTTTGCCCAGCTCCCGGGGGCTGGAATGTTTGGACCAGACGGCGGAGTGAGTAGACCAAATTGAATAGAGTACTGCGACATCAGCTGACAGAGTCCAGATGGGACCTCCTCCCGACCCCGACCAGATGCTCAGTATGCTTGAGAACCCTCAAGTACAAGCCACGATGAACGAGGCGCTCCAGAACCCCGCCCTTATTGACTTGATGATACAACAAAACCCAATGTTGCGAGAGATGGGCCCTGGCGTGCGACAGATGATGCAAAGTCCTGAATTTCGACGAATGCTGACCGACCCGGCGGCGATCCGTCAAATGGCGCAGATGCAACGAGCATTTGGCGGTATGGGCTTTGGAGGAGCTGGTAACACCGCGTTCCCCGCCCCTGGAGTCACGAACGCCACCCTTGAGGAAAACCGTAACCAACAGCAGCAGGGTGCTGACCAAGCTCCTGGTGCAAATCCGCCTGTCAACCCGTTCGGCGCTGGTGCGAATCCTTTTGCCGGTCTTTTTGGGATGCCCCCTCTTCAACCGCCGTCAACGACCGGACAGCAGAATATCACCACCACCGAGTCGAACACGACTGGTACGCAAGCTGCGACTGATTCTTCGGCGCAGAATCAACAAGTTCAGAATCCTTTTGCTGCTCTTTTTAACCCTGCGATGTTCGGAATGCCACCAGGCCAGAATACGGCAGGTGGTGCATCACAGGCGCCAAATTACAACAACCTTTTCAACCCTCAGAACAACCCATTCATGCGCGATCCTGCTTTGCTACAAAACGTAATGCAAGCCATGGGCGGAGGCAACGCAGGCGCTGGTGCGGAGAACCCTTGGGCATCTCTTTTCGGTGCTCCTCCAGCCGCAGCCCAGCCTGATAACCGTCCTCCCGAGGAACGATATGCAGAACAATTGCGCCAATTAAATGACATGGGGTTCTACGACTTTGACCGCAACATCACTGCTCTACGGAGAAGTGGCGGGAGTGTGCAAGGCGCTGTTGATTTTCTGCTGAACAGTTAGTTCACAACATTATTTCGCTCCACATGTTCCATGATGATCTTTTCTTTCTATTCATCTGGTCGATTATCACGACGTTTCATAGCTTCAATGATTCCTTATGTGCATAACTTTGATACGAACTGTATAATGAATTATGCTTTGCTGATCAGGTGGTTATCAATTATTTCTCTCTGTAATGCAAATAATAGATTATATTAGCGATATATTCCAGACGTTGATGACCAATGCAATTGATTATTGAAGCTATCTAGAAATCAACGCAAGCTTGAAGACGCGCTAAACCCAATTCGTAACTATGCCAGCTTGCCCCCAGTGGAGCTAGCGCGGAGTTACGGCAAACCGAACATCAACTCATTTCCCCTTGAGAGTCGATAAACAAAGACCTCGACGTTGAAAATGCCGGAAGATCGTGCTGATCCATGGTAAATCATCTGTACACGTCGCGAACACGAGGAATTTGATATTGATTTCGAAGGGACTTTTTGCCGTTTACATTCGTTATCGATCGGTCCGGCTACCTCCCTTGTCGAGTGCTAGCGCATATCCTCACGATTATATTAGTCTGATTGCTATCGCCAATTGATATCATCTCAGAGGTTCATGTATACTCGATCCATTAGCCGGGGAGTTACGTTATACTCTTGAAGATGATGTCTATACTACATTGCCATGGCTGGCGGTTAATACCATGGCTACTGCTGATATCTGTTTGCCAGTCATTCTACATCCCAGGTGAGCTACATCCTCCCCGATTACTGCTCACAGCTCCTAATTTCGGGTTATTGCAGGTTACTCTGTCGTTAGCTACGAAGACAACGAACCTATTCCTTTACTGGTCAATAAGATCTTCTCGGATCACACCCAACTGCAATATGCCTACTATGACCTCCCCTTCGTTTGCCCACCCACTGGTCAGAAACATGGAAACTCCCCTTTCGGATCTGGACATAGCCTATCCTTAAATTTGGGAGAGATATTGCGGGGAGATCGGATCATGACGTCGGATTTTGAGCTGGTAATGAAACAAGACGTCGGATGTCGCGCGCTTTGTACCCGTGAAGTGGATCGAAAGGCTGTCAAATGGGGTCGTCAACTCATCAAAGATGGATATGTGGCCGAGTGGATTGTCGACAATCTCCCGGCAGCAACGAGTTTTGTGACTATTGATCGTAGCCGGAAGTACTACTCGAGCGGATTCAAGCTAGGATACCAGGACTTCTCACCAGCTGATGGTCTATCACGTATCTATATTCACAACCATTTCACGATCGTCATTCGATGGCGCAAAGCTCCCGGAAAAGCAGGCGATGAAGGGCGAAGCGTGATTCTAGGATTCGAGGTCTACCCTAAGAGCATCGGGTATGAAAATCGAGATGAAGATGGATGTCCCAAGGACGTGCACGCAGAGAACTCACATCTGGAGCTCTTTATTGCGCCGAATAACAAGGAATATGAAGAAAAATATCACGATTCATCGTATATCCCGCAGCTTGGTGAGGATGCGGATGATGGTGCTACGATGAAGATCCCGTATACCTACTCGGTCTACTTCCGGGAAGAGACGTCAGTTGAATGGGCGAATCGGTGGGATTTGTTTTTCACTGATCAAGTCGATAGCTCCATGACACATTGGCTTGCAATTATTAACTCGTTGACAATTTCTGGTGTGCTCGGTGTGACTGTTATCGTTATCTGGGGCCGAACGGTTCAAAGCGATGCCAAGGGACGCGGAGACTATGTTTTAGAAGAGGGCAAGCTAAAGAAACGCCGCTCCAAGTCGCCGAATAAGGAACCCAAAAAGCCAGACGAAGGCCTGCTAACCCAGGACGGTGATGGCGAACCCCTGTCTGACGATGAACTGGAAGATGTCGCGGGATGGAAACTTCTTCATGCGGATGTTTTTCGTCTTCCGGCTCATAGTGGGCTGCTCGCACCTTTAGTAGGATCGGGAACGCAGTTACTTTTCGTTGCGGCTGGGTTACTCATTCTCAGCTGCTTGGGAATATTGAACCCTAGTTTCCGAGGCGGTTTCGTCACAGTCGGATTTGGTCTGTTTGTATTCGCTGGATTGTTTTCGGGCTACTTTTCTGCTAGACTGTATAAGACGCTAGGAGGTCAGAACTGGCGGAGCAACACCGTTATCGTAAGTGGTCTACACAGAACGGAATGTTTTCTGAGGCTAACTTCTCCGCAGACGGCTTCTTTATTCCCTGGACTGACATTCTGTCTAATATTCATGCTGAATCTGTTTGTCTGGGCTCAAGCATCTAGTACAGCACTCCCATTCGGTACTTTGGTAGGACTAGTCGCTCTCTGGCTTCTGGTCCAAGTACCTTTGGTATATGCCGGTAGTTGGTTCGGATACGTACGAGCAGAGCCATGGCAACATCCAACAAAAACATCCCCAATTCCTCGACAAATTCCTCGACAACCGTGGTACCTCCGAGGTATCAACGGGGTCATTCTCACTGGCCTGATTCCATTCGCCGTCCTCTTTATTGAGCTGCTGTTTGTCTTCAAGAACCTCTGGCAGGATAAAAGTGGATATTACTACGTGTTCGGATTCCTGAGCGTGGTCAGCACAATCTTAATCGTCACAGTAAGCGAAGTAACAATTATCGCGACATATAACCAGTTATGCGCAGAGGTACCCCTCCCACCCACGACCAAACTTGATTAACCATTTCGACTAACAACCATCTAACAGAACTACCACTGGTGGTGGCAAAGCTTCCTCACTGGCGGCAGCAGTTCCTTCTGGATATTCGCCTACTGCATCTGGTATTATACATTTAAACTACACATAACCGGCTTTGTGTCGAGTTTGCTTTTCTTCAGTTATAGCTTTTTGGCGTGCGCTGTCTATGGACTCTTGACGGGGACGGTTGGGTTTTTGACGGCGTATGCGTTTGTGAGGAGGATATATAGGTATGTCTGCCCCCTTTTGTGGGTGCTTTTTGAGACTTGGTACTGATTTTGACTTTGTTGGTAGCGCTGTTAAAGCGGATTGATTCGTTAGGGGATTGAGAATATTTAATAAGTCGATAGACTTCTACTTCTACCACACAAGTTTTATCTTTGTCATAGTGTGGAAGATCTGACTGACGCGGAATGGACATACATGGGCTTTACTTTCCCGATATAGGTAATAATAGCGAGGGCTTTATATCAAGAGAGACCTCCCAGGGTTATTCAAGGTAAAATCATCACGTGCATTGCCCTCTGGGGCACTTCAGATTCGGGTGACGGGTCCGCGACGGATGTCCGGTGGCAAGTCATCTCGATCCAAGGAGATCTACGGAGTAGTTACATCGTATTCTTGGTATGAGTCAGAAACAAACCATCATTGTGTAACGTCTTGGGTGTACATATGCAACATTTCAGTCTGATAGATCCAGGCGATTGCTATGGCGTGATCAACTCCATTATTTTCATGATTTGGTATACTCAATATGTGGTCTGATCGATAGACAAGGCGAGTATGATGATTCTTCAATCAGCATGAAGTCACTCCAGTCAAAAAGCCAAGATGGGCAGAATACAGCATGTATTAAACTAGTCTACATACAGACTAGCGCTATGCATTCGCCTAGCGGAGTACGGAAGCAAAAGAACATCAAAATCCCCAACCAATCAGAGCCCGACAGAATGGCGCAATCAGGAAATAAGCACCAATTAGCGCGGATAAGTGGATCTGCGATAAGCGCGGTAGCACGTAATCGGCGGACCCAATGAGATCTTTTCTAAGGTGCAACGATTGGAGGGATTGTCGCGTGGAAGATCATTGAGGTATCGATATTGTATTGCGATTGGTGGGGTAGACGGATGTACTTAGATGGGGTATTTTGCAGGATATAAAAGTTACATACTGTACAAGTGTCCTGCATACGGAGTACTGGTTCTGAGGGTGTATCAGTTTGGTCAAATTTACATGTGGGCCATTCCTTAGGCTCAGGATATCACGGGTAGTATTCGATTCTATGTGATTCTCTTTCTTTTGCTGGTCTTCTGCCAACAAACCTCGTTAGCGTATGTGGGGTTATTGAAGCTTTTTTCTTCTCGGGCTGATAAGACAAGACATTTGTGTATCATTGAATTGGATTACTTACTCGTACGTACTCAGAAATACTCAGAAGAATGAATGGTCACGCGATACTGGCCCTGCTTCGTTGTTTGAGGATATTCTTCCTTAATCAGGGAGTCCCATCCATTGTCTTGCCGTCTTTCAAGACGGTGACATGTAAGAAGGAAGTAATACATACTGATCCCCTGAAAATCATACGTGTATGTAATGGATGGCGCATCTATTCTTCCTGCAAAGTAGAATTGGGTTGAAGCTGACTAACCCCACAATCACACCATCGCACGACATCGCCCCAGAGAATGACTCTAAATTCCTTCGGCAATCCCAGGCGGTATCTCGGATTACCGTGCGAGACGCGTACAGACCGCTGTATCGTGTTAGTTTATCAGTATTCGGTACCCGACAAGCCGCCGTATTGGTACGCGCGTACGCGTACCGTACACGTAATTTTCGATAAGCCTCCACCTCCTTCCCATTCCAGTCAGGCTGCAAAGAGGAAAATCTTCTGGCGTCATTTAAAAAAGCCGCCTCTTCCTTTATACTTTCTCTTTTCTGTCAATCTCTCCAGCGTTGCTTGTTGTTTCTGTTCCATCCCATCATCTATCACCCATTTGCCAAAGGTCAATATTATTATTCATTGCTTCTTCTTCTTCTTCTCTCTTGTAATATTCAAGTAGCCGGGCCGAGGGGTCTGGTCGACACTGCATCTACCCAGCAAGACTGTCCATACTGTTGGCTTGGTGTAGATAACTGAATCTTCAAGCTTCGAATAAACCGAGAACGCAATCATGGCGACCAAGCAACCCAACATCCTCTATATTATGGCCGACCAAATGGCCGCGCCACTCCTGTCCATCCACGACTCTAACTCGCGCATCAAAACCCCCAACCTGGATCGATTGGCAAAGGAAGGTGTCACCTTTGACAATGCCTATTGTAACTCTCCTCTTTGCGCGCCCTCTCGCTTTGTCATGGTGACTGGCCAACTTCCTTCTAAAATTGGTGCATACGACAATGCTGCTGATTTGCCTGCTGATGTTCCCACATATGCACACTATCTCCGTCGGGAGGGTTATCATACTGCTCTAGCCGGGAAGATGCACTTTTGTGGTCCGGACCAATTGCATGGATATGAGCAGCGGTTGACGAGTGATATCTATCCTGGTGATTATGGCTGGTCTGTCAACTGGGATGAGCCGGTATGTGTCGTGCTTGATTGAGCAGAGTGTTCAGGCTGATGATTTGAATAGGATGTGCGCCCAGATTACTATCACAACATGTCTTCAGTCCTAGACGCCGGCCCAGTTGTTCGCACAAATCAGCTCGACTATGACGAGGAGGTGATCTACAAATCGACCCAGTATTTGTACGACCATGTTCGACACCGCGGCGATCAGCCTTTCTGCCTGACTGTCTCCATGACCCACCCCCACGACCCGTATGCCATGACCAGGGAATTCTGGGATTTGTACGAGGATGTCGATATCCCTCTACCCAAAACAGCCGCTATTCCACATGATCAGCAGGATCCCCATTCACAGCGTGTCCTGAAATGCATCGATCTCTGGGGTAAAGAAATTCCCGAAGAGCGCATCAAGGCCGCTCGTCGCGCATACTACGGAGCATGCACTTATGTCGATACCAACATTGGCAAACTTTTGAAGGCGCTCGACAATTGCGGTTTGACAGAAGACACCATCATTGTTTTCACCGGAGATCACGGCGACATGCTGGGTGAACGCGGCTTGTGGTACAAGATGACCTGGTTCGAGAACTCGGCGCGCGTTCCGTTTATTGTTCACGCTCCTAATCGATTTGCTCCTAAGCGAGTCAAGGAGAATGTGTCGACCATGGATATCCTTCCCACATTTGTCGGCTTGGTCGGCGCTCAGTTAGAACCCAGCCTGCCGATGGATGGCGTATCGCTGCTTCCATATCTTACTGGAGGCGATGGGCTCAAAACCGATACTGTTTTTGGCGAATACATGGCCGAGGGATCGCAAACCCCTGTGATTATGATACGCCGCGGAAAGTGGAAGTTTATCTATTCATTGATCGATCCGCCTATGCTGTTTGATCTCGAAGCCGATCCACTCGAGAAAACCAATTTGGTCGCAGGTGTCCCGATTCCCGCACCAAAGATCAAAGAGACAGCCATCAAAGGCGCAACAGGGCTACCCACTCCCCCCAACGGCGAAGCACCGGATGCCGTCACTTTTGTCAGCACCGAGAAATCATTTTTTCCCAAGATCCCAGCTCAAGTGGTCCCGACACCTCCACGAACACCCAGTCCCGCCTTGCCTCTTGCCCTCCCCGAGCAAGATGATCCAGCAGCTGTCTTTGAGCATTTCCTCGAAGAAGTCCATTCTCGCTGGAACCTGCATGCCATTCACGAAGATGTGGTCCGTTCCCAGCGGCGTCGCCGCCTAGTTTACTCTGCATTGATCAAAGGTGTCCCTACTGTCTGGGACTACGAGCCTCGCGTCGACCCCAGCACTCAGTACGTGCGAAACCAGAGCAAAGGCAACCTCGACAATGTCGAATACCTCTCTCGCTGGCCACGGGTTCCGACCGCGCCGACCACGACCAGATTCTAAATCCAATCGACAATATACAGTCGCATGACTCACGATTTTTTTCTTCTTTTCCCCCTATCTCACGATTCAGCGAGTTTTTGTTTTTATACCCTTAGAGATTTTTTTTTCTTTGGTTCCCGCATCATTTGCCCCTCCTATTTCTTTTTTCTGCTTCTTATCATGCATATAGCACGCAATTGTTTAGTTTGCGGGAAATAGCGTTGCATGAACCTATGAGAGTGTGGCAATAGGTCGAAGAAATGCGGGTTTTCACTGACGTCTGATCACCAGCGCAAAACTTGATTGTACAGATATTGTTCTTGTTTACGTCTGTCTCTTATTTTGTTGTTCGGGGTCAAAAAAACCTGTAAATATTTGTTTCTAATCTAGTCATTACGTAAGCCTGTTGTCGGTTTAGGGTTATGCTATAGTAATTTTATACGCAGTGAAAAGATGATATATATCCTATCGACACGATATGATAGAACAGAAACACGAAGAAACACGATATAAAACACACCAGGATCTCAATTCCGGTGTAGACACGTAACCCGCAAAAGTAGCCAGAATGCGCAATCTGTAAAAAGGTGGTGGTAGTGCCTCAAGAATTAGGCAGCAGTCGCCCAGTCACCGACCTTTCGGAGTTCAAATACGGAGTTGATTTTATGGAGTTGGAGTATGGGGTAGAGATTACATACGTAGGGTGTTTCGAGTAATTTGGCTAAATAATCAAAGATAGACAAATGCAATCAATGTCTTGAGAAAAGTGCATAAGAGTTGGAAGAGGGTAAGTATAGATTAGTAATACCCTACGCCCAACGCACGGTCTTGAATCGTATTTTGAGTTGAATGAATAGATCTGGGGCATGAGTCAAACTTTGTATGAATTCAGGGTTATCGCATTGGGGCACTAGAATAGAGTTATGTAGGTAGATATACCGCGGAAATACGCATCATTGGAGCGAAGAAAATGTGAACAATTGAATTACGTTTCTTCACGAACTCGGCAGGAAAAGATGTGAATATGGCTGTTCTGGGAGATGTAGTCATAAGGCGCAGATTGAAGTTTTATAGGGTGGATTCAGTGGAGACGTGTTAGGGTTTGTAGATGGCCTAGGACGCCTTATGACAGCTTCGTTACTGGGAGATCACTATCCTGTTGAGGAGTATGTTGCGAGAGAGTAATGGATTAGATACCACTGAATATATACCAAGTATCCGCATGGCGATTTAGAGAGATATCTCTGTCACCGACTCAGATCTGACTCGATTCACTCCGTATTAGCCCTAATGGTGAGTCAACAAGCAACACGGCAAAAATGCCGAGATAGTGGGGACGTCAATATCAACTCCTCCACTTGACTACACAGAGCGTCTGAGCATAACAGAGAGAGGAGTGAGTCATCTGGGGCAGGCTAGTCCCTTACAAGGGTTCGTACGCGAATCTGGGCCATAACAAGGACCTTGATGGATTCGGAATAACGCCTTTATACCGCTTTATACGGAGTACGTACGGAGTAAACCTGCTATTCCGAGGGTATATCATTTCAGTCAATTCAATACGATGAGTCTATTCCGTGAGCGACATCGGCTTGGATGGAGATGTCTAGCCTAGCACGTGGACTAAAGGACTCGAGCTTTTCACATGGGCATAATTCAGTCTTCGTATCCATGGCTAGAAACCAAGAATACTGATTGATGGACCGATTGTCACAGGGCGGGATATGATCAAAGCCACATACAACTAGACAGAGGTTTCCAACCTGACCTTGTCTTAGTCACCTAACTATTCCCTATTCCATTGATACATCTACCAAATATACATACAAAACTCTGTAGCTTAGGGGATACTAACCTCTAAATGCAGGCTATGTATGGAATCATTCATCCATTGAGTGGATTGCTTAATCCGTCCCTTGGATCATCCCCATGCAGCAGCAGAATGACTCAGGCTTAAACTTTTTTTATACGCGAGACATCCATTATTTTTTCTTTCTTTTTGCTGGGATATATTGACGCCATAACTTTTTGATTTATAATTCAGATTTTGCGTTGCTGTGAATCACCACCATCACTTCAAATTCAATTGAGTCGTCCTATATAAAGGCTGTTTATGGCATTCGTCTGACCATCGAAACAGCCGAACAGATATTGACTGAAAGTATAGTCGGATCACAACATCGTTGTGACGCCTGCAGTTTCCTTCGTGTATATTTACAGATCCGTGCGCAGTGCCCTCACTACCAATGCGAAACCCTCGTCTAAAGGTCGACATTTTCCTAAACGGGCAGGTCAAAGGCCTCGTCCCGTCGTATACTACCTTTGACAAAATCGAGGGCGAGGTCCATATTCAAGCCGACAGAGATACGGAGTTCGATCATATCCAAATCAGTTTTGAAGGTATGTAGTTTGTAGTTCCTCCTTTTTCATTCGCGAGTGACAGAGGCTAACTGAAGACAGGTACATCCAAAACAACCATTCCGCGACAATCCCCTGTCGCGCATCTAGCGAATAATTTAAATGCTTTCCATCCATTTCTCAAACTTCGTCAACCCATCGATCCAAATACATACGCGGAACCGCGAGAATTGAAGCCTCTCGAAACTTATATCTTTCCATTCACCTTTGTCGTTCCTGAACATTTGCTTCTTCATGCCTGCAACCACTACACAAGTAATCCGCATTTGAAGGTGGCACATACACAACTCCCCCCAACACTCGGAGATGCAATGCTCTCCGACGACGGCAAAACAATGATAAACGACATGGCCCCAATGATGAGTGAAATAGCATACAAACTCAAAGTCTCGGTTATGAAGAAGACACCCCCAACGAGCCCAAAAGAGTTTGTTGCCTTGTCCTCCGTTGCGAAAAAAGTACGCATTATCCCCGCTACGACCGAGCAACCGCCCCTAGAAATAGGATGTAATAATGCAGAGGGATATAGAATTCGACGAGAGAAATATGTTCGCAAAGCCTTGCTGGGAGGGAAGACGGGTCGTTTGGTGGTTACTGCTGCGCAACCGAAGCCTCTCGAGTTACCTGCGCCAAGCAATACGGTTAACGGCTGCAAGGCTGCTGTTAATAGTCATGTCAAACTTCATGTTCGATTTGATCCTGAGACGGAAGATGAGGAACCGCCGCGACTTCGGTCGACTTTTAGCAAACTGAAAGTGTCGACTTTCTATTCTGCGCAAGCCTGGACGGATTTTCCGTCCTTGGAAATTGCCCAAGCGCCCGCTCATACCTCGAATGGTGTATACTGTGAGACGATCAATCTGTCCTCTCTGTGCGTGGGAGCAGCTCAGTGGAAGAAACACGACGGCACGGATAGTTCTCGAGATGGCTCACGACGCAGTTCGCTTATATCCGATTCATCGTCCTCGCTGGCAGATAGTCTGAGTCATCATCCATCGGCATCATCTTCGTATTTCGGAAAGACGTTTTACACTGCATCTATACTCGTCCCTGTCACGCTGCCGGCGAATAGAACGTTCGTACCCACGTTTCACTCCTGTCTCGTCTCGCGTGTCTACACGCTCGATCTGTCGTTATCATACCAACCTCCTCACGTAAAACTCCCTATCGCACCGAGCATCTCTCTCAACATTCCTATCCAAATCACATCCGCACCCGGCAAGGGCATCGCTCTTCTAGCAGATGATCTGATGATGCTCCCCGAAACCCAGATCGAGGATGAGTACTATCGTCCACGAAACGTTTCGCCCCCTAGTGAAGAGGATTATCTTGACCGGTATTCACCATATTCTTCGCTGATGTCGACAAATGAGTCGTTCCAAGATGACGTTGAGCCAAACACTGGCAATGGTGGTGGACATGCGCCGCCGGAGTACTCGACAATCACGCAGACGGGGAGTGGTGTGCGGACGTCAAGCCTTCAGTCTCCTGCTTGGATGCTTGGGAGCCTTCGGTGAATTTTCTTTGTTTTGGCGTTGGTGTCTGCTGTTTCTTTTTAGCTGCATTGCATACGAAGGAATGATAGAGAATGTTCCGCAAAAGATGGTCATCCTGTAAGACCGGGACTGCAGTATGACATGCATTTTAACAGGGTTTGATAATTCTTAATATCTAATTTTGTCATCTGCGAGTTTTTTCATAAGTTCTTAATGGATATATACATACGATTTTGGAGCAGAGGATATCAATCTGAAGAGCTACCCAGCGAAACATGCCTTGTGACCCAGCCGCGAGAGTATCCCGAATCTCAAGGCGCCGTTTTCCGTCGGCAACTGCATACTTCGACTTTTATCACGGCATCTGCGTTGGCGACAACTTCTTGATTGAAGCCCGGGATTCGTTTGGCGCAAGCTGTGTCGAAATCCGAGGTCGAGCTTACTATGGATAAAAACTTCGGTTTAACTCATATAAATCCTATGTCCCAAAGTCTCCACCAGAGATTCCCGATGTCATGCGACTCACGGTTGGGATAGATTAAAAAATTTCTTCAAAAGGTCGTTGCTATCGCCCGCCACTCACCAACTTCCTGCAAGTGGCTTAGCAATTCGTTGGTCTGGGTGATATACTGGTAGGCGAGTTTCAGAATCTAATTGCATGCGGCGTGTGGTCACTTGTACGATATATCTTTGTTGGTAAGCGGTGCTTTCATGGATTTAGCTCAGGAATGTCTAACTAGCAATTAAACGAATTATCAGTGTTGCCAACGATCCAGTATGCAGCGGTCGTCGGTATAGGCATGTTTCTCATTCTAGTTACCACCGAATAGATGACCTTCCAAGCTGATTAAGTACTACCTATGGCGTATACAAAATGGCCCATCCTCAATTATGACTACTGGCAGCTCACCTCGCCCGATCATTCATGGCCGGAGGAAATAACATCACACTTGGTTCGTCTAAACTAGCCCAAATTCGCTACTGTCTTGAAGAGTTAAGTCTATATATTTAAGGACTTCCAGGTTATGGCAGAAGCGCCAAATCGGGAATGCGGCCAGTTGTGGTCTGTTATCGCCGGAGTGCTGTCATCACCTCGTATCATGGAAACTTGAAATGAGATGTCTGAAAAAAGAAAACGACCAAGACCTCGGCCATTAAACACCAACTTTTGATTGCGACTTATCGAATAGCCAAGCTCATATCCAAACGAGAAAAGAAAAACGCCAAACATGCCTATGTATCATCTCGAAGTCACACATCTTGCACCAATAATACTCAAATCTAAGTCAACATATCATCAAGTTTCTCTCCAAGTATGTCCTCAATACCCTTAACCCACTTCCTCGTCTCACGTTCCACCATCTCATCTTCATCCTCCATCAACTCACTGATATACGGCAACATCTCCGGTAACAAAGTGAGCCATTCTTCACCCAACCGGCCAGTCAATGCCTGCTCGGCCTTCAATGCGGCGAGTCGAGTATATGCGCTATCGCCGCCTTCTGTGGTTGTGCTGGTTGAGGGACGGAGATATTTCATAAGTGCGGTGTTCATTTCCTTGTAGTTGTCCGGAGAGTCGGTGGCGACTGCAAGTTCGGATAAGGCTGGTACCACTTCATCGATGATGACGGTTGCGGTGCTGGAGTTGGTGGCTCGGGGAAGTTGAGAGATGAGAGCTTTGGAGATTCCGCTGAAATGGGATGGGGATTGCCAGAATGCTATGAAAATAGGTACGTTAGTGATGTTTTGACCACCGTTGTTTCTAGACTTACCATCTTGATCATGCTCAAAGGCAGCATTAAGTGTCCGAACAGCAGCTAACCACAGATCCTTTGACCCCTTCACATTCGGCCTGGAGAATTCAAGAACCTCAATAACATTCTCGATAATATAGCTTGAATAGCTAGTGACGATGGATTTGAGAGTGCCGAAGAATTTTTGCAAAAACTTATAAAACGAGGTGAGTCGAAGAACTCGACCCTTGTCATCGGTCGTGGAAACTCCGTTCGTCGCCCACTCCACAATCTCCATGAAGAGAGGGCGGAAGATGGTGTCGTTCAATTTGAAAATCATCTTGATAGCAACATTGCTGACGAGCTCCTCGATTGCTTGAAGTTGTGTTTCCTCGAATTGAGAGTCTGATTCGGAGGGCAGCTGTTCTCGACGGAGATCAAAAGCACGATATAGCAGCTTCAAAAGGATCCTAACGTTCTTGGCTGTAGCTAATTTGGGATGCTTTTCGATTGCTAGGCTGACAGTTTCAAGGGCTTCCTTCGTAGCAACCGGTCCGGAAGTGGTTGCAATCGTCCAATTTCTCTCAATAGCACCATATGACTCCTTGACATCGAACTTCTTAGCAATGAGCTTCATTGTATCATGACGAGCCTCCTCCCCTTCATCGGATAATTCAAGCTGGGCGGACTTGAAAGACAGTCGAAGGATCGTGTCAAGGGTTTTTCCTGATAGCATGAACGGAACTTGAATGAGAAGAGCAGATAATAAGGAATATACAGCATTGTGGAGTTGCTCATTGACAGTCTCCCCTTCCATACTACTTTCCAGAAGAGCAAGAGATTTCTTGAGCATTTCTGGAAGAGCAGGAATGACGCCTTCTCCGAGGACTTCTGCCATTGATGCAAGACACAGCAAAGCCATAACACGAACTCTATTGTCTTCTTGACCAAGACATGAATCGCTACTAATGACCGTAGCGGCTGGAAGTACCATACCCGGATTCTTCCGGCCATATTTCTCAGCGATTCGGTCAATACAGGCAATTGCAGCATGTTTGAGAAGTATGTCATCCGAGGTTTCAACAATTTGATTGAGGAAAGAAATGAATTCCAACACCCTGTTCTGCGCAGCACCTTCGCGCTCTGGCTGTTGCCGAAGTCGGGCCTCCAGCAAACGAAGAACCTTCCGGCGAAGATCTGGGTTAGGCCTCTGCAAGAGCTGTTCGACAGTATCGAGAAGGTCAACCAGAGACAATACTCCCAACACTGATCCAAGTGCCTCGCTGCATGCGTTGCTCAAAGGCTTGATCTCTTGTACCGCATCGATTAGAACCAGGATTTGTTCGAGGATCTGAGAGAAAAGACCAGCCACTTTGGTAACTGTCTCCTCCGCATCAGAAGTGAAAACAACCGCCATCTGTGCCTTCAAGCTAGAGTGCTTCAAGCAGTGAGACAGTGATCGCAGTAGGCTCTCTGCGATGACATGCTTGTCCTTGGTACCCTCGTTTCCAACACCCAGAAGTATTTGAGAAATACCGGGTTTTGGCTTCAGACAATCGCTGACAAGGTTTAGATACTTCTGATAAGTAATGAGCTGATCTTGGGGACCTAGTCCAGAAATCAAGTGAGTCATCAAGACAGATACATTCTTGTCTAGGCCATAAAGGTTGGAAAGCATAGCCAAAACAGCGAACAAGAAGTCCTTGGCGCCAAGCTTGGTAACCAACGCCTGGAAGAGGCGCTGTCGGCGATGAGACGGAATATGTTCAAAGGCCGCTGTAAAGCTGAGAAGAAGTTCGGAAGTTCCAGCAACCACATCGCGCTTTTGGTTCCGTAATGATTGAACAAGGACCGGTACGACTTGGTCAATTGTCTGATCGATCACCATAACTGAGTAGTCGTCATCCTTTTTCAGAACACTAGATCCCATGAATGTGAAAATCGGCATGACGCTGTGAAGTACCTGTTCAGGAGCAATGACAGCAAGACCAGAAACCAAGAGTAGAGCGGTGTTCTGTACTTGAGGACTCTCGGAGCTTCTAACGCAGTCCACAACCAAGTCAGTCCGGATAGCAGAGGTATCAAACGAGGGCTTGGACGATTTCTTCGCTTTGTTGACAATGGCTAATAAACTACCAAGCACAAGACTGAGTAAGTACCCAAGGCTAGACTGAATTCTGGTTTTGAGATGATGTAGTGCTGCCAATGACTTGAAGAGGCCGGGGGTAAGTTCGGGATGTTCTTCGGGGACAGAAGTATCCACCAGTTCGAGGATGAACGTCACTTTGCCCATAACTTCATCCAGCTCAGATGAATTGGATATGGCGGCAACTAAATTGTTTTTACTTGTGCGCCGCCTCTTCGGAGAAGGACTATGGCTCTCCAAAGCGGAGACAAACTCGGATATTCTGTCGAGAAAATCAACCAGAACCGATCCACTGAGGGAGACATTGCGTAATGTTTCCTTCGCATTGTTCTGTACTGCCTCAGAACCCCTGAATGAGAGATCGAATAGCCGTTGTGCAGATGCATTTTGTCTCTCTTCTCCGAGTTTTATCCAAATTTGTTCCATGCGAGTGAACACAGCAGAGATGAGACTGGGCCTGGCGGAATTTTCGACGATGGTGAACGCTATCCTTTCAGCGTCTGGATCCTTGGGACTGATGACGGTAGCGATTTCTTGCTCCAACTCAGGCAAAGAGATATGCTCTTTATCGCAAATTTGAGCGACTTGCGATTCGGTAAGAGCCTGCCATGAAGTAATCAAGGGTGTTAGAAGCTTAGTCCGCGTCAAGGACGCAATCTTGTCCACGCCATTGACGATTTTGAGAAGACTCAACTTGACTTGAGTAATGGGTGTCGCAACTATATGGTAGCATAAAAACTGCAAAAGATTTTGTCTCAAACCTTTCTTCAACTCAGCACCGGAGGCTTGGTCGGAATCGGAGCCGGAACTCTTGAGCGCCTTCTGTATTGTGGAAATGACATGACAAGAATCGTGGACGAAGCCCTCTAGCCCGTCAAGTAACACGCGTTCTATGATCTTTTGAGCGTCAGATGTCGATAACCAGACGGGTTGAATCTCTTTAATGTCTTTATAGAGGCTGTCTTTAGCCCATGGGGCGACACCATCACCTTCTTTCTTGGCCTGCCGTTGCACTTGAACGAGATTGCTGAAAAGCTTAGCAGCCTCACTCCTCATGGCGTGCGATGAGTCGGCTAACGCTGCAATTATGTAAGGAAGCAGAGCTTGCAGATCTGCTGATGGGTGATCTGCAACAAGAGCGGCAGAAATCAATTCCATAGCAGCAATTCTAGTTCGGATTCCATATGGACCTGAGAATATTCTCACAAGGAAAGACAGGTACTGAGGCTTCTGCACCATTTCAGACTTTCCAAGAAGAGGCAGGTTAGAAAGTTGCTGAAGCTTATCGGAAGAGGTTCCAGCAAGAGTAAAAGCTTGAAGTGTTTGCTCGAAATTCCGCGAAGTCTCAATAGACAGGAATGATGAACTAGCCAATGGCTCCTTAGCTAGAGATTCGAGTAACGGAGTGAAATTATCAACCTCTTGCTCTTCTTCTATATCCATCATTTCAGCATCTTCGCTGGCGGGAAGAGCAGGTTGAGTTCGAATGGTAGTCTGCAAACTGTGCTCCAAACTATCTATATCCATGTCCCTCTCCGTAGTTATACCTTGCAAAAGTGGTCGATAAACATCGGAAGCGTTGAGTGTCTGCACTAGTTCTGACATTTGTGTTTGTACGTCCAGCGACAAGGTCCCGGACTTCTGAGCATCCATGGCAGTTTGAAATAGCATATTTATAGCCTTCTTGCTAGCTGGCTCATCCAAAAGTCCTCGTTGAAAGAGCTGTGATATGAAGGTAAGGTGTTGCCGAGAATCATCCATTTGTAGACTCCCAAGAAAGCCAGCAATTAGGCCTAAGGAAAGTTGCGAAACTCGGTGTTGCGAGGCAACATCGGCCAACAGATTGATAGGGTTGTCGAGTTTCATGATAGAGCGAACGACTTTCTTGGGGAGTGCTGGATTGGTCTTTTGCTCTGCCAGAACTGCTAGAGTAACTGCCGCAGAGTTCACTGTTTCTTGAGTCCAGGAACCAGCCACGGCAGTCATCAATGTATCGATAACATCCTCCGTGAGAGCTGCCTTTGTGACAAACACAACAATTATCATGTAGCAACCAATAACCAATTCCGATATCTTCTTTAATGCCAACCCATCGTTTAGAACAGGTAAAAGCCGAATGAAGATATCTTCGTGATTTTTCTTTTCCACCTCTCGTCGACCCGCGCGTCCAGCCACTAGCATTTCAGAGCATGCCTGTGTCATTACTCCGGACCAAAATGCCAACAATCCATGATAATGTGCCCTTTGTTTCGAAACTTGGAGGGTATAATTGTTCAGAGCAGATGAAAACGATGGAGTTTTTGCTGCAGTGCGAATCATGGCTTCCATGGGTGGATTGACGCGATTTTTTTTGTAGGGTTGGAGGAAATTGAATGTCGGCGTTAGGTCTTCTGGTAATATGTCTAGTAGATTAAGAAAAATCGGTAACGAGTGGTATGGGAGGAGGGTAAGAATAAGAAAGGCTATATTGAACTCGTGGACACTGTAACAGAATTAGCCAGTTCTCGCTCCAATACTGGAGAGTTTTCATACCGAAACCGCCTCACAAGCCACTCTAGTGCTTTCACCGCTGGAGTGAGCTGCAATTTCCCTCCTACTAGAGCCATAAATGATTCTAATGCAACATCGAGTTCCTTGTTTTGCGCCGCAGTCATTTCCGTACGATCTTCGGATTTACTATGCAGGCTGAATATCGTCCGCTCGAATTCTGTGAATCGTGTGTCCAACCGACACAGCTCCTGAAAAGCATCATTGCATAGTTGATATAGTGTATCAAAGTCCTGCGATTTAGCGACTCTGTATTCGAAGATTAGAGATTTCGAATGCGCAACCCGTTGCGCCTTGAGGTCGAGAGGACTCGTCGACTTGGCGGCAACCTGTGCCAACTGTGCGGCGAGAGAGGATGCCATGGTGATAAATTGACTTTGTGCGCTTAATCACTTCAAAGATCCATCCCGTGAACGAACGTGGTGTATAAATGCGCGATGCAAGATGGGTGTTGTTGTAACGGAATGGGGAAGTCTCTTGCCAATTGAAGAATCAAAAAATTGTTTTTTTCCGGGAGGGAAGTTTTTCCCGGGCCCGCGGAGCTCCAAGTGGAGGCGAGAGCAACTTTAGCCGACACCGTTCATAGGGAAGGAACACTGCAACTTGATTGATAACTTCATGACAACGTTGAATTAGCAGGTACAGGCTCAACGCTCCTAAGTACTGCTTCAGGATTTTATTCTGATACGTTTGGATGCAGGAGGCAAAGTCAGTCCCGAAGTTCGCCAGCTTCAAAGCGAAGCCAGCCCCGCCGACCGAAGATGTGAAGAAGTCGCGTCGCTTGGATGACGGAGAGCAAGACGAAAGACGTCGACATCGATCCAAACATCACCGCCACCATCACCGTTCTCATTCTCGAGATCGACATCACAGACGCAAATCGGAAGGGCCAACTCGGGATGCTTCTCCACCACCTCAGACCAAAGAGGAATCGCAGGACTTTTACAAGATCGATCGTAAGGGAGATATTCATAATGTGATATATGGCACAATACATCGGTATAGCATACCTCAATATCGCCGTGCGGGACGCGGTGGGGTTCTTGGACTACCTTCACGATTTAAGATCGATCGCGTTTACGACGGTGAAGACTATGTGGTAATTCGAACTGGTGGTTGGAAGGACGATGGGTCACGTCACAAGAGCAAAAGTATACTTTCATTGGTAGATACAAAAGAAGGAAATGTTTTTCGAGTTCGCCAAAACCTCGTCACGGACAATACTGATGACGCCGTCCAGAGCTTCATTCCACTCAGTCACGATGGCAGTCGAAAGAGGCGCAAGATGTCGGGTGGATACGTTAGTGATGTTTCTGATGAGACTGAAAAGTATGGATACCGATCAATTTACGGGAAAGCGAAGCCCGAAGTAGATATTCCGAGTGATATGGAAGCATCTTTGGAATCGGATACAGACGAAGAAGGTGGTACAGTCAAATGGGATCGAGAGGCAAATAAAAGAAATTCTGAGCTTCTGAGTCGAGCAGAAGACGATCCTGGAGATGTTGATGCATGGCTTGAAGTGATCAAATATCAGGATACTCTTCTGCTTGGGTCAGGTAGTACTCGGCAGTTGACTGCAGCTGAGAAACGGAATCTTGCTGACATTAAACTGTCATTATACGAAAAAGCACTGAAAAAGGTCGGGAAAAAGCATGGGAAGGATCGCTTGCTGCTCGGATATTTGGAGGAAGGAGCCAGTTTATGGGAATCGAAGAGACTGGCTGAACAATGGCATGCCGTCCTCCAACATAATCCAGGCTACATTAACCTGTGGGTGCGCTACATAGACTTCCGCCAAACTGAGTTTCTCAACTTTACGTTTGAACGATGCAAGAATGTTTACCTGGAATGCATGGCTTTGAATGCATCGACCACACAAAATACAGAACAAGAATTGATTCATGTGTATCTTTTTCTGCGGATGACGTTGTTCATGCGTGAAGCAGGGTACTCTGAGTTGGCTGTCGGCCTTTGGCAAGCTGTCCTGGAAATGACTTTGTTCTGTCCTGACAGGTACTTGAATTCGTCCAAAGCTGATATACTGGACGGATTTGCTTCGTTTTGGGAGTCGGAAGTTGCGCGCATTGGAGAGCCTGGAGCGAAAGGCTGGAGTAGTAACAAAAGCTCCGAATCGGATACTGTCGAGAATGACGCCAAAACACGGATTGACTCAGAAACATTATTCTCGTCATGGAGCATTGAAGAGCGACGATTGAGTCGTAGTGCTCGTTTACCTGCAAGAACTGTGGACATTGTTGAGAATGATGACCCTTTTCGTGTAGTCTTGTGGTCCGATATTGAACCATTTCTTTCTTACTTTGCCAGCTGGAAGGATAAGGGCATTCTCGTCCACGATTTTCTAGAATTCTGTTGTCTCCCATCTTTGCACCAGACACCTACTTCTGCTTCTGGTGGTACCCCATTTTTACGTACCGAGTTGGTTCATTTGCCAGATGCTTCTATCCTCCGCATGATCAAAGCTGATCCTAACGAGGCAGCACAGCCCGATTCTACAGTTTATGATATGGCCCCTTTACAGAATATGATACATTCGGTGGATACGTTATTTGCGGGCGGTGATTGGTTTCAGTCAATGACACTTTGGAAACAGATTTCCAAGAACAAGGAGACAACTATTGATGTCCAATGGGTCCAGCGATCTCTAAGGCTTTTGGTCGGCGCAGCGTCTCATGACGATGAATTGGCCGAGCGGGCGTTGGCCGTTGAATATGCAATGGATCCGAATGAAGGAGAGAAGTATGCAAAGGCTTTACTCAAAAAGAGATCGTCTAGTCTACGGCTCTATAACGCATTTGCTTTGATGAAGAGTCGCTCCGGCAATTTCTCGATAGCGTCGCATGTATGGGCCACCACATTTTCCATGGCTGCAAATTTGTCCCAGGCTCAGAGACTAGAGTATGGTACACTTATACGCAGCTGGGTATGGGAATATTTGGTATCTGGAAATGAAGAATCTGCAATTCAGGTGTTGACGTCAATTCCAAGCTTTACAATCAATGTCGAGGTTTTGCAACAACCGGGGCAGAGTGACATGAGTTCAGCTCAATTTTTGAAAACAGAGGAGTTTTTAATGGAATGTTCTGCTCGCTCTCGATCACTTCAGGATCTAGCTCCCTTTATAGCTTGGACGGATTTGACAGCTTTACTGCACTATCTCTTCAACTCTTTTGATTTGTCCTCCACTCTCAGAGTTTATAGGATGGAGTTCAACCAACTCAAATCATCTTCCCTTGTGAGCGAAAGCTTCAAGTTTTGTGCTTTGGAAAGTTTACACCAATCCCGCTCTCGCCTTTTATACCACCATATCACAGCAAAACGCGCCTACAAGCCAGCCGCCATACGGGAGTTACTTGTCGAAAGCACAACCCTCTTTCCGCACAACACCATGCTCCTGTCACTATTCTCCTGGAACGAATCCCGTTTCCGCGTCGATGAACGCATCCGCAGCGCATTCGCATCTCAGCAAAGAAACCCAACGGAAACGCCGATAACATCATCCCTCCTCACTATCCTCACCGAACTCACCCGCCCCATCTACACCGGATCAACAATCCACTCTGTCCGTGCGGCGTTTGAGCGTGCCTTACAGCCTTCCTCTTCAAACGCAGCGGCAACACCATCCCCATCCCTTTGGAAATTATACATCCTCTTCGAACTCTATCGCGCAAAGGACATCAATGCGACGAACAAAGTCTTTTATCGTGCTATGAGGGCTTGTCCATGGTCAAAAGATATCCTAATGCTCGCTTTTCCGACCAGTAACGAAAATGACGGATCTGTGGTGGTGGATGACTGGTGGGAATTACATAGAATATACAATGTTCTTCTTGATAAGGAGTTACGGGTTCACGTTGAGATTGATGATGCCACCTTTGAAGAGGGGGAGAGGAAGTGGGTTGAGAGGGAGCATGAGAGGGGACTTGAGCATGTTCAGGGGGGTAGGAGACGCAGGAAGAAGGATGTCGTTTATTTACCTGATGATCCTGATACGGAATAAAGTACTAATGTAGGGATTATGGATATGGAGAGGATACCAATGTATCAATTTCGGTGAATTTGAAACTACCAAGTTACATTTGAGTAAAAAAAGAACGCACCGATGACACCAAAGTCAAATCAAGATCGAAGGAGAACTAGAGGCACACATACATCGATCCATCCATCACATCCACATACACCCCCCAATGCCAAAAGAGATCAAAAGAGACTAGAAATGCTCCTTCCAGAAATTAAACTTAACCTCCCTGGTCGACGACTCCTTCGCCGCTTGACGAATCTGTCTCGCGGCCGCATTGGGTCCACAAAAGTACACACCGACTTTGGTGGTGATATTACTCTCCAATCCGGAGAGATATGTCTGATCAATTAAACCATTACGCATTGCGCCGAACAACCGCTTGAAATCTGGACGGCCGAAATTTGTGCGTGATTTCAGCTCGGTGAGAGGGTCGACTTCGGTGCCGACCGAGTTGAGGTAGATGTTTGTTGCGGTATCTTGGTCGAGACGTTGGGTGAGGTAGGTGTGAATGCGTAAGAATTCGGGACCACCCTGGGCACCTGCGGTGATGGTGGATTGTTGTTCGAGAGAGGATAGAAGAGCTTGGAACCATTCAAAGGAGCTGGTGTCTTTACAGATCCAGATGAATTCGACTCGGCGGAGACGTTGTGGCGGGTTTGGTCCGGCGCGTAAATGCCAGATGTTCTTCAGGATGGAGGCCCAGGGTGTCACGCCGATACCTGTTCCGATCAACACGGCGATTTCGTTGTCGAATACATCTTCGGCGGGAGCTCCGTAGGGTCCATCAATGCGGAGTTTGGGCATTTGTTGACCGTTTTGCATGGCGATTTCGTACATACCCATTGGGTCAAGACCCTCCAGATCTTTGGCTTGGGCAGGGCCACAACCGAGAGCGTTACCAAGGGCGCGAGTAAAGTCGCCGACTTGGCGGACATGGACACTGATATATGGATCAAAGGGGCAGGAGGTGATTGTGAATGGATGCCATTGCGTGGTTGAGACTTCTGGGACTTGGAGGAACAGCCATTGCCCGGCTTTGTATTTCATACTGGGCTTGCGGAATTGGATTTCCATGGCATCGTAAGGATGGCGAATGACTTTGACGATTTGTGTCTCACGACGAGCTCGAACCTCGCGGTAGAGTCGTTCAATCAAGTAAATACCTCCTCCCCATAGCTCCCATCGCCAGCCTTCGTAACCAAGACAATGTTGCCAGAAGATGCTTCCGGCAAGGGGAGAGAAAGGCTGGGCCGTATCTCGCACGAAACAACCTGTAGCATGCGTATAAAGCCCCAGCATGAAGGGAATGAAAAGATGATGTGTGTACCAAAAGGTTTCAAAGGACTGTTGTCGGATCTTCGCATGAGCCGTCGTGTACATCAGCAACATGCATAGTAGCATGATATGCCCTGTAATTCCACCAGCTTGGGTATAATGAATTTGGATGGCGGTCTCCGGTCGAATTTGAGTCTTCTCAACGTTAAAGAAATTGACGTAATGCCCCGCGGTGTGGGCAATGGAGAATATGAGCATGGCATACGCGACTTGGCGATGAAACCATTGTGATTCGTCCAAAGGCAGCCATCGGATTTTGGGGCGTACGATTCTCAGTAACGTCCTGCACATGGGTAGTAAAATCAAGGCTCCATCAACAGTTAGGACGAGACCGGCACCTCGTGAAATCCATACTGAGAACGTGAGTGTATTCAAGCCCGCCAGTTTCGGGTTTCTTGCCTGCAAAATCCTGTCCAAGTTAGTTATAACAATAACAATTCGATATTCATCGGAGAAAGAACTCACCATCCAGTGGCGAAAAGAGCGATGTGACCTCCCCAGAAGATGGTATAAAAGATCAATTTTGACGGTGCAAAGAGCGATTTCCAATTGACATCCATTTTTGTTTTCCCGGTGATAAATTATTGACAAACCGACCAGCGATTTAACATGTATAGTCAAAATATATTAAAGAACGAAAGACCGTAATAAACGGGCAGCGTGAGAAGCGAAGAAAAGACCGGCTGGGGCTGACCTGCAAAACCCTATGGTGGGAAGAAGAGAAAGAGAAGAGAAAGAGAGAATTGGGGAAAATGAGGCTCTTTTGTTCGCGTCCCAGCAATCGAGCGAGTATTAAGAACCGTGACCCAACCTCTCAAGTTTGCCCGATATCTGATGAAAATTTCTCTATTATCTCCCCGAACCGTATGACGCAGAACCCCTGATCAACCTGTTCGAGACTGGGGCGAGACACGGTACGTTGAAATGGGTTTGCAATTGACTAAGATAGACCCATTTTTGTGGATGGTTAGGTGAAATTCCGCAGAATGGCTTGAGCGCTCATTAACTCAGGATGACTATGCTCAATGTTGTGACGACGGTGCGGTTTTCGATAGCTGAGGGCTCTGTAGTGCTTCAGACTGCGACAGTGAAAAGGTTTTTGGAGCAAGACGAGACGTTGGCGGTGGATTGTGCGGCTCGAACAGGGGACGTTTTAGGATTGCGGCAAGTATAGTAGCGGGTCGGCGAGACTTCCAGATGAGATGCTTTGATGTCCGCGTGAAATATGTCTATCGAGCTGATTGTAGGTCGAGTCGAATGTTGGATCTATTCTTGAATATCGTTAATTGTCCAGTGTTGTATGTTGTATGATGTATGCGATGTGTGGTGTGGTAGAAGTTGTGGTTACCTACACTACGTTAGTACGTAGTTGCTGTACTAGTCACCTGCAGTGGGCCTATCCTTAGGCCGCTACGCCGTTTTCTGTAAATACTCCGGATTTCAATAGCCAGCATCATCCAATAGATTCCATGTGCTCACTGAAGAGTTCGCGCTCTATTTATACGATCCCTGTTCTGCATCGTATGGCGTGGTACCGACTACGAAGTAGACGAGAGTATATTTAGATCTCGCTTCGAGACTTGCCATATTTAACACTGCACATTTGTCCTCCAGTCGTTGCGTGCCAAGCTTGATTTTTACAATACTCAAGTTTCTACAAAGTATTGGGACACTGGATGTATAATCCATCATCCAACAGCATCGTGTCGACGCCGTGACTACAGTTTCTCGTTTATCGATTGGGCTATACCATGAGATGCTCGGAACTTCTTGCAAGAGAGTCTAGTTAACAGGAAGTCTTAAATTAATGGATAGTGAATGCCTAAGGTGTCTTTTTTCCTGAGGCATCAGTTGCAACACATAAGAAAGGAGCGAATCAGGCAGCGGGGCCCGGTAGCCAAGGCAAGCACGATCAAACTCTAAACAAATCCCCTCCGATTCTGGTCTCTGATTGGCTGACTGACAATAAGCACGGCCCGGCCCAGTCCATGTGGGGCATGCCTTTTTCTTTTTACATCGGCCAATCAGAATCCGGGAACAAGCGCTCAATATTGTCGCTCTGCCTTAGGGTTACTATCTATAGACGATCAAGTCTGAAGAATCTACCGGCCACTGAGCACGTGTAGTACATAGCAGTCCTAACGTATACCTTAAAATAATGGCAATAACTGGCGAGTATCTTTTCCAGGTGACTCCGGAGCACCCGATCTGTGTGATAGTGATAGTGATACTGTATCCGTGCGTTGTCTCCGTGTATACATTGTAGATTGAGTTATTACTGCTTCTCAGCTTTGTAGTATTATTATCAACGCCAAATACTATTGCATGATTCTCCGAGTACTCAGTAGTATGTCAGTATAATAATATAGAAGCATGGTACAGTTGACTACTCCGTACTCAGTATCAGGCACTTTGTGTTTGACCCCCGGCCGTGGCTGATGCATCTTCACCCTCACCATCACGCCAAGATTATGCTGCATGCATGGCGGATCACCCTCGGCACGGACACTCGCCCTGTTATTCGATCGCTTCCGCTATCATAGCGCGGGCCTAATATCCTGTCACCTCACTTTTCTCAGCATTTTATGCATATGGCAACTCTGACTGGTCAAAGTCCCGGTGGGTTGGAGCCGGGTTGACCCATCAACTACATTCTCTGTATGGTTCGGTGAAAGACAGACTAAGATGGACGGTAATGCCCGATTTTCACTTAGTTGGTTAGTACGCACTGCTAAGTACTCCAACAGTCACAAGGTGCATGAAGTCTGATGGCGGGGGTGGTTCGGTTCGATCGAGCTGGAAAGCTCGTCAAACTCCAAATAAAACCGTCGCTGTGTGATCCATCCCTATAACGATTTTACGGGGTACCTAACGATCTCATGAGGCATAAACCATACACAACAAATCCTCAAACTTCGATCCATACTAATCTGACATTCTGGAACGATCAGTTACCGATTAAATCAATTTGACGCCGTAACGAAACTCACGACTTGTCTCGAACAGCCATCTAATCTCCAGCCGCCTCTGTCTGAGGCTTTTACGAACGTCCCCGGCTTATTCATATATTCATGTCTACTACCCTGTCGACCTCGACGGAGAAGAAGGAATCGAGTTGGTGACGGCGACAATCAGCATACAGTCGTACGCCCATTCCTTCCTTTCGTTTCTTCTCAATCCTTCGCTGGTCGAGGGCCGACTTTCTTTTCTCTTCGATTCTGTATATTCTCCTTATCGCCGGTCGATACATTTCATACATAATGGGTCGCTTGATCAAGAACCACTGGGCACGTCTAATCATCCTGTCCGCCGCCTTTTGTAAGTTTTCCTCCTCAAACAACTTTTATAGAACGTCCTAACAAGTTGTGGTAATAGGGCAAATCGGCGCTTCAATAGAAGGCTTCTTCTGGCCCAAAATATTCTGGGACTTCATCACCCACAGCCTCGATGGCGCCGTCAAACCCGCTCCGATCCTGCAAATAATCAATCTGATCATGGGCTTAGCGGCGTTTGCATGGGAGTGGCCCCTGGGTCTACTGGCGGGAACCCTCCCTCATCGGAGTATTGAAGTGCGACTTTTGGTCTATCCGTTGAGCGCCTTGACGTGTGCGCTCATGTATCAATCGGGCGATGCTGCGATTTATTATTTGATTGGGATGGGGGCTTATTTTTGGGCTTATAGTGAAGGAGAGGTTCGTCCACCACTCCAGGATTATTAAATGAAGCGCATACTAATAAGGTATACAGGTGGTCTGTCCGGTACCGTGGACTCTACCCAAACGATCAACCGTCGGAAAGGTGTAGCCCTTTTTATGTGTAGAAATGCGGATTGCATTGAGTTTATTAGCGAAATGGCGTTGCGATTTAAATCCTCAGGGGGAAAGACTAGCATAGGAATACGACGTTTGGATACTCCGAAATGATTAAAATACTTGATTGCTTGCATGAAAAAAAATATAAAGACCTTGGTTTTAGGGAATATTCGCATCTGGTACCTACATTCTCAAGCTGTTTATCTGGTGTCGTCTATCCGTACTTTTTTCGGTTAACAAGTTTAGATATCTTCGCCAGTGAAATTCTCAGTTTGACAGGATGGACAGGATGGTCAAATAACTTGCAAAGATCGCAGTGTTCAAGAACAAGTCCACTCCTAGTTCAATTTCAACAAAGATATCCCTACGCCCTCATCCCGGCAACGTATTTGCGTTGAATTAAAACGCATTCCCATCTACCTTATCATAAACTCCTGGGTTTATCAGACATTAATCATCCGTAAATTCTAGGGCCATTACGTGGCCCTAAAAAAAGACGATTATCCCTTTCATTGTAGAAGGCTTGAAAAGACGGGAAGTCTCGGGCATGAGGAGAGCATCATTTGACGTGTGTGTACCTAAAGTTTCAAAATATATATTGTAACTAGCTACATGCAGTTACTACCTAGGTATTTTTAGTGAAGTTGTTGGACACCTCAAGTGCCACCATTCATCCATGGATGGATGGCTGGTAGTATTATCTATCCATGCCAGGTGGATGGTCGTATCGACGGTTACATATAACCTAGGTATGCATGCCTCAGGTAGAAGTGAATCCTAATACGGACGTTGGAAGGATTCGAGCTACCCACTTCTCAATATCAATGATAACTAGGATTTATATATAGAATTATACCTAGGTAAGTGTATTATACATATGGGGACCATCGAAGTGCAGATGACAACGAGTCGAGTTGACATGGACGAGTTCTAGGGCCACATAGATATCTATGAAGAAGAGGGCTCAAAGCCCGAAGAAGGCTTATTATATGGTTAAACGTCTCATTCTACTTGTGATATATGCTCTCTGAACATTATTTCATAAAATGTAGCATTACTATACGAAATCATCTAGGATGCGCCCAGTTTCTGGACTAGTTACCAACCTCGGAACACTATATATAGAACGAGATGCCATCTGCAGAGTGATACTCGGCACATCTCGTAAAACCAGATAACGCCCATGCCAGCATGTTTTCTGTATCATCTTTCCTGGTCAAAACTTTTAAAATAGAACCGATGGTCCATTCGCCCATCAGGGACGGAATACTGCAGAGATAGAAACTGAAATAGAAACTGTACGAAGCAAGATCTAGCGGACAGGGATGCTGGATAACGGCTCGAAAATATGCATGTCAAGACCAAACGGATTCAAAAATGAGGTATTCTAGTAACCACAATTGGCTACTATTCCAAAATATCTTGACATTTTGCGCCATCTAATGAATCAATATGCAATTACCGCCCACACCTCATCTTCCAATAGAGCCTCCACATCACATTCACGTAACATAACAATAACTTCCATAAAATTCGACCTAATTAACCTTTTCCACGGCAAAACAATCCTTGCACTATCAAGTTTTGCTAACGGTAGTTGTACAAACTCCGGGTAACCATATCCATCCCCGAATCGCATCATGTATCCCGAGATTGGCCCAGCTTGTATTTGCCAAATCACGACCGCTAGATGGAGCAGGCGTGGAACAGTACGGCGGGGAATTTATCAATGCGAGAGTATACTAGATGGTGCAGACTTGAAATGTAATTGGCGTTGAGTCTGTCGGTGGAATATGACGCGGCGATAGCATCGCATATGCATGGGAGGGATTCTAATAAAATAGCCGCCGAAGAATTTTGGAGATAGTCCGTCTCTAGTTCAGCTAATGCATAAAAATAGACGTTTCCAGAATAGTCTTCTCCGGGACTGGCGAAGTCAGGGTCTATGTGTGCCTGGCTGTTGACTGATGTACCAAATTCGCTCCGTTCTCCTTTGGAGAAGAGGGCAGGATATCGTTTTTGGCGGATATGAGTGACGGCCTACCAAAGCATAGCGCAGATGACTGCATTGACAGTGAGCTTAGAAGTTGTTTGCTCCTTCAGTTTAGTATTGAGTTGTTCAGTCCTTATGATGGTGACTTTGAGTACTGCAAATTACAATTTGCAAAGTGGTCTGCTGCGAAATGCAGATGTGGAGGAGTACATTCCAAATATGAAGTCAATATACTGTCAAATGAGGACTTCTCAAACTCAAGATTATCAGTATGTGCAGTCAATGCACCACCGAGTCGACAAATGCGGTCATTAACGCTCGGAAAGATAGGAACAGACTCTTCACACAATACATTCGCCCAAACTCGCAGGACTTCCGCCTTGCCACCAGTTTTGACAATATTGTGATGAGAGCACAGACACAAGATCACCCCATCTCCAGCGCTAAAAGCACAATCCCAACAGCCAACACAGGCGCACCGGTTTGACGAATCTCGTGATTGACCAAACTCGGTACAGGCCATTTATCCTCCGAGGTGGTGTTTAAAGGCATTCCAGCTACGACTGCATTCATATACGATCCGGATAAGGGAGCCATGTTTTTGATTTTTGGTGCATGGCCATCTTTCCAGCATACTTGCAACCCATTTTTGCCGGTTGTGGTGGTAGCAGGGAGAACTTTCCCTCCAAGTCAGGGTATCTTCTTTCAGCATATTTCGTCTAGGCTGCTTTGGCGTTTAGGGATAATGCATTTCTCAACCGACGCTGCTGTTCTGAATGATAAAGCTATTCGGGTATAATATCCTGGAGGAATTAACTCCAGTGGTGAAAGCTCTAACGTCCGAAAGCACGTCGACATTATAGCTATCCTTACATAGCGACGCCACACAGACTGTATGTGAATTAACAAGACGATGAGATGTAGTTTACAGTATATTGACTACGAAGCGACTACCAGCAACTTGTTGACAGGTCGGACTCCGGTATTCGCAACGGTGAGCTACCACATTCTACTGCAGATTAACCAATAAACCTTAAATTGACAGAGAAAGGTATTGTATGCTACTATAATTTGTTGACCTATACCGTATATTCGCCGAATTGAGTTGTATAATCAATACATAGAAGTGTTTATAAAAGTATACATCGACTTCCGGATAATATCCTGATACAAACTACTACCATCTCTCCTAAGTAACTACATAACCCTTGTCATTAAACATGCATGAATAAATGTGGGAAGTAAGCCACCGTATCTCAACAGTTACTCCAACAGCAGCCACTTCGTATTTCTAACTTTCTGCGCAGAGTATGAACAAATTATACATCGAAGAGCCTATCCATGCATCAAAGGCAGTGCGAATCGCTGGACCGGACAGAAAGGAGTGCCAGATTTTCAATCTGTGCTACCATCATTTCGATAACCCAGAGGCCGAGAAGGTTCTTCGAAGCACCATAGAATCTGCGAATGCATTCCTGTAAGCTGACGCCCTCACCATTGTCAAGCGAAATACTCACCGGAATTGTTTGTTATAGGATCTTCGAAATTACACACCGCACGCCCCCCTCGATCATTTTTACCGCAACCGCTGCCTTTTTCGGCGCATTAAGTACCACTTGGATAGAATGTTGGGATTCTGCCCTTAGATAGTCAGCACCGCCTACCTTACGTACTTAGCGCGCTGGTAGCTAGATATATTTGTCCTAGGGTCCTACGTTCCCAGGGACAGTCACAGCAAAGCCAGCACTAACTGACCATTGCCACCCTCGCATAGGATAGACTCCGCTGCGGCTGCTGAGGATAGGACGATGCACACTTAAAGAAGACAGCCTTTAAGCCGGTCTAGCAATTTTTAGCACACAAGATGTTGGGAACCATAGCTCAACGACGCCTTAACTTCAGGTGCCAAGATAAATACGTCGAAGCAGGAAAAGCAGGGGGCTTGTAGGAGGACTGGTCGGAAACACACGAATGGTATGTATCTAGCGCACTAGTGCCCTAACGATAGGGTTAGTCCCTCCTGGCGTAATAAATCATCATCATCATTATCATCATCTGTCGAGTACAAAATTCGTGTCAGTCTTGGCACGGATTTTCTCAAAAATGTCGAAACACGTGTAAATACACAGAATTCCGTGTCAAATTTGAAGCGGAAGTCATTCCCAATTCGGAAAATTCAAAATATTTCGACAGTCTTTTGAGATGTTGACTGCCACTGCCGTCGGACCTACTCCCCTATCATTTCAACGGATTTCACGTCCCTATATTGAACACAAAAATGCCAGACCAGGAGATAGATTATCAAAAATTGCACGCTTCCTACGCCTTGGTTGGAAATGCGAGGCTATCGCAAAGGAGTGCGGTGTCAGCGTCCGTACAGCTTTACAGATATCAGAAGAACTTGTTACAACATTATAGCCTTCGGGAACCTACATGTCGGACTTTAGGACGCGCAAGAAAGGTGTCGGATGCGGACGAAGATGCTATATTAGAATATCTTCTTCATGAGCCTTGGTGTCAACAAGACGAGGTCCAATTCTGGTTACTTTATGAACGTGATGTTGATGTTAGTACATCGACAATATGTTGATTATCCAAGCGTCATCAATGGTTAAGGAAACAGCTAAAGCACATCTCTTTAAACTGTAGTGAACCCCTTCGCTGTGCCTATCTCAATGATATATGTCAATTTGTAGCGGATGATCTTATCTACCTCGATGAGTCGATATTTGACGAGAAAGCAGGCTGGTGTCGACACGTGTATGCACTGATTGGAGATTATGCCAAGATAGATGCAGATATGAATCGGGGCAAGACATGGAGCATCTGCGCAGCAATAATACTAGAAGACCATCTTCCCATTTAACAGAGTGGTTGCAATAGATTCGCTAAAAAGTACTTCAAGCACGCTGGAAATGGAGTGTATATTGAGGAGAAAGAGCTTGTTGAATCCCATCAATTTATCGCGCAATATGAGGCAGATCTAAGCGTCAACTTACTCAACGATTGAAGTGATCTGATGAAGCGATCTAACGAAGTAATATATTGATCCCTTAAAGGTCATTATACAGTATGTTCATCGCGAGCATGGCGTACAGGTTGCCTATATGGGCGCAACTCTCTCCTGAAGCCTCTTGCCAGACCGTCTGAAATGCCTGCTTTTACTGTACGTTGATACGCTGGCATTTTATCATCTTCCATTTGCCTCAACTCTCATATAGACCAGTCATTTGTAAATATAATTGTTTGAGCACGCTTCCATTTCTCCTTTTTATCCTCGTTCTTGGATTGAATTGATTTTCCATGTGAAGAGTTTGATAAGCGTGTCATAATTCGTGTCTTTACCTGATTCCATCAAACTAGATGACCTCGGGCATGGTATTGGTGTAATAGGAATAGCCTCAAATTGTGCGGGAGTCTTTGAATGTTTATAAAGAAGGGCTGATTGTCGATCTTTTAGGTAATAAATAGGCCATTTGATGAGGTGCTTATGCCTATATTAGTAAATCGCTCTATTCTCAAAACAAGTAGCGATGTTCTTTCTCCTCATTACAACGTTCTTGTTTTTCATGCATTGCTTCCATCTGCTCTATCAATCTATGTTGCACCTATTGCTCATACATCTTGGCCTGCATTTCCATGAACCGCTCCATGACTTGGCCGTTGTTCTTCTTAATAGGTTGTTGAGAATCTCGGTCAATTGCACCTTGTTTTCTTCTAACACTGCTTTAACTCGTCTGGTAGGTTCTCAATGGTTGCTCCGCCTAAAGCTATGATTTGCCTAGAGCTCAAACTGAGTAATAACGATATTATAGTATTGATTATTATCCATGGGGTGAGGGAAGCAAAAGTTATTGTAATTCGTACAGTTTCTATCACTGCACTAATATTTCTTCATTAGGGATATATCCTTGGGGACGCATCGAGGTGGCATGATTCACTATCAAAGTATTCTGAATTTTCTGGATTGGAAACGACTTCCGCTTCAGATTTGACACAGGATTACGTGTATCTTACATCTGTTTCGACGTTGTTTCGTATGGAATGTAAAATACCAAGGAAAATGTACGTGTGGCGACATTTTTGAAAAAATCTGTGCCAAGATTGACATGAATTTTGCAACCGACAGATAATCGTTCCTAAGGACACACACACAATCAAGAGTCAGTTTTCATCTACAACACAAGATAGAATACTGGTGGTTACCTTTCCACTTGATTTTCACATATCTGATTCCATTATTTTCGATATATATTACATTTTCGACGGTGTTGTTTCTTGCATCGGAGGCAGAACACCCGAAGAGACATTTGATCTCATTCGTCGTCAGCACGATTTGGACTTGAGTGAATGGACATTTACTATAATGGTGAGGAGGTGTTGCCACCGCTTGGGACGTTGTTTTGGTACTGTGTGTTGAAAAAGAATGAACAGAAGTTAGCGTAAATTTTATCTTAATGCTGACTAGTTAGTGTAGCTACATTTCTTAGGCCTATTCTATATTTGATTGCCAACTTAGAAATTTGGCTAGCTAGAAGGTTTCAATTACTCAGCCCAGAATGCATATCTTTTCTACTGGAAGGCGAGATACACTTATTAAGCTCCGATTCATGCCATACTGACTACGGTTCGGGATGGTGTTTGGTCTTTTTGTAGATGGTCACATTTCCAAGTTACTCATGATGTAATTCAATGACTTCAGTAAATATATCTCAAGATACATATGTGTTAAATAAAATCACGATGGTTTCTATTCCTTAAAAAATATCTGAACCTAGAGCTAACTATATGTCGATATCCACATCGCCATTCCCATTGGCCTTGCTTTCCTCAATCAACTTCATGATGGTATCTTCATCTAGGGGAACAGTCGCGAATCGTTTCAAAGCCGCTATATTTGCTTCTGCTGTGAGTTTTGTACCATCCCCGAGAAGTTGTTCTAAGTACTCGAAATATCGCACGAAGAAACCCGGAGTGATTGTGTTGATGAAGACGCCCTCTTCGTTGAAAGGGTTGCTGAATTTGTGCGGAAGACGAATTGGGACCTATTGATTTATGTCTACATTTAGTATACGGTAACATGATGACATTCGTATGTTCTCTTACGGTAATGATGTCTCCCGCTTTGGCATCAATCGGCGGAGCACCGGGTGTGTGGAAACGAATCCTGCCCTTCTAAATCACCGTTAATCATGTTTTACGGCATCTTCTGCTTGATGCCTACCGTGATAATGAATCCCTCATCATGCATTTCATGGAAATGAAATACCGGCCCCTCGCTGCGAGGGGGAATAAGGCTCTCAATCATACAGAGGCGCATCTGAGTTTGTGATCCATCTTCTAGAACCCTGTAAAGGTCTTGAAAAAGTCAATGATCCATGAATCTTCTTTCAGTTTTGTATAACTTACACTGCCCCAATCTCCGCCATGGGATCTCATCTGGTCGAACGTGGCCGACATGTAAGGCTTTGATGTACTCTTTGTGTTTTTGGTCCATGTTGGACTTGAAGTTGTTTTGAAACTGTGGTATAAATTAGAAGGTGAATAGAATGTTTGCAATACGAATTACTCCCAGTTGACAAGGGCACATGTAAGTGCTGATTGACAGACTAAGGAAATTAAATCGGCATGCATGTGGCTAGCAGAGGCGAATTTAAAACTGGACTCATATTCGACCTCGAATATGGATATCAATTCCGGCTCCCGATCTTGACTGAACCTAAACTTATAGAAACAAGTTTATGACCTTTGATTTCTTGCTGCATAAATCGAAGATTTGCTTGTGCATTTGTAATTGCTCGGAAACCGAGTGCCGTGGAAACCACTCAGGTTGTTCAGCAACTCACTCTCATTTTTGAGTCACGTACCTTGAAAATAGACAAATCGAAAACATATAGAAAACCGATAGAAAAGTCTTTGCATTAGATCTTCTTTTTGATTGACGGTGTTCCACTTGATACATATTTGATGTTCATATCATAATGGATTCATCAAATACCGGCCTCCTAGGCCATCTGATTCTGAAAGCCAGCGGCCGCAAGATGGACATTCCTATGTTGAATACGGTAATAATTCTGTTCATTATATACCTGTGTTACAGCGTTATCAGAGTACGTCACTTCCTTCTTTATATAGGGTTTCTCTAACAATCTGAAGCGTCTTCGCATAGCATATTTTTCACCTTTGAGCCGTATTCCGGGGCCATGGTATGCTCACCTGACCGGCCTCGTCCTCAGGTATCATATCCTGAATGGAAACCGGGTAAATTACGTGCAATCTCTACATGAAAAGTACGGCCCATTTGTCCGCATCGCTCACAATGAAGTCGTGACTTGCGACGCCGCAGCTACGAAAGAAATCCATGCCATTGGTACCAATTGGCGCAAATGGAGTCATATACCAGACGACATCACTCCCAACATCTTCAGTATAGTTGATCCAAAGCAACATAGTATTCGGCAAAGATTCTATAGGAAGTTTTTCCAACAAGCAACGTTGCGAAAAACAATGGAACCGGCCGTTCTGTCCACGGCTGAAACCGCCATAAAGGGAATGAAAAAGGATGCCGATGCCGCGGGAAATATTGTCAACGTACATGAATGGTTCATGCTATTCAGCAACGACATAATGTCTCTCTTGACATTCGGCGAAGGATTCGGCCTGATGGACAAAGGCGAAAGAAAGGGAAGTGTCATGACTCCCGTAGAACTTCACAAGATGAATGCCTGGTTAGAGCTTTCGCTCCCAATTTTTTTGCTTGGTCGTTTCGTATTGTCACACTTTTCAGAGCGTATGAGGGCAATTTTCCGTGCAGATGTGGCCCTTAATCCATCAGAGGATAAAGCGATTGCGCAGCTCAGAATGGGTGAAAAAGACGAAGAAGGGCGAACGGTATTCGCAAGAGCCATCGAGGATGCAAAGGAAGATGAAATGCTGAAATTTCATGGCAAGACACGTTTGACGGACGATGAAATTGCGGCAGACGCCTTGGGTTTCCAATTGGCGGGGGCAGAACCTGTCGGTGTTTCGTTAACTTACTTGATATGGTGCATCCTACGGCACCCGGATGTACAGAGGCAGATTGAAATGGAAGTGGCGGGTGTCGAACTCTCAGATGCAGCTCTTGAAAAACTACCCATCCTCACCGCGGCCATATTAGAATCTTTACGATTATGGGGTGGTAATGCGACGGCCATGAGAAGACGGGAGGATATAACGGATGGCGGGGTACTACTTGGTGGATTGTATCTTATCCCCAAAGGCACGATAGTCTCCACGCAGGCATATTCCCTGCATCGCAACCCAGACAACTGGAAAGATCCTTTCAGGTAGGCTCTGTCAATATTGCTGAGAGCGGGACGAACCGCTGATATCCTGACGATCACAGGTGGGATCATAAGAGATGGCTCGACCCCGCTCAGAGTCATTCGATCTCAACGGATCGTTTCCAGCCGTTCAGCGCAGGCAGTCGAATGTGTGCTGCATATCATTTGGCCTTGATGGAAATACGCATTATGACTGCGATATTCTTCAAGACCTTTCCGGGAGCCAGATTAGCTCCCTCTGTAACACCAGAAAGCATGGCATTGGTTGATCGATTCAACCTGTTCCCGAAGCACGATAGCTGCGAGGTCATTTTGAGTGGTCAGAACTGATCGATCTCATACATATCGCCCGAGAACTTTGTTATGTCATTTGAGATAACTGTATTTTGTTTCTATTTGTTGGTCGCTCATACTGGTACGAGATGGTTTACTAGAGAGTTAACCAGTCATACTGACATATGACACGGAACTGGCTTAATGGTAAAGCCCTAATCGACACGGGCGGGTTCCTAGATCTAATGCTGTTATATTTGTATTAAGATGTATTGAGTTATAAACGAATATGCAGATTATACTATTGATACCATATTTAGACGATGTAGATTAACTTAACTCCAAGGTTGGATATTACTTGTAACTACTAGGATGAGTGTGAGTGTCTCAATAACAAATAGACAAATACGGTATTTCATTTCCTATTTAGGAAATATTTCTTTCCCGTATACACTGGACTAACTTAGCACACCGTCACGATAGCAAGTCTGTTGAGGTTGAGGACCATGAACAAATGTAAAGATGTGATATCAGCTACTCGCCTGTCTCCAAGCGAAGCTCCCAGAGACCTTTGCATACATGTGAACTGCTCTCGAAGTGCGTCGTTATCTGTACTTATATCAGCAACATTCGCTAAATAGCCTTGAGAGGACCATAAACCTTCAAAGCAGGGTCCACACGTGAGAACAGTTTCAACCACTCCTCTTGGCTTCTCTGTTTCACATTGTGCATTGTCATGGTTGTTATGTCGCGTCGTCGGTATGAGATTTCCACATGTGGAGGAAATTCTCCTGGTAGTGGCGATACACCGTCCGTAACAATGATATGCGTCCATGGGCTACCATGCAAGATTTGGGCCAATTGTTGAAGAAGTCTGACTGCTTCATCATCCGTCCAGTTCCAGAAAAGGTTGCGAATGACATATGCACAAACAGTGTTGGCGTCGCTCGGTGGTGGAGGCTCGAAGTTTGAGGTAAGATGAGTAAAAGAGATACGACTCATAGAGCGAGGATCTACCAAGGCCTGACCGCGACGCAGGAATTCTTCGGAGTCACATCTCAACTCAAACGAAAGGTCTTCTTTCTCCCTGACAAGAGTCGTCGAGGCGAAACCATATCGTCCACCAATCTCCACAACTTTGGTGAGATTTGAAGAAGGGCGGTTCTTGATCCATGTTCGAATTAGGGAATCCGCAGGATCCAGAGCTAGGTGCAGATTTAGCAGTCAGTACAAGCAAGCTGAGAAAGATGCTTACAGTTGGATACTCCTTTCATTGCTCGACGGAATCGGTCCCCTTCCTCAGGATGCGAGGTATGCCATTCATACATCTCAACGCCAAATCTAATTTATATTAGCAAAATACATTAAACTAATGTTAAAAGCCCACCCTTGCTTGAAAGCCGATTTGCCATCCGTATAGGTGTTCGGCTTCGACTCAAGTGCATCGGCTAGATGAACACTAGCTATACGAGTCTCAAACAGTCTGCATGACGATTGTCAGCACCAAAGTCCTGTCTTTTAGGGAAATATTTGATCTCCTCCTACTGAAATTCAACCCAGGCCCGAAAATCTGGGTCTTGGATCATGTCCTCTGAGATGGCTGTAAGGGCGTAAATGCCATTATCTGACTGGCGGACAATATTCTTGCAGCACAGTAGACCAAGAATGCGGATCAGCTTGTCTTCAGGGACCCCTGAAGCTGTAGCAAGATTGCCTATGTTGGCTTCCCCTCCAAGTACAGCAATATGCTCCAAGAGTCTTGTGCGTAGAAACACGTACAGCGCTCCTTGATCCCAATTAGATGCTACATATTCATGGATGAAGTCATGAGGTCCCCTAAGCAATGTAGTAATTCTTTCTAATAAGCCAAGCGTTCTTGTTCGAGCCGCAATTAATTCTTGGGGGGAGTCTGTCGACCAGAAATCAGGAGTAGCACCTGCCAATAAAGACGGCAATGCAATTCCAGTGGTTTGGCAGTATCTCTGCATAAGGGTGCATTCTGATAAGATATCGCTGGCTAGCTGATCGATAGTCATGCCTTCCATTGTGTCCCTCTGATATGCGAAGTTACGGCTGTGATGTACACGATTACCGGTGCCTAACTCTAGAGGATATTTTTTAAAGAGAACTCCGCACGGAGCGTGCCTTTTTGCAGACCTTTCGGATCGGACGAACCGTTTTCGTGATATCGAAACTGCCTGCATCCTTCGGCGAGATTCCCTTTACCTACGGGCTACGGCATCCGGAATACCGGCCACCACGACAGACAAGCTACGTGTCTGCTGTTGACCTACAAATATGACTAATACGAAGGCAGATTCGTGTGATTACTTAATCTGTCTAAAACCATGATTACCGGGAAAAATTCAGCTGGGCATTTTCGTATTTGTTATGCATAGCATGGGCCCCAGCGATACATCGTTACCACAACCTCTAGGGTTAGTAGGATTATATGATCTTGCACAGAGCCCACGTTAAGCAATACGGAGGGCAAGATGGCCGAGTGGTAAGGACTCCTTTATCCGGATATCAGGAAAAATGCTCATATATTTTCAAAGGTCTAAGGCGTTCGTTTTGAATCTAACCATGACCCCTAACCCTAAGGGTTAGGGTTAAGCTAGAAATAGCGAATCTCTTCGGAGGCGTGAGTTCGAACCTCACTCTTGTCGCTCATCGAGAGTCAATTACAAATTTTTTTTTAGCAGTGCATATCAGCAGAGAATACAAAGGACCTTTGAACCGCTCTTAATTTGTAGAAGTGTAGCTAGAATAAGGATTGTATTAGATCTTTCACCTGGTCATAAAGGGGCCCTTTGGTGATCCCGCCTAATGCTCTCTGCATTATTATGGGTACTTCGTCCTTGCTGACTCCTCGATCGGAAAGAGTACCAATATTCAAATTCAAAGATTGCACAAGTTCCAGTATACGATCGCCAACTGCAATGGCATCGCTAAAATTGTCCCCAGTCCGACTGCCTCCCGTTGACTCTGAGAGGCGGGCAATTTGACCAGCATTTACCGGCGATTCAAACGCTTTCAGCTTTACCACCTTCCCCAACGTCATGCACGAAGTAATACCGTGTGGAATGCCGTAAGGGCTACCGAGTGCGTGGCCTAAGCTGTGTGACAGGCCCATTCCACCTGGGAGATTGTCTCCTTTCAATCCAGAACTAGCGTAAGCTGCAAGCATAAGTCGAGTATTAACGTTTTCATCGTTAGGATGAGAGTCTCTAGCTAGAGGTAAACACTCGAACAATTCCCTTACAACCCATTGTGATAGAGCCTTCCACGGGACCTCGGTTGAGTGAGGATGGTACATACACTCGACTGCATGATCCATAGCACGCATAGCCGTACTCAACCAGAGGTCCTTGGGGGTGTACCGCGCATAATACGAGTCGTAAAAGATGACCGACACGCCCATCTCTGGTTTGCGGAATCCGACCTTGACACCATCGGACCTGGTATATCCACCGCCAGATGTACATTCAGCCGCACTCAAGGTAGTCGGTATTGTCAAGTGAGTGAGAAATTTGCCTCGTGTTTCGCTTACACGCAAAGAAATTACCTTTGCTGTATCGATAGGAGAACCGCCACCGAGAGATAGAATAGTATCTACTCCTTCCCCTTGGCTTAAGATAGCTGCCACGGCCTTATCAACATCTTCCAAGGGGCCGTGTTGTCGAACCTCAGAAAAGGTCCCGGCATGATGATCTCCAAGAAGTTGTTCAAGTTGCTGCACCAGGGGCGTTCTTGTCGCCAAGGACGTACCAGTGACGATGAAGACCTTGGACGAAGAAGTTTTCAAGATACCAAGCAAATGTTTCTCGACGCACCCGGGACCATAGAAGACATGTTGTAAATTCCGTAACCCAGGGCTCCAATGACCAGAAATCATCTCTGTTGGCTTCAATGGAAAGGGTGGGGGTTCGGTTATGTCAGATCCCGTTTAGGAGACTGAGCTTTTCGTACGGTTCCAACTTATAAATATGTTAGCTACATACACACATGCTCCACTCTCTTTTCCTATTTCCTCTATGTGTTGACTATCGGGTCCCGGGATACCGACAGCCATTCAAGAGAGGCATTTTATTGTCGCCGAAACATAATATGGTTCGGTCAAAAAAGACACTGGCTCTCCTGGTTGTAGTCGGATGAATCGCCACTAACATCCAATTCTGGTCTATAGTCGTTGAGAACATACGGAATATAGGTACACGAGTTCAAACAATAATTGCTACCAGCATGGAATATGATTATATACAGTTATGATTATATACAGTGAAACTTGGTTATGATGACTGGTAGACCTCTCAATGTCTCTACCTCGATTTGGATTACTTCATCGTGGCACTGAAGAGCATCCTATTTATCAACACCAAAGTAGATTGTATAACAGATTACCCTCTATCTCTGAATCAAACTCAATTCTGAATAAATTAACTTGGTACCTGAGAGGTCTTGTGTTGGTTAAAGCCAGGTTCTACTGTAATTCGGATTTCTCCAAACTACGTACACAATCTACTACCTAGGTACCCAGCAAAGAAGTGCAAATGAACGAAATGGCTTTCGACCAAGGCCAGTTCTTTTGGAAACTTAAAAAATAAGTAAAGAGCGTATAAATTAGATGTTCATGTTACCATCAAATCGGCTTGTCCTATTTGAAAGCAGCATTGAGTTTCCTCATAATCACGATATTATTCGTCTAAGAGATGCATTGAAACGATCTGAGCACCCTAGAAGTTTTTACTTAAGTATTATAAGAAAGACCCATCTTCTGAAAGAAATTTCGAGTATGCGTAGCTCGTAAAACCAACATATTTCTTGTTACTCATTCGTGTGATTTACCGCGATTTTCTTTAGTTGTTCAGTGTTAAATGAGATCATGGTAGTTCTGGACAGCAGTCCAGCCCATACTGGATTACAACATAAAAAAGAGTTATGCAATCGCAACAGAGAAAATCCGACTGGACTTCATTGGGGCGTATCTTCGTGGGACTTTCCCTCGTCAAATATTAAAATTAGGGAAGTCACTGCGCCTGGGCTCTGGAGAGCGACTTTCTGTACTGCTGTACGGCATACCCCTTTGATGTCACCATACTTCAGCGCCCAAAATGTTGCATGGTTAGTCAAAGAAATGAAGCAATACGAGGCATTCCGTAGTCGAAGAAGCTGAGTCAGTCAGTCGCTTCGGCATCTCATGTCCATAGTAAGGCGTGCACTATCTTTCCACATCACGCTGCTTGGAATCCGAACACCGAGGTAAAAGCCGACGCGACGACGATATTTGAATCCTGTTGACTTTCAGAAATCTAGAACACAACTTAATTTCTTCCTATTTACAACGTCGACGATCTCTGCCGATCTCTCTAAGCATCCCAGGGCATGAACTCGCTCCTTTTCTATATATCCATCCTAGTCATACAACATGGCGGGCACAGCTGTGGCCTTCGCGGAGGCTCCGACCACGGTTAATGGTATGAATAAAGAAGCATCGGTTCATATATACATATTTGGGGACCAGACTGTTTCCTTTGAAGACACCTTAAGAAGCCTTCTGAATATCAAAGACAACGCAGCCCTCTCGGACTTCTTTAACAAGGTCGGTCTCAGGCTCCGAAGCTACATAGGAGGCCTTCCACTCCATGAGCGAGATTTTTTTCCACAGTTCACTACTCTGGTTGACCTTTTCGCCCGGCACGACCAATTTGCTGGCGCTCCGGCCCTGAAATTTACGCTCTTGTGTGTCACTCAGATTGGACAATGGATCAGGTGAGAACCTGGGCGGAATATTCTATTTCTTAGATAATCTACTAATAATCTGAGTAGATACTACGGGAAAGGTCCAAAGGTCTATCCGTCTCCAACAAGCACGTATCTGGCTGGTGCTTGTACTGGGTCGTTTGCAGTTGCTGCAATCAGCACCTCACGGTCTATCGGGGAACTTCTTTCACCAGCAGTTGAAGCCGTCCTCATAGCGTTTAAGACTGCTAGCTACTCACTATCGCTGCGGAAGGATCTGGGATTCACAGTCTCAGGGGGACCAAATTCTTGGTCCGTAGTCGTGGGTGTCCAAGAATCGGAAGCAGCGCGGCTCGTGGAAAATTTCAACAGCGCAAAGGTAATACTGACAAATATCTTCAAAATATTAATTTGATATATAACTAAACATATACCAGGGTCTTCCTGTTGTCTCGTCAATCTATTTAAGCTGCATGAACCGCAACAATACCTCTGTTTGCGGCCCCCCAGAACTCCTGCTTGAATTTCTATCGTCAAATTCATTAAAACACTTGTCATTGCCGATCGAGATTCCTTACCATGCACCACATATTTTTAACGCGTCCGCGCCCGAAAAGTTAGTTGGACCGTTCTCCGATGTCATACTGGAAGATTATAGACAATGTTTCAAGAGTATATCGATTGCTTCTGGGGAGGTCATAACTTCTTCAAGCTTTAGGGAGTTGCTACAAAGAGCAGTTTCAGAGACACTACTGGAGCCCATGCGATGGGATGTTACGATATCTTCTATAGGCGAAGAACTTGTGCAAGAGAATTTCACATCATGTGATATCTACTCAGTTTCTTCGAAGAGCGGACAGTCCCTTTCCTCCGCCTTGTCTCAAGACGCGAAACTGAGAGTCAATATCTCCAACTCATTAGAAGTATCGAGCGGTTCCAGTAATGTTTCCTCTACGGGTAACTTTTCCGACTCAGACATTGCCATAATCGGCTACTCGGGAAGATTCCCTGAATCAGCTTCGAACGAAGAGTTTTGGGAACTGTTAATTGCTGGGCGAGATGTGCATCGAACCATCCCCGAAGATCGATTCGACTGGAAAGCACATTACGACCCGACCGGGAAGACAAAGAACACCAGTCGAGTGAAGTACGGTTGTTTTGTGAAAGAACCAGGGCTTTTCGACGCCCGGTTCTTCAACATGTCTCCACGGGAATGCGAGAATTGTGATCCCGCGCAGCGACTAGCTATTACTTCTGCTTATGAAGCAATTGAAATGGCTGGACTTGTTTCTAATAGAACACCATCAACGCAACAGGATCGTATCGGTGTTTTCTATGGAGTCACTAGCGATGACTGGCGGGAGGTTAATAGTGGCCAAGATATTGATACATACTTCATCCCAGGAGGTAACCGTGCTTTCATCCCAGGTCGAATAAGGTATTTGAAGAAACTTGTGTTAGAGAAAGGAATATATACTAACAATGAAAAGTTATTTCTTCCGATTTTGTGGACCAAGTTTGAGCGTGGATACTGCTTGTTCGTCTAGTTTTGCGGCAATTCAGACAGCATGTGCCTATCTTTGGCGTGGCGAGTGTGATACTGCTCTTGCAGGCGGTGCGAATATTCTCACCAACCCAGATAATTTTGCTGGGCTGGATCGAGGCCACTTTCTCTCTACCACTGGTGCGTTGCTGTGAACCGTAGACTCTAGCCCTAAACTGACACGGGGATAGGTAATTGTAACGCATTTGACGACACAGCAAATGGTTATTGTCGTTCTGACGCTGTCGGAACCGTGATTCTCAAAAGGATGGAGGATGCTATTGCAGACAATGATCCAATCTTCGGAGTGATTCGTGGAGCCTACACAAATCATTGTGGTCGTACGGATTCGATAACCCGACCATTCGAAGGCGACCAGGCTGCTGTATTCAACCGAATTATGCGATATGCTGGTGTCAACCCCCTAGATGTCGGCTATGTCGAGATGCACGGAACCGGTACTCAGGCAGGAGATGCAACTGAAATGAGGTCGGTACTATCTGTGTTCGCGCCGTTCAGTACGAGGAAATTCCCTCTACACTTAGGGACAGTCAAGGCCAATATCGGCCACGCCGAGTCTGCATCAGGTGTTGCATCTTTGATAAAGGTGCTATTAATGATGAAACACAACGCTATTCCACCTCATTGTGGCATCAAGACAAAAATAAACCACAACTATCCAACTGATTTAAAAGAGCGTAACATCCACATTCCCTTCCAGCTAACACCTTGGTCTCGCGAGGACATGTCACTGGGAAAACGCCTGGTCTTTTTGAATAATTTTAGTGCTGCCGGTGGGAACACTGCAGTTTTGTTGGAAGATGCTCCAGTTCGGAATGCGAAAGATGGAAATGATAGTCGTTCAAAACAGCCAGTGACTGTAACCGGAAAGACAGTCAAGTCCCTCAAAGGGAATATCGAAAAGCTTATCCGCTATCTTGACCAGTACCCCGACACCTCTGTTTCCTCGCTATCCTATACAACTACTGCGAGGAGAATGCACCATACTTATCGAGCGATTGTTTCTGGGTACGATGTTGAGTCTATTCGCAGCCGCTTACAGAAGATTTTAGAATCCGTTTCAGAGACGAAGCCAATTCCAACAGCAAGCAAACTACCAAAGACAGTGCTAGTTTTTACCGGACAAGGAGCGGCTTATCAGGGGCTCGGGAAGGAGCTTTTTGAGACAGCTCCGATTTTCCGCGACAGTATCATACGGTTCGATAATATTGCGCAGCAACAAGGGCTTCCCAGTTTCCTACCTCTAGTCTGCAGCAGCTCGCCAGATAGACCCGTACATGCTTATGGGCCCATAGTCACTCATTTAGCGCTTGTTTGCGTTCAAATGGCGCTATATACTCTCTGGAGAGCCTGGGGAGTGACAGCTTCTGCTACCATTGGACACAGTCTCGGCGAGTATCCCGCCTTGTATGCCGCAGGAGTTCTGACCGCAGCAAATGTTATATACCTAGTAGGAACTCGGGCTCGACTATTGACTGAAAAGACTACTCCGGGAACTCATGCTATGCTAGCGGTCAAATTATCTGCAGTCGCAATTGAGCGCGAGCTACAAGGCAGTGGCTGTGAGATAGGCTGCTTTAATCAGCCTTCAAACAATGTCGTCACAGGACCATTGGAACAGCTGACCCAGTTGCAAAATCGACTCAAATCGAGAGGTGTCGAATGCATGCTGTTGGATATTCCCTATGCCTTCCATTCCAATCAAGTTGAGCCGATCCTGGCATCATTTGAGAAAGCAGCTAGTGCTGTTAATTACAATCAACTAACGATTCCGTACATATCCCCTTTACTCTCTAAGGTGGTCTCTCCAGAAGACAATGGCGAATTCGACTGTACCTATCTTACAAACGCGTGTCGTCAGCCAGTAAAATTTCAGGATGCTATTGAAGCAGCGCAAGCCAGTTCCCATGTTGATGAAAAGACGATATGGATAGAAGTTGGCTCACATCCAACTTGCATCGGAATGATTAAAAGTATCCTCAGCGGTCAAAGCCCACGCGTGTTCGGCTCACTTCGAAAAGATACAGATGACTGGACCGCAATCATGCCTGCCATTGAGGGACTTTATCAAAGCGGCTTCGACATTCAATGGTCAGAATATCACAGAGGATTTGAGAATGAACAGGAAGTTCTGGGCCTACCAAGCTACGCATGGGATTTGAAAAATTATTGGATTCAGTACCGAAATAATTTCTGCCTCACTAAGGGAGACGATCCAGTTCCCACGACTAGTATCGCTTCGGGTTCACCAGTTGCTCAAAAGCGGGTGCCATATGTCTCACCTTCTGTCCAGAGAATATTAGAAGAAGACAATGGAACGGACGCATCTACATTAGTGGCCGAGTCTGATATACATGATCCACGCCTCGCCCCCATCCTGGAAGGTCATGTAGTGAATGGTGCTATGCTTTGTCCATCTGTAAGTTATTGCTTCATGTCAACAGTATCTATCCTAACTAGAAATTTCAGTCACTCTATGCCGATGTTGCAATCACGATCACGCAGTACATGGCAAAAGCTATTGGGATTTATAAGGACACAACCGGGCTAGATGTCGCTGATATGAAGGTCATCAATCCTTTGATTCTTAACAAGGATTGCGATGCGCAGCTTTATCAGGTAGTTGCTACAGCCCAATGGAAACAGCATATCGTTTCCTTCAAACTGTTCAGCGTCAATAATGCTGGTCGGAAAACCGGAGACCATGCAACTTTCACCGTTCGGATTACGCCAAATCAGAACTGGATTGCCGAGTGGCAGCGTCAAGCCTACCTGATCCGTAGTAGAATATCTGCACTTCAAAATAGCGTGAAAGAGGGAAGCGCTCACATACTCAAGCGACCTTTGGCATACCAGCTGTTCTCGACGCTGGTATCATATAATACCGACTACCAGGGAATGCAGGAGGTGATGCTGGACAGCGATGAGCATGAAGCTACCACCAAAGTTGAATTTCAAGTGGATGACCGTGGATTCAAATTCAATCCATGTTGGGTCGATAGTCTTGGACACATCGCTGGTTTTATTATGAATGCAAGTGATGCCACCCCCACGAAGTCACAGGTATTTATCAACCACGGCTGGGACAGAATGCGCTGCGCTATCAATTTCGAGAAAGGGGTGGAATATCAGGTTTATAACCGAATGCAGCTGGAGAGCGGCACGACCTACGTGGGTGATACCTATATCTTCAAGGGCAACAGTCTAGTTGGCATCTACGAAGGCATTCGCGTAAGTTTATCTTGTGAACCATATGTATTCGGAACGCAAAACTAACGATATCCCAGTTCCAAGGAGTTCCGCGTCAGCTTCTTGATCGTCTCCTACCATCAAGGAAGCAAACCCAACAACGAGCAGTAAGCGACAAACCACCTGTTCAGAGTTCAAATCGACAGCCAAACCCATCTGCTGCACAGCCCACAAACGTAGTTTCCCAGAAGCCAACTCTAGCAGTAAAACAAAAACCGGTGGTCTCTACAGCTCCGAGACCTAATGAGATTGCATCTCGTGTACTGACCATAATAGGTGAAGAAGCTGGTGTTGATCCCACCGAACTCGATCCCAATGAAGACTTCCAGAACCACGGGATCGATTCACTTCTCTCTCTTACCATCTGTGGCCGGATCCAAGAGGAGCTTGGTGTAGAGGTCCCATCTTCATTGTTCGCAGATTACTGTACTCCATTAGAGTTGAGTCGGTTCTTCGGCAGTGACAATAATCATACCTCGTCTGCCAGCTCGGCTTCATCCTCTGACGACACTGATGGAATAAATACTCCGGACAACCGAGAAATCGATTCTGACACTTCTACAGAAGGGGAAACAGGAAACTCCATCCTCGAAGTAATTCGCGAAATGATTGCACAGGAGACAGGTGTCCCAGTTAGCGAGCTGTCACTTACTAGCAGCTTCGCAGACTTAGGTGTTGATTCTCTACTGACACTCACCATTGTCGGAAAGTTGACCGAGACTCTAGACATGGATATACCCTCCAATCTGCTCATGGAGTGTGAAAACCTGGAAGAAGTCAGCAAAGCATTGGGTTTACAGGAACCGCCACTTTCTTTGCCTGCAGAACCAGTACTGAATACAGGCAAAATAACAAAATTTAGCTTTGATCCCCATGCTGGTCCGCAGTCAACCTCTATTTTGCTATCTGGGAATGCAAAAACGGCCAATAAAATCTTCTTTCTCTTCCCCGACGGCTCAGGGTCCGCAACATCGTACGCCTCCCTTCCAAAGTTTGGCTCTGACGTTGTCGTATACGGATTGAACTGTCCATACATGAAGACGCCACATGCCATGACAGGCACATTGGAAGAGTTGACCTCCAAATATCTCGTGGAGATTCGACGTCGTCAACCAAATGGTCCGTATTATCTAGGCGGATGGTCAGCAGGTGGTATCTGTGCATACGAAGCCGCACAGCAACTTGCTCGCGAGGGCTGCAAGACGGAAAAATTGATTCTCATTGACTCGCCCAATCCAGTAGGACTGGAGAACCCACCGCAACGCATGTATGACTTTTTCGAAAGTATTGGTATTTTTGGGAGCGGTAGCAAGCCGCCTCCCAGCTGGCTGAGGCCACATTTTGATGCTTTCATTCGGTTACTCGACAACTACAAAATTAGGCCTGTGGCCAACTCAGGATTCAAAATGGAGGTCTACATGTTGTATGCTCGCGACGGCATATGCAGTGATCCCAGCGTGCCTCGACCAGAAATCAGGCCCGATGATCCGCGTGAAATGATCTGGTTGCTCAACGAGCGGACTGATTTTAGTGGTGATGGATGGGCATCAATTGTGGGTAGAGAAAATCTCCAAATCACTGTTATGGATAAAGTGAATCATTTTTCAATGATGGATAAGGGGCCACACATGGAACAATTTGCAAGTTTCCTTCACCGGGCATTAGCATGAATTTACTAGCATCTAGTCCGTAGCTATTGCTTTTATTGCTTTCTTCCCTTTCATTTCCAGGCCTGTACGCATGATGGTATATGCTTAGTTTTAGATGTTTCATTAGTTGTCATTCCTTTAACAAGACTTTGTTATGAGACTTTGATATCTTTTCATATAGTTGTCATAGTCTCAATATTAGAAACTGCTTTCCTATCACTCAAGCAAAATTCGTTCAGAGATACTTCCGTTACAGAAAACAGTGCACGCTTTACTTACTTCAATTACTTAATATGTTTGACCTTTACTTTGACCATACAAAAGTTCCATAAAATAGCATAAGGTTATTTCAAATTCCTATACAACATCCAAAAACAGCGTTCACTGGAGTTGCTGGAGACGGCCATCTTTCTTTGGACAAGTACACCTGTGAATGTGAGTAGGATGTGTAATTGTATGTATTGTGCACCGGTATGCTTATCTAAGGGAAGAAAAATCGTAGTTACATATTATACATGTTCAGTTCCAGGTAAATATCTTGCTTCCAAGGTCCACATCAATATGAGCGTCTGTAATAGCCTTAAATAACCCTAATCTATCTACGACCCCATGAGTATTTAACTATTTAACATCGCCAAATTTGTATCTATGTAAACCACCCAAATTTCTTGATCTTTATTACGAATTAGACTACCTATATTTTACGGGATTAAAAATAATGTAGTATTGAAGATAATCAGTTATTCTGTATTCCATATCAAGCAGTTATATCCGTCTAAGCTCTCCAAGATAGTATTGGTTTCAAAAATGTTTCTAGGTTGCCAAGGTTAAACATTGAGAGATAAGGAATTGCCAAGGCCCTTCGATTCTGGACACACATGAGGCAGAGTTGCAATCTACTCTTTCTCGGCTCTCATGTCAATAGTTTCGTTTCTTCTCCATCCATTTGGCGTCCCGAGGTCGTGTAAAACGTCGGGCTTCGGATTCCATACGCCGTGGGGGTTGATATTACTGCATTCGGGCCCCGGAAAGTATGTTCCGATAGTTCCGATAGTTATCGGACTCTCAATATAGTGCCTGATACTATGGTCGTTCACGTATGCGGCCTTCGGGTTCTGTCGTAAACTTTCGGTTTTGGAGAGGAATCTACGATGAGAACCATCATCACACCGCAAGAAAGAAGACCACAGAAACATGGCATTGAAAATTTCAGATAAGGTTTCCTTGACTGTTATACGGGATTCTTACAGTCCATGGGGTTCTGAGGAAACAATTGGTGATGTGAAGACATGTAAATGCCCCTTTTCGAGATTTTTATGCCCACCCTAACCCTAAATATCATTCTAACCGATGCAGATACCACTGGCAGACAGGACGCTACAATAGGCGTGATTGATGTATACGATGTATTCGGTATATCTAACCACACCCAGCAAGGCGCAGATTTAGTCGCTTCTACGCTCGACGCCGTAGTCATCGTCCCCGACTTACTCAAGGGCACATATGCAAAGCCCGAATGGTTCCCCCTCGACTCGGACGAGAAACGTGCTCACTTCTTTGGGTTTCTGAAGGGATATGCAGCACCGAATAAGCATGTTGATCCGTTGTTGGAGTTTATGAAACATGTCCAAAGTCGATTTCCAACGGTGACGAAATGGGGGTCTTTTGGGTTATGTTGGGGTGCGAAGGTGAGGTTTGACTCGTAACCCTAACTAACGTTGCGAAGACCTGACTGTCAAACAGGTCGTAGCGTTAACTTCGATGGCCGACACTCCATTTAAAGTATCCGCCCAAGCGCATCCAGGGTGAGACTTCTATATCTCTTCTCGAGTCGTGCTGTATATTAACCCGATTGGTCTTTCTAGCATGCTAGACCCCGCCGACGCAAAAAAGATAACAATCCCCCATCTGGTTATGGCATCCAAGGACGAGCCAAGCGAGGCAGTTGCAAATTTCAAGACAGTCATTGAGAAGAATGGTAGCGGCGGATCTCTGACCACATATATGACAATGCACCATGGTTGGATGGGATCAAAGGCCAATTTGGTTGAAGAGGAGACATTTGTGGGATACAAACAGGGGTGAGTAACATGTTAATTTGGATGGAGAAAGATTGGAAGATGCTGACGAGTGTGTCTGTTTTAGGTATACCCAGCTGATAGAGTTTTTCAAGGAATATCTGGTTTGAGAACTGATTCCCCTTGCGAGTGTGTATAGTGGCTTCACAGATAGTTAGATAGCTTCGTATCAGGGATTAGGGTAACGATTGAGCTAACCACTCGACATCAATGAGAGCCACTACTCAATAAATCATTTGCCAGGATAGAGCTTCTTATCCCAATCTCCATGTAGCTAAAAAGATGGGCTGGCTTTCTAGCCCTGGTTGGCTGAGTATACTATAGCTTGCAGCAGTATTCTAAACCATGACAAACCGGTATCAACATTTAATGTTCAGCTGGAAAGCAGTCTTCGTTTAATAGCATTTCATCCATAGTTTAAATATACTAAACGTTGTCTAGTTAATGTCGTCCTGACTGGACCTTAATGTCTACCACCCTGAGTTTTTTGACGCTCGATCGCAACCTTGGTTGCTTCGTCAAGATCCTCCTTTGGAAGACCAAGCATAGTATTAAGCGTGCCCTTGGTGTCCTCAAAATTGCCAGCGCCATCTGGGAAGAAAATTCGGGAGTACAGAACGTTGGCAAATGCTTCTCTTTTGCCTTCCTTTAACTGCTCCAGACCCATTGTATATACCTGTGTGGCTGGTTCCTTCGTAATGGTCCAATCTTCCTCTTTGGTGCCCGTCACACGCAGAGCAGACACCAACATATCCTTTTGACTAATGTTAAAGGAATTGACATACACCACTCTATTCTTTAGCTTCTCGAGGTATGCTTCCGTGTTTGGCTCCTCAGGCTGGATAGGGAGACTTAGAATAGCAGTGACGGCACGACCGACCTGTGGCCATGTAGAGGTGCAGATCTTGTCTTCGCCTTTATTGTAGAATTTGACAGTACGATTGGCAAAGTCGAAGCCGTAGTTACGCGGCATCGCGAGACTGTACTCATACCAGAAGCCCGTTGAGAGGGCGATATACGATGACTTTCCGAGTTCTTCGATCAGTTTACGAGTGGCCACTAAATACAAAACACCGCTATCAGTAAAAGGAAACTTGTATCAAATGATATTTTACTCACCCTTTGGTTTAAAAAGAAAAAGATCGTTCACCATGCCTTCGTGCGCTGTATCAGGAGACCATTCATTAGGGAGACTAGTCATATTAGCAAAGTGAATCAACTGGACAACCATTTCCGCAACAAAAATTTGTTACTCCACAGACTTACATCCAAGGGACTCCCGCCTCAGCAGCCGCTCTGACAAGCTTCTCCTCAGTTTCTTGAATTGGGGAATAGCCACTGAGAGTAATAACAAGTGCGTCCTGGCCACGGAGGGCGTCAACGATTGTCTCTAGTTTCTCATAATCGATTTCCTTTGATAGAACGCCCTCGGGTAAGTTGCTCTGGCTGTTATGACGCGTGATGGCTGTAACAGTGTGTTCACCCGTCTTGAGGAGGGCATTTGCCATGTAGCTGCCTACATTGCCTCCAGCCTACATCAGCAGATCTGTTAGTTTGCAATGTATAGACAAATTGACAGAAACAACTACATACGCCTACGACAGCAACGTTCTTAATGCGGTTGTTTGCAATCATTTTCTTCGTATCGACTCGATATGGTTGGACTATGGTATGCCGAGAAGTAAATAAAGATCGAACGTGGGACGATGACGCTTCTTAAGTATACATTCAACCACGTGAACTGTATACCCTCACAAAAAAAAAGAAATCATTTTCGGAATCCGCTCCCAGTCTGGACTCTGATTTATGAAGTAAATGCATTATTTCTATGCAGACATCCTTTGGTGGCTGATAGTCTCGGGGAATCCTTTCTTTTCAAATTCCCCGTCTGCCCCACAATAGCCTTCTGATATCAGAAGGCTATTTGCAATGTCGCTGGAATAACACCAGTTCAGATGGGAATTTGGATTATATGACATGTCACTGGGAATATAAATTGTCTTATTTGCCACACTGGCGGATTGGATCATGTCCAGACCAGGATTATTTCACTATTCAAATGCCAGGACTGGAACTGGCTCTGTCTCAATCCTGTATACAAAACGATCGAGGCTCACACCCTCCCTAAACAGCTTCTCCATTGATAACATGTGTCTCCAACCATCCAGTTACAAAAACCGTGTTAGCAGGATCAGCGAAATGGGCATGATCCGGCAAGATGACTTCCTTGTAGTATGGATCATCCTTGGCTCGAATATAATCCAGAACATCCTTGAAATGAATCTGAATAAAGCAATCGTATTTGCAAATATCTCCTTCTGGATAGGTGCCAAAAATTTGAGTCATCATTTGTTTCGTCTCGGTAGTATTGTGAGTCTAAACTCGTTTGATTCTCAGTATTTCTCGGTTTTCTTGTCGATGACTCGTTTCTTACCATCGTATAACTGAGAATTCCCTTCGCTGCCAGATGACCCTTCACTAAGTTCGAATGATGCTCGCTCAGATAGCGGTGATATTCGTCTTCATCCATGCCCTCCTTGCGACAGGCGCAGATCGTTAGACAGTAGACTCGCGAACTGGACATGATCGGCCATCTAAGTAGGGGTAAAAGTTGAAGGATAATGATGCTGCCGGAGAAATGATCTGTATCCTGAAGATTTAACTAAATCAAAATTTTTCTTTACTGGTAAGTATTGGTATATATAAAGGGCAACTGTCAACCCTGTCGGACTCCGGGGCGCGCAGTGGTAAATTTTGTTTGCTTGGGCGTTAAATCTGATAGGTAGAAGGTATGCAGGTATCGCAAATAGAAGAGAAGTTATAGATAGGTTCTTATTGACTAGTTAAAAACAGCTGCTTGACTGGCTCAATCTCTCAAACTGTATTACTACACAAGGCAAAGACTCATAAGTCTGTTCATGACCCCATAATCACCCCCCAGCATCCACTCTAAAGTAGATGACTCTAAACAACCTGTGCTTGTTGATGATTGATGGGATGATTTTCTTGACCGATCCCGGATTTATCATGACCCTCCATTGGTCTGAAGCCATTGCGGAATACAGGACTTTCCTGAACCTTCGCCCAATCGTGTAGCATGTACCCATTTTCTATCGAACATTTTACCTCTTCCTGACCACGTGGAACCATCTCAATTTCGTACGAGGTGATGACCTCGGAGAGTATAGACTGTCCTGCCACAACTGCTCGGAACCCGTCAAGTAGATTTGAGACATCGCATATGCAGTGATTCAATCCTTGGCCTCGGTCTGGAAGTACCCAAAATCAGTACAGAGTTTGAATTGCAATAAAGAACACTTACATGGTGGCATCGGGTGTGCTGCATCTCCGACAAGAGTGATTCGTCCTTGTCGGTTATCCCATGGCTGGGGAATCCAGTAACTAATATCGGCTTTGTGGATTTGAGTATCATCCGGAATCCAAGTGAATGCCGAGTGTGCAGGCTCCCCAAGAGTCTGGGCTTTTGCACGAATTAATTCGAGCCTCTCCTTGTAGGTCAGAGGATCGTCTCCGTCTGAGAACCATGCCATTGCCAAATGGAAGATCCATGACTCTGGGTGATCTGGGCCGTCTGGCATGCTGGAAACTAATTTGTCTAGTTAGCCTCCAATTGCCTCGTGATATTAACCATGATCCTATTCATAACTCACTGGATTGGAATGCATGGAATGACCTGTCACTCAGCGCTAGATAACTCGTGGGAAACTTATGGCGGAGGTACAGAGCCTTCGCTGCATCGTTATACGTGACGCTCATGTTTGTGTGAAAAATGGGAAACCGGCTGACCGCGGCCTTTTCTGCACTTCCCATTGCAAACTCTCGCACTTTGGATCGAGGACCATCTGTGCCGACAAGAATAGATCCGGATACAATGCTTCCATCCGCGAAGAAAGCCACAACTCCTTTACCACTCTCGTTAAAGGCAACATCGACCAAATTCTTTCCATACTGCACATCAATGCCTACCGCACACAACGCTCGCATTTTGCTTCGTGGTACACGCAGTCCCTTGGCGTATGGTACTCCCGTCAATAGGTCACCCGATTCGCCATGGATAATGGGATAGTTTCCGCCAGCTTCGATTGGAATGGCAGGGTTGCAGGACACCTGAGTCATGTTTTCATATCGATCTTCGGGAAGAAGGCGTTGAAGACGATCTAGAGACCAGTGGATGGCCATGGTCCATTCATTGCTGCGGTAGTTCAGTGCCGCTTCTCTTTCAAAGATTGAGTATCGAATTCCTTCCTGTTTTTGATTGATTCTTGTCAGTGGAAAAGAGATCCTTGGTAGATAGACTAGTAGCATACCTTCTTCAAAGCTTGGGCTAGGATGAGACCTGTTATTCCGGCGCCGATGATGATGACGTGGACGTCCTCTTGTGGCAGTTTTGACTCCATTGTAAATTCAGATGTTGACGGAATTGTGTCACGACTAGCCGAGCAAAAGAGGAAACATCTGATGTCGTAAAATCTTCCTTAAGGCCAACGGTAAATTAAGAACTAGAATCATAGAGAGACATCTTTCGCTAATATATCCATGGGCTGCTTACCCCGAACTCCATCGGGGCTCGGATTCCTTCCTACGCGTTGTCCTACATCGACCAAATTCGGACCGATAAATCAACTACCGTAAATTAGCACACGTTGAAGACGAGTACATATCCTATTATCTTCTCTCTGGTTGACCTGACTTTGATATGAATTCCGAGGTTTGTGAGGAGGTTACGTCTTTTTTCGGAAACATAATGGAGAACGCTATATTTGAAAAGGATGTAACTTCAAGGAAACTCATATCAGTGGTTCTGGTTACCTTATTTACAGGGGTACTTTGATTCTGTTTCAGTCCAGGGAATTCTTAAAACATAACTGACTTGCTTCTCTGATATAGCCGTCTAGCTGGGTTCTACTTTGTATACTCTACAACGTCTTCTTACACCCTTTACGGAAATATCCAGGACCTAAGTCATGGCACGCTACACGCTTACCCTGGTGCTGGTACCAATACCATGGATGTCTAAATCGAAAACTGCTCGAGTTGCACCAGCAATATGGAAAGACTGTACGAGTAGCCCCAAATGAGTTGTCATTCATATCAGAGGCGGCATGGAAGACAATATATGGATCACGGTCCAATGAAATGATGAAGGATCCGGTATTTTCTCTTCATACCCCGACGGGTGTGCAAAGTATGTTTCATACCTGTCGACTATTTGTAACACTTGACTTATATTTATATCAGACATCCTTACTGCTGATAGACCTACTCATACCCGACAAAGACGCCTGCTCTCTCATGCATTCTCGGAGAAAGCGTTGCGAGAACAGGAAGCAATTATTCAAAGATATGTCAAGAGGTTAATGGAACAACTCGCCTTACGATCAGGTGAGGGGCCACAAGATGTTGTTCGGTGGTTCAATTTCACTAGTATGTTGTAATGCCATACTAAAACCAACATCCTTTTGTTGCTTTCTTACCAACGTTCTACACAGCATATGACTTGATCCGCGACCTTTCCTTCGGAGAGCAATTCGGCTGCTTAGAGAATGGAGAATACGACCCATTCGTCCAATCAATCAAAGATATTTCAAAAGAACTTACCATGATACAAATGTTTAAATATTATGAGCTGCTGGGTCTGAGAAGGTTTTTCATGCCAAAAGCCATTGCAGGGACACGAGCACAAAATATGCAACGAGTCATCCAAACAGTGGATCGAAGAGTCAAGAGCAAGACGAATCGGAAAGATTTCCTGCACTATATCCTCGCTGCCATGGAGACTGATAAAGGCATGTCTCGTGCAGAGATGGACGTTAATACTTTTTCATTGAGTATTGCTGGTTCAGAATCATCGGCTACTTTACTTTGTGGATTTGTCTTCTATACCCTCACTCATCCCACTGTTTACCAGAAGCTGGTCACGGAGGTTAGGGAGGCGTTTCAATCCGAGGATCAGATTGTGATGGCAAATGTTCATCATCTTACATATCTGAATGCTGTTCTGCAGGAATGTTTGAGGGTTTATCCACCTGTCGCTGTGACACTACCACGAGTAGTCCCCGAGGGTGGCGAAGTGATTGATGGAGGATACGTTCCAGCTGGCACAACCGTCGGGGTAAATCATTTCGCATGTTATCATGACCAGAGAAACTTCTATCGACCCAACGAATTTCTCCCCGAACGCTGGATGCCCGGTGCTGAAGATGAAACGTCCCTTTTCAGTCATGATCAGCGAAACTGTTTACAACCATTTTCGCTTGGACCACGGAATTGTCTAGGAAAGAACTTGGCTTGGGCGGAGATTCGTCTTATTACGGTTCATCTGATATATCTCTTCGATATGGAGCTGGATAGAAGCGTTGGCGATAGGTGGACGGAACGTCAGAAAGTCTTCGGGTTTTGGGATAAACCGCCCTTGCTTGTTCATTTGATGCCGAAGCATAAGACAACTATGTGATTGGGTATGTTCGAAGCTCTTTTGCCGCCGCAGAGATACAATCTTACATGGTCTCAAATTGTCGTGCACTTGTCAAATCCATCATCCTTTCTCTTTAGCTACATCATTCGACATAACATGGGAAATAGTTAAAACATTCTAGTACAGGAGACACAACTTCTTTGCGTTATAGTAATTTGCATGGGGCTTTGAAATGTTTTATGTATAGTGAGCCTGCCACCTAATCCTCGCTTGTCCTCAAACGTTTCTTTGCACGGGACTGATCAGAAGGTAAAGAGTGCCACTGTATAGTATCCGACATGGGCTTGGAATGAGGCTGAGGTACATCCAGTAACTGGGTGAGAAGATCAGTCGATGACACAGTCCCAGAAGGATGAATCATGCTCTGAGCATCCAAAGTCGTAGGCGGATCTAATGTTGTTGAGACAGATAATAAGCTCTCCCAACTAAAAGGTCCACTGGTCGATGACCCATGTGGTACTAGGTGAGATAAATCGGACATGTGTCCATTCAGAATTGACGGCATGGAAGAAATCATGGTTGTCTCAGGCTCTGGGGGTAATTGCGGATCTGAGGATGAATTTGACTGAGTCGACTCGACTGCAACTTCCAACGAGGAAGACTCTGACGCGTATGAATCTGATCGGCTTCGTCTGAACAAGTGTGCACTATCAATCAATTGATTGAATATCCTTGTCACTCGGCTATGATAGCTTTGCGGTGGCATTTGAGAGCTGGCCTTGGTGTAACACGCAGAGACTTTGCGTAACAGATCCCAGTCCGCACTCGAGTCGCTGTCAACATCACTTTCATTTCCTTGAAAAACAAGGTTCTCAAAGAGGACAAAGAATGCTGGCACTGAGAAAGCGTCGAGCAAAGCTGCAAAAGATTTACTGTTTGTTTCGCATGTTAGAGAAGTCCCCGTTCTGGTCGAGGGGATAGTAGTACCAGTGGAGGAGTGGTAGGCATGAATGACCGAAGGACTACGATCTCCATGTGCGATTAATAAGAGTAAGCAACTAGCTCTGGCATCTGCAAAAAGCCTTTCTCTCGTATGACGCGTTTCCGGATCGAGCTTTAGGGCTATAACGCGGGTGCTGAGGAACTCCATCGCAAGGAAAACATGACGAGGCATATACGACGCACTTATACCACTGAATATACTGTAATCACTTGCGAGTTGGTCCAGATGCTGTCTAATAGACTTAGGGGTTGTTGGCTGGGACATTTTCGAGTGCGAACATCTTCGATACTCCGAGGCTGCACAAGTCATGTGGTAAATTTCGTCTTGGATCATTGCCAGTCGAATATGGCTCGAAATAGATGCCTGCCGCTCTGCAACGGCTTTCAGTTGAGTGGTGATATCGCAGTCATAGCTAGGCAGCCAAGACACGGATCCTCGAGTGATGCATAGACTCTTGTCACGGATGTACAACGATTGAAGGACTTTGGCTCGCTCAACCGCATCATCATTTAGACTTGAATCTGAAGGAAGAAGTCCAGACTTATGTAACCCCATGGTCCTAGCCAGTATACAGGCATGAACGAACAGGAGCTCTGACCATCCCGGTGGATCGAATTGTTGTGCTGCAACACTCTAAAGGCCATTGACATTAGCCTCTACTAAAGTCCAGAGGGACGAGACCAAGCTTACTAGAAGGATAAGTGTTTGCACGTTGATCAGTCGCGGTGTATTGAGTAGCCGAGAGCTGACCAGCGCAGCCCGGCTCGGGAGCATGGAGCAAGCAAAGTCACCAAACAAGGCGCTATCTGCCTGTGTTGAAATCTCCATACCAAGTACAAGTAAGGTAATAGCCTTGAGGCATACCACCCACGTGTCGTCCCCTGGCCTAGCTGGTTGTGAATAGACTCGTTCAAGATTAGCAAGCAGATTCTGTTGCACAAAGATATCTGTTGCACAGTCGATATGCTTGAAGAAATAAGCAACAGCAGCAAGAGCTTGTTGTTTGGGTGGCAGTTGAGTTGGGAATTGGTCATTGTATGGCGGAAACGGTTCTGTTCCACCAGCAGTCTCACACAGGGCTCTTAGCAATTCTTGAAGCGCACTGGATTCAGTGGAATCGGCTATGGATAACGTCCGCAGTTGGAGACGATTGCAAAGGGCGAAGGGCGATGAGATTCCGTGATAACGATCGATCATATCCACATCACTGTGGAAGATATGAGAATAGGTCATGTCATCTGCTAGCGAGCCTGGGCTTTCCGCTTGAATTCCTTCATCTTCGTCCTCCTGCTCGTAGCTTTCGTTTTCATCTGACCGCCCTGAAGATGCCTGCATTCCGATACACTCATCATCATCGAAGTCCAAGTTCCGGGCCATAGCACTCGAAAGACGGCCCAGTTGCAATTCAATAGACGTCAACCGGCTCTGGAGCTGATCGACGCTGTTACACCTTGTAGCGGGTCAGTACTATCTTCCAACCCTAAGTCAGATACAACCATCAACTTGAGCTTACAGCAATTTAGTATGATTCACCCTCCTTACAGGGTTCTGATAGACACAGGTTATGCCAACATCCCGTTCGCAATTGCTGCATTGAGGGCGTTCCCTACCACAACGGATCTTCCGCTCACGGCAGCGGGTGCATGCAAGATCAGGAATGGCATCTTCCGATCGATTCTGTTACGATATTTTAGCATTTAATTCAACTTTTTCATCGGCTGCATGGCTTCGATTACCCGTCTGTCGGTAGCCGGCATCGTGACAGGAAGACAACAGGTCCACCACCTTTTGTTCTAGGATAACCCTAGTAGTTAAGATCCTTGACCCTGTAGTAGACTATGTAGAGATAGAGAGTAATAGCAATGATGTTCGTCAGGTTACTGTTCAGACTACAGGTGCGCTCCAGAATCGGCCACTGGGGAGTGAACCTGACTATATATGCTTGTTATGGTTGGTATTTGCTCATCGCACAGTTTGGCCCCTCAGATTATGCTTACAAAGTCTGGATATGGTACTAGGAATCTTCACTTACAGCTGCGGGAGACTTCCAATGAATGGCAACGCTTTCGGCGCAATGCCAACAATGATCTTAATCGCTTGTCCGAGATTCGCAGCTTCAATTTAAGTCTAGACTGTCATGCCACCAGAATAGACGCCGTGTCAGGCTGTAACCAAGATTTCCTGAGGCCATAAAGCTCAATAGATGGTCGTTCTATCTTTGACAGGGGTCAAGCCCATGATCGGAACTATTTATCATCGTTTCGCTTACAGGACCAGTAGGAGATATTACTGGCAGCAGTATATGCAATATTCAGCCGAACAGGCAATACGAAAATGCATTATAGGAAGGAGATAAGAAAACATAGGCTATAACTATTCCTTATGCTCCACCATGCAAATGCTGTCACGGTTTAGTTTATAATTGTCCTGCTTCGGACTTTTAGTTTTCGTTCACAATCCCTGCCCATACCACATCGGGACGTTGATCTTCAAGTTATACAGGATTCCCCAGAGAACCATATCCACGATTCCTCTGGCTAAATCGAGATAATAATGCAAGCTAAAAGGCTAGGAGCCGAAGCATAGATCTTGAGAAGCAAATCAGTTATCGGTGTTTATGTTTGTGGCTTGAGCTATAATATCATGCCGGACAAGTTTTAACACTCGAATCATGCTATAGACGATTAATACAGATGATTAGTACATCTAGATGCAGAAAAAGAATGTTCTTTTCTCTTTTTTTTTTGGCCATCAATGACTCGGGATGTTGTCACAGACTCTAGGCAGAACAACCGGCCCCCAAGTCTCGGATGCACCGAATCTCGGCCTATCCGCAAGCAGCTTCAGGAGCTTCGTTGGACGTGATTCATTCGCAGAAATCCCAGCTTGCATAAAAGCACTGTAACATCTGTTTGTCATCCGTGGCATATTGTGCTGAATCATTGTCGAAAAATCTTGGTCACTGCAAGCACATACCATGTCTGGAATACGACTCTTGTACATGAGCCAACTCACGGCTTTGGTATTCTCGCAATCAAACTCGTCGCTGTTTGATCCTTGCTCCCACGCACCAGAGGATGTAATGGTACGGGACATCGTGGTGATAGGTGGAGGGACTTCTGGGACGTATGGTGCGATTGGACTGAAAGATATGGGTAGAAGCGTTGCAGTAGTTGAGAAGAACCCGCACTTTGGAGGGCATGTTAATACAGTGAGCACAACATACCACCATCAATGTGTGACAAAGCTGATGTGGACGTGATTGATGTAGTACACTGATCCTGAGAGTGGACTTGCGTTAGACTTTGGAGTACAAGGGTATGGTAATGATAGCATCACCCAAGCTTTCTTCTCCCGGTTCGACATCCCTCTCATTCCCTTAATTCAAGGAAATGGGGAAATTATCGCGGATTTCAAAACCGGAGAGAATGTAAGCACTTTAGTGCCAGGTTCTAGCATGGTCACCTACAGCGAACAGACCAGTATGCACTACCCAAACCCAGCACTCGGTCTACACCTACCTCAACCTGTTCCGGAAGACCTCCTGCTTCCCTTCAGGGACTTTGTCAACAAGTACTCAATCCAAAATGCGACATATACCATCTGGAGGTATACCAGTCCGGGGAAAGACCTTCTTGACCAGCTTACATTATACGTCATCCTGGGCTGTAACGCAGCTTCTATACCATTGCTTGGTGGTCGAGGTCATGATGTGATGACAAGAAATAATTCCGAGTTGTTCGGAAAAGCAGAAGAAGAATTTGGAGACAGTGCTTTGCTCAGCTCTCAAGTCATTGCAGCAAGTCGGTCTAATGATAGCGTTTCGCTCGTGGTGCAGACTCCAACGACGAAGAAACTCATACTCGCATCCCAGATACTTTTCAGTGCACCAATTGTGCTTGACAATCTCAACAATTTTGATCTTGACGCTCCAGAATCCGATCTCTTTTCGCAGATTTACTATTCGTATTGGTACACTGCTTTGGTGACTGATACGGGATTACAACCCGGCTATGTTTACGAACATGCCGCGAGTGATACGCTGTACAATATTCCTATAGAGCCCTATACATTCCGAGTTGGAATAACTCGGGTGAGCAACATTCATACCGCTTTCTATGGCTCGATGGAAGCATTGTCCGAGACTGAAGTGAAGGCACGGATAGCAGAGAATATCCAAGTTCTTTCTGGTAATTCGAGCACTCCTCGCTTTTTGGACTTTGCAAGTCATGTTCCATTTAAACAGCAAGTTCCCGCCATAGCTGTTGCAGATGGTTTCTATAATAAGCTCAACGCTCTTCAGGGATATCGTGGTATGCATTATACAGGAAATGCATTCGATGCGTCCGGATCAAGCAGCCTGTTTAATTTCACTTTGCAGTTGTTACCGAACATCAACCAAGGCATTGATGCTCACCCAGTTGATCCCAGCATGGGAACCTGCAACAATGCTGGAGGAACTTCTGAAGATACTCCAGCCTCTGAAGGTACTACAAACAGTTCTGATGATATTACAGACACTTCTGACGATACTATAGCGGCTACTGAGGATGGCACAGGGACATCTGAAGATACAACGACACAGGTTTCGGAGAATACTACAGAGACTTATTAGTATATCTCAAATGAGGGAGATGTATCTCTGAGATTTTGTATGTCGCTTCGTATTGCGATATATCAAAAGTAGACTGTGCGATAGAATTATAGTGTATTTGCTGAATCAAGAACCTGTCAATTTTACAGAGCTCGTTTTCTTAAACGGGATTGCTAGGCTTGAGATACGTAATGCAGAACGAAGGGATTCGCTTCCAGTACTTTATCCAAACACAATCTTCGGTATGATGTATAGGGCAAGTCGCTGATTGTAATCAGAATCCTGGATCCGAGTCTCAAGAGGCTGAAGTACAACAACTAACGGTATATCTCGCATGGTTCTGGAAAAATCGTAATAAGCCAAGGAAGCCATGTCATGAAGTTCCTGCTTAGGTGGCGTTGTCAGCAATAGATCCTGCTAAGAGCATGTAGATCAGGCCTTGGAATGCATCCATCACGAGATCTAAATTTAATCCCTGATGAGGAAGGTTCGAGATATAAATACGAGAGAGGTACAACTTGGGTATTGTAGTTTCCTTGTTTGTATATGTCGGATTTGAAACCTATCCTAGTCCGTACATGCATATGATTGCTCGAAATTTTGATCCTGAAAGTTTCACAGCATCCGAAGGAGCGGGTCATGGCCTCAATATATTCCAGCAAATCGAACCAATCGAGCTTCTTCAGGCAAAAAGCCTCATCTACATGTGATGATACGGGTCCCCCGGGACCGGGCTCCGGTTCACATGGATGAGATTTGTCGATACCGAGTACCTTTATACATTGAACGGTAGATGAAAAGCGGAACATCAAGTGTAGGAGATTTCCTATCTTTCACCACTCATTTTACGACTTCCGTCCTGCTCCGGTTATCGAGCTCGTGTAGATACGTCGACTTGTCTCCAAGCCACTCCATTACCCAGTACCAACTACATCAAATCATGGCAGATATGGGTGACTTAGTTCTTGCTTCTCTGCCCGAAACCAAAGCAAAGTATGTACGCCTTGGAAAAGGCGGACTACGTGTTTCGGTGCCAATCTTAAGTGCAATGTCATTCAGTCATAAGGACTGGTGTTCTTGGGTCGTTGAAGAAGAGCAAGCCCTGACCATCCTCTAAGGCAGCATATGACCGTGGTGTAAACAACTGGAACACTGCGAATGTGTACAGCAATGGTATCAGCGAGGAAATCATTGGCAATGTAAGCCTTGCTCCCCCAGTATCTTCGGGAAGCATGGCTGTCGATAGGCTTTGCAGTCTTCTATCTGCCCAATAAACTCATTGAATATCTTTAGGCCATCAAATCTCTCGTGAGAGGATGTTTATCAAGACCCAATGCTCTAGTTGGGTTGATGGCTCGCCCAAATCTCGGGCTCGGTTGTACAGAGAGAAGTGCGCAGCGAGTAAGGATTTTGTGAACCAGGGTGGGCTCCCGAGAAAAGCTTTGTTCTCGGCTGTCGATGCAAGCCTTCGGCGTCTAGGCGTTGAGTATATCGACTTGCTCCAGATCCATAGTTTTGATTACAACACGCCAGTTGAAGAGATCATGGAACCATTGCATGATCTTGTTAACAGCGACAAGGTACGGTATATTGGGGCTTCTAGCGTCTGGGTATGTGTACCACAACCTGTGCTGCAATCATAGCGTCCTTGGTTTGGAAAGATTACACCTTCTGTTTAGACATACCAATTCGCAATGATGCAGTTCTGTGCAGAGAAGAATGGATGGACAAAATTTATCAGCATGCAAAACCACTATAACCTGCTTTGCCGAGAAGAGCGGGAAATGAAAAAATTCTGCAACGAGACTGGCGTCGGTCTCATTCCATGGGCGCCTCCTTGCAGAGGCTACATTGCGCGACCAGTCTCGTCACCACAACCCTCAGATCGCACTGCGGTGGAACTAAAAATGGGGAGGATCCTATCCGTTGGGCAGACGGAGACTGACCATGCCATTATTAATCGAGTGGAGGAGATAGTACAGAAGAAAGGATGGAAAATGAGTACAGTTGCTTTGGCGTGAATTGCCAAGCGAGCATCCAGTTCGATCATTGAATTTCAGTTCAGGGAGAAGATTGATAAAGCACAGAGAGATAAAGAGTTGACGGCGGAGGAAGAAAAAGTATCTTGAAGAGTTGTACGAAAGTAGGGCTGTTCAAGGACACTTCTAGTGAAGTATTGGATACCTGTCACTTTGCTTGAGGATATGAAGTACCTCAAAATTGATCTATATGGTTTTACCATAAATAGAAATGTTGATTGAATGAAAATATTATTACAGGCTTTGAAGATTTTGTAACTTATAGTTGTGCTAATAATTGCTACTACTCAAGTTGATTCGGGTTAGGGTTAGGGTTATAATGAAATGAGTCCATACTTAACGTCATACTTAACGTCATACTTGTTGTTTAGTAGATTCCTTTCATTCTTCACGAGAGTATACATAGGTAGTAAGCAGATTTCTTTTGTCCCTGAGAATTAGGGTTGTTCCCCTTCAGCCGCATTCTTGACGGCGGACTGTAGAATGCTGAGTATTGCCCTTCCAGGGCGTAATTGGGCAAACCTGACGATTGTCGGCTCTTTGCTTCCTAGATTCTGTTTTGGGCAAGAATGGCAGAAGTTTTACCTAATTCGAATCTTTCTTACAAAAACCATCCGATCTTCGGTCCTTTTCCACTCAACGACCACCTATCGACAAAGGAAGGGTGGTATCACAAAGCAAGACAATATATTCCGGATCATGGCGGTAGATCTGTCTCTTTTGAGATAATTTACGGATAAACTGGTCTGGAATCTCGAGTATTGGTTACACAAGTTCGCATACGACGGTCATTTGCGTCACATCCGTATGGGAAATTCTGATATATCGATTCCGGAGTCCGAGCAGATGTATTTATTACACAGCTGCCAAGGCTTCATGCATATAGTGTTGGCTATGACTAATAATATTTTCGCCAGAGTGTCTACAAATCTCTTGTGCTTTCTCAACAACGCAATTGATACAGTACAGATTGGTACTAATCTTCCAACACTTTCATGGCAATACGAACTATTCCTTCACACCAAGAGCAGAGTCCATTAAAATGGCTCAATCTGTGACGGTCGCTCAAGATTCAAAAACAACTTTATTCCTAGGCGTAGCTGCATCGACAGAGAAAACTAAGTGTGAGGAAAAGAGAAAAGCTGGCGCTGGGCCATGAGGCTCTTCAAATACATACTGTCATAGGATGAAGGCCTTATAGGGAAAGCGGTCTATAATGGCAGAATTGCGAGATCATATCAACTTGTTTGTAGCTTAGACCTTCCCAAGCTTAGGATTTTCATTAGAATAAGCTTATCGAGACGTCACACAATCAACCTCTTCCAAGATGCCGAGTATTAGGGATCGGCACAGATAAGTTACTGTATATTGTGTCTAACTGTAACTGTAACTGTAACTGTAACTGCAAGTTCATGATATATTTAACTGCATAACTTAACTGCGGTTCAGAGCTGTAACTGCTAACTGGCAGTTATGCAGTTATTAACTGTGCTTTTGAAAAATATATTGATGAGTGTTGGTTTATATGTGCAATCGAGATTCCTGGCACCGACGCGAACCAAAGAGAGGTCACGTGAAGGTACACGTGACCTCGTCAAGCAAGGACTATATAGACCGCGTCGGGGCCTCATTGAGAGAAGAGAACACAGACGATTGAATACATTTTGACCATAGTACTTGGAGTACCACCTGAAGCGCGTGTACGGACGTACGTACATTGTTTTATTGGCTTTATAAGCCAACCCACAATGAGGCTATTTCTCAATTTTTGATTGGTTCAGAGGATTTAGCTAACTACTAGCTTTGCAAGAATTTTCTAATATTCAGAAAATTTGTCAACTACTGCGAGATAATCACATTTCCTACCATTGCTATCATTGCTGCTGCCCTTCAATTCACAACAGTTTGCTTGAAATAAATATGGAGACACGTCGGAAAAGAATAAATTATCGACTCCTTAATGATGGCAGTGATGAAGAGGCCGTCTTAGAAGACTGTATTGATGATGACCTTCTTGCATTGAATTCTTTTCTTGCGGATTCACCATTTGATGTGCAAGCAAATTTCGATCACTCAGAACTGTCTATTTCTTCCTCAATTGCTCCTAGCGAGTCTATATCGCAAAAGCAATCTTCTTTGCATTCCAGCAATGACATCTTATCTCACGATCCTCAGCCAAGGAAAAGGAAACGTTTGGATCAAAGTTCTTAGCTATGGAATATGTTTAAGATTGTTCCCCAGCAAGGTAATACCTTTATTGATCCACGGACTAAAAAAAGCAAAGAAGAAAAAGATATATACTGTCAATATCTTGGCTGTAATTGGAGAATTCTAGAGTCTAGATGTGACGGCTCAGTCAATAGATGCCTGATTGATGCCTTTGAGCCTTACACGTGATCCCGCTAATATGTCAACCCCGCTCAGCGATCGCGCACTCCATTCTCTTTCTTCCTCTTCTCATGTTTTGTATTCTCGTCGAATAGCTCCTAGATTAGGCATAGCAATGGATTGTTATGAGATCTGGCTTGGCACCTTCACACTAGAAGAGGAGGATCAACCAGTAACTTGGCTTTGCATTTAAGCTCAAAGCATAATATTAATGGTGATATTACCCGAGAAAATCCTAATGGCCAGTCATTACACCAATAATCAACTATTCTATCTTTTGTTCAACCTAGCAAAACTCTGACTATGTCGCCTCAAGATATACAACAGAAACTTCGAGACAACATCTGTTGATGGGGAGTTACTACAATGCAGCCTTTTCTAGCTGTTGAGACTACTTCATTCCAGAAAATATTTGAAGATATTCCAGGTATTAACCCACCTTTCCGGTCTACAACTACTTATAAACGCTACATTGAGACAGAATTTATCAAGTACAGGAGCAAAGTTAAACAAGAACTAGCTAAAACACGCCAAAGTATTACTCTCTCTCTAGATGTTTAGACAAGCAAGAACGAATTATCTATAATTGCAGTTATTAGACACTGGTTAACAAGCAATTTTGAGTACAAGGAGCGGGTTCTAGAATTTTCAGAAATTCAAGGAGAGCATACTGGAGAGAATCTTGCTAAGAGTATTGAAAATATGCTTGTGGAGCTAAATCTTGAATCGAAACTCTTGACTATTACAGCTGATAATACAAGCAACAACGAGGCTCTCTGTGATCATCTATATAGAAATCTTTTAAAGAGGTTTGATCCAGATCTTAACAATACAGAGATCCGACACTTAACCCTATGATTCCAAGGAATTAACAGCTTTATTCGATGTCTTGCACATATTCTGAATCTCATTGTGAAGCAGTTTCTTTCAGCTTTGAAAACTGGGGATATAGAGTCTGTAGGTGAGGTCTGTGAGAAGCTTCATGACGGGAAGGATATTCCAGAATTAAGTGCTCTTGCAAGACTTCAAATTCTTGTTTTATGATTAGCTCGATCACCTTTGCGTTGACAACAATGGAAGAACTCTTATCGAGATGCTGGTCTTCCAGAACGATATATCAATTAGGATGTTGAAATGCCATGGAATTCAGTATTTCAAATACTGGATCAGGGTCTCCAATCAAAATGACAAATTTTTAAATATCTTAAAGCTTATCTAGTTCTTCCTTAGTTCTTTATACAGGACTGGAAACGACTTCAGCAGATACACAAAGCCTTACACCGATTTGATGAATTTACCAGGCTTATATCAATGCAAAGCCCACAAATCAGCTTGTCCTTGGCAGTGTACTATGAACTCTCCGATCTCTTACAAGAGATTAGAGATAGAGAGAATGACTTCCAAGATTTTGACCTTGATATTTCAAGAGCAGCGGCATCAGCTATTGAGAAATACCAGAAGTATTACTCTTTTATGGATGATTCTAATACATATTATGCAGCTGCAATTCTGGATCCTCAGGTTAAAACCCGACTTTTAGAACATGAAATTCCAAATTCAGATGCAAGGACCCTTATTTAGGGACTTCGAGAAGCTCTTCACCAGCAATATCCTCCAATCCCTGACATAGAACTTTCTATCTTACCAGAAAAGCTCTTGGGGCCACAATCACTGGAATCTCGAATGTTTTCTAAGCTACAGCCTCAAAAAACTCAAATTTCTACGTCAGATATTGACCGGTTCTTTGATACGCCCACGGTTCCAATACCACAGGTGTTAGAAAACAAAAAAAAGAGTTGGCTGCTTTCTTGGTGGAATACTCATAAGGACGAATATCCATGCATGGCACAAATTGCGCGTGACTTTCTAGCAATTCCTGGATCAGAGGTTTTTGTAGAACGTTTATTTTCTAGAGGGAGAGATTTATTGGGATTAAGACGGCACAGGATGAATAGAGAAATTATGAGAATGTTGATGTTGCTAAGATTACTATTTATCCTGTACATAAAATTCTATGTCTTGACTGCTGTTACAACCATCCGGAAGGCTCCTATGACTACTATACCCCCTATCTTCTATACTCTATTTAGATACTGCGTCTCATGTGTCTTGCAGGCATATATCCATACACTAGAAGCATAATCTGTTATAGGTGCCACTGTTGCTGTAAATAACTGCCTTGTAGTTTGTAGGGAGACTATCTTTAGTCTTCTTAATACTATGATGGTCTCTAATCCTCTAGTTGCTGTTCGGGCAATATGTTGCTTGTAGTGTAGTTGTGCATCCATAACTACACCAAGAATCTTAGCCTGCTCTTTTGGTTTAACTGACTCTCCCTTAACTATGAATATAGCTCTGCTTGATTAATCTCTTTTCCTAGTAAAATGCACAATGGCTGCCTTTTCACCCTCAAAAGTAGCTCTACTTTGTTTCTCCTAGTTGAGAGCCCTGTTGATTATAGCCTTAATACTAGGTCAATTTGCTTTAGCAGTTGGCCCTGTCACCTAGGCTGTATAGTTATCTACAAAGGCAATTGAGCCTCCTGAGGCACTAATCCTATGTTACACTAGATTAGCGTTGAAAAATAAAAACAGTATTGGAGATAGTGGCGACCCTTGTGGTAGACCTACTTGAAATAATTCTTGTTGTTTGCTTGTTAGACTGTTAACTGTAATAGTTGCTGTGCGGTTAGAATAGAAAACATTAATCCACCAAATTATATATTCAGGTATCCCTCTTGCCCTAAGTCTCTGGAGTAGTCTCTCCTTGTAGACTCCATTGTAGGCGCCTTTGATATCAAAACTGACTATACTCAACACTCTCTTATTCCTCTATGCCTTGTAGATCTCTTCCTGGAGCAGTAGCAACGCTTATTCTGCAGAGCGCCTCTTTCTTGCTCCAAAATGGTTAGTTGGTAGTAGGCCATATATTTTAGTAGCATATAATATTCTCTCTGTGATGACCGCTTCAAGTATTTTTCCTAGTGTTGAGAGTAGCGATATAGGTCTCCATGATTTAGCTAGCATGTAGTTATCCTTCCCAGGTTTTTTAAGTAGTATGATCTTGGCATTTAACTATTGGGAAGGGATTTCCTCATCTTGCAGTGATATTTAAAAGATGAGAAATACTCTATCTTTGACCACTGGCTAGAGCTGCTTCCATACCATTACTGATAGGCTGTCTTCTTCTAGTACTTTCTATGGTTTAGCTTCAAATACTTTCCACTCAATCTCCTCTAGAGTTAGATCTAGCATGTGGACTGGTTCCCTTTGTTATTATATTCCCTTATCCTCAATTCTTTCTAGTAGTGATGGGAAGAATGTAGTAAGCAGCTCCTTAGCCTGTTCTACTTTGCTATTAGTAATGGACCCATCTAACCGCAATAATAGTGGTATTTTATTGTTGAATGGGCTACCACTAGGCTTTAGATATTTAGCTGCCTACCATATATTAGTATCGTTGGCAAGGAAGTCTTCCCAGTGTATCTTCTTCTACTTCTAGATTACATTATAGTATTTCTTTACTGTATTTTTAGCCTGTTGTTTAAGCTTGGGATTTATGTATTCCCTCCTGCGCTAAGATCTGGCCTGATTTCTCCAGTAGATATATATATGGTGGAGTTATGTTAGATCTGTTGTCCACCACCGCTTAGTATATAGTGAGGGTTTTGCTCTCAGTGTTAGTTCTTAGACTGCTTTCGTAACTACTGTTATTAGGTGATCTGTCTGCTCCTGTACTGAGTCATCTAGAAGAACTACCTGTAGATTGGTAGCTATTCTAAATCTGATTTCTGCCCATAGTGTGTTCTTCAAGAGCAGTCTCTCCTTGACTAGTCGCTCTGGGACAGATATATCAAACTTTATCTCAATTACTTGATAGTCTGATCCATGGTTTGTATAGTGTATATTTTACTGTGCCATCTCTTCTACTAGCTCTGTTGACGCTAGCATCAAGTCAATTATTATCTCTCTGTCTCCTAGTTGCCATGTTTTTATGCCTCTAGGTAGGAGGCTGTGGAGGGAGTATTTGCTTATAAAGTCAACTAAATTATTAGTCTCCCCTTGTCTCGTAGGAGATATCTGATCTCCTCCCTAGAGTTGGTTATGTCTATTGAAGTCTCCCATTATCAGCATATCTGTCCGTGTTCCTCTCCTACCCTGGATATCCACTACTAGGCTGCGTAGCAATCTAATAGTGGATATCAATGCTTCTTCACTGTTCCCCTCTACATAGACTAATACTACTAGCACTGCCCAGTCTGGGAGTTGTAGTATCGTGGCAGTGAGATCTGGAGATGCTACCGGAATCTGTTCAGCCTCAATATCACTCCAAACCCATAACATGCTCCTAATTGGCCATCTTTTATTATGTCTCTCTATAGGTATTATCTTTGTCCAATAGTGGTATCCCATTAGGCTTATCACTACAGTATTTTCAATCATCTATACGTGTGGCTCAGATACAGCCACCACTCTATAGTCTCTAATTTTATTATTATTTATTAGGCTTTGTTGAACTGCGTCTTGTTTGCTAACATTCAGTTATAAAATATAGAGTGATTTATGCATTAGACTATGCAAGACAAACTTGACAGTTTCTGTTAAATGACTCATAAGATTCTCCACAAGGAATGTATTTTAGGATTGGAGCTTGGCAATTACTATGGTGGTGTCCCTCTTTTACATATTTACTACATATCTGGGTCTTTTTATATGAAAAAGCCTTATGTCCTATCTCTTGACAGTTATAATATTGAAATGGTCCTATACATGGTTCAAAGGCTCAAGTGTATGTAGATTCTCCTGCTATGTTGAAGTAGTTACCTTCTAGTAGGCGTTTGGCGTCTGTTCCTTTAGTAATATATACTACTATAGATTTATACACTTTATTAGAGTCCTTCTTGCTAAGCCAGGTTATCTTAGCAATATCAATATTGTTCTCTTTTCCTAAGGCCTTGACTGCTCCTGACAGGACATTACTATCCATATCTAGGATTACTGTCCAGTTAGCATTGTCGATTTTGACTAAGTAGAGCTGATCTTATAATACTCTCTATCCTGGTATATTTAACTTTTGGGCAGCCTCTTTGACCTGTATGATCTTGTCCTCCTGTCTACAAACAATTTTGACTCAATCCGTATTCTTTGGATCCTTAATTACTACTGCATAGCGCCAGGTCTCCATTCCTTCATTTTCTTGTATCTCCTTTTCGATCATTTGTCTGACATTGGCTATCTGTGACGGCTGGGCATGGCTCTGCGTTCCCGTCTCAGTTCACGGATAGGGCTAGGAGCCGTGTAACCCTATCCGCGCCATATTGGGAAGTGATATCAACATCAGACGTCGGAACTGGATAGGGAAAGGCGCCTTGCACAGAGATTTACATGAGAAGCGAGAACCAGACCTTTACTTCATTTCTTCCTTTTTCCCCTTTATGCTTAATATTACCTGTCGACAAGCACCTCTTGTACGAGATAGTTAGCTAGAATAGCGTACTCAAACCAAGCAGATTGGCACCGTCACACTATCTGTGCCTTGGATTTGTCTTCTTCTCTAACGCGAGACATATCAATTGTGCAGAATAGTATATTAGTCATTGTAGAAGGCACTGGAGGGCCGAGAGGGCCTAGGCGTATACCATGTTAGTGAACAGATTGGCTGTTAGTTATGTTTGCGAATAATGGCCGTGAATTGGTCCGCATTAGAGCTGCGTTGGCTGGCGCTTTCGCGATGGTGTCTAGCTGCTCCTGGGGTTGCTTGCAGTCTTCCGCAGATTGGCTTTGGGTTGCTTCTATTTGGGCCTATAGTCCCTTGATCATGTTATTTTGTTCCTAGATGATTTTTTCTTATTTATTGAGCATTTCTTTTAAAATTTTGATCTCTTGATAGGTGCCCTTCAAGTACTGAAACATCTTTCTAAGTATTGCTTGGTTTTTATCCTGAGCGCACTGTCTCTCCTCAATCTGGTTAGTAGCTTTCCTAACTGCAGTTAGCTTTACTTTTGATGTCGTCCTCCTAGTTGCAGCGGTGGCATCGGTGCTATCAGCACCTTCTAGAGCTTCTCGAGCTCTCGTTGACGGCACTACGACGCGTCCTGCACGCGTCATTACGGCCGGATCTTCCTCCATCGCGCCTCCAGCCCTCTTCGTCTTCAACCCAACTACCCGGGATCTTTCCCAATATCCTAGCTCAATATGATCTCTTCCTATATCACAGATAAGTTCAATTTTGTCGATCCCGGATGAGTGGGAGTGTCCCAGAGTAGATAGTTCCCGGGGCTATGAAGTACTTAAATACTCGTCCTTGAAGGGTATGTCTGGTCTAGCACATAACTACTTGCGCGATGTTGGACCTGTTACCAATCCGTCTTAGCGGCACTCCATTTTTCGCTAAGGAGCGGCTCTATCCTAAAATAGTCTAGTTCTATAGTTTAGTACTGCTTTCTAACTAGCTTCCCCTCTGCCCTGCACTCCTTTTCCTGTTTCCTTCTGTAGATTTAGAACGACAAGCGTTTCATTGACGCTAGACCCTTTTGGTAAAACATTTGCGTTGCAAGCTTCTTGCAAGTTACTGTAATACATGGACAGGTACTCAGAACGACAATTTCTTTTGGTTGTAGTCGGTGACAAAACGCTCTCACAGTTCTGATTCTAGAAACTTCTTTGTATTAGATACTCTCGGCTCCGTAGTATCTGTACGGCTAATACTTTCCGTAAATAGTCAGAGTACAGAAATGCGAAAGCCAAACCTGTAAGACACTGTATCTAAACAACATGGACATGTATAGAGACTAACTAGATAGTGGTATGCATGCATATCGCCTAGGCCAGGGTATGTACGAATTCACCACCACCACCACTACTGTATCTAAATCCCTTCTATAAGTCTTCCATCGAGTATCACAGTGGAGAAATTCATCATATTGCTTCTTATGGGCTGGGGGTGGCGAGAGCATCGGCGATACTGAAACTTGCCAACGAGCGACTTCACGGTCGGTGAAGGAAATACAGTGCAAAGATCGCGACTAGCTGCTGCCATGATGAATTACTACATCTAATGCAATGCTTTGCACAGACTCTATTTCCAATCACACGTCTAATGTGAAAGGGAACTTATGTCATGAGCTGGACAGTATGCCTCTATCCTCTCTTTATTTGGCTCCCTGCGATTTCCACGCAACCGTAAAAGAATACTATCTAGACTTTGAGAGGGAGAGATTAAGTTGGGGAACGGGAGGTGGAGGAAAGGATGGCAATGCTATGCTGACAATTGGACGACAGGGGAAGGGGGGATGTTTTAAAAGACAGCCATTTCATATTGAAAGAGGAGCAGAGAGAGAATCTATTGGAGTAGCTTGGGTAGCAGATTCCAATGACCGACGAGCAACGACATTTTGGGTTCTGCGAAGGTCTTTGAGCGTGGAACGGGAGTGGGACAGTCATATATGGCCACAGGGAATCTCATGGATCACGGTTCGAGCCGGATGGTACTGCAGTGTTGGACAGGCGGGACTTGGGGGTGAGAGGGAGCTCCTTGGTCAGGATTGATGGAGTATGGATTGATGTGCCCGCGGGGCACATTAGATAGCACCGCTTGCGCTCCCAACAACAGCCCAAAGCGCTGATCACATCCGGCTTTAGCATAATACAAACTTGAAGATGTCGTTGGAGATAAAGTATTGGCCGTTCTTGTCACGCATCAGCTGGAATGCCTGAGTGTAGTTCATCGGGCGCTCCTCATCATCGGCCTAGCACGGGATGGGTGTTAATCGTAATAAAGGACTGCCTAGGGAAATGGATAAGCTTGCACCGTACAAAGAACTGACCAATCACCAAGATCATGATGCAATAATTGGCGAGAGGTTGCGCGTCGAATGTAGAGACCTCGTGCTTGACCTTCTTAAATGGCAGGGACTGTTGCATAAACCCTTTTTCAGTAGACAGAAGGCCTGATGGAGTTAGAGTTGCCGTACCTCTAGTTTCTCAATGATAGAATTTGTACCGAGTATAGAAGCGGACTCGAAGGTCAACAAAGACTCGTCCCGCTATTATATATATTAGTTCACTCATGTTAATTCCGCACCTCGGATAGATAGCACCCACGTATAGGCTGGCGAGCGACTTGCGGTCCGAGTCGTACGTCCCGTAGTAAAACTCAATGAACTCCCCTATTTGTAGGTGTATATGTTAGAGAATTGAATATACAATTTAGGGAAGAAATAAATTGGGAATTAGGCATAGCATACTGGCAATCACCTCTAAGTCTGGCAATATATAGTTTAGACCCTGTTGTTGCTGTTGATGCTGGAACTTACTGGTGCCCATTTTGCAAAGTGCCGTCGACCGAACCAACTGTGAGAATTCAGAATATAAAGTTACAGACGAAGTCAGGTATAGAAGTGACAAGAGGCCGGCTGCTGAATGATTTGGTTATGCTGTAGCAAAGATTCAAAGTTGTACGCATATTTGTAAGTGCGAAAGCTCATAATGATGGTAGGTGTTATTATTTGTCATACCTGGTGCAACCAATCCTGAAACCCAATAAATATTACGGCACGATTAATAATTAACTCAGCAGGGATTAGTTTATCGCACTTGTGATAGGCATTCGCTCACCAATTAGCGCCAAGGGTTAGAGCATCCTGGCACTCTCGACTAACCTGGAATTGCGTTTATATTCCTGTAATCTGTTTCGTTCTTTCTTCGTGGCTACTCCGGAAGTTCAGAATTGGCCTTCACCTATCAGAGCTGGAAATTTTTTCATGGATGGTGAACCGTGAATGACAGCTGATACGCCCTAACTGCCAAAGGCAAGAGCACAGCTTTGATGGACTTGACCAAAATGGGGTTGACTGCCTCGCGAAGGAAGCGCACATCCAGTACGGTGACCTGGCAACACCCCGCCTTCAGCTGTCAGGCCTGACGCCTCCTGCTCAAATAGAGCAAGGCTGGAAACGGCTCTACCATTGGGCGTTCAACGGGGCCAAGGATGGCTGGCATTCCGCTTACGGAGTTGAATATCTCTTACAGAATAGGGAAACCCAAGCCGACAGGCTTCCAATGGATAGTAATCCATGTCAGGACTGTTTCCGTTCAGATGACCCTGGAGTTTGAGGGCGGAGGGGTTATCATCTGCCCCGCCATAAACAGAGACAGAGACAAAACTTCCAGCGTATGAACCACACACATACACACATAAACTGTAAGCAGAAGTAGCAGCACCTATTGTTATGTGGCCAGCACAGCTGTTGTAATCTAGGTTGATAACGTTCAGATGTAGCAAGCGGCCGAATAACATATTCGAACTAGCTCTTAGCAGTGAGAAAACAATTATCATGTTTATTTTTGCCGATCAGACCAATTCTGAGAGGCTATATAGTTCTGTAGGCAACACCAAGTTTCACGCCATCTTTGACAAGGAACTCAGGCCCAACTTTTGGGTTATGGAGCAGAGCAAGGCCAAGGCAATTCTCCAGCACTACATCTCGTGTTTTTCGAATATTCTCCTTGAAGTTCTCAATGCTCACTTATGCCAAGTGCCAATTAGTGTTTTCTTCCACTGCCACTTCAATTGGCCCGAGCGGATCTAGATTGATAGGTGAAAAGGAGTTAAGGAGTTGCTATTTCAGTGCCATCATGGGAGTTATTTGACGGCTGAGACGGCTGGGTTGGGCCGACGTTCATGTTGGTTGAGGGAAACATTGATCTGCTTGGAGAGGGGTTTGGAACCATTTCGAAGAGGGAACGCACCGCGAACCAACAGTACCTTAGCCCACAGGAAGAACGTTCCTTGGTTGAGTACAGCCTCCGGATGTCGAAGAATGGATATCCCTTGCCAATCAAGCTACCGTGAGAGATCGCGTGGCGGCGGTCGACAACCTTATTTCGATGTTACTGTAGATCAGCTGTACTGTAAACGAATGTGGATCACGAAGTTATTGTAGAACCTACTAGAATGCTAGCGTGGCAAGGCAAGGAAGCATAAAGCAAGGACATCCCCCAGGCCCTTCTTTTACAAAGATATTAGAAAATAAGGAAAGTAGCAGAACAAGGTTGGAGATGGTCTGTAATACTAAATAAAACGTACTACTTCAACCAGAGAAATGACAAGAAGCCTCTCAACACTCAGAAGTAAGTTAGTCCCCGAGATCGTGTTCTATTCTTGCTTCGTCTTGCACTGTTGCCGCTGCTGGAGCTACGCTTGGCTTAGCCTCAATATCACCGTCCTATTTGGTTAGCACCCGTTGTATGCTACCGAGTTAGTCCGACTCATCCTGTGCTGTGGTAGACTTGGTCGGGACCTTGCAGGCCCATGGGAGATAGAATGAAAATTGCGCATCAATCTAGACAGTATATCACAGACGGATGTGAAAGATAGCCGTACCGCAAATAGGAACAACCACCAGTCAGATGGTTTTGGATTTCTGTCCGGTCTGGGGAGCACTTCGAAATCTTTAGCTCTAGATTGCCACCGTTGTGCTGTACTCAGCGGGGTATCCATCGCAAATTTCCCTTCAAACTTTGAAGGATCGAGAGGCTCTGACGCAATCTCCTGCATGTTCGGTGGAAAAGTATGGGTAGAGGACATCTTCCTACCAGATAGCTTTCTTGCTAAGCTTATTGATGGCATGCAGGCTCGCTGTCAAGCAGTAATAGATGCAGAGGGAGGGCCCATTCCATATTAGCTAGTACAATTTAGGATTAATTCAATGGCAAAATATTTGAAGTTGATAGGCTGGTATATGGGATCCGTGCACCATACTAACGAAGTTACCTGGGTAGACCATAGTAGATAAATAACGCGGGAGACCCCTATCCACACCGCGCAGCGGGAGAGCGCGCAAAGTAGAGTGCGAAGAAATAAGAGTCAATCCACCTATACTGTAATTAAACAGTTGTTGGAACGTGAATATCAAACCCTACGCGTTTCGGCACCGGATTAATTAGTCCGACGTGGCACGTGCGTGCCGCGTGTATAGCTAGCTACTGTAGCTTTCCCCCGTTTCCCTGTCAAATAATCCAAATTGCAAACGAGGCAGAGAGATCCGACGTTCGATGTTACAGGTCTAAAAGGGCTTAGGGCATATATCTGGGCACTTAGATTTCAGCCCAATGTTTATCCCTCATGATAGCTCACAAATCACCCCGCCAAAGATGTTTATAAAAACCCAGCTTTGAAACCTGATGAAGAGAGAGACAGACAACTGAATACATACAATCTTGCTAGTCACTTCTTTTCCCCTTCCTTGTAAAACTGCTATTCAGGATTGGCCTGAAGTTAACTCAGCAATCCGACAGGTTTTGCTACAGTCTGTATCACAAAGCATAGACGGTAGCAAGGCACGAGCACGAAGCGGCCTCACGTTGGGAATCCCGCCTCACTCTGCTTGATGTCTGCTCCATACTATATCTTACCATACTAGATCATCTAGTATGCGCGCGGCTTGCTGGTTTAGGTGGTTCCAACACCTAATGAGCCTGATAATATGAAGCTATCTTGATTCCCAATATTGTGACTGATTCCCAAGAGTAAGGGGAATTAGAGTGGTTAGTTAGATATATACAAAGTTGCCAAGTTGACTGCAGGATAAATGTTTGTCCTGTTCTGGCCCATACGTACGGCAGATATCGTACACTAATCTGCCGTACGTCCAATAACTCTGTCCTGTTTTACTAACAGTTTATCTCTGCATACTCTGAATTAGCGCGGCCATTAACTAATTTGACAAGAAAAGACCACCCCTTCTAATAGAGTGATGAAACTGAACGAGCCTTTCAAACCTTTAAGGAGATCTTTGTTACCAAACCTGCGCTAATGCCCTTCGACCCTAACCGAGAGACCTTCGTTAAGACTGACTCATCTAGATACGCCACTAGAGGAACACTATCACAATATGACGAGGCAGGTATTCTCTGAACCTGCGCCTATCACTCCTGCAAGTTGCTTCAAGCTAAACATAACTATGAGATCCATAACAAGGAATTATTAGCCATCGTGGACTGCTTCTGATAGTGAGAAGCTAAGCTTATGTCTGTAAGCTGACACTTCACTATGATCACTAACCACAAGAACCTTTGATACTTTAATGCCCCCACAAATAACAAATACGCTATTCCCTATTAGGCACATAACCTACCCGAATCTACCCTACCCAAACATGAAGCTATCCCCAACACCCGAAACCCGTTCCCCAATCCCGTGTTTGAGCTAAGCGAGTCGGAACAGGCCTATTCACCCTTTACGTATAAATTTACACGTTCGAGTGTTGTTTGTTCTCTTTCCTTTCCTTATTTTCCTCATGTACGTTATCTGCTCGAGAATGAATCTATAAGCAATTCATAAGGCGGGACTGGCCCGCAACAGCCTACTTAGAAAGGGATCTTCCTATATGACTATAGCAACTATGGTAATGCGCCAAAGATTCTCTTACCTATATATATATATATCTAAGATAGATCTTGAACCCGAGGTTTACCCCTCGGCGGCTTTTGTCCCAACAGGGAACAGTGGGAAGCGTGCGAGTTACGAACCACAGCCGTTAAATAGAAACACACGCACACACACAAACCACCTTCCCAAGCCGTCTAGCAGAACTCCAGCTTCCCCGCCATATCTTAGGACGAATCCTTGCTGCACGCACAAAGCATGGAGACTTCGCAGACTATCATGAACGGTTCGACCACAAGGATGCCTACCTCTTGTATTGATATGGCATGAAAGTCCCCAAGCTACTTCATTTTCTGCTAGATCATAAAAAGAAAAGCTCTCAGATTCCCTGGACATCCTTTGAAAGTCATTCCTTTCCTCCTAGGTACCCCAAAGGGTACCATCAGACTAGCCAATTGGCTTACGGAGACTTGATTTTTCAAGGATATCTACTCTCGACGGCCCTCTCTTAGGACATAAGATAAGAGACTTATAGTCACTCATTTTCCTTTGTTCCTCTTTGTCTTTTTTTGCTCTCTTTTAAGTTATATCTGTGTTGAACAGTTTAGATTCGGTCATGGGAAGTAGCGGACCACTGCAGCTAGCAGCAATATTCAACCTCTACATGTAGAGGTTATCTATTTGACTACAGTAGCCATGTAAGTGCGCCTGTTGGTTTAGCTACGTCCTGATAACACGAAGCACAGGATTACGCAGTAAGGCTATTCCAAAAAGCCCATGAGCCTGATAATATTGATGTTATTCGAATATTATGACTGATCCCCAAGAAGGGAGGAGAAGGATAATTACATGCAGGTAAAGGGGATATCCCCACGGAACCGGAATAGCTAATATTCCGGTGTTGATACTCAACACCTGGGGATTCCCGTACACACAGCGCCAAAGAGACATCTTGTATATAGTTCTTGACACCCAGGGCTTAACCCCTGGCGGCCTTTGTCCCACTAGGGAATGGGTAGACAGTGATTAATCACGGCCTACGGCCGTTAAATAATGACACACGTACTGCGTACTGCGGGGTTCTTCCTCCTGACAACTGCCTCATGAGTGTCAGCCGCTCGCCTCCGGGGTTGCTCGTCATCTTCATGCAGTCAAGACTTGTTTTCCCACCCATCTCCCTACGTACATTTCTCTTTGTACCTTGCTGTTCCACGCCTCTTCTCTAGCCCGTAACAATTTGTATAGGAATCTTATTGTCGGTTTATCTACGTCTAGGTCGCTAGCACTAGTCACGTAGAACAGCTATTCCGACGAGCTGACGAGCCTGATCAATATGGTATGGAATTCCTGATATTGATGACTGCCCCCCAAGAGTAAGGGGGACGGGGGATAGCTAGCTACATATAAACGCGGCACGCACGTGCCGCGTTGGACTAACTGATATCCAGTGCCGAAATGCGCTAGGTTTGATATTCACGTTCCGACACTTATTCTTGATTCCGCTGGTTTCGTTTCCTTTTCTTTTCTTTCCTTTCCGTTAACTATAAGTTATAATCATAAGCTGACCTACAACGTAGTATATTCGTGACTTGATAGACTGCGGAACACACTGTTTCAGGCAATTTGAATTACGAAGCTGACCAAGTCGGGTAAGATCTTCAAATTCGACGAATGATATACCAGGAGTTTGTTCTGATTCATTTCATTTCATTTCATTTTTTTTTTTTTTTAAAAAAAAAGGGTAAATGAATGTTCAGTCCCAAATTGTATAGTGTATAGACTTCTGGACGCGTAACCCCTCATTTTCCAACATATGTACCTAGTTCGGTCGGTAGCCGGTCGAATCCGAGCATTAGAAGTTCCGAGTACTATTAAACATATAAATCAGTCACGATGCTGTTGAAATGGGGAAATTAGTTATCCAAAATCGACAAAAAAGGATCTCGAACCTAGCATTTCCGTCTTGCCTGTTTTGACTCAAACTTCTTCTTCTTTCCACAATGAAGGTATACAGCTTCCTCGGTCTGTTCCTCTTGAGCAGTGCAGTCTCAGCTCATCCCGGCGGCCATGGCAACGAAAAAAGCCTGGAAGCCCGTAAGGAGCTCATCTCGCGAGTGTCAAACCTCGACCACTGTCACGGAAGAATGGCAGCAAGCGGGATTCAAACCAAGGCCGTAGAACGTCGTTCTAAATTGGCATCCAAGTTATCTAAGAGAGACCTTAGCTGTGTGTCCCTTCTTGACTGAGTCTAATATATTCAAGGGGAAAGACTGACTAGGAAACCAAATACATGCAGCATTTACACGACGAGGCACTGACCCTGTGTTCGTGGATCATGAGGCGGACCTCAGTCTTACGGCGACCACGACATTGGAAGAAATTTTTGCTAGCAATCACTGCGTTGTTCTCTTCCCCGAAGAGGAAGAAGGCTCTTACCATCAGTACACTTGAGCAGCCCTTTCTACCTATACGTACATGGAACAAACGTGTTTACTAATGCCAAGTCATTCAGATATGGATGGCGAATATATTCGTTCTAACATAGCAGAAGACCAGGTAGGAATACCTGTTACCCTGGACTTGCAGTTTATCGATGTGGAGACTTGCGAGCCAGTCCAGGGCGTTGCTATAGAAATCTGGAGTAAGACAACCCTCTTCCCTTTTTCTCCTGTTTCAAGGACAAGATAGCGCATAAGGAAGCTAGCTGTTGGCTAACGGTCTTACGCCGCAAGGTTGTAACTCAACCGGAGTCTACTCCGGGGTAGTTATAGAAGGCAACGGCGATGCCGATCCAGCCAATATCAATTCCACTTTCATGCGTGGTGCACAGTTCACTGACAAAATCGGTGCCGTTCAATTTGAGACCATCTTCCCCGGCCACTATTATCCTCGCGCTACCCATGTCCACGTGTTCGTGCACCTCGATGTCGAGAAGTTTCCTAACGGCACTATCCGTGGAGATACCGCCGCGCACGTCGGTCAGCTCTATTTCGACCAAACTCTCATTGCAGCTGTTGAGGCCACATATCCCTACACTACCAACACCCAACAATTCACATACAATAAGGATGACTGGCTTCTCGGCATGGATGCTGTCCGTGGCTGGCAGGCAGACCCCTTCCTGGAGTACGTCAGACTGGGGGATAGCATCGAGGATGGCCTTCTGGCTTGGATCAGCATGGGGGTCAATATGAGTTTCACGCGAGACGTATGGGCAGCTGCCACTCTCTACCCGACGGCGGGGTACAGGCACCCGGCGAAAATTATGATGATGGCGTGCCAAGCTTCTTGACTTCGCTCAACGACATGGAGAGGTCTTCGTACTTCGAGAGAATTGCTACTGAGACGGCAACTCCAATCCCTACTCAGACATTTGCGGTAACTGCAACTGCAACCCCTGTGCTTTAAACGTTGAGCCCGACTTCCTAGGCATGAGATGTGGATGATGTTTTTTTCAAGAGTGCTGATTCGGGAGTATATTAATAGGTGAAGTTTGGAAGATGTTAAGTTGGAGGACATTGATGTGGAGAGTTGATGTGAGTATCATTAAATATCAGCTAGAAAATGTATCTATCGGAACTTGCTACTTGTCGCGTCGCCTCCCTGCGGTTGGGAGCCGGCCCGGGCTCAAAGTCCACTGGCATATTCTGTTTCGAGCATATGAACGCAGGGCCGCCTATGATCTTATCATATTTTGGCAGTTCGGTGCAATTGCCGAAACATAGGACGATGTTCCGGCGTTTACATTGAAAAATTCTGGACATTCTCTTGAGGCAAATTATTCCCATTTTTGCAAGGACCATACAAACGGGATCAATAATCCATACAATCCGTCGTGTAAGGAAACTGGTTCGGGAACATAAATAAATCAATATAAGATGACTAGAAGTCTACGAACTAGGATTAAAAGACAAGAAGGAAACAAGGAAGAAAAAAAGAGGACTACTGATTTTCAGTAAGAACGGATGGGCAAGACGCCATACTTCACTCCGTACACTCCTCGTCCACGAAGAAGAGAAATTAGGGCTTGACAAGTCTGCTGACTCGATTTGATTGGCTGCGAGGTGGACTGCCGTGACCCGCCAATGACTAGCATGTCCCTGAACTGTCCAAAGTTTTCAACCTCTTCCAAGCAGAAGGCAGAACAAGTGGCGACCTGGAGCCACTTATTTATTGAGGATTCAAAACATTACAAGTGACTAACAAGGACTTACATTGCAGCAATACAGGACCTACCGACGCGAGGTGACGGATCCCGACGACTATGAACGGTACTAACATTGAAGCAGACGTCCAAATCAAGAATGAGAACGAGCATGACCATGATGTGGACAGAGCACGAAGTTTCGAAGGGCAATTAAACCGATTCCTACATCAAACCAATACGACAGTCACAGGGAAAGCGACTCCGGTCGTTCAGCGAAGAATAATCACTCGCTCGCAATCAATCACCTCAATCGACTCTACACAATCTCCCTCTCCTTTACCAAGCAAAACACCAACATTAACCATACAAGAATACAACCGCTCTCCAATCCGCAAACCCAAATCCCGCAAAACATCCTCCAAGTCAACCGCCACCACCACCACCACCACCACAACAATATACTCACCCCCCTCCCGCCTCCGCGACTCAATAACACCGAACCTAATCCTCCTCCTCATCGGCGTAAACCCGGGCCTCCTAACCGGCTCAACAGGCTACGCCTACGCGCACCCATCAAACCTCTTCTGGAAGCTCCTCCATTCCTCCGGAATAACCACGATCCGCCACCCACCAAGCGACACCTACCGTCTCCCGGAACTCTACAACATCGGAAACACAAATATCGTCGAACGCCCCACCCGAGACGCAAGTATGCTCTCAAAAGCTGAAATGAATGCCGGCGTCCCCATCCTCGAGTCTAAAATAGCATCCTCAAGACCAGAAGCGGTTGCCTTGGTGGGTAAAAGTATTTGGGAAAGTGTATGGAGAGTTCGGCATGGAAGGGCCATAAAAAAGGAAGAGTTTAGGTATGGATGGCAAGATGACAGTGAAAATATGGGGAAATGCGAGGGGTGGAATGGGGCGAGGGTTTTTGTGGCTACAACTACGAGTGGATTGGCTGCTACTATGAGTCTGGAGGAGAAGCAGGAGGTATGGAATGAGTTGGGGAATTGGGTGAAGAGAAGGAGGGAGGAGCGTGGCTTTTTAATTCAATCATGATACTGATTCCCGTCTACTCCTCCGGAGTGATATTATCGATCATTCATCATCGTCATTTATTCCCCGTCAAAATTCATGCATGCTAATTAGAAATACAATATCCCCAATTCGACAAATGACCCGATCCATTACACGCCCAAATCTGGTAACTATAGGAGCCAGATATGTAAGAAAATAGTCTAAACTTGGAAAGTGTTGACGAATCCACCACCATTCAAGACGTTGCGATCACCTTGACGTTCGCGGTTCTATCCAACATTAGCATACTTTACTCCCTCATGATACAGAGAAGAGGGGAAAGACGTACGGTAGCTTCCTGTATCTCACCCTTCTCCAAAATCTGCTGCACAACGTTCTCGTCCCGGGCAGTACCGAATTCATTCTCGAGCATAGCTTTACTTGCGCCGTCGAGGATACCTTGTGCACCTTGCCTATTATTTTATTAGCACAATCCCATCTTTCTTCTTAATACTGAGGAGGCAGTGGAGCTCACTTGTGTGTAACAAACACCTTCCAGCCAGAAACTACCTGTGCCAAAGGGACGGTACGATCATGGCGCCATTGCTGGGCGGCGGAGACGTCGTCAACGAAAATGACAAAGTCGTCTGCTTTACCGTGGTAAATGACCTTTGTGACGTTGTCGTTTCCGCGAGGCATTTTTGATTCAGTTATAATTTATTGATTAGTTGTGTTGGTTAAGGTAGTGTGGTGTAGTGTGGTATGATGTGTGTGTCGCGTGATCTGAGATAAGTCAGTTCGTGCACTTCTCGGTATATTGAGGTTGTTGGTTTGCAGTGATACTTACTGCAATAATTGTAGTAGTATATCAGTCAGATATGATAATGGAGATAGTCAACAGAGTAGAGAAGAGCAGCTTATATAGTCTCAGGATGACGGCGATGATGTAGTATGCCAACCGTCGACGTCATAGTGCGGATCTCCCCAGGGACCCGCCGTCATACATTCAGAACTTCTTAGAACATTTGGCTACTATTGATATTGGGATAACATACAGAGCAGGTATCAGTACATTTCTCAGCCAGGGATTATCTCTTCATTCAGATCATCAGGGACCTGTCTCAGCCAACTATCGCCGGAGGAAGCCATCTCTTCCAAGGCACCCAAGGTTTATTCTTGGTCTTGATCACATTCTCTTCATCGGTACCATTGTCAGAGGTGGTTTTGGTCATTTTCTGTCGAAAAGAGCCAAATGTCTTTGCCGCTACGACATCGTCCCCCGTAACATCCTTCGATTTGCATAACGCGTCACAAAGAGTGGTGTGTGTACCAACTTTCTCCGACGCCACCCCCTTACCTTGTTCATCCCGGTCTTGTTCGATGCCATCATCAAGAGAGACTGATGTAGCCTTACTGAGAGAGGCAGAGCGCCTGCTGTGGAAGACGCCCCGTATAGACAATCCACGCATTACAGTTTTGCCCACCATAGTCTGGCTCATGTAGTCACTGCGGCCAAGTGTCATTCCTGGATACGGCAGAAGCTCTTGACTGTAGATGCCTGAAATGCTGCGCTCAAGCTTGACACGATGCGATCTCAGAGGAATCAGGACAGTCGGTGTAGAGACATTCTGCTTTGCATCGGAGCGAGAGCGTGTCGGTTCCGATTCGTGAAGAAGTCGAACCTCGGTATCGTATATAGGATTGTGTGTCTTTTTGATTATCACTTGATTCTGTGCATGTCGGAGAGGAGAGCGCGGTGATGAAGTTCGAAGAGAGCCGCGTCGCTCGAGGAGTAATGACCGCCCATCGGCTTCTAACGGCGCCAAAGGCATACATACGCAAGAAAATCGTCGTGGTTCTAAAGATATGTTTGGCACTTCATTCGGCGGCATGACGGATGCTTTCAAAATTTCCGTCTTCCAACCTCGCTCTTCTGCCGATGAAGAGGCGCTAAAGATAAATTCGTAGCGTTTCTGTCCATACTGAAAAATAATTTTCCACGAAAATGGTGTATCAAGGCAAGCAAGTCCTGTTGCATGTCAATGATCTTGAAAACGAAAATTGAAGAAGGAGGACCTACCGTGTCCATTCATCGAATTGTCGACTGTCATGTCTGATAGGTAGATGGAAGCAATGAGGACCAATTTCCGAGAGTCGCTTCTAGCTCTGGCCAGAACCATATAGCCCGGAAACAGGATGCACACCAAGTACTGTCCTGCTATACCAGAGGAAGAAGACTGATATGCCACATGAAGCACTCCGCAAAGAATAAGCGGGCCTAATTCTTGGTAAACGTTCTCGAGAACATTCTATAAACGTTAGCCTACGAACGTTATGAGATGCAAAGACCAACCTGGTCGCCGTAATCCAGACGCTCGTGCAGAGAGATGGTCTTCTGAATGCGAATCCGCAGATTAGGGTCTCCAACAACAGTATTGATACGATCGACGGCCTGCGAGTTTCTATCCAAAACTTTTTTAATCTCTGAGTGCGTCAAGGGATAGGTAGTCTCCGGGACGGTTCTCAGCAGTTCGGTCAAAAGCAATTGATATTTGCAAACACGTTGCACCGGCTGTTCAGAGTCAGTCATGGCTTAAGTACCAGCTCCAAATACTTGCCTTAGCAATCAGATCATCTAATGTCATAGCCTTTCTATAATTCTCTTTCCTCTTTTGGGTCGAATGTACCGATTTCTGTAGTGCCTCGATGCCTTCTGTCCAGAATCCTGCGGCCGGATGGTTCTGTCGTAAGAGGGTAAGGTCTTCGGAAAGGACATCATAAGATCTGATGAATGCTTCGTATAGATGGAACTTTGTAGTCTGTCGTTGTCAGCTGGATAAGCTCTCTGGAGGGTCGAGACTTACCAGCTTATCGACCTCTTTTGCTACCAACAAAGCCTCTGACGGGTCCGCTCCCTCTTTGCCCATCTGACTATTTGCTCGCCGTCGAATATTTCGTGTGAGCGACTGATTTTGGAACTTCTGCAAAATGGTAGACTTTCGAATTGGGGTTCCATCCAGCCAAGTTTCAGCTGAGCGCGGGCTGACCGATTGCAATTGCTTCCTGAAGGCATCGTGCATGTCATACAGTCGTTGCAAGTCGCGCAATATAGCCGGCCTCATTGTGAGATAGGTCGACAGGATCTGGCACTGTCAGTGCTGACCACCACACCAGGTTCTTTTGGATGGCTACCTGAACTACCGTTTGCAATCCATCAACATAATGCACCTCGGAACTGTATATCTCACGAAGAACATGCCGACGTCTAATAGCCATGACCTTCCCGGCCTGCGTAATTGCATCGTAGATACTAGACCGTGTGCTTTCCATTGACTGTCTCGAGACCACATTACTGTTGCTAGTAATCGTATTCGTCCTCGACCTAGGAGCACTTGAGGGAGGTACACTCATGCTTGCTGTTTTCATCGTTCCCAATATCGACGCTGTTCCGCCGGATACCTGATCCCATGGTCTTTTATTGCAAAGCGTCAGGTCAATATCATCTCTGTCAACTGAAGGCCCATCAAACCATCCATCGACGTAGGTTCCTGTGCGGTACCCTCGTTTTCGCCGAAGACTATCGACCCATCTCGACCATGGATATGTTGCGCTGGAATCAAGCGAAGGTGCGAGCGGAGTGTAGTCTGCTGGAGGAGAGTGCAACAGTTCGCAATTTCCTGTCTCTGCGTCTGACTCTTCGACATCCTCATCTTCTTCTTCGCCGTCCTCGACGGCGGGAGGATCCTCCATTTGCTCAGACATGTTTCGAAGTCGGTGACATCTGTATGGATACTTCAGATATATGTACTAAGGCAAGATGAGATTCATGGGATATGATAAACAAGAGGACATCATCGGTGCAGGGAAGGCACATTGGACCTAGGGAAGGTAGGCACGATATCGTCTGGAGTACACTTCACTCTCACACCCCTTTATATCCATTCACGTAGAACACTGATAAATGTCATTTTTGGACATATCCTATGGAAAAGACATCCTTCTTGTTTCATATTGGAACAGTCAACCCTCCTTTACATGTATCTCACACCTATGGATATATATATATTTCAATGCTATTGCAGCACAAGCTTGCAAGCAAAGACATGTATGGACTCTCTCCTCAAAATTTCTTATTATTAATTGCACACTGATCCTCTTTCATCTTCCTGTATAGACTGAATAGCAAATCCCTGGTGTCGCTTGTGGATGGAGCAACTTACTACATACGCCTTTATATGGAGCCTTTGTAGCTGGCGTCTGACCATTTTTAATCCCGCCACTTCTCCACCAGAGCTTCAACTATCAACCATCATACTCCCGACTCAACGGTAATGCATCCACGACTCCCAGCCAGTCTTACATAATATGGGCATTACGATGAATCGAGATATCCATGCGCCGAGTGTCCCCTCCGGTCCGACGACCGCGGGGACAGGATTCCGAGACCTGTCGAAGCTATCAATGGTTGAGCTTATGAGTGAGAAGGAACGTATCGAGGCGGAGTTATCAGCTTATAGTAGCGTCTTGACATCTGTGAGATCTCCACTATTTCTTTCTGTTCTTCAGTTGAACTAAATAACTTCTTGTCTAGCAAGGCGTTACTATGGATACGAGTTTGACGACCTTTGACGGATTTCCTCGCGACGACATCGATGTGGCGCAGAGTACGATTTCTACCTTATCATATGGAAGATACAGATTATTGATGGATGTTTAGTCCGTACTACACGCGCGAGAATTATACACCTCCGAAATGATCACAAAGAAGTCATGAAACACCTGGAGAGGGGTCTACACGCACACTTTGAAGCTCTACAGCAGGCGCAGGCTTCCTCTACGACATCCGCCGTCCCTACACAACAACAACAACAACAAAACGGAATGATCGAAACGCCGTTTGCGCGAGTAAATAGTGTTGCGCCCGGCAGCCCCGCGGATCAAGCTGGCTTGAAGCCGGGAGATACCATTCGGAGTTTCGGAACGGTCAACTGGGTAAACCACGAGCGATTAACAAAGGTTGGAGAGGTTGTGCAGCAAAACGAAGGGGTAATTTATGTCTCGTCGACACACGTAGTTGATAGTGAATCTGTGCTGACAAATGACTATTGTAGCGTCCTCTCGTGGTCAAGGTCTCGCGACAAAACGAATCGGGTCAGGGTACGAGAGATTTGAGCGTTAGTCTGATACCGCGTCGCAACTGGGGAGGTCGTGGTCTTTTGGGCTGTCACTTGGTGCCTTTGTAACGGCTACGGATAAGAATGGTTTAATGGGTTAATATATTCGGAGTTTGGACAGACGAGTTTGGGCATGAATGATAGAGGAAATAGCGATATGCTGGACATTCTCTGAGTAAAACATTGTTATGATCATGGCTGTAGTTAGTCCCGTCTTTGCCGACGTCATTGGCTTTGTTCCGCTTTGCTGACAGACAGGTCTGCCCAAAAGGGGGCATTCGAGCATGAGAATGAATCAGAACATATGACATGACAGCATATCATCCTGTATGGCGTGTTGAGACCATTTCATGGGCTGGTTGCTATCCGACAACGAATTTCTGTATAGTAGTTGCCTTCAGCAGAATAAACCCCGCCATTTAATTGTAAGTCGGAAAATTGGGCCGTATACTCGCGACTGTAACAAGACAACTTCAGGCGATAATGTGAGACAGCGTGTAATCAATCATACCATGAGATATAGCCATCTGAATGGACTTATCGTCTTCAGCCTATAAACACAAAAGAGGTGGTGTCTGTCGGAGGGGCAAAATTTGTTTACACATCACGTGACCCATTCAGCCAGTGGTACTCACCGCCCTGGCAAGGTCGAAAATTCCATCACCAAAGGGCATAAATCGATTTCTTCTCTCTTCTCTGCATTCAACCCTTGCTTCACGGCACTTTCCACTCTTCGCAGCAGCATTCGCATCGCCTAGTCCTGTATACACGGCTGAGCGACTGGAATTTTGTTCTCTCGGATTTTTCTCTCTGGAGAAACTGTGTTATTTTGTGTATTTTTTTTTTTTCCCCCTTCTCATAATATTCAACCCCTCTCACGTCATCAAACATGGCCGAACAAATTCCCACCTTTAAGCTTGTGCTTGTCGGTGATGGTGGTACTGGAAAGGCAAGTCTGATCTGAGATATACAAACCATTCTTTTGACGACGGTCGAATCGTTTTACTGTCGATATTGACGATGCGATAATCGCGTGACCCCGCATTTGATCGATTCGTCTCTTTCTATGCCTTGACTACATCGCCGTCAAAGATGGATTATATCGTTTCCGCATGTCCGGATATCTGGCTAACAGGTGATAAAATTGAACAGACCACTTTCGTCAAGCGTCACTTGACTGGAGAATTCGAGAAGAAGTACATTGCCACTCTGGGTGTGGAAGTTCACCCTCTTGGCTTCACCACCGTATGTTATCTGCGCTGCTCGCACTTCGATCGGGAATTGTACGCTAACGTCCTTATAGAACTTGGGAGCTATTCAGTTCGATGTCTGGGATACCGCTGGTCAGGAAAAGTTCGGCGGTCTTCGTGATGGATACTACATCAACGGCCAGTGCGGCATCATCATGTTCGACGTGACGTCTCGTATTACCTACAAGAACGTTCCCAACTGGCATCGTACGTCTTCCCCTTTGTGCCAGATCGATAGTTTGCGAGACTGACAATATGATAGGTGATCTGGTCCGAGTCTGCGAGAACATCCCCATCGTTCTCTGTGGTAACAAGGTCGACGTCAAGGAGCGCAAGGTCAAGGCGAAGACCATCACATTCCACCGCAAGAAGAACCTTCAATACTACGACATTTCTGCCAAATCCAACTACAACTTTGAGAAACCTTTCTTGTGGCTTGCTCGTAAGCTTGTTGGTAACCAGACTCTGGTACGTCCCTGTCCTCTCTCCTATGTTAAAATATATAATACTGATGAGAAACTTCAGGAATTCGTCGCTGCTCCCGCTCTGGCTCCTCCCGAGGTCCAGGTCGACCCCGAAGTTATGGCCAAATACCAGCAGGAGCTTACAGATGCCGCTGCTCAACCTCTCCCCGACGAGGAGGATGCCGACCTGTAAATTCCCCTTTCGCCGATCGTGTCGAATGGTTATGAAACGAAACTCTTTCCTTCCCTTTTAATCCCCTCCCTTGCCCTTTTAAATGGCTTTGATTTTTGTTTGGTTTTTTTTTTCTATTTAAAAATGTCCCTTGTTATGCCATAAATGAATCCCAATGTGCTTTGAGATGAGCACTTAAGAAATTTGAATCTTGCAATGCAGTAGAAATATAATTGTTTCTTACATCTAGAATAATTTGTCGAAAAGAATTCAGAAGGTATATGAGCAAGTAGGAATGGGATTTGAAGTACGCATTTCACTATTATCTAGCAGCTATCAACTTCAACACTCCTGATAAAAGAGGTAGTCAGGGTACCCGAAAGAATTAAACCGAAATACCATCTGCCATCCCATTTGAATGAGAAGAAATGAAAGAGACCGCTCACCATTCAATTCGAAGAAGCCATCTATACGCCTGCTTCTTCCGTTTATTCTTCTAGGGTATCAAAATCAAGATGGAGTTGGAGATTGCTCCTCCTGCACTGTAAAAAAGGAAAGAAAAAAGAAAGTGGAAATAAAAGTACAAGAAAGGAATTGAAGATTGACAAGAAGTAAGAAAACAGCAAAACACAAGTGGAAAGGGGGCGGTGGTCTATTGCACGTTCTATATGAAGTTAGTAATCAGCCTACCACAACAGCAAAAGGACAAAGGAACTTACGAAGAGAAACTTCAACTCTCTAACTCCCAACCTCGAAATCTGACTAGCAGCATTCTCATCCAACGCCCCCTCAATAACCTCCCTCTTCTCCTCCTGCAACGCCAATATCCGATCTTCAACCGTCTTCTCAACCAGCACCCTATGAACTTGTACCGGTCTCGTCTGACCCAGTCTATGCGCACGATCAATAGCCTGCTCCTCAATATAGGGGTTCCAAAAAGGATCGAAAATGATCACTTGAGAGGCAGCAACGAGGTTCAGACCTGCATTGCCGGCTTTGAGGGATACGAGCATGATGTCGCATTCCGGGTTGTCAGTGAATTCGAGAACGGACTCGTTACGGTCGCGCGGGTTCATGCTTCCGTCGTAGCGACGATATTTCCATCCTCGACGGTTGATGGGGACTTCGAGTAGGTCAAGAAGGGAGGTGAATTGGCTGAAGATGATGGTCTTTTCGCCCGAGCCAGAATCCTTGATTTCTTCAAGGATTTCGATGGCTTTTTCGATTTTGGCGCTTGTCATCCAGTTCTTTTCGAGACGCTTGAAGTATTTCCGTCTTGCGGCGGCGTTGCGTTGGCCTTCTTTGCGGAGGACAGCTAGCGTCTTTTTGGGGTTTTTGGGACCTTTAGATTTGCCTTTGCCTTTGCTGAATTTTGGTCCCTTGGGCTTTTTCTTGGGCTTGGATTCGGTATCGGTAGTCTTCTTTCGTAGGATGCCGTCCTCTTCGGATTCATAATCACCAGGGACAATGAAATCGGCAAGATCCGAGTCATCATCGTCATCATCGTCATCATCTTCTTCGTCACTATCATCGTCGTCGGAGTCTTCAGCATCAGCAATTACGTCCGCTTTCTCTTCATCGCCATCAGATTCTTCAGGAAAATGCACTTCTTTGAAAGACACATGATCAGTGACCTTTTTAGGATCAATCTTGGTTCGACAATTGGGACATTTGGCTTCAACCGAACCGTCTACACCTTGCTGAACAGCTAAAGAAGGATCGGAAATTCTCGCAAAGCATTCGGCGCAAGTGGCATGGCCGCAAGGATAGAAAATAATTGCGTTCTCGACCGCATCAATACAGACAGGACATTCAAGCGGTGCATTCTCCTTCAAACGTCGGACAACATCAGGACTAAACTGCTTCGCATTCTCAACGAAATCAGCTTGCTCCGTCACGGCCGAGACATCCACACTCAAGTCGTTGATCAAATGAGGATGACAACAGGCTTGGCGTAGACGAAGCAGGAGCACAAGAATATTGGAGTAATTCCGACCAACGGTGCCTGCGTCAAGATACTTGTTGAACTGGATCTGTGTGCGGCTCTCCAACGAGTTATACAGCTGCTGTTCATCCTCGCTAAAAACTGCATGGACTTTCTCAGTAGTACGAGGCGGAAGGTCGATAAGTGGTTTTCCATCCTGCTTTGAAAACTTGGTTCGACGCAGAAGGATGGCTTTGAGCACAACACGAAGCTGTTGAAGAGCTTTATTACGTCCCTCTCGAGTTTTCAGAGGCCGTGTAAACGTCTGAGAAGTTAGTAATCAGGTTTTAAAAGCTCGTTGAATAAGATTTACCTTATTGAATCGTTCCAAACTGTTGTACGGACCGATTCTCAAAAACCGAAGTAGGGAATGAAGCTCGTGGACACCGTTCATCATAGGAGTACCGCTCATACACCATCTATAAGTGGCATTGAGAGCGCAACAAGCGATTGCAGACTTGGTATTCCGGTTCTTGATACACTGCGCCTCGTCGATAATCACCCGATACCAAGTGCTTTGAGGGCCTAAGAGTGGTAGAGCACGCGCCTCCGCAATCATATTGGCGCTATTCTGTGATGCAAATCGTCTCAATTCATCGTATTGCTCCCGCTTCTTCAACTCAGTGCCCATGCTACCGAACGTAGTCAAAACCACGTCGTACTTTTTCAGCTTATCGAAAGTGGTCTTTCGCTTCTCGCCATGAAGAATGAACACGCTGAGTTTGTGTTCAGGCTTGACTAGCCTGTCAATTTCACGTTTCCATTGCTGCATCAAAGCCACAGGTGCAATAATTAACGTAGTCTTCCGTGCAAGGTCTGTCGATGGTCGAGAGACAATCAGCGATAAAGCTTGGACGGTCTTTCCGAGACCCATGTCGTCAGCAAGAATGCCTCCCTTATTCTTGCCTTCTTCCATAGCTTTCATCCAAGCCAGTCCCAGCTTTTGATGCTCGAATAATGCGAAACTCAATTCTTTAGGCGTCCCTTGTGGATTCTTTGATAATTCGACATCAGGCCGAAGACTCTCTAGAAGTGCCTTCAGTTCTTCGTTTGCCTGCTTACTGTCGACTGTCTCGGTCCTTCAAGGCATTAGTTGCTGGTCAAATATGTTGCAGGCTTCACTTACTCATACGATGGTATTCCGCCAAGGTAATCATTCTCATTTATCATCCACGGCATAGCAGGGCGATCCTTGGGCAAATAGTCAAGTGCACTCTTCATACCGCGCAACTGCTCCAAGCCGTATTTAAGGGGATTCATAGTCATCAAGGTCCTGCTGGTGTTGTCATGCAGAGCTGGGTAGTCATCACCGTAGAAATCGTTCGGCCCAATTTCTGCTAAATCCTCATCTTCACTGCTATCGATAATCTGATAAGTCGACGAAGCTTTCGGTGTCGGACGTGGTTGTTGCACTGGAAAATTGAAAGACGAAGCAACTTGAGATGGATATTGATAGGAGGGATTGCCGCAACCCGTCGAACCAAAGGCTGGCTGCTTGTGGGCGGAAGAGGATGGTAGATTTGGTTTTTGCATAAACGTAGACTGCATATTCAACACTGGTTTGTTAGGACTTGCTGCGTTCGCTGAATACGCGTTATGCGACGAGAATTGTGATGGTTTCGACGAAACATAGGACAATTCTTCGTCTAAAGACTGTTGAAGACGTCTGGCGAATTCCGCATCTCGAAGTTCTTGTGCACGACGGTCCTCCAACCACTTCTCTGCCTCGTATTGTCCCTCTCGGAAGTCGACCCCGTCCTCTGCGAAACCAAAGTAATCATCAAGCGAATCGAGGCCAGCGCTGTGGCTATTCCCTAAGTGACTGGATGCAGCACTTGGTGTTAGGGATCCTGACTGGTGAGAGCGAGCTCGTTTTGAATGTGGCGAGCCAGAACGGCGGTCGATATCGCTGTGGTCAAGATAACGCTTGCGGTGAGGAGTTTCATGGTATGCTACTGGGAAGTCGTCATCGCGAAGATTATTGCTGACCCCTGACCCTAAAGGTGAGGAGTCTCCCACACCATCGTACTGAGACAATCCTCGAGAGAGGACCTGAGATGGTTGGGCAGACACTGCATCGAGAGGAATCCCTCTATGCTGAGCTAATTTTCGTTCGAGATCCATGATTGTTGCTTGCAGTTCTTCTCTCTCTTCGACGTCGTCGGGGCGGGTATCGAGTAAGCTTTCGAGAAGGGCCTTGTGTAAATCAAGGTCGTCGATGATATGCTCGATGGACATGTTGGGAGAAGAGGCAGCCATGATGTGATTGATCTCTTTATCCAGTGTACAGCGGCAAGGCCGGGCGCAGACTCGCTGCGCAGGGCCAACCAACTTGGATAAAAATTGCAAGGCTCGAGGTACCGGTCGTTACCGGTGAGATCGGAGTGTGCTGGCTGGGCGCAGTTCAGGTGATTTCCAACTCCCTGTCTGGTTTCTGCCTGCCCTTGTCCTACGCTCTGCGACTGCGATATGAATCAGAAAAGAGGTAGTTGATCAGGGACAGATATCTTTATCGCGTCACAGTTTGTATTCCACACGGCGGTGGGGCTAACTTTCGCTGTGACTGTGGCTGAGAGGGTCCTGAGTGGCTGAAAATACTGTCCCTGGCTACGAGGCCAAATCATTTAATCTGGATCGGGTATAGCGCGATCACTATCGTTTGAATTATCGATACGTACGAAGTATCACTACGGGGTATGCTAAGACCTCTCATAACATGCTAGAATATAACAACCTTTCAAATAATATATATAGTTATACAAATGATATACTTGTATTGTTTCGTACTTCAGACTCTACCTGTGCTTCTGTATGATCTACTCGTACTGTATTGTGGCTACAGATGGAATGCTCTGCACAAAAATAGACAATTTCACTATTACGAAATTAAGCCCCATGAATTGCCCGCGAATGTAACCGCATAACATAGTAATGGCTCTGTTTCCCATATTCTATTGGCTTAACGTATAAAATACAAATAAATACAAGTAATATTACACACCAATACAAGACTCGTACTACGCAGCTCTCCGCAGTGCTAACCGCGTCCAGCCTAGACGAGTCAGCCACGATAGCACGGAGTAAGTGTCTCATCCGTCCCTCTGGCTTAACTACTTAATAAGGGGGGAACCTTGTTATGCATTTTGAGGTATTTCGCATATCGACACGCTCATTATTGTACACAATACGCTCCTTTCGCCTATGATATGATATCGACCAGCAGCTTATCTGAACAATATCCCCCCTTCCTGAACTGTCTGTGATTCTTTGTTTACCAGGAAGGTCCACGTCGTATCATCCAGTCCCTCCTTTCCCACCAACGCTCATTCGACCACATTTCGATTCTCCCACCATTATCAAGCGCAAATACAGTCATACGTACCATCGTTATCTCTCTCATTCACTACTACAAAATGAACATGTTTACGAGCCTCTATCGAAGGGCCTGCGACGAGTCCGACCCCAACTCCGACGCATGCGCCAAACCCACCAGCAACGTTCTTCTCGATGCCGTACCAGCGGCAGTAGTAGGAGTGTCAGTATTTCTTGAAATTGGATAGTGCATTCTGAACATGTCTAAATTGAGTATATTGCAGTATGCTCATTATCGCCGGCACCGTCTTTTTCTACATTGCGCGAAAACGACGCAGACAGTTCGACGCCGAAGAAGCCAAAGAACGCGAATCCTTTGAGATCGATATTTATGAACCTACCGCGAAAAATCATCGTCCCAACCCCGCCGGCCATGCTGACCCCTTCAATGATCCGCACGGGTTAAGCCGTGATCCCGATTATAATGAATTCTCATTAGCTGCTCCACAATCGAGGCGAGACCGGTCGCCTTCTAAATCCTCCATTGCTACCGAGTCAACCTACATGCCCTCGGCGCCACCGCCAGCATATCATGAAGGGAATACTGGTGCTACAGTGAGTAGGCCAAGTGATACAAAGGTATAGCACGGAAACGGGAAGGAATGTTTGATTGTCGTCGGAGTTCCCGGGAGGCTGAGACGCGGGTTCGTCTCCTCCCATGCATCACAATTCTCTCTGTATGCAATCAGTGTATATTAGTAGTCTAGCGAATACTTGCCTGTTGAATGCGAACTTTTATCAGCGTTAACATCAACAAATGTACCATCGCCAAAAGCGGTGACAAACACTTCTTGGCGCTGGTGGAACAGCGGGGCTGGGTAGTGTGGCCGATGTGATTGGTCAATCAGCTCTTCGCGCTCAAGTCGGCGACGAGGTCAAAGAATCCCAGCATTAGCTCAATGCAAACTACACCACTTAACCACCACCATAAGCGCTCTGTCTGCGAGATTGTTTCACGCAGAGTTTTTTTCTTCAATTATCTTGGATCTTCGAACGTCAATCTGTTATAACCCTCTTATTGCCTAGGGCTTCGCTACACCACGCTTCTTCACAATATGGCTCCCTGGTAGCAGACCTGTTTCACGATTTTGCCGGAGCTTGAAGTCAACTCAGGATATTTACGGTCATTAGATACCACGATCGATATTTTCCTCACTTTATAATTTGTCCTGCGATCCCATGACCGAAATGCGAGTAGGACAACCATACTGGCTGCACAGGCAGATGTCGAGGCATATCCAACAGTCGGACAGCGACGAAAATAATAGCAGTGACTCAACGAGCACTGACTCCAAACGCCCTCCAATACCGCGCCTATCCCCCAAGTCCCGCTCTTTGTCGGATGCTGCCACTCACAGTGCCCTGCAGCCTTCAGCATTACGGGAATTTCCACTCTCATCAAAGGATGACATAGGCCTTACGAATAATAACAATAACACCACAAACAACACCAACAATAGTCCTTCAACACCGCAAAAACAACCGCAGCCACGTCTATCAACCCTCCATGGCCTTTCTCTTCAACTCCCACGACACGCTACTCCCTCCCTGTCTACAGCAGGTGCATCACCTATCATCAATCGCGCCCCTCTTTCCCCAAAACTGGACGCTTCGCATATTTATGGCTCACCAGCGTCCGCGATTCCTCGCCGGTCCCGCGGTCTAGACTTCTCTCGCTCCTGTACAAATCTACACCACTCAACTCTTGCTGAATCCTCACCTGACTCCTCACCCAACGTGGGTGGCCGTGGAGTCAATATCCCTCAACGACGTGGCGGTAATTCATCAGCGTTCGGTTCACCTGGAACAAGCTTTGTCCAGCCTTCTGGCATGGGATCCGCAAACCAAACGACAATGTCCAGCTCATTATCAAGCGTGAATATGTTAGAATCAGACACTAGCAGCAGCGAGGAAGACGATGACGAGCCAATGAACGGTGATCGCGACGAGATGATGATCACTTCCACTCCACAAGCGAGTAAAATGCATAACGGCGTATTATCCAACCCCTTTGGAGGCGCAGTCCCCAGTCCCGGAAACGACTGGATGGGTACTTATTCCCCAGCTGCCGCCAGTCTAGCCAGTTTCCAACGAGCACGATTCCGCAAGTCACGCAACAGTCGTCATAGCTCCAGCAGTGCAAGTGGGAATAGTAATAAGCCTAGTCCGGGACCACTATCTCCGCCGGTACTCAAGAGCATAGAGGCGTCTAATGGAGGGTATTTCGCTCGTGAAATGACCAAAAGTGCTCTACAGTCACGTCGGGAGAGTCTGAGTCTTGGTACTGGAGATCTCCACCTGTCTGATTTGAGTGATGATGAAACTCGTGCACCGCGAGCAGAAAGTCCTGGGGCCAACGCGGAATCCGGTCCGCGGGGAGTAGTTCGTCGTGCCGTTACTCGACGAGGGAATTTACTAGTATGTCTACCCTGAAATTGTTACTGACGATCTGCTAACATTTTAATGTAGCCTAAACCAAAAACATTTGCCCGCATTCGAGCGGCTCTAATGGAGGAAAGTGCGCCTCTCGACACTGAAGCAAAGAAAGAAGCTGAAGTCATCCGCCAAGTTCGTGAGAGCGATCCGACAAGCGAGACAAAAACTCCTAGCTTCCCTCTTGAGAAGCTAGAAGAACTTACCTCCACTACTTCAGTATCCGAAAACCCAATTAGAAGTATTCCCGACACAGCCTTTTCAAATCAAGCTTCGCTGAATTCAGGCGGTACAAAGTTCTGGGAGACCTTTGATGGCCGTTACCGCACACCACCACCCGCAGGTCGTTTATCGACACAATCATCCGTCATGAGCGAAGACACGAACATGGATACACCCGTATCAAATATCGGACGAGAGGGTCGATGGCGATCCCCCACCCCACAAACAGTCACATCAGTCCTCGCAACGGAGATTCGTCGCAAACGTCGCCGTGACGACGGCTTTGACGCTGAATCATTCAAGCGTCGCGCCGTATCACCCGGAATGAGTGTCCAGAGCAGTCCTGTCCTGCAACATGCGCCGTCGTCGACAAATAACCGAGACGGTAGTAGTCTTAATAATGCATCATGGATTATTCCTTCCAAGACGGCAGCAGCGTTGTTGACGGAACATACGCATAGTTCATCGAGTACTTCGACCCCGACAGGGATGAAAAGGGTTGGTTTGCAGGGAATGAATGAGACGAATGATGGATTCATGAATATGAGTATTGAGTAGCGCTTCGGTTTCCTTTCCACCTTTGATTGGAGCATGGCTTTTTCTTTTTTATTGTTATTGTGTGCACATATACCCTTATGTCAGCCCTTAGATATGATTTATGATATTCTCAATTCTTAGTTTGTCCAACAGACTTTACCAAGTCCCCTCATTCTTCATCCTAACAGTTGATAATCTTTAGACGTCAAGATACATCCCCGTTCTTAATCGGGGTTAGGGTTATGAATAGTCCCGACTGACCGCCTTTGATGTGCACGTTTCACTGTATGCCTCAGCAACCCCGCAAGGTCAACATCAACACAACTTGCAGGCAACACCGCCTTTTTATCTTGCGCACATTCATTTCTTGTTCTTTCATACTAATTGCGCCATATGCTCTTTGTCATTCAAGATGAGCTCGTCGGTCGAAATTGCTTCTTCTTTCATCGAAGGAGCTCCTCCCGGAGAGGTACGTTGTCGACACTGTCAAGAAGTTGATTGTACCTCGAATCTAACTTGTTCATTAGTTGTCCGATGTAGTCGCTGGTATGTGCAAACCCATACCTACCCGGTTATGGTCCTGGTCACAAAATACCGTACATCATCGCTAACTCCAACGTTCAATCACCAGACATCAAAGTTCTCACCTCAGACGGCCCGAACATTATCCCCGAGCTCGAACCTGCCTTCAGAAGCTATAATGAGAAGCAATTGGCTACTGTGAAGCTTCCCGGAAGCAGCCAACAGGTGATTAGTTCCTGGAATTTGAGTAGGTGGGCAGCTATTGACAATTTTTTGGGCTAGGTGATTGTGAGCGAATTTAATCGATTGGATGGAGACCGATATTATGACGTTGAAAGTTCGACTTCATTTGAATTTGATCATATTACACAGGTACATTCTTTTCTGATGGGATACTAAGTTTCGCATTGCTTACGTTGTGACCGGGACAGACAGCGTCGGCCGCACAATCATACCCCCTCGACTCGCAAAATGCAGACCTTGTGTATGTTTCCCGACCCTGTGAAGACAAGATGTTTCTTGCTGATATAACAGAAAATCTCTTCTTCGATCTCTCTCTACTCATGCAAAGGAGCACTATCCCAGTTCTTCCTACGGAGTATATCCTGTCGACAACGATACCGCAATTGCCATTGTTGTGGTCGCCAACCGATACTCGCCAAATAATTTCTGGTATGCACTTACCCACCAACCAGATCTACCAGGTCATACTAATGCTGTATAAATAGGAATGGCCGCTACCGCTCCATTTACCAAATCCCCGTCTCCTCATCCTCCACTACAACCATAACCGGCAACATCCACATCGACGTCCACTACTACGAAGACGGAAACGTGGCTTTGAGCACGACAAAACCCATCTCGATCCCCCTATCAAACATATCCGCTGAATCAATCATGTCCAAGATCGGTGCCGCCGAGCGTGATCATCAGGAAGAGCTGAACAGGGCGTTTAGTCGATTGGCTGAGGGTGCGTTTAAGAGTTTGAGACGACAATTGCCTATCACGAGACAGAAGGTTGAGTGGGAGAGGGTTGGGGGATATCGTTTGGGACAGGATATTTCTGGTGGGAAGGGGAAGTGATGTGTTGAGCGTTGACGTGTTATATCGGTTGTACTGTGGATTGGTTGTTTGTATTGCTCTTTGCGTGTATATGATGCCTTAGTAGAACATATCATCGTGTTTACCTCCTGACCTGCGTCCTGGACTGAACTCCTATGCTAATCGGGTGATTCCAGACTTACCTCGAGTTACCATCATGGCGTGTATTGCGAACGACCACAAGTAATATCCCATCATCAAATTCAGCTATAGATTCTACAGAAATTTCGTGGATCGTCAAATCCATCGCAAATCATATTGTTGGCCTTCTCTGTCTGTGGTTGGTCAATTAATACAGCACATCCAGTTAGGGTTAGATTGGGTGGAGCTTTTGTCGATAGGCATATCTGCCATCTCTGAAACACATTCTTCTACTATCTCTACCGGCCTGACGATCATTCCAAAGATCGTGAAACCATCACAGTCAAAAAATATCTCAGAATTAAAGTAGATTTGGAAGTGACGAGACGGACTCTTCAATATGACAACAGCACAAAAACCAACCACAAAAGAATTCCCCCCACTATGGAAACAGTTTTCCAACTTCACAAACACGCACCCACTCGGCATTGAAAAGACTCTCCGATTCATTCAAGCTGTCGTCACGATTCTGTCTTCTAGTATCTTTGTCTCATACATTCCGAATTCAGTGTATGCGGTCAAGTGTGCTTCTGCGAAGAATCAGATTGCTCTAGGTCAGTCTTGAGTCGTATGTCCGAGAGTATGATGCTAATATATTTTATAGCAAGGCGATATTTGAGATTTTTCAAATTCATCGATTGCTTTGACGCGGGATACACAGCGTGGCTTGTCCCGGCACCGCTTGAATCTGATGCAGTCAGGAAGATTGCCTCTGTTGGTAAATGGTCTTTCCTGGGAGTATATTTCTTCTTGGAGGATTTAACAATTGTAAGCAAACCCAGTGTTCATTTCCGGGCTGAATCTGACGGGTATAGTTGGATGCAATGGGTATATGGGTAACACCCTGGGCTCAAGAACTCTTCATCGAATGCCATAAATGGTGGTTCTTTGGTCTCGCATTGAGTATCATAGGCTCTACCGTTGACATCTTCCTTCCGGTATCTGAGCCAACTCTCACTTCATCAGCAGTGAAGCAATCTGAAAAGAAGACTGTTACTAGCGAGAAGGAGAAGAAGAAGCAGCCGCTGCCGGTGAAACGTGATTTGACACCGCTGGTCAAAGGTCTTATTGTCGATTCGTGCGATATTGTGATCCCCGGTAGTGTACTGGGTTGGATTCCGGCCTCGTCGACGCAGGTTGGACTTATGATGGTTGTGAGTACGTTGGTTTCTTCGGGAGGTATTTGGGCCCAGGTCAATAAGTGAGGATTTTATATACGTAGGGGCGTGTAGTGTTTGTGGTTGTACATACTGTAACTCTGTGACGCCGAATTCTATCAAATATGTAGATAAATTTGTCGGCGAGAATGTGAAAAGACAGGAGATATGTAATACCTACATAGTATTTTGATATACAACATTCCCATTTCTGCAGTTAATTCCCCGTAGCCTTATTAATCACCTCCAAGGTATGGTCCCACACCGTCTTAACAGTCCCCTTGCTCAAATAATCCTTAATCAAGTCCATCTTTGACTCAACAATCGAACTGTCATAATGAACCCTATACGCTCCACTACCCTTCTCCCCATCCGCACCCATAGTCTCAACATGCTCCTCCCGTGGCGCAAACGCCGGATGTGTAGCAGCATAAACATGTCTCTCTCCACTATCCTTGACAGGTATGATACCAATCTTCGAATGGACTGGTGTCAGTAGCGCAAGAATACCTGAGACAAGTCCCTTGGCTAGAGGATTGAAATCTCGCATGAGGTTTGTCTTCACGCCGCCGGGGGCGCTGTGGATGAAACTAATAGTTGGGTTCGCGGTGGCTAGATGGATCATAGACAGAGATGTCATGGTCACGGCATGAGTGGCGGCATTGGTGAGACTGTAGTGGGTTCTGAGATCGAGGTCGTCTTCAATCAATTTGCCCTCTGTGCTGGGGCCGAGCACGGATATGACCCGTGCAAGACCTCCTGATGATGCTGCTTGACTCAGGTGTGGAAGGAGATTTTGAATGAATCGGACGCGAGAGTAATAGTGCAGACTGAGCTTCTTGTCGATACCCTCACTTGTTTCTACATTCGGTTCAATTGGTGACTTGCAAATAAATGCGAGTGAACTGTCACCTACCAGTCCGCCCCTTCGTGGTGAAAATACCAGCACTCAAAAATAGCAAATTCACCTTCGACTCTTTCTTTGAAATCTCCTGACATGCTACATCAACATTCTTGAGCACGGAAACATCACTCTTGATGAAGCTGACTGTTGCGGATTCGTTAATGGTATTCAGCTCAGAAATGAACTCAGACGCTTGAGCCTCATTACGTCCAATTAAGTAGACGTGGGGAGCAGCAGCGTAGCGGGTGAATTCACGCGCTGTTGAGAGACCAATGCCACTTGTTCCTCCAACTTTTCAGGAGACATGTTAGTCGGGATCACTAGTTATAGGAAGGGAGGGCGAGTTGGTACCGAATACAGCAACGAGCCCGGAACCGAGGTTCTTAACGGTTGTGATATGCTGGTTGATTTCGGGAATTACTACCATCGTGAATAGGCGTATTTCCTGATTGATATTCACTCTGTCGCTGCGAGGAATGGTGTAGCGTGGAATGTCTAGCTAATTTAGTAGGTAGGTACCGGTTGAGGACCTCGAGATGCGTATAACGTAGCCCACCACTTGGGAAGATGAGACACCTTTCTAATTCAGGCGATGTATTTCTTCAGTTATAAAACGCCGAATGAGCTTCAAAGATGCGTAGATGATAAAACGAGCTTTGCTGGAAGATTGCAAGCTGAAGGTGAAGGTAAGCTTAGCCACATCAGGCCCGGTCAAAATTGTCCGTACAAAATTCGTCCGAGCCTATATTAGGTACCCTAACCCTGGGAATGTGTCCTTTAGCCCTACCTAAGTAAGAGGTTACCACCCCTCTTGTCATGTTATTGCAGACCGAACGTCTGAGCTGGATATCACTACCATGGAATCATTGGAATGTAATTTCCATGAATATTTTATGACCTATTTCCTCTTTCTGAGTGCTCTACTGAATCCTACGCCATAGTCACTTTCTGTTTGCCGATAGATACCATTAGTTTTCTATTCATCGTCTCAAACCAAGATTGTATAACTGGCAATACTTTTGGTGGTGAGTATTTTCACTGCAGATCATGATGGAAAAAGACAATATTACTTCATGCTAGCCCTAGCGTCTTAATTACATAGGTAACGTTCAGAAAGGATGCTCTGAGTGAGAACGATCAGGAGCGTCACCTTCATATCCTAAGACATCCCCACGACCGTCTTCCCATGCATTCCCGACTAGCGCTTTTCGAGGATCATCCAGGTCTAGCCAGCCTAGAAACGGTTGACTGACTTGATATCCTATCAAGCGTTGCATATCAACTGGATATTCCCTGACTTTCTCAATAGGGTTTGCCAAATACTGATTCTCCTCCTGACGTAGATACCCCTTTGTCATAAAGCAGCTATACACCAGTCTCTCCTCATCTACCGTCTTATTTGCACTTCCTCCGTGAAAACAGCTACTGAGCATCATGAACCCGTCACCAGGGCTTAGCTCTGCATATACAGCCTGCTCTTCATCAGGTTCGGTGACTGTTGCCCATAGATGGCTTCCAGGAATGAAACGTGTTGCACCGTTCTGCTTCGTTGTTTTCTTGCCTGCAATAAAAAAGCCGATGCCGGTGTCACGTCCAGGTTTGTATTCTTCAGCGGTGATTGCAGGCACTAAGTTGTGGTGGATCATGTCATCTCGATGAAGTTCTTGGTTCCTAGCTCCTGGGCCGATAGAGAACACGATTGTGTTGTTTAATTGAGGCTTGGAAATGGATTTTTCCAACGTCTTTCCGTAGTAGGAGTGATACGTTGATGTGAGGAGGGCATCACACACAGCCTGATACAATGGGGCGACCACGATGTTCTTCATGAACGTAGGCGATTTGCCGGCAAGACCGCAGACACGCCTGGTCTCGGGTGGGAAAAAGTCGCCTTTCCAAGGTTTATCGGCTTCAATGTAAGGGCGCACATCTTTCTCGATCTGGTCAAGGACTTCTTGAGAAAGGAGGTTGCGGATAATGACTCCCCCGTCCTTGATTAGTGCATTGATGACCGCCTGGGCATTTGATGGACTGGGATCAAACTCGTGCAATGCGACTGGCGATTCTGAAGTCGTCGATCCCATAATGATTATAAGACGAGATTGTGGAGATATTAGGTCAATAAAAGCGGACTTCTTTAGGAAATCGAGTCTGCTGGGAACGAGATAGGGTCTGGAGGCAACGCTGCCCTTTATACCTTTGCCCGATTATCCCCAGCGAACACACAATGACCTGGTGACCAAGTCGGCGTCTGATCACAGCCATGATAGCGATTGTGGAGCTGAGTGAACCAGCGACTATTGCAGCACTCGAATCCGCTATCCGGCAATGGAGCAAAGTTACATATGCATGCTATATCCAGTAGTCAGACAACAATCGCGGCCAAGTGTTAAAGATACCTCGGGATTAGACAAACCTCTGTTTATCAATCTCAATATTATCTACATAGGAAGTACATACATGCCCTATCAGGATGTTTTGTGGTTTTTGACAAGGGCGTGTGTTCAAACCCCACCAGTGAGGACTGATTGTCTTATCGGCCAAATGGTCCAAAGACATGCCCGATTAGGCTCATGATGCGCCTCCCATTTCATAAAACGGAAGTTTCTTGTCGGAACGTGAATATCAACCCTACCCTACACGTTTCGGCACTGGATATTAGTTAGTCCGACGTGGCACGCATGTGTCACGTATATATCTATCTAGCTACCTCCCGTCACCCTTACTCTTGGCGGTCAGTCATCAATATTAGGAATTCCACACCATATTGATCAGGCTCATCAGCTTGTTGGATGAGCTGTTCCACGGATCTAGTGCTAGCGACCTAGACGTAGATAAACCAATACTGATAAGTGGCCGCAGATCAGGAAATTCCCTTTATTCCTTCTTTCTTCTTTCAAAAACCTCATATCCAACTCTATTCTCTTCCCTCATCAACATCTCCGCAAATTTGTCCTCCTCCATCATTACCGCAACAGATTTTCATCTATACATCATCAAAAATGGCTCCTGCAGCATCAACGGAACCTGGCGAGTTCGATCCTGAGGGAAAAGACGCGAGACAGCTCAATAACTACGTGTCACAAAGGATGAACTCGTACGAGGATGTGTACGACGACCTTCTCTACGCAGCGTATAAACAGCACTTTGAAAAGTGGACTATTGATGACTTCAAAAAGTCAGACATGATACAACTTGGCAAATTGATTAATCTGCTCCGTTGCAATGGAGTATTCGTCAATACAACGCGTGCACATCTAGTTGCTGAAAATCTGATGAACGTACTTGCTGAAACCGACCCTCATGTATGGACTGAGGAAGAGGTTATCGCTCACGTCAAGCGTGGAAAGGAGCTCAGATCAGAGAATCTGAACGACCAATTCGCAGCTATCATAACCATGCACCAACGACCTCCAAAAACAAGCGAAGAGAAAGCTCAACAACGGATTCCACGAACACCATTAATGCCAGAGACGCCATCACCCTTCCCAACGTTTGGACCGAAAACTAGAGCAAGGTCTGCTGCAAATTCTGGCCTGGGAACTCCTACAACAGTCCCAGTAACATCACATCCAAACGTAAATCTGTCATCAATGTTTACCCTAGCAATGACAACTCAACAGACAGGTCAAGCGGATTCCAATCAACACATGGAAGAACAAGCACATAAAGACTCTCTAGCGGACCTTATTAGCACCCCACAGGCCCTTCTCAACCTGGGAAAGATGTACACAGATGAGTTGAAGTATGGAGCAGAGAAGAATGATTCCTTCACATGGAAGCTTCAAATCTTCTACGATTTGTGCCAACGTGCATTTATACCACCGACACAAGAAGCATATCACCCTGCTTTCCCGACGATGCTGAAGGGTCAAGCGTTGCAATACTACTATGCAACAAGGCAGACATGGTTACTTCACGGTCATGATCCCATTACAGGACTCGGTGACCACTTTGAAGGAGAGGAGTACCACCGTGCTATACAACAGGAATGGAACAATGTTATATTCCAAAGTGTAATCGACAAGAATCTGTATAAAACACTCAGCGAATGCCTTGAGATAATGGTGTCAACGTTACAACAACTTTACCACGGTCTTGACCGAGATTTGCAAACACCGGCATATCATCGAATAAAACTTGTCGAGGCGACGCATACACACCCAGCATTTCAGAGCGCCACGACGTAGGCCGCATATTCTGTTGCTGCTTTGATTCAGGATTTACGTGCAAGCGTGAGCCAATATGAGGGCCTGCGGCGATCGTCAGGACAGTACTTCACTGCACCCCACAATATTGACCCTTTCTACACCGACCGTCGCTATCAAGCTCAACGCGGACATTCACCATATCGAGGCAGCTCACCACGTCGAATTCTGTTGGTTTATCTACGTCTAGGTCGCTAGCACTAGATCCGTGGAACAGCTCATCCAACAAGCTGATGAGCCTGATCAATATGGTGTGGAATTCCTAATATTGATGACTGACCGCCAAGAGTAAGGGTGACGGGAGGTAGCTAGATAGATATATACGTGACACATGCGTGCCACGTCGGACTAACTAATATCCAGTGCCGAAACATGTAGGGTTGATATTTACGTTCTGACATTTCTATTGCATGAGATTCTCTAAATGAGTTTCCCACCGATCATACATAGTGGGCAGTTTACAAAAACTCTTTATTCCCATAATGGGACACAAAGATTCCACCATTGGCTTCTATAGTAGCCTTGTCCACCACTTGCAGTACATCCTTCACTGCGTCTTGAACATGGGCCGGGCCCTTGAAATGAGGGGCGTATTTTACAAACTTCTGGAACATGGTACCGATTTTGGCTTGTTGTTCAGGTGTAGCTGCAACATGAGCACCCATCAGTATTGACTCATTGCACTTAAGATGAGAGACTTGCCTTTACTAGCAAAATCAGTATTTACAACGCCTGGGCAAACAGCCATGAAGAGAATACCTTCGTCAGCGTACTGGGCATGGAATTTGGTTACAACCATATTCAAAGCTGCCTTGCTTATAGCGTACGGCGCAGCGCTAGAAATTCGCATTTTTGCGACGAGATTCTCGTCTGACATGCCGGAAGAGATGGCGACAACCTTTTTGATATTGCCCTTGCGTATCAACGGAATAGAGAGGCTGAATAAGTTAATGTTGCCGATGACGTTTGCTTCAAAATTCCGGCGCATATCTTCGCCCAAAGGCTCGATTTCTCTATATCACGCGGGGATGATGTATCAGTAAACGGTACTATCTGAATGAAGATTTGTTAATTGACTGACAGATTCCCAATCCCTTCATACTGAGAGAAATCACTGAGATAAACGGCATTAGCAATTAGCACATCGAGAGAGCCTCCGGTGATTTTGCTAGTCTCCTGGACGGCCGTCTGCACTCAAGCTCTTAGCCCCATTCTTGTATGATACTGTTGGGTGTGAGACACGAACTTTAAGTGACTGAACGTCTGTCATGTCACCATGGATAACAAAAATATTCTTTCTCTCGGATAATTCAGTCGAGACTCGAGCGTCGGTGGCAGGCTTGTTGCGAACGAGACCAATGACGGTGTTATTTGGGTCTGCGGATAGTTGGCGGAGAAGCTCATACTATTTTGCGCAATACATAGTTAGCGACAGAATAATTAGGAACTTTGGGAATTGTCTGACAGGCCCTGGATCGATGTCCAATACCAGTGGGTACTCACTCCAATGCCGCGAGAGGCGCCAGTAATCAAATACGAAGGCATTTATCTTGCGTAGCTTGGATCGAGCCAAGTATGTCTAAATCTTGTGCGGGTGTAGATTTCGGATGAATAGCGAGGTCGATTCTGTTGATTGAGTTATGTCCCAGGAAGAGGAAACGGGGCCCTATTTATGCCTTATGCTACCTACATCTAAGACCTGGAATAAGACACTTCCCCTTGCCATCTTGCTGCTTTACCATTGCTGAAAAATACACACTTGGTTATAAGAATGGATAATTCCCTGGATATACTCGCAGATTCTTGCCAATTTTGCTAATTAGGAAATATGCCCCCCATTCCCGTTCTCATCCGAGCTTCGCACATAGTTGCCCTACTTCAGATCGGGGATAGCGTCAATCCAGCATTAGTAATCTCTCTCACATTTCTTCCTGGAGGAGTCGTAGTTTTCATATGTTTCTCGCACTTATATTATTACGAATCACTAGTTAACTCGGTATTCTTTACTAGTATTTGCTGATTACCGGTACCGTACAGTGTGCATACCTCATGGAGAAAGCGAGAAAGAACGGGTGCGCAACCTGCAAAGGTATGGACATATTTTCAACCGATGAATGTGCTTCAGAATGATGATATTGGAAGAATACAATTTGCTGGGAGTTCCAGGTTATTTGGCTCTCACGAGACTTAATTAACGTAAACACTGGATGCAATGAACAGATCGAAAAATTGCATGTGATGCATCACGACCAATCTGCAAGAACTGTAAGCGATCAAACCGTTCTTGCGAATATCACAAACTGCGATTATCTTGGCCGAAAGGCAATGATCGTAGACGAGCGTTGAACGCTGCTCAACCCAATACAACCCTCAAATGCGCCAATTGGAGATTTATCAATACGAGCTCACAGGACATTAACGTCCACCTGCGACACATCGACCCTAGTAAGTACCGCGCTCATTCTGCCAACGGATCAATGCGCCTATCTTGTTTTCTCTCTCATACTGACTTTTCTGTAGGAACAGTAATCCACAGCGATAATGATATTATGCCTCTTTCATCCTTACTTCGAGTACCATCCTCGACCCAAACGCACATGCAGTCTCCATTGCTAAATGAAAACATAAACCTTGTTCCGTATTGTAAAGCTCCTTAACTCCCCTTTCTTTACATTCTGTCGCCGGGACATATCACCGATATACTCATATCATAAAGTCTTTTCAGCTGTTCTATCATCCTTGCCAGCATTCGGCATTGATCTTGCTCATTTGCGCGGCATAATCACTCGATTAGCATTCTCTGATGACTGTATATCAACTCAGGCCGTACTCCAGAGTCTTTTAGCATTGGCAACTTTATATCGGACTGGAGATAAACAGCAAACCACTCAGTTAACCGTCGCGACACTGAAGTCTCTCCGTCTCTCGGCACAGGCTGGATTGACTCGAGAGATGAGTTTACAGCACATTGTTGCTAGTATGCTAATTTGCTCTGTTGAGGTAATTATTCCCCTTCCATTCAATAGACCGAGAGATATTGATAAATTAGATGCACCTCTTTGCTCTAGACTCCTCGACGTGGTATTTGCACTTATCAAATGCCAAAGAAATCATTTCTCGATTCTATGAACAAAGCTCCTTCAAGGACAAGGACCAAACATTGTTGTTCCAATGGGTGTTCTATTATGATACCATGGCTCGATTAGGAGTCAGTCATTGGCAGGGAAAGACTACATTTCAGAAACACCTTCAGAAGGAGGTTGGCTTCGATTGTCTCGTACTGGATGAAGTATGCCGCCTACTGTTCATTCGAACCCTGCATGCAAGTATTAATGATCCAATTATATTTCAGATAACGAAATTTTCTACATTTGGGCACGACGTCATAAACCTGCTTTATAAATTCTGTGCACATCGCGCGCCAATGGGTCACATACATGCTCATTCGGAAGAGTACCAATCTTGGCTTAACAGCATCGAGCACAAACTTCTCGATATAAGAGCGAACCTGAAGCACGAAGAAGCAGAAACAGGCTCAACAACAACGCAGTCAGAATCGATCTTGGTCAAGGAACTCTTCATCCTAGCGGTATTGCTCTACATTGAACGGACATCTAACGGTACCAGCGACCGCCCCACAATCAAAAACACCGAATGGACCTGCGCTGCATTCGACATCTTCTCTCGCATCGACTCTTGCAACAAACCCTTCGCTTATGTTGTGTTCGGCTGCGAGGCGCGCACAGATCAGGACCGAACTATTATCCTAGACGTCTTGGACCGGACGATAGAGTCAAAAGCAAACGGTTTATTGCATCCTCTGAGGGATGTGATGATAAAGACCTGGGTACACGATGATCTAAAGGCGACTGTGACCCTGACTGAGATGTCGGCTGAAGCACTTTGTTCTAGCTCCTGTTTGATTTTGAGTACGTCCCACTCTGTTAAATGTTTAGTGTAGATCTTTTTCTCTTCAAGGATACTATACCTATGAACTAGTATAAAGTTTGAATCCATCTCGGGATATAAACTCTATGGTCTTCTCTATATCCCTCCTACTATAAAAGCTTTCGGTCTTTTGAAAACATCTGACTAAGAAGCGGTGTCTTATAACTAGCTAGTTGACTTACAACTTGCTATTCTATCTGCTGGAACACTCTGTACCGATTTACCTAGATATACGTAGCCTAAACTTCTCCGTCTCTCGAGCTCAGCAAGAGCAGGTAGTCTGTCTTGAGAATAGCATAGTCGATATGGGTGCCTTATAAATACATAGAACATCTGTGAAAAGGTATAAACCCTCGCTTTCCTATTTCGGAATGCGAGGGCGAATGAACTAAGCCCGAGATGGATTAGCCATTTTGTTTCAGGCCTATTCGAAAAATCTCAGCAACTTCATTTCATTGCCAACCAAGAAAGATACGCTCGCTTTCGATCGCATACCATTGCGACGCTTAATCAATCTGCATAGTTCCAAGAAGGTTAACAAATTAAGCGCTATATACATACTCGGACTCCGTCTCCGACTCTCCGCCGTAATACATTGTCTGTCCAAGGTCCGATGCCAATATGTCTCCTTCCCCGAAATATTTCATCAACACGTTCACCCCCGAGACAAACAAATCAGATCCCCAGAAATGGTGCCGAGACTCGTCGACTGCTCAACAGAAGAAGGCTCACCACAAGTCGCGGAGTGGTTGTCTCACTTGTAGACAGCGAAGAGTCAAGGTTGGTAGAAGCATGCAACAGAAGGCTAGCAAGAAAAGAGATGCTTAATGAACATTTCTAGTGCGATGAGAATACCCCATCATGCTATCGCTGTTTGAAAAGAGGGGATATATGTCGTCGACGTCCTGCACAACAGCCGCAACGGCACCAAGTCTCTAATAGTAGTGGCAAGCGAAACCGAGAAATCGAGTTGTCATCTTACCCTATACCATTACCACTATCGCCATCTGCATCCTGGGGAGATGATAGCCTGAACATGGAACAGATGAGACTATTCCATCATTTTCAAATATCAACTTACCAGACCCTTCCTATAATAGCTCAGATCTGGGAAAGTGTCCTTCCCAAGGCTTTTGAATACGAGTATCTGATGCATGCAGCATTGTGCTTAGCAGCTAGACATCTTGAGTACATGCGTCTAGACGGAGACAGAACGAGTGAAATGACAATATCCCGAAAACATCTCTCACACGCACTACGACTATTCCGAGAGGCTCTGTCGCATGATATTACGGATGCAAACCGGGATGTTGTTCTTTGTACCTCGTTGATGCTTTATTTTGAGGCATGGTCTGATACTCTCTTTTTACCCTGCGAACTAAATCGGGGAGCCATCCACCTTACGTCGGAATATAAGGCATGTGAAGACCAACTGTTTACGCTAGGTAAATGCATGAGGCATGTGTGTATGTACACAATGTCTAATTTGACGCGTTGCCCATCAATTTGGAAAGAAGTCCTGCTTCATAGACCTATATGGACCATTCAAAGGTCACTGTCGTCTATTGGGCGAGACTACGATGCATACAATGAATTTTTTGAGCTGTTATGGCACGAGCAAGGCGATAAAGTTAATTTCCAGAAGTTCTGCAAGGTTCCTTCACCACCCTTCCGAAATGAGAATATTCTGCAGGAATCTCAAATACTCGGATGGACGGAGTATCACTCTGCAGACGACCATGACGCTTTTATGCATGTAGCTAGACGACTTTCGGCACTTCTCTCCCTGCTACCAACCAGTCCACAAGACAAATCGAAGCCATCCGTTTTGGAAACCTTCCCAGGCCTACTTCGTGATGCCTCAAGGGTAGTATATACATTCCCAGTTTTATTCCATCCCGATTTGATGGATATGGTTTTTGAGGGTGATGTGCGAATTCTGGTGATGCTATACCATTTTTTCCGGATGGTCAATCACTTATTACCAAAGGAGCAGTGTTGGTGGGCAACAAGAAGAGCCGAGTCTCTTGCTGGTATTATAAGACAAAAGCTATGGGGATGATACGGTAACAACTTCAATACAAAAGCGAGCGGACTATATTACTGTTTCATGAAGTTGTGAAGTGGAAAAGCAAACAACAAATGATTCAAGACACAGTCTCCTTCAATGACCGTCCAGCAACGTACACCTTTGCAATGTTACGGTCGTCGCCGGTCATCAGAAACTTCTCAAAAATAACGGCAATAGAGTCGTCATCTTCAATTGGACTCATGACACCAACGCTTGCACACGGTTCCGAACCGACAGTGTGAATTTCCAAGGCGTCAAATTCCTTGCCCTCCACAAAATTACCAACTTTGTCCTCCAGGCCACAAACCTGTGCGCCACCAAGTGTAGCCAGAAAGAATCCTTCATGTAACTTCAACGCCGGATCAGCACCCTTGGTCATTGTCTCCCGTGCCTTGGAAATGATAAACGCATGTCTCATAATCTCAAGCATACTGCTCGAAAATCCACCGCCAACATCAGTTCCCAACCCAACTTTGATCCCTCTGCGTAAATATTCACGTATTGGGGCTGTCATAAATTCGCCCAATGTTGCAGTCGAAATAGGGCAATGTGCAATCCCGCATCCCTTGGATTTGATTTTGTCCATTTCCTCTTCTTCCAGAAAGATGCTGTGCGCTAGAATAGTATGAGGACCCAAGAGACCGTATTCATCGTAGAGATCAGCTTCATGTTTGAATTGTGGATATAGTTGACGGGTGAATTCCATCTCATCAGCGGCTTCGTTGAAATGCGTCTGAACATGAATGGCGTTGGGGGTTTCTTCTTTGACAATCTCTCCTAATCCCGAGAGTAGTGTATCGTCGCACGTAATAGCAAATCTTGGTGTGAGAATGGGTTTTACCAACTTCCCTTCGCTGTCAATACGGCGGACATGAGTAACCACCTCTTTGGTTTGTTTGAGTGATTCCTCAACCGACAAGTCCTGATACCATTCAGGCGAGCTGCGATTCATGTTACATTTTCCCACTAGTGCACGCTGATTCTGTTCCAGACATATCTCTGCCAGAATTTTAGTTGCTTCCACATGTACACTTCCATAGTACGATGCTGTGGTCACGCCCTGCTTGATCCCAGCTTGTACACAGGCCGTATACATTTTTCTTGCATACTTCAAGTCCTCGAATTTCCGCTCATGTGCAAAAGTAACGTTATTCAACCAGTCGAGCAACGTCTGATCTCGTCCCATACCCCGCTGAGCCCATTGAGGCGCATGATGGTGGGTATCAATAAACCCCGGAATCAAAAATTCACCTCTTTTGAGATATTTGACTGGGAATACGTCGGGTGTATGGCCGGCTTCAGATATGAGTTCGTTGACTTTGTCAGGGGGTGCATCTTTGTATATCTTTTCAATTTTGCCCTCGCTGTCGATTATGAGAAGGCAATTTTGGAGGATTTCGAGAGTCGAGACGTCCAGGGTGTGAATCATAGTGCCGTGGAAGGCGATTGGGAGACCACGCATTTGCGGGACTGTGGCTTCTTGTGACATTTTGACTTGTTAGACAACACTATGCAGTTCAATATTTTTAAAAGATAATGCTCTTCGCAGACCAGAATATTTGGAGTTATGAAGTCAATATGTTGATTGAGGTTGACATTCGAACGCGGGGATGTCCGACTTGATAAGCCCCTGTCTTATCGCTTATCGCCCGCCGCTTATCTATGAAGTCACTCCGATAACGAAGATTCTATATACACTTTGATAGACTATTTCCCAAGTGCCAACATACGCTCCAAAATCTCATCGTCGTTGGGATTTCCCTCTCCCAGGATAGATGTCTTGAACGTAGGCGAGAGGACTGCCTTTTCGATTTCCTTGTACTTTCCATCAGACACATAGATCGCTTCTCCATGTTTGGAGGTATCGCTCATGAGATACGCAACACACCGAGCAACGACTAGACCCGGCTGAGCTTCGTGCGAGATGCCCTGCATCATTCCGTCCAAGTTCGGAAGGATATTGCTGGATGTCCAGGATGGCATGAGAGTGTTTATGCGAATAGGCAGTCCTGCGACCTGCACAAGACGGCCATAGCCTCTGCCGAATCCGAGAACACCGTGCTTTGCTGTGGCTATATATTCAAAGTAAGCTTGATATTCTCTCCGACACGTCCTCTCATCGAGACTTACAGTAATCCGGAGCACGGAGGGGCTGCAATCCAGTGCTGGAGCCCATAAGCACAACACTTCCACCTTCGGGTTGTTGCTTTATATAATGAACGGCAAGAGTTGCCGTGTTCATTACACTCTTCAGGTTGACATCCAAAGTCTCAAATGTTGGCTCCTTCAACTCTCCGTTCGCATCTGTCTCGAGGGCTAGGTAGTTGGCGCGAGGTCCAATGCCCGCGTTCGCATAAACATGGTCGATCCGACCGAAATGTTCCTTTGCTTTCTTGAACAGATTACTCAAGTCGGTCCAGACAGTTACATTGGTTTGCACGAATAGCCAGTTAGGTGTGGATTCGGGGGTAGCTGAAGGCTGGATGTCGCCGCCGACGACGGATGCTCCCAAGGAGAGGAGTAGATTGGCAGTTGCTAGACCTATGCCAGACGAAGTGCCTGTAACAGAACTTTAAATCAGTTCGAGATTACCAAACATAAACAGACAAATGGCTGTACCCGTGACAATCACAACTTTGCCCTTGAGGCCGTTCAAATCCTCGTCCTTGATCACAAATTCGGCCATTGCTGTTGGTTCGAGAAGGGATATGCCGAGAGATGAGTGGAAAAAGAAACGACAAGACTATTTATCGTATATTAATAAATGCCTTGCTATGAGCCAGGGAAGATTCTGCAGATCAGGGAGTAGCGTCGCCATTTTATGTACTTTCGGCTTCAAAATAGGCTAAGAGAACAAGTGCGTCCGAAGGAGGAATTGGCAGCGGGATCCCTGCTAGTTTACGTGGATTGCCGGAGTAAGTCCTACTTTTGTACGTTAGACTCTTTCGGGATTTGTGTATTGTGCCATCGTGGGTACTCAATACTCCGGGAACGACATGACAGGTGCCGCCACGCTTGTGGATACTGGAACTGGCGTTTCGGAAGATTTTCCGGCTGTTGATGTTACCCCTGTTCAGTCTGAACCAAATGCTCTTTTAACGGCTTTTCAACGGTTCTCGTGGTTCCATGTTGCTCGCGAATTTTCACGACAAACTCGTATTCTTCTTTCCAGGGGCTCAACACTCATCGCCGCGGAAAGGGCTCAAGCCTCGTGCTTGTCAACTGCCAAGATCTTCAGATGGTTTCGATGCAAATAACAAATTAATAACGGGCCAACGGCTGGACCAAGGCTGTGGAGTCGAATACGGTCTGATCAACAATGAATTTTACCTAATTCTCGAAATTTGACCGTTTCTTATGGCGTCTGAACACTGAACTTACTTTCTCCACATCATTAATGGAGTTTCGATTGCGCACTATGCTCATGACATTAAAGCATTTCTTCAAGTGTGAAATGTAAATTGAAAAAGGAAAATCTTTCCCCATATCACCTTTGGTCTTCTGTATATATTCTTCAACCTGTCAAGTTTTCCCAGTCAATATCTCCTATCGCATGACATGAATCAGAACACTCAAGCGTGCTGCTATCCATCATGGTCAAACCGGCAGGAGACGGTGTGTCCCTTCTCTACACTTCTATCATCCTGTTAACCTTTAGCTGGGTTGTTTTCGCTGCCCGGGTAGGAGTGCGAGTATGGAGGAAAGCTTTAGGACTAGATGACTATCTGATGTTATTCGGTCTGGTGAGTGTAATCCTTTTCCTGCTTCCTAAGTATAAGGCATGGCTAACGCCGCGCCTCAACAGCTGCTATACACTGTGACAGCTAGTCTATGCATTGTCTGTTGTTTCTATGGCTCCGGACAACTGTCTGCAGCCATACCTGCTGCTGAAAGGATGAAAGGAACGAAGGTATGTACGCCGTACAACCCACCTTAGGGGCCGATATACTCACAATCTAGTAAAGCTATTTTTCATCGCCGAATTCTTCTACTCCTCCGGCGCAGCAGCCATAAAATGCAGCATTGCTGTTACTCTTCTGCGCATTGCAGGCTCGCGATCAATTGCTACATGGACTATTGGAGGTGTCATGTTTGCTAGTATTGCAGCCGCCATCATATTCATGGCTGGTGTTGCCAACATCTGTCATCCGATCACGACCTTGTGGGGTGAAACTACGAACGGGACATGCAATCTCCAGCTCAACAGCGACGTCAGCTTCTTCTTCTCTGCTGTTGAGATTGTGACTGATTTCTCCTTGGCGATTTTACCTGCGATCTTATTGTGGAATATTCAGATGAAAAGGAAGGTCAAGTTTTCGGTCATGGTCATTCTGGGAATGGCTGCTTTGTGAGTTATCTCCCGGTCTCTATGCAAAAATTCTGGAGAAATTACGTACTAACGTCCCTCAGTGCGAGCTGCGCAACCATCGTTCGGCTCCGTTATCTAAGTCTCTACAGTAACCCGGCCGAATTCATGTTCAGTACCGGGTCAATTGGTCTCTGGTCCGTCATTGAAGAAGGCATCGGTATCATTGCAGGCTCTCTCCCAGCCCTTCGTCCTCTGCTCTCTCTTCCAATATTCAGCCGTTCCTCCGCAGGCGGAAGCAATGGCACCCCATACAACGCTCCTTATGCCAACGGCCACAACGCGAGGCGTTCTAGAAGTGGACATCATCCATTAGGCTCGGGTGTCAAGATGGACACACTTCAGCGAATCCAGTCTGTTGACGCCGACGGGGATAGGGAAAGTCAGAGGCATATTTTGAAAGAGACAGAAGTTGCCGTCACATCAAAAATACGATCTACTACGCCCGGTGCTTGGGAGAGAAGCCAAGTGTTGGGATTCAAGTCTCAAAGCTAACTTGCTCAACAACTGATTTTGAAGTTGGTTTGAGTTGGTATGGCTAGACGGCATTGATCGGCATTTCCAACTGATAAATGCCGATTAACGGTCATAGCAACCCAAACTTCTAACTTTGGGAAAGTCTCCGCCACGGACGGGAGCAGACCGTTGGATAGTGTCTCAGAAATCGGCCTATCAAATAGTTATGGAGACCTTGAAAGCCCCGCTAACATGTTGGTGGGCCTTTGGCCAACTTAACCCTCACTGCTATAGGGTTAGGGCTATCGAATACACGGCATGTATATAACTACTCTGTACTATGATTCCTTTTGTCTGATTCTATCACGGTGTAAACGAAGTTTGAGCTTCCAATGCACAAGAATAGCTGCCACTTTATAATATATAAGTACTATCAAGTAACGGCAGTACATAGACTGTCAGAGCCCCACTCCCTCTCTCCGAAATGTCATCCTGAAAGATGTATCGGTGCAAACTTTGGGAATGTGAGGACTTTTTGTTCTCTTTGCTACTCTACCCCTACCATCACAGCAATCAAGGGTGACGTCGATAACAATGTACTTCTGAAAGGGAAGATCGCGTGTCTAAACGATAGCACAATAAACGGAACCGAAACCCTAATAACCCTAAGGAGCTCCTGGTCTCGTATCCATTTTGGGAACCGAGAAAGTCTAAAGGGTCCCATCAGGTCAAAGAGCTCTATGGGTATAACAAATAGTATACTGTTTAGGACACAAAGCGCATGTTTCAGAGGGCTTAGACTGTTTGAGGGGGTGTTGCTCACAATGGCTTGTCTCTCTGACTTTGTCTTTCGAGAGCTAAGTAGAATGGAATTTATACCATTATCCTCATTAATACCACGATATAAAAGATGAGACCATAATACCTATATAGAGAACTATCAATCATCAATACACTTGTGGTATCGAGATTCCCGGTATAGATTTCTTTATCCATGAATGAGTAGCAATACCCCCTACTGATATTGAGAGTTGTGTTGATCTCAGATATATCTAGTTCTCAAAGGTCTGCCTACCTCGACAGATAATGAATTTCTCTTTTGGCTTCGTCTACGGCTGTTAAGGCCGCTTCTCCTTGTATAAGCCAGTAAAGAGTTATTATTGATTTATACTTAGCTAGCTTTTTTCGATCAAAGACATAACAATACTCCTTACCTGAATTCATGTCGGATTTCCAAATCCTATACTGATTCTGACTATAAAACCATCTGATATATTTCAGGGACTGGTCATAAAGATTATTGCAATCAAGCACCCAATTATCTAGGATGTATTACTATCCAAGACCAGTTTGGGTCAAGTCGCACGTCCTGAGTTAAAGAGAAACACTGGCACTAAGACTTGAAAGACTTGACTTTCACTGCAACTTCTCAAAGCCCGGCATGGTGCACCAAGAGAATGGCATTGATGATGTGTTTCATTCCTGTAATAAACAGAAGAATCCAACCGTCTCGCATTTTTCACAACCCAATTAAAGGTGTATAAATGCAATAGTTCCCTTCTACATCTACATGCAGCATTACGAATGATGCTTGTTACAAGGTTTGGCTATGCCCTCAGGAGAGTCAAAATGAGTGGTAATCAAGGCAGCTTCAGCCTCTTCCAAGAGGTAATCAACCAAAACAAACAACAAACAGATGACCAAAAAAAGATACTCGCCGACCAAACACAGGAGATCAATGATCTAAGGCAGTATATCACCAACCAAGAGCAGCAACTCAACACAATGAAGGAAAGGTTGATGCGTATACGCATTGCTGTATTAATGAATGAAAGCGTATTACGACCTTTCTTCAGAGTACCACCACGACAGAGAGATCCTTCCTACTACCCCGTCATAGATATGGATTTAGAAGCCATTGAATGGATGCAGGCCAACAACATAGGCGGACAGCAAAATGCTATTCGAAGATTCGAGGCAATATATGGCATGAATTTGAGGAAATGCAAGATCCTCGTTCGCACAGCGCCAGAAGAGATCGTTGAAGCTATGAATCAAAGAGCCGAACTTCATTATTCTCCTTGTTACCGCCGCAGTTTGCGGGACAACAGCAAAATTAAGCGCATGAAGCTAATTTGCTCTGAGATCATTAAGCTTTGGGAAGACTGCCAAAGTGCTGCGTACCCCAGTGACCAGATCATGGTAAAGCGTTCCAATCTCGAACGCTTGCTCAACGAGTTCTGGGATGGACAAGGCAAGAAAACTGAGTGGTTTGGCAAGCGGAAAGTAAATTTATCCGGAAATAAAGTTGTCTAAGTATACTAGATCAACATCCAGACGCTCAGAGACCGGGGAAAGAAAGAAAGAATTCACTGTCAAATGAGATATATACTTTACAACAATCCGACTATACTCTTTCCACATTTTGTAACTCTCCCTTTCCTAGAAGTTGTTATCTTTCACTAATTTCCTAATTCCATGGTCTGTATTTGTTTTCTATATGTACCCGAGCAGCGGCGCTAGGCTCAAACGGTCTCTATTTCTGGCTTGCGTGGTACATTGGCCTCCCGCCACGCACTTCATACATCTATCACCACGCACTCTGTAGTCAAGCCATCGGACCCACCGCTCCAGCGCCAGTCACCACCCAGGCCCTAATCGTTTCGTTCAGCGAGCACCATTCCGCTCCAGTGACTTCCATTCCGAGAGCAGTATAAGTACTTCAAAGAAGTCCCCTTCAGCCATACTAACACTCTCTCCCACAGACTCCCTCTTTTCTCTGGACTTCTCAATAGGAATTTCTTCGAGTCTTAGACGATGCCAAATAAACATTGGGCTGGTAACCCGATGTATCAGAGACGGAGAGTGGTATGAGCCTTTCAATCTGTCACACGTCAGATACAGATATCACTGAGCCAGGATAACCTTGGTAGTATATCGACTCAAAACCTGATACCGCAGTCTCGGCGGAGTATACGTCCTTAATAACCACATGGGGACAACTTTGCACAGCTCACTACTTCTAAAGGTCGCGCTTACCAGGATCCAGCATTCAACCGGGCCGAAGGCACTAAAAAGTTAAAGTCACGCATAATTGATCGTTGGCATCAGTTTGTCCTGCACTGACGCACACTTATCTATGCATTATATATATTGTCTGCTGACTTACGTCAAGATTCTGTCAAAAAAATGGAGAGAATAAACTAGATTGTATGTAGTGAAAAGACCCAGAAAATGCTCTCAGACAAGTATCTATAGATTGTATATTTCGATTTTTGAAATGGTGCTTCACACTAGAACATAGAGTAGACAGTCGAAACCTACCTGGATACAGCCATGCAGGCATTTTTAATACTAACTGGAAGTATTTTTGAGGTTACTACTAGAATGTGTTAGGCCGCAAGATGGATAAAAAGATGAAGAAGAGCCTATAAACAGTATACTACTGATAGACATATGATAATGTGATTGATGGATTAATGTATTGTAGGGCAGGCAATGGTCGACACGTCTGAAGACCTACAGCTGGAAGATGAGACGCGTCCTGAGCAGGTGATGCTTGTGGAGGCACTGATGGCTGTTCCAATTAAATAGGACTTCGAAGGGGAGTGGTAGTGACGCAACATAGCCACAGCCATAATTATCTCCTACTGTAATTTTAAGAAAGGTGGACCACTTCGAGGCCAGCCAAAACGTAAATGAAGTGTGAGCGATGATGATGGACTCCTCAGGGTGGAAGTAAATCAGACCAAAAATGAGGAAGATGATAAGTAGGCTCTTATATAGAAGAAGCGCAAGCTAGATTAGGAGCACATTAAGAGTGCTAAAAAGCCCCTGATTTGCTTTTAATATAGCAAGAAGTACAGTCAGCATCAGAGCCTTCTCAGGCACTTCCGACCAACGCATTTAAATGATCAAAGATGCAAATTCTGCGCCAATAGAATGGAGTATCTCGAGTAGATGCATTGGCAAAGTCATGTTGCCGCAGTTCATCGATTGAACACCTGACTCTCCATTCGGTTTCATGCATGACATAACAGATATCATTAACTGACAGGCAAACTGCTGAATACAAGCAGGTTTCACATGCTTTGTTTCCAGCAGACCATCCCAAGTAGAGGGCTTCGACGGTGGAGAGAATCGCTCCGGCGGAGACTGAACGAAAGGGACCCCGAGAAACTGATCGACTATTGCGGCGGCAGACGGTATTGATACGCGAGTTCCTACAATAAGTCCGGAATCGAGGCTGACAGCTGGGGAAAGAAAACCATCTGGATCTCTTGACTTTGTGGGCCGAAGGGGATACTGCTCCAATGCGCTGACAAAGTGCACGCAACAGAGCAGTAACAGTCCGATGGGTAACAAGCCTCGAAGCAAAATCATGTTAGTCTGTCAGATGAGCTCCTTAAATGAAGGATCGTGATATGTGATAAGCATCAAAAAGAATGTCATAAAGATTGAAGCTTCTAATTTGATTAGGGAAATTTCTTTGTTATGCTTTAATGCACATTATTTGATGGATGGTTACGCGGGTTCTAGGCTAACCCTAACTTGACAGCGTGAAGGTGTACTCCGGTTCAGGTTGTCTCAACAAAACAGGGGCTTCTTACATAAAAATGAATTGTGATTTGATTCAATGATACAACTTTATCTTTTGCCTGGCTAGATTCTCACAATGTATCTAGATTACGATAGAGTCGAGTCTTCTATCTTCTTCCTATTTGCCTTCCTAGCGAATCTCCTGCCATGGAGTACACCTAAACCAGTACCTTTTGCCATCCAGGAGCCGATCAGTACACAATCACCAAGCACCAGAGAAATTCGAAAATACAACTTCACGATTAAGCGGGGAATTGTAAATTTAGACGGCGTTGACCGTCCATCTCTCCTTATCAATGACTAGTTCCCGGGGCCGTTAATCGAAGCCAATTACGGCGACACGATATCGGTGACCGTTCATAATGAGATCGAAGATCCAGAAGAAGGAACAGCATTACACTGGCATGGCATTCTTCAAAAGGGTACTCCTTGGTTTGATGGGGTTCCAGGGGTTACACAATGTCCTATCGCGCCGGGAAAGTCTCTTGAGTACACTTTCAAAGCAGAGCCGTATGGAACATCTTGTATGTTGAATCATTGATGTTAATGGTGACGCTACAGATGATGAGTTCAATGGCTGACGTATCCATAGGGTACCACGCACATTATTCGGCTCAGTATGCCAATGGTATATTTGGAGGTATGACATGAATGTTTCACCTCGATTCCGGTTGACGTGAGCAACTGATAATTATGCCAAAGCAATGGTTATTCACGATCCGAAACACGTGAACTACGATATTGATATGGGTCCAGTCCTCTTGACGGACTACTTCCATCGTTATTATCGCGACGTAGTCCTAGAAGTGCTACGGCCTCGACCGTTTCCAGCTGCGCCACCTAGCGATCTCAACCTGATCAATGCAAAAGGCGACTGGCGCTGCACAGACTCTCTCGGTAGTGCACCCTCTCCAGATACCCACAATCTCACCGAATTTCGTTTAGAGCCTGGGAAGAAACATCTCCTGCGATTGATCAACGCCGGTGCCGAGGGGATGCAACGCTTTAGTGTCGATAACTTCACCCTTGAGGTCATTGCCAATGACTTTACCCCATTGCAACCATATAATACCAATGTTGTGACTCTTGCTGTAGGTCAGCGTGTGGATGGTGTACTCACGGTCCCTGAAGACCATGTTGAGCCAGTCTGGGTGCGCTCCTATATTAGTGATCTATGCTCGTTTACAAACCACCACAGCGCACATGCAGTTGCATACTTTACGGATGATATAATAGACGTGATGCCGAGTACTAGTGGCCACCCAATCGATGACAGTGACTGTGGAGGAGTAAGTGAACTTCCACCTCTATTCCAGATATCCTAAATCATTAATAGTACTGGTGCAGGAATCTATAAGTATTACCAAACCTTTCTATCCCATTGCCGCCGCAAAAGAGCCCAATCATTTCAAGGTGCTAGAGATTGGAAATATTATGAACGCCACCGGACAATGGGTCTGGCTTATGAATGGTTACGTCGCAGAAGCGGACCTAACGAATCCAGTGTTGTTTCTTGCCAACAAAGGCGTGCAAAGCTTCGGCACCAGTGGAATGTTTTTGATACTGGGAAGGCGCGGACAATTCGAGTATTTCTGAAGAATCCAATCGATTTTCCTCATCCGATGCACATACATGGTCATAACGGTATGTAACTTAGTATTTTTACCCTCTTATTGAGAAAATTGTATACCATGTGATTTAAAAATTGCTCACTTTGTGAAACTAGTCAAGATTCTCGCCGAAGGTGTCGGAGAATGGGATGGCACTATCGTCAACCCTTCTAACCCCAATCGCCGCGACACGCAGATGATTCGCTCCTTGGGATATATGGTGTTTGAAATTGATGACGTTGATAATGCTGGTCTCTGGCCATTTCACTGCGTATGTTTCTTGATGACACATCTTATTTCTTTCAAGGTATTAAAGGACTGACGTTTCATTACTGTACTCCTAGCATATCGGCCCTCACCTCTCTGCTGGATTCTCGGTGACATTAATGCGTGATCCGGATCAATTGGCAAAGATGACAGTGCCGTATTCTATTAAACAGACATGCGTAGACTGGATTGCACTTAAGGATCGCGTACCTGACCAGATCGATTCCGGGTTGCAGGTCGATGCGTTCGAGACGGAAAAGATATAGAAGTCACACTTGAATTAGAAGGGTGAAATATATCGCGGACACGAATCTAAAATTTTTAGCCGATTATATCATTATCCAACCTAAAGGTTGTCAGAATGTGTATATAAGAAGTTGTCGAAGTCGGAAACATGGTATTCAGTTGGGTCAAGAACACTACAAGAGGAATGAAACAAGAAACCCAGTTGACCACTTCTACTTATTTCTATCCTTCTGATGGAAAAGACTTCATTGCAAATTTGTTACAAGACAAATCTAATTATAATAATGAATATAAAATTCCTCAGGGGTTGACCTGCAAAGATGTCAACTCAAACTTCTGAAGGGACAAAATGAAAAACTTTAGGTGGCGTATCACCATCCACGGATAGCCTTGAAGGCCGCCCTGTAATTAGAATAGCTATAATAACTCGAAATCCATTTGAAGAATCATCGCTCTATCTTCCAATCTCATGTCTCAACTTTTAAGCCGGAACGACACCGAACACTGGTCTAGACTTTTCACTTTTCACCCATTCAAAGCTAGGTAGAATCACTCTCTGCGGTCTTGCTCTTCTTTCGGTTTGCAAAGTTCAGACCAACCAGGATCGTGGATAGAATCAAGCTAGTAGCACCGCAGGTGATCACAAGAGTATAAGACTTGCCCATTGCGTGAGTGATAATACTAAACACACCTTCACGCTGACCGGTAGACATTTGGTCGAGATACTGACTGCCAACGCCGGAAATCATGCGAGTGATCTGGTCCTCAGAGTATTCCGGTAGGTATGCCATCAGGTGCAAGGTGGCCTTGTTGACGAAGACCGTATTTGCAATCGACAATGTGACCGAGGGCGCAGCAAGCTGTGCGAAAGAGATCAGACCTATCGCAACAGGGATCCAATTGGGGGCCACGGAGAATGATGCTGCGGCAAACGGTAACTGGAGAAACGACCCTGCACCCGTACCAACAATAATGGAATAGCCGTAGATTTTTGCATTGCTGGTGTGCTCATCGACAGTATAAAGCAATGCGCTTCCGATGAGGACAAGCACCGAGCCGCCGAAGAACCAAGCCTGCCAATGTCCTGTACGACTGACTACTTGACCGGCAAACAAAATGGCAGCAATCAGGAAGCACACCAGAGGTAGTAACCGTACACCTGCCATCAGAGCCGAATCCCCGCGAATTAGCTGAAAATAGAGTGGCAGGAAGTAGACTGGTATGTATGTAGCTGTTGCGGAAGTCGTTTTTCAAAAGAAAACAAGCACCAGCTGAACATTTCTGATGAATTCAAATGGTATCAAACGATTCGCCTTGGGAGTTCCGAAAGTGAAGCCTTGCTGTAGCCAGTAGATAATGGCCAGAACTCCGGCAACAACGAAGAGTGCAATGATGCGACTACTGTTCCAGGGATACACAGCCCCGCCGAAAGAAATTGCCATCAAAAGCGAGACGAATATGCCGGACAAAAGGATAAACCCGATAATATCAATCTTCTTCGTGCGGTCCTTCATGGTGGCACCAGGACGAGCGTCTTTAGAAGGAACAAGAGTGAGGTAGACCGGGGCGCAGGCTGCACCAATCAATAGGTTGATGTAGAAAGCCCATCTCCAACCGACTTTGCTGACGGTGAAAGCACCTCCGATAATAGGACCAAGAACCATCGCTGTACCCCAAGTAATACTCGGAATCGACAGATAAGCCGGGCGTTCTTGATCTGTGGTCAACACTGAAAGCAGCGTCATAACCCCAACGTATGAACCAGCACCGCCGATACCACAAATTGCACGACCAACAATCAGGACATCCATGTTGGGGGCTGCACCACATAGGGCAGATCCAATCTGAAAGAGGGCTATTGAAATGATATAGAGGTATTTGAGGTTGAATTGGCTATACATCTAACCCCTGTGTTTCAGCTAATTAGCTACTGCCCATCTATCTAACGATCAAAATACTCATTTTCATGTAACGTGGCAGAATAGATTGGTAGATCCAGCTCCCATCATGAACGCAACAGAAACCCATGAGATCTTGTTGATGGAATTGAACCGCTCAATGATTGCAGGTTGCACATCGGCAGCAATGGTGTTATCTAACCCAAACAGAAATGTTGAACCGAGAATACTGATAATGACTAGAACCCACGATAATCCATGAACATCTCGAGGAGATGCTGGTTCTGTTGCCTCTGCTCCTGGAGCATCTGGTGTGGTTTCCTGTCCCTTTTCCAAAGCCGCCTCTTCGTCGGCAGTAGACTTAGCGAGAACGGGGTCTTCCACAACACGTTTCGAGATATCAGAGTTCGTCTCTGAAGACATGGTGACTATGGGAATTAAGCTCGTCCCTCGTCGCACTATCTAGAGGTATCGTGCATTCAAGAGAAGGAAAAAACGAATAGAGGATGATGCTTCGTATTAGAAGAACCTTATTCTTGCCTTTATTTAGCTAACGTAAGTATCTTTTAAAATATAAGGCCAAGCCATCGTGTTCATTTTGGCCGCTTCATGTCAGAGTGGGTGAAATAAACGTTTGTGGTTGGTCGGAGTTAAAGTTAGAACTGAATTTAGGGTTCAGGATCAGCACGGGGACTTCGTGCTTATCTCCGGACTCCATACTCCGTATTGCTCGGAGATTACGGATACTTCGTAGTCTTATCGATAATACAATACCATACCATATCAAACCATACAATAGCGTCAGTACGGTACCATACGATATGACCAGGAAAAGCTTAGCATTGGGACCCGCGTACAACTGGGGTCCTGCATTGGACCTGTAAAAGGGGATAAAGAATAACGTTTCATGATGCACCGAAAACAGTTGGAACTCTTGATATTGCTGTCTCGTTTCTTTCTCCTCCCGGCATCATTGCCTTTGGAAATACCCCAGTGCAACCTCAGCACAAAAAATGCGATTTTCGGCGATAGTGTTCTTGGCCTCCTGGTCAAGCCAGGCGAAAGCCCTATAGTTCTTATTCATCCCTGGATTGCTCCAGGGCCTGATGCGGATAAGTGAGAACCACAAACAACACAATTAAAACGCTTAGATCGCTGACAAAGGGTTCTTTTTTTTGCCCCTGGTAGTTCGCGGCCCTTGCCCAGCCCTAAACACAACGGCAAATCACGGCTTCATTCCTCGATCAGGTCGTAACATCACTATGGACGATCTAATCCCCGGACTTAAGGCAAGTCTTAATGTGGCCGAAGATATAGCTATTATGGCGGGTACAAATGCTTTCAAGACAAATCCAGCCCCGTCCGCTACGGTCTTCGACCTCGACATGCTCAACTTGCACGGCGCCATCGAGCACGACAACTCCCTCTCTCGGGGAGATTACTACTTCGGAGATAACCATAGCTTCAACGAAACCATCTATGCAGAGACACGCGCTTGGTTCCATGAGTCGATCATCTCGCTACCCCAGGCTGTGTCAGCCCTACGATCACGCATTGAAACCTCACGCAAGACGAATCCACATTTCTTCTTTGACTTGGACGGGAGCACAGCTACGACGGCCAGCTATCTCTCAATCTTCGGAGATACTCTCAAGGGTGAGGCCCGTCGTGATTGGGTCGATTCCTTCTTTCGTATGTCAATCCCTTTCCTTAACTTCGTCTTAAATCCCTTTGTCCGAGCTCATAATTAACGTGCTGTTGCAGAATATGAAAGATTGCCAATTGAGTTAGGATGGACTCCTCCTGCACTAGAATTCAATATGACATTGCTTCTGTCCCTAGCAACCCGCATTGCAAACATGCTGCCTGGGGATTTAATCACACAATCAGTGGAGAGTTCCACATACAAAGATGGAAGTCACTGGGTTGGGGGAATTGTAAATAAACTGAACCGACAGCAAGAACTGTAGAAAACCCAGTAGCTATCATACTCCATCGATTACTTCCCATCGGCAGTGTCTCTATGATTTACAACCATGAGTCCATCTCCCCTGTGGCTAATTGTATTGATGCAAGGCACCCATGGATATAAAGGATATATAGGAGTATTACTAAGAACAGCAATATCGTATTCTCTGGACAAGGCGTGTCTCTTCTATCAATTAATGTATAGATTCCACATGATCGCATGATAATTCTCCGAATCCTAAGTCTCCTCGTGTCTAGATAGACATTGTGAATAGATAAAGGGATCGTGCGGGTCGCGCGGGTGGACAAAGGGCAAATTGCCTTAGGAAAAAAAGAGAAACCAGCAAAGTAGTCCTGGAATTAACGGACTTAAGCATACACAACATCATGCCAGAACATTGGTTCCCTTTGTGCCTTTCACATCAATGCCTTTCAAATAGGAATGGTGAGTTGTTTGATACTGCAACCTTCATCAGAGACGCAATTGTGTCCGAGCTGGGGTTGTACAGTGTCAAAGTAACCCTCTCAGGGCTGGCAGAGCCAGAATTATGCTCTGGCATTAGACTTTTTAAGGGAATATCTGGATAGCCCACCGCAGCCATCTCATCATCTTCTGCGATCTTGGTGATAGGGTATGTTTGCTGCTGAAGTAACATGCCTCCGTCGTCGAACTGAAAGGGCAGTGCTAAGGGCATATTTCCATCATCATCATCGTTTTTACCTCCCTCGTTCGCAAAAGTCTGCACTGAGATTTCGCCCGACGGGTTGATCCGGAGCTGGTCGGTGTCGCCGCGTACTCCTTCAAGAGAGGGAAATGGTTCAAGCTCCGTGATGTTTTCCAAGAGTCCTTCCAGTCCGGATTCTATCATTATTTCATATTCGTGAGATAACGAAGAGGCGTACATCATTGCATCCGCTGGCGAAGGAATGCAAGGCAAACTGCTATCTATACTGGTGTTACTGGACTCCATAAGAGATACATTCGCTGAGAGACGTTGCTGCACGTCGCTCTCTACGGAGGCCTCGGCCATTTCCATATCTTCATCGCTAGAATCATCAGCCGACGAAAAACAGTTCGATTCTGCCAGATCCAGCTTCTCTTCAACGTCTGATCTGATGCTTGCACTATGTGTGTTCATATTCTGTCTCTGCTGCTCCTGCTCCCCGGTTTTTGTCGAAAGTTCGGCCCTTCTCCGTCCCGTCGGCGCTCGCTCGGCATGTTGTCGTAATCGTCGACTCAAAGTTGTATATCTGAAATACCTAGGTGGTTAGACATAATCCCGTTCTCAACCAGTAAACAAGCAGACGTACTGGTTCTTGATGGCGTTCCTTGAACGATTCGGAAAATATTCTACTTGTATTTCCTTCCAACGTCGCCCTTTTTTCTCATATGCGTCAAACAATCGACGGTTCTTTCAATTCCAAGGGTTAATGACTGTGATGCAACAAGTACGGGTACAGAGACAAATGAGTTACCTCCTCTTCAGACCATTGGCTCCGGTCTAAGTCAGGATCAAGACATTGCTTCCATCGCTTCGAACACTCTTTAACTCCGGATCAGTCGATGTCAGCCATTTCATTCTCTATATTATTGCTAAAATTGAAGGGAAAAAAAGTGACATACGGTCCGCATTTCGAGTCGAGACATTATTTGCCACAACTGTCCAGCTGAAAACAAGGTCAGTGGAAACAAAAAGCATCAGGGCCATCTGAACCAAGAGTGGATAACCGAAGAGCCAGGTAAGTCGGATGGTACTTACCTTTCCCCGTGTTTTGCAACTGCGTCGATTAGAAGCTTATCTTCCTCAGCCGTCCAATGACCCTTATTAAGGCCTCCAGACACAACATTATGCCACCGTTTCCTACAATCTCTATTGGTATGGCCTGGTAATTGACTGGCGATACAGCACCAGTCTTTGACCTCGCCTTGTGCCACTAAATCCCACAACCGGCAAAGTCAATTGACGGTACATTACCTTTCTTTTCGGTTCAAAAAAAAACATAAGACTTACGTTGCGCCAAAACCTCTTTTCGAAGTATTTCATCTTCTCTATCGGTCCATTTGTGTAGTTGCAAAGGCATGTTTAATATCAGCGATTATGTTCACCGCGTACTAGCTAATAAAAAAGAGTTTTAGAATTTCGCGGGACTTCAACTTGTGAGTGGATGAAGAATTGCGATCCTCTTCACCCTTCTTCAAAGTTGGAAAGTCAATACGGCTAGCCTAACTTATTCATCGTTGGCTTCCAAGGTGGCGAGATCGGAGAGAATCTTATCAATGTACTTTAGATTGACTTAATAAGACTATGTTTATTGACAGGGTTATTTGTCTCAGTGTATATACAAACTGGCTAATCAAGACTGGCCAATATTCTTAAAACTCAGACAAGATATGGTCAGGTAGCACGTATTGTTTGGAGAAGCAGACCATGTGGAGTTCAGGCCTTGTATAAGACTCTAGATCAGGAAAACCCGAGTATTGATTAATACGAATACGAACGCTAATGCATAGTAACCATTCACCATGAGTGATAGAAGTATTAATCCACTAGGCTGAAGTGACAACTAACTTCATCCATGAGGCAAGACTGGCAGTTTGAATTTTGGAAACCCGCGTACAGAATTATAGAAATAAGCTAGACGAAGACCAGATTGGCTGTGCTAAGAGCCCCAGTAATTTGTATATAGCTTCTGAATATATACGTAGAATAAATTCAATATACCTAGGAACCGTGCGAAAATCACGAAGGCGTTTTTTCTACCCTTATCAACAAACAAGATGAGCCATATCCGAGTCAAAGCAAACAGGTACAATTACTGTGTTGCTCTTTTCGTCTGCCTTGGATCGTTTACTTATGGATTCACCTCCGGCATCTTCGGCACGGTAATCGGACAGACATCATGGTGGAATTACTTCAATCTCGCGATGGATTCGTCTTATGGCGCCGTCATTCTCGATCTGTGTAATGGCCTGTTCTATGCAGGTGGGTTTCTCGGTTGCTTGACCGTGAATTGGTTGTCAGATACATTCGGACGCCGTCGGGCAATTCAAATAATCATGACAATTTGCATAATTGCAGCTGTCATCCAGACCTCTTCAGTTCATGTTGCGATGCTCATCGTCGGCCGTTGTCTGGGAGGCATTGCAGCAGATATGATAAACTGTACAGTTCCGACATATATTTCGGAGATTTCCCCTCCATCCCAGCGCGGACGGCTTGTTGGTTTCCACGGTGTGTGGACACTAGTTGCGTTTGTAAGTGAAGTGCTTCATGAAACTGATGTTATGAAACATTGTGTTGATCACGGTAGGTTAGGGCTTGGTAAATTGGGCGGGTTTGGGAACGTACTTTAAAGCTAATCCAAATATACAATGGCGACTTCTGTTTGGACTTCAACTTGTCGCGCCGCTTGTGCTTCTTGCTGGGAGTTTCAAGCTTCCCGAGTCCCCAAGATGGTTGATATCTCGTGGGCGTGATAAAGAAGGTAGGGTAATTTCCAGAAAGGCCTTCTCCAGATAAAGGCTAGTAACAATTACTAGGGCTGGATATACTTGAAAGGCTCCATGAGAATCCAGCTGATCCATTACACTGCGGCGCGAAAGATGAATTTTTCCAAATCAAAAATCAGCTGGCACAAGATAATGAAGAGTCCTTGCGAAATTTGTTTCAACTGCTACGAAACAAAAAGTACAGATCGCGGCTCTTGACTGGATTCTTCTTGCAGGCAATGACGCAGACATCGGGGATTCTAGTATTAATAACTATATGGTAAGGTTTTGTAGAAAGGAATACCCAGCTTACAAATGCATAGTCTGACATAACACATTTTTGTAGATTGTTGAGCTTGCCAATCTCAATGTTATTGGATGGAAACCCTTGATGATTACTGGGTTCTACAACAGCTGGGCTGCATTCTTGAACGTGATTAACTCCTTTACTGTGGATCGAGTTGGACGAGTCCGCGTTATTTTATTTGGAATGGCAAGGATCTCAATTCTGTTTACAATCCTCGTACAATGCTAACAGAAATAAGGCCGGTGGAATTCTCTGCGTGTCCATCGTCGCTGCACTCGTTGCCCACTATGGCACGCCAGACAATACGAACCTTGCAGGTGCAGGTGCAGCAATTGCTTTCATGTTCCTCTTTGTTACGTTCTATGGAAGCTGCGTCGATGCATCCAGCTATATCTTCTGTTCGGAGATTTTCCCAACACATATCCGCGCACAGGGTGTCGGAATGGCGACCAGCGGTGTTTTTCTAATGAATGCAGGTAGGTAGTATATGAATATCTATCTTTTAAGGGAGCATTCTAAGATATTTATCTTCATTAAATGCAGTCTATCTTACGGCAGCTGGCACAGCGTTTACCAAAATTGGCTGGAAGTTCTACCTGGTGTTCATTATCATCCCTGCCCTAGCATTGCCTATCATCTGGCGTTTCTTCCCGGAGACTAAAGGCTTGACACCTGAGGAAATTGGCGCATTGTTCGGAGATGAGCCAGCTGTTGGTACCAACCACATTCAGGAGTTGAGCGAAACGTCAGTTGACGAGAGGATCAAAGTCTAGTCCTCTTTTTCAGGTGCAGAGACAAGAGAGAAATAGTCGGATCCGTGTCAGTAGTTAAATACGGCTGATTTCCCATACAAAAGTCACGGATTGGAGAATCTCCTAACGAGACCTCGTTTCTATGATAAAACAGTAGGCTTTTAATCTTTTACGCTCAGACTTGGGTTATAGTTGCCAAGATTAGCTTCACAAACTTCTTTTTTGTATGATAGATTCGAATATAGTTGACATAGTATAGACTATGAGACGCAAGTGCGGGTTTCCAATCATTGGCTCTGCGAGACACATTTATTAAGCCTTAGTCAATCCTTATATGTAACTACTAACTGATCAACACGGGTGTCAATTAAGTGCTTATCTTTTAATATAAAATACTTTAACTAGCTCTGGTTAGCATAGGTATTTATTAACCGCTTACTCAGTACGGAGTACCTCTAAAGGCAATACATAGGTAGTTGTGAAGTGAAGATACTGTAACAACCAGCATGCCTGACAGACTCGTTACATTGTGCACCAATACCTTAACAGCATGGTGGGAAAAATGTGGATGCTTCAGCTGGTCATGGTCAATCAAGGAACTATGAGACAACATGGAAGCCTATATAGAAACGATAGATGCTGCAACAGCAGTAGGAGATAAGTTTCAGTACATTACTATTCCATACCCTACCTTGTGTGCTTAGCCTTCAGTGATCCCTCTCGAACGTAATTATACATATCCCTCGTAACGTTGTTACAGATTCCCTGGAGGACCATTTTGCGCCTTCTGCATAAGCTAACTGAGAAGTAGGCACGTGCGGAGTGCTAGTTATGCAGGGGCCAAAAGTGGTTTTAGGATGGGTATATTGATAGTTGAATACGTATCATTCATATTTCGGCCCCGCGGACTAAAGGCCTGATTACTTGTTCAACCGCGCCCTAAACTTATGTCGGTAATTCGTAGCGCTCCAACGTGCCAGAACCTGTGGGGTTACAGTTGGAGCGAGAGCAAACCCTAATATTACTACGGCAGTCTATACGTATCACCTTGCCAAAATTCGTTTTGTAAAGTTTCTTCTTGCCACGGGTAGGTATTTTTTTAATATGCAGAAGGAATGCGGTGTCCAATACAGTGTAACAGTAGTAGAGGGAGTTAATACATATCTGGTATTGCGTGGATGTACTCTGTATTGTCAAATACGCCTCGAATATGAGCTTATAGTAAGAGCATGTAACAGTGCTATGTAACTTGCTTGTCTAGATGAAAGGGTCTACCCGTCGCGTCGCCTCCCCCACCCTGCGGTTGGGAGTCGGCCGGGGCTCAAGGGCCACCGGGCCTCAAGGGCCAAAATCTTCAAAATCTCAACCCGCCATTTACAAACATCAAAAACACAGCCAAAATGACCCGTAAATTATACAAAGAAGAGGAGGCATTGATTGCAAAAGTCCTTAGCGTGCGAACACGAAAAAAAAACCGAATTTTAGCAAATTGGCGCGTGAATATGGGGTGTCTCGTAAAAAACTGTCCCGACGGTGGCATGGCCTACCCTCTCGCTCAACACGCCCACCAATCAACCGCCTATTGTCTTTGGATCAAGAAAAAGCGCTTTTTCTATGGCTTGAGTATCTAGATCATATGGGTACGCCTCCAATGAACCAGCAAATTGAGGAAAGTGCAAATTATTTGCTTGCCAAAGATTTCACTGGTCCGGGAGAGCCCCCCCGGGCTGGAAAAACATGGGTATACGATTTTGTTGGTCGCTTGCCAGAAAAATACGTGAGAATTGTTCAAAAGTCTCAAGAAAAGGAACGTACCGCTTCAGAGCATTACGGCGAGGTTGAGCAATGGTTTATTGACCTCAAATTCATGATAAAACATCTCAAAATTCAACCTCGGAATCTTTGGAACTTCGACGAGACCGGATTCATTGTCGGACAAGGAAAAGATGAAGCGGTAGTAACAGCATTCCCAAAAACGTCAAAAAGAGTCTCTAGCCTGTCCTCCCGAGAATCAATTACTGTCATTGAGGGTGTAAGCGCCGAAGGAAAGATTATACCACCTTTGTTGATTCCAAAAGGCAAGGTCCATTTGGAGGAATGGTATCGGCATTTGCAAGATGACGAATGGCTTGTTGCACCTGCTAAAAATGGATTTATAACGGATGAGATCGCTTTTGAATGGCTTCAACATTTTCAATACTATTCAAAGCCAGAATGGGGATTACTAGAATGGCGGTTACTTCTTATGGATAATCATACAACTCACCTTAATATGCAGTTCGTTGAATACTGTCACATCTGGCACATTCAACCGTTCCGTTTTCCTCCTCATTCCACGCATTTTTTACAACCGCTCGATGGGGTGCCGTTTCAGCAATATAAACACGTTCATGGGAAGGTTGTGAACAAAGTTGCGCGCTTAGATGGCTTCGATTTTGACAAAAACGACTTTTTTGAAGAATTACGCGATATTCGGATAAAAACTTTTACAACGAGGACGATTCGCAACAGTTGGAGAGAGCGAGGCATTTAGCCATTGAATCCTCAGCTTATACTCGATAAAATGTCTTCACCAGAAGAAGCATTTGAAGCAATGGTTGCTGAGGGGGATACACTAAAAATTTATGGCGAGGCGGATGACACTATTCCCAGCTCACCAACTACAAAATCAATCTCTCCACCATCAACCGTCATAAAACTACGTCGTTATATCAATAAGATTGAGAAGTCGATTGACAGTATATAGGATATTTTGGACGGAGCAAGCCCGGGCCTTTCAAACGTATAAAAACGGTGAATCAAGGAAGCCTCACTTTAGCCGAATTGGGCGATCTACACCGTGAGAGCTTTGCCAAGGTTCGTGAGACTGCAAAACGCAAGAATCAAAAATCTACAAGGCGCCATGTCAAAGCGAGCGGTGCGCTTTATGTAAAAGATGCGAATCGCCTCATAAAACGCCATCACGATGGTGATTTATTGAGGATTCATAAGAGCCATGTTCTTGGAGTGCTACAACCGGAGGAAGAAGAGGCTCCAACAGAGCCTCAAAACTACGTTTTTTTCTTTGATACTCAGGGACGTAGGTAAACTATGCTTGTATTTACTGTCTGTCTAGTTTTTATATATAATTTATATGGCGTTGGTGGACTGGTAAACATTTTACACGAGACTTCATATTTTTTGGCCCTTGAGCCCCGGCCGACTCCCAACCGCAGGGTGGGGGAGGCGACGCGACGGGTAGTCGATAATTGGGAATGAGTCAAGGAATCTTTTACAATGCTAACATGAAGAAATTTCGAGAACAGGATTCACATACTAACGAGATAGGCATATCTAATCCGCTCTATGTGCCTATGTCTAGAAAGTTCTACTGGACATCATCTCATGATCTAGTTTGTATGGGATTTCACATATAAAAAGGATCGACATTCCCGAAACGTTGTATTAGAGTGTGTGCAACAATACATGAAAATTCCTAGCTTCTAGTTCTTGTTATTTACCTATATTCCGTATTCATCCTAGCGTAACCGAGCTCCAACATGTTCCGAGAGTCATGTGACCTCCGTAAGAGGGTAACCGCGTACCCGCAACACGCTCACAACTCCTTTCAAAGTTTTATATTGTGAAATCATGCATTTGCCCACCTTCTCCAGGATACTCATGTGTAGGAGCCATTGTGAAATAGGCTATCTTGCGTTGGGAAGGAAAGTCTTATGTCCAAACCCTTTTGTAGTGGCATATTTTTCTTGTATGTGTCCAACAAGAATAATCATCATTTTCTGATGCTTCTTAACAACGGAAAGCTTAACCGTGTCCGTAAATATAATCACATGACTGTGTAAGTTAGCATTGTCGGAGATTAGGTAAGCTAAGCCTAATCTAACCTAATCTAATCTAAGGGAATTATTAACGTAATCGGTAAGCCACCCGCCCATGTAAGCAACCCGCCCACCTCCCCGAAAAATAACTCTCTATATTGATTTCAAATCCCATTTTTCGAATCCGCATATATTTCTCACACAAAAATTAACTAGCAGTACGACTAGGACATCGGTTTATTTTATGCCCTTCAGCACCACAACCACTGCAGCGGAATTGACGGCGTACGATTGGTTGAGAAGCTGGGAGCTCCGGCTCAGCCGGAGCAGTAACAACAGCTTGAGATGCCTTAACCTGACCTTGTACGAGCGCTTGAGCTTCTTCTCTAGTAATCCCTTGCTCAATAGAATATCTGTTTATTAGATCTTTTGCGCTTTTGCTTCTCTTTTTCATGCGCAGCTCGTAAATCACGGTTTTCTTTCCGTACGAGTAAAGCATCATTCGCTAGTATTTCGTAGGCTTTTGATAACCGTATGACTGCCTGATTGATTTCTTCATTCTGATTCAGGCTTCCTGTACGCTTATTTATACGCTTATTGATTGTAGTTGACTGGCGTACAAATTGGCGTATATTTTGAGGTGTTTGTAAGCAGGATGATGCTGTATTGCTTGATCGACTTGGAGGGGGGGTTGGAGTCTTCAATTGAATATTGAGATGTTGAAGAACTCGATCTGGATTGAAAGGCACTAATCCGGTGGCTGCGAAGCTATTCCGAATAGTTTGAGCTTTATATGCCACTGTACGAGCCTGTGGAAATGCTGTTAAGAAGTCGATTTTGTCAATATGATTAAAACCAAGCCTCATTCGTTGTTCAACAAGCTGCCCATAATATCGCTTTAGAACTGCAAAACAGCCAACATCAAGAGGCTGTAAGAGATGTGAAGAATGAGGAGGCATACAGACTGGAATAATCTTATGATCCGTACATGTACGGTCAAATTCTGCAGTCAAATGGCTTCCATGGCCATCAAGAATCAACATACTATATGTTCCCAATGTACGACCACTAGTAAGAGGAATAAAATGGGTTTTAAGCCATTCTAATCCTATCTGATCTGTAGCCCAGCCATTATCGCTAATATTGATTCTCCAATCATCCGGAAGCTCATCAAACCAGCCTAATCGTACGTTTTTCTTTGCTTTGAAAATCACGTACGAAGGCAGAGCCCATCCGGTTGAATTTGTTGCCTCAATTGCAGTCACCCATTCTCGATTTCCAGGCTGTAGAAGCTTTGGCTGAGCATATCGATCGCTTCCAGTAATAACCTTTGCAGTTGCGCAGAGTCCCATAGCAAAGCCCGTCTCATCAAAATTATAGATATCTTCTGGTAAGATGCCGTACTCAGATATTATATCTCGTACGCGGTCAAAATGGCCTTGTATAATCTTTGGATCTTCACATTTGGCACGTTCGTAGTTGTATTTTCGTGAGAATTTGGATTCAATCTCTGGGCGACGTTGAACAAGATTATATACCCATTTATCTCCAACCCGTTGATCTCCATGTTGTGAGAGAAGATAATTAGCCATATCTCGTACGAGAAAGTGCCGGGGCGGTAATCCACGTTTAGTTAAATCAAGCACCCATTTGACAAGCGAATCCTCCTCAGATTGACTCAATTTATGGTTGTTGGCGCGTGTTATTTGTCGATACGGCACTCCTTTCATTCGATCTTGAAGAGTTGTACGAGCAACCATATAGATTCTTGCAGCTTCACGAATACTGCGAATTCTTCCATTTTTTAAATCGGAAATAGCTAATTCGATCTTTCCCTCATCCTGAGTGGATTTTAGGGGGTCTTTTTTGCGAATTGGTGGCATTTTTACGCGTTGTAATATGGTAAATCAATATAGAGAGTTATTTTCTGGAGAGGTGGCCGGTTCGCTTACATGGCCGGTTCGCTTACCGATTACGTTAGTAGGGACACCACAAGTTTTTAGTAACGTAATCCACAAGCGAACCGGCACTACAAGCGATCGGGCACTTTTTCCCGAACGCATACACAATCTTGATTCTATATTATTTAACACGTCAATATGCCACCAATTCTCAATAAAAACAAAAAGGACTTAGCTGAGCAAGAGGGCCGAATCTTATGAGCTATTTCCAATTTAAAAAATGAACGAATCTTGCGCGTGGCTCAAGCTGCATGGATTTATAAGATACCCCGGACCACTCTACAGAAGAGATTAAGCGGTACTCAATAAAGATCTCAAATACGCGCCAACAGTCATAAATTGACTCAATTTGAGGAGGAATCACTTGTCAAATGGATACTCAACCTGGATAAACGTGGATTACCTCCTTGGCACTCTCTTGTACGAGAGATGGCCAATTGTCTTCTCTCTCAACATGGAAATCAACAGGTTGGAGAAAAATGGGTATATAACCTTGTCAAACGTCGTCCAGAGATTGAATCAAAATTCTCGCGGAAATACAACTATGAACGTGCTAAATGCGAAGATCCGAAGATAATCTAAGAATATTTTGATCGCGTACGAAAGGTTATATTGGAATATGGAATCCTGCCAGAGGATATCTATAATTTTGATGAGACTGGCTTTGCTATGGGACTTTGTGCAACTGCCAAGGTTATTACTGGAAGTGATCGATATACTCGGCCAAAGCTATTACAACCTGGTGATCGAGAATGGGTAACTGCAATTGAGGCAGTTAACTCAACAGGATGGGCTTTACCTTCATATATTATCTTTAAGGCAAAGAAATATATGTGGTTAGGCTGGTTTGAGGATCTTCCAGCTAACTAGATAATCAATATCAGTGATAATGGATGGACAACAGATAAGATTGGATTAGAATGGCTTAAACTCCATTTTATTCCTCTTACAAATGACCGGTCAATTGGAAAGTATCAGATGCTAATTCTTGATGGCCATAGAAGTCATCTAACAGCTGAATTTGACTGCATATGCACTAAGAATAATATATTCCAGTGTGTATGTCTCCTCATTCTTCCCATCTCTTATAGCCTCTTGATGTTGGCTATTTTGCTATTTTAAAGCGATATTATGGACAACTTGTTGAGCAGCGGATGAGGCTTGGGTTCAATCATATTGACAAATTTGACTTTCTCACTGCATTTCCAAAGGCTCGTACGATGGCATATAAAGCTCAAAATATTTGGAATAGCTTTGCAGCTACTGGATTAGTACCATTTAATCCAGATCGAGTCTATCAACAGCTTACTGTCCAATTGAAGACCCCAACACCTCCTCCAAGTCGATCAAACGATACACAGTCACCTTGCTTACAAACACCTTAGAATGCACGTCAATTCAAGCGTCAAATGACTACAATTGGAAAAAAAAATAAGCCAGCATACAGAAAATTCATCTGAGGCTTTTTATAAAGCAATTACCCAGGCATCAAAGGCTTATGAAACAACCATGAATGATCTCTTACTCGCACGGAAAGAAAATCATGATTTACGGACTGCACATGAAAAAGAGAAACAGAAACGCCAAAAATCTAAGAAGCAAGTATCTAATGAGCAAGGAATTAGTACGGAGGAGGCTCAGGTGCTTATACAAGATCAGATTGAGGCATCTCAAGCTGTTACTACTGTTCCGGCCGAGCCTGAGCTTCCAGTCTCTCATCCACCTGTACGGCGTCAATTTCGCTGCAGTAGCTGTGGCATTGAAGGACATAAAATAACTAGATGTCCTAATCGTACTAGTAATTAATTTTTGTTATATAATTTGTATGTGGGCTAGAAATTGAGAGTTGGATTCAAGATTGTGTACGCGTTCGGGAAAAAATGCCCACTTCGCTTACCGATTACGTTAATCATAAGGTTTACGTAATGGCGACGGACCCGTCGCTCTAAGTTAGTGGGAGCCCTAATCCAAGAAAAGCCTACAACATCAATACAAGGAAAATTCGAGAATTGGAGCAGGTAAGAAGACACGACACTGAGCCCACGAATCAGTTTTACAGCTCTGTGTCGAGAATATTCTATTGACATTGTATGTGTATTTTACGCATGTCATCCGTATGGGATTTTCCAGTATAAATAGTGTCCAAAATCCCATCAAGCTGTATGTAGAAGGTGTGCTGTGTGCACAAAAATTAGTCAATATCGAGATTTCCCAGCATTAGAATCCTTTGAGTATTGAGCTTAACTGAGTTTGTGCTAGTACACAAAAAGCTTCGATAAGCATTAAAATACTTTAGCAGTGGCAAGAAGAAACTTTACAAAACAAAACGAATTTTGGCAAGTTGGTACGTATAGACTGCCGTAATTACTCCAGAGCTCGTAGATCATTAGAGTAGATAGACACTACTGCACTCCTTCCGGTAACTACTACTAGCGCAAATCTACCAACTGGACCCGTGTGTAAAGAACGATTCTTCAGTGGACCGTGGCGTTTTGAGAAAACGGTTTATTAAAAGTAAACGCCTACTTATTTCCGTTTAAAGCTATGTAGCTAGCTTTACCGGTAATCTCCGAAGTACATTCCTATAATATTGTTGTTGGTTTAGCCGGGTCCTGGATCACGAAGCACAGGATTGCGGCAAGGGCAGTCCAACTGCCCTACGTGGTGAGTCTGATAATATTGAAGTTATTCCTAATATTACGACTGGTTCCCAAAAAGGGAGGAGAAGGATAATTACGTGAGGAAAGGGGATATCCCAGGTAGTCGGAACGGAATAACTAATATTCCGGTGTTGGTACTCTAACACCTGGGGATTCCCGTACACACAATTGTCATAGCTGATATCATCACCTTCGCTGGGCTTAACATTCCATGCAAGAAGTCCGGTAAACCCGTACAGCATCAAGTGATCGAAATAAGACTCATACTAGCATCCATGGATGTCCCTCAATTTAGACGGAGATAATGAATGATTCTAACCTAGGTATGGAGTGCTACGTAGTACACATTCAACGATAAATAACCGGCATCTTCAGAATAATACTCAGCCTCATGACGTCTATTCTCTTTTCTTCATATCTTCAAGGCTTCTCGAAGCCATCTCCGACGCTCGACCCATCGGGGCCGCTCCAAGCCGCTCGTGCAAAACTCCACATTGTTCTTAGCACTAGTGCGAGCTAGGACTGGACTTTGATAGTCAGTGGCGTCTTCTCAGCTGTAAGAGAAAATGATTGACGCGGATGTTAGACGAATATTTGAAGTAAACCTGATTGGCACGTTCAACTCTTACACGCTTGCTGCAAAGCAGATGATTGCTCAAGGCCCCGTTGACGCAGAAGGAAGCCATCAATGGACATATAAGATTATCGGCGCATCCTCCATCGTGGCTTTCCAGCCATACCCACTTGCGAGTTACTATAGCGTTGTAAAGAGCGCCATTCGTGTCTTCACCAATACGTTTGCCATGGAAATGGCAAAGCACAAGATCGCTGTCAACGCCTATGCACCAGGGGTTATTGACACAACCATGTGGGATGAGATCGATGACGAGTTGGCTGAAGTTCAGAGAGCACTTATGGGTAGACTAGGCACCCCGGATGATGTGGCCATGGTGGTGAGCTTTTTGGCCGGTCCAGATTCAGCATTTGTGAATGGGCAGACACTGGTTGTAGATGGGGGTATAGTCATGACCTAGGAATAGTTCCAAGATTTTCTGAAAACGGTAATAAACTTCGTACAAATCAGCCTATTCCGTTACTATAATATTCCGTATACGTACCCTCATGTAAGGAATACTTCGAGTCAAGTCAAAGCACGCGTGAAAGGCCACAAAGTAAATAGTGGGTACTACGTCTAAATAATCTACTACGTAAAGTAGCGCCGGAAGACCCGCCGGAGTATACAAGTTTCCGCTATTTCCGTCATATCTTCGATCTAGCCCGCCCCACTAAACGGAGTTAACGGTACCCACGTTTGAAACGTTGAAAGACATGTATGGTAACGGTATTGTATAACCCTCTACATAAAACATGCGTACGAGATTCAATGTCGAGGCCCAACGTTCTATCGAGCTTTCTGGATGAGAAAGAGGTCTTAGCTTCAGCTTCTGGAGGCGCCATTGACGAGTGTACCCCGCAAACATGTCATTTTTCTGGCGTCCGGACTCGTTCTATCAATCTGCCAGAGGAAATGTTGTGCTAATGAATGCAAGTGGTGGACTCAGTCCGGCACTCTGGAGCTTGCAACTGCTGCTGACGCCGCACGGTGACTGCGATCAACATCATTGCAAACCAAGTTTTATCTGTTGGATGAGGACTCTTAGAACGCGCCATGTTATCAATTACCGAAGAGCCGGATTAGAAGATATCATTCGACAATGGGCTCCTAACTGCCAGGATATGGATATTGTTCGCTTTACAGATTAGGCAGCTGTTGTTGTTCTAAAGCCGGACATTGACAATAATTATTCTCATATCTGTAGGCTTCGCGCGACCTAATTACGATGAAGCAATCCTAGCCACCGTAACCATTAGCGGACAGCACTTGGTAATTCGCCACCTGGGAAACCACCACCGTCCGTTTCTGTTCCTCTGAGCAGTTTCTATTTTGTTGCGGTTGGCTCACAAGTGCATTTTGGGGAGATACCTAGGTATAGATCAACTGATCGGGAAATACCTAGTCCATCCTCTCCCGCATACACAGTCCTTCATTTATACAGCGACTGAGAGATCTACTAATAGATAAGAGATCGCAATCACCTCAGCGAAGTGATTGTTCACGTGAAGAATATTTCAGAGCACAGTAGATATAGCAAACGCTATTCTAGTTGTCCAAATACAATGAATTTTTAGTCTTAGATCTAGTGTACTACTTCATCGTCAGGTCCCCCTTCGGCTCGGGTCCAGTGCCCATAATGCTGATACAGGATCGCTAAAGTCCAATGGTGCAGCAAACTGTTCCCACGTTGTAGACTATAGTCAAAAGCGTTAGTGGGGCTCTTTCTTCTCTAGGGATGGAAAATTCTTACAGAATCTTGGCTGTTGGGATGCCGTACGTTGGAAAAATCAAACCCGGGAAACATTGGGACTGGAGGGGCAGTGGCAGCAATGGGCGCCGCTATAGCTGTGCTGGCAACTGTAGATGCGAGTCCATTGCCAATCGCGGCTCCTGCAGTCCCAGTGGGCAAGCGATCCCTTAGCACATATTGCTGGGGTGGAGGAGCTGCCATCATCCCAGTGTCGATAGCAGTTCCTGGGTACATCTGTGTCAAGTTTTTGGTAGGCCCTATTTCTGGCAGGGGCATAATAGCCGGTGTTGGGTAAGTACGTTGCTGAGAAAAGGCCTCCTGCACATTATCATTTGGGTGTCGCAATTTCTTTAGTAGCATACCAAGGACATCACTGGCCTTATAAGCTTCGATACTTTCGTCACGCATCTGGTTCCAGATAACTGCACTCCGGTCCAGCGACTCAATCATTTCGTTTCGAGAGGGACCGGTGAGTGTGAAAGGAGACGGGTCCCTATCGCGATCGAGAGACAGCTCCGTGCAGAGAATTGTAGCTGCGAGTAGGTAGTCGTGGGTGGTCAGAGATGTCATGTATTTAGTTAGACATCTTGCCTGTCCACCAGCTTTGACTTCTTGATGTTGGACTGCCTGCATTCTTAGTAGAGCCATGGCGGATTCAAGGCAGGCGCGCCGGGAGTTACAGAATCGGGCATCTATGCGAGCGGCCTCCAAGAAGCGGCTGTGAACCACACATAACGCCTTGTGGTAAACGTTCGCAAGGGCAAATCGAGCGACAATCAGAGACACCTGATCATGCTGTTGCTCGGCCATGGATCGTAGTCGGAAGTGGTCAGGTGCCTTAGCGTAGATTTCCTGAATGCCTCGATCAATCTCCAATACTCTTTCGTATGGAGGAAGAGCATCTTCCCGGTTAAGTTCTTTCAAGGCACGAGACAAGCCTAAGGCTAACCGAGCTTTGCATATGAGATACGAGATTGAAGTCGCTTCTGAATCTGGAAGTGGAGCAGGCAGCTCGATACTAGTAGGCCCGAAGCTTCCATCGTAAATGTTTCGAGGCAGACCTCTATCGGTGGCCTCAATCTTAACCATGGAAGGAAACCCATGTTGAAACGAAAACAAGATGTCGGCCTGCCGAATAAAAGTCCACACACGGCGTCGCATTTCCGCCTACTAGGCTTAGCAAGAACTTATTTCAGCAGAACAATATTACGTACCTGAAATGGACTGATTGACGGTAGACGGTCTGGGTCCCGATGGTACCCCATTCGCATAGCCAGACGGATGATGGTGCCAAGTAGAACCCAAGTACTGGAATCGGCCTCCCGATGTGATGCATATTCTCCATATAGATGAAGAACTAACGTTTCAATTAAAACTTCGTGTGGCTTTGTGTAGTCGGCAAGTAATATGCAGTCTGCTACTCGTGTACGGTATGATCTACTCAAATCCTGTGATTTTCCGTGATACTCTAATGGCTCATCTCCATCACGTTGCCATGAAAGCGCCGCAATACGCATCATGGCGAATAGTAGGCCGATCCATACAACAGATGTTCCATTAGGATCTTCCCAGTGTTCCGCATACTATATTAAAACTTAGTCTTATTCCTCGGTTCATGTAAGCGAGCAACATCTGAGAAGGGTACACACCTGTTTTTGGAACGTGGGAGGGTGAAGAATATCTGATGTATGTCAGGCTCGCTCAAATCGACACTCTTTCACGATTCAATTCTTTTACTTACGAAGTGCGGGATCTAAAGTCCTGAAGTAACGTTCCACAAACATGTCGCATGTATATCGGGAGGGAATGTGAGCTAGAACTTCCCCATGACCCAATAACTGAGAAGCACCGAAAAGTAGAGTCGGGCCTGGATCGTCCGGTGTCCGTTTTAAGAGCTGGGAAATTTTCTGTGACTGCTCCTCGTATTGTTTCTGTTGCGTCTGAAGGTAACTTCGTACCTCGTGGATCTACCTCGGACTTAGTTCATGGAGAGGAGACCTGAAAGCGTGATCTCTGACCTCATTCAACAGGGCAACCCAATGGGCCTCCCCGTTAGTATAAGAACTGCCATAGTCGGCGTCAATTCGAAACATCCGACTCCTCATGGGGTCAACGGGTCTTAGACTGGGGAAGATTTCCTCCTTAGGACCTTCATATCGTGGAGCTTGGACGTTTCGATGCGGAACAACTAGATTGATCGTCGAATTCACCTCTGAAGCTTCTTTTTGATTGATCATTGACAAAACCAATTGTTCTAGTCGATCCATCCGATTTTGCACGCTGCTAGAACTACTATGCGAGGACGGCCAAGTCCTCTGAATTCCCGCCCTGCGGTGCTGATAAGAGCACGACATCACGTCTCCTCGGCGAACACAACTGTCACAAAACGGAAATGCCTGATCACATCGCAGCCTGTCGAATGGTAAGCAAAACAATTTCTTTTCTCTTTTTTCCTTTCTTCTTGGCTCATCTTTTTTCTTCCTTCGCTAACGAGAGTATGGACCTACTTGCGTTGCCTGCAGGGAGTACAGGAGACTGGCTTGCGATTTCGTTTTTGGACGCCTGTCCCTGTTTCGGGTGCTTCGCTGTAGCCGGGAGAATCCATTGAAGCTCGAAGTGCAAGACTGACGAAGTTGGCGCTTTCTTGGCCAGGTGGATTAAAACCGATGTGAACAAACAAACAAGAGGCAAGGTAGATAACGAAAATACCAGTGGCTCATGCTAGAGGACAATGAAATGGAATAGTCCTGCGTTTGATGTATCTGAGATGGGGTTAGTTGACAAGAAGAAAAGGTCCTGTCTGTTGGTGTCAGGTGGACATAACAAAGCGGAAGCAGCTGCTTAAACCCGAACAGGTTAGGTACTGTATTGTTTATACGTATGTAACGTAAAATTTACACTAGCTTACCTGACACATGTAACAGTAACTGTCACTGACTGGAAGTAATTTTCAGGAAGAATGCTAATATATTGAAAACAATCGGGTTATCAAGAGTATGTATGGATTAACATAATCATTGACTTCTTTTACTTATCAAAGACGATATCCTTCATCTGTCAACAGGGTTTCTTGTATACCCGTACTAGTGGTATTTTTAGGGCTTGACTCCGCTCCAGCCCTAACACAAGCTGTCAGCATTCATTCCCTGTCATGTCCCTTAGTCACATTAACAACGTTTCCTAACGACTAACCATTTTTATTAATAAGTTCATTGTCTTATTACTCGCTGAGTTTTCGTAATGCTCAGAATGCTTATTGTCAATAGGTGTTGTAAGGGCTAAGATGAAAAATACAAATAGCCTGTTTACTCTTATCTAGTATTCAACCGCGAGGAACCAACCAGTTGACCTTGGAACATTTTTTATCGCTTTTCTAGTTAATAGTTTTGTTCGATTTTTGGAAGATCCTCTCTCAAAAGCCTAAGCAGTAACAGTAGCCTGATTTTGCTCTGATATCAGTTACTTTTAGGAAATGAACTCCACGAACGATTGTAGATTTAGCATGGTTCTATTCATTATTGACCTTGATTCAGGTATATGTTCAAGTCCACTGCCAGAACTTTGGTATGTACTTTGCAACCTGCTTGAATTGGATGTTTGTATCCATGGATGGCATGAGAAGCCTGCTGAGATCTTGAAAAGCTAGAACATGTCAAGGCAATTGTCGACAACTATCTTCTAGTGCGATTACTGTAAATCAGTAGCGGTTTAGTGGCCATTCTGCTGACCATTTGTAGGTACGTCTGCGGTGGTGCGCGGAAGAGTGCATTCCACAAGTGACACCTGGCTGCGGCAGTCATAGATACGTGACAGTTCAAGCCCTGCTTTCTCGATGATGTTTTTGAACTCCCCCGGAATGCGCTCAATACCGTTGATAATACTCATCATTGAAATATCGCGCTGGTGGCTGTAGTGGGTGTGATAGCCGCAACTAGCTGGCAGAGGAGATGGAGCAGGTGCAACAGTTTGGAACCCGGCTGTGGTGTTCATCACTTGATCGCAGATAAGAACACGGGAGTGAGGGCCCATACTTTGTCTCAAAGCAGAGAGGATTTGGATGGAATAGTCGTCAGACCAGTCGTGCCTGTGAAAGGAGTGGCCAGTTAGTGATTTGACCCCAATGCAGCTCAAGGACTGAAATTATGGGAATAATCCCTTTCAAGACATACAAAATGTACCGCAGCCAGTACACGTCGGCACCTTCGACAAAATTCTTGTCAAAGAAGTTATGTGTAATAAATTGCACACGTCCTTGCGCTAGGGCTTCAGCATTTTCTGTCGGCCAAACTTCCTTCTGGGCTTGTTCAAGTACTGGGCCGCGGTCCTGCACAATGAATTTCAGTTCCGAGTAGATGCGAGAGAGTTGAATACAAAAGCCACCTAAAACATTTGATTAGGAGTCTAAGTAGTTTCTAGTTGAATTCAACTCTAAAGGCCTTCCTTACCGACTCCACCTCCGACGTCGACAACTGTGGCCTGACCGAGGCTTGCCCAAGGGAAGTTTGTGGAGGAGATACTTTAGAAACCTGTTCTTCATTTTGAAGAGAATGTTTTTGATTACCGAATAGGTGCGCTACACCCGTGATGCGACCACCACCCAGCATTGCCAAACCGAATATACTGTGTTCCGGTCGCTTGATCTTGTCTTCTGACTGATGTTGGGTAATAGCATTTGACAGCTCTGGACCAAATGGACCAGGATATTTTCCAGGTCCTCCATTTTGCAGCTCCAACGGTGTGGTCTCCTCTTCCAACCAGTTCCAGCGTTCTTTGTTTGTATTGAGAGCTTTTTGAAAAGCCGTCTCGGTAACTGAGTATGAATGTCCGAACTTAGGATCCAACAATGTGCGTGGGAGGGCATCAGATGCTGTATAGAGGTCCAAGGCGCTTTGTGTGCTTAGTAAACAATCATTATATATCCAAGGCAGTAGAAAACTTACAACATCACTATATAGGCGCGAAGAGGCTCATTACCCGCCAAGGCTGATCATATGTGGTTGCTTGCAAATACGTTATCTTTGAGCTCGTTGAAGATATGGATCGAGCAGAGACATCTCATAACGCGAGCTTTTGTTTGCGCAAGTTAGTTCTCAATTTGCCGTGTTTCTTACTCTTTACTATCATGCTTCGGACCAAGAGCAATTACGAACCTAACTTCTGAGACTGGACTCCAGTCCGAGTTGACAGCTCCTCAACTGTGACTCCCGACTCGCCATTAGCGGCGAGGATGTCGGCAATGCGCAAAGAAGCCGCAATGTGAAGACACCGTGCCTCGTTGTATTGAGACGATACCTCCAGCAGACGCTCGCTAGGGGAAGCAACAAGTTCGACAAATTTCCCCGTTGCTGAGATCAAGGTGCGTCTGGCTTCAAATAGTTCGCGACCAGGGAGAGAGTTTTTACTAATCTCAGTACCCTTTCTTTGATTTGAAGAGGGTGTCTTCGCCCATTCGCCGATGATAGTATGCACTGCTTTGTGTGTTAACTCCAACAGCTGTAGAAGCTCATGTACATCTTGTATGGTCGCCATGTCAGCGTTGATGCAGGTTCGTTGTAGTTATTGGGATATCGATTTCTAGCGCAATTTTGCAGTTCTTCGGTTGAGGCCGCCTGGTTATGTGTAGTTATGATTGTTGATTTTCTTATGCTTTACCGAAATTCCACAATGATACATAGATCCTCTTTGAAAAGGGACCCGCGTACACTTGCTGGCTCTACTCGGCCCAGAACCGGTGTATTCCAGGGCCGGATGAAGATGACATGGGCCATGGATTCATGTCAGACCTCTAGTCAGAATGTTGATTACACGGCTGCGGCTAGAAGGGCTATAGGCACGGGTCAAAACGATAGTCTGCTTACAGCAATGTCATATAAGTCGCCTAAAGATGGCTCAAATTTAATGCTTGAAATTACTCGAAATTCCGACGCTCTGATTAGCAAGGTATCTGACAATCAAAGATGCAGTGATCGTAAAATGATACCCGTCTCGTCGCTTAGCCTCCCCACCTAGCGGTTGGGAGTCTGCCGGGGCTCAACGTACACCGGAGCTCAACGTACAATATTTGTGTAAAATGTTATCAAGTCCACCAACGCCATATATTTTGTTGGGAATATCACCTCACATCACATATCACCTTTGCCAGCTATTTACATCCATACTAGATCATCTAGTATGCGCGCAGCTTTTTGGTCTAGTTGGTCAAAAGCCCAACATATTTTATATATAAAAACTAAACAAATAAAAATACTGTATACGACTTACCTATTACCCGTAGTATCGATAAAAAAACCCTGGGGTTTGAGGCGCTGGAGCCTCCTCTTCCTCACCCTGTTGCCGCTCTGCAAGGATATAGCGTTTATGAATTTTCATCAAATCTCCATCATGGCGGCGTTTATGAGGCGGTTTGCATCTTTTACATAAAGCGCACCAACGGCCTTAACCTGGCGCTTAGTTTTTTTGCCAGCCTTACGTTCGGCAGTATCACGAATCCGTGTGAAGTTTTCACGGTGTAGCTCACCCAAATCAGCCATTATAAGACTGCCTTGGTTAACCGTTTTTATACGGCGTATGAGGCCTGGGCTGCTCTCATCTAAGATATCCTTTATGCCATCAGGTGATTTCTCGATCTTGTTGACATAGCGACGTAGTTTTTGCACGGATGAAGGAGGTGATATCGACTTGATGGTTGGTGAGCTGGGAATCGTATCATTATTCTCACCATAGATTTTTAACGTATTTCCATCATCAATAATCGCATCCTCAGGTTGGACCATGAGGTCTAATACAGCGCGAGGATTGTAAGGCTAAATCCCACGATCTTTCCAACCATGGCGGATAATTCGTGGTGTAAAGGTCTCTATCCGGATATCATGTAGCTCCTGAAAAAAGTCATTTTTATCAAAATCGAAGCCACCAAGCCGAGCAATCTTATTCACCACTCGTCCGTGAACATGTTTATATTGTTGAAATGGGACTCCATCAAGCGGTTGTAAAAGATGAGTAGAATGCGCAGGAAAGGCAAATACTTGAATGCGACACATTTTGTAATAATTAAGAAACGGTATCGTGAGATGAGTTGTATGATTATCCATGATCAATAACCGCCAATTCTTGCCATCGTCCGTAAACCGATTAAAATGTTGTAACCATTCAAATGCAATCTCATCCGTGATAAAGCCATTTAAAGCTGGTGCAATAAGCCAATCCTCATCTTTTATATACTTATACCATTCCTCCAGATGTACAACACCCTTTGGGATAATTAACGGTGGTATAACCTTTCCTTCGGCGTTTATAGACTTAACGACGGTGAGAGATTCGCGAGAAGACAGACTAGAAATTCTTTTTGATGTTTTTGGGTATGCTGTGACCACTGCTTCCTTTTTTCCTTGTCCAACAATGAATCCGGTCTCGTCAAAGCTCCATAGATTTGCAGGTGTAATTTTGAGGTTATTCATAGCGATTTTTAAGTCAATAATTGCCCGTAGTGCTCAGCGGCCGTACGATCGACTTCTTGAGGTTGTTGTACAATTCGTTGATATTCTTTTGGCAAGCGCTTAAGATATTCATAAACCCAGTCCTTGCCAGCCCTTCATGGCTCACCCTGACCGATCCAATCCTTCATAATCAAATAATTCGCGTTTTCTTCGATTTGGCGTGGTGTAGGTGCGGCGCCCATATTATCTAGATATTGATGCCATAAGAAAAGCGCTTTTTCTTGATCAATTGATAATAACCTATTCGCTGCGAGTCGGGTTGAGCGAGAGGGTGTCCCGTTAATCTGGCGATAGAGCCTCGGGCGAGAAACTCCAAATTCACGCGCTAATTTCGAGATATTTTTTATTTTTCCGTGTTTATACGCATGAACAGCCTTGGTGATTAATTCCTCCTCTTTTTTGTATTGCTCAGCAGTCATTTTTGCGGTGTTTTGGACGTTGGAAATTGCAGGGTTGCGATTTTTACAATTTTGTACGTTGAGCTCCGGTGTACGTTGAGCCCCGGCAGACTCCCAACCGCTAGGTGGGGAGGCTAAGCGACGAGACGGGTAGGCGGTTGCTCCAATGTGTAGGTATTACATGGAGAAATATGTCTAGGATATGCCTCCAAATAGTAATCTCGTGCCCAGCGGTATCTACGAAACTGGCTTCCATAGTAGTCTATATCTCCTTCAAGACGATACTTTGTCCTGGGCCACCAAGAAAGTCCCAAAGTAATCAGTGAACTTTTCTACCTCTCCAGGAGCTGCGCTAAACCCAACCCAGAGGTCTGGTCTAACAACGACCATGGCCCCGGTACGGTGATGAACCCCCCAAGTATTATGCGCATCCTCATCCGGGGCACGGTCGTCAGAGAGAACAATAGCCTTCTCCTGCAACGCTAGTAGCTCGTTATCTTTTGCAAGGGCTTCCTGGATTTCCCACGGTGTGCCTCTGGCTACCAAGATAATGTTGAATAGTTTGGATCCACCGTATTTCCAATAAAAACTATCAGGATCAGCAGGAGACAATGCTTTTGACAGACGACCCAACTGCTTCCGAACGGTTCCGAGTAAATCCCAACCAAAAACGACCAGATGAAAGGGGATAGCACCATCAAATTTATCGTAAAGATATCCCATATGTTCCTTATCGAAGCAAACACGAGGATTTGGCGCGCGAACACCGTTACGGACCTGAACTGGGGGGAACTTCTGCCATTCCACCTTGTTCACGCCTGTGTTGAGACAACTAACTCCGTATGGCGCGTCGACACCGAGTAAGAATTGTCCATGTCGCCGGAAAAAGTCATAGATAAATGCTTTTGCATCTTCAGAGGATTTAAAAGAGACTTTCTCAGCCGATGTAGAACATTCTCCATCGTCATTAGCTTCCTCATCTGATCCCGAGCCATTACTAGGGGAACCACTTATGACATGACCATTTACTATATGACCATTGGCTTGGCCATGACGGATTGCAGATTGACCATCATTTTTGGGATGGTCAATTATTCTCTCAAATTCTTCCATCCCGTCTATACCAAGATCTGCGCCTACATGATAGAGCCTTGCTGCCGGTAGAGATGAGCTGCAGACAAACCGTAGGTATTTCCCTGAAGTCTCAATAATATGCGCAGCATGTAGACGGCGCTCTCTGTCATATGTTGGTAAAAGGGCGTCCATTCGAGCTTGATTTTTTACCGTCATGCCGAGCTTCCAGGCCAAATTGGCGGCATCGAGAATTGATGCATTGAGGCCAAACGCTCCCATGACGCTATGAACATGTCTAAATGTGTGAGATCAGCAATCAAATCTGAACCCGATAGTTTCCAGTAATCGAGAAGATGGACTTACGCAGCATCTCCGACCAAATGCACCCTCAAGTCATTGGATGAGAAAGACCGAGCAACTCGCTCGCTAACTGTTATCTCATCAGTAATTGTCGGAGGCAAAAGAAATGGCTATGCAACTTACTCTTCCAGACAGCAAACCAACTAAGCGGAGCTCCAAAGGAGAGTTTATATGGCGCAAAAATGCGATTGGCTTGCTCCAAGACCTCCTCCGGAGTGATGGAGTGAATGTCAACCTGTCCACCAGACTCAACGAAGTTAGCATCACGTGCTTGTCTTGTCTGTGCCAAGGGCCCCGTCTTCGAGATGTCGAGTTGAGTGTAAAGCCTTTGCCATTATTAACCTTGCAGAGCTGATATTACAGGTATTGGGATAATGCTTACCGAATGTATCCATTCTCACGAGGAATAATGATGCATCCTCCATACTTGGAGCTGACAACAGATCTGGAAATAGTCAGAGATGTCCAAAAACTTGACGCTTTACATGTTAAAAGGAAAGCCTTGCTAGTCTTGCTTACCCGAAAATCCATGCATGAGGGTAGTCCGTCTCGAAAACACAGTCCATGATACCCCAGTAAATATCAGTACTGATGCCATCGAATGGTATTTTAAGTCTTCGCCGGATTGAACTTGAGGCACCATCACTGCCGACGAGGAATTTGGCTTCGATCTTTTCCTCTTTGCCAGTCAAGCTGTTTTCGATAACGCCACGTACCGGGTATGCAGAAGGCGAGGATAGTTTTGCTAAATCCTGATCCACTGTAAATTCCTTGAGAGTTGTATTACGTTCTACGAGTATCTTGTGGCGCAGGAGATCCCGTATGAAAATTCGCTCAATCTGGCCTTGGGTGATGATATGCAGACCTCGGTAGCGGGAATCTGACTGATGGGATCGTCCATGGTGAAGGAGTTTTCCATTGTAGTAAATGGCGGTACGTTCAATCAATGGGCCTTCTTCATGAACCTCAGTTGCGAGACCCCAGGTAGAGAGAGTCTCAAGGAAACGAGGCTGAACACCATCTGCGCGACCAGCAATGAGTGGCGTTGGAGCCTTATCATAATTCGGAATGTCAGGCCCTGTCGAAGTAGACTTAGCGCGATTTCCAGGCCACTTGGACCAGCTGTTTTGCTACTTTAGCTCCAAGGTAAGAAAAATCATATTAATACTTCTTACCTCCACAAATAAGGACATCTACTTTCGAAGATGGCTTCCACCACTCCGGAACACCGTGAGGAGAAGCAGTGCCATCGTACATTGTAGGCCAGGTACGAAGAACATTGATACCCAGATGATTGTGCCGTGACGATGTTACCAGCTCTACAGATGGCGGGAGCTCATAGTGGATATCTTCGACCTCGTCATCCTGCATTTTGTGTTACTACGGCGTTGGAAACAGATCGGTCTGCTCATGACGAGTTAGGTAGAAACATACCTCATCCCGAGGAGTCCAATGTGGCTCATTGTGAAGCTCTCGAAAACCATTTCGAAAGTGGTGAGGAAGAACTGAGCGAGCCATTGTTTGTAAAATTTCCCAGGTTGTTTCAAATGTTGAAGAATTCGATAATATTAGTCCGTGCAGACTGATATTTCTGCTTCGATAGAGTGCCGTGAAGGGGGAGGTTACCCAATGTTGACTGGAAATAAACCAATAAATTCTAGTTCAACATCACATAATGAATTGGAGCTAATAGATCTAACTGCCAATCTAGAAGTCCGCTAACCCTGCGATTTGATGTGTGTTGTCTGTTTACGTTAGCTGCATGTTTGCGGTGCTTCATACTCCGGTCCCGTACATTGAGTACTGGGGTCCTGCAGCCTACAGCGCTCAATCGAACTGCTTTGATGAAACGAACTTCAACAGGAACTAAATTCCATTGGATTCTAGCACTCATCTTTTACTGTTCTGGAACGAGAAATATGGGTTATTATTTCTGGTTGACTAATCTGAAGCCCAGGGTTAGGGTTTAGCCCTGTCTTAGTTGGGTTTAGAAGCCGCAAATAGCTTTGGGTACTTTTCATGTTTCTTTATTATTTGAAGGCATTATTTTACTGCCTCATTCTATCAAAAAAGATGCGAATTAAGGTAGTGCTGGTTTAACTAGGTCTGATAACACGAAGCACAGAATCACTAGTAAGGCCAGTCCGACGGGTCTACAAGGGGCGAGTCTGGTAATATTACGACTGACTCCCACGAATCGGGGGACCGGGGGATAGCTACACATCTATAGCTGCAGTGCGGCCAAAAGGTCGGAATAATCAATATTCTGAACCGATAGGTGCGTACCGTAAGCTGTAAACACTACTTAGTCTCACGTGGCACGTGCGTGCCGCGTGTATATCTAACTAGCTATCCCCCCGTTCCCCCTCGTTCTCAGGAATAAGTCACAATATTAGGAATCAAGATATCTTCATATTGTCAGGCTCATTAGGCTGCTTCGTGTTCGCGCCTTACTACCGTCTATGCTTCGTGATACGGACCGTAGTTAAACCGACAATAACAAAGGTATCAACCAATCCCTGCTTACTTCTAACTTATAATAGAGTCGAGATTGCAGATCTGTAAGCAGCTTGTAGCTGCTGGGAGACAACATCGACCTGAGCGGTATGGCGTTAATTAACACCTTCAGAGCAACAGTGGGACTCGGTAAGGGAACTTACATTTTGTGGTTCGAAAGGTTCGAAATGATTTCCAGGAATCTTCAGCACTGTCAATTGGCGTGCTAGCAGGCGCTCCCATTGGGCCAGAGCAGCCTCTCGACACTGGTTATCCGATAACCAAGGATGGTCTGCGCCGCATAAGCGACGGGTGTCGATTGTGCTGCTACTTTGAAGCATAAAGTACTTTCTGCCCTCCGGAATGACATCTTGCGCTATTGTCTCTTGGGAAGAATATTCAGCGAGAAATCGTGCATGATGCTGGAACTGTGCTGTGATAACGGATATGGCAGAGGTTGAAAGTTCTTTGGCGCTCAGCACATGCTTCACAATAGGTTGAGGAAGGGGCTCTAAGTTATGTGGACAAGGTGAGTCTATCATGATGACCGCCAGCGTTCTGCATCCCTCACGCTCAAGAGACTGAGCTACTTCGTGCGCCAACACTCCCCCAAAGGACCAGCCTAGGTTTATAGCAAGTTAGATAACAATTGAAAACATCCTTATAAGTTCACAGAGCATACCTCCGAGAATGACGGGACCTTTCAAAGAGCCGATGATTACCGAAGCATACTGCTCAGCCATATCGGTGAGGCCCTTCGCCCAATGAGTCTCCTTCAGCGTTGGATTCTTGATGGCATAAACATTACCGCCTATAGGAGTAATCTTCCTGTAGTGTTCAATAGTCCCGCCACCATCGTGAAAGAGCACCAATGGGGGCAAAACCTTCGGAACTCGTTTGCAGCTGGGTCAGAGCTGGTTCGTGGGAAACTGTGACTTGCAAATAGTTGATTTTATTTCCGGAAATGCCGTAAGACGGATTATTCGGTGACCCTTGGAATTCTTCCAAAGGTGTCCCTTGTGATTTTGGCGTCAAGTTCAATCCGAGGTAGGTAGCTAACTCCTGGATGGTTAGGTCGAAGACAGTGTCTTCAACTGGCAATGACCGTCCAAAATGTTGCTGTAACGTCTCCTGCAGCTCAATCTCCATTAACGAATCAACGCCTAGGGATCCCAACGTCGTTTCAAGATTGATTTCTGACACCGGTACTTCACACTTTTTGTTGATGATTAACAGTAATTGATTTATCCCATCAGATGTGGGTAGAATGGGGCTGTCGCTGGAAGAGCTGGAACTAGACGGAGGATCATTGGCCTCATCGAAGGAAGTCTCATCAGAGGAACCTTCAGAGGTGATAGGGAAAGTGTAGCTCGCTCCAATGCTTTGTTTTTTGACATATTCCTGCAACTCCTGAACGTTCTCCATGTTTGTCATTTCGTCCAGGTCCAGATCAAGATCTGAGAATCTCTCTCTAAGTGGCGCCGCAAGTTCAATGCGCATCATGGAATCAATACCAAGACTGGATAGGTTAGTCAAGCCGTTGATTGAAACACGCGATTTTTCGCAGATCTGAGCGATCACGTCAATTACGACAGACTCATAATCATCCTGTCGAGCCACTTGGGTTTGCATGTTCCAGTCAGACTCAATCGTTGTAGTTTTCTTTGCTGACCCGGATGATTGCATCCTGACAGCTGATAATGCTTGACCAGATACACCGCCGACCATTTGCCGTGCTAGACGCTCTTGAAAGAATTTCAAGTTCAACCGCTTGAAGTGCATACCCTCTACGCTAGCCACCACGACTCCTTCCTCTGTCATCGCGTATGCTTCCCCTAGCAGCACCCCGTCATTGCAATCCAACAAGCTGCAGTATACTTGAAATGTCTGATTAAGAGATATACCTTGATACAGTATTCTAGTCATTTCGACTTTTGTGCAAATGCAGGCATCAGTTTGGTGAACATGACTATTGGCGACAAATCCTGCAGCGTGAAGAAGTGTATCCACAAATACGGGTGTAATAATACCTCCTTGACGAGATTTTAGAGGAATCTGAAATGTTCCATATCCTTCTAATCCGTCCTCCAATACGGTGAGCTCCTTTATGGCTTGAAAATCTCCACTATAGGAAACGACTCTGGGGAAGATTGTGTTGTATAGCGTCTTGGTTCGGAAGACGTTTGTGTAAGCTTGCTTGGATTGCATGTGCGCGATTTGTCGTTTGACATATGCAGCACTACGCGCGAGAGTACGATTTATTTTTGTGTTTGGCTGCCATGAAGCCCACCCGGAGCAAAATATAGCTCTTACTCCATCTGGTGAAGCAGGGCATAGAGGAGACTTGCCAACTACATGCCCATGAATATATTTGGAGAGGAATGAAAGATCAGTGGAGAAGTTTGAAGGAACTGATGTTGGACTTTCTCTTTGCATTTCACTGAGTAGATGGAATGACTTCGGCCGGATATTTTTGACGACTCCTGTATCATACTTAGTAACGGCATAGATTTCGCCGAAAGGAATGAACAATGATTGTGTCTGAAAAGGATAGTCCGGAACATCGACAATCTCAGCTTCTGAGCCGTCAAAAATGCTACGCCAGCGAACTGACATGCTACGAAGACTCATTTGCTGTAAAGCGCCTGACAATGCCACCCATGCGTCCTGCTCTTTCACAAGAGAAGGTAAAAATAAGGAGCCCGGATTAGAAAATATGGTCTTGACCATAGGCGATGTGATTGGATGTGGCCCAACTTCAACGAAAACAGGCGACTGAGTTTCTTTATCATGAAGGGACTTGACAAGCTCTGCAAAGCGCACCTTTCCTCTGGTTTGTTGAGCAATATAACTAGGATTGAGATCCCCCTTCTGCATGAGCCGGCCATGGAGACAAGATCCCAACGGAAACTTGGGAGCATGGAATGGCATATCATGACATAGATCATTTAATTCTTGGAGAATTGGATCTAAAGCTGCTGAGTGAAAACCTAGGCGGACTCCTAATCGCTTGTGACGGATTTTTCGCTCTTCAAGCAGGGTTGCCAAGCGATCAATATCATTTAACGGACCGGAAACCACGCTGGTGGTAGGACTATTATCGCAAGCTATCGTTAAGGATAAGAGATGGTTGGCAGACAGTATCTCTTTTTCGATGTAGGAAGCTGATCTATCACAGGCTATCATGCCAGTCTTGCCCAGCTCGCATGATTTCGTCATGAGCTGAGCGCGACGGACGACAATTGTCAAGGCGTCTTTAACAGAAAGAGCCTCGCTGATAGCCATGGCTGCGTATTCTCCGAGACTATGATCTCATGTTAGAAAGCAAGGTATGTTGTGAGAACTCCGCTTTGCTGCAGCTTACCTATGACCGATGATCACATCTGGCTGAATCCCGAAGGAGAGCCAAAGACACGCAAGGGTATATTCCACAATGAAACATGCAATCTGAGACCATAATACAAAGTCAGATGTTGCAGCAGGGACAAATGTCCCATCAATATCTGGTATGACACTTGGAAGTCCCAGCTGTTGCAGTATTTGATCACACTCTGTCACCTTTTCCCGGAAAACAGTTGCAGTGGACAGTAGCTGCTTACCCATTCCTGAGTAAAAGCTGCCCTGACCAGAGAAGACAAAAACAAGTAGACTTTCAGATTTTGCTGAGCATTGATGAAGAGTCAAATTTTGTTCTAGCTGCTGGATCAAGTCTGTGACACTGCTTACGGTTAGAGAAGATCTCCATTTATACAACTGTCGTCTCGCAGTCACGGTGTAGCAGAGATCCTCAATTGCAGGGGAAGGAGGGCCCATCTGAAGCTTCTCCAGATAAAGCTTGATAAGGGCTTTCAGTGCTGATTCGCTCTTGGCCGACAAAATGAAGTTGTATGCTGCTCTAGCGGTACGTTCGGTAAGGGGCGGTATGTTGTTCCTCTGATACTCCTCAACAATGAGTGCTGCGTTTGATCCTGCGGCCCCAAAGTTGTTGATCAAAGCTCGTCTTGGTGTACTAACTCGAGTTTTCCATTCAACAGACCGTGTCGCGATCCGAAAAGTCCTTGACAGTAGACTTTCCAACTTCGGATTGAGATTCTTAAAACTGCCCTGAGGCGGAATCGTACAATGATGCATCATTAATAATATTTTTGCCAGGCTCGCAGCACCAGATGCAGCTTCTGCGTGTCCTATATTGCCTTTTATAGACGTCAAGTAGACAGACTGTACAGGCGATAGGCCCCCGAAGACCGACTCAAGGCTGGAAGATTCGACCCCATCACCCGCCTATTTAACCATGAGCTTTTGTGCATATTCAACAACAGCAACAGGCTAGAGAATGAGGTAGACCATACCTGAGTTCCCGTCCCATGAGCTTCTACAGCACTTATTGATGTAGGGTCAATGCCGGAAGAAGAGAGGAGCTTGCGGAAAAGATTCTGCTGTGTCTCAGAATGGGGGTGTGTAATTGAAGAGGCGTTTCCGCTTTGATTGACTTCTATGCCTCGGATAACGCCATATATACGGTCATTCTCAAGAATTGCATCTTCTAACCGTTTGATGACAAAGAGGCCAGCGCCTTTCAGATCTACAGTAGCCATCTGCACCGGCATCGAAAGGCTTACACTGGCCGGTATCACTCAAGAAGTGAGCTTTAGAGAGGCCTATATACATCTGATAGGGTACAAATGTCAGTCATTGAGACGAGAAGATTATTGAGGTTTATCTCTCACATCTGGCCTGGTGATAACGTTCGCTCCACCTGCCAAGGCAGCTGAGCAGTCACCAGCAGCTAATGCTCGACACGCTGTCGCAATGGAGACCATTGAAGATGAGCACGCAGTGTCAATGACAAGTGAGGGGCCACTCCATCCAAACGCGTAAGAGATTTTACCGCTCAAGAAGGCACGCAGTGTTCCTACAAACAGAATTAGGAAATGCCCTGTGCACAATTTCGGGATATACTCGCCAGTCGAATAATATACATCAATATCCCGGGTTAAGTTCTGTACATAGTCTTCTGTTGCGATGCCAATGTAACCACCAATGGTGCGAGGATCATAAGATGGTGTAACGTGCGGGACATATCCGGCGTCGTCCATGGCATGGACAGCTCCTTGAAGCAGTATTTTCTGTTGAGGATCCATTGAATTTGCATCACGCGGTGAAATGTTAAAGAATTCATGATCAAAGCCGTATGGGTTGTCAATGAAGTTACCATGGCGCGCCTTCATCTCACGATTTGTGCCATGTTGCCCTCGGCGTGGCTGATAGTCATCGATTTTAAATCGAGTTTCTGGAATCTAGCGTGCGTTAGATGTTTTTATATTGGAAATATTTGAGAAATCTTCATGAAGTTAACGTTCACTTTACTAACCTTCTGTACTGTATTGAGACCTTGCTCAAGCGTCCTCCAGAATTGTTCCTTTCCAAGCCCAGAGGGAAAATTCACCGACATGCCTACGATGGCAAATTCTGTCGAGAGGCCAGTATCTGATTGAATGCCAATAAACGGCACATCAATGAAGCTGGTCCGTTGTGGTGAGGAGATATCTCGATTGACGCTCGCAATCAACGTTCGAGCACCGGCCCCGATAGTGATCACCTCCGATTCATCATATGACTTGATGGATTCTACCACATTATTCCAAGTGTTGGAGAGATCCGCATTTTCCACAAGAATGCAGGAAATAATATATTCTAGTAAGGAGTCAGCTAATTGCGAATGTGCGTCTAGCACACGGCCATCATGGCAAGACCATAGTGGATGCTTCAGATCTGCCAGTGAAGGGAAATCGCTTTTTCCGCAGCTCAAGTCACGGAGCACCATTTCTAGTGCGTTATGGCCTTCGTTGCCAGCATGATACGGAGCGTATACCGGTATCGGGGATGATGCTGTATTTCCTACCAGGTGCCTTGAGCGGAACTGTTCGAGTGAGGATCCCAGGCCAACAACACTGAACGCATGTTGACTGAATCTATTGGCAAGTCGTATTGATCCATTCTGTAGCGTGGGTGCATCTAAAAGTGTATTGAAATCTTCCACCTTGGTCTCCAAAGTCTTTTCTGGCATTCCAATCACTGAAAGTGCCCATGGAAGGCGTTGCGATTCTTCTCCAGCAATTTTGTAAGCAAGTTCTGCCGCCCGATATCCTAACCAATATGCCGTGCGAATGGCGCTCTTGCTGTACCTGATATACTCTACTTGATATACTCTTCTATTGAACCACTACAAGCAATAACGACAGCAGCGAGCATGCCTGAGCAAAATCACGCTACTGCAACATGGGACGACAGCTCTAAATTAGGATCGTAGTTGAGATAAGCCAGGAGCTGATTGGCACATAATGAAACGCCTTCGAGAATTGGATTGCGCGTCTGGTCTGGTCGCAGGGTAAGCAGACTTTCTGGAGAGCTTGACACCTCAAAGTTTGCCCATTCCGGAATAGATAACAGAGATCGTGAAGCTACAACCTCTTCTAAGAATGCACTGTGACATGCTGAAAGTAATAGAGTCAACGATGGGTTTCCTCCATCTACGAGCTTCCTTGTACTTGACGAAGGGGAATGGCGACTCCCTTGACCTCCCAAAAAGATAACCCGTTGAAAGCTCATCGTGGATTCTGTAGTGCTGCTCTTAGTATGCATTGTTGAGTTGAATCGGCGGTACTCAAAAGGTTTTGGACATTTCTATGTAGAGGGTATATATCAGCCATGCCAAATAGTTGTCGACTTGGGCATCAAGTGTGAAAGGATGCTGGACATAAGGAGACCCGCGTATAATTACTCGTCTATGGAGACAGCCATGAATATAATGTAAGCCTTGGCTCTTTGAAGTTTCTATGTCCCTTTCTATGATGCGATAATAGGGTTGCAATGGACCCTTGGAAGTGTCCTTGTACGCGGGTCCCTAGTGCATCTCATGCCGCATAGAGATGTAACAAGTATGTAGGCAGTGATGAAGAGGGGAGAAATGGAAACCGAAAAATTCTTGTTGTTCGAGTTTTTTTTCTATCCCCTGAGCTCACAATCTCGTAACAAGATCAGCACTGAGGAAAGTAACCGCAGCTCAAAAAATATCGCCCCTTCATCCTCGGCATCGCTCTACTCAAGGCTTTCAAAATCGTAACTCGCGCAAGAAAACTTCCTAGAAAAATGCCTGCAATCGATTTTGAAAGTCAATCCATGCCTAGTGGTCATGAATTCCATCGACCTCTATTCCAAGTATCTCGAGATTTCCCGAAGGACCCTTCAATGCTCAAGACACTTCCTAATCTAATAGATTTCAACGCCGAACACAATCCAGACCATCTCTTCGCTCTTCAAGAGGTACGAATTGGAGGGAAACAGTTACATCTAGTAAGAATCAATTTCCGTGACTTGAAATCTGCGACAATTGGCTGTTCCCTTTTTCTCCGGAAATCACTTTTTGGAGCCCAAAAACACTATGACGGTGCAGATAATGAGCACCGGTCTTCAAAGAAACCAGTAGCGTTGTTCCTTGAGAGCGATGTGACACTCTTTGTCTATCTCGCTGCTCTATTATACCTTGATATTCCTGTATGTCACCTGCCCCCGTGCCCGCTCCGCCAATCCTATCCATCTATCAATCTAGAGAATGGATTGGAGAAGTGGAAAAAAATTAGCTAATGGCATGCACTAAAACAGGTCTTAATGCTATCAATTCGATTAAGTCCCGTCGCCATCGCCCATCTTTTGAACGTTTGTTCTGCACAAGCCATCATTGTGTCGAAAAGAACTCAAAGTGCCGCCGAACAAGCATTAAATGGCACATCAATGGAGCAGCAAGAGGCCACCATTCAACGGATTCCTTCAATTCCATATGAAAACTTACTAGACCTGGGCAAGGCTGAAAGTAATGAAGTCGTTGAAACCCCGAACCCTTCTTCCGATGAGATAGGAGCTTTGATTCTTCATTCATCTGGGACTACTGGGCTGCCCAAACCGATCTCCTTGGTACATCGATACTTACTCGGTTATGCGGCTTGTCATCGTTTAGAACCTGAGGAATGTAACAATCACGTAAACGTTTCCACTTTGCCAATGTATCACGTACGTTCTTACTTGAAACAACCTTAGATCTATGCATACATGATTGACATTAGCTTCTGTATAGGGTTTTGGTCTTCTTGCCCCGTGCCTCAGTCTTTCAACGGGCAAGGCCTGCTGTTTCCTTTCGGGAAGCACCATCCCTTCTGCGTCGTCTGTCGTTGAACTAATCAATCGGTCCGGTGCATTTTCGCTAATGACTGTGCCAACTATACTTGAAGAAATGATTTCGAGTGAAAATTACTGGAAGTCACTGATCGGACTAGACTTTGTCGCCGTCGGTGGTGGGGCCATCAAGTCTTCGATTGGGGAGCAGTTGGTCTCCAATGGCGTGAAGCTCCTGAACCATTACGGTGCTACCGAGATTGGTGCTATAGCTCCTATTTTCTGTCCTGGAAAAGACTACGATTGGCATTATCTCCGTCTGCGAACGGATATGGGACTTGAGGTCAATGAGGTCGAACAGAAGGGTAAAAATGGCGAGACACTGTATCAACTTACTGGCTTCCCCTTTGGATGGGGCAAACCATTCCCAGTTCAGGATATTCTAGAGCTTCGTCCCAATTCTAAGCATACTGAGGTCAAGGTTTTGGGAAGAGGGGATGATCTTATTGTTCTTTCCACGGGCGAAAAGGTTCGCCCTCAGCGGCTCGAGGAAGCGCTCTTATCCACGGGTCTTGTCAAAGTAGCTGTTGTCTTTGGAGAACATCGCCCTGAAGTTGGTGTTATTGTGGAGCCAGTGCAGCCTCTGGCGAAGGAAGAGCATCCATCTTTTGTCGAAGCAATTTGGACTGTTATCCGAAGTGAGAACCTGCAACTGGATCGACATGCTCGCGTGCCTTCAAAGACGATGATCGTGATTAAACCTACTGCAAAAGTAGTGCCACGATCCGACAAAGGATCCGTTATGCGCAAACAGACCTACGAAGTATTTAAGGATGAGATCGAAGCTGCTTATAGATATAGTAGTAACGGAAAGGAAGAAGGGGATATCAACCTAGCGTCTGAGCAGAGTCAGCTTGAGCGTGACCTAAAATCTATTATTCAACGATGTGTCCAAGATCGAATTGCAGATCCGTCATCTTGGGATGTGAACGATGACTTCTTTTCCAGGGGTATGGACTCTTTAGAGGCAACTCGGCTCGCTCGAATACTCGAAAACGTTCAGAATAAGACAACTTTCCCAGCCCTCCTCAATGGCCAAGTCAGCCCCCAATTTATCTACCAAAACCCTAGTGTCCGAGCATTAGCAAAGGCTCTCCTAGAGGGCACCACCTCTTCCTCACCACCTGTGAACACAGCATCTCGGACCATACAGCTGATGAAAGCGTTGGCTACTCAATTTTCGTCTTCTGCTAGCTCAGTCGATCCCTCAGAAAGGAAGTTGACCGTGCTTTTGACCGGCTCAACTGGCCATCTTGGGGCTTATCTACTACAGGGGTTATTACAAGCAGCAAACGTCGAGCAGATCATATGTTTCAATCGTTCTCGAAAAGAATATCTCGACAAGCCTTTTTCAGTAGTGACGACATCTACCGAACATGAGCTTCGTTCTCTCCAACTGGAAGCCAATAGCAGAAGTGGCATCACTCTTGGCGAGAACTCGTGGCGTAAGATCCGATTCTTACCTTCCAACCACATCGATAAACCCAATCTGGGGCTACCTGAATCCGAATATGGTCACCTCAAGAAGACGGTTACTCATATCATTCACAACGCCTGGCCCATGGATTTTCAGAGAACATTGCTATCATTCACACCACAAATCCGCACCGTGCACAACATGATTGACTTTGCGGTAGACTGCCATTTTACTCAGCGACCTTGCTCACCAGCTCTTAACCCACAACTGTTGGTCTTGTCTTCCATCGCAGTTTGCGCACGCAGCAAGTCAGGTCCAATCATTCTCGAAGCACCAATTACCGACCCCAGCAGTCCTGCGCCTTTCGGCTATTCACAAGCAAAATGGGTGTGCGAGAATGTGTTGATTGATGGCATGAATAACTTTGGGGATAAAGTCCAGCATACAATCGTTCGCTTGGGCCAGCTCACGGGGACCACAGAGTCAGGCGTGTGGAATGCAAACGAGCATTTTCCAGCCATGCTTAAGGCGTCTCAAATAGTCGGATCGCTTCCTGATTTGACTGGTGTAAGCTTTTTTACCCCCCAGAATACACGGCGTATACATACTCACAAGATCACATGCTAATGGAATAATATGCATGAATTAGACATACTCCTGGATTCCAATGGACATTGTCGCCAAATCCATACTTGAAATCCTTCTAAACAGTAGCATTAGCAGACCTCGCAATGCAATATACCACATCGAAAACCCAATAAGACAACCATGGCAACCTCTTATCTCAGCTCTTGCCGTCAAATTGAACCTGACGATCGAAGCGACGAGTGCCAATCCGATAATACCTTTCGACACTTGGTTAGAGAAAGTCTCCAAGACGATGGCGGCGGCGGCGGTCAATGATGACACTCAGCCCAAAAAAGAGGATGATGACCTGGAATTCCTCAAGCATCTTCGGACATTTCTGGAAACGGATTTTCGTGCTCTTTCGGGTGGAGGTGTTATTCTTGATACGGCTGAGGCTCGCAAGGTATCGCGATCTCTGCGGACATGTAATGGCGTCGGGCTTGATTTGGTGGATAAATACATTGCTTATTGGCGCAAGTGCGGTTTGTTGAACTGACTTGATCCGAGTCAACGAGAGGGAAAGCACATAGGTACTAAATATACAAAGATGATATTAAATGCATGCTGCCAATAATCTCATAACCCTTCTAGGTTAACAATCAATTAGTTACACTTATACAATCTAGCAGATATGTACACCGACCTATAAAATACACTATTAGATTGATATAAAGACAAGAAAAACAAGAATGGCTTGAGATAAATGCTACATCATCAGATTGTATTGCTACTTATTCTAAACGCACAGCCGGCTCATACCCAGGGATACCGATTATATCCGCCCAAGATGCGAGGGTTCGAGGGAGAAAGAATGTAATATACATAACGGAGATGGATATCAGTAGTCCGGGTAGCTAGAAAAATAGATCACAATTAGCCAAAATGTGCAGAAAAGGGTGTAAAGATAGGGGAATAATCACCTTCTCCAACCATGTCTGGAACCATATCGCGGTCATAAAGAGCATCCACCAGCTCAACCTAATCACAATCCAGACAAACTTTGTAGAATATATCGAAATCGGAAACCGGATTGCTGAAGCCATGATCATTTGCTGTCGTGTGTTCCCCGTCCGAATCATCTTTATCATGAATTTGACTACTCTCTGAAACCCCGTTCTATACAGGCAGCGACGTCCCCAAAGCCTCCAAGGCAAAAAGCACACTTCCCAAATCAAGCATAAAGACATGACCGCTCATCATGCCCGCCCCTCAAGCTTTACAAGCACCCGCCGTAAGAACAACCTTGATTTCTTCCCAGGTATCATCCGGAGTCAAAGCAAGCCTATCATCTAAACTAAAGGGTCCGGAGAAAAGGCTTATGGTCGAGGCGGCAACATAGAGCTTAAATTTCACTCTCGTCCGAGAACAGCAACAGATGATAATGACATAACGGCAGCAAAATCAGCTTTTAGGGGTGCACACGAATCGACTTACGAATATTCGTACGATTATTCGTAAGTAGGGCTCTCCATGGATAAGATCCATGAAAATTTAGCATATCCATGATATCCATAGATCCATGGATATGCGTAGTATTACTTACAAAGAGAATCTTTCAGTGTAAGAAGCTTCCTCATGGTTTCACTGCTCAAAGACCACCTCCGTAAGCCAAGAAGATCCCGTCCAGTGTTGAATACTCTCTCAACATCAACCTCTGCTGCTGGAACAGCTAAGTAATCCCTTGCAGCCGCTGTCATGCGTGGATATTCATCTATATAACCTCTCCACTATGTGTAAATCCAATTTCTCTTCTTCTCGTCAAATTTCACAACATTAGAGCTGAGATATCCTGCAATGTTGGAGGGCTTTTCTGTAGATTTCTGCGATTTTGCCTTGATCTTACTCATCATCTCTAATGCTATGGTCTTATATGGATTTTGCAAGGCGCCTGATGGTCCTGATTCTTCTAAAGGTGTAGAAAGTTCGGGCTTATGAGTTATAGGATACTAGATCTTAAGCTGCTCTTGCATAGCAGTAATAATATCCTTAGCTCCATCCTGTAACTCATACTTAAGAATAAGTTTCTTAAACTGAGGATCCAAGAACATTGTAATATAGAGAATATCGTATGAATCATCTATAAGAGTATAGTACTTGTCATATTTTCTCATGGCGCTCTTAGATGCGTTAGCGACATCTGTGTCAAAGTCCTTGAACTTTCCCTCCCTATCCTGAACTTCTTGAAGAAGATTGAAGAGTTAATAGTAGATAACCAAAGACTAACTGATTTGTGAAATATCAGTAGAGAGCTCCAGTGTATATCTATCAAACTCTGCAAGGACTATCCGGATTTGTCCAAGCTGATTCCAGTCTTAGTCAGTAAAAGGAGGTAAGATATGTGTTGGTTGCTTCATGCAATCGAGATGTGTCAGATAAGCTGGCTTTCCAATGAAGCGATCAATCCGAAACTGTCATGTGTAAGAGAATGGTCTCAAGTTTACCCCATGGGATAGCTTACAAATCAGCTCAGGAGAAGGTCTATATAGACGCGGCTTTGGAACATGATGTACTTAGAAAGAGAGACACAGAACTGAATGAATACCCATTGAAATTGACTCCATTGCTTCGTACGTACGTACATGCACCTTAGTGCACCCACAATATGTTTTATCTTAAGATATTCCTGAATTTGAGGAGCAGCCTATTGAAAGTTAGCTGTATTTTTCACTCCTAAGATCATTAAGACTCATACATTCCAAGCATCATTAAGCATGCAATAAGAGGAATTCCAGCGAGTAGTAACATTGTACTGAATAAGCTTTGAATCCATCCCTTTTATCTGGCATAGATTCTGCCATTCTTTCTTTCACTCTGTGGTTAAAGAGATATATAAACTCAGAATGAGTATGCGAGAGAAAGCACTTTGTGATTGTGCAAGAAATTGATTATTCTCTAAATCTTCAATAATCTGAAAGTCTCCTGTAATATTACCAGCTTTCAAAACAGTAAGAAATTCCTTAACAATAAGATTTAAAATATGTACAAGATAACGAATAAAGCTACCTTCTCCTTAATATCTCATTGCTTGTTGAGTATTGCCTTATTCATAATCAGCTTTGGGCAAATCATGGAGAATTTCAGCCATTGCTAAATTATTACTTGCATTATCACTGGTAATGGAAATAAGCTTAGCTCCAATGTCTAGTTCACATAGAACCTTATAGACAATAGACACTAGATTCTCACCAGTATCAGGGCCTTCTATCTCTTAAAAGTCAAGGATTCTATGCTGAGGCTGAAAGTCTACTATAATCTAATGATTGATAATTGCAAAGATCTTGTAGCCATTTGCACTCTTCCATCTATCAAGAGAGAGTGCAATAGTACTGCAATTCTCTATTTTTCTAAGATCATTCTTTAGTTATATCTGAGCCTTAGCAAATTCTTCATCAACACGGCAGGAAAATAAATTCAAAGATCTATATTTGCAAGAAAACCCTGGAAGATCATTCCAAATTTACCTGAAAAAGAGGGTCATCAAATGCTGAAAATAGCTGCATTATTCTGATAGCCCAGTTGAAAATATTTTAATCGAGAAGTTCTTGAGGAGATTGTAAAGGCTGAGCTCTAACATAGGAAAGCATTGAACTTTAAGACGACGTGATGACGATATATTTTAGCACAAATATATATAATAGATACTAGTAGAAATAGTCACCTAAAGAAGTGTCACTATCTTTATAGATACCATGCTTCTGCCCTAAATGCTTCTGCAAGTTGCTAGTTGAACCCTTGGTAACTGACTTAACAGTAGTCCATTCCTCTAGAGCTGTGCAATGTAGACAAGAATACTGTATGTCTGCTTTTATCTTTCCAGTCTGTTTATCAAAGAAGGTCTTTCCTTGTAGTAATGGTTGTTGAAAATGGGTATAGACCCATGAGGTTTCTTTTAGGTTTTTTTTCGCTGTCTCTTTTGCTTCGGAGGCTCAAGAAAAGGATTCATTAGAGTGGATGACTGAATTTGTGAAGCTGAATCATTCGGAGCAAGAGAGCTACTTTGTGATGTAGCATATTCGAGAGTATCAGGACCTGCAACAGCCTGGCTTTCAATCTGATCTTCAAGACCAACTTCATCATCGCTACCGCCATTTGCAAGCTTCCAAAAGCCTGGCTGGCGCGTATTCTCTCTATAGGGGCAAATAAATCTGTCCATTATGCCGGTAGATTTTGAACCTGAAGAAGCAGCCTAGAAATTTTTCATAAAATCATGTCTCGGAGCGGAATAATAATTTTCTTGTTACAAGTGACTCTATCTGTGGGTTGGCTTATAAAGCCAATAAAACAACGTACGTACGTCCGTACACGCGCTTCAGGTGGTACTCCAAGTTCTATAGTCAAATGTATTCAATCGTCTGTGTTCTCTTAATGAGGCCCCGACGCGGTCTATATAGTCCTTGCTTGTGTCGAGGATTAGGTAAGCTAAACCTAATTGTGGGTGCACTAAGGTGCATATACGTACGTACGAAGCACTTGAGTCAATCTCAATAGGTGATTCTTGGGTTCTGTGTTCTGTTGTGTCTATCTGTCTTAATGAGGCCCCGACGCGGTCTATATAGTCCTTGCTTGACGAGGTCACGTGTAAGCCATACGTGACCTCTCCTTGCTGCATACCAGTGCCAGGCATCTCGATTGCACGAAGCAACCAACACTAATCAAGGAAAGCCTACAACATTGATACAAGGAAAATTCGAGAATTGAAGTCACAAGATTGAATCTACGAATCAACTTTACAGCTCTGTGTCGAGAATCTTCTATTTGAGATTGCGTGGATGGGATTCTCAAGCATAAATAGTGTCCAACAATCCCCTCAAGATGTAGAGAGAAGAGTGCGCAGAATAAGGTCAATATCAATATTTCCACTATAAAGATATCTTTGAGTATTAAGCTTAACTGAGTT